GCGTAATTGGAAGCCATTCTACCCTTCTGAGGCGCCTCAAGAAGATCTGAGGTCGAACCAAGACGCTCAACAGGCTCTACTACTCGCTGAAATCAGAAATCAGCTAAATCCTGAGGAGCGCCATCGTTACGATGTTCAAATAGCTCGTGGAGAGCGACAAATTCGCGAATTCCACAGGCAAGTCTTTAGGAATCTTTCAATGATCGGTCAACAACACCTTGAATTGCAGCAAATACCCATCGGCCAACCTGACCCTGTTGTAAGACGACGAATCGTTCAAAAGGCCTCTCACGGACCTCGTGAAGCACGGGGCTTAACAGCGAACGAGATTCTAGAACGTCAAGAGCGCCAGGAAAAGCGTCAAAGACGTCAAGATGAACGCGCTGACGAGCGACGACAACAAGCTCAATTGACGTCTACTCCCCGAGCCAGCATAACAGTGACAGAGACAGCAAGACCGACAACACCTCCGCCTCAGATTACTCCTCTCTCACGACGTTTACCAATTCGCACTCCAGACAGACCACGACCACGTCGATCTCCTACCCCTGAGGCCTCTCCGACAGTCAACGACGAGATCTTCGATCTACCAGCGTCTACGGCACCTCCAGCACTAGGAGGAGGTAGAGGAAAGAGAAGGCGCAACCACACGGCGAGATACAAAGAGGCAAAGGAGCAAGGACTCATACAAGATTCACAAGAGGCTCACAGAGCATCAGGAAGGCTCTGAAGGTGGTCAACAGCGAGGTCAGGAGGCAAGAGGGGGAAGGGGGACTTTAGACAGACTAAATAGGCGACAGAGAGCTCCTGATACACAACAACACCAAAATCGAGTGTGAAAAGGCTTCTAAAGTCGAGTGCAAATAGCTCTGTCGAAAGGCCTTAATGACACTGTTTAAAAAGAACACCAAAAAGGGCCAACTATGCGAGGGAGGCAAAGTGGATGGAAAGGTACCTGAAAACCCCCCATTTTCCTAGGGATTTGAGGTACCTCGCCATCCTCCGGGCAACTCTCGCACAACTAGGCTCAATTGGTGTTTAGCAGGTCGCTGTGGTACGAAGGTCGCTGCCAAGGGTCGCTGCCCCGATACATTCCCAAGAAATCCTCCCAAAGCGGCGGCACAGACCGCCCAATTCAGCGGGAAATTTCCCTGCACCCTGCGTTGAACTGTAGGTTTCTTGTCAAGACCCAATCAAAGCTCCACTGCCCTCAATGCCACGTGAGAGACATTTGGAGAAGATGATAGGGTAACGTTTGTAGGCTGAGCCGAACTGCAAGAGGGTTTGTAGAGATGTCGAACTTCAGACGCTAGTGGCATGACCGCTGTTCCGACATCCCCGAGCAAAAGCTTTGCCCTCCTTGGTTGCCAGATATTGCCGACCTCGGCTTAAGATGCAATAAGACATGATTCGAGGTACGGTACTATCCTCTGTCTTGTACTTTCGCAGGCTTGCTTCCGCTTTTGATCGGTATCAAAGCTCAATCAAACTGGACAGGCCATCACTTTTCTAGAGTCATTTGTTCACAATCTTCCCAGTGTCGGAGATTTCAATCTCCACAACGTCTCCCTCTTTCAAACCACGGAGGATCCATAAATACTGTGTTAAACGGTTGAACAGTAACCAGGGCTCTTCTATTGGGAAAGGGGTTATGTCAAACGAGGTGCAGCTTGAGATGTATTGAATGCTCCATTTTTTTCATTCTACATGCTACGTTCCTGAGGGTCCCTTTATAGATGTGTGAATATCATGTCGTTGTGCAGGGCAACCATCAGGAATGCCGTTGTCTATGAAAACCTTTGTTCGACAGGCTACCACTCCTAGGCACGATATAGGGGTAGGAATAGGAGAAAAAAAGGGGTTTCACTAGAGGTGTATGTACGGAGAAATCAAGTGAGTCGACTTCCGTGTGTGGCTGTTCCACGATCCTGACACCGATATCCTCCCTGTGTGATAGGCACTCAGGTATTAAACGCCTCACACTGCGAGGAAACATTCAACGTCCGAAGATAGGTTTGATTTTGTGTGCCAGCCTTTTTCGGAACCCCGTCATTGCAACTTCTTCACCAGGCCTAAGCTTGGAGTCTTTCTGCTTGGGCCGATCCTTGCCAGGCCTATTCAAGATAGCGCGACCAAGATCGAAGAATATTTTATCAATGACCGATGGATCGTCATGGCTTGCAAAACACTCTGCAATGATCTCGCAACTCCCCGTACGCCTAAAGACTTCCACTTCCTCTACCGTCACCACACGCTGACCTTTCACCGACGTCCTGTTCCCGACTAAGGCAATTGGAATGGGATCAAGACCGGCTTCCGTTCTCACATGTTTAACTTTTCTCACGTGGTCCTTTGCAGCATCGAAAGAGCCGGCTCGGTTAATGGAGAACATAACAATTGCAGCATGCGCCCCTTTAACCGTATGTTCAAATAGGGTGTGGTATCCATGTTGAAGTGCCTCCAGAATGGAGAACATATACCATTTTTTATCTATCTTAACCAGCTTGCGGTAGCCCTCGCCCCAGTGGGGATCATATTCCGTTGGATAATAACCGCAGATAAACTATCGCCATGAAGTCAACACAATTCAATCGCCATCGTGGGCATAAAGGGGGAGGTTGTGACTAACTTGAGAAATAAAGCCTGTCACCTCTGTTTCGTGTTCTGCCCAGACTGGGATCTCAAATTGTGCATCTACGTGGACGGGCATGATGCCCCATGTATGAATGATAAGAGCACTGGACTGGGATTTTGGTACTCGGCAAAAATAGTCGCAAATAAATTGACAATCAACTCCGGCCCATCATTTGGCCATTACCGCAAGTTGCCATTCGTATGATAGCCGTAAAGGTGATGAACGGTTTGGCAGGTGAGTGCCTGTCTGTTTTCTCTTTACATAATCTATCCGCGTAGCACCCCGCTACAATATTATCAGGATTTTTACAGAAGCCATAGCGCTTTGGTTATAACCCGATGGGGATGCCTCGTCTGTGATTCCTGGATTAAGTGGACAGATTACTGTAGAGACAACTTTCTTGCCTCATATCAACCATGGCACTTAATTTTGTGGTTCGTCCAATCTCTCCGTTGACATTCCACCGAGCAGTATTTAGCATTCTGGCATTGCCCACACGTCAAAAGACCCGTTCCACGTCTGGATTCAGGTTTTCCACAAACTCTGCATCCACCACCGTTGCAAGGTAAGTTTTTGGCTTTGTTCGACATGTTGAAATCAAAAAACTTCTCTAAAAATGAAGCTGGGAAACACGGAGGTAATGCTGCCCGAGTAAAATATTTAGACATCGACTCCCATTGTGGCACACCAGTGAAGAATTTTTTCGGCAGTTGACCATTTCCACAGGAGCACAGGAGTGGCTGGCCGTTCTCCGAAGATAAGGGAATACGCGATTCCGTCAGGTATTCACAATCCAGACGATGCTCCCATGTCCGGCATCGTTCGACCATCGCTAACAGAATCTGTCTTCACAGTTTCAACTCAACATCGTCCACCTTTACACTGCACAATTTCATAGCCGAAAGTGCTCCTAAGAATGAACGGAGTCTGGTTGAGGCTAGGGCCAATGGGATTGTTGAGGCCGAATAGTCGGGCTTCTTCAGCCTGCAAGCCCGAGAAGTGCATAAGGAGCGAAAATAGGGAGTCATTGAATCTAACTCGAACGTCTTTTTTCTGATCTGCGAGCATCGAGTTGTCTCTCAACTCGCGCTCTGTCTTGCTGAACATCCCAGAGGAATGCGTAATGAGCCATTGGAAGTCGGATTGTCTTGATGTGTTGATAACGGGCAAGCATTCCAAATTTGTATGAAGCGTGTTCCACACCACCGGCGTTCCGGGTCCTAGGTATATAGGATAGATGAATGACGGAAAGGCTTTCCAGTCCGCTGGACCCGCCAGTGGTGCTTCCGCTTCTATGCACGAAGACTTTCTGGCCATCCTAGTTTTGCTCCTCGATTCAAGAATCGGAGAAGGGAATTCAAGAGCGATCCGTGAGGCCATCGTGCCCGCCGTCGCGATGAAGGTGCATGGAGATATTTGCAGAGTTTCGATCCTACCTCCATTTTTCGCCACCGCCTTAACATCTTCCGAAAGAATTTCAACACGGCTTGTGAGAGATGCGATCTTCGTGGCACTGTGATCGACATTTGCAGTTATCGTAGTCCGGGAAACTTGGCCCTGTGGCCTAGGGCCTCCCGAACCACGGTTCGGTAATTCGCAAAGGGAAAAAGGCTCGGGCTGATTTGGTTGATCTTTCGTCATGAAGACACTTCTTCGTTTCCTACTGTTGTCTCGTAAATATTCATTTCAGGACCAAGGGCATTGAAGAACGTCTTTGAGCTTTGTGGAGTGCTCTGGATTCCGGAAGCTATTGATGCCGTTTGAGGTTCGATCAATAGTATCCACGTGGGTACGCGGAACGAGACGAAGAGAGAAGAGCTGCCACTCCACTTCAGCAGATGTTTTGCCACCGCCCGGATTTCGACGCTGGGGATGACTGAATGACGCAATGAATCATGGTGTGCCAATCTCCGTCGGCTCAAGATTTGTTGTTGCTCTGAGTTGTTTCCGAGGCACCTTTAATGTGATGCAAATGACCGGGGAAATGCGCTTCCAGCTCTCCAATCCATTCTCTGCAGTAGTGTAGTGTTGGTTAAGTGGGCGCGAGAATGCGTCCACTGAGTGCACTTGAAATATGTGGAGGTACAGATACAGCTCCTGGATGTAATTCATCCCCATTAGGAGACTAGACTCGGTCTCGATGAGCCTAAGGAGATGATCCATGACTTGGGTCCAGTTAATGGCAATCTTGCTGCGTACAAAGCGAAGAAACAGAGCGTAACTTCCGCGGTGATAGCGCAGGAGCGAAGCTTTTGACATGGAGTGCAGGTTGATATCTGAGAGCAGCCGCTGCACGTCCTCGTGCTGAAATATACCGAGATACACGTCATGAAGGATACGACCACACCCAACCTCGTCGACGTGAAGGTGTTGAGTTACCTTCGCGGGTGATTGTGATGCACATTCGGGAATTATGCGCTTCCACGTCAGTCTGACATGCATCTGTCCCCGTCTGGTATTGTTATCGGTTGCAATAATGCTCGGGTCCGTTATGAGATCGTCCATTGTGGAGGAAGTCGAAGCATTGGTCCAGTACTCTACTGGGAAAAGGCCCAAGAGTGTTGACATGGTAGGGGGGTGGGCGTTGAGAAGGTTGTCAATGTACGCCGTATGGGTTTCTTCTCGCTTCACCAGTGATTCGGTGTACAGGCTGGCTGAACTACTGCCGTCCAGAAAAGGCGCGGTGGCCACAAGGAGGTTCAAGGCGCCTAGTGGTCAATGAGGTTCGATGTGTCGATTACGGAGAATGTGAGTGGTGCTCCAGCAGAGTCTGAGTAATCTTCACCATCCAGGAATAGCGGCTCCGGGTGATAGAGATCGCGGTCCATACCTGCGGTCCTGCCGCTTCGAGTGATGTTCCATTGCTGCAGTGTATATGAAAAGGCGATGGCGTCCCCTGCGAAAAAAAACCAGATTGTGAGATTGGGGGAAGAGTGTTGTCTAAACGACCTTGCCCAAGATCGAAACTGAAGCCGGGCCGCCTCAACAACCCTGAAACAAGAAGAATCTTGCGTCATTGCCGTCGAATGAAATGGTGATTGGTCGGTTAGCGGGGTGTAGGGGGTCGCAAGATGGAAACCGAGTAATGGGTTGGTGCCGTAATGAAGAGTGGACGTGTCAGTCACATCTAACTTCCGACCTCCTGGGCCTCAGCGGATAGTAATATCGTCAGGGGATACGATTTACGAACTGGAGCGCTGGTCGGCATAGATCGTGAACAAGATGTTACGAACGTCACTACACCCCAAGAGCAGAGTGTTAGCGGGCTGCTTGTACGGAAGACCTCGATTCAAGTGGACGACAGATGTGTTCCCGATTGGATAGAAAATGTCACAATATCAACAACGACGGGAGTGGCCATGATGCGGCGTCTTGCGCCGCAAATAGGACATTCGGGCAGCCTTTACCGAGGTGAGAAAAAGCGGACGAACACAGAAAACTGGCGAAGCTGGTTGCTGATAAACTTGAAACTGACATGTGAAAGTGTCCTGTTGGCTAATCACGTGAGGTAATTTGCTTGGCTTTGTTATGCGAGGGAGGTGGCTTGGCATTATAGTAGCTTTGCACCATAGGCTGTGCATCGGGTTAGGCTAACCCGACCCTAAAACCCTGGACCCTCATCGAGTTTCAGGTAGGGTTAGACCCGTTGCGCAGCCTACTTCATTCTATTGTTGTAGGGGCGGGAAGAGAATATATCAGCTAACTAAAACTATCTGCAAGGGGTGGCCGCTTTACCTATATATGCTCCGTAAGCCAGAGTCCCCAGCAGAAATTCACACAAAATAGCGCTATCAAACTGTTGACCTGTATCCAGTGTCCCGTTAGAGGGTCCGGTGAGCAAATATGGTCCCGGGACCCCTGGTCTGTGAATTTTATGAGGCGGTTGCCTACGAGGCTACAACACCAGCCACGGCATAGGCAACAATGCTGATAGACACGGTTCGGATAGCCATATAGATGGGCTCTATTCTCTAATCGGATCCGGTCGGAGCACCCTTTCAATTCCAGAGCACTCAACAACCATCAATGTACACCCACTTATTGTTTAGCACGAATAAAAGTTGATCACGCCCCCTTGCCGTGCTGATTTCAACACTGGAAGACTGTTCACTGTCACAACGTGCTATTAGGTGGCAGAAAGCTCGGCATCACGACCGGTGGGTCGCATTGGATTAGGCTCATAGAACAAGTCAACCTAACAAACAGCGCGGAGGACACACACAAACGCCCAGGAACATCGAACGGCTAGTGGACTTTCGGAGAGGTAGGCTATTTCTCGCGTCTACTTCCGTCAGCCAGAAATTGCCCTATTTCATCCCTAAACCTCTCTGCTATGCAAGGTACTCTCTTTGGTCCACCTCCTCATACACTTGTCCCACTTCAAGAACAGTGTAACTCCTGTCAGCCCAAAGCCAACTGTGAGTGCCATGAAGGTCTCGAAGACCGGCGTGTAGCCGTGCGCAACCACCCAGTCGTTAATGTAGTAGGTCATTCCGAAGCCGAACAAATTTTTTGACTACTGTCGAAAGGTTCATGATAGCCCCGGCGCTTGGTTTGTAACAGTCGATCGCGAACTGTGTCCGTGATCAGCACAAGCATAAGAGGAAGCCAGAATTGGCCAACACTCACGTTGAGAGGAATTGATTGCAGGACAGTATTTATTAGTCCGATCAAAGAATATCCAACAATAATTTGAGGTTTCCAATCCCATTGTCGGTCGAATCCAACTCCGACGACCTGGAAGGGTTAAGCAAAAGCATCCACAGCCGCTCGGGGGAGATACTCGCCGTGCAACCGACGACAGTCAGTAGCGGGAATGGAACCATGGCCAGCAGTCTCATCTCAGGTTCCCGCACCCTGTTATTCCTGATGGTCGCTCTCATAGCAACCCAATCAGAAAGGGGGCTGTCAGGGGCAGGCTCGCCAGCGGGCTGTAATGATAGACTGTGGAGTGTAGAGAAGGAATGTGTTGTTGTTGTTCTATCTAAGAGAGAGCAAGACGAAAAGAAGGGCGCAAGTTGTCAAGGCAACGCGTCACGTGACTGGCCGACAACTTCCACGCTTGGAAGTCGAATAGGGGTATCCTGCGTAACGCATGCTATATACATGTTCTTGGCATGGGGTCTTGGCGCCCCATGACAGGGGCCACCAATCGTAAAACCAATCACGGCTCCAACGAGAAGCTGTTGAACAAAGGGCTATTGTGTACAGGCTCCACAGCTGAAACACTGGTGAGAGGTTTCCATAGACGACGACGTTACTGATGGTTGCTCTGAGTAACGACGTAGTATTCGCACGTCTATAAAAGAAGCCGACAAGTAGATAGAGAACGGAGAGCATTCAAGACATCTCGAGTTGCACCCAGTTCGACACAACTTCCCTACTCCAAAATCAATGATCGCGTCGACTTATTCGGTACCTGAAAGTCGTGTTCGTGGTGCTCTACGCCTTTTCTGAGGCGCTTGCGGACCATCCCTCTCAACATAAGTCTAGATTAGGTTGATTCTTGCGAAAGTTATAGCTACTCCTAGCGGAATGTACCCTACTATGTGGGCGTGAAGCTCCTATTCATGGGGGCCCGCATACGCCAGACGTCAGTGTCGTTGAACTGCAACAGGAACTCTGGGACTCAGACTGTTGCTTGGAAGATTTCTCTTCTTTCTATTACATATCCGTTTTCACCGTGGAGACTTTGACATCGCCTGAACCGTATGGCCTGTACAACAAACCCTCATCGACTCTCCATCAACAAAAGCGACACTCAAGTCTATATGTCTGAAGTCTTTCCTCGCAGGTACATATGCATGGCGTGACAAGTCAGTAAAACGGTCGGACCAAGTCCTTACCTAGTTGCTCAGGTTCACTGATTTTGTGATCTGATATGGAACAAGCGAGCGCAAGTGACCTGCGGAAGTTCCATGTCCAGCTTACCAGTCTCTGTATTCCACCTTGCAGATGCTTCGAACGTGCGTGGATACAACAGATCAACTTGCACCATTGCCTCCCCCCTCAGTGGTGCAAGTGGCAGCTGGAACTTTTGCGGCCCTCCCCGGCGCCAGACACTCAAATAGACCTCGCCAGCTTGTGTGGTCATTCCCAAAGCTAGCCAATCATCGTGCCAGTGCGGGAAACCAAGAGGCCAGAAAGGCAGTGCAGTCTTCAAATCTGAGCGAATGCGCTTGTAGACTGCCATTCCCTCGGCAATCAGAGAGCAATTCTTGTCGTTCAGCTGGTCAAGTCTGCCACTCAGGTGAACCCGACCTAGTAGTGAGTTCACAACCGTCAATGCATTGATTTCTGCATCCCACTTGCTCTGAGGATATGCCCAGGTGGCGCTTTGTTCGGGAGTGACTGCAGTCGGGACCGCCGCCGCAATAGCTGCGTAGAGGACGGGATCTTCTTGATCACTGGTAGATTGTAAAGAATGCACCGAAAGCATCGCATAATCCATGCGCTGCGCACCACTCGAGCAACTTTCGATGACTAGATCTGGATGCCGGTCGTATAAGCTATTCACCCAGCTTAAATAAGCACGATTGTGATCAAGCTGCCCGACACCCCGACTGCAAGCCAAGTCCGTGCCGGCGACAACTTCGATGTTATAATCGAACTTGAAGTAACCCACGCCATACTCATCTACAAGCTTGTCGACAATCTGGGTCATCCGTGATCGTACTGCTTCGTGGCGATAATCCAGCTGATGGCGACCTCGTTCAACAATCCTTTGACCACAATCTTGAAAGAAGGCGTCTTCCGGAAGCTGACGTACAGCGGCGCTTCGCACGCCAATCACTTCTGGTTCAAGCCATACACCTGGGATGAGACCATAAGAGCGGATGGTTGCCAGAAGATTTTTGAAACCAGAAGGGAACCTTCTCTTGGAAGGCTCCCACTCGCCGACGTCGTCCCACCATCCATTATCGTCAGCATACCAGCCAGCGTCGATCACAAAATATTCAGCACCACATCGTGCAACCGCTGGCAGAAGAGCTTTGATCTTATCTTCATCGGGATCGCCCATGAGGCAGTTCATATAATCATTGAATATGAGACTCATCGCCTCATTGTCATTGTGTTTTCTTCGCATGCATCGTCGATATCGAGTCAAGGCACCTAAGGCCTGGTCGGTGTTATCATAAACGTGGCACAAAGCGACCGGAACACCGGTGAAAGAATCACCGGGTGCGAGGCTCTGCTTCCAGTCATGATCGACTGCCGTAGGACCCCCTGCTGCCAGGTAGATGTCATTTTGAAGGTCCCCAATTTCCCATCTCCACGAACCGTTGCTTTCAACCTGCCACAGCCAAGTATCTTTCTGGTCCTTTCGCTGCAAAAGTCCCATGGGGAGATAAGTCCCAGTTGAAAACGAGCCACGGTTTGACAGGGAAAAATTGGCCATTGATCCGCCGTGCATCCCGCCCGGCATGAGAGAAATGCGGTTATCGTCGATTCCAATGTTGGGAAGCGTATCCTCGCGCCATTGGGCCTCCCGGAACCACGAGTTCGTGGCCGTGGAGAGGGTATATTCCTGCCACCATCCCGGATTACCAGACGTCAAGCCGCCCACGCACAGAGAGGAGATTTGGCTCACGACAATGTCCTGAGACGACTCGTTCAGTATCTCGGCCACGGCTCTCAAGACCGGTATCCCCAAAAATACCGTAAAGTAGGTCGTCACCTTGATCCTTGTCACTTCATCAAAGGCGACGACTTTCAGACATTGGGACTCATGACTTCTCGATTCTTCGTGAGAGTGATATCTCATTCGTTTCGATAGATAGCTTCCTATAAGTGACTTCGACGTCTTGTCACCAGTGTTTCCTTCGCCAACAAGCCGGACTGCATTGAGAGGTAGCGCCGAGGATTTTAAGGATGTGAGGGTGCAGCGTTTAGTATCGACTCCATTAGTCAACGAATTGGTGGGCTGTAGATCGGCCAAGTAGATACTCCCCTCGCTGTCAACGTCCAAGGACACGGTCAATGAATCGGTTGCCCAGACGATGTGGTGTGACCCGAACATTTCTGATGTGAGAGAAAGCAAGGTACAATAGGACAAGACTATGAAAGCTGAACGAACAAGACCATCAAAGTACACGGCTATATTTGACACTTCTCCGATTCAGCAGGGTGGGCAATTTTTCCGCGGGGGTGGGATTGCTGGCCGGTTGAACCATTTTGCCTGCAGATTTTTTACCGAGATGCCCGTCGTTGAAAGAAATCTCCCCGCAAATGCCCCACGCTCCGTTCGCTTCGAACCGGCCACGGCTTTTTCATTACTATTGCACATGTCGGAATTTCGTATTGTCGACCGTCGGTGCTGACAACAGCCCAACCCAGGCGGACCAAAATAGGATGCAAGAGGTCTAGCTTTTCTCGTGATGGAGAAGGCTAAAAGGCTCTTTGTAAGCTGGGACGGAAGAAACCGCTATCACCCAATTCTGATCGTGTTGCGTATCTTTCCGGAATCGATTATGGAGTGTGTTCGCCTTCACATCCCATCCCACTTCCTAGTTACTGCCATCCTGATTGACTTCTTTAGCTGAATGAGACGCAGAGTCCCTGTCCCGTTCCATCAGATTCGGTATCAGCTGGGCGCTCTTTCTAGAGAAAAGGCCTGTTTCCTCTTCTGTGTCACTGGCGAAAGAAGACTTAGACGCTGACTGAAGCTATTGCTGAGATTAAAACACTGATCTATGCCAATAGTCGGCTTCGGCTTCAAGGTTTCGCAAGATATTCAATTCTCCCATCGGCTTGGTGCGTCAAGATGCATTCAAATTCACACGACATCAGCTTCGACCTGCTTGCTGGATGACCTTGAGGATCTTCCCGTCTTCTCGTTTTGAAGGATTGTATTACCACTGAGATGTACCCGTAGATCCAGCTGCCGAATTTTCAGTGTTAGATTTCTCACTCTGAAGAGGCATAGCATTAGTAAAACAATACTCGTAGTCCGTCGATACAGGCAGTTTGATTTGAACCACTTTGAAGCTAATTATAGCTATTTACGCATTGGTCCATTTGTCCCGCGAGATTCTATGGTGGAATACTTCTAACCTTCTAGCTACAAAACTTCTCCGGATGCGCTGTTCGACTAGAGGCTAACAAGGTGGAGGGACTCCCCTGAACTACATGGTCTTTGTCTGTATTAAAGTCTTCTTTACGAAACCACGCGTCTAGGAGTTCTCGAGATGATTGTTCGTCCCGGGGCACGACGTGAGCAAGAAATATTGGTCCACTCTCGACTCCGGTGGGATAATATCCGCTTGCATCTTGGTCGTAACTGTCTGCAATTTAGCTGTGCCATTAGACCTCCCAGAAGGTCGAGGACATGGCCTCTGGACATCCCAACACCTCTCAACCTGTGCCATGCAGAAAAAAACCGGCGTTTGTAGGCGGAGCCTGACCCTGAGACCGAAACGATCACATCGCCACGAGTGGAGGACCGAACGTTCCGCAACGCAGCGAAGGAGTGAAGCAGTAAAGTCAGCCGGCAAGGCCCGCCCCCACCGGCCCCGCCAGCGGAGAAACTCGTCCATCTGCCATCTTGGAGACAGGATACGGGATCCGAGAAAGAAGCAGTGCAGAATGATCCGAATATCAGCACTCGTACGAAGCATGATTGATATATATCGGGCATGGTGTAGCACATTCCCACCCTAGTTAGTACGACTCACGGCCTAATTGCACGCTCCCCCGACAGCCCAGTTCGTCTTCCCGACGGCAGTTTACACATCAAGATGGCATTCCAGGTTGTCCCCATTCGAAATGTCAACATCACGTCCACCTTTTGGTCCCTGATGCAGCAAAAATCCATAGCGACTACCCTTCCGGCGATCGTTCAAGCACAGAAGTCCTTGGGCCATTGGCAGTGCTTAACTTGGAAAGAGGGTCATTCAGTAAAACCACACCCGTTTTGGGACAGTGACATCTATAAGATTGTGGAGGCGATTTGCTATGCTCTTATGAAGCACCCCAATGAGCCGCTGTTGAAGACTGTCGAAGAGGCTATTGATATGATTAGGGCCGCGCAGTACCCTGATGGCTACATCAACTCCTACTACACGGTCCGTGGAGCGCAACAAAGGTGGAGCAACCTACGAGATATGCACGAGCTGTATTGTGTTGGTCATCTTCTCGAAGCTACGGTTGCATACGAAGAACTCACTGGGTCCGGGAGGCTGCTCGACGTTGCTCGAAAAGCAATCGCGCACGTCGATTCTATGTTTGGTGGCGAACCGTCAAAGAAGAAGGGGTATCCTGGCCATCAAGAAATAGAAATTGGTCTGTTACGGTTCCATGAGCTGACCGGAGACGCTCTGCCACTCAAATTGGCAAAGTACTTTATCACCGAGCGTGGCCGCCGAGACGAGGATGGGGAAATCTACTTCGACAAAGAAGCGAAGGCACGCGGAGCCGACCCATACGATGACATGGGCACCGAACACAAGCCTTGGTATCATGGCTGCCGAGACTACGGCTATCACCAAGCCGACTGTCCGCTTGAGGAGGCAGCAGAGGTCAAAGGACATTCGGTGCGTGCCATGTACTTTTACACTGCTGCGACGGACCTGGTCAGACTACTACCAGAGTCAAAGGATCTCACGATGGCCTTGGATCGCCTCTGGAGGGATCTGGTGGATCGGAAGATCTACGTCACCGGCGGGATTGGATCTGTGACGCGTAACGAAGGCTTCGGTCCAGGTTACAGGCTTGATGACCTTGAAAGTCAAGGCTGCTATGCTGAAACCTGTGCGTCATTTGCCTTGATAAATTGGTGTCAGCGTTTGCTTCGACTCAATCTCAAGAGCGAATACGCCGACATTATGGAAAAGTGCTTATATAACAGCTTTCTCGGGGCAGTGAGTACGAGTGGTGATGCTTTCTACTATCAAAACGTGATGAGAACGATTGGCGGGGAGCCCAAGTTGAGAAATAAATGGTTTGGTGTTTCATGTTGCCCTCCCAATGTTGGAAAGCTACTCAACTCGATGGACTCCCTGATCTATTCCATCACTCCGGATCGGAACCTCGTCGCAATTCACCTTTATATCGGCAGTGAGATCGCCGTTCCTGGAACCAGCGTGGTAGTGAGCCAGGAGACAAACATGCCATGGACAGGAGAAGTGACGATTGACGTTCGCGGTACGACAGCTCTCGCACTTCGAATTCCTGGATGGTCAAACGAGGCCGGCTTTACCTGCTCTGCTCAAGGCAAATTGCAAGATGGCTACCTGTACATATCGGAGGTTTCTAATACCAAGGTCCATCTCAACTTTACCATGTCGCCGCAAAGAGTATATGCACACCCTAAAACGGGCAAAGATGACATATCCATCATACGTGGCCCTCTGGTGTACTGTCTTGAAGACGTTGACAACGACGGTATAGACATCGACCATGTCGCTCTCCTTGACATGCAGCTAAAAGATGGTCCTCCGAGACACATTGGGTTGTTGGATAATGTCGCCACTGTTCTTGCGAGAGGTAGACAATTGGTCAGCCCAGCGTGGGAAAAACTCTATGGATCAAAGCCATGGGAATATGGAGCGGAGGTAGAAATTGTGGCCATTCCCTATTTCCTAAGAGCGAATCGGGGAGGCAACGGAGCCATGAGGGTATGGACAAAAAGGATGTCGACCAGTTCCTAAAAGTTTCTCTTCTATTGAACGAGTCAAAAATACCTATCGGCGATGCAGCGGTTATCACTGTATCATGCCCTTATTTTTCACTCAATTTCTCCCCGGGGAACCACCCTTCTCAAAATGAGTATTCTTGATCCTGGGCGAAAGCTCTAAATTCTTCGACATCCCAGTCTCGGACTCTGGAGGACCGGAGTCATCGGGGAGGGGAGGGAGATGTTATTACCTAACAGCCGGTCGGGTGGTACTTTCCAGCATCATTAATAGCGATGTGAAATATGTGATGAACCCTGTTGGCGACCCCTTTCACGGTCATGCCCCCGCAATCTGGAGAAGCACTAAGCGAAAACCGCCACAGGCCCGATCGCTCCCCCACCACACGGAATACGGTGCTCCATCCTACGATCGGGTAGCTGGTATTTCGTTCAGGTACCACGGTGCCAAGGCGCTTTGGCACCTGAGCTAAATACCTGTTACCCTATGATCTCCATGGTCACGACTCATTCAGGAAAGGAGCTTAGAGTCGACTTTTTTTTCGCTGTCTTCAGGTCCCAAAGCCGCCGCCAGACAGATGAGAAGAAGATTGGATCGTCATCCCGACGCTGTTCTCCTCCTTCCCCCCCCTCTGCTCCACGTTGCTTTCCCCATAACAGCACTCTTAGCTTGATAATGGCTAATTTCATGGCTTGAATAAACCACACTTTTGGCCTGAAGTCGTAGGCCGATTTCAGCTTGGCTTCAAGGGCGATGTGAAGGGGCACGGAAATTGGTTGTGGGCTTCTCAGGTTTATAAAGCAAAGCAGAGCTCGATGGAGGAGGCCATCTCAATCTCACAATCGCAAAAGACTTCTCCTTTCACTTCATACCCTGTTCCTCTCTACCCTATGCTGCTCAACATGAAGTGCCGCCACTTGTTTGTCCTATTCAGTGCGTTGTCTCAGGGATATGCTCGCTTTACTGGGTCCCCGGTCAAGCGAAGTCTGGGGACTGCCACAGTATCCCTCGCCATGCCCTCGGGTACTCCAGAGCACTTGGGCTCGGGGGTACTATACGGGGTTCCCATCAACGATGGTCAAGTGTCTACACAAATTCCAGACCATTTCTTCACGGAGATGGGCTACAACTTCGGCCGTGCGGGCGGTTCAGCCTGGCCAGAGCCCAACAGGGGTTGGTCTGTGAGTCCCAGCGAATATACGGTAAGTGCATTGTGACGAACATCTGCTTTATTTGCTTGAGATCACAGAGCCTTCTAATCAGACTCTCTCTTCAGTTCCGTTTTCAATCTGCCCTGTCAAATTACAGGACAGCGAGGAAGTTCGGGGCTAGCTTTTTTCTCTTGAGTAGCGACCTTTGGGCAAATGTCGTCGATAGTACACCGTTTCCTGGAGACAACGGAGACTGGACATATTACGACGATTTCCTCACGCAATTGATCTCTGACATCCAGGCAAATGACATGACCGAGGGTTTAATAATCGACATCTGGAACGAGCCTGATATAGCTGGATTTTGGGCCAGAGACCAATCACAGTACCGGGAAATGTGGGGTCGTACTTATCACCGTCTGAAGTGAGTCTTCTTCTGTTTCAAATAGGTCCTGCTGACGCCCAAACTCTCTGTTCAGGGCAGACCTTCCTGGGGTGTCTCTAGCCGGCCCTTCGGCAAGTTCCGGCCCGTCGAGTGAGAACGCCGTTTTTACCGGTTGGGCAGAATTTGTGGGCGCAAATCAAAGTGTCCCAGATGTTTACACCTGGCATGCACTCAACCCGGCGACGAGTCCTACTCAGGAGGCAGACTATTTTGCAACCCAGCGCAGCAACCTTGGGCTACCTTCAAGGCCAATCAACATAAACGAGTACCTTGCTTATGGCGAGGTAGGACCCAGTCCGTTAGTCTATTATCTGGCTCAATTTGAACGCCTTGGAATTCGAGGTCTTCGCGCCAATTGGGCCAAGGGCGGTGAAGATGCTTTTGCTCTCCACAACTATCTGGCAAATCTCCTAGGTCCTCAGGGTGCGACTTCGGGGTACTATCCCAATGGCGAGTGGCAAGTGTATAAGTATTATGCCGCCATGGGTGGCGAGCGGGTGGCCACTACACCTTCATCCGACGGAGTTTTGGAGGTCTACGCCACGACGGGCAGCCCTATCAAAGTTCTTACTTCTGCCCGCCAGAGTACCGGCACTTACAGTATCACCATGACAGGGTTCAGCGCCGTAGGAATCACCGGACAGGTCACGAAGCGGTCCCTTGGTTTTACTTGGAATGACGTGTTCGGGGAGGTCGGGGATCCAGTCGACTTCGGGACTGAAGTGCATACAATTGTGGACGATGCGGTATGCACCGGTCTAGCTGTTCTCCCGTGTGCCAGCAGATACTGACCTCTTGGCCAGGTGACATTTGATGTAATCCCAAGAACTACCACAGAAGCGTATGCTTTTGAGTTCTCCTGAACCTCAAGTCGTAGACGAGAACATCAGCGCCGCGATGAGAAGCATGAGGGAATATGAACCCGTCCGAAGGGGAATCTATTTCTTTTCCTTTTCCTTGGGCCACAGAGTCAAATTGAAAATGGCAATTGAGAGATAGCCCACCGAATCACATCAACAGGAGTACGACCACTTCGTGCTAATTGTACCTTGAGTGTGTTTCATAATCACCTGAAAGATCAAGGAAGAAATGCATCGTGACTAGGGAGTTTGACCTTCACCAGTTCGTAAAGCGCTTTATGCCGTGAGTTGTGCCGATGCCGAAAGAGAAATCCATGTGCTCCTGAGCGATCTCACAACTGTTTGCAGTGGCCCCACATGCTCAGAGAGGGAGACTGAGCTTTCCCTCAACCTGGCAGATCGATCACTGTTTTCAGGATGGTACTTGTTCAAGAATTCGAGTGTCCAACCCATCTCCTAGACCAGTTAGCTATTGGCTATCCGACTGGTAGGTTCAGCGAAATGCCTCTAGTCGTGACAGACGTTTTCAATGACGGCCAATACTTCTGGAATTGATGCAACATGACAAACCTTTGCTCGAGCATTTTCTCAGCCGCGGCCTTTCGGAGAGGATCCTAGCCCTTCAGCCACAAATACGGTTGGACACTAGAGGCCACAGGTGACAGTCCACTGCGGACTGGAGGCATTTTATTCCCGAATATTTGCGGCTACTATACTGAGTTGAGACGCATAAGTCTCCGCGATTGGCCAAGTATGCGCACATCTGGTCCTCAACAGGCGTGCTCCTTCGTGCAGCACTAACACCGGTCCATTTAACGAACAGAGCTCCCCGACATTTTCGAGATACGTCTTAATGAGCGAGCTTGAGCGGATGAAATTTTGAACGAGCTCATCATCACATGGCCGGTCTAGGTTCATGAATATGGGGAATGCTGGGGTGGCGAATCCCGAGAGCGATTCGGACCCTTCAGCTGCGGCCGTCTCGGTCTCGTTGGGACCACGTTCGATGGCTTCGGATTCAATCTCGTCCTCGTGGGAAGCGTAAGGCTGTGAAGCATTCTGCCACAAAACGACAGACTTGTTCCGTGATGATCTGGATCGGGCCTCTTTCTCGGATTTCAGCAGGTCTTCATATGTGTAGGAGCCGTATGCCCAGAGCACGATGGTTGCCAGATACACTGCGAAGGGCTGAATAAATGAGTCTACAGGGAACCTTCGTACGTTCCAAAACGTGGCCGCGGCATGAACGACAGCGAGTCGAGCTTTGTAGCGGTCTCTCTTGACCCAAGTCCATGTCACCCTTTCGCAGTGCAGCTTCGAAGGGTATACAGCGAGGCGGTCATGCGGCAGAAGCCCTCGGTCAAACTCCTTCCCTGCCATATTGGATATCAGTGCTTCCAGCTCCTTGATAGGGCAGAGAATAACTAATCGAGCTAGATGTAAATTCGGAAACACCGGGCCCTCAAGACCCCATGCCTTTGCCGACTCCGAAAGAGCGTCCCAGTGGAGAACATCAAGTGCGTCACAGGCACTGTTTCGCCACCTTGCAAACTCTGGAATGCACGCCGGGTATTGAAGACTATGAACGTCATTTGGCAGAGACTGATTTGATTTGTTCGGTTCACCGGGCGTCCATGACGAAAGCGGGTTAGAATAATAATTGGCCACGTCCCACGTCCGACGGATCAGCGCATGGATAACGACGGTTGTTGTGAAGCCCGGGATCTTAGCGATCAATCTTCGGTCGGTGTAAAGCTTTTGTATGATGGCATTGAATTGCACTGGTTCTAAATGCCCCATTAGTATTGACTTGACATGGACATGATTCCCCACTAACCCGCTTCCCTGCTGAACAAAGACTCCCAGACATGATATTGCTCAGCCTCCCAGAGGGCGTCCGAGCTCGGTAGCAGGAGGTTAATGCACATTGATGGAAGCTGTGGCTGATGACCAGACGTGTACGCAAGCACGCAGTCCAGCATCTGTCAATTGCCGTTAGCATGAGAGACCCACTCGCGAATGAGAGGACGAACCCAGATAAAATATCCTGTTCTTCGCCTCGTTTCAGCGGCGCGCCACTTACTCCAAGAATGTTCTTTTTCTGACAGGTCAAACGTTCCGCGACTATGGGTGACCTCGTCGAAGAGACCGAGGCGAAAGCAAGCTCCATAAAGCTTGTTCGCCGCTTTGTAGCCCAGGCCAATCAACCTTTCCTGCCGAGCATTGCATAGGCCCAGTATGCTGAGAGCTTGTGCTTGTACATATGCCAAGTTCTCGTCTGCATTTTCGAGATCAAACTGTGCCATGAATTAAATCTTTTACCATGTCAATGCACATGGAAGACTTACCTCCCTCGTAAGCAGTTGATGTAGGAGCCGAATGAGAGCATCGCTGCTGGCATTGGAATACCTGTTTTCTGAATAATATGCTCCAATCGCGGCCGTGGCGAGACATAAGCACCATCCCCACAAGGGAGCACTGAGGAGAGAGGGGTCCAGGAATGGGAAAACTTTGTGAAACCTTTCGAAGTAGAGCCCTATCAAAGACGCCATGTCTTCAATTAAAGGTATTCCAACCAAATTTGAATCGAAACCTGCATGTAAACGAGCTTCTAACATTGGCGAAGCTTTTGCGACTAGCTCCTGGTAGACTTCCGTGGTAATAAAAGTTCCAAGAGCAGGACTCAGGGGCGTGAGCGGGCCATGATCCTTATGTCCACCCTCCAAGCTGGAATCGGGGGATGTCGTCTCCACTGTAGACAATCTTCCAGGAGAGGACTGAGACGCGTGAGAAATGGACCGAGGAAGATGCCCTGTCTTGTTGATCCTCGAGTCTCGTGCGCCGGCTCCGTCCACGTAATATTGTCTTCGTGAGCTTTGGGGGAATCGATCGGGTCGACGAAGAAGTTGCTCTTGGTCTGTCCCTGAAACAGATGCTTGCTGATGATGAGATGGAGACTCATTGTTAGAACCTTCTTCATCTGAAAGATTTCTCTGATCTTGCTGGCATAAGCTCCCGCTTTGGTCTTGATGAGCGAAAAGCGAATCTGCCATAGTCACATCTGACATGTCAAAGTCAGGGTATGCCGCGCTGTCAAACGGCAGCCAATTTGTCATGTAGCTAGACAATTCTAGGAAATTTTCTGCATTGTGCATTCTTCCCCCGTCCTTGCCATGCTCAAGGAACATATCGTTCCGAGACAGCTGGGCTGAACCTTCCGCATGTATTGGTCTGTCTGGCGAGAGAGGATTATTTTCAAAACCGTCGACGCTCTGAGAGCCATCAACATGGGCCGGGTAAGGGGCTATGCGTTTCGAATTATGGGGATCTTCTGGTGATGCGGCGGAAGCCACTGTCCGGTAAGCTTCCCTGGACATGTTTGAAGCTGGAACAGGTGAATTTGGCATCACCGTACTGTCCAACAACGGCTCATTGCACCCAGTGGACGCGTTGTTGTTCGACTTGTTCTTTCTCCGTACGTATTGGCATGAAATATTCTTCCTTGAACAGTTGTGGCAGGGAGAGCCTCCAGAGCATTTAACTCGGGATTTGCGGCATTCGTTACAAGCTCGAAGACACCTCGGAGGTCGGTCCTCAAGATGAACCTCTTGTGGCAGAGATGAATGCCCGGCTTCATGTCGTTGCAAAGAGTCCCTGAAAAGTGAGTTACAGTCAGTCAATGGCTCTCTGGATCTTAAGAAGCTTCTTGCGTCCAAATAGATATGAAGCAGCAGCCGGGATCCCTGACTTTCTGCTAAATGCTTTCTGGCATTGGCCGCAAATATGAAGTTTTCGACGTGAATGCGTCTGCAGATGGCGGTGGAGGTGTTCTTGACGAGAGAATTGTTTCTGACAAGGACGACAATGGTAGCTTGTGATGTCCATGGCCGACAAGTCTTCTGCTCTGAAGACTCTCATGAGGCAAACTGAGATTGCTGGACAATGAGATGAGCCGGAGAGCGCCGAGACCTACTCGGAGCACGTGGCTCCACCACTTCCCCAATTTCCTTGAATTTCCGCGGGGGCGGGCCCTGCATCAGCTGACCCGTGCGGACAATCCACTATGCCCCCACCGGTATTTGCAGGCCACTTTGCTGTGATTCAGTGACCCATGTTGCCATGGTAGAATGCTATTTAATACTCTTCCCCATGGGGGCTTGCCGTGAACTCAACTTCATCCCCCACTCGCCCAGTGGAAAGCTACTCAATCCAATATTGAAAGAGTCTCACAATAAGCCTCGCGTCATGCCTAGAAAGGAGACATCCATTACGGGTGAGGACGAGATTGTCGTTCCCATTGGAGTCGAGCTCCAGGGCATTGATATCAATGCCCCCGAAACAAGGGAACTCATCCGCCGGGCAAAGGAGAGTGATGCTGCAGATCGACTGCTCTCAGTGAAGGAGGCCTTGAAGAAGTACAAGAGGGCCGTCTTTTGGTCCATGTTCATGTCCATAGCATTGGTCATGGAAGGATTTGATGGTGTCATGGTATGTGCTGCGCCGCGAGGACGCTTGCGTGCGACGATCTCCCCGAGATATCTATGGAGCCCTCACTGACCTGCCGAACCCAGATGAATTCATTTTATGGCCAGTCCCAGTTTCGAGCGCGTTTTGGCACCCTTGATCCCAAATCGGGCCAAAAGCTCATCCCGGCTCCATGGCAGTCAGGTCTCTCCAATTCGTCAGCGGTCGGCCAGCTCGCTGGTCTAATTATCAATGCATATGCCCAAGACCGATATGGTTCCCGAAACACCACGATGTTCTTCATGGTTTGGATGGCTATTGCGATATTTATTCCTGTTTTTACGCCATCCCTTTCCGTTCTGGCATTTGGACAAGCGATGTGCGGCATTCCGTGGGGTGTTTTCCAGGCATGTACTGAAACCGTATTCTTGATCAGAGATGCCTCTAACCTTGATCAAATTCTTCTAGACGCTCAGCACCACCTATGCCAGTGAACTCGTCCCCACAGTTCTGCGGCCGTACGTGACTGCTTGGGTGTGTATGTGCTGGGGTTTCGGCCTCACCATTTCTTCAGGTGTTCTCCGTGCGGTGACAGGCGTATCCGGAAACCTTGGCTGGCGACTCCCCATCACGTTTCAATGGATCTGGCCACTGCCACTCTTCCTTGGCGCCTACTTCGCTCCTGAATCTCCCTGGAATGCGGTTCGAAGAGATAAGATGGACCTGGCAAGAAGGAGCTTGATGCGGCTTCGAGGGGACTCGGCAACCAAGGAGCAAGAAGTCGAGGCCACTCTCGCATACATCAAGTACACGACCGAATTGGAAAGAGCCGAGACTCAGAATGCGGCCTTCATTGATTGTTTCCGCGGAACGAACTTGCGTCGAACTGAAATTGTGAGTACTAAACCCGTCTACTGTCTCGGAAATGAGTCTGAACTCGCGGTGCTCGGCTTAGAACTGCGTCGTCTGGTGCGCACAGATTCTCTGCGGAAATGCTATCCAAGGTTATGCCGTCCTGTTCCTCGAGTCTGCCGGCTTTTCTGAGGTACAGGCATTTGACCTCAACATTTCCCTGAATGCTTGCTTCATTGCTGGCGGCATCATTTGCTGGCTGCTCTTCCCCCACTTTGGTCGTGCGACTATCTACATGAGCGGCATGACATACATGTTCTTCTCCCTGATTGTTATCGGCGCCCTTGGGTTTGTACCCGGCACCCCGGCACAGCTGGCCATTGGTATCATTATGGTCATCTGTCAGTTGGTGAACTTGATCTCCATTGGACCTGTCGCGTACCCTATCGTGGCAGAGACCCCATCGGGAAAATTGCGATACAAAACTATCACCATTGGCCGATTTGCGTACGTCTGTACTGGTATCCTGAACAATGTCATTACGCCACGCATGCTTTCTCCGACTGGTGAGTAGTCCCTTACCTGCAGAGATGCACATTTCGATCCCTACGCCCATGCTAATTTTCATCGCCAGAATGGAACTGGGGAGCCAAAGCGGCTTTGTTCTACGCTGGAACTAACCTGCTATGCAACATCTGGTGTTGGTTCCGTCTTCCAGAAACAAAGGATCGTACCTTTGGCGAGATTGACTTATTGTTCGATCACAAGGTGCCAGCAAGAAAATTCAGAACCACCTGGGTTGACCGTAAGCTTATCCTAGCACGTTTCCAAATTATATACATGGACCTAACTCGGAGACCAACAGAATTTACCACTCGCAACGACGATCTATCCAACGGAGAGACCGGGAGGGAGCAAGTTGTCGTCAATGTGAAGAACGAGGACGATGTGTAAATAATTCATCAGGCTGAGGGGCCTCAATATGGCCAGATCACAGTTGAGGAAAGAGAGCAATATCGAAAGTCCAGAACAAGGACCCGTGTTTACCAATACAAATTGTCCAAATCATTGGCCCATCCGGGAGTGTGTTGGAATTACAATGGAAGTCTGTCATTTGTTCATTATATAGTAGCTATACAGATTTCGAAAATGTTGAGATCGGCTATGAGCGCCAAACATTGGTAGTAGTAGATTTTCCTGTTCTGCGTCGCTCTCTATCGAGATTCGATATTTGGGACTACTCCCTACCGTCTGAATAGCGAAATGTGATCAGTCGAGCACGAATCAGATTACTGTATTTGCGGAGCTACAGGGGTTTGTAAACAGGGTTTTCAGTGAGTGTTTCTCTTTGTTGTAGGGAAGGCATAGTATATGATTATTTATCCAGCTCAGTAACCGGCATGAGCTCCGTTTGCCTCAATAAATGCCTGGCAACGAGAAGGCATCTGACATAGTCAGCGTAAATATTGTTGTTTTAACTGAGGTAATACCAAGGCGCTACTTGGCATGCACTAGCGACTAGCGCCCGGAAGGAATTTCAGGCATTTGACTGTATGAGTGATCCAGTTTTCGCTGACATCTTTCGTCTGGAGTTTCATTGATCAGCTTCTCGTTAATCGTGGACAATCGCCGTGGATACGCAGTACGCTTTCTAGCCCAAATAACGGCAATAAAGTCACTTGGTCATAGTCTCATCCTTCTCTTATAATGGAGACATGCTGGTCCACTCGATTTTGATAGTTGATATCTCTTGCTTTCGCTGCGTCTTGGGAGACTGTCTTGATCTTGCATATGAAGCATGTGAGTAAACTTGAACACGAGGATACATGCAGACATCTCTCCAACCGTTTTCCGTATCTATTGTCACCGGATACTCGTAGGGTTTCAGGAGCGATACCTTCCTCGACCCACCTCACGATTACATCACTCAGTCGCTTTTGGTATCGGTCCGTCCTCCAGGCCGTGACCGGCACCAGGGACAAGGAACAAGCGAAAATAATCATGCGCCTTTGGGTCCTCATCTAGTACTCGGTCATAGTAGTCTACAGATCCATTCACAGGAATGACCGCGCCTCCCGAAGGCCATGCCAGGTCAGCATCTTTCCCCACCGCATTGCGAAATTCCGATAGATCGGGGTCGGCCGTACCGATGATTGACTCGAAACCATTGACGGAACGGTGAAAAATAGTGTCCCATTGGTCGTGGTGATGGCGGACGTGTCGAAAGTTGCATCCTTCACGACGAAGTATTTGATCTAGTTGTCTGCGATCGGAAACGGCGCAGCTTTGCAACCTCCCACTTCTGCACAAATGGTGGACGCAAGCCCGATTCCGGAAGATCCAAGTTCAGCATCTTTGCCAATACCATACCACTGGAATTTGCCAGTAGAGCTTCCGGGGCCGGACAACGCTGCCTCTACGATATCTGCCGCAGCATTGCTGAAGACAGCGGAAGCGCCATTGCAGTCAAAAGATTTCCCGACAAGTGTATGAGGATCGAAATCGCAGAGATATGGCAATGAGATTATCCCGTAAACAACGCCATCCTTGTCATCACAGGCTGCAATGGCGGCATCCGTCATTGCGTCCATTTCACAACTTTGAGGATACACACCTAGTTGATGCATCACAAACGCCTGCCAAAAGTCGGCCACAACGAATTTCGCGCGAAATTTATGGCAGGGCAGATCGCGACAATTCCGTCAAAATCCGTCGGGTACCTTTGTGCAAGCATAACGCCTTGCCGGCCACCAGTTGAATCGCCATAGAAATATGAGCGTTGTGGGAGGTATCCATAGTAGGACTGGGTAATGGCCTTGCCAATGTTGGCCATGTCGTGTAGCGCAATCGAGGTAAAATCATTCAGGAGTACCCAATTGATATTCCCAGGACTGGACAGAGCCCACTCACTGGGGTCCAATGCAGACTGCATGCCACCCTTGTGCCCACCGTCGGTTGTTGCGACCGAAAACCCCTCTGATAGGCCCGGCGTTATGTAAAAAGAAAGCCAACTCTTCCCCTCCTGTGCTAAAACCTCCTCCGCCTGTCGCTTGAAACCTGCCTTTCCAGCCCTCCGATGGAAGATACAGCGTAACCTTGATTTTGTCATCCCATCCCGGGTGTGTGTAGACCACCGTAACATTGCAGAAATTGAGATTTTTGTGGACAGGCTCTGTCTCGCCAACAAAAGGATTTGCCGGAGGCGTGTAATTCTAGATGTGCTCAGCAGTAAGATCGAGAATCTCGAGATCACGGAGCCTGGGGTGTGAAATTCTCGTTGTGCTGCACAGAGAAGTCACACTCGTCGACTCCAAGATCGACACGTCCTGTATCTGCTGTCCAACGACAGCCCACCGTGGAGAAGCAACGGCAGCGGTGAAACCAAGCCAGAGCCAGCTCAAACCCATATTAGTATGATTCGAATGAGATGAAAGTCGTGTTCTGTTGCGAGTCGCAAAGAGAGGAAGAGCCGCTACTCCAACCTTCGTCGTTGTTCCGCAGGGTGATGTTGACCCGGCAAATCGAAAGTTATTGAATAGCGAGGCGGCAGGGGCGAAAGTCACAATTCTGAACGTCCTACTTACATACAATCTATATCATAAGGTCGCAAACTTCCGCCAGCCAAATGCGCTGCTCCTGTTGGTAATGATGTCGACCCAAGCTGGGCTAGGATGGTTTTGGCAACGGTGGTTGTAGCATTTCTAGAGCCTGGAACCTTCTGATTGATCACTTGCCATCATGACTAAATTTTCCCGCAAATCGGCGATTTTCTCTCCTCATGGAGGGGTGGATGCGGGGTCTTAATCCCTGGTGCCGCTTATGCAGGGAGTACTGACGTCGACCAGCTGCTGCAGGCGTGGGCCGGGGCGGCTGTGGGGAACCCCTTTTTCCAATAAAGGGGCACTCACTACTGGCCGACAAGGCGGATGCACAAAATACGAGCATTGGTTTCATATTAATCTAGAACGCCTGTCCTCTCGAACCCTCCCGGAAGAGGTTTACGTTGAGTGCTAATCTGCGGGCGACGTCGACAAACTCAATATGCGGCCCACACTCGACGCCGCGATCGAGCCGAGGCCGTAGCAGGGGCAATTTGATTCCCGAAGCAAAGCTCCTTGTTTCCGCCGCTCCTTTGGTTCGGCTCCATTATACGGCTTTTCAACCCCGACAGCCAGAGAATATATCATGACTCTATCATCAGACAGCGTAATGATCACTGCTAGGGACAGCAAGCTTGATCGCATCAGATTCCCCTCTCCATCAAACATCATAGACAATGCCATTCTCTGCTCCAGCAGTGCCATTACCTCCTCCAAAGGGTTTGGAGCTTCGACCGCCATTTGATCCCGCCGTTGTACTAGGAATGGTTATGCTCCCTTCAAGCACGTTCGGATCTTGTGGAGGCCATACGTAAACAGGCAGATGCCTTTACTGTGGACTCGTTCCTCGCCGATTGCCCTAATCTTGAGCATACAGAGTATAAAATCCCGGGCCTCGAAGACACTGCGGATGGCAACGTTATACTCTCCGCGTTCAAAATCTAAGACATCTACCAGCACCAAGCGCGCATGCGTCTATAATGTTCACGGTGGCGGTCAGATAGCTGGGAATCGCTTCTCGGCTTTGAGTTGGATTGCAAGCTGGTTTGATGGGATTGACATTGTGCCGATAACGGTTGAATATCGACTGGCACCGGAACACCACACGCCAGCCGCTCCAAATGATGCTTTCTGTGGTCTTGTCTGGGTGGCTGGGGTTGCACCTGCGTTCATTGACGCTGGAGGAGCAGAGGTGTTCCGCGATGAGGATGTGGCCTATGCATCGCAGTTGTGGAAGTGTGGTGTGCCGGCGGATCTACACATTTGGGCCGAGGGTTTCATGGCTTTGAGCCGATCAGTGTCCAGTCGTCCCTCGCAAAAGAAGCTGCGGCCACGACAAAGGCATGGATAAGGAGAATTCTGGGCTGTTCACAGTAGGCTTCAAATTCATGCAGTGGTCGAGCGATTGTCTTACGGCTACCAAATCGAGTTGGATCCCAGATCCCCTGATACATATAACCTGTTACAATTAACAATTTGATAGTGCCGTAACGTGGTCTTCGCGGGGAGTGGTTTGTGATGACTCCGCGGCCTCTCACAGTGGACGAGATCTTACCTCTCTAACTCAGAAGCCATGATGCCCGGCAAGGACGTAGTGGGCCGCTCTCTGATAGAAATGGATTGACGTTCCTCGCAATACCTCCACCGCATTAGTAAGATCAAGTACGTGCTCAACATCGCCCTGTTCATCGAATGTAGACGGTGTGCTCTCTCTGGGCCACAATGGCGGAATGCGATGTGATGGGGGATTGCAAACCCTCTCATTTTCACGATGAGTATCTCCTCACCACCAACGCTGATCACTAACTGGCCACCAGCAAGAGTACCTCGGCAAAACCGGTCTGTGGACGAAAGATTCAAGGTCACTATCGAACACCACCACAAAGAACATAGTCGGTGAGGTAGAGTAACGATTGAAGTGACGCTCGAAGTGGTTTTGCGGCGTGTCATGAATCCGCTGCTTCAGGAATAGCTCGCCGGGCAGTGCCCATGATCCACAAAAGATACTTTCAGGCATAACCGAGGTAGCTGGCTTGGAGTGTGATGTAAAGAAGAGGTAGTCCGGTGGACTTCCTGTCTGTGATAGTGTCAGGGTGGGGACGTATCATGGAAAAATGGTGAAGATCTGACATTGATATTACTATCCAGTGCACTATAAAGTACAAAACGAGAGACAAAGCACATGAAAGCAGTGCGAGGCTATCCTAGATACTTGTAAACAGTGGTATAGTCATGCTACAAGGCTCCCACGCAGGCAACCGGCGGGCCACAGCGGGCCTGCCGAGGCCGTTCGACGAATTCGGAAAGATTATCGAAGGGTGCCTAGTTGTGCCGTGACAGATAGGCTTCGTAAGAAGGTCGGGATGGGGAATTAGATGAGGATGAGTCCTAGCATTACTCTCTTAGATAGTGTAGTATTTTGCTGTTTGGTCCAGCTGTATACGAAGTCCTGAACGAAGATTAATGTTCTCTCGTCGGTGTGGCTCAATGATAAGATGAAGTACTAAGGAATCCAAGCGGGTAAGTCGTGTAGTTCGAGTGTGGTGCTAGTGGGTTGTTACTGAGGGTGCAGCCTCGAGCTTTTTGGGTCAAGACAACTTTTCAATTTACCCACGCACCAAAAAAATTATTTTGGAATAACGTATTTGATAAGCGAGTCGCCAACACAAGCGAGCCGCCATCTTGAAAACACGTAAAATCAAACTTTTCAACTCTGAATATCTCCACAACCCACTGAACAGAATGCTACAAGATTACAAATACGAGCTACCCACCACAGCACCTACAACGCACCAAGGCCCCAGAGCCCCAAGCCCTATAGCCATCCAGACCCACAACTTCAACTCCGTTTCGGCTCCCACTTTCCTATATCTAGATAACTATAAAATCTCGAGCCCTAGAAGCTTAATATGTTATAGATAATATAGTAATTAGCTCATATTTATAGCATTTCATCGCCCCCCCTGAAGTGGTCCATGGACTGGATCCGATCGGTGCTATGACACGTGACTCATTCTGTGCCAAGCTTTTACCGTTAGGATTATCGTTATCGATGGTCAATAACCAATTAGTGTTATCGGCTTATCGAAAGCCACACTGACTAGGCCCGATTAATGTTCAACAATGTCGCTGGTACGCCAGTCGCCGTGGGTTGTTGCTCTCCTGAGACATTCCTGGCTTTTGTCATCTTAACTCAAATTTGCTATAGTCTTAGACATTGGTCCGCCAGTGGAGAGTAGATTTTCCCAAAAAGGGTCTACAGAAACATCATCGAAGTCAATGCCGGAGCGGTTAATAGCCGTCGTGCTGCAGCTGTCTTGATCGCGAAGCTCTGAAAGATGGACCAACATTGTGTCTGGCGCGGTGAACAATTCTGGAATGCCTGTAGAACAAAGGAGAAGCAGTTCTTCGAGCACAAGAGTCAAGCGCGAAGATGCTCTCTTAGCGGCTGACAGTCTAGCGTTCGCTAGTTCTTCCATGCAAAAATGAGCGTTGTTGATGGAAGCGATCACTCTGCAAGACGTATCCGTCAAAGAATTTCGAGATTTGACAAAGGGTGAGATCCGAGAAGACAGCTGAACAAGAAGAATGCTGGCATATGTGCTCCACGGCCGAGCGTAGTTCCGCAACGTGAGATAGGTGACAATCGCGTCCATTGCTGAGGACGCCAAAGTTTCGGTCATCTGAACTGTACGCTCATATCTGCTGCCTTGTGTAATAGCTTGGCAACTGCGTGTCCAAGAAGATCTGACTGATAGACGCAGCATATGAGCAGCCTACGGACCATTTTTAGCGTTGGAGTTGTCTGGAAAGGGAGGAAACAGGGGCCGTTTACGAACCTCGTACACAATTACTTTCAGACGATATGTTCTGTCCATATCACCGGGCAAGATCGAACATGGTAACGACGTGGCATCCCATCTAAGGCTTGCGGGCAAATCATTTTCGGCTTCCATCAATAAATCATCGGTTATTTCAATCGCATTCAGGGCTGCTGCCTCCGTGGCTTTCAGTGAAAAGGAAGTGTCCCAGATCCGCGTCACAATTTTGCTCCATCTGACGCAGAATTTCAGCCAGTGGAAGAAGTCTTCTGGTGGTTTTGAAGGCATGGGCCACACGAGGCCAATAGAAGATGAATTATCTGCGCGGTCGTGCCACTCGTCATTCTCCATGTAGTGTCGAGCGGAAGTGCAGCGGAACTCGTCTACGAAGAAGTCGGTGTCTCGAATCAAAACAGGACGCTCGAAGCTCAGGGCAACCCGACGGTCCATATAGTACAGAGTCCACCACAAGAGGCGCAGATATTCTTGTTCCCGTATGGTACAAGTAGACCACGTACGCTCATTGTTCACGCGCAATGAATATGCGAGGTCAACAGCAATCGACAAGGATTTTGTTACACCGCCTCTCTTATCGAGCATGGTCATATAAATGACCTCGAGCATGTGAAACCTGAGAACATCGGTGTTCGGTTGCTCAGTCCAATCAAATTTGGTGAGCAGCATTGTGCTTTCCGCATACCACGACATCGACGCCTGTAAACAGTCGTCGTCACCTTGAGAACGTTGCTCGTCATTGGCAGAGACACCGTAGCCTAGGTAGGTTCCAATTGCCAGCAAGATGCATGTCAGTGCTGCGAGAGAAAGATGCTTGGCTAGAAGAGGTATTTGTGTCGACCTTCCCTGACATGTGCAATGAATGATAAAAAGGTCTGACAGTCGTTCATAGAAGTCGGACCGGTCCATGCACGGATAAAACAGTTCAAGCTCGTCGAAGCAGTGTTTTAATGTAATTCCGAGTTGCTGATCCGGGTACAGTTGCGAGCTCACATGAGTAGACGAAGGTTTTCGCGCTGCTGGTGGAGCAGTAGAAGCTGGAAAGTCGGGATTAGGACCAGGCTCGAGATCGTCTGCAAAGGGCAGGAAAAGCGTCGACCTGGCAAGCGAATCTCCAGGAACGTCATTGTCGTTGATTTCAATCGCATGATAAAACTGCCGTTGTGGCGATGGGTAAGGCAAAGACCCGAGAGCAAAGCTTGGGCTTTCCAATTGCGCATTTGGTACATTTTGATGCTGCCACGGTTGTTGGGAGCAGAAATTTCTGGATCGTCAGCGTGGAATCGAATCTTACGACGGACCCAGTAGCCCACTTATACAGGGCACATACCTTGGTAGAGGCTGTTTCAAGTCCTTTTTCCCAGTGAGCGACTCGGAAGGACCAAAGTGACAATTCCTACCTCTGCTCGTCCTGCAACCACGGCAAGGATCATCTCCGGAACACTGCCATTAGTCCTCAGTAAAAATAATTCCTCGAAAGTAGAAAGTTGGCAGACTTACTCTTATTTTGCGTCTTTTGCACTCGGAGCTGTGGACAGAAATATGTTGTCAACCGAAAGTTCTGTGCTTTTGCAAGCCCGGAGAGGGCCACGTGCTTACCTACCATGCTTTTTTCGCATATTTCATACGTTGGCGAGGTTGCAGGTCGTTGCTCACAAGACTGGACATGGCTGTCGAGTCCAGGACACCGATTAGAGAGATATGGTGGGCCAGATCGGATTCTTTTCTTTTCGCTAACATCACTTTTTGCTACCTCGGCTCATGAATCTCGTTTGGAGTTTGTCATTCTGAGCGAGTTCAAGGATCATGTGCCCTGCTCGGACCTCTGCCAGAGGGATGGGTTGGTGAGACACTCCACAGCCATTGGATTGCAGCAGGAGAAATCGATATCTTATGCCGAGATGCTGGATTCCGTGCGCGTGCTTTAGGTTCCGTGTCCTTGCATATGGCGGGGAAGCGGGGTAGCGGCGAATGACGGAAATGGTTTTGGTAACTCCCCATGAAACAACTCGGAAAGGACCCTCAAAACGTAGTCAAAAGGATTTCATCCGAGATTCGAAAGCCCGAAAGCCGAAGAGTGTTTTGAGATGACCCAGTTAAACGAGACATTCCAGTTCCTCAACTGGCTGGCGTGTGATACTTAAATAGAGAGGCGTCTACCGGGGGTAAAGGTTAATCTCTTCGCACAGCAATATTGACTCCCATAAAATGCATCCAACTATCGCATTTTCTGATGAGCTGCATCTTCAAAATATACTTCTTGTCGTCGGGGTCGCTTTTTTGTGCCTATGTGCGATAGCCTTGTGGAACAGTAACAGAGCAGGACTTTCACATGTTCCTGGCCCCTTTCTTGCACGCTACACCGATGTGTGGGCTGTATATGTAGCCTGGAAGACAGACCGAGAAGGCAACCGAGTCTCGTTCAATCGGGAGCTTCAGGCACGTTACGGAGATGTCATTCGAACGGGGCCACGCAGTGTCTCCGTCATGGACCCAGCAGCTATCCCACTTATCTATGGAGTCCGCTTGAAACTTGACAAAGTAAGTGGTCGAGGCCGACTGGTGGTGGTCGATCTAGAGCGGACATCAGACTAACAATCTGCAACGTTGTAGGGAGATGCCTACGTACCGTTTCGACAAGCCGGCGTTACCACGAGTCTTCTGAGCATTCCCGACGAAAAGACTCACGCCAAATACCGGAAGCTCGTGTCGAACGCTTATTCCTTGACTTCCCTCCGCGGCTACGAACCTTATGTGGATGAGATGGTCAACCGACTCGTCCAAGTATGCGATCACCACGCCGAAACACAAATGCCGTTGAATCTGAGTTTATGGTGTCACTACTGTACGTCCCAACTCGAGGAACCATATGATTGGATATTGAGAAAAGCTCGCAGACTGTTTCGATGTAGTCTCGAAGCTGACTTTGGGTCAACCTCTTGGATTTCTCGAGGGCCGAGATGCCTACTCTCTTATCCAGAGAATCAAGGCCTTTGGAGCCTATACAGGCGTGGTATCACAAATGCCGTGGCTGCATAAAATATTTCAAGATAATCCTCTGATGAGAAAGACCAAACCATCCCCTTTCATGCAAGTCGTTCGCAAGACTGTGGACGACCGCCTAAAGGATCCCGACGTGGAGAGCAAACCACGGCCTGACTTATTGTCGCATTTCATCGCGACGCACCGAGAATACCCAGATACCATGGACCCCTTTCAAGTATTGATTTTTACATCCGGGAACCTTATCGCAGGGGGACTCAGCCCCTCAAAAACCTTCAACGAAATTTGTTACTTCCTAGTTACCAACGGAAAGGCACAGGACAAGCTGTTTCAGGAACTGGAAGAGGTGAAATGCACGTTTCCGGCAAATTTTGATGAGGTAAGACATCTCGGGTATCTTGAAGGTGTTATCAAAGAAGCATTGCGTCTACACAGCTCCACCTCTTTCAATCTCCAGAGGGTGACAGGACCCAACGGGCTACAGCTACCAAATGGAACTCACATTCCACCCCGAATCAATATTGGCAGTCCAGCAGGGGCAATCAACCAGGATATTCGTGTGTTTGGAGACGACGCCGAGGTCTATAAGCCTGAGAGATGGATGCAAGGGAATGAATCACTCGAAACGTTCCAACAAAGGAGAAATCTTATGGAGAGAACAGAGTTATCATTTGGACAAGGTTCTCGGACGTGTATTGGAAAGAACATCGCGATCCTGGAGATGTTCAAGGCTGTGGCGACTCTGATGGGACAGTTTACGGTATGAAGATGTCATGACGCGTTGAAGAAACTCTTCTCATCAAGTTCACAGTTCGAACCCGCCGGGACTCCAAAGAAGGACCAAGTATTTGTGACTGTCCACCGTAGAGAAAAGATACGTGGTGTAGTTTCAGCAAAGAAGTGATCAGCCTCTATCAGATCAAGGGAGCTGGTAACATAGTGTGTGGTCAGTGGAGACCGAAACACACGTGCGAGTTAAGTCGAACCCTTTCTATAGATGAATGCTATGTCAGATTCTATATTCTATGATAATACCCGCCAAGTCACCTTCGTTAAATCGTGCAAGCTAACTGACGGAATGCAGGCAATCCATCAATCCATCCCTTCACAGCCGTATGCCTACCTCCAGGTATATGCTATCTCATATTGCGCACCCTATTTTCTTTACCTGATTAACTTGAGGTTGACAAATCAACCATGTCCGCAGCGCTACAAAAGATTCTCTGAGTATTTTTACCTGAGATCCCAAGGATGCCACTCGTTCGTGTTCGTAAGGCCAAGTTAAAAGATAACATCGTCAGCTCCATTGCCATTTTTCTATTTCCATTGAACTTTTCTCTACAATCGAAGCGCTGTAGTGCACCTTGATTCCCCGGACTTGGTGATGTAGCGATAGGCTCGAGATTCCAGGCGCAGACCCACTGGGTGATTCTCTTTTTGAAGCAAAATTGACGGCGAGGAGCTCCTGAAAGTCCTATCGCAATCACTTACAGCAACTGGTTTTGTTGGTGGCACCATTCGTCGTGCCAATAGTGAGTACCGACAACTCGTTGGATGAGACATCGATAGGAGGGCTTTCCGTGAAGAAGTCGGTTGTCTTGATATGGAGTTGATGGATCTTGACCGGCCTGTGGATAGTTTAGTTAGCTGAATGATCTCCACAGAAGCGAACGACCAGGGCGTCCGAATCTTACATCACTGGTCGATCTTCCATTTGCGGGTTATGTATCAGGTCAGAGACATTCCATACAACGACATCTTCGTCATCAATCTTCTCATCCCGCTTAACAGCGTCCACTACTCCTCCAATTTCATTCTGACTCTACAAAGTATATCTATCGCCGGCGAGGTCTTTTGTCACCCACACGCGATGTTGGGCGAATAATGCATGCTTCGACTGGATAGAACTGTGGATCTGCAAACAGGAGCTGCCTCGTTGCTGGTGTGAATTTGCAGCCGACGGGTTTTCCACTTACGGGATTTATCTTGCTCTTGTTGACTATTTTGATAATCCGGCTGTAGCAAGGCGCTGCATCGGGGCACCGAGTTCGATCGATTGCTTCCTGTCGCACCTCGTAGAAGATGCATTTGAAATTGATCCCCTTGTTTATCCACATAGGATGTGACTCCTCAACCAATTCTGGTAATAATGGCCCGTCCGGTTCACCAGTTTGCGTGTTTCAGGCCGATATCACTGTCTTGTTCGTGAAGGCAGATAACATTAGTAGCAACTGTTGCAGTGCTGTCAGGACCAGTCACAACGCCATCAAAGTGTTTAATCACACTGAGAAAATCGCAGTCGAAAGAGAGATTGTTCGCGCAGTTCCCAGCTCCGCCATCTCCAAAGTCGAATGCCTGCTTTCTGGGGTCTGCATGAGGTTGTTGATAAAATAACGGGCCCGAATTGAGATGTGTTGAATGCTCTGTCATTGGCAACTGGTTCTGCCAGGTTGCTGATATTTATACACATTTGGCTGACCCCGTTTCTTCTCCTATTCCTACCCCTATTATCCCAAAAAGGGGCACTGGTTACCTGTTCAACTGTTCAACAGTGGGCGTTCTCTACCGCTACATAGTACCTAGCCACCAAAAAAAAAAAAAAAAAAAAAATGGCAAGCCTCTTAGTCCTCTCCCGGCTCCCACACACCATGCTAATGAAAGTTGAGATAGAACCTCTCAATGTCCCAGTACTTTAGCAACGCTTCAGTCATCGTTGTCGCAGTCTGGGGTTAGAACGATGACCAAGGCCCTTTCCCACAACGAAATCCTCTACTCTCGCGACCCCTGCGCATCATCGCTTCCTCCGAGAGCCCGCCTTATGGAGGATTCTGTGTATCTATGAGTGGACCAATCCATCAATATTCGGCAGATGAATCATATTGGACTCCTCTCAGTTCCAGAGCCTTGGTTCTTCAAGATGAATTCCTCCCCACTGATGACTCTTAAATTCCGTGAGAGGGATATCTCCTGGCAATGCTTCTACACCGAATCAATATCTGAGTCTGATTCCGTCGGCCGGGCTGTTAGGCAGAATAGCCACAGGTGATGTGAGTAGACACAATGTCCTCCAGCACCCAATCCGTCGCAAGTCTCGCGTTCTCCACGCGAATGCTCCCAGCAGTATAACTTCGCTTAGATCATACAATGATAGTAGACTACCGATCCAAAATGGCCGAGTACCCATTGTTCTGCCCCTGCACCATGTTATTCGTAACTCCATTCTTCAAATAGCACCTCGTCGGATGATCATTTCCCACTGCAATCGTCCCGTCATACCCCCAAACGACCCCATCACAAGTCACCCCTTCCACCACGTCCTCACTCCCCAAACTCCCGTCAAAACCCGCGTAGAATGAGAGCTGACAATTATACTGAGCGCAGGCTGTGATGCAGTTTTCGAGGGAGCTGATGTTGTAGATTTCCTGAAAGATATAAGGGGCACCACCGTCAGAGTCGAGGACGTACAGGTCGGATTGGCAGTAGAGAATGAAGGCGCTAGTGGTGGAGTTTAAGGTGTAGCCCATGTTAGATGCGGGGTTGATGGGCAGGCGGTTTGGGGGGGTGGTTGTCGTGGTTGGTTTGGTTTTGCTGGAGGGTTGAGAGGTCACTGGCTTAAGCCGAAAGGGTGGCAAATGATCAAACCAATTGGATATACAGAAGAAGATATCGAGATGGAACGAACGTACGAGCAATTTCCCACGGTAATACCACCTCCAAGTCCACTCCCAAGCGCATCTCCGAGAATAAAAGCAATCAAAGTCACTGATAGAATTATGAGCGGGATCCCACAGAGGCGCTTTTGCTGAGAACGTCTTCCTGCCTAATATCGGTCGCGGGAAAAACTCCTACACAGCCTCTAATGTTAGCGATTAAGGGGTTGGTGGAGCCTTTAATTGGTTCGATAAAACGTGGGGGCCAATCAAATGACCTAGCCAACGTCCACCCCTCTCTACGCAATGAACGACCATACCACTCGACGGCATGTGTGAACAAGTCTGTCAGACATATGTCCACGCGCGGAGGGGTTTGCTAAACGTTATCCAAAGTCAAGGAACGTACGCTACCTATTCCGAGGAAGCCTGCCGCCTTCTTTTCCTTGCCAATGCGTAGGGACTGCTATAAACGCAATTCGCGATGCCTCCTCATCCTTTCTTCAATCTTTGAGCGATAGGGAAAATCTCTTGCCTATATGTCGATAGGGATGTCCTTCAGGTCCACTAACGGATGAGATACAGTACTAAGAGCAGAAGCGTCACGAAGAACCCGCTGGCAAAGACGATCCTCGCTCTCTTCATTCGATTCGAGACCATCCTCTACCATTTTTTTCTCTTGATCACTTTCGGCCTCTACGATCTCGTGTTGGGCTTTAAGGACTTTTGGGATGTGCGAACATGGTGTCACCCAAATCCGCATCGGTCGAAGCCTTTCTCGTTGGACAAGTCCCTGTTTCCAGATCTGCTCGCGCAGCTCGTTGCTTAAGCCCGTGGAACTATCACAGCAGCAAGGTAGATCAGGAAGCTTTGGGTCCAATTTCTCCACCTTTTTTCGCCTAACCCGCCCAGAGTCCGAACTCGCAGGCATTAGGAAGGCGTCAGCATAATCGGTACAGAAGCATGTATTCGGGTCCGTTCTATGGCTGAATTTTCACGGACAACATGAAGAGTCCATGTGTGCTTTGTTGCTAAAAAGATCCTATATCCCGATTACCTTTACGTACGCACTCGGGACATTGGAAAGACTTCACTGAAGAATCTGCTGGACGAACAAAATGGGTTCTGGCGAGAAGTTACGAGGTACTCAGCAAGCGTAACATTTAGCATGCTGTATGCGTCGGCGGGCCTTTTTCCAAACAGAGAACTCTCTTTCTAACGCTGTGAACAGCTTAGGATGCCGGTTTGAAAAGGCCGACTCTTTGATTCCGCAACAGACTAACAAAAGGATGCTGATGATGTTTAAAAACATTCGTCCTAGGGCGTGGCTCGTAGATTGGATCCCGATCCTGGACTCCCTCCCCGACGCGTTGGCCCCTTGGCGCGCTTCCGCAATCGAAATTCGAAACCAGATCATGCCGTTCTTCCTCGTCTTCTACAAGGTCATGAAAGAAAGAGTGAAGAACGGCACCGCGCCTGACTGCTTTTTGGCCCGCCTTCTGAAGGAGGAGGGGTCAAAGTTCGACGAGACGGAGCCTCCCCACATTATTGCAAAAACGATGGCGGCCGGCACTGACACTACTGCCACAACGCTCCAGTGGTTCTTCAAAGCGGCAGTGCTGTTCCCAGAAGCAATCAAAAAGGCGCAAGAAGAGGTTGATCGAGTCGTGGGACGTGACCGCCTTCCAAGTTGGGAAGACCGACCTCATTTCCCGTACATTACAGCCGTCGTGAACGAGACGCATCGATGGGCGACCGCTACCCCTTTGGCTTTTGTACACGCAACGAGCGAAGCAGATGTGTACAGGGGGAAGAATATCCCCAGCGGCGCATCTATGCCGTCCATAATGACCCCGGAATTTTCGCACAGCCGGAGAAGTGGGTTCCCGAAAGATACCTCCCCTGCAACGATGATAGAGCCGCTCCCGAGGCCAATCATGCAGGTCTGCACTACGCTTTTGGTGCAGGGCGCCGAGAATGCCCTGGTAAGCATGTGGCGGATGCCAGTCTTTATATCATGATTAGCCGCATCTTGTGGGCGTTTGACATCGAGGGGAATCCTAAGAAGCCTCCATCTCCGGGTTATTGTAAGTAATCTCATATCAAGCCTGATCGGATTTTGCTAATTTCGCCTTCAGCCGACGCATACCCCGTATTTGGCCCTGTCCAGTTTGAAGCAAGCGTAAAACCGCGCAGTGAAATTGCTATACAGATTATCCGCGAGAAAGCAGAGATGAATCGACCGGCAGAGACGGAAGACTCGACGGTCTACGATAAGCTCATTGCTGACCTACCATAAACTCCTTGCTCGACTAGTGACATGAGGAAAGCAGACACTTGCGAGAGATGATGAGAATATCAAGAGTCGAGACGGGTACTTCTCAGAATGTCCAAAACTTCAAGTTGAATTGATGCAGTCAATCAGTTCAGAGCCAACTCCGGGGTGGCTCGCAAGTCAGATGAACGTATTTGATTCAATGGCACCATTAACGAAGCTTGGGGCACGTTTGATCTCTAGATTGAAGCCTTAAATTCCCAGGTCATGAAATATTCTTTCCATTGCCAGGTGTCGGCATCGGTGAACCGTGCCCTTGGGGTGATTGGTCTCTGCGCTCTACCCTGATCTTAACTTTTGTCCCTCCTCCTAGAAGTCTCGTTCCAGCTCGGTGGATTTGACATTGATGAGGTCCCTCGGATGCGACTGACAGAATAACCCAGTTGTAGCATGGATTTTCAAAACGCTATCGAAGTCAGTAAGTGCGCAAGAAGAATACCGTCCAGGCCTGCAAATAGATAAATCGTATCCAGATAAATTTATCCATATCGCTATCCTGGTGATATAGGACTTAGGGCGGAAATACCAAAAAGAAAGGCCCCCTCCTGTTGTCCATCTCTGACGAACTTATAGATGGGGCGCCGCAGCCAGTGAAAGTTTCAGCCACACAAGTTCAACTGCAGAAGGGTTTGAATCAGTGACCCCCCCAACAGTATGAGCAAGACGACATCATCAACAATCACTGGCTGGAGCATTACGTTTACCCATCTAGGGCACCTAGACTCAATGGAGCTAGGCCGGACAACCCTCTTACCTTACCTATGATCGAACACTAGTAAGGCCCCTCAATTCTATCGGTTCGACTGCAAGCCGAGTGTTCTACCACTCGGCTACGTCCTTGATAGGTCAACCACGATTTGGTGTCAATTTTGAAGCAATTTTTGGCATTATAAAATATAAACTTGATTTTTAATTAATTTTTGAAATCGCATGGTTAGGGCTTGGCGTTGTCTGACGACGCCAAGCACGACTGCTGGCCAATCACGTACGCCTATGGCTTAGCGTTATCACGTGATCACGTGGCTTGGCAGTGTCACGTGGGCACGCGAGCACTCCGCCTTGTCGCCCCGTCATCGGATCCAATCCATTGATGACGTGCCGGGGCCCTACTTGTCGATATTGAGATGATCCACGCATCGGATCCAGTCCACCCTTAACGGATTAACTATTTTCCGGTCAACCGCTATCGGATTAAATATTTTCCGGAGGCACCGTCATCGGATCCAATCCGTGGACCATGTGGCCCCCCCCAACTTGTGCCTAGGACTTGGTCCGTAAACAAAACCCACCCTTCATACGTAATCAAGCCGAAGGCTATAATAATATGGTCAGACGGAAGAGTCTTATACATTGTGGTTTTGATACAGTCGTTCCCGAAACCGCCCTCCCCTTTACGGGACAAATTGCAACTTTCTCTCGCAGAAAGTTAAAAATATGTGTACCACGCTATACTTTATTAGCAATAGTCTATTTTCTAATCCAAAGATGACTAAGCAACGGATCCGTTTTAATACCACTCAGATACTGAAAAAGGGAATGTCTCGGGAGAGCGACAACCCACAGCGACCCGCGTACCACAGCGACATCACTAAACACCAATCGGGCCTAGTTGTGCGAGTGTTGTCCGCATGATGGAAAGGTACCTGAGAACCCCCCATTTTCCTAGGGATTTGAAGTACCTTTCCATCCACCTGGCCTCCCTCACATAGTTGGCGCTTTTTGATGTTCTTTCGTTGACCCCTTTTAATGGAGTCCTTTGCATTCGCCTTTCCACGCCTTTTTGCACTCTTTTTTGGGGTTGTGGCGTGTCAGACCCTCTCTGCCACCCCTGTGGCCTGTCTGTCGCCTCTGTAGTCCTCCTGCCGCCTCGTGACCTCGCTGCCGACCCTTCAGGGCTGTCCTGACGCCCTGCGAGCTTCCTGTGAGTCTTGAATGAATCCATGCTCTTTTGCCTCGTTGTATCTCGCAGTGTGAGTGTGCATTCTCTTGCCTCTACCTCCTGCCAATGCTGGAGGTGCTGTAAACGCCGGAATTTCGATTGGCGAGCCCTCGGGAGAGGGCGATCGACGCGGTCGGGGTCTTTCAGGGCTTGCCAGGGGTCGCCGACAAAGAAAGTGGCCATTGAGGCTGCAGCAATAAGAGGAGGTCAAATAGGGTCAAATAGGACTCTGCAACACTAGGAAGCCTATACAAATCGCGAATCGAGCAACAATGAGGCAAAGAGCTCGCAAATACCAAAAGTATGTCAATTTTGATGTTTTGGTACCTCGATTTGTGCGATTTTACTAGGGTTTGGGTGGGGTTTCCAAGTACCTTTCCATCATGCGGACAACGCTCGCACAAGCTAGGCCTGATTTGTGTTTAGCAATGTCGCTGTGGTACGCGAGTCGCTGTGGGTTGTCGCTCTCCCGAGACATTCCCCTGAAAAAGCCATCCAGTAATAAATGAAACATACCGTTCTGGTAGTTCTGCACTCCGCACTCTGCACTCCACGTATTAACGAGGTCTGAGTGCGCCGCACAGGCCGCTTGGCCTTCAAAAGCCGTGGGCGCGTCAGCCGTTCAAGACGCTGGTTTTTACATGATGTACGCAATAGCGACCACTATTTCGTGGGTTAAAGTTGACTCATAGGGTACCCGCTATTGGTGTAAGGCTGGACGTGCGACGTACATAATCAACCGTGAGGCCCTGGTCGCCGTCACAAACTATTGGGCGTATATGAGCCGCCGATCCGCGCCCCGGTCAGAGAAAAATTTTCGTCGGGAGCGATTAGGTGCTGATCTCATCGATAAAACATACTGTACTACTCCATATATATTGACTTAGCATTAGATGCAATATCCTTCATTTCATCTTATGGCATAGCTTAGGAGAAGTCGTATACTTTCTTTCCAAGCATGCTTGCAAGCGCGACTGGCTGGCTGCATTGAGCATATACGCCATAATGCTTCTGTGGCAGCATTTAACAACCTTTCCAACCTTCTTCGAATCGCAATAACCGATCCGTCCGCGCAGATCTGACCGAGGCCATCTGACATCTTCAGAGAGTCTACAGTCGACGTAGGTTATAAGGCTTTGCCCGTTTCTCCTGCATCGACATATAAGCTCGCTCTCGAGGATCCAGAGCATCTGAGACTGCTTTCCAATACAATGCTTTCACAGAATCGAGTTCCTTGTCCTCCAGTGAGTAAACACCTTCCCCGTATAGAGTTCGTGCGATGTCATCCAGATCCGATTTTGCCTGGAGCGCGTACCGCTTCCATGTGTCTTGGGAGACGAAGTGACGTTTATTAGATTGGACGCCAATGAGATCGTGCTGCTTCCTCATCCATTTCTCGACAGCAGCATCAGCTTTCGGGATACGGTTACATTCAGAGTAATCTTGTGTCTGTCGAATCGCTCTCAACTTGATAGATGCAGTCTCTGAAAGGTCTGGATGGCATTGGCTGGCTGCTTCTTGTATCAAACTAAGAGTATCTGGGTCAGAAATCTTTGCCATCTGCATGTTCACCTGTTCGTCGAGAGAGGGAATCTCGCTCTCCCGCAGTGGTACAGAAAGGGATTCCAGACCGTCAACGAGATGTCTAATGTCTGTTATCAGCTTTCTGAACTTCTGTCCATCTCCGATTGCCCATCTGGTGCGACCTTTCAATCTCATCTTGGAAATTGGACGCGTAGTATTGGAGACTCTAAAGTCATGAAACTTCTGCTGAATGAAGCTGTGCGCGTCAGTACAGTCGAGTGGCCACATAGGTCCGGGAGATGGTGTTCGAGAAATGTCTGACGGATTTTGTCCCATCTGCTGAGCATTTGACGTTCCTGCTCTGTCGAGATTGGTAGTATAGCCCTCTGGGGCTTGCGTAAGAATCTGATTTGGTTTGACTTTTTCACAACCATAACGTTTTGCGATCTGCGCAGTATTTTCGAAGAGGAAGATTATTTTATGCAAAATTTCGTGAATTATCCCCGCGAAAGGTGTGCCATCTAGATCCGCCATCTGCTTGCGATTTGATAGGGGTCGACCGTTAGACCTATTCAGTCCCATCCTCTGACCCCAAACGTATAGGCGACATTGCTCGATCTTCAACTGTGTCGAGAGCACCACATGGTCGTCGTTCGCATTATGTTGGGTGTCGATGATCGCGAATATTTCAATGCACGAAGCAAAGAGCCCTGCAAGCGTAACACCGCTTGCAACAGCTCCAACAATCTCAGCCATCTTCAGGTTCCAATTATCGATCTATTATATTCAAAGACTCGTCATGCTCTCCAGTCGTTCAAAAGACGATAGTCATATACTGTTGCCTGGGAGTGCTGGGCGTGCTAAGGGCGTGCCGGGCGTTATACGATTTAAAGGGCATCGCCATTTGGCCAATCAGAGTGTGCCACGAATACATCGGAGTCTACCTTGGCACTTATGCGGACTCTCCCGACCTATGATCCAGCAGAATTTTTGCAAGTTCAGCATTGACAGTTTCCTGCGGCACACTACCCATAAAAGATGCATCTACGCCTTACTTGTATATGGGAAGCGTTGATGAACCTGTGAGCCAATGTTTCTCCTGACTGTGAAGCAGCGTCTGTGGCTTGTCAAGGAATCGTTGGTAAGTCTGTTTATTTTCGGTAGTTGCTTCGAGGCGTGGATGAATGTTCGAAACCACATTCGAGACCCATTGTGGAGGAAGGGCTAGAACGGCTTGAGTTGACGTTCGAGTGAGGGTTTATTTATTAACGTTGTTACTTTCAAACTTTGAAAACTGAGCGCCAAGGACCAGCCAACAAACTCCACCTCTCATTGCCGGCTTCCATATAACTGTATTAAGACTGGACGGACATACTCTGCGGTGTCTTTACAATAGGCGATCCGGTAAACGTAATGCAAAGGTAAAGACTGATTATTTATGATTGGAGAATATTTTATGGAGCACTATTCCATTTCTAGTAACTTAAAGTGCAATCCACTAAATCTTTAGCTTTTCGTGGGAAAAAGTTGCAATATGTCCGCAAGGGGGAGGGCGGTTTCGGGAACGACTGTAACAATGTGACAGCGGTCTACGGAGTTTGCCACTTGCAGAGTGCAAGTGTTGGACGGGGCCCACTGGTCGTCTTGATTTATAAGCATGAAATCGACCTCTATTGTATGCTGATGTTCCTCTTTGTAGGTAAACCCGTCCATAATCAACGACGCCTGCTCCATTCCCATTACGGCTACCAAGTTGGCAATCCTACCGCCCATTCTACACCCGCCGCCTATACTATGGCGTCAATGTATCGCCTCCCGGTAGAAGTTGACAGCGAACCCGTTGCCGGTAGGTCGAGCAGTCCCGGCAGCATCCTTATCGGGCTAACTCCTCAGATGGAAATTTCCATTTCATCTCGATCCGCAATCCGGAAGAGGGGAAAGACCGGAGAACGAGGCGGCGGGCCCGATCGTATGCTGTGAAGCAAGCCCTCGAGAACAAACGAAAGAGTCAGAAAGAGTCCATGAACCACTTCCAAGTATCGTCTTCGGAAGACTACGCCAGGAGATTCGCGAGCCGGAGTACACGTACCCAGACTCTTGTCTCGTTACCCTACTCTCTGTCTGTAGGCACGCTCGATCCGTTCCAGACGCTCGCCGTAGATTCCTCAAGACTGCAGGCGCTGCTTGGTAACGGTAGGATCTTGGTAGCGGAAGAATGCCCCGAACCGACTAACCAAAACGGCCTAGACAAAGCTAGACAGGCTTCTGAGCCCGTCTTTAGCGTTGCGAACGAGCTTGCCTATCACAGCTTTCACGCGGTCTTCCAATCGGGTTTGGACGACCCTGCTCTTGTGAATGCCGTCATGCTCACGTTTGCATTCGCGGCGACAGAGGGAATCATCGATCGAGAGTGTCTCGGGTACCAGAGTCAGGCAATGGGCTGTATCAGTGAAAGAATGAGCTCCCTGGACAGGGCGACTTCGGCACCCACCATGGGAGCCATTTTGCTGCTAGCGGGTGTGGAGGTCCGCGAGCCTTTCGGTGTCTCAAGCTTGGAGCGGCAGAAGACTGATGCTGATCTAGGCCCGCCTTGGGATGCAGTCTCACGTCCAGCTTCACATGATAGCAATACGCCGACTGCTGGACATCTGTCGAACCGAGGGAATCTATATCGCCGGCGGAATCAAGCGGGCCATATTCTGGTAAGTTATGAGGCACTCCGAGTGACTTACACTTACCTTGGCGACAGGCAAGACTTGAATTCCTCGGTCATGACGGGGTCCCGCCGCGTAGTAAGTCACACGACTTTCGCCGAGCTGCAATGGAGACGAGATCCCTTCTCCCCTAGCTTTTTTCGGCTGCCGCCAGGATTCCGGGCGCTGTCCCACTTACTCACCAACGACTTTATTGAGGTGCTGGAGGATATACATGCCTTGCAGTGCATTCGAGAGTGTGCCCATTTCGCAGGCCGGGATGTGCTCTCGATGGCGTATATCAACAACCACCAAGCCTCTATCCAATCCCGGCTGGTGGACTTGGTGGGTCTCTCTTCGGTCTTGGAGTGTTGTCGTCTTGCGGCCTATCTGTGCTCCAGTATGCTATGCTGCAAGGTCTGGTGCGCCTTGGTGATTCCTGTACGTCTACCATTTGTATTGCGCTTTTTTACATTGCTCTTTGCTACTCAAGAAACTCCTGGTCTCAAGAAACCCGAGAAGATGCCGGGTTGTTCTGATCCGAGTTGGGAATATGCTGGCTGGTAATGTGCTGACTTGGTTTCTAGTCCCACATTTCCTTACAGTTGCTCCGCAAGCTACAACAGGCGAGCGACGATCTCCTATGGAATGATCACCCTGATTTGCTGCTCTGGCTCTTGTATATTGGCGGGTCATTTGCCCCCAAGGGGGTCATACGCTCTGATTACGTCGAACTCCTGCGCCGGAACCACGCGTGGCTCAAACACTTCTGTAGGTCTTGGCCGGAACTGCTTTCCATCACGAAGCAGTTTATTTGGTCAGATGACGCATTCCTATTACATGCCAAGGTGTTCTGGGAAGAAACATTGATATAACAGCTCAATTTTTGTATTCTTAGGTCGTAGTTGCATCGGGAGCTTCTGTAAGATGAAGGTGGTTGAGAGAGGTGGGCGTAATGCTAGTCGAGGTGAGGTTACAAGTAGATAGGAGGAAGCTAGAGTGGTCTTGTTGGCCGGCGATTAGACTCTGAAGGTAAGGCGAGCAAGAATATAGTAGAATGCTGTTCTTCTGCTTAACCTCCCTCTCGTACTAGAAGGTGGTCTCTCTGAAGCGAGTCGTCTAGTTTGGACTCAACTGTTGACACGGGAACCCTGGCTCTTGATAAGCGGACCGTTTGTTGCTAGTGAAGGGATCCTAACGCCTGAATGACTTTGCTAGTTGCCGACACCACGTTTTCTTGCTAGATGCTTCATACAAGAAATAGATAAGATAATCAGAAGAGATTACTCCGATATCTCGGCAGACACCGTTCGAGATTAATACCTTGCCAACCTGTGGCTTGGGTATGACTCACAATTTTTGACCGACCTATTCTTTGACCTTCATCGGCTGGCTGCTGTTGTAGTCAGCGCCATAATGCGGGGAATGCCGGATACTGACCTGCGCCAAGACCCGCGCTCGCGTCTGACCAATCTCGGATGTTACAAAGTAGTTAAACCTTTTTTGGAAGCATGTCTTTTCCTAAACTGGAAATGTCCATTTCCCAGATTCGGAACCATCTCTTTACCCTAGTTGACAGTATCCCTGCTCCTTGATTGGAAGTATCTCTGCTCCTTGATTGGAAGCATTCTGTTCCTTAATTGGTATAGTTTCAGAGCAGTTAATAGAGAAAATGCTTCTAGCATCACATGGTTTGACCATGGTGTGTTTATTGAGCTACGAGGCCAAGTAGTATAAATTTCGGTCCAAGCGGTTGATAACCCGAATTCCCAGCAGGCAAGATCCCACCATACTCCAACGACTGTTCAGAAATTCTTGATCATGAGTGAATCGCGACTCTTCAAGCCTCTGAAGATAGGCAATGTAGAAGTGAAGCACCGGATCGGGATGGCGCCACTCACTCGCCTCCGGGCGACCGACCACCGCGTGCCGACGCCTCTGATGAAGGAATACTACGGTCAGCGGGCCTCCGTTCCGGGCACTTTGATCATTGCTGAGGGCACTTTCGTATCGCCCTCCGCCGCTGGTGGTTTCGCAAACGCGCCGGGGATCTGGAGCCAAGACCAAATCGCTGCATGGAGAGTGATCACCGATGAAGTCCACGCCCGAGGTAGCTTCATATTCTGTCAGCTGTTCGCAATGGGTCGCGCTGCCAATATCGAGGTGGCTAAGAGAGAAGGCGTTAGCATCGTGGCACCTAGCGCCGTTCCCATAGACCAGGACTCCCCAATTCCGCGCGCTATGGAGATCCAAGAGATCCAGCAGACGGTGTACGACTTTGCAGAGGCCGCCGAGAATGCCATCCGTGCAGGGTTTGACGGTGTCGAGTGCCACGGCGCGAATGGCTACCTCCTCGATCAATTTACCCAAGATACCAGCAACAAGCGCGACGACGAGTATGGTGGTAGCGTGGAGAACCGATCTCGCCTTCTCCACGACGTCCTGAAGGCCATGACCACCGCCGTCGGCCCCAAGCGGGTTGGGCTCCGTCTCAGCCCCTGGAGCCCGTTCCAGGGCATGAGAATGCAGGACCCCATTCCGCAGTTTACCGATATCATTCACAAAGCCAAACGACTTCATCTCGCATACCTTCACTTAGTCGAGTCGCGAGTGTCCGGTAGCGAGGATTTCGAAAGCAGCGATCGGCTCGATTTTGCATACCGACTCTGGAAAGGCCCCCTCCTCGTTGCCGGAGGGTACACACCGGCGGATGCACGGAAGCTGGTCGACCAAGAGCATCCGGATAAGGATATAGTAGTCATGTTTGGGAGACATTTTATTGCCAACCCAGATTTGGTATACAGGATCCAGGAGGGCCTAGAGCTGAGTGCGTACGACCGCAAGACCTTCTATGTCAGTTGCTCGGCGGTGGGCTATTCTGATTACCCGTTCAGCACGAAGTATCTCGGGAGTCAGAAAGTAAACCAATCGGCTTGATAAACGCCATGGGACAGACGATCACGAAAATGGCCTATTTTTTTTTTTTTTTTTTTTTTTTTTTTTGATACGATTCATGACAGTTCCTCCCTTGATCTCGCCGTTTATGTATCTTGTTAGAGTCCTACATAGAATTCTTGTGTTAAACCTACTTCTCACTTGATACCTCACAATTTCCCTCCCCGTGGAACAGACTCCAAAGCCTGCTTACCCACCATCCGCTCCATTTCAGTTCGAAGCAAGCTGTTTCTTGACAAGGCGCTATGACTAAAACGCGATGGTTGAAAGGGGTTTCACGTGTCCGGACTAGGGGTTCTGTTGGTGTACGGTCAGTTATTATCCAGGTAACTCTAAGCTTCTCTAGGCTGCCCTAGGCAACAGTCCTTCCCTCCTGTCAAATAGCACCTAGTTAGAAGACATCAGACTCCAATGCATTCTCATTACTGCTCACTACCAAGCCCAACAGCTATGAGCCCGGTCTGCGTAGGGCTTTAAATACAGCGCTCTCTACAGCCAACAACTCCGACGACGGCTTCTTCAGCTTCCTCCACCTGGCTACGAATCCCAGCACTACTGCGGCATCACGGCATTTGCGGCGCTGAGGCCATCGCCACCCTTAGTCCAGCACCTGCGGCACGGTCGACCTTGCAAAGCACATAGGCCACGGAACGGCTACTACGCGCGTGTATTCCTATTCGGGAACCGCTCTTTGATTAATCAGAGATTACTCATTGATCAAGATGGCTGCCGAATCTTCCCAAGTACTACGTATTGCCAACCTTGACTCAACAGAAGTGACAGCCTTCAAATTACTCTTCAAGTCGTATGAAAGACGACTGGTTAAATACGAGAAGCAGAAGAAGGCCTTGTCTACCATACATGATCACATTTACAAGACTGTTGGTCCTTACTTCGCAGTCATCCAGAAACATACTACTGTTTGCCAAGCAACTTGCTGCCTTGAAGGCGAAGGTCGCACCTTCCGACTTCGCCCAGCAACAATATGTGGGCCAAGAACACCCAGGGAAGCTCTACTAATCCCACTCGAGATGCTTCGTAACCGAGCGTGAACGGACAAGCCTCGACGTCGAGATAATCAGTCGGACAGGGGGCTATAGGCTCCGCCATTGAAACGCTGGTGAGAGGTTACCATGGACGACGATGTTGATAGTGGTTACTCAGTGCGACGACGAGGTGTTCGCATTTCTATAAAGAAACCCTCAGCAACTCGACAAGTAGATAGAGAACAGATGTTGAACTGTGAGACAATATGTGGCAACGATTTCAGCGTGGCAATGAATGTTCAGCTAGACAAAGGTTTCGTCTACGAGCTAAACACGGAGACACCGAAAGATGGTGTAAACATGCGAGGCAGGACCTTAATTTGATAGAGAAGAGAGCACTCCTTCAACTCAAGTTGTACCACAAGTTTGACAACAGAGCACTCCTTCACCTCAAGTTGCACACGAAGTTTGACATAATCCATGGATTGGATCCGATCATCTCGGGAAAAAGAGTAGACTGTCCAAATATCTAAATGAAATCCAAATCGATTCGGATCAAATCAAATTCGAGGCTCGATTTGATTTGATTTTTTGTTTGCAAGCCTGATACCGTCCCCCAAAATATAGTAGATCTTGTAGAGCGACGTCAACATTCCCAACTAAGTCAATAACTGTGTAGTAGCTCTTCATAATGACCAAGAGCTTTTATTGGTACATTAAGAACTGCGTGCAGGGAATTCTGCCTCTGAAACTTGGTGGTCCTACGAAAAGGGATCGTTGTCACGGCACCCCGTCGTATCACTGTAACCGGAACAATGAGAATGCGGAGCAGGGCGTTGATGCCTCCTTGTCTCCATGGGGAGGTGAGGTAGTTCAGACCAATTTCTCGGGGGTTCTACTACACCCTGTAACGGTTGCTGGGCGAAAGGCGGGGCCAGGAGTCAAGTGCTGACAACTTCATTCTCCAGCTAGAGGGCATCTGGAGAAGGGCTGTCTAAGCTCCTCAGGGGCCGCAGAGAATATCCTCAGGCACCCGAAGGCGCGGGGCATAACCACACAACTTCGACAGCCACGGCTCAGAAATGCTTCCTCATTGGTCAGTCTACAACTACGACCGTCCAGGTCTAGAACCGAAACTTGCTCTTTGTTGAGATCAGATGTGGTTATAGTATATAAGGCTGTCCATATTGTCCTGCAGGTAGGGAGCTCCACGATAGTGTTCTAAGTGTTCTGAGTCCAGCTTGCCCACTATATCGTGTACCTGAATTAGGGGTTCTGTAGATACCGAATCAGCAATGCATGCCTATGCATGATCAAGTTGCACAACTTCAGTGCAGAAATCCATACCTGCTTGTCGGTTACATCATCCTCGTATGCATGCTCGAATCCTTCCATGACCCCTGCTTTGTCACGGCGTGTATTCTCCCAGATACACAAAAAGCGATAAATCAGGGTCAAAGCAGCGGCAATCAAACCTGTAATAACAACAGCCGCAAAGCCTGGCCCGTAACCGGGAGCGTCCCCTGGCTTAAACAAAAGTGGGCCCACAAATTGACCTTGATCATGCACCATAGAAGTCAGAAGTGATAAAGAAGCCGTGTCAAGAGGGAACAAGATGAAGAGGACAGAGCATACCTAAACAATACCCAACGTATATTCCGGACGAGGAAACCATGCGCTTAGTGTAGCCGGCTGTATTTGCGATTTGCAAACCCATAACCACCCCCCAACCACCAGTAAAGCTGGACAGGATGAAAACGGCAAACAGAAGGCCGCCTAGTGCGCTGCGAGGTAAAGGCCACAACAGCAGCGCTGCGAGAATAGTCACAAGCTGGCAGCTAAACATGACATAGGTCCTTGCCCGGGGGATTTTGTATGCGCCGTATGTTGCACCAAGAATGGTCACACCGCAATAAAGCCAGCCGGCATCATCAAGAGGAGAGAATTGAGAGTTGAAAACCCAAAGCCTGCTAAAATAATTGGGATGAATGCGTTGATCGGCCCCGCAGCAATGAAACTCAAGAAGGCGAAGGCGAAGATAATCCAGAACTTCTCATCGATGAGTAACTCCAGGACATGCCTTTTTTTGAAGTGCGTATTTCGGACTCCTGCGTTGTTCACCCGGAGTCGAGCCACAGCGATGTATCGTTCTCGCTCGGTGAAGCCTTTAGCACGAATAGGGTCAGGAGGTAGATAGAAAAGAACCGGGAAAGTCCAGAGTATAGTTAAAATACCACCGACGATGTACATATAACGCCAGGGAGATAGCGAGCCGGTAATGTGTCCTAAACCGTAATTGACTATGGGCGAGAGAGTCGAAATGAAGCCCGATGTGCAATACCAGACACTGCTAAGGTCGGGAGGGTAGGAGACACAGGAGAGAAAGAAAGACCTACCCCATTCTAAGAGCCTGCTCGTTTTTCTTGTAGAATTGGCCGACGACAAGCATGAAAATTGGGCTGATCCCGGCTTCAACCAAACCCAGGAAGAACCGCTGAGCATACAGTGATTGCCAGTTATGACATCCCGCTGTGCTTATAAAACAGACGCCCCAAACGATGATCAGGGCTGCCGCTACACGTTCGACGGGATATCTCTGTGCTATTTGAGACGCTGGGTACGCTCCGCCGACGAAGCCAAGGTGAAAAATCGCTGAGGACATGGAATAGCGATTCCCTGTGAGATTAAGATCCTCACGAAGTCCAAAAATTGCCTGTTTTCATATCAGCTACTAATTCGCGATGATCTTTAGTACCGTCTATTATCGGCACACTCACTGCCTGCGAAATCATTGCCTTGTCGTAATACTGGAGGGCGTAGGTCAGACACAGAATAGGCAGCAAACGCCGGTCGATTTTCTTCGTCAATCGTTTCTCTTCGGATCCCTCGTCCCCTGTATAATTGGCAAGAACTTTCATTGCTTCATCGTTGTGCATGGTGTCGACCTCGAAGGATTTCTCGGGTGCATCCGCCTGTGCCATGGGAGTAGGCAACTGTTCTTCACGCACGTCCTGTTGTTTCCCATCAATGGCCATGTTAGACCTTGGTATTGTGCCTCCTTCACTGTTTAAGATGTTGAAGCACACTTCGTCATTACACTAGAATCGAGCAGACTGAAGGATTTTTGAGACCTGGTCAACAATACCAGTGGGCTTTACAACCATTATTTATCCAAGAAGAGGCCTTCATGTTCCAAACATATCTAAGCTCATAATCGTTTGAAGGCCTAAGCCTAGACTAGTCGGGTGCTAGCACCCCCACTTATATCCAGGTGTTTAACACCAAAAACAAAAGATAAACCTCTTATCCATGGCATAGAGCTCTATCTATGTACATGATCCGAACAAACTTTTCATTTAAAATGTGCTCTGCTTGTTCTCAAACCGACGCACGAGTATTCGTTCCGAAAGCAATACTTGAATACGAGCGAAACCAATACCTTCAAATCAAGCCTTGGTAATCCGTCCTCGACCTGCAAGATATGGAACACCATCTAATATCAAATCTACTCAAACCTTGAGCCAAAGGCCAATTTAAGCCAGCCAATGCCATCATTGCAACACGAGCTGTCAGCGAAAGAACACAATTTCAAGGCTTCCGATGGCTGTGTGTACAAGGAAAATCCTGCCTGTCAACCGTGGAACAAGTCTCCAGTTATAGCGCCGCTCAGAGTTTTTGCAAGTCTTCCTCCGATCGATCGCCATCCCATGCTACTCTCTCAATTGAAGGAGATGGAACAAGTGGCACCACTGCTTAGCAAGCACACCGTTCAATATGCAGAACTCCTCCCGGAATACGATGAAGAAGAGACTCCACAAAGGGCAGTTAGGACGGGCAAAGATCAAGACCGGAACACTGTTCGGCGTATGTCACCTCTTACCACGGTGCATTCAACCAGGTAGCCACCACACCAATGTCAACACTCCTTCCCACTGCCTATCTCGATGTATTTCGCCGGTACGCCTCCTTTATTGTCTTTGTCTATCATGCTTGGGGCATTCCTGAACTCAGGATCCTGCAACAGCCGATCGTTCGTGTTTTCTTTCATGGTGGACCAGGAAATAGTTGCCATCTTCTTCGTCATTCCGGGTTACGTCCTCAGTTATCGTCTTCTCAAAATGACCTGCAACCAGGAACCCGCCGGCTCGCCCGCTTACTCGACAGTCTCGCATTATCGACCCTTCGACGATATCATCGGCTCTACCTCTCGACCGGAGTGGTAACGTTTCGTTGCGATGATCTTGGTATAACTTGGCTTATTTCTCCTATGCCCAGGTATACGAAAGAGAACATTTCTTGAACGACTTTGGCATTGCGCCCAGGACCTTACAGCCTCAAGTGAACCATGTCGCTGATATTCAGCGCTGAATCCACAAGGATGTCTTTTTCACACACTGCTTTGCTCAAATGCGGGCCATCCAGGTTGAATATCGAGGCAGTATTGCCCTATTCCGTTTTGCGCAGCTTCTTGTAAGTTATCCACAAGGATCCAGGATGTGACTTTCCATGGGTGAATTGTTCTCTTGAGCCATTACTAGTGAGCCCGTTCTTGCTGAATTTCTGCACGGGCTTTTCATTGCAGATTTGCCTTTTAGTCGACGGTCCCAACAACTTGCCCAGATTCCCGAAGATGAGAAAGGAAAGATCAAAAAGGAGTCTCTTGTCACGAATTGGTTGTTGCATCACGTTCCTCCGTAGTTCTGGGATTATTTCGTCTCGGCCAACCTGACCACCCCAATCTTGGTTATACATTTTGGCTTAGTTACGGTGCCGTCATGGTTGGTTTTCGACACCACACACCCCTTTCGAACGGAGCTTTTTGCAATACTTGGGCCGACCTGTCGTTTGGAGTTCATGCAATGCACATACCAGTTGTTGAGAGCCTGTATCGGTGGTTTCTGGCTCCATGGCAACAACATTATCTGGGTGATTCATCATTGGCTTGCATCCCTGGGGCTACCACCATGGTTGTACTATAGGCTGGAGATTTCGGATTGACAACTGGGTGGTGAAAAGAGGGGAGGTGGTTGGAGGTGAGGACCTTCATGGAATAGTCATGACTGAGCGTTGAATCACCACTCAGATAATCACCAAGTCGAATCAATATGTAATATTTTTTGAATTCCCATTCTGCAGAATGCTGCTGTGAAAAACTTTTGGGGGCCTCCAGATTACAATGGATCCCACAGCAATGCACCGCCACCCAGATGATGACATAGTGCATCCCAAATTCAAAGAATGTTTACCGCGCCCGCGTCCACCCCGGCATATAACATTTCCGAGCTGGACCTGCTGAGTTATACACGGCTCCTTCGGCTCCAAGGGGTTAAACACCCCCATAACCGCGACTATATCCGCTTCACCTCCCTTCTACATGCGATGCTGTAGTCGTCAGTGTCTACTACTCCGATCAGCCTTTCCCTCTGCTCTTTCAAGAGGGGCGCAACGGGGCTCAGATAAATTCCATCTTCCCCTTCAGCTGCGCCTCCTCCCGGACGAGTCACAAGCAGCCTCTCGTCACTGGACATCTACATTAACGCGTTCATCATCCTCTCGACCCATCCAGGCCTCCTCCTCCTCATATTTACTAGTTTTCGCGATCGCATGTGGAGGTGCAATAGCCTTTGACTATATCACACGCGATAGATTTCGAGAGGCACACGACAGCGACGACTCTGCCCCGACCTATTGCACTCTCCAAGCTCACCCCGAAAACACTCGCGATCCTTCTTATACCGACATGCCGATTCCTCCGGGCCATTTGGGCAATTTGACACCTGAACAAGAAGCCAAACTTCGGGAATTCTGGGCAGTGACTTTGAAAGTATTTGGTGTGGAAGATCCTCAGCGTGCAAATGGCACAGATACTCCAACGACTGAGGACACGCAGTCCGCATCGGAAGATACGAAAGACAAAAAGAAAAGTGGGAAGCGATTGGGATTGTTTAAGAGACAAGAAGACAAGGAGTCAAGTAACGGATCAGCCACTACCCCCATGAAATATTTCAGTAATAATAATGCCGATTCCGACGACAAATACGGCCAGGTGAAGGAATTCCAACAAATTTTGGCCACGCAATCCCCCGAATCATTGCGCGCCACTTTTTGGAGCATGGTGAAAGCCGATCATCCTGATGGGCTGCTATTGCGATTCCTTCGGGCGCGGAAATGGGACGTTGACAAAGCTCTGGTTATGTTGATCTCCACAATGCGATGGCGAAGTCAAGAGCAACACGTCGATGACGATGTGGTTTTCCGGGGGGAAGGAGGCGCGTTGGAAGATTCCCAATCCACAGATCCTGCTGTCAAGAGGGAGGGAGAAGATTTTCTGGCTCAATTGAGGTTAGGAAAAAGTTTTCTGCACGGAACCGATAAAGAAGGGAGGCCACTATGTTTTGTTCGAGTACGATTACATCGAGGAGGAGAACAAACGGTGCGAAGTTTGGAACGATATACGGTGTATGTGATCGAAACAGCGAGACTTGCTTTAAGACCACCAGTTGAAACAGCGGTAAGTTGGTTCTTCAAACGGGCGAATCTGTGGATTACTGACGGACTCCTTTCCCCCAAGTGCATAATATTTGACATGAGCAATTTCACAATGGCCAACATGGATTATACTCCGGTCAAATTCATGATCAAAATTTTCGAAGCCAACTACCCCGAATCACTGGGAGCCGTACTGGTTCACAAAGCACCTTGGATCTTTCAAGGCATCTGGAAAATTATCCGTGGCTGGCTTGACCCTGTGGTGGCGGGGAAAGTCCATTTCACGTCTGGTGTGGAGGATCTCGAAAAGTTTATTCCGAAAGCGCAAATCATCAAAGAACTGGACGGTGACGAGGATTGGGAATACCATTATGTCGAACCGGTCCCTGGAGAAAACGATGCAATGAAAGAAGAAACTCCGAGGAAAGCACTGGAAGCCGAGAGGGATGCCGAAGTTCGGAAATATCAAACCAAGACTCACGAATGGATTTCCAAAGGAACTGGACCAGAGGCTGGTCAAATCAAGAAGGAGAGGCATGATCTTGCCAGGAGATTGAACGAAAATTATTGGAAATTGGATAAGCGTATCAGAGCAAGGACGTATTACGATCGAACGGGCATGATTTCACCGGATGGAAAGATCAATTTTTACCCTCCACCTCCAGGAAAAGGAACGAATATGAATACGGAACCAACAACGATAGTACCAAAAGTGGAAACGAATTCGGATGGCGTGGACTGAGACTTGTGAATGAGCAGGAAGGAATTGCCCATGACCTAGGGGAAGGAAGAAAAAACAGCCATGGTTTACAAAGAATAGGTCTAGATAGATCTGCCAGCATGGTACATCTGTTTTGATTTCTGGGAGTGTTGAACATATACTAATTGATTTGAGCAATCTTCATGAGACGAAATGTTATGCATACACCACTGCCTTTCAGACATGTCCTCCATAATCCTCTTCGCACAAGACCCATTTACTTAACGACGTCCAACCTCATGAGCCGAAAAGATGTCATGAACGTGGCCCACGCGGTTCCTAACGGCATTCCCCGCGAGGATAACGGTGGAAAAGTAATAAAATCCTTTGCAGGTTCTTTGAGAATTGTGTACTTCATGGTTGAAACATGCAAGTGGCCTCGACTTTTCTGCGGTCGAGTTCTCTGGCACTTCGCAAGTGACACCGAAACAGAAAGAAAATAGCACCTCAATGGCCCCGAAATCATACAACCAAATAAGTCGAGCCGCATGTCTTGGGGTCGGGTCCTACGTGAAACTTCTGCTCTGGGATGCCGATCTCCAGAATGGACCGGTCCAGACCGCTCATGGACCCAATCAGAATTTCATCACGCGAATGGTGCTGACGTGCAGTCTTACGTCGTTGTGCATTGTCCTCGTATCATCTGTAGCTGCTTATTGAAGCAAGTGGTGATCTTTTTTGCACTTCCGAAGTCACTTCCAAGCCCATTGTCGCGGGCGGTGCGAGGTCTGATGCTCTCCCGTAAACTGCATATACAATGTCGATCTCCCACCGTCGTACCAATTCCTTTTGCTGTCATTCTTAAAAAGGTTTGACATTCGGTGCGATGTGTCCCGCGATAGGCTCCATTGCCGGGGGGTCCATCCTGAGGGAGAACAAATAACCCTCCTGCTTCCGAACCCTACGCAACGGGGCCCGTAGTACATCTGATGAGAGTCCTTAGCTTTGCCATTTTATCTGTCGTGAGAGATATATCAGGAATCCCTCATATTTGTACTGTGTTGAAGTTTTGATTTTGAATTGATATTCTTTGGGAATAATATTCATTCGTACTGACAGCCTTCTCACATCAACAATTGGTGATAAACCGGAAAGAAAACTTCATGGCGGAAAGTAGGACTCCGGAGGAGCTGTCCCAACAAGATGCAACGTTCTTATTCATCAACAATCTCCAAGAAAACCTCGCAAAATCCGGATTTGTCAACAGCATCAAGTCCAGAGAATCGGTAACAAAGCAGACAATCACAAATGAAGCGACAGAAACAACAATACCGGTGGAAGCAACCAGATCGAAGAAAGACAGTGCCGCAACGGCCAGAATCACTCGATTGAAGCCTCCGACAGCAGGCAAATAGTATCAATGGAACTGGCCCCTTGCAAGACCGAGTATTGAAAATGACTGATGTTTCTTTCGAACATAAAGGAGTATGAAAGAATTGGAGGATCTGAAATCAGTATCAGGATTCCACTGAAAGACACGGCGAAAAACGTTTCGAACTGATACAGATGGATGTGACGAATATTGAAGAAGCGAGGACTTGCGTCTCCGACCTGATAGCAAGAAACCGCTGGATACCTCCGTTCAGCAAGGGGAGTGGTGGCTGTTCACCAAAATGATCTTGGAAAGAACGAGGACGTATTGTGCAAATGACGGGGCTTATCGTTCAAGGGATAAGGGCAGAACTGATACCCGACAATCCGTGCACTCTTGTTTGATGTATCTCTTTCCATTTGGTTTCTCACACATCTCTTATCATATGCCTCCTTTCCAATTCGTTGATCGGATGTAAGTATTACATCTTGGCCTTCATCGCAGCGTGCAGCTGTTTCAGCGTATCCATATCGGTAGCAGTAGCTGGCCACCCGATCCCGAGTCCTTCAGTGGTATTGGGTTTGGGAATCATGTGGAAGTGAACGTGATCAACTTCTTGATGCGCAAGTTTACCGTTGTTTTGCAAAACATTGTAGTTCTCTGCACCACTGGCGGTAGCGAGCTTCTTAACGACAGGTAGAATCTCGGTCAATGCATCATCGGGGATGTCAACCAGTTTGGAGCCGTGGTGTTTGGGGATGACAAGCTGGAATTTGGGTACGGTAGGTCAGCAAGTCGCTGCCGGACAAGATGAAAAAGAAAAAAAGAACACGTACGGCATGTCCTTTGCTCAAAGGTTGGATGTCAAGGAATGCGAGGACTTTGTCGGACTCGAAGAGCTTGAATGAAGGAATGTCTCCTGCGAACGGTCAAGTTACCTTGGTGAGGTCGGAAAGTACTTTTGGACGAATGGGGATAGTATTTGTTAGGTACCTTTGACAATCTTGCAAAATATGCATGCGGCCATCTTGTTCATTTGTGTTTTCCCTTGAGATCTGATGAATGGGGCTGATGGTCGTAGAGAGTCACTTCATTCACGACAGGATAAAATGTTTCGGCGCATGTGCTAGAAGCCGCAATTGAAGGACTGTAGATGCGGGGACGTACGGGCCGTAGAGATGAGGGGATGCCCATCACTCGAATGTCTCCGAAATATTGGTATATATATTTTATCCACACAGAAACCCAGTTGGAGTGGGACGAGCTAGTGCAGAATCCATTTCTTGCCTTTTACCAGAGATGGCCGTGGCTACGCCCAAAATACTCCGTTTCTCAATCTTTGGACATACATATCGAGTTGCTCTTGTGAGAGCGACTTCTTTTTGACAGATCGAAAGAACAAGCGGAGAACAGGGTTCAAGTCCTGGGTGTCGAATGCCACACTTTTTTCCCCTTCCTTTTTTTTGCACTTGCTAAGTTGATATTGCCACTGTGTGCCGAAGGCACGTGTTCAGTGAACCAATCCAGTACGAAATCTCAATAGTGGTATCACATGCCTCACTGCAACTAGCAAACTCTCATCAGAGTGCATACCTGATTCAAGATACACCATCATAACTCTTCATCCCAAGAATCCCGGAAGGATGAGGCCATACACTGGATTTGTCCTAGTGGCTTGGCCTGCCATCCGATCTTGCTTGACAACTTAGCAGAATGGCAATCTTCCCGTGGACTAGTTTCCACATATCTTTCACCATATGCACAGGTTCTCCGAGATGACACTCTCCTTCGTTATGTGATCCGAATTTGATCTTCCCTTCTACAAATGGTTTGGCGCTGAAAGCAGCTGCTCCATTTCAACATGAAAAACACTTGCAACGAACAGCATTCCAGAAGAATACATCCTTCCAAAGTTGTTTGCGAATTCCCATGGGGTGCTTTGAGGAGTCTCGAAGAACAGATCTCCATTTACTTGCCTTCCAGTCCATACGTCGTAGAAAGTACCACCACCACCAGTGATCCAGTCTATGGCGACGGGTCATGTCAGCTTTAGAGGCCATTCTTTGATGAATCAGCTCCCAAGATATCTTCTGCACATGGAGCAATATCGTTCAGGGAAAAAAAAAAAAAAAAACGATTGTTGTTGAGTGATCATATTGTTCCGGACGCGTCATAAAAGACCAAAGAAATTGGCTGTAAAGACCTGCGAGAATTGAAATGCCGTCCAACCCTTTTCCCAATTCATCACATGAGAGAAAATATTTCACACTGAGATTCTCCATTCCAGATCTCAGATGTTCCATCTGTTGATCTTCCTCCGACGACAGACAAAACAAAAAGTTCAGAACCAAGGAATCGTTTGACATCAACGACGGAGCAGAGTCGAGGAGCTGTATTATGAAATGGGCCGCCTAGGAGAGGTCTATCACAAAGAAATATCGTGACTTTTGAGTTGACGCAGGAAGATGATTGAGGACAGAATATCTTGTCATCTTGATCGGAGCACAATTCAATAAAATTCCTCATCATTTGGATTAGAAGATCTCTTGAATGAGCTTTCTTTTCCATCTATCTGGATCCTCAGTTTTGTCGCAATACTCAACTTGTGAAATTATGCGTTCTAGTAGTGAGGAACTCTGCTCGGAGGTGACTACTTCCCATGTCCCTTATCGAGACTATCAATTCCATGAGCTGGTCGATGCATCTCAAGCGTGGCCGGTGAGGGCTCGGGAATATTGGCGAGAGACATGACGTGGCAGTGATAAGAAGTGGGAAGAGAAGATGTCTGCGAACGCAAAAATTCCGAATCCTCCAAAGAGAATGAGATTCACCCACCACCAAATGATACGAGCCGAGCTCACTCGTGATTGACCAGCCTTCTTTTATTGTTTGTGCTCTCCAATCTCATCCGCTTTGTCACACTAGATGCCTGTTTGACAATAATTTTCCCTTTGTCCATTCCATATCTCACCTGATCATGTGATCAATCCACTGGTGTCATCTCAGGCTGGGGTTTTCACAGGGCAAAGGAAAATGTGAAGCACAAACAACACTTGCACATATAAATGGCGAATATCGCCTTATTCGGTCACCGTTTTTTGCTCTCAACTTGTCTCCACCACGAAAATCTTCAGCCGTCCAAGCTGTTTCGTCGGCAAACCATGCCATTCTAAAGCCATCCTGTTACCCATGTCAAACAACTGCGACCACGAAGTCCAATGACTGCAATCATCGATGATCAGTGCTAACCACCTTTGGAAATGCGCCAAAGTCAAGGATCTCCCTTTCGGCAATCGCGCAACCCCTTCCTTCCATTGCTTTATTTCTGAAATTGGCTTCGGCAGTCAAAGTGGGGGAGATGTCGACAAATAGCTATTCATCGACGCAACATGAAAGGGCGTTCTCGCCTTCCAAGCATTGAGCACAACCAGAAGAACTTACGATGGAGGCCCGTGGAGAAAATTATTACCGGATGGGATAGACTTCACTTACAATCTGTCAGTCGGGTTGGGTGTACAGGGTTTCTTGTTTCAAGATAACGACTCCTTTATGTTGTGGAAATGCTTTTTCAGAAGCCAATGGGGATGGAGTGATGAAGCTTGGTTGCGTCGGGGAGCAATGCCAAGATTAGTCGTTATGTTGAGCTGTGGCAGGCACTCTGGGGACTGGGAATTGGCCACCCAACTGATAAGATAAGATCACTAAAAAAAACCCCCCCCCCGAAAGGGAAAAAAAAATACTGCGGGCTTCAACTGAACGATCATATCATACAAGTCAAATTTTATCATGGCTGCTGAAGTTCAGCCAATTGCTCAGGTCAAATTACCTGCTCGACCTTCCTCTCTCACCCCTGAACAGGTATATTGGCGAACCTTCAAGTCACCTCTGAATATTCCCTCTCCAACGAATCACGCTGTAACTCATATTGCTCAACCGCAACCATCGTCTTCTGGACAGGTTTCCTCAGATTTCTTTGTTGTCACAACCGGAGCCCGAGTGCAACTCTACTCTCAAAAATCTCGCAAACTCCTGAAAACTATCACCCGCTTTGATGACACTGCATACGGTGCCGAACCACGATACGATGGACGAGTTCTCGCCGCAGGTGATGGGACGGGAGCGATTCAGGTGTTTGATGTGAATTCGAGAGCTATTTTGAAAACATGGAAAGAGCAGAAACAAGCGGTACACTCTGTGAAATGGAGTTCCAGAGAGAGCACTACCTTAATGAGTTGTGGAGACGATAGAACTGTCAGGCTTTGGGACCTTCCGAGTGAAACCAGCGTCGAGACTTTTCACGGTCATCAGGACTACGTTCGCACGGGGTCTTTTCTTCCTGGTCAATCGATCAATTTGTTGGTGTCTGGTAGCTACGATCAGACTATCCGACTGTGGGATCCCCGCACACCGACTGCGGCGGTCATGACATTCAAGCACACCGCTTCTGTGGAAGATGTTCTATGTATGCCATCAGGAACAACAATCCTGGCATCTGCGGAAAATCAGATTGCCGTTTTGGACATCGTCGCAGGCCGACCAATGCACATGATCAAGAACCACCAAAAGACGGTCACATCATTGTGCCTGGCGTCAAACGGATCCCGAGTCGTTAGCGGTGGACTTGATGGGCATCTGAAGGTCTTCGAAACGGTTGGTTGGAATGTGGTCGCAGGCTCGAAATATCCTTCTCCGATCCTCGCTCTGTCTGTCATCGCCTCCGGCAATCCTCGAGAAGACAAACACATTGCTGTGGGCATGTCAACCGGACAGCTGAGCATCAAAACACGACTGTCTGGAGAGCAAAAGATCAAAGACCGGGAGAGACGGAAGCAGATGGAGGCCTTGATTGCTGGCAAGATTGAAGAATATGACAGAAAACAAGCCAAGAAACGACCACGAGGGTGGGAAACCCGCCTGAGGGGCCGTAACTACGCCGGGGAAGATGCTGACATTATTGTGGAGGGAAATGTACGTGGAAAGCCCAAAAAGTTGGCTCCGTGGGAGAAAGAATTGCACAAAGGGAGATATGCTGAAGCACTTGACTTGGCCATGCAGACTGCGGACAAAATGACTGTCTTTACGCTCCTCAACACCCTTCGATATCGATCTGCCCTGCGGGCTGCCCTCAAAGATCGAACCGAATCTGACCTTCAACCGATCATGACTTGGATATGGAGGAATATATCAGATACAACTTTTGTCCCTCTGTGCGTTGAATTGTCGATGAATATAATGGATTTGTTTTCCAGTCACTTAGCAAAGAGTGAACCTCTTGCGAGGCAGGTCAAGAGGCTACGTGATCGAGTTCACGACGAAGTGGTTCGAGCGCACCAAGCCAGCATGACAAGAGGAATGTTACAACTTCTCACACCGGAAATCAATGGCTGAACAATTGCAGTCCTGGGTCATTTGGCTGTGAGAGAGGATCAAATTTCTCCTTGCTCTAGCAAATTCTTTGCACCAGAAAATTGCTCTAACAGTTTCCGATTCCAATTCCGGTCTCAATTCCGACAGCTAACGACGTGGCCGATATCGTCGTCCACAGGGCGCTGCAAGATTTCAAAATGCAAAAGGATGCTTCAAGATAAAATCGAGAATCATCAATCATACAATCCTGCTTCTTTTTGATTTCTCTGAAAAATTGAGAATTCCATCCAAGTTGGCTATATCGGCATTTTCCTCTCGCATGTGCTCGGCTGGAATGCCGCCACTTTCTCCTCATCCGTGATTGCATCACGAAACACCTTTGTATTGTGAGGGGCAATTTTCACAGCCAAATCCCTTTTTTTTTTTTAAAAAAAACCCAGCTCTCTATCTTCGTTTTTCTGGATTAAAAATAACCAACCCAGCATTCGCAGCTTTTCATAATGGCTCCGAGAATAATCCGATGGGGAATCTTGGGTGCGTGTTGCGATCAAATAAGTCAGAACAGCAACTGACCTTGCACAGCAACTGGAGGAATTGCCCAAACTTTCACCAAAGATCTGCTAGTCGATCCTGTTACGCGCGATGTCCATGAAATCAAACACACCGTTGTCGCAGCAGCCAGTTCTTCAAGCGCTTCCCGAGCACAGGGATTTCTCAAGGCAGTCAATGCGCCTTCATCAGCAAGAGCATACGGTTCGTATGAAGAATTTGTGAAGAATCCAGATATCGACATTGTTTACATTGCCACGCCACATTCTCACCATTATCAAAATGCCATGCTCTGCCTCGAGGCTGGGAAAAATGTTCTTTGTGAAAAGCCCTTTACGGTGAATGCCGCTCAGGCGAGGAAACTCGTCGAGAAAGCGTGCGAAAAGAATCTTTTTCTGATGGAAGCTGTTTGGACTCGATACTTTCCCCTATCAATTTACGTACGAGAAGTCGTCACCTCCGGGAAACTGGGAGTCGTCACCAGAGTTTTCGCGGACAATTCTCGAGCCTCGAATCTGGAAGAAGACTGGGCCGACGGCAAACATCGAATGGTCAACCCGGATCTTGCAGGGGGCGCACTTCTGGATCTGGGGATCTACAGCTTAACCTGGGTCTTCCAGACACTTTTCACCACTCAACCGGCATCCAGCCGTAAGGCACCGTCGGTCATGTCAAGCATCCAGAAATATCCGGCGACGGGCGTGGACGAAATGACAAGTATCCTCCTCACCTTTCCCCGCGATGTCGAGTCCGGAGGCGACATGCACGCAATAGCAACGACAGGCTTCCGAACCTCATCCGATACTGATGGCACAGGATCATCCGGTGCGGCTATCCGCATCCAAGGCACCAAGGGTGAAATTCAGGTATGGCCGCCAGCTTATCGACCTACTCGGACCAAACTCATCCTCATGGACGGCACAACCGAAGATAAGACCTGGCCTCAGCCTGGACCGGGCAAAGGCAGCGGCTGGTACAATGGGTTTGGAAACAGTAAAAACGCGGAAGGTGAGGGCCATGGTATGTTCTGGGAAGCGGATGAGGCGGCAATGGCGTTGCTGGAGGGCAGGAAAGAAGGCAAATTAGAGAGCCTAGACGAATCAATTCTTATTATGGAAGTGATGGATGAAGTTAGAAGGCAGAACAATTTGAAGTATCCCGAAAAAATCGAGACAACGGAAAAGGTAAATCTCTAAGAAGAACTTGGACGATGAGGATGCCTGGCGAAATGGTGTAAAAAACTAGGACAAACAGCAGTGGCCCCCTTAGAAAACATGAAGAGATTTCTATCATCATCTTCCTCGTTAGGCTAGCGAGCAATTTTCTATGGTACATTGCAAGGAGGGCAGGTGGTAAGCTCTAGCCAGAGATTCGAGGCAAATGCTTACCAAAGCAAATTAAATCATCACCGCATCAATCATCGTTTTTTCCTTCCGAGCCTCGTTTTTTAGTACATTGGAACTAAATAAACCGAACACCTCGAGCATTATTCAGCCTCTCCCCCCTTGCTGATCAAATTTCTAAAGTCATCATTTGTCTTTTTCCTCGCATCTCCCTGCTCATTGGTGGTAGAGCCATTCTTCCCATCAGAGTGGAAAAGAGCAGATCTCTGACCGAGATGCCCTCCTTTCCTGATACCGGGTTGTGTAGGACGTTTGATTGGACCATTCGCGGCAGGTTTTGGACGATTCGGAGCTGGGCGTTTGACAAATTGGCCTTGCCTGTGCTCTGGTTTTTGCTGAAGCATTTCCTTTTCGGAAGTAACACGAATGTGTCGACCTGGGTCGATCTCATAGTCGTCAAGTTCTATCATAGCTCGACCAGCATCAGGAATATTTTCGAATTCAATCAAGGCACCCCGATGATTTGTTTTGAGTATGACTTTGTACACGGGACCAATTTTTTCGGCGATAGCTTTGATTCGGCTTTCGTTCACCGTATCAGGCACGTCACAGATGGCAATGGTTCGTTGTCGTCGTTCTTCAATGGATGAAACGACATGGTCCGATGGCTTTCGCGAAGGTGCTGATTCGTGGTTGCCATCCGACCGCATCGATGGCGATTTCGAGCGGCCATTAACTTGTTGGTTGGTTCGAGCACTCCCGTCAGCAGTCATATGGACAGCGAGAGTTCGACTCATAAACCCTTGCTCATTCATGGCCAGAGCCGCCTGTGCTTGTCCAGAATTGGCGAAAGTGACAAACGCAATACCCCTGTTTTGACCTTTGGTGTTTGCGTTCTGTGGAAGTTTGACGTGCTCCACCTTTCCATACTGCGAGAACAGCTCGTCGACGTCTTTAACCGTGGCTCGAAACGGTAACTGGCCTACAAATATCGTTCGACCATCATTCTCTTTCCCGGTCCTCGCGTGTCGAGCTGCTGGATTAGATATTTTGACCACAATGTGCAATCCGTCTATCTCCTTGTTATCAAGTTCGGTTGCATCCTGGGCTTCCGCGGGCAGTTTGAATTCAACATAGCAGAATCTTCGCCTTTTGTTCCGCTGAAGGGAAGGAAAGCGCACGTTCAGAATTTCTCCGTACGGGCTGAAAAGTTTCCGAATGTAAGCTTCGTCGGCCGCCGCGGGATAATTGGTGACAAACAGGGTCGATCCAGTATTGAGAACCACCGAGAGCGTCGAGCCTTCGAACTCTCTTCCATCCCGAGAGAGCGCGTAGGAGGCTGCATCTGCATCTTCGAACTCAATCACAACACCGTTCTCCTCGTCAGGCAGGAGTTTCAGGCTTTTCACAGTTCCACAACTGCTAAAGTACTGGCGAATCTTTGTTTCTGTGACATCAGTCGGCAGATTCTGGACGAGAATGCTGGAATGTTCACGGTCACGCTTGAATTGGTCTGACGAGGTTGCAGGTGGCTCGTCCGTGCCTTGTGCCACATCGTCTCCCCTAGATCTCTTTTTGGTGTCATGCTCTTCTGGCTCGTCGTCACGTTTACGCTTTCCGATATGAAATCCATTGGCAGCCTCTTGAGTTCGATCAACATGTTCATGCTCCGCTGGTTGAGATCGGAGTGCTATTTCTTTGGCTTGAACTGCTTCTCGATGTCTCTTCGCCGTGAGACTTTTCCGAACTTTCCGCACCAAGCTTAGAGCACTCTGTAATTCATCGGCATCTTCATAGTCTTCGCAATGGTTCAACAACGCGTCCATGAGCGGTTCCGGGTAATCGAGATCTGGGTATTGCAAACCCTGTTTGAGTACGCCCACAGCAAAGGGTGCGGACGACAGAGAAGCCGCTCGTTCCGGGCTTGTCCGCTGGATTAACGCCATTTGGACCGATTTCTGGAGTTCGAATTCGTAGAATCTCAACCAAAATTTGTAGTGCTTTCCATAATCCACCAGGGCATCGTCAAACTGCGCCCGAGCATTGTCGAATCTTCGTTGAGATTTGAGATATTCAACATATTTTCGTTGTAATCGAAAAGAAGGATCGAAATCAGCTCCAATTCCCAATTTCGAAGCGAGGCTGTGCACGGCCTCAATGGACGACCTGATACCCATCTCTGCCACATCCGCATCCTCCTCGACGGCATCCGGTCGCTTCGTTCGACGTAAAAGATATCCACACCACGCGTCGTAAACGATGAGAGCTTCCTCAATACCAGCAGCATCCAAGAGTCCCGTGCTAGTGGCTTTGTGCTTGACTTTCTCCGTCTCATCGAACGATTCATCCGCAAGTTCTGACGTCAAAAGATACTGTTTCCATAACGCTCCCGACCATGGACAATGTTTAGTGGCTCTAGCCAGGATTTCCAACAAATCTGATTTGGATTCGTCCAATAGGTAGTCAATGTGTTGTTCCCATATCGCTGGAACCGATGGAAAACGAAGTTCTGCACGTTGATGGAGAGCCAAAATCATATCAAATTCGGAGTTTTGAGCCGCTTGCGTGACGCGTTTGCCTTTTCCCTTTTGTTGGGCCTGTGAGTTTCGGTTCCCGGCGCATTCCCATTCAATGTATTTTAAAAATGCTTGATACTCGGCACTTTGGTCTCCACTTGCGTGTGCTTCCCGTAACATTGTCTCAAACATATCTCGGTTCTCCCACAACTTCCTCGTGAGAGCGGATTCTTTGAGATTGGACGCCATGACGCTCTCATATTGATCGGCGGGTAGGTTTGCTGATACAAAGGTCGAAAACGACTGGAAAGTTGACTGCCATTCAGCATGGGGCACACGGAGGCGAGATTGAAAAAGGTCCAGAACGATGGCAGTATCAGTTGAAGATAACTTTTGGCCGGTATCCCCAAACCTCACAGTCATGTATTTGTCCCAAACCTCATGACTGCGACTCATGTCATGCTTTGTGCGTTCAACTCCTTCGGTCCAAGTGTCGATGACAAGTTTCCAGTCGAAAACTTCACGACCAACCAGGCGTTCTGCATCGACAGTTTCTCCGAGGGCATCAGTTGGCGAGTCAAGGGCCCATTTGTAGCAGTGGAGGACCCAATCTCCGTATGCGATCCATAGTTGTGTGCTGCCATACTCTTCACTGACTGCTCGACGACACTTGTCGACAACTGCAACTCTCTCTTCGGCAGTTTGAGCAAGGATACTCTCATCCTGAAGCCAATCAAGCCACTGTTCCTCCCCAACAGCAAAGAGCTTGTCCAAGTTCTCACGCGCCTGTCGCAATTCAGGGAGAAGGTCATAAGTTCTCGGGTCTCGGCGAGCATTGGGACTAGAAGAAGGATAAATATGATCGACAAAGCCTTGATGCAGAATTTTGATGATCTCCCGGTGGGCATCGTACGAGGATGGAGTCTCTTGGACATACGCCACCAACGTAGCGAGCCTCTGTTGGGATTCAACCGGAAGGGAACTGTCGGTGTAATCGGCGCGGAGAAGTTGCTTAGGAGTCTCGACCATTGCAATGTCGAAGGATGCGCGAGGGTTTGAGGTCACTCCGGCAGATGTCAAGTGAGGGAAAAGGCCCGAGGATGATTTCTGGCTGTCGGACGAGTCGCAACTAGACAACCTCGGAGGAGTAAGCTTTGACGACTGGTGATTCTGAATAGATGCTAAATCTGCCAAATTCTCCATGGTCGAAGTGGAGGATGAGCGTGGGAAGGGGGTAGATGCGGAGCCTATGGGAACAGGGCTGATGAGTGGTGACGAGTGGGGAGGCTGTTGAGATGGACTTCTCACGTGAGCTGGAATGCTTGATGGAGGTTGAATAGCACGCGCCAGAGGTGAACTTGCTGTCGGTTGCGTTCCAGGACCGGAGTGTGTCCGTTGTACATGTTTGAGTGGTGACTGCGATGAGGCTCCAGAACCGGGAGTCAGTGAATTGGCGCGAGGGGTCTCTGAAGGAGAAAGAAGTGAATTGATGTCCATCGTTGTCGCGTTCTCTATTCTGGCAAAGCAGAATCTCAGCTCGATAGAATGGATATGCTTGCTCCAACTCTTTCAAAATATGTGACGGCCTGAAACGTTGTCGAGGCCATGCTCCCCTTCAACAACAATAGGATCGACCCTCGATGCAGCCTAAGGCAGCAGATGGAGGAGAAGGAGTTAGGAAAACGATCCGGGGCCGGCGAAATTTCGTTGGAACTGAATACGGAGGGGAAGCAATTGCTTGATCGATGGGTTGGTGACACAGGGTGTAGACGTCGCGAGAAGAATGAGAAAATGACGAAAGGCTCATGGCGTGCGCAGGCGCTAGTTAGTAAGGCCCTGAAACGACGTGATGATTTCGCGCCTAGCTTAGGGCTAAGTGTTGGGGGGATTGAGGCGAGGTTGCACAAAATGAATCGCTCTGTGCCTTTGCTCCCGCAGCAAAACACCCCTTCCTGCCAAGCACTCTTCATCTCCCGCAGTAGACAAAGTACAAACGATTTTCCATACGAACCAGGTCTGCTACCGCAAAGCCCAAGCTGCACCAGGCCAGGCTTCTGACCGACTGCATATATATCGTCGCGATGATAAACTCACAGCAGACCGCTCTGCGACAAGCGTGTGTGGGCAAGTCCATCTCACCTCAAAAAAACGACACAAGCTAACCCGTGTGCAAGCTCGTCGGTCACAATTGTCCTCATTGGCCTTAATGGACGTCTGTCCAAGCATATCTACCCTTCGCCTTACTTCCAGAAGATGTTTCCAAACATCGCGAATCCAATCGAGGCCGACCACCTCTGAACCAAAACCCACGGCAGACCAGAAATCAAGACTTGGGCTGGGACCAAAAACAGATATGCCAGAGCCTACGCAGATGACCCCCGAGCAGAGAATAAAAGAAGCGACTCGCCGAGCGGCAGAAAGGCTAGAAGCAGACAGAAAGGAGCAGGAGCGAAACCTCGTCCTAGGAGGACTTGCTCCCTCCAGTGCTTTTGGGAATGAGCTACGGACGCCGAAACTGATGGACGATGGGATCGAGTCTGTCTTTCGGAACCGTAACCCGGCAAACATGGCGCAGGCCTTAAATCCCCGTCCGAGTGCGCGTTCAAGATGGCAACGCCGTATGGTCATACGACACGTCCGGCATGGTGGTCGATTGAACAAAGAAATGAAGATCGCCCGGTCAGAACGGAAGCATTTATCCCGCTCGCATTTCTTCAAGACCTCCATGAAGAAATTGGCACCGCTAGCTCGGCAGATTGCAGGAAAATCCATTGACGATGCAATTCTCCAGATGAGGTTTTCGAAAAAGAAGGTGGCTCAAGATGTTCGTCAGCACCTGATTCAAGCTCGTAATGAGGCTATTGTGAGCAAAGGGATGGGTCTCGGATCTGTGTCGGACCGTCAGAAGGTGGAATTCGACCAAGATCCTAGCGAATCAAGACCACGTCCTCACCAAACCCCCTTGAAGACGTACAAGAAGAATTACACTCCCCACGAAACTGATATTTATATCGCGGAAGCCTGGACCAACCGGGGACCATATGGGAAAGAACCGGATTTCCGGGCACGAGGACGCATGTATATCAAGCGCCCTCCTTATACGGGCATCAGTGTGATGCTGAAAGAGGAAAAGACAAGGATGAGGGAGAAAGCCGAAAAGGAGGCCAAAGCACTGAGAAAACGTTTGGGCAAAAATATGTGGGTTCAATTGCCTGACCGGAAGATCACCACTCAGCGACAACATCTTCTGTGGTAGCTCGCAATTGCGTACAAAAACACCGCTCCAATCCGTTCGGCCACGGAATTTATATAAATTTCAGACATGGTTACCGGACGCCAAAACAAATGAATAGGGCGAGCCACTGATCTGCCCATCATGCACCCGTAATTGATTCTCCAAGGTTCTATAGGTGCATGTAGCTTCCCTTTTATTTACCTGCCTCAATCAAAAACATCAACCGCATATCTCTCCCCCCTAAGACCTTCCCACCATTTCAATCCCTGTTCGTAAGTCATTTGTTCACCCTTCTTTTGTGACTTTTCAACTGCGATTCTTGCAACCACATCCGCCACTCCTCTACCTAAGGAACTGCTTCCGCAAATATATGCCCTTGCTCCGGCGTTGAATAAACAGCTTACGGTAGCCCGCTCCTTCCATATCCTATCCTGCGCATATTTACATCCTTCAGATTTCTCGGGGGCCCAACTAAAGGCATAGAATACCTTGATGGCCTTTGAAGCCTCCCACTGCGCTATCTCATCCGCATACAGACGGTCCTTATCCGGATGGCGGCAACCAATGATGAGGATTGCTTCGCCAAAATCCTCACTTTTGCCACCAGACACGGCAATGCGAGCAGCCCGCTCCTGGACGAAACCAATAAAGGGGGCGAGTCCGGATCCGGCACAAACCATGATCACGGGCGTCTTCTGATCGAGAGGGAGATGGAACGAGGGATGGGATTTTTTGATCATGAGCTGCGCCGTGGAGCCCGTCTGCAAGGCTTTTAAGTAGTTGGTCGCGACGCCAAGGTGACCGGCAGATTCTACGACGGAATATGTGATGCTGGCTTTGGTGGGATCGCTCAGGGGGGAAGAAGAGATAGAATATTGTCGAATGCGCATTGGTGTGAGCATCGAAAGGTAGACGGCGAAGGGTAATTCGATGCCTGGGTTTTGTTCGAGAATCTCGAGGATCGACAATGGCTCGGCACTTGAAATGAGCTTCTCCGCGAGTGACTCGTCCTTTGCATACTTTGCGAGTGTCGCCATGTTCTTCCGACTGGCTGGACTACTCAATTCCACGTAAGCTCCCAGGACTGCTGTGACGGCGATTCCGACCTCGGTCGGAATGGTAGTATGGGCTCCCTTCCGGAGAGTCATTATTGCATCCCAGGGAAGACCAAATCGTCGAAGGACTCTGGAAATGGTTTGAGTGTTGTTGACCGGGAGCAAAGCAAGGTAGTCACCCGCGTCATACGTCATGTTTGTCGGCAATTTGAATTCAGTACGTCGCTTTTCAGGGACGCCAGGGCTGGTCAGGAGCTCATTTCTGAGAACCAAGGCTTCCTGGACATTATGGCGAAGATGTGACGCACGAGCGCTCGTACTGATTTCCATATCCAAGGCCTCGGAGATCTCGACCGTGTCTGTCTCAGACGAGAGCGCAGGCCAGAGTTTCTCATCTTGCCAGGCATCAAAATCATCAAAGACTTTGCCTCCGGCCACGTCTGATTCCCCACGAGTAGTAATTTGGCTTGCTCCTTTTGCCACCAGCCCGGAATCGATCAGCTTCGGGATTCGTTGAAACGTGGTCACCCAATCATGATGACCACAGCCAAAAACTGCGAATTGAACATTCTTGACCTTTTCAGAGTGCACGGTCTTCAGCCATTCGACAAAGACGGCAGCATTGTCAGGAGGGTTCCCTTCGTAACTCGCCGTTATGACCACAATCGGTTGTTTCGGAGGAAGGTTTTCCACCGCCGCGTCAAGAGGCTTGACAGTCACAGCAAAGCCCCGAGCACTCGCACTGCCGGCGAGAGTCTGTGCAAGGCCCTCGCACGTTCCTGAATTGGAACCATAAAGAATTAATATCGGTTTGCCCGCACCGGCTTTGGTAGATACGGCCGCTCGGTGCTTGTGACGAGGGTCCTCAACTTCCACGCCGGCGTGCATCTTCTTCTCCAAGCTCAGGGGATCGATGCCTTCACGTAAGCTTGCGCGCATGAAAAAGTGTTCGGGCTTGATGGTCAATGTCTGCTTGATTTGAAGTTGATAAGACGGATCGTCCGCCCTGATGTTGAAGTTTTGGAGGATGAGAGAAAGAGTCAAAACGGCCTCTTGCCATGCGAATGGTCGTCCAATACACCCCCGTGCCCCGTTTCCAAATGGCTAAAACTGTCAGTGGACACCTCCTCAGAGTTCTGAAGGATCGCGTACCTTCCAGGCATTGGGTGGCAATTTCGCGAAATTCTCCCCGTACATTCTCTCCGGCTTGAACTCGTCGGCATCGGCACCGAAAACCATTGGATCGCGACCCACGCGTGGAAGAAAAGCAATTAACGACACATCCGGAGGAACGAAATACCTCCCACCAATGACCACCGGTCCAGAAACGGTTTCAAGTGGTTTCACTGAGAATGCCGGCGCCGTGGGGTTAAGACGAAGTGTTTCTCTCATCACAGCCTCGATGTATGGAAGTTTCGACATGTGTTGGAACGTCACGGGCCCTTTGCCAACAACAGCGTCAACTTCTTGCTGGGCCTTGCTCAATGCGTCGGGATTCTTGATAAGATGGTAGCAAGCAAACGACAAGAGTCCCGAGGTTGTCTCGTGGCCGGCGATGAGGAATGTGATCATGTTATTCATGATGCTCTGGTCGGTCAATTTCTCGCCCGTCTTGGGGTCCTTGCCGAATAACATGGCATTGAGCAGATCTTTCTTGTCAACCGGGTTGGCTCGACGGTAAGCGATGACGTCTTGGGCCACTTCTTTCATTGTTGCAATGTCCTGTTGAAATTGTCGTTCGGGAGCCCGGTTGAACAGCATTTCAATTCTTGTTCGGCGTGAGCGGCGGCCTGACTCGAGCAAGAATCCCACCATGGCATCGACAAATGGGTGCATTTTCTCAGAGTAGAATGAATTGAAGCGCTTTCCCATAGCACAGAGGGCGATAGAATCGAGAGTGAGTCGCGTAAAGTCGTCAGTCACGTTAATTTTCTCGTCCGGACCCATCCTGGCCCATTTGGCGATCAATTGGGTTGCGATATCGTACATTTCATCATCTGCGATTTTGTCAGCTTTTGTTCCAAAGGAGATGGAAGACCTTGTCTGACACATATCATGGATGCCAATGGGACCAAAAGCAGGCACGAGAATTCGATGGGCAACTTCCCAATTGTGTTCACCATGGTAAGCCGTGAATAGTCCATCTCCAACACCGTTCCGAACCTCTTGCAGGGGCCCAGACACGGTTTTGCAAAAGCGACTTTCATCACATATTTCGTTGAGCAATTCAACGGAGCTGACAATGTATCTCTCTCGACCGAGGATCGACAGCTTGTATATGGGTCCTGGTCGGAACGTTAGAGTAAAATACACCGGGGAGATACTCTGTCGCCATGAAACATACCATATTTCTCGGCCAGATGAGAAAGGCTTTGGATTGAATTATTTGGATCTATATCTGTGATATTTCCCAGAATTGGGATGGCAGGCGGTTGTGGAATCGGGGTCGACATGACAACACAGATACACGAAGTTAAAAAGGAATAAAAAGGAAAAAAGTAAGGAGAACTGAAGGGGATTAAAAAGGATTTGATGTTGAATTTAGGTTGAAGCATGCATTGCCCAGGTCAAACAAAGTTTTTATTCATTTTCAGTTTTGAGAAAACAGCATGTCGCAAGGATATCTCAAGAACGGAAAGTAGTACAGCTGATGCACCAAGAGGCACGAGATGCATAAATTGGCCTTCTTAGAGAAGAGGTCTATTAGCCTTGCAAGAAAATAGTTGATTTCGAACGCTGCCTCGGCATGCAGCCCAAACGATGGCTGGAGAGACCAGCAATTGCGCTGTCCACAGCTGAAAGGAATTTCGCTATTGGAGAGCAGTCCAGCCTTTGTCCCTAATTGGTCACAAGAATACGAAGTACGATTTGCGGTAACTCGGAGTCAACCCGGCCGCTTTGCCCACTGAGTCGGATAACATGTCCATTGCAATTGATATGAATGGACCGCATCATTATACCCACGTGGATACAAATTAATATCTCAGGGGTGCGTGTACAATCCTCCAGCTCCAATATGATGGCTGGTCGTACAATAGAGAAAGATGCCCCGGTCAATATAGGGCACCTCCCGATGGACACCATATATACCGCTCTCCCCCCCCCCCCCAAAATGACATTAAATCAAGCCTCGCTATTTGTCTGCGGATTTCGCCTCCTGCCCACCTCTTTGCATCTATGTCGTATATATCCACCTGCAATCTCCATCCATCAAGCATGATCCGGTATCAGTTCATAACCTCCTTCACTTGGGAGAACCACGGCAGCGAGGGTGATCGCAATCGCACACAATGCTTGAAAACTCCATGAAATTGTACACATGGTCCAACTCTTGTCCAGATACCAGCCAGAGAAAAATCGATCGTCATTTTCGTACAAATACGCCTGTTCATGTGATTGGCATGGTGAAGAGAACATGGAGATATACCGAACTTACCATCAAGGCCATTCCAATGGCCTGTACAAATGCAGCCAACACCACCAAAATTGTAAGCGCTCCCCAACCTTGTTCTCTTTTCTGTTTGCCACCCACCAATAAGATGGCAAACGCGGCAATTGTCATGCCCTCCAGGACCACGGCAAAAGACATCAAAAAACCTACCGATCTCCACATGCTACAGAAATATCTGTCATCTCCTCGGCAGTCATTGTATCGGGGAAACTGGACGCAATGAAGGGCTTCGGAGGTGGTATAGGAATCATCGGAAGGAGGTAGGTTCGTGTTCGAACATCTCTGGTGTAGACCGTAGGTGTAGTGAATGGAGGTTCCGTGATTCTGTTGATGTCAGAGATTCATCAATCAATGTGGCAAACCGGATATACCGTATTTCCATCATATGCTATCCAATCGGGGATAACGATGGATGCAATCGTCATGCCAGATGCTAGATTACCAAAATGTGAGCCTCGCGGACACCGTTTCGCGATTTGATCACCGCCCGCTTACCAGCGAGAAACACTAGGAGAGCTGCAGAGAAGACAATGCTTCTCGTCAGCATGCCTGTGTAGTTGCTGCCATGTCCACTGGGCACGAGTGAGAAGTCCGCCATCCTCCCCTAACGCCGCAAAGGGCGGGTTGTGCCAGTTCTGGAGAATTGTCTTGATGTTGGCCAGATAGCTGCAATATGGTTCCACTTCGCGAACAACAAACCCGTCCAGGGTTGTCCGGCATCCAACTCTTATCCTCGCGGACTTGGGAGTGCCGAATGAATGTGAGGCGTGGGGAAAGGATTCGAAGATCACCACAGTCGATGAAGCGGTGGCATTGGAAGTCGAGGTAGCGTGGAGTGTGCCGAGAAAGATAACAGACACGGACTTGTCAGTTCGAGATCGAGGACGAAGTCGAGCGGGAAACTTGAATTCGATGATGGAGCTCAACAAGTTCGGAACTGAGACGTAGAAACCGAATGGATTCGTCAGACGAATGGCAGGCAGCCCTCTTTCAGGCCACCGCAGTTTTTGAGACGAGAGGCATGAAAGCCAAGGGGGGGGGAGTTCGCTTTTGCTGCCAAGCAAGCCAAATGACGATGTTTCAACAAATCTTGTCAAAAGCAAAAAGGCCTCTACACCAGTCTATGGTCATCGGATCACAATTCAGGCCACTGCTCGTTCCACTCAAATTCCCTTTGAGTGCTTTCAACAGGCGTGTGGCCCGAGTATTTCCACTTGAATTTCTGTCCATCTTGGTAATGGGACTGCACAAGAGTCATCAGCACGTGCAGTTGTATCCTCACAAACCAACGGCAAAATGTTCCGGCCAATGCGAACCCCGGTCCCTGCCTATGAACTGTGACAATCTGTGAACTTGTTCGAAAGTTCATGAGTCAGGATATCGAAGCGAACATCGGTATTCTTGGATTGTGGTCATTATCCACACTTTCCACTCCATCGGATCAAGGCCGGTCAAGGGATCGTGTTCAATAAAGTTAGATCTTGAAGGTGAGTTGGGACACCTAGTAGATATTTCTCGCTGTGCAAAGCCGCCATCGTTCACGATTCCATTCATCTACAGCGGGATGACGACGACTGTGCTTCGCCGGCCGGACAAAGGGCATGCTCTTGGACGGAAAATCACTTGCAACAACATGTCGAAGCCCACATGAAGAATGGAAGAACTCTGGCGGAGGAAATATGGCATCTAGATAATCTGCTGGATATCGCCATTCCCAATGGCTATTCTCGCCCTGGAGCGGATGTAATTTCTCTTGCTTCTCTTCGGGGGACCTTTCACGAGATACATCCAACCAAAGCTTATGCAGTCAAATACTCTTTGAAATCCTCTCTCAAAATGTTTGTTCCCTTCGACAGGTCAACCTTTTTGCTCAAGTCAATGGACAGCAGAATGGGTTACGTACCTGAGCCATCTGTCGCGCTAACTCGTCATCCTTTTCCGCCTTTTCGCAAAGCGCCCAGAATTCATTCCTCTCAGCCTCTGCCTCATCGAGACAGACACGGCGAAAGTTGGCGCGCGACATTGGATCGATAATTTCCGCCCATTTCTTCCGCCGAATTTCACTATACTTATCCAAAATGCTATCGTCGGCTTGTCGATTTTTGAGGGCTATGAGAGCATCGTATAAACTCCCCACGTCGGCAATACCTCCCGTCAATCCTAGACCGCCACTGAATGTCATACAAGATCAGCATGGACCAATCGTTCCATCAGAACTTCCCGCTTACAATGGATTGCACAAGTGCGCGGCATCGGCCGCCAGCAAGAACCGTCCAACGCGAAATGAATCCGCACATCTTTGATGAAGCTTGTACGGACTTGCGCTTGCGAGTTTGTAATCTCCCGGTTTGGGGTGTCCAGGCAGGATCTTCTCAAATCGGGCAGGTTGCCTTGCCAGGTACTCTTCGTTCGACAAGCCCCAGATGTCACCGTATGTCACTCTCCACAGCCCATCCTTGGTGATTCTCGCCGCCATGTACCAGTCATTCTCATCGATGATGAAGTTCGAGTCCCAATATCCAAATTGATGGAAGTCATAATACACCTTGTAATCCTCATCAGTCTGCTCTCCTCCCATTTTGGTCAACAACCTACATTGGTGGCAATGATCTGTTTCTGCAGAGTTTCCCCCGGATAGTTCAGATCTCCAAAGAGTGACCGTCTTATCTGACTGTTTGCACCGTCACATCCAACGACATAATCGGCACCGAAAGTGAGATTCCTGTCTGGAGTTTCAACATGAACTCTTGCCTCGTTCTCATCTTGGTCAATCGAAACGACTTTGTGTCGCCACAGCACTTCCGTGTTCGGTTGGTCCAAGAAGTGACGAAGGAGAATAGCATCGAGCTGATCCAGAGGGAGACAAACCATCGGAAACTCAATGTCCGACCGACTTCGAATCCCGGCGATAAAGGTACCATCGGGGTGGCGCCAGCAAACCGCATCGGGATGAATTCCTTGCGCCTTCACGTCTTCCAAAACACCTGCACGGCTCAATTCATAGACCGCAGATGGTGCATAATGAGCTGCGCGCGGGTTCTTGTCCAAATCAGCGGCTGCTTCGAGAATTTGAACTTTGATGCCTTGTTTCGCCAGCAGGATTCCCAACAGCAATCCAGACGGACCGGCGCCGACGATGGTGATCTGGACTTTTGTTTAAAACTGATCCAACTTCTCGGTCATTTAACATACCTTTGAAACTTCTGTCTGCTTTCCCATCCTGAGATCTTTGTTGATGACTCTCGGTACTTCAGGTCCTTTGCCCCAGGCCTTCACAATAACTCGACTACTGGAGATCCGGGCTCTGAAAGTATAATAAGAGCAGTCACAGGCTGTAAATCCAGTTTCAATCTGAGCCCCACATAATAGGAAAAACCACTCGATGGTATGCTTGAGGACGAGTTAAGGTGGACTGATGGTCAAGCTCTCTCCAATACATCAGTGGTCACAGCAAAAATGCAACAGGCAGCACAATTGGCCACCATAAAGGGCCGAACATAACCCCCAATCTAAAAGTGTTCTCCAAAATTATGGACCTCGGAAGCTTCCATGACCACTCCGAGTATCGAATGAAAGGGCAACTAGGTGAAGATACGTGATCAAGGACTCGGGGCCTCCGTTCTGACATGATCGAGCCACTCAGACCCACTAAAGATCAGGAAAAGGGGAGCGCCAAATGTGGGGTCTCCCTTTTTCGTTGTTGTTTTCTCCGCAGCGGGAGACCAAGAGAAGGAAATGTGGGGGTAAGGGACCGTGTGTGGAAAAAGGTGCTTTCGATTTTCTGAGATGGACACTCGGTCCCCAAGAGATCCCATCTCATCCTCCCACCGGCCCAAAAAGGCGAAGATGTCGCCAGCGGTCTACGGTCAATATTTCGTGTCCACAGCGACTCTCCCTTCTCTTTCAATCAGCGCCGCATGTTGGGGACTTCGAACTTTGATCGAGACATCGAAAGGAGCAAATCGATGTTCTCCCCAGTTGACTTGGAAGGAGTCGAATGGTTTTCCCTAATTCAAAATGGTCAGTCATTCCAGCATAAGGTCTGAGGGTAGACATACCGGCACTGCCTCGAAATCAAAACAATAAAGCAATCGGGCCACTACAATCCAAACATTCGTCTCTCCGACGTTGTATCCGGAGCACACGCGTCGCCCTACCCGGATTAGTATCGTCCTTATCACGTCGGTCTTCCGCATACCAGGGCCAAAGCTCCAATGTCCCTTGAGAACATGATCCAAATCTCCATTGAGAAACCTTTCTGGCCAGAATCTCTCCGGCTCCTCGTATTCCTTCGGATCCATGGCTATAGCTGTGGCATTCCAAGTGAACAGTGTCCCGGCGGGAAATTTGTAACCTTCGTACTCGTCGTCTTGAATGAGGAGATGTGGAACACCGATCTCAGCGAATGGTCGCCATCGAAAGGCCTCTTTAACTGTTGCCGTTATGTATGGAAGATCAACTCGGTCGTCAAAGTGGGGCAGACGCTCTCCAGTCTTTCCACACACTTTGTCAAGAGCGTCTCGTGCTGTCTGGACCCATCTTTTGTCCAGAACAGCGGCCGCCATGACCTGGCTGATTGTCATTCGGGATGTATCACTTCCGGCTTCCATCAGAGATCCCAGTGCAAAGTATGTCTGTGTTTGGCCGTAGTTCTTCGTTTCAGGATCCCTCAAAAATCTTGTCGCAAAACACTCTCTGGCTGTTCCATCCTTCATCCTTTGTTGCAGTTCGTCCACTTCCCGTTTGTAGATACTGATCATCGATCAACATTGTCCACCATCTCGATGAGTGTCTTACCTGACAGTTTTCTCAAACATTTCCTCCCCGCGCCTCCTCCACCACTGCAGAGGCTTTGGTAGCTTTTCCAGGAACGTAAGCGAGTCCACAAGATTTGCCGATGGCTGAATGGCTTGAATGATGGCATTCGACGTGTCGAAGAGCTCTCGAATCTTGGGGTCCTCCAGCTCCATTCGTTTGCCAAATACGACACTCATGATGACAGAGTTGGCAAAGCGTTGAGTGGCCGAGTACCACAGCTCTGGGTGGTGAAGAAAATCGTAGAGCAGATGTTTGGATTCAATATCCTGAAAGGGGGCAAAGACTGGAGCATTTTGCTTGTTGAGGATTGAGTGCATGATTCTCCTAATCATCCGCCACCGTTCCCCATACGGCATGAGCAGGACTCGATTGTCGCCTGAGAGAATCCCAGACGCCATCGGCATATATTGCCGAGATGAATAGATTGCAGCGCGTTTTTCCATCAAGTCGTTGACTGTTCGTGATGAGTTCAAGAAGACCCATGTCTTCCCTCCGATGCTACAAGTGAACCTGATGAATCCTTAGTCCTACCCCTCCAATCATGAAGACCTTGGACACTTACATCTCTCCATACTTCTTGGCCATTTCAACTCCCCAAAGACCCTGCTTGAGCGGTGGGAGCTGGAACGTGTTCCCGAATATAGGAATTCCCGGTATCCGGGGCGGCATTCTGTACTGTCGAGCCTTCGCATTTTCCTTCACCCTCCACAGCGTGATCAATATTACCAAAGAGGCCAACACAATGGCAAATCTAGGGTGTTGTCGGGCAAATTGCATAAAGTCCATCTTGCCCCTCTGCGAGATCCGGCGCTGAAATGATGGATCTGGGTATACTTAGTCTTGAGAAGCCTTCTCTCATAACTCATATTTGAAGTTTCCTACTAAATTGCTGTCTCCAAGATGTCCGATCCCAAGCATTCTTTGCGTTCGTTTTCTTAGTGTGGGGCCTATTCTTTGACCCGAAAAAGGTTTTGGAGAAAATGCCGTTTCCATTTCCCCAACACCGGTGTAGGCCAGGAAGTTTTCTGACGTTGCAAGAGGAGGCCTAACAGTTTAGGGGCCCCGCCTTGACCAGTGTAACCGCTGGACTGGTCTCTGGACAATTAGATCAGACCAATGATGTCGATAATCATGTCGATAAAATTTTTCTGCAGTTCGAATAGCATAGAAAGATGGTCCAACTTCCATAGTTCTTGTTCGATCGAAGGCGATCAAGAATTCTTTCCCCAGACCTTCACATTACCCCACCTCGGGCGAGAGGTGTAATATCATCAAAATACAATGCATTGACGGCGGATGAGGCAAGAGGCTTTGAATCTGGAAAGAGAATTTGGAAGAGTATTGGTGCTCTATGTTTGCGATTGATTATTGACGATACTACTATTATTATCTGGCCAAATGGTTTGTGAATGGCTACTGCATCCCGAGGAGAGTAAAATTTGTGTTCCACGAAAATATTCAGCCTTGTCGCGTTTGACCATATCGTTCCCGCTACGAATTGCCTACCAATTGGTCGATATGCCACTAGCGATTCGGGCAAACCGTACAAGAAATGTTACTAAATGGTAAAAGACTGGATTCCGCGGCGAGAATCGGTAACCATTGCCGGACACCGAATGCTGACCTACACCACGGAGATGGCAAAGAGTGGGCTGATTGGAATCCAACAGCTGCTTCTACCAGCACAAGCTCCTCCGAAACCCTAATATCCAGCAGCTGGACTTCAAGTTCTTCGTGTCCTTGCACATCCACAAGCGCAAGACACGCCACGTCTTCTGCCAATTTGTTTCAATTCCTCGGCCCAACTTGCCACAGCATCAGCTCGTCTGCGAGCTCATCTTCGTCCACTCTCTCATCTACAACACCTCGTCATCTAGTTCGGTTGGCCCAATTGAAGATAGTACAACGTCAAGCTCAATCAGCATTTCATCTAGCGCATCCCTTAAATCAATTGGTGGTAGTACGACAAGCTCGGCTTCGACAAGGTCATTTTCGCCTTGGATTCATTGGAAGTGGCACAACCTCGTCGCCTTCTACATTTATGGCGTGTCCTCATCATCCAGAACAGCCGATAGCCCCATCATGGGCAATGTGTTAAGTCCTCCAACTTCGAGATCTAGCTGCGGTACCGACTCGTCTTCAGCCTCTTCGAGTGCGAGTGTTGGGCCAATTGGTGGATCAGCAACGTCTGAATCGAGTTCAAGCACATCTGAATCGATATCTCTCAGCGAGAGGAGTACCACCGCATCGTCATCTCCAAGCTTCAGTGCCAGACCTATTGGTAGAACCCACGCCATCTTCATCGAGCTTGAGCACTTCCACTTCCGCTCCAACCTCGACCTCGTCAACAAGGGAAAGCTCCACCGCATCGTCATTCTCTAGCTTTGATGTTGGCCCTATCGATGGATCGACGACCTCTTCGTCCAGGTCGTCGGCAACTCTGGATACCACGACCTTATGGTCATCATCAAGTTTTGGGATTGGTTCTATTGATGGTTCAATATCCTCGTCCAGCTCTAGCACTACCGTTCCCGGGTCGTCCGCCACCGAAAGTACCACAGCATCTTCAACATTAACCTCTACTACTGAAAGCAGCACATCTTCCACGACCTCTGCCGAAAGTTGTACAACGTCGACGACATCATTCTTGACCACGACAACATCGAGCGCAACATCACATCTACCCTTGCTACTATGACCAGCTCGTCTGGGCCCGTCTGTAACCTCAATGCCAACATTTTGTTTGGACATTCAATTGATTACCGCCAAAGTTGTTACCACACAATCTTACCCTTTCCTTAGAGGCCCTTCTTTGAGCTGTCAATGATTTGTTGAAGTCTGGTACCTGCACTTTTGGGAGGATACCTCAACGTCTTTGTCAGTCATCATCGGTAATAACGAAATTCTTGGCCGAAGTATCGCCCCTGAACTGGTCTCAGCTGCCATCAACGCTGGCGAGTTGAACGGTGTGTGCAGTGTTACCCAAGTTGGCGTGATCGTCAACGATCCTGCCTGCCCTATTAATCCGACATCGACCAGCAGTTTCTTCACGACCCTTTTGAGCATCACAGCCATCGCCTCGAACGCTGTTACTACAACTGCTGCTTCTAGCACTACCCTCTCTGTCGCTTCCACCACGACTGCTACCACAAACCCACAACTACAGTGTGGTGTTGCAGTTTCCTTGAGTCTCGGTCAGACACCTGCGGCTGTCGGATTTTAGAGTCGCTTGTTGACACTGGTATTTCTGGGTTGCTCTACAATCTCTTCCAAGTTCTTGCAACGGTCACCGATGCCGGCGTTGGCAGATGCTAAATCATTGGACGTACTGGCGTTCTTGGTGTGCATCTTAGCGCCTTGATGGGATCGCAGTCCGTTCAATCCATTCAAGCCGCCGTTGCCACCTCACCACTTTGCTTGCCTGGCGGGCCAACTGTAACCCAGCTGTCCAGTCAATCTGTTCAAGCGATCTTACAATGGCCGCTATCGTCGATATCGGTGAGAATTCTAATGGTGAATGATAAGGGAAAAGGGTAAAGGGTGTTATTTAGAAATGGGACTGGATTCGTTTCTTGTGGGGGAAATATACTTTTCATTGTGGAATCTAGGTGACTTCATGATTCGTAGACCTGGGAGTCCATACTTTATGAAAGGAAAAATAAAGATTGTTTGAGTATGACTGATATTTTCAGCATAGTATCCTAATTTGGTTTATAGAGCTTCTCCTATTGAAGTTCTGTGCAACCATCATGATCCTCCAAAAGTTTGGCAATTGTCACTTTCACAGCCATCGTGATTCGCCGACAGCAGATATTTTACCATCAAGGATCTTGTAAACCGCATTTCAAATAATAATACGGTCAAACCGACAAGTCAATCATGCAGCAGCAACAGTTAAAGGTTCCGAAGCATCGATCATCATCTCGAGAACTAGGTCTGCGTCCAGATCGGCTTCATGAATTGCGGTAGGCCGACGCTTGAGTCTTGATATCCGTCTATCAAGGATATATACCACTCTAAACGTATTTCTGAACATCGCCTGCATCTGAACCTCCACCAGGTTTCGCTTATCAGCAGAAACCATCGATATTGATCCAGCCGAGGACAAGAATCCCAAATTCAAGCCAAGGTCGAGGCAAGTGTGTGCAGTTTGACAGATGTGTAACCAGAGATTGACGGCAGGATGTAAGGAATCGACAATTTTGGTTCGATGTTGGTCAACTTCATCGTTAAAAGACATAGATTCTTCATAAAAGCAATAGATAGCCAGCAGGATAGCACAGTGAACCCCAGATAATGAACCCCACATATCAATCTCAGAATGTAAAGACATTGCGAGTCGCATATAAGGTGAAGAAAGGGCACGGGATTGATGATGTTGTAATGCACCAATTGCCGCTGCGAGCAGAGTTTGGTAAGTGAGAATAGTGTTGCCTGACGGTTGCCGAGACGCAAATGCTCTGGGATCTAGGACTGGGAATTCCGGATGGACCTTTTGAAAATACACCTGCAAATAATTTCGTGTTCGTGGCGAGCGAAGGGTCATGTTCAGCTGATCCTGGTTAGGTGGCTTTTTGAAATTTAGTGTTGTTGGAAGCGTCTGACTTCTATGGAGTCTTGTATGCGACCTAGCAAGAGTTTCCGGTGTCGATGCATCGTTCAATGATGAAGCAACTGACGAGCGACGGGAAATTGGTGGAGGTTGGTCGATAGGCGATAGATAGTCTCCATAATAGTCGATCTGCTCTTCCAGATTACGATGCATTGCCAAAAATGGTGGAGATTCTACATGTTCCGGAGGTTGCCCACCGATCGGTTCATCGTTCACATCGAACAAGGAAGATCTGTAGGGAATTGAAAACCCTAGAGGGCTTCCGGACTGTTCGGGTGGAACCAGAGGACTCTGCGGGCGTGAGGATTCTGGCGAAGTCACCTCGATTGATGGAATTTCAGAGAAGGCGCCGGCGGAGACGGGGGGATCCGGTTGCTGCGTCCAGGAGTATTCGTCGTTTCCAAACGTCGGGAACGTATGTGCTCTTCGGTGAATTGTTGGGTTTGGGTCAGCCGCTGCCTCGAAGGCTGGCCGATGGTCGATGGTGGTCCAAGGTGCCATTTCCGGTCCCATATCAGAGTAGCAGGCGGGACTGGCTGGTGCTAGCCAATTATCCCGGGTCAGGAACGGTTGGTTAGAGAGATGGTTCAAGTCAGTCATGGATGCATGGCTGGTCAGGTTTTGTGTTTGTATCTGCAGCGGGTGGCGTGGCTCAGGTTGGACAATGAAGGGCGTAGGCGAGTGTGAAGCTGAACGGTGATGGAATGTCGTCGGAGGGTCGGGGGGGAAACCTGTTTGACTTTGTAATGCCAGTGCTTCTAGGCGCTGAATTCGATTCTCAAGCAAACTGTTGCACACCGTTAGCTAAGGGATTGCGTGTCCATGGCTATAATTCACCAACCTCTGTGATCTGTCTTTGCGTTTCACCGGATCGTGACAGACTGTGCCCAAGCTTGCGCAGGTGGAACATGGACCAGGCAATCCAGAGCATTTGATCTTTCGCCGTCGGCATCTCTCGCAAGCCATTTGCACCGAGTTTCGACGAGAGCGTCTAGAAACCACCGATAACCGCGAGCAGGCCTCTCCTGGCGATGCCTTTGTGTGTCCATCATCCTTCGTTTCGACCGTGATCGATCCGCTTGACTTTGTTTGTACTGACTCCAGATTCAAAGTCTCGTCTTTGTATGTTTTCTCCATCGCGAGAAGCTCATATGCCAGTCGTCGTGGACCGACTGCGCAGAAGGAGCAATGTGAGCCCAAGGACACAACATAGCGTGGAGAAGCAGCGATGGCGGTCGACCTCGGGGCAATTCTTTATCGCATGATTTATGATGGCATGACAAGATCTAGGTGAAGACAGCAAAAGGACATGGAATGGAGGGCTATCCCAAACTCGAACTGTGAGGTGGAACAAAGTTCGACCAATCATCCCATCCATATCATTTGTCGCATCGATGTTCAGTCCTCCGAAAAAGAATCGAAGTTTTCAAATGCCGATGCATCCAAGTCTAGCCAAAAGCAACAAAGCTTCCGTTGCACTGCCTCATTCCATCCCTGTCAACGTCCCCAGAATGGAGGAAACGGACCATGGGTCCGATATAAACCGAATTCGCCCATTTTCTTGGGTTGTTTCACCGGAGGTCGATGACGGATGTAACATGTCCGGAGCAGTCTCTGGACATGGCAAGTGATAATTTCACGAGAGGAGCCACACAATGCGGCACAAAGCAGTTTACACTCATCGTTTGAAGGATGCTCTATTTATGATATCTCATCCAGGCCCGAGTCGATTTTCAATTTGTATTTGATCCCAATGTCAGACATGAACTTCAAATCGCGCTCTGCTCGTCCAAATTCAATCGCTCTTCTCTTGCGAACAGTATACCACCTCAACCGTGCATGATTCAGCAACTCGATACTCTCACGATCTTCTGATCCGGCTCCTTTTCGTATAATTCAATATGTGTCAATCCGATATCTTTCTTTTCGGAAATGGAGTCGATCGAATGTCTAGGCGGGGTTTCATCTGGTCCCTTTCGCCGGAGTTGACTCCACACTGCCTGATGCATGGATTTCATGAAGAGACGGTCCATATCCTCGAGGGTGAGACCTGTGATAATGTCAGTATCACCAAAAAATCAAAGTGAGAAGCAATGATAGACTGACCCTTTGTTTCAGGAATGAAGAAAAATGCCCAAATCCCCATGAGGATCATTAACGAGCCAAAAAACATGTACGTGCCGTAGCCGAGGGATGTGATCATGTAGGGAGTGGTCCGAGAGATCACAAATGACCAAAGCCATTGATCAGCGGTAGTGATGGCCACACAGAGCATCCTAATGTCCAAGGGAAATATCTCAGAGCAATAGACCCAAGTAATACCTGGCCAGACGTTAGTTTTAACGACGACCAACGTCATGAAAGGTGCACCTTACCCTGCCAAGTTGCACAATAGATGAACCCGTAGAGATATACGCACACCATTGCGAGGTAGCCCCATCCAGTCTGATGGACTTCTCCCTGTGACGCCGCAGTGGCGGGATCGGCCTCGAACACGTATCCCCCAATGTACCACATCGGCAATGAGCCAATGAATGCACCCAGGATGAGACCCTTCCGTCGTCCAACTTTTTCAACAAAGAAAAATGAGAAGAGAAGCATACCGAGGGTCTTTGCTACACCATAGAAACCCGTGGCAAACAACTTCGTGGAGGTACCCTGGATTCCAAGCGTTTCGAAAATACGGGGTGAGTAGTATGTGATGACATTGACACCCGTCAGGTTTTGGCAAGCCATCAGGAGAAGGCCTATTGCGATTCGATTCCGCGTTCCTCGGGCAAGGAGCTTCTTGAGCGATTCTCTCTTGCTGAGTTTCATGGTGCTGCGTTCCTCCACTTGCTGCCTTATCTCGGTCATTTCAGTCCTGATATAGGGATGGTCAGAAGGTAGAGTTCGAATCTTTGACAACACCTTCTCCGCTGCTTCCCAGTTGTCCTGCCGTGCTAGCCAGCGAGGGGATTCGGGACAAAAGAGCATGCCAATCACAAGGAGAAGTCCTGGGAGAAGCTGAAGGCCAAGAGGAACAATCCATTGTGCCTTTGAGTTGTCAGAGATGGTTCGATCGACTGCATAGTTGATCCAGAACCCTGCCATGCCTCCTCCCTGACTGGCAACCTCAAAAAACCCTACCAGGCGCCCCCGAATAGATGGAGGGGACGTTTCGGCAATGTAGACGGGGACGATGAGTGAGACGGCCCCAATTCCAAGACCGGCGACTGCACGACCGACAATGATCAATGCGATTTGGCCATGCGCAGCAGTCATAAGAGTGCCACCGACGAGAAAGACGCAGGCAGAGACCATGACCGCCTTCTTCCGGCCGATCATCTCCGCAAGCGGGAATGTCAGGAGGGCACCAAAGAAGCAACCAGCTTGAAAAGTTGAAACGATATTTCCTTGCAAAGTGTCACGAGCAGTTTCGGACACGTCAGTCAGGCCGAAATCTCGTCGAAAGGAATCGAGGGCCAGAGTGCCGCCAATAACAGCGGTATCGTATCCCACTACAGAGAGTCAACGGTGGAATTTTGGTGCATGAGATACTTCCACTTACTGGCTATCGCCGACATAGATGCAATAATCGAAATGAGGTGGATTTTCCAATTTCGCACCTCTTTGGGATCTTGCGTCCCTGTCGCATGAAGATTGAATCCCATTTTGATAGATGTCGCTCCAAGATGTATGCAACAGAGTGAATAGAAATTGTAAAACTTGCACAGCAAGTCATCAAACAGGAAATCCAAGGGTCGTTCGAGGCAAGAGGCGTATTATAGATGAGAAAGCATTTGCCGACAACTCCATGGGCGGCCGTGGTTGAGATTTGCGGAGAAGGCAGCCACCTCCACTGGCCAAGAACGCGGAGAGAGATCCTCGAGAGGGTTGCCATCTTCTGGAGATAAGGAAGCTTGCAATTGCTTGAAAGAAACCAGGGGAGGAGGTCGTCGAAGGGTGACATTGATGAGAATGACTTTCGCCTTCAAAGCTCCGCGGTTGCATGCCGCTAGCGTTGGTTCCCCTTGGCATCGGGATATGCTCCGCGCTTGGCATGATTCTGCCACGACCTCCCCTGGTCCCGAGTTGTCCCCCCATAAGTGCACTTTTTTTATTCTCTCGAGAGCTCCGCTGTTGAGTTTGACAAAAGGAGAATCAATCTCGTACGAGACCGTCCGTACCATCTTTTCTATGAGGTCTCGATAGCTCCGTTCCCGCGTCCAAGGATTCCGATGGAGGAGTTCCTCTCCACGCCAACTTCCGCTGAGCAGCAACCGCCTCTCTCTAGCGCGGCCATACAGACGAACTGATGAATCGATGTTCAGAATGTCCTATTCCACACATGATGGTTGACTTGCAAAGGGCTTTATGGCGCTGTGTGTTCCACGTGCATTGCCTCGGCACTCTTCAGTATATTACTCCTAGCCTTAATGCCAGCTCGCAATATTTGAGTCCTAGACAACCATGGCTTCCCTTTTGTTTGAGGATCACTCGCGTCTTGTTCTAGAACAGCGCTGTCTTCCGCTTGGAATAGCATCTCATGTCGTGATGGATACATGATTCCCCCTCTTTCTCCCCCTTCTTTAATCATGGCAATCACTCTCCAGCTCCCACAGTTGCAAGTCGAAGAATCCCTTCATGGCCAACAAGCTGATGCTATCACCCTTTCTCCACGATCTCGAAATTCCTCGGCCAACAATCCCTTCCTAAACATCCCAAGTACTCCTGCACTAAGCAGCTCCGCTTCCAGTGTTGTCGAAATTGATCCAGCTGAAGCTTTGCGACCGGATCCAGGAACCGAAGCGGGTTTCCATGTGGAGAACAACCCGTTCGCGTTCACCCCCGGTCACCTGAACAAGCTTCTCAATCCCAAATCTTTGCAGGCGTTTGTTGCCCTAGGAGGCCTTCGGGGCATTGAGCGAGGGCTTCGTACCGACATCGAGGCCGGTCTCAGTATTGAAGAGACGTCGCTCCCGGGCCAAGTCAAATTTGATGATGTTGCCCTCTGCTTGGAAAAGGCCCCGGACAATGATAGCTCAGCACCCCCCAAACCCAATCATAACTGAACAAAGCTCGAATTCGAATACAAACTCGAGCAACAGTACATTCCATGACCGAATTCGAGTCTTCAGCAGAAATGTTCTTCCTGCCAAAAAAGGCCACTCCCCTGTGGATGTTAATGTGGAATGCGTACAATGACAAGGTCCTTTTGCTTCTTACCGCCGCGGCCGTCATTTCTCTTGCTCTTGGCCTTTATGAAACATTTGGTACTGAACATGAGGCTGGTGCCCCTACTCCGGTCGATTGGGTGGAAGGTCTTGCCATCTGTGTCGCCATCATTATTGTGGTTGGAGTGGGATCGCTGAATGATTGGCAGAAAGAACGAGCATTTGTTCGACTCAATACGAAAAAGGAAGATCGAGAGGTCAAGGTGATCCGATCCGGGAAATCATACATGATCAATGTACATGACGTTCTGGTTGGAGATGTTCTATTCCTAGAACCGGGCGATTTGGTACCTGTTGATGGCATCTTCATCCACGGACACGAGTTAAAGTGTGACGAATCTTCCGCCACGGGCGAATCTGATGCCTTGAAGAAGACAGGAGGCGCAGAAGTCTTGAAGCTTCTTGCAGATGGCCACAGCAACATCAAGGATCTCGATCCATTCATCATTTCCGGCGCCAAGGTCCTGGAAGGCGTGGGGACTTTTGTCTGCACCTCTGTCGGAGTCAATTCAAGCTTCGGAAAGATTATGATGTCTGTGCGCACGGAAATGGAATCGACGCCGTTACAAAAGAAATTGGAAGGTCTCGCAACCGCCATAGCGAAACTTGGCAGCACCGCAGCAGCTTTACTCTTCTTCGTCCTGCTCTTCCGCTTTCTCGGCAGCTTATCGGGAGATTCGAGGACAGGGGCTGAAAAGGCTTCATCCTTTATGGACATTCTCGTTGTTGCCATTACCGTGATTGTTGTTGCTGTGCCAGAAGGTCTCCCACTTACGGTGACTCTCGCTCTGGCCTTTGCTACCACCAGGTTATTGAAAGGAAACAATCTTGTCCGCGTTCTCCGGGCTTGCGAGACCATGGGCAACGCTACCACTATTTGCTCCAATAAGACTGGTACCCAAACAACGAACAAGATGACGGTTGTTGCTGGGACATTTGGAGATGCAAGTTTTGGGAAATCCAATGACGAAAACGTCAAAACAGCAACCGAATTTGCCCGTGGCCTGCCTAAGCCCACTCGCGATCTCCTTATCCAATCGGTTGCCATTAACTCCACAGCCTTTGAGGGTGAGGAACATGACAAATCCACATTCATAGGATCCAAAACCGAAACTGCTCTGCTACAATTTGCCCGAGACAACTTGGGAATGGGCCCTATTTCAGAAGAAAGAGCCAACAGTGACATTGTGCAACTGATGTCTTTCGACTTCAGCAAGAAATGTATGGGAGCTGCGGTCAGATTACCTTCGGGAGGATATCGAATCCTCGTCAAAGGCGCCTCGGAAATTCTCTTGGACCACTGCATTCAATACGCGGACATTGAAACGCAACAAACCTCAGAGTTGACGAAACCCATCCGCACGTCATTGGAAAACACCATTACTGCTTACGCTAAACAGTCCTTGAGGACCATTGGACTTGTCTATAAGGACATTTCACAATGGCCCCCGGAAGGGGCAAGATCCAAAACCGACCCCAGCAGCGCGGATTTTGGTTCGGTTCTCACGGGGCTTGTCTTTGTAGGTGTCGTTGGAATTCAAGATCCGGTTAGACCGGGAGTACCTGAAGCTGTTGCAAGGGCCAAATCGTCTGGTGTGGTTGTCAGAATGGTCACCGGTGACAATGCCGTGACCGCTCAAGCCATCGCCACCGAATGCGGTATTTACACCGATGGTCTCATTATGGAGGGCCCGGTGTTCAGAACACTTTCCGACAACGAGATGGGATTGAAGCTTCCCAAACTCCAAGTTTTGGCGCGCTCATCACCCGAAGACAAAAGAATCTTAGTCGCAAGACTTCAAAGCTATGGAGAAACTGTAGCTGTTACCGGAGACGGCACAAACGACGCTCCTGCTTTGAAAACGGCTGATGTCGGGTTTTCAATGGGAATTGCCGGAACTGAGGTTGTCAAAGAAGCCTCTTCGATTGTGTTGATGGACGATAACTTTACATCTGTCCTAACGGCGCTGAAATGGGGACGTGCTGTTAATGATGCCGTTCAAAAGTTTCTTCAGGTGGGTTCCCCTTTTCCTATGTGAAAAATAATGTTAACGATTTCCAGTTCCAAATAACTGTTAACATCACCGCGGTACTCCTTACGTTCATTTCTGCTGTGACCAGTAGCAAGATGGAATCGGTCCTTACAGCCGTTCAACTGCCCTGGGTGAATTTGATAATGGACACCTTCGCTGCACTCGCATTGGCGACCGACCCTCCGACCGAAAAGATCCTCGACCGCCCACCCCAGCGAAAGGGAGCAAGTCTAATCACCATCAGCATGTGGAAAATGATTACCGGGCAGGCTATTTTTCAACTCACTGTCACCCTCATTCTATATTTTGTAGGCTCAAAAATTCTAGGATACGATCAGTTCCGGGATTTGGAGCTCTCCACGATTGTATTCAACACCTTTGTTTGGATGCAGATCTTCAACGAATTCAACAATCGCCGACTTGACAACAAATTCAACATTGTCGAAGGAGTTCACCGCAATAAATTTTTCATCGCCATCTATTGCATCATGGTGAGATCCCAAATCGCCATTATTTTTGTGGGAGGAAAGGCATTTTCCATTACGGCGATTGACGGTACGCAGTGGGCAATTTGCATTGTCCTTACTTTTGTGTCTTCCTTGGGCGATCGTTGTTCGGTTGTTTCCAGACATATGGTTTGAAGCCATCGCAACATTTTTAGGAAGACCATTTGTGATCTTGTACAAGACTTTCTCCCGTAACTTGTCGAGCGTGATTTCTATTTTCCAAAGGACGAGGAATAGAGCTGAGGAAAGTGATGGAAGTATCAGTCCACCCGAAATCGTGGTCACGAGTTCTTCGAATGACAAAGGGCCAGGTATGAGGTATGTCGAGGATGTAGAAAAAGGACGGGGACGAAATTGGGGGGATATATTGGTGGATAAAATGCAGGACCCTGGTGCCAAAAATATGGGGTTACTCGAACAAGAATTTGCTTCGTTGACCAGTGCTCGTTCAAACTTGGACGTTCGATCCTACGACTCATGAACGGGAAATAACCAAACACCGCTCCGCTGAATCACAAGACTCTAATGCAGTAGAGTATATTCTTTTCGGATGCGATGTAGAAATGGGCGCTGGAGAATGCAGTGACCGTGCCCGCTCGATGGGCCTTCCACCAAACCAGCTCGATGAAATTCTGTACTTACTGATATTGTGGCGAACCAAATTAACCCGGCTATTCAACCAGACGCCTCGCTGTAGCTTGATCACTATCCAATTCTGATGCAATGGTTGTATTGTCTTTTAATCACGCCTTTTTATCGACGACTTGCTCGAGGAAATTCTTGGAGAACCGTTCGACCTGCTCGTAAACGGTTTCGAACCCGTCATCGACACCGTAGTAGGGATCAATGACTTCTTCCGTCTTCTTCTTGCCACTGAAATCACCAAAGAGCATGACTTGTGCTTTGGTACTTTGTCCATTGCTTTCGATTTTCCGCTGCAGCCGTTTCAAATCTCTGAGGTTGTATGCATCCATGGCCAAAATGTAGTCAAAAGTGTGAAAGTCTTTTCCATCTATTTTCCGGGCGAGATGCTCATAGTATATAATGCCATGCTGGCGAAGGGTAGCCATTGTCCGAGAATCGGGAGGTTCGAGTGTATGGTAGGCGCCAGTACCAGCCGAGTCAACCTGGTCGATGCGAGGATGGGATTTCGTCATGGAGCGAAAAACACCTTCGGCCATGGGAGATCGACCTTCACATAATCAGCTGACGCGTCCAGACCGTAGTGCGGAGGAAATACAAATATTGCCCAGGCAAACAAAAAGAACGGAAACCTGTGCAGACTCGGACATGGTGGGTTGGAAGGCACAGTTTATGTGTACGATTGCGCGTTCTCTCCTTTTGGTAATCCGGTTAGTTGGGCAAGATGAGAGGGAAGATGAAGGTCTGTGGGATTTGAGGAGGGACTGAACAGAAATGCTCGGCCTTGCAGCTTCGGCATCAACGCTGAGAGGAAACTGATTAGCCGGGTCCGATAAGGATAAGGCAGCCTTTTCAGTGGGGAAGAGAGTTTGTTTGGCTAACGAACGAATTACCGTGCAGTCCGAAGTGTTAGTCTGGGGAAAAGGGGATGGTTGATTCCTGAAACGCCTTGCACAGCCACCGCAGGCCGTTTTTCTGCAGTCGCCCTGAAGGGGGGGGAGATTGCGTGCGAGGCAGATTGGTGGTGGAGGTATGTGACGCCACAGTTGAGCCACGCGGTTGACCGAGTGCTGATGTCGAAGCGCCAAGATACAAGGGGGTGTCCGGCTACGAAGGAACTCGAATGGGCACTGAGGTTTGCTTGTGACCTGTAAAGGCTTTGGTTAGGGTCATCGATGGCAAATCATGGAGGAATAAATAGAAACGAAGGGAGCAGAATTATAGTGCAAGCCCCGGTGCCCAGTGTTACTGCGGCGATGGCCCTTGTATTCTCGTACTAGAAAGTGGCTTGGCGTGAGATCGGGGCGAGAGCTGAACATGAAACTGCGGCGACAAAGGAGACATCATCAATCTATTCTCTGCCCTTTTTTCCCGCTCGCTTTCGCCTTTTGCTTTTTCGAGGGTCCGGACGATTGCTCAACCCACCTCTTCCAGTCATTCCTTTAATTCTCCCAGTCAATATATTGGAGCACGGACATTTTGTCACTTCCAATTCGGTGCCGGAGGAACTCCACGCTGTTGAGATCATCCATTGTCTGACCCAACCATCCAGAATCGCTGCACCCCAGTCTCCTCGAACAAGCATTCGTTCATTGCGCGGCCATTCAGAATTGGAAATCCTGACACAGATTTCCTCTGAGTGCCCTCCTTTGCACCGCATTCCAACTTCCGAACACAGACCACCTCAGGACTCCCTCGCATTCTTCTTCGCCTGTCATGGCGTACAATCGACTTGGTAAATACCCCATTGCGAATCCTGAATCTGTGTCGAAACAAATACTGATAGTGGCGCTCAGGCAGTCCTCAACGGGACGGCCCTTACTCTCCTCCCGCTAATCCTCAATACGATTCCAGATCACCGTCTCCTGGTCGACCTCTGCAACCTTATACACATCCAGAGGAATCCTACACACGACAGGCTCTTCACCTCCAGATGCCCACAGCCTCTAGTGATCGCCTCGCCATGCAGCCCACGTACTCGGTCGAAAATATTCACAACTCACATGGACACAACCAACAATATGAACAACAACCATCCGCCGGAGGGGATATGAGCTATGGGAGAAGTGACTATATTGTGTCACCAGAGGAACATCACGATGGCTACTACACTCAGCCATACTCTCCTCATCCTCAGGGTGACTACGCGCTTGATCCATATCCCACTCCGAGCGAAACATATCGAAATGACAATGACAATGTTCCGATCCTTCAACCTGACTCTGCTTATGGGCCGGATCCACACTCACAACCAGGCATGGGATATGACGGTTATCATGACGAAGAGCTACGGCCTACGCCATCTCCAGCGCCGATTAGGAGGTGGAAGACGGTCAAGGAAGTGCAATTGTTCAATGGCAATCTCGTGCTTGACTGCCCTATCCCCCCCAAGCTCTTGGCCAATGTTCCACATGCGAAACCTCCCGAGAGAGATGAGTTTACGCATATGAGATACTCCGCTGCGACTTGCGACCCCTCAGAATTTTACAACGAAAGATTCACGCTCCGACAACGGCTCTTCGCGAAGCCCCGGCAAACAGAGCTGTTCATTGTCGTGACCATGTACAACGAAGATGAATTTTTATTTGCGCGGACCATGATTGGTATCTTCAAAAACATTGAATACATGTGTAATAGAAACACCAGCAAAACCTGGGGAAAAGAAGCCTGGAAGAAAATTGTGGTTTGTGTTGTGAGTGATGGCCGTGCGAAAATCAACCCTCGAACCCGGGCGGTTCTGGCTGGTCTGGGCGTCTATCAAGATGGGATTGCCAAACAACAAGTCAATGGTAAAGACGTCACAGCTCACATCTACGAGTACACTACGCAGGTTGGTCTGGAGCTTAAGGGCACCCAAGTGTCTCTGAAGCCGCGATCTGCGACACCCGTTCAAATGCTGTTTTGTTTGAAAGAGAAGAATCAAAAGAAGATCAACTCTCATCGATGGTTCTTCCAAGCATTTGGCCGTGTCTTGGATCCTAATATTTGTGTGCTCATCGATGCTGGAACCAAGCCCGGAAAGGACTCAATCTACCAACTCTGGAAAGCCTTTGATCTGGAACCTATGTGTGGTGGTGCTTGCGGCGAAATCAAGGTCATGTTGGAGCACGGCAAGAAGCTTCTCAACCCCCTCGTCGCCACGCAAAACTTCGAATACAAGATGTCGAATATCTTGGACAAACCGCTCGAATCCGCATTCGGTTTCATTTCCGTGCTCCCCGGCGCATTTTCCGCCTATCGGTACGTTGCCTTGCAAAATGACAAGAATGGCGAAGGTCCGCTGGAGAAATATTTCAAAGGCGAGACGATGCACGCTGATGCGGGCGTGTTTACGGCGAACATGTATCTGGCCGAAGATCGTATACTTTGTTTCGAACTTGTCAGCAAACGCAATTGTCGCTGGATCCTGCAATATGTGAAATCCGCCACCGGTGAAACGGATGTACCGGACCGGATCCCAGAATTTGTTCTTCAACGACGACGGTGGCTCAACGGTTCTTTCTTTGCCGCCGTCTACGCGGTGGCGCACGTGTACCAGCTGTGGCGAAGTGATCACAGTGCCATTCGAAAGTTCATGTTCCTGATTGAATTCACCTACCAGACAATCAACATGCTCTTCGCTTGGTTTGCAATTGGCAACTTTTTCCTCGTTTTCAGGCTCTTGACAGCCTCATTGGGAACCCCTGGCCCTCTCGGGTCAGCCGGCACAGTTCTCGGTGTGATCTTCGAGTTCATCTACCTGGGTACACTTCTTTATTGTTTCATCCTATCCATGGGCAACAGACCTCAAGGGTCAAAGAAGTCTTACCTGATGATGGTCATTTTCTGGTCGGTCCTCATGGTGTGGTTGACCTTTGCCTCGATTTTCTTAACGGTCCGGTCGATCGAAGCCGAAGTCAACGAGAAGGACTTTAGTTTCTCAACAATCTTCAACAACAGCACCTTCTTTGGCCTGATCGTCTCCCTTGCCAGCACCTATGTTCTCTGGTTTGTGGCCAGCTTTTTGTTTTTCGACCCATGGCATATGTTCACTTGCTTCCTTCAATATCTCGTCCTTACCCCAACCTATATCAATGTTCTCAACATCTACGCCTTTTGTAATACCCACGACATTACTTGGGGAACCAAAGGGGATGACAAGGCCGAGAAATTGCCCAGCGCCAATGTCAAACCAGGTGGAATGGTCGACGTGATGATTCCTCAAGATGACGGCGACTTGAACGCACAATATGATGCGGAGTTGAACAAATTCGCCACCAAAGCTGTGAAAGAGGTGAAGCCACCCAATCCAGCGGACAAGCAAGAGGACTACTACAAATCTTTCCGAAGCAACGTCGTCACAGCTTGGATGGTCACCAATTTCATCCTGGTAGCGGCGGTGCTGAACGTGGCAGGATTTGATAGAATCAACGTCGACGACACCGAGCAGCAAAATTCGACGGTGTATTTAGCCGTCATTCTGTGGTCGGTGGCAGGCTTGTCTTTGTTTCGATTCTGTGGTGCGTGTTGGTTTCTGATTGTCAGAATGGTAAGTGCTTCTCGAGTTCCCCGGAATCCCCGACGCTGACTTGATCAAGTTCCGCGGTGTTTGATTCCAATGAAAATCAACAACAGTTTATATGAGTAACGAGAAGCGATCGGTGATACGATTTGGATCAGTGGTCTGGCGTTCTGGCGCCTTCATTGCGGATATTTGCATACTTTTACCTTCGCGAAAACTTCGTAATGGTGCGATGTCCCAAGAACATCAGCGATGAATGTACAAATGGCCGTATTATCGAGAAGCCGGGAATACCTAGAAATCCTTCTAAGCATGGGAATGAATGGCGGGATCAAATCATGATGTTGAACGATTCCAGCTGCAAAACTGGTGTTTGTGATAGTACAACTAAATTTTCTCTCGTAACCAAGCGCGGAGAGTTAGCGCTACGGCCAGTTCAACTGCTTAACTATCTCGTAGCTCACTCAGACTCGGATATATACAAATCAGTTCTCATCGACGAAGTTGTCGGAGCCAATATCAGGTCTTGGACCAAACACAAAGCCCAATTCCAGCACAGACCAAGATCATGCCTACCCAGGTATCTTTGGAGATGAGTTTACCCTCGGCATACCACTCACCAAGGACAGTAAACAAGAACGCCAGGGAATTGGTGATGGGGACGGTGAGGGAGAGTTCTGGGATTTTCTCGTCAGTCAGAGGGGAAAAGAGGATAATTCAAAGCACAGAAGAAAATTGTGAATTCGATTTCTTCAGCCCAATAAATTCATCTCAATGCCGATCCCAAATGGGCCATCCTATGGGCCACAAATGAAGAAGAAATACGTACCGGCTTGTCCAACCAACAGGAAAAACCATACACTGCCTGTGAGATTCAGAACTAGAGGAACTGAATACGACGGACTCTTCAAAAGTCCAATGACAGTATAGAACACTTTCACAATTTGTCGAGAGATCCATGACCTATTTGGATCCGTGATGGATGGATTTGTGGGCGTGGCGTAGTTGACCGCGGCTTTTCGGATAAAGGGGGTCGTGAAGCCCCAGCAGATGCCGACTAGGAGGAACGAAAGGACATAGTTGAAGGGTGAAGGGGTCGGAGGTGCTGAGGCATCCTCAGTTGTAAAAGAGGGCATGATATTTCGAATGTGGGGGTGGAATAGAACGAAAGGGGCGAGACGTGGGTGACTACAAATGAAGGCCCAGCGTGTGTCGCTGTGCCAAGCGACGGCATCCCCCTTAGCTAATGGTCCTCACTAGAAGTTACTACGGCAGATCACGGGCTCTTTCTGGAAGGGTTGTCATCGTCACAAACTTGACAACTCAAAAGCATTGTAGGTCTGGAATGTTCAATTTGGACTGGGCTTGATCGAATCAAAACCAAGAATCTGACAGGATTAAGTTTTGCACAGTATAACAAATGCTTCGCAGCAGCATTACTTCGACGCATTTGCTTTACCGTGGCCCCCTTCCTCTATTATGCAAGGCTGGGAACCGCCAGAATCATCGACTAAAGCTAAAAATGACCAGTTTGATACCAAATGATTAAAAGACACCAACCCGACGTGCTGAATACTGTATCCGGTGCGTTGTTTCACAACAAGCAGAAATGATTCGACATGACTTGGCTCAGGGGTGTTCCCAGCCTCGTCCATCAGACTCTGGACAGCGGGTGTGGCTGGGATCCTAATCTCAGCAGGTCCACGCCCCCAAACACCCATCATCGAAAATATTGCCAACCTCATTCTCTCTCACTGAATCCATTTTCTACCCGTTTTCACCATTATACTCCATACATCACCTTTTATCGTCCCACGCATATTCAACAACCTGAAATCAGCGCCGTGCTTAATTTTTCAATGCCCACAATCCTCACTCCCCAAGGCTGGGTCAAAGTCAGCCAGATTCCGGGCAAGAGGCCGGCTAACCATGATCCGGCCGAAGCTCTTAAAGGGCCATTGGCATATTTCAGCTGTCAACCACTTCCCTCCAGCAAAGTTCCGAATGGTGCAAGAAATAAACCCCAGTTCCCTTACGACCTCTCTGCCTCGCCGGAAAAGTTGAAAAGACAGTCTCATGCCAGAATAGGTGGGAAAAACAGGAACATTTCGGCTCCTCAACCTCGATTGGAAGATGATGATGAAGATGAGGATGCGGATCGGAAATCTCACTCATCTCGTTCTTCACTCTCGACGAGAAGCGTATCACCTGCTCCGGAGTTACCACGTTCCCATCACTCATCAAAATCTCGACACCAGTGCTCTCACGATGAGGGCCGCTCCAAATCCGGATCAAGCCGAAGCCCGCATAGATCCTACTCCCACCATCCACCTATCGAAACAAATCCACAGCCTGTAGTCGCGCATTCGTCAGGGCCAGGGCAATATCACCCCAGAAACAGCTACAACAATTACTCTCCTCCAGGGTCATTCCAGCGTCCACCACCTCCGACCAATGCGAGAAGCATGTCGTATAGTTGGTACAATGCCACTACACCCTTGAATTTGTGATAGCGATTTGTCCTAGCAGGATTGATTTATTTGGCGCTCCCACGAAAATTTGGCTGATTGGGTCAAGTAGCGGGTTGTTGGTTATTTAATTTTTGGTTCCAGTAAACTGGTAGCTCTCATAAGGTATTCACATTGCATCAGATTGCTCTGGCCAATCTTGTCCTCATGTGTCCAAACAGTCCTTCCTATGCGGTCCCATCCAGGCTCAAAGCCATTGAACCTGCCAATTCAAACGTCCTAGTCCATACTTGCAAGATATCAGTCGATCATAAGTCCTGATTGTCCTCCAGCGTATCATTCATCAACGACACCAGTCGTCCCTGTGCCTGCACCACACCCAATTGTTCTGAGGTGGGCCCAAAAGCTCAGTCATCGACCACCACGATCCTTTCTTTCCTCCTCGTACTCCTCACAGTTTTAACTTCCTTCATCGAAGGGCGGATGAACATCTTTTGTGTCTTGGTGACTACGACTCTTGTCTCGGGTTGATTGCCTCCACCAACAAAAGTCAGATTCGCATTCGGTCGAGTTGGATATGGATCAATCACAACCGGTCTCCGATGACGGCTAGAGGTGGAAGAGGTATCTGAACCGTAGTATGCACGTCGTCGAGCTCGAAGACAACAGATACATAGCAGGAGGAGGAGAAGGACCCCGAAGAAGACTCCGAGAACGATGCCGCCCACAGCACCTGGTGATAAGCCGCCGCCGCCGTGTGCATGTTCCACAACCACGGTCGCAGGGGAAGTGGTGTGAACGGGAACAACGCTTGTTGTTGTGCCTGGAAGCACCACGACCGTGGATATGGTCGTTTCTGTCGTCCAACTCGTAGTGCAGCTGCTGGTAGTCCAACTGGTGGTCCAGCCGTCCGTATGCTCTGGTACGACAGGAGGATTTGCCGTTACCTGGCCGGGAGATCTGACTTCAACTACCGGCATGGGGAAGAGTTCGAGGATTCGATATTACAATGCCGCATCGAGAGACAGCGTGCAGCCGGAAACAAAGGATAGTTCGCAGTTGTCTGGTTGCGGCTGACGTGCACCTTTGGGACATACATCTTTCACAAGAAACCGAGAGGTTCATGGATGAGCATATTTCCAGCCACTTCTGTTTCTCGACCTTGTCGATTATCAATATAGGCGGCTGGAAGTCGTACTAATGTTCGGATGAAATATGCTTTGGGGCCGAGATGTTGGAGAGGGGAACCCCGAGCACGTGCGACGAGCTCTCGGCCTATCATCGTCGGATGGTTGGTCGAGAGGTGGTCAACGCTCATGCGCTGCCATGTGCATATTTACCCGCCAGATCTGACACCCCGTGACATCAGAATCACGTGGTAAAGCTTGGCGCCCAGAATTGCGATTTCCCAACCATTAAAACCCAGAAAATAACTTACATGTTTGCAATACAACTTAGTTCTACAATCACTATTCGTAAAGATCCATTCAATGGAGTCCGAGGTCAAATAAGTTCCTGCAATTCCAAATCCCCAACCTTTTGACGTCCAGAAACGGATCAAAGAGCTCCGCGGCTGCTTGGATCCCAAGAACCCTAACTACCAACCTGAAGAACAACACACCAATATCAAAGCAGCCATCAAACTATACGAAGATGGAGGAATTAACGGATTTGATCATGTCATCATTATTGATGGAAAGCTGGTGCCTGAAGAGGACATCTTGAATGGACGTGCTTGGGAGATCTTGAAAGGAGGTGCTCCGCGCTGGGGTGAAGGGTTACACTACCAATATGCGCAAAGACATGCTTATGGTCATGGACCCTTTAGTCTCAACTTTCACGAATTGAGCACTAACCTTTCTTGAGAACTTGAAATTTACGTTTTGGTTTTCAGATTCGCATGTTACTCAGACTAATACCTGAACTTGGAGACGACGGAACGGTCCGTGCCATAGGCGTTTTGAACGACAGCGGCTCAGACATCCTCTCGATCGATACTACCGATTTGCAGCAATTTGGGAACATTCAAACATATACTGGCTGGTTTCCGCCAGCTAATATCTTTGATGCGAATGGTGGTCTACTTGTCTACCCCAGGCTTCTCGCACAAGTTCGGTTAGTGAGGGATGACAATAGCCCATGGAGCGACTGGATTATTGAGACTACTTTAGTCAAACAATATACTCCTAATATTCCACGGCTATCGGGGATCGGAATCAGACGGGTTTGGAATGAGTGTTGACGGACTCGGCTGAGGCTATTCAGCAACATATTGTTGGACAATAGCATTGAACAAATGCTAGCCAATCATTTACAACAGACTAGGACATATTGCCACGCTCGCTCAATAGGCTGTATCACCATTGACAGGCAACAATGGTGACGTACGCTCGTTAGATAGATATATAGATGGGCTCTATCCTCCATTCATGAGGAGAGCCAGAGCACTCTTTTCAATCTACTTTGGGCTGTATTCGAGAACAAAAGCTTACTTGAGATAAATGACCCCTGTGGGAATCATGTGTTAATGTGTATCCGAATGAGGTCTACAGACCTATTTATCTTTGCTACGCAGCTCTATACGTCTTCTCGGATCGATATAGTATTGAGCTACTCTAGGACCTTGTACTGCAAAAGCTTCAGTCAATATTGTCGAGATTTTCATTGTTCCGAAACGAATCAGAGATGTCGTTGCGTTGTTGATGTATACGTATGTGCACACCATGGACTATGATAATATGGTCGACAAGCTACAAAGTTTGATATCTAACCATGTTGTCTGCGACGTTGAGACGCTTGCACAAGATACAGAATCCCTGGCTTTGTTGCAAGAGGCTGGCGCTCTGGCAAAAGGTCTCGTGCTCAAGTCATTGCAGCGATTGGAACAAACATGTACGATGCCATTCTCCTAACCTGAGAACAGAACGAGTATGAAAGAGCAGGACTAATGGACTAGCAAGATCACGTAACTCCGTCTCACGGGGCTTGGCTAGTGCAAGGCTCTCTCTAATCCCCCGCTTTCCTCCCGCCCCGCAGCGGCGAGGTCTTCGTTCCGCGTGTGATCTTTGCTTCTGTATACTGCACCTATAAATCAATCACATCTCTAACCCACGAGCCGATCAAGCCAGATATGGCACCCTCCCGAATCTCTCCAGAGCCAGCACCGTCACAAGAGTACCTTGGGCTCACATCTAAACAGATTGCTACCTTCCATCGCGATGGCTATCTAATCATTCCTTCATATCTTTCGCCGGAAACATGCCAGATTCTCTTGTCCAAAACCTACGAACTTCTCTCCGACTTCCCGCTCGCTGATCATCCCATGACACGTTTCACCACTGGCACAGATGCAGACGGCAACTCCACATCCACTAAGCACGTCGGAGATGAGTACTTTCTGAAATCGGGGGACAAAGTCCGGTTCTTTTTTGAAGAGGATGCGTTCGACCCGCAGACTGGGGAATTGAATATCCCCAAAGAACGAGCGATAAACAAGATTGGACACAATTTGCATGGACTCATCCCGGAATTCGGCAACATCTCACATAAGGGGGAGATCGGAAGGCGTAACGCCGCCATCGCGAGAGACTTGGGCTACAAAGATCCCAGGTTACTCCAGAGCATGGTGATATGCAAACAGCCAGAAATTGGAGGAGCCGTGCCGCCTCATCAAGACAGCACATTCTTGTATACACGGCAGCCCTCGGCGGTAGGATTTTGGATTGCGCTCGAGGATGCCACGGTTGAGAATGGTTGTCTGAGCTTCGCGCCCGGAAGCCACCGCAGAGCACCTATCAAGGGGCGATTCGTGAGAGCGGCGGATGGCAGCGGAACGACATTCGAAAATGTGCCCGAAGACGGTCGTTGGCCGAAGAACTTTGAACATGAGAACGGCTCTAATGCGAAGGAGGAGTATGTGCATGGTGAAGTCACAGCAGGGAGCTTAGTGCTCATTCATGGAAACATTCTGCACAAGAGTGAGAAGAATACAAGCCAGAAGGGACGGATCATCTACACATTCCATCTGATAGAAGGGGAGGAGAACTATGATGAGAAGAATTGGTTGCAAATACCTGGCGGACCGAAAGAATTCACCAGGTTAAACGGACAATCATAGATTGTAATTGAAGAGCATCCGGACCCAACCAAACAGACTGGCGTACTTACCAGCCGACAGCCTCGTGAAAATTCTATCCCCCTGGGATACCGCCGTTGGCTGGCACTGTCCCTTATGAATCGGGCCCCATGCTGGAATAGCCAGATCGAGGACGTCCGGAGACCTAGTCCATCAATTGTTGACAGAGTCTGGCTATTACAGGACTAGTCGGAGATAAAAGATATGGAAAAGAGAAAACTGGCCGCTGAGAAAGACCAAAGTTACTGTAATGACGCGGCAACATTTTATATTTTGTTTGGCGGTTACCTTACCCACTATGTAGACCAGTATCAACAAGACGGAGCAGCTTGTCGGAAAAGGTTCTGCACAACCGAGCGCTCAAACGCTTTAAGCAATTCCAATCTTCATAATGGCGAAGCCGGATGTTGAGATTCCAAGTGAAATGCTTGCGGTTCAAGTGGTCAAGGTGAAGAGAATATGCCATTGCGAAAGAGGAACATATAGCACTGACTTGTATCCAGTATGCATCACGCCGGCCATCAACAAAATCCCTACGCCCTCTCCGGCCAAACTCGGGCCGCACGACATGCTGCTTCGCACGGCGGTTGCCTCTCTGTGTCATACAGACTTGATGGTGCTAGACGGCGTCTTCCACACTCCGCTGCCCATTACCATGTCACTCGAGGGCACAGCCGTGGTTGTCGCCACGGGGGCATCGGTCACGAACTTCAAAATCGGCGACCGTGTCATGTCGGGTATTCCACTGCACCAACGTGGCAGGTGCGAGCACTGCAACCCTCCTGACGGCAAGGATTGGGATCAGACCACGAACGGAGCCACCGTCATCATCACGGATGAGGCATTCGCGGAGTTTCACGTCGTCGATGCTCTGACGAGTTGTCACGTTCCGGACGACGTAAGTTTCATAACTGCCGCGCCGCTCCCCTGTGCCGGGGTCACCGTCTACCGTGCTGTGTTGGTCAGTGAGGTCAAGGAGGGCGGATGGCTTGCCATCGTGGGCGCGGGAGGAGGCTTAGGACATTTTGGCGTGCAGTTTGCAAAGGCGAGGGACATCAACGTGATTGCAAGGGCCATGGGCGCACACCATGTATTGGACGCTCGCGAAGGCAAGGCAGCCATCGTGGAAAAAGTCAAGGCCCTGACAAACGTCAACGGCGTGGAAGTCACCGTCAACGTGAGTGATCATCCTTCCACCGCGGCTCTCTCTGCTGCAATGACTCGCATGCACGGCACAGTTGTCCAGGCAGCTCAGCCAGAAGAGATCATTGTGCCGTTCCAGGATGTCGTGCTGCGAGACGTCACGATCAAAGGTACTATGCTCGGAGGTCGCGACTTGAGCCAGGAGATGTTGGACTTCGTGGTCCGGCATCACATTAAAGACTCAAGTTTTCTATGGCCTTGACGAGGTGCCGAAGATGATAGAGTTGTCGAGATCCGGGCAGCTTAGAGGTAAGGCAGTTTGTGTGGTCGACCGAGAGCTGACGGGCCCCCAGCAATGAGCAGATGTATCATTGTGATATGGCTTTTTCGGAGAATACTTTTCCCTCAAATGCAATGAATGGGGCGATGAGTTTGTCAATCAGACAACCTCATGGTATAGTATATCAGCCATTATGAATATTTTCGCCTTTCAACTTCATAATGAACCCATCCTGTCTCTCTGATTACTTTTCGTAGCACCTTTCCAGTCGATGATGCCCCATGACCCTCTGTTCCTTCTGACGTCACCTATGGCCTTGTCCACGTCAAGGCCTCCAGAAACTCGGTGTGTCACATTGACATGAATCCGATGCCTCGCCTATGCGAGATGACGTTCTAGCCCAGAGATAATGGGAAGGTCGAGGCTTTGCAAAAAGGCGAGGCAATGTCAAAGTTCCCATATGAATCAGGAAACCGAAGGGAACAGAAACCAAAACTTGAACCGGCAGAAGTCTATATTCATGAGAAGCTCTCGTATCTTTGCTCTCTCACGATCATTGTACATCCAAATGTATTATTTTGGTACCACACTCCCTTCTCCCCTGGTATTACGCCTGTCAGCAGCTCCAGACCCGGATGTCCATGTCTGAAAAATAGTTCATTCATAAGCGCCGCCCCCCCCCTAATATACGCGATAGTCTTTGCTAGGTCTTAACGCCGTTCTGCCCATTCTCGAAGGGCCAATATCAATTGTACTCAATTCAAGAGCAAGCGAGCCGTCTCCACCGTACTCACCATATTCCATCGAGTTATTGGATCTGTGCAACGGTACCTTGGTCGGAGTTACAGGGTACTCTGGTCTGTTTGGTCCACCCCGTGGGTTATAGTTGCTCGTGGCAGGTACTTGGTATTCAGACAGTGGAGGCCGTTGGGGCAATCCTCCTGCAGGCGAAGAATGCGTCGAGCACCGTTGGCTTGAAGGACGGGGATGATCCTCGACTGAAGCTGGAGCCATGACTGCGGGGCTGGTATGGGGATGGGGGTATGGTTGGGTCGGTAGCGGACGATTTGGCATGGGCTTCTTCAACCTATTCCGTCCGCCGCCTCTTGACCCTGTCGGAGGAGATGTTGGAATCGCAGGAGGGGATGAAGAAGCCTGGTACGGAGACGGAAGAGCGCCATTAGGGGAACCTTGGTACGACGAAGTCGCAATTGAATGAGGTCTTGTAGAGGCAGGTGATGACCCCGTCCGATTCTGCATTCGCGCCTCCTCCTTGGTGCGAATCTTGATGACGTGCTCTGGTTTCCGATTTTTTCTCTCGGGTTCAGGAGCCCATGTGTCGGCAGGAAGATGGTCGGACGGATCAATGATTCGACCATCATTACCAATGATCGGCCCTTGATCCCTCAATTTGTCAACCTCCTTCTGTCGAGATGCTTCTTTGCCTTCGTCGGTCGCGGCGTACGAATCATCTTGCACAGGAGGGCTGGTGCCGGGATTCAATACATCGTACGAATCGGGCCCAAAAGGCATATCGCTCATACGCCTGCCTTCCGGCATTGCGGACGTCGGGGTAATTGACTTGCGTGGAATAGTATGAGCAGGATTCGGACTAATGGCACGTGGCCTGACCACGACCGGCTCACTCCTTCGAATTTGCCTTTCGTCGGAATTCTCGAAAGCTCGTGCCTTCCGGGGCGGACCATATCCTGTTGATTGGCCGAAGGTTTGTTGGGTATTCTCGCTATATCCAGGCTGAACCATGGGACGATCCCGAACCTGATCAAGCATCGGTACATTGTTTGCAGGAGATGTAGGTCGAAGCTGCATCTTGTTGTCATGGTACGATTCGCGTCTATCGCTAGATGACATTCCAAATCGATCGTAATCGTCTTGCGGACTCACGTCATGAGGCTTGGCCCGGGGGAGCTGACGTTGGAAGTCTCGGGAATAGGGTGAAGAATCCATATGAGGGTCAAATCCCCGCTCAAGTCGTTGAAGAGGGCTTCTTTCCTCAACGGATGAATGTTTCGCCGGTGTTCTTGGAGACGGGTGTTCTCGAGGACTTTGGTGAGATACTGGCGCCATTGGGGTCCTAGAAACTGGTCCTCGATGAACTGGAGGAGGTGGTGGTTGATCTTCGTCAAAGCGTGCGTCCGCATAGCCGTCGCTCAGTTGAGGCATATCGACTTGACTGATGGATTGCCGGAGCGGGCTGTCTCGGTACACAGGATGTTTGGTCGGTGATGTACTTGACCTGTTTTGCCACGACTGATTTTGGGCTGGCATCGGCGGAGCAGATAGTGGAGGCGTTCTAATGGGAGAAGAATTGTACGGAGACGGATTAGATATGTTGTGCGGTGAGTATGGAGTCGGTGACTGATCAAGCTCGAAGCCGGGTGAGCCTCCTGAGTGGTAGGAATGCGGCGGCTGTCCGGGAAGGGCTCTGGGTTCATACGTGTCCATTCCATAGTTACCAGGGTCCTCGTGTGGCGAAAATCCTTGTTCATAATTGTTATGATAGTCGAGAGGAAGGTGCCTTTGGTTGTGAGGTATATGCGATGGAGGTGGTTGCTCATATGGGTCGTCTGGAGGGTATTGAGGCTGTAAATCATAACCAAAATCATCTGGCGTTTCGGGTATCCGTTGTTTGGGAGGTTGTGGTGGAGGGTTGGTGCTTGAGTATCCATGGCTGGTCCACATATCAGGTGAAGGATCCCAAGGCCACAGGTCGGGGGTATGGGGACCGGAGGCGGGAGATGACTGTTCACCAGGGCCAGGCGGAAGAGGTCGTCTTTTGATTTCTCGAGGGCCGAGTTGTCGAGAACCTGGGGATGTGCTCAGCGCCTGGTTGGCCGCCGAATGTGCCTTTTCTCTTTGCCTCTTTCTCTCAGGAGAAGCCTCAGGCTTCGGTCTGGTGTCATAGTATGTTAATTCAATCCGAATATCTCCCGCATATTTGCCCTTGAAATTCAACTGATGCCAGAGGTCGTTTTGTCCGCCACCGGGCACAATCACCTCGTGGAGGTCGATCCATGCTTCACCAATAAGATCGGTTTTCTTATCATCGTTGAAGATCGAGCATTTCAACTTGTAGTAATCTGGGGAATCGTGGACGTTGAATCGGAGTTCTTGGTCCCTGCGTTTCGTCAGCAGCGTGTGAGGAGCCGGATCGTGATTCCGTTGCATACCATTTCGGAGTTTGTCCACCTCGTTTGTCTGTCTCGGTCTTCTTGGCCTCTTTTCCCAGTCGCATGGCACAATAAGGATCTTGTTTGCCCATTGTTTTCCTATTTGGAAGATTCTTTGCCCTATCGATGACGGCGACCAGGGTGCCAATTTCTGGACCATCCAGAGACATGTCGGCAAAGATCCCCGCCGTGTGGGCAGCGTTCACAGCTCTTGACCTGACGGCCATGGTGAAGAAAAGGTCTTGACTTGCCAGCCTGCGGTGTTTGTTTTTTGACCCTGCGTGAAGGCAGCCCGAGATGGTTCCAGGGCTGCGACATTCGAGAACTGAAGGGATCAATATGGAGTAGTCAGGAATACATGTCTCCCAGATTGCATGCAGGCGTTCTGAGGACGCTTGGTAGAGGATGTTAAGGTGTCAATTAAACGTCGAGAGTTCAATGTTGACGGGATGGAAAGTGGACATGGACAAGGCGCCAGCCACGGGAATTTACCCTGTCGATTTGACGGGAGGCTGGGAACGCACTGGGCGGCAGAAGTGGTTCAACAATGTACTGGCAGGGTAGGCGAGAAGAATGTTTCATATTTTGCAGCTTGCCGACTGTCGAATTGATTGCAATTGTCTTCCAACAATGCTATCCCGTGCTAGCAAAACAGTGTTGAGCTTCAATAGACGCATCTGCAGCACATCCAATGATGACTATTTAAATGACGTCGTCCTTGGCTCGCTAAACTTAGACGCACCTTACCGTTCCTGGAAGGGAGTACTAGCCACAAGTGGCTCAGTGGCTTTCATGCTTGGGCACGTGATGATCTTGTGTAATATCACATGACGGCTAACACTACGCGTAAGTAGGGGTTCTTTTCCTGTTTGTCTCAATCGCTCATTCGTGAAATAGAACCAGTATACTATGACAGCTATACATACACCATGCAACGAAGGTTCAATGCGTTAAACTGCGAGTCACCTCAAGAGCAAGCGTTTGCCGAAAGTCAGGCGAGGGGTCTCGTCCTTTGAATAATTCCGCCTAAATTTTCAAAGGGCTTGTGAATTGCTTATGCCGGAGAAGAGCATATTGATTGGATCATGAGATTGAATATGCTCCACGCATTGTTGGTCTGCATTCAAGCTGTCCTTGGTCGCGTACCTTAATTGTCTCAACCTGCCAAGGAATGGGGTGGCGCATTAAGCTGCCTTGGTGGTACCACCATCTTTTTCCACCACAATTATACGCAGACGAAGGCAGATGATAGCAAAACATCAATACCCAGTCCATCATGAATGAATTCCGCCCTCGTCAGCTTGCTGCTCACAACCTTTCCACCTTCCGCCGTCAGCCATTAGCTGAAATATCCGGCTCCCTCGGCGACTTAGGAACTTTCCTACCCATTGTCATTGCCCTTGCGGAAGGACATCAGATATCTTTGACAACGACTCTGATCGTTACTGGTGTCTACAATGTTCTCACAGGTGCCGTATTTGGCATTCCGCTGCCCGTCCAACCCATGAAAGCCATCGCTGCCGTGGCTATCCTCAGATCGCTCACCGCCGGACAGACGGCGGCGGCAGGTATCTTCGTTTCTAGTTGCACATTGCTCTTTAGCATGACGGGCCTTCTTTCTTGGTTCACGAGAGTCATTCCAATTCCAGTGGTCAAGGGTATCCAAGTAGGAGCCGGCCTGAGCTTGATCGTAGCCGCCGGAAGCAAGGCGCTCTCATCTCTCTCATGGACCACACCCTCATGGGCAGATAACTATCTCTGGATGACAGCGGCTTTCGTTGTTCTGTTTGCTATTAATCTTCAACCTCGAGTACCGTATGCACTCATTCTGTTCCTCATTGGAATCGTCTTCGCGATGATCCAAATCACCGCCGACAAACACCATCACCCTCCAGGCTTCGAGATATGGCACCCTTACATCCTTGTACCCTCCGTCAAGGAATGGAAAACCGGCATCCTCGAGGCTGGGGTGGGTCAGCTGCCTCTGACGACCCTGAACTCCATTATTGCCGTCGCTCACCTCGCTGCTGATATCCTCCCTGAAATTGAGACGCCGTCGGTCACTGCAATCGGATTTAGCGTTGCCGGAATGAACCTTTTGGGATGTTGGTTTGGAGCCATGCCAGTCTGTCACGGATCCGGCGGCTTAGCAGCGCAATATCGCTTTGGTGCTCGGTCGGGGGCCAGCATCATTTTTCTCGGCCTTCTCAAGCTCGTTTTGGGCATCTTATTCGGAGAAAGCCTTACTGACCTCCTCCACAAGTTCCCTTTCGCGCTGCTGTCAGTCATGATCATCGCCGCCGGTTTGGAACTAGCCAGTGTGGGAGAAAGCTTGAATACAACAAGGGCAAGAGATTTGAGTAAAAGGGGCAATCATCCAGGACATGTGGTTCCAATCACAGACGAGGAGAGGAAGAGAAGATGGACCGTTATGTTCGTGACAGCGGGATTGCTCGTTGCATTCAAGAATGACGCTATCGGCTTCTTGGCGGGCATGTGCTGTCATTGGAGCTATCAGCTACCTCACTCCCTTGCCCGGCTGAAACAAAGGATTTCTAGGATGCGGAATCCACTTGAGGATGGTGGAGAGCACCAAGCACTTCTGTCTCGCTGAGCATATAAGACTGTGCCTACCACGGTATTGTTCCCGCCGAATTCGAGTATGTCCCGGTCACCCCATCTGCACCTTCTGCTGCCAGTTCCGCTACCCTTATGGCCCCATGCTTTGGATGTGTTTCTTCAGTCAACTTCTGGCCGTTCAACCCAGTCGCGCGGTATCCTGGACACACAGCATTGACTTTCCAATTGGGATGTGCTTTCGCATAAAAGGTACTGAGTGCATTCTCGGCGCTCTTGCTTGAATTGTACCATATTCCGTGGTATAAGATTCCTCTGTCGAGCGTGGTTTGAATGCTTCCAAGAATAGAGCTGACAAAGATGACTTTGGGTAATTTGGACTTCTCTAGCAAAGAGGTGAGTTTGTCCGTCAACACGGCAGTGGAGGTTACATTAACGCTCAACGAAAGATTGAACTTGTCGCGCAGAGTTGCATTGTCGGGTAGATGCTGTGCGGCGGTGCCTGCGTTGTTGACGAGGATGTCTAGTTTGCCAAAGTTCTGGTCGATGGCGAGATAGCAATGCTCGATAGACTCATCGTCAGTGATGTCCAGTTGAATGGGATTGACATTGATCGGTGCACCCATGCTGGCAACAGCAGCTTCCCCTTTGACTGTGTCTCGACAGCCCATCAGGACCTGGAATGTGCGGTTTTCGGACGCGAGTTTCTTGACAATTTCATATCCAATGCCAGTATTCCCTCCCGTCACTAGAACGATGGTCTTTTCGACGGCCGCGATGCTTGAAGGGTGGTGAAGGAGACCCGGTCGAGACATGTCTGCGGTATTGTAAAGTTTGGAATGGGGTTTGGGAATTGATGGGAAGACAAAGAAGAAAAATATCCCACGACTGAATCTTCGCTAAGGCAACCGCCAAACAATTTCGGTCTTTCTCAGCGGTTAATGTCCATTTTCTGTATCTTTTATCTCCGACTAGTCCCGTACACCGATTATTAGCCAGACTCTATCAACAATTGATGGATTGGATGTCCTCGATCTGGCTACTCCAGCATGGGGGCCGATTCATTAGGGGACGGTGCCGGTCAACGGCGGTATCCAACGGGGATAGAATTTTCGCGAGGGAAGTCCTTGGTCGGAAGCGGAGTGGTTTCAGACCGAGTGGAGCGGGGCACATATATGCATAGAAAATGGAGGGTGATGCACTTACAGTAACTTCAATGCCGACGGATGGATCGCATTGGGCAATACTTCTCCAGCGCGCGAGTCCTGATCCTCAGCCTGATGGAATTCGAGAAATTATAGCACCCCCCCCCCCCCCCCCCAACACAAGGGGGATCACGTTAGAAAAATGTTTGTTGTGATGACAATGATGGTTTGGCCTTTCCAAGCCTCATCGAACATGGTATCACTATGATAACAGCACCAACTAGAAGACCTATTGCCCTCGCTAGAGGCATGTGTAAGGAGGCTGTCTGAAGGGTATCGAACTCTCATCATGACTGACATCGAACCTAGGCTCATCGTCTTATTCATCAGCTCTTAGTCAGGGAGGACCCCCGGCGTGTGAGATAAATAACTCGCCCTTATTGGCACTTAGCCTTAGCCCTCCACTCTTGTCGTGACCTCATTCACCGGAGCTACTGGTCTTCCTGTCCGAAACAAACTTCTGATATTCTCGAAACACTCCCTTTCCGACTTCATAAACGCGACATCCGTCAAACCACCCATGTGTGGTTGCAGAACCACCTTGTCGCTCGTCTGGAAATAGGGGTGGATGTTTGGCTCGTTGCGGAACACGTCCAGACCGGCCCTAGTGATTTTGCCAGACTCGAGCGCTTCAATCAGAGCTTCCTCGTTGACGACGGCGCCACGCGCAGTGTTGACGAAGAAGGATCCGGGTTTCATGGCGGCGAATTCAGCGTGAGAAATCAGATTTGTTGTCGCGGCATTCAGGGGACACGATATTGAGACTACATCGGAACTGGAGAGGAGGGAGTGCAACGTTGGGCAGTACGTGGCGTCGTATTGCTTCTCCACTTCTGGAGGGAGTTGGTTGCGGTTATAATATTTGATCTTGAGGTTGAAAACTCTAGCTTTTGTTGCAATGTACTGACGTCAAAGGTTCTCGTCAATATCGCTTCAAGATGGAATGGGTGGCCAATTCATACCTTGCCAATCGAACCCATGCCCACGATTCCAAGAGTCAACCCCGTGGGGTCGCGACTAGGAACAATCCCCGTCTTCCAAGTCCCCTCCCTCGCACCCTTTTCCGCTCTCGTGGTATCTCTGAGGACAGCCAGGGTGAGAAACACTGCCATATCCGCAGTGGCCTCGGCAACTGCATTCCGTGTGTTGCAGAACCAGATATTGTTCCGCGTCATCCAGTCGACGTCGAACTCATTAAATCCTGCGGAGGCAGAGGCAATGATCTTACAATGAGGTATCAGGGCACCAAGAAGGTCCTCGTCAAATGGCTCGTACGGAGGGGTACCCATGCGAATGATCAATGCATCGACTGGACCTGACTTCGCGACAACGGTTGGAAGTAGTTCCTGGGTTTCCTTCCGGTTGGTCGCATCCAGGATCTGCATTGAGCCCACGTAAGAGGCGTGTCCAGAAAAGGTCGTGGTGTGAGCTGGACTTACCTGAAAGTTAAAATCCTGTTTGAATTCATTTAGAAAGTCTTGTCCAACATATTTTGGATCTCCCAAGGCAACCACTAGTGGTTTCCGGGTTGCTTGTGTGGTGGACATGCTGAAATCAAGGACCAAAACCCTGAGAGTTCGTCCAAGGTCTGACAGACGGGTTCGGCAAAGTGCTGATACGTGTCGACTGAGTGGTGGGCGAAAGATTGACTCGAGATTCAGTAGCAATGAAATGGTGTTGATGCTATTAACAAATCAAATCACAATGCCCATCTCCGATCAGAATTGTAAAGAAATACGGACTTCTCCGGAAGGTCGTAGAACTCATAATCCAACTTGTCTGGACACCGAGCGAGCAAAAATCTCGACATGCGGGATGCTTGAGGATTCCAGCGGCCCTGAATACAGCATGAGTGCCCAGGCCGAGATGATAGCGTCACGAACTCATCATAGCGCCGATTCTCCACCTATGTTGAAATCGCCGTCGGTAGAGAGGTTGACATTCCTGAGAACCCTTGGACCGTTGCTACCTTCCATGAGTACATTTACCGGCCGTGTCCCTGGTTGCAATTCTCTCCAGCGCCAGCTCCGAATCAGAGTGCGGTCCATATCGACGCCTTCCATGATATCAACCACCCACTTGCCAATATTGGGAAGATATTTAAAGGCATGACCACTTCCCCCTGTAGCAACCATCACAGACTTTTGCTGGGGTAAGTTGTCAATGACGTAGTGGTTGTCGAAAGAGTCAGTGTACCAACAGAGCCGAGTAAGGTCGATGCCAATTCCGTTTTCCGCCAGTTCAGGAAGAAAGTCCGCCAGGAAACTTTTGATAACTTTCAACGCCTGTTTGGGTATTTGTGTAATCTGTTCTCCGGAAGTATACCTGGTCACAGGAACGCTACGCTCCTTGCCGTCTTTTTGAAACTTAGGATTGGTGTATTTTGTCCCTCGGTAGCCGATTTTCATATAGCCTCTCCCATCTCGTGGGAAGCCATAGAGTCCACCTTCTGCCCCGTCCCTGACTTTGTAGGTCCAAGAGGGAAACTTGTCCGGACCAAATCGTTCGGAAAGAGGAGAATCTGACGGTATTTTGAGCATCACAACGGAACCAGCGGTAGTTTCGCAGATTCCATCCAGCTCTGGAAGCAACGAAGGCGTCCACCCTCCACAAGCCATGATGATCTTCGACGCAAGATGACACTTCTGGTCTTTCGTCCGAATTCCGATGATAATCCCGGCATCATCGTAACAGAAGGCTTCGAATGCACCGGAATTGGGCCCTAGTTCAAGATTGACTCCAAGCCATTTGGCTTTGTGTAGAGCAAAGCGACAGGCCTTGTCAGCAACGGCGACTCCTCCAGTCGTATCGAGAACACCGAGGTAGCTCTTCCCTCTCACCTTCCGTAGGAAAGGATCAATGGCAAATCCAAAGCCCTTGCGATTAGCTATTTCAACATGCCGACTTTCCGTCGTAATAAGCTGTGTATCGGGAAGCCCCGCAGCATTCATATTTCGAATGGTTGCGATTTCAAATTCTGGTAGTTCGTCTTGATCGGTCAACGATAGGTTGCCATTGTTGATAAAGACTTTGTCCGTCCGTTTGAAACCATTGGGCACACATATTCCATTGCTGATCTCTTCGTTCCACGTATTCCAATGTCCGATGGCTTCTGTGGAAAGATCTTGATATTCTGTTTGTGTCCCGTACGCTGAGCGAATTATCTTGTTCATGTCTGGCGATCCAACTATCGTCAATTCGGAGATCTTCTGAAGGACAAATTGTAGGATGTGAGGACTTAGGCTCACCAGATGAAGCAGAGTCGCACTCATTAATGTAGTCATATTCATGTACTTCATATGGTTGTGTGTCGAATATCGTGACTCTTGTGTAGCCTCGTTGTGCAAGATGAATTGCGGTGCTCAGCCCGAATACCCCAGCACCAACAATGATGATTGAGTCTGTTTTCTGTGGACGGGAGGCCATGTCGAGACGGGTGAATGTTGGATTTACAAATTCTGCACGTTGGATTTCCGAAACAGTAAAATGAAGCGAAGCTTTCAAGGACCATCCAGCTTGTTGCTGGGTCGAATACGGCACGATTGACGTACGCAACGTTGATCGTGGTGGATAGTGCTATCATACGTGAGGGCTTATCGAAGTTGATGTGACCTTAGCTGATTTAGTCAGCTCTATTCCCCTTTTTCTCCGCAGCCTTCAATCAAGCGAATTAAAGGCGACCACAATTGTGCGGGGAGTGTTTGTTTGGAGAGGTCAGCCAGTGGCACCACTCTGGACACGTCCATATACCATTACGGATTCCATTTCTTCCAGTAGCATATTCCAAGTCCGCTGATCTCCATATCTCGTTCAAGCCAATACATCTGCCGCCTATTCAGATTCCATGTCGTTGCGCGGTAAAGTCATCGCCATAACTGGAGCAGCATCTGGGATTGGATTGCAGTTGACCAGGCTTGCGGCCTCTCGCGGAGCAAAATTGGCGCTGGCTGATATTCAACCAGGGCCATTGGACGACATTGTCAACGAGATAAAATGCTCCGGAGTTGAGGTTGTTGGAAGTCGTTTGGATGTGACATCCCACAAAGAAGTGGACGACTGGGTCAATGCGACCGTGAGCCATTTTGGAACCATCGATGGTGCCGCAAATTTAGCGGGAGTCGAAGGTGGAAAGAAAATGGCAGCCATGTTGGCTGATGTTTCGAATGAAGACTGGGACTATATATTGTCAGTCAACCTGACGGGCCTCATGTATTGTGTCAGGGCTCAAGTCAGGGTGATGCAGGCAGGAGCTTCCATTGTGAATGCTGCCGGCATCTCTGGGCTGATAGGCCGACCCGGAATTTGCGCATACTCAGTCTCGAAGCATGGCGTGGTTGGGCTGACAAAGACAGTGGCGAAAGAAGTTGGATCGAAGGGTATTAGGGTCAACGCTGTTGCGCCGTGAGTATTTGAGATTGAGCATCTGAATGAACAGAAAACGATTGAGCCTGACACCACATATTGCAGGGGGCCCGTTGATACGCCAATGCTTCAGAGAATCTTTCAGGCGTCTGACAGCACATATCTTCCCTTCACCAGCACATATGCAAACATGCCTCTGCAAAGAACAGGTCAAGCAGAGGAGGTGGCAAACTTGTTCGCCTTCTTGCTCAGTGACGAATCAAGCTTCATAACAGGAATTGTCTGCCCATGTGACGGTGGAATTATGGCCTGAGGTACAGTATGGATGTAGTAAAGCATTAGAATCATCGAGGTCTGAGGGTTTTATCTTCAAGAATTTCCCTCTTATGGTCGTTCGGGAAAGCGAGTAAATCTCTGGCTCAAGCCGCGGTGTTCGTTTGAAGCCGGCGTCAACTTGTCTTCTCGTGTTACACGCTTGTATATCAGTGTTCATATCGGAGATTTCGGTATCTGAGTCTTCATAATGACTGATCATTGTAGAAATCCTGCACCAGGTTAGAAAGGAAAGGATGGTCGGGCATATTTGGCCACGTGACTGAAGCCAGAGTCTTACGGAGGACTTGGCATGTTTGTCTGGTTTCTCCAGCATTTGTGTGTTACACGAAACATGGACGTGACTCACAGACACTCAGCTTTGCGATCGGCAGGGATGGTATTCAGCGGGATTACTTCTCCGAAAGGGGATAAGTTTGACGAATTCGAAGACCCAAAAACACTCGAAAAGGAGGATTGCTTATCGTGCCGAGTTATAGGTCTGCAGTGAAGATTCGGAATCCCAATTTCAGGGGCTGATGTTCTGTCCCAGGTTCAACTGCCTTTGTATCACTAGGGGGCTACACGTACTATTCGGGCATGCAACAACTCCGAGCACAGCGAAAAGCTATCGAACTCAGCAAATCAAAGTACAAGTACGGCTCAAGGCAACTGGGAATTCTCTCTTTGTCGGCTACCCTTGCTGGACTGGGCATCTATCGGATGTTCAATTGACCCCGTCCAGAAATCCAGAGGAATGTGTCCACGACGTCTACCCAAAACAGGCCGGAGATTCCAATAGAAGTCGGATTATTAAGGCTGACATCACAATAATCTGTAATCAGAGTACCCAGAGGCTTCTCGAAGGGTAGATGAAAGCGCATGAGGTTAGCACAATGAGAAGAGTGGACGGCTGCATCGGTTCGCAATGGAGGGACGAGATCCCTCATTGCTATCATCCGATATCTGAATATGTTCATACCGAGCGTATGCATGTATATATACTGTATGATTGACAAAATTACGCTTATGCTGGTGGTCATGTCATCATAAGATTACCGTACTTCCGTACCAAAATCTAAAAGCTCCTTCGGAACAATGCTGAACATTCATCTGGCTTGAAGATGGCGGTATCATGACAGACGCCCTCGCTTGCTGCTTCCAACTCCATCCCGAGGTCCAATATTGGATATGTCAAAGAAATCAGGAAATTGTAGTTTTCGTTTTGTACCTGTCGTAAATGTAAACTCTCGGCTGGAAGATTTCGTGCTGTGTCGTTGATTGCCGTGCCTGTGAGGTGTTCTGCTTCCACGATTGTTTAATCGGATGGTCGCATTTGAAGAAGTCGAGGCTGAGGGTTGAATTTCGGACCCGGTTCCGTCGTCGTCCGTTTGCATGTCGTCGGAGCCTTTTGCGGTGGAATTCCCCGTAAAATGAAACATAGGCGTGGAGGTGATCTGTTCACCAGTCGTCGAAGTTTGAGGGTCATCTGTTTGGGTGGCGGATTCCACCTTTGCCGAATCAGCTTGGGTGGTTGTAGATTCCGTCAACTGCTCTCTTGTTGGCGAAATACTTCGAGGTCGTTGTCCAGCTTCACTTCTCTCCTCATCACTTTCGCATGGTTGTTGATGAGCCGATCCGTCGTATCGTTCTGTCGCCCACTGCCTCACTCTCCATCCTTCACCATCCCCCAGGCCGAGATTTTCCCGGTCCAGAAAGCTCAGCAGATCCTCCAAGGCTTCTTGATAACCAGCCTGTCGGCTGATATTTTGATCCGTGACAGCGGACTTGTAGAGGTTCGTGACGGAAAGGGCGGCAGTTCGGAAGGCTTGAAGAAGTTGCTCCGGGGGGGCGGGGTGGGTAGAGGTGGACGACGGTAATGAGGTGTTGAGAGACCTCATCGAGTCCATGATGTAGTCAAGACAGGACTTTTCAGAGTGCTCAAAATATTCTCCCCTTTGCTTGTAATCTAGTGAAGTTGATGTTGACGTTGGCAGCTCGATGGTGGACGGAGAGGGTTTTCGCCGAGGCGGCTAGCCAGCTGGCAGACCACTTGCGTTCGAGGGGCAAATAAAGAAAGAATATCTGGAATAAGGAGGGACCGTAGTCGAGCGGCAGACAAATGTTGTCGTCCAATCCAAGAAGTCAGGACTGGACAAAAGACCGAGAGCGTTTGAGGCCGATAGAGGGACGACCGAAGGACAGTTGCACGCAAAACCTCAAGTCAACAGGTCACGGGGAGAAGCGGCCGCTCGGAAACCTTACCAAGAGCACTCGCTCATTCAGGCAAGTTGGCCGAACTAATTTTTGGGCAAAATGCGTGTTTGCCTGGCCAATCAGCATCCTGAATTGCCGGAACCAGCCAACCTGCGCGTGCATGAACTTGCCCTTCTTCCCTCTCCCCATATCTTTTACGTTCTTTCTCTTCTTCTCTCCTTCAACACGCCTCCCGATTACACGCGATTTTCTCATCGCGCTACTCTTCTCTTCCAGGCTTCACTCATTCTTCCTCTTTGTACAATCTCCAGACGGTCGCGTCTGTGGCATTGAGTGAACTATTCTGCGACCCGGGCCTTGTCGGCCGACGACCCAAATGGCACCCTCAAAATTGCAACGATCCGACTCGGAGACCTCTTCAATAGCCGACACGCCCATGACCGGCGCTCATGAGTATCTGAATCCGCGCCGACCGTCTTTTGGACATCTCAATCGACCCATCGACGATACGCCAGACTTCACAGATTCAGACACGAACCCCAACACCACCGCCAGCAGTGTCGCTGGAGATCCTCCCGCAACCGATGGCCGGAAGAGACGATCAGAGGCATTTCAATTACGAAAGAGCATCCTGGGAAAGAAACACGGCCAACTCGATGAATCCAAAGAAGATGACACTCTCCGACGATTCAAGTATCTTCTTGGACTGACGGACTTGTTCCGCCACTTCATTGAGACCAATCCCAATCCGAAAATCAGACAAGTCATGGCGGAAATTGATCGCGAGAACACGGAAGAAGCTACCAAAGCAAAGAAGGGCGTATCTCGCAAGGGAGGCGCAACAGCAGGGAAGGGCAGAAAGACGGAACAGGAGGAAGATGCAGAGCTCCTGCGTGATGAGAAGCGTGGTACGGCGTCCCAGACGGTCTTTCGAGAGTCACCTGCATTCATCAAGGGTGGGGAGATGCGGGATTATCAAGTGGCCGGCCTCAATTGGCTTATTTCACTTCACGAGAACGGCATTTCTGGCATTCTGGCGGATGAAATGGGTCTGGGCAAGACCCTTCAGACCATCTCCTTCCTCGGGTATTTACGGCACATCTGCGGGATCAAAGGCCCACACCTCATCACCGTCCCCAAATCCACATTGGACAACTGGGCTCGAGAATTCAAGAAATGGACACCCGACGTTGATGTTCTCGTGTTGCAAGGGGCGAAAGACGATCGCCATGCCCTGATCAATGAGCGACTGATTGACGAGAAATTTGACGTGTGTATCACGAGCTACGAAATGATCCTCCGAGAGAAGTCTCACCTGAAGAAATTTGCCTGGGAATACATTATTGTGGATGAAGCGCACCGAATCAAAAACGAAGAATCCTCTCTTGCGCAAATCATTCGCATGTTCAGTTCGCGGAACCGACTTCTCATCACCGGCACTCCTCTGCAGAACAATCTTCATGAATTGTGGGCTCTGCTCAACTTTCTGCTCCCGGATGTCTTTGGAGATGCTGAAGCATTTGATTCCTGGTTTTCAAGCCAAAATGAAGACCAGGACACGGTCGTCCAACAGCTGCATCGCGTCCTGAGACCTTTCTTGCTACGAAGAGTCAAGAGCGATGTCGAGAAGAGCTTGTTACCAAAGAAAGAGCTTAATCTTTATGTGGGAATGTCGGAGATGCAAGTCCGTTGGTACAAGAAGATCTTGGAGAAGGACATCGACGCCGTGAACGGTGCGGGCGGCAAGCGAGAATCAAAGACCAGATTACTCAACATTGTGATGCAGCTTCGAAAATGCTGCAATCATCCATACTTGTTCGAAGGCGCCGAGCCGGGTCCTCCTTACACTACCGATGAACATCTGGTGTTCAACTCGGGAAAGATGATCGTCCTCGACAAGATTTTGGCCCGAATGAAGGAGGAGGGAAGCCGAGTTCTCATTTTCTCGCAAATGAGCAGAGTTTTAGATATTCTGGAAGACTATTGCGTTTTCCGAGGCCATCAATATTGCCGAATCGACGGCGGGACTGCTCACGAGGATCGAATCGCCGCGATCGATGAGTACAACAAGCCAGGGTCTGAGACATTCGTTTTTCTGCTGACCACTCGCGCGGGAGGGTTGGGAATCAATTTGACCACCGCCAACATTGTTGTTCTTTATGACAGCGATTGGAATCCTCAGGCAGATCTCCAAGCCATGGATCGTGCCCATCGTATCGGTCAGACCAAACAAGTTCGAGTATTCCGTTTCGTGACGGAGAATGCGATCGAGGAGAAGGTCTTAGAAAGGGCCGCTCAAAAGTTGCGGTTGGATCAACTTGTCATTCAACAGGGTCGCGCTCAACAACAAGTCAAGCAAGCCGCCTCCAAAGACGAATTGTTGAATATGATTCAGCATGGGGCAGAGAAGGTCTTTGAGACTAAAGGCTCAACTGGCCCTCTCGATGACATCGATGAGATTTTACGACGAGGCGAGGCTCGAACGGCAGAATTGAATGCCAAATACGAGAAACTTGGGATCGACGACCTCCAGAAGTTCTCGTCGGAAAATGCTTACGAGTGGAATGGCGAAGACTTTACGAATCGTCGGAAAGATATCGGCCTGAATTGGATTAATCCGAGCAAGCGTGAACGTAAAGAACAATCTTATTCAATGGACAAATACTATAAACAGGCATTGTCAACTGGAGGCAGACCTGCGGAGACCAAGCCGAAGATCCCTCGAGCGCCAAAGCAAGTCAACGTTCACGATTGGCAATTCTTTCCGCCCGGCCTCCAAGAGCTGCAGGAAAAAGAGACGGCTTACTATCACAAGGAAATCGGGTACAAAGTCCCTCTTGCCGAGGGCACCGAAGAAGACTTGAGCGACCGAGAGGCAGATCAGCGACTCGGTCAGGATGAAATCGACAATGCCGAGCCGCTTACTGAGGAAGAGAAACAGCGCAAGGCTGAAATGCAGGAGCATGGGTTTGGTCACTGGAATCGACGAGATTTCCAACAATTTGTCAACGGGTCGGCTAAATTTGGACGCACCAACTACGAAGGCATTTCCACCGAGGTTGACAGCAAGGATCCTGATGAAATCGAAGAATATGCACAGGTGTTTTGGAAACGTTACACAGAAATCGCCGACTATGACAAGTACATCAAAACTATTGAAGCTGGCGAAGAGAAACTTCGCAAGACTAATCTTCAGCGAAAGATGCTGAGGAAGAAGATGGAGATGTATCGTGTTCCGTTGCAACAACTCAAGATCAACTACACGGTATCCACGACGAACAAGAAGGTGTACACGGAAGAAGAGGATCGATTCTTATTGGTCATGCTTGACAAACACGGCGTTGATGGAGAGGGCTTATATGAAAAGATTCGAGATGAAATCCGAGAAAGTCCATTGTTCCGATTTGATTGGTTCTTCCTCAGCAGAACACCGGTCGAGATCGGGAGGCGATGCACCACCTTGCTAAATACCGTGTCACGGGAATTTGGAGATCCAGATGAGAAAATCACCAATGGCCACGGCCCCGGCAAAGGACGAGGACGTGATCGAGACGATGATGAAGACGAAGAAAATGATAGCGAGGCTGCGCCTGTCAAGAAGAAGGCCAAGAACGGAATTGTGGTACGTATTGGACGATAACCCACTGGTCAGCCGACGTTAACAGGATCAGAATAAGCCTGTCAAGGCTGTCAAATCGGGGCGGGGTAGTAAAGCTACTTCGCCGGCGACTTCTAGAGCCCAGAGTGTGTCATCGACAACAGCCCCTACCAGTCGATCCAAGGGAAAGAAGAAATGAGTGATTAGCAAACTGATTGTCCATTGGAGGCTTAACTGTTTCCAGATTATGACAGCATGTTAGATGGTTACTTGTGGGGCTTTTGCTGGCGATGGAAAATCTGTACCCTTTCATCCGGGGAAATGGAGGCTATGGGCATACCGTTCGGAAAGACACGGGTGGGGGATCTCACGACTTCGACACGAGCATTTACATCGCGGTGGAACACTGAGCATTCAGAGTATGAATTTAGACCGTGTAGAGTAGTATCAGAGGCAACAAGAAAAAGATGCACAATCTTCATTCCCAAGTCCGGTTGGCTCTTCTCGACGGAAGAGTTTACCAGGCAACAATCAAATTACTCCACGGCGACAAGGAGAGCCAAACCCAACTTGTCGTGTATAACGTTATGCAACAAGAAATGACAAGACTGTATAAAAAATGGTATTTAGATCGCAAGCGCCAAACCTGTATTCCTGTACCATTTATTTCGAGTTTACCTGTTCCGACCTGATCGAGCCAAATACTTCCGTACTCCACCTTCGAACACGGTTCACACGTCTCTTCCTGACATCTTGCTGAATAGTCACAACATGTCACCCATCTCGTTGAAAGCCCTCTCTGTTCTGCGCATGCTCGTTGGCACCTCTTGCCTTGTGATCCCTCGACAGATCGGCCCTCTGGTGGGCGTGAGCGTCGCCCCTGAAGCCGTGGTCTTTGCTCGTCTGGTCGGGATCCGCGATTTCGTACTGGGTGCTTACCTGTGGAAGAGGGTGCGGGAATGGGAGGCCGCGCAGACTGTCGGAGGCACAGAATCACAGCGAGCACCACTGATTCACAAAAGGACGTCGGGCCTTGAGTATGGAAATATTACCTCTGGCATTCCGCAAACTGTCCCAAATTCCGAGGCCTTTGAAGGGCCTACAACGACAACGCTTCGACAGAACATGTGTAATGAGAATCTCCGCTCAGCGGTGTGGTTAGGACTGATCTGCGATGGCGTGGATATTGCTAGCTGCCTTGTGTGTACAATCGAAGGCAACCTGTCCGACCTGGCAAAGATCACGTTGGGAGGTGGTGCTTTTGTTGCTGCAGCTATCGGGCCACAGCATTTGTTGTAGGCTTCAATCCTCATTGAACGCTCTGGTCCCTTCAGGAGTCATACACCGGAGAATGCAATTGGAATGGCTAATGTCGCCCCGTTGATGTACTCCTCGTAGGATGCATTTCTTACGGGGTTTCGGGTAGGGAGTGGCCTAGTGTCATGCATATCCTTTTGCTTTGGCGAGGAAAGCAGATGTGGTCCTGCTAGAGAACTCTTGGAGGCGAATCCGGAATCACTTCGAATGTAGAGACACAGCAGAGCCATTAAAAGGTCTCCCCCATAAATCGCATTGACCAGGAGCCTCAACTTGAGGAGATCCTTCCGGCTGTGCGTATTCGCTTCCATTTTCCTCGCTTGGCCTGCAAACGCACGGCTAGGTAATGTAAGCTGAGAATTGTTCTGCTCGAGCCCAATCCTCGTGCCACCCACGCTCATCAAAAATTTGAAATAAAGCCACAACTTTCTCTTCCACACATCCTCCACTTCTTACCCCGAAAGTTCGAATACAGTTTGCATCTTCGTCAATTAGCTCGAGCCATTTCGGATCTATTCATGACGCTTCACTGCGAGCTAGTTCAGTTCCAAATAGTCTGCGACCCATTGCGCGTTACATAGGTTTGCTCTTAGTCCCTTATTGAAGCTCGATGAGGGCGACTAAGGAGGTACCTGGTTATCATCGAGGAGATTCGCATTATTGTCGCAGTCTGAAGGAATTGGGGCAAAGAATTTCAGAGCTGAAGGAAGGTTGAACGTTGACAAAGGTGAGTAATTGCCCTCAGGTCTGCGGTAGAGAGGGAATTGGGAGCGAGTTCAAGCCTCTGGGCAAAGTTTAGTATTAACGACTTCAGAAAACAGAAGAATTAAGAGATCGGCGGGCGTTCTAACCTTTAGGCTCTGTGAGAGCATAAGGACCGCTAACTGGTCTGTCGAGGATATCCTTGCAACACCTGTTCCAAGTATCATGGCTCGTCGCCCCGGTCGAGAATGGTCTGCTTCTCTCAAGGAGTTCTTGATACTAATCCGATTCGCGCCTGTCCCTCGCAGTCCATTGGCCACCATTATAGAGACGCGATTGCAGGCCCCTGGCAAGGAAGTTATGCTGTCAACGTCATCCAGATGTGGGATGATACTCTTCTCATAGATCTTCCCTCTGAAATTCGTGAGCCTGGAAACCCTTTACCGTCTCGTCAACTCTAGTAGCACCTAGAAATGGTATTTTCCAGTTCCGATTGAGGCACTTGGCAATATAATCATGAGCACAAGGGGCCAATTTTTGGGTTCTGGCTTGACATATTTCACACGGCTGGTCGAGTATGGGGTGATCCAACGGTTGTCACGGGCTACACCCCCGATGCGGAAGAGGATCTCAAAGAATCTCTTCGAGAACTTGTTCGTGAAGTAGATTTGCAAAGGTGTTTCGTGTCCAAGCTGGAGACAAGGAAAAGTTAGATCCGCCTCATGATGAATCGCGTCCTTTCCATACAGCTGAGCAACTTGCACAGATGAGCTGGTTGAGAAAACCCACGTCTCTTCCTATCCGAAGAGGACAGAGGGTGCTCTCTGCTCATAGAGTCTGTCGACTAGGCTATCGTGGATGGCTAGGATACGATAGAAAAGGTGAGCCTGGAATTGTTCTCGCGTGAGCTGTCGGGTCCCGACCCTGAATAGCCATCACTATATGTTGGTAAGGCTGCAGTGTCGTGGCAAAAAGATGATGCCTAGATTGAAGTGGTATGCAAGCAAATGGAGCGCGCTGTTGTAACTCATACGAGTAGCTAGATGCAGGTGGAAGAGCGCTGCGCAAATGCAAGCTCTCGTGATTGGCCGCCGGGGGATTGAATTTCCCATCATGCTACAAACATTTTTGACCGTCCTAAATCCGAGTTTGCCTGCCATCTTCGCCTGCTTTCTTTTCATCGACACTTTTTCTTCTCCGGCTTCTTCTTATTTGTACAGTAGATTTCCCAATGGCAGAGCCTGTCTCTCTCGAGGCCTCGCGTGCAGGCCCAACTTTATGGGACCGCGTGTCGACTTGGGTTTCGGAGCACAAGGCAATCGCATATACAATTGCCGGAGCTGTTGTCGTCATTACCAGCGCCGGGGCAATCTACTACTTTTCTGGTCAAAGAGGAGTCGCACCGCCTGCGCCTACAGAAAAGAGGAAAAGCAAAAAGGAACGTCGGAAAGAAAAAAAAGCTGCCGAGGAAGCTCAAAAGTCTGGCATCGGCCTCAAAGACGGGGAAGCTGGTTCGTGAATCTTGTGGGAGACACATAGCCTTTCATTTGGTGTTGACAAATATCACAGGAACAGGACCCAAACCAGCGACCGTCGAGACCGAAGACGAACTACCAGAAATCAATGAAGCTACGGTGGAAAGCTTCTCACCTGAGGTATGGCTGAACGAACAAGATGGCGCACTCGTGCACAGGGTTGATAATAGCTAGGAAAGGACAACATCTGCTGGCAAACTGAAAGCCGCGGGCAACAAAGCCTACGGCTCGAAAGATTACAATAAGGCGATAGAGCTTTACGGGAAAGCAATTCTCTGCAAACCTGACCCAGTCTACTATTCCAACAGAGCCGCTTGCTACAATGCCCTCAGCGATTGGGACAAAGTCCTCGAAGATACGACTGCCGCCATTTCGATGAATCCAGAGTACGTCAAAGCCTTGAATCGTCGAGCCCATGCATATGAACATCTGGGAATGTTTTCGGAAGCCCTCCTGGACTACACGGCGAGTTGCATCATCGATGGTTTCAAAGATGACAAGAGTGCCCAGAGCGTCGAACGATTATTGAAAAAAGTGGCTGAAAAAAGGGCAAAGACGATTCTCGCGAGCAAGAAGAACAAACTTCCGGGGGCCACATTCGTCTCCAATTACCTCCAGAGCTTCCGTCCGCGACCGCCCCCGCCCGGACTGGAAGAATCGGCTGAATTGGACGAGAACACAGGAAAAGGCCAGCTTCAGCGTGGACTTATTTCTATGAGCAAGAAAACAGCCGAAGGCTATGATCAAGCTGCCGCTGCGTTTAAGAAGGCCGTAGAGCTTGGAGATCTTGGTGAACATGAGGCGTTTGCTCTTAACATGCGGGCCACTTTCTTGTATCTCGAGGGCGATACGTCGAGCGCACTGGAAGATCTGACTAAAGCAGTGGAATCACAGCCATCTCTGACGCAGGCCTACATCAAGCGCGCGAGCATGCAGTTAGAGCTGGGTAACAAAGACCTGGCTGCAGAAGACTTTGAGAAAGCGATGGCACAGAACAAGGATGATCCAGATATTTTCTACCACCGAGCTCAACTCCACTTCATTCTAGCCGAATTCGCGGAAGCTGCAAAGGACTATCAGAAATCGATCGACCTTGATAAAGACTTCATCTATTCACACATTCAGCTCGGTGTGACACAGTACAAATTGGGCTCCGTTGCGTCGTCAATGGCAACATTCCGGAAATGTATCAAGAATTTCGACAAGGTGCCTGATGCCTACAACTATCATGGCGAGCTATTGCTGGACCAACAAAAGTATCCGGAAGCCATCGAGAGATTTGAGACGGCCATCGACCTTGAACGACAAACGAAGCCGACAGGAGCCATCAATGTGCTCCCGTTGATCAACAAAGCTCTAGCCCTTTTCCAGTGGAAGCAGGACTTCAAAGCAGCCGAGGAGCTGTGCGAAAAAGCACTCATCCGTAAGTTTATCACTTGACGGCGGGATTGTCTCTTGACTTACATGACCTGTAGTTGACCCTGAATGTGACATTGCGGTAGCCACAATGGCCCAACTTCTTCTCCAGCAAGGCAAAGTTGTCAAAGCTCTCGAATATTTCGAGCGTGCTGCGGAGCTCTCTAGAACCGAGAACGAGATTGTTACCGCGCTTTCATACGCAGAAGCCACACGAACCCAACTCGAAGTCTCACAAAAGTATCCTCAATTGGCGGCCCGTCTCCAGCAAGTCGAAGGGGCCGGACTCGGCGGACCTCAATTGAGATAGAGAGCCGCTGCGTTTGCGTCTGACTCTGTCATGTCATTTACGGCGAGGCTCCCTTCTCTCGTTTTCCTTTTGGGCTCTGACGGGTACATGCTAACGAGTGATCTGTACCTAATATTACTGTCAGCCCCCAGCACGCTCATCTGTGTTTGTGTGGATTCAACGCAAGATCGAGGGTCTGTGGGACGGCGTTTAATGAGGAACAAAATGGTGTATAGGAGTGTATAATAAATGGATTGAAGCCAGTACTCGCATTGTATTTTGCTGACCAGCTGCGTACTTGGATGGCCCGACATGTCAGCCTTGCGGCCGGGCAATGTGCCTGGTCTAATTAACCGTTTCGAGCATGGGCTGACTTCCAAGAGGTGCCCCTCATTGAACCAGCAGCCTGGAAATCGCAGTCATTGCCCACTCCGCTGTACAACGCCCATTAGGTTGGCTTGGTGTCTCATTCAACTCTCAAGCCTCTACCACGGTTTTCAAGAATCTCTTGTTGTGCTTCCCCTCTTCCACCTTCAGTATTCATCTCCCTCAACTCACCTCTCTTTCGACTCATATTTGACCAAATTCCTCTGTTCCAGCTACCTTGGGCCGCGGGACCAGCCAGCCTCCTCCCTTCCGGCTGCCTGCTTGAAGTCACTCCGACCTCATCACTTTGCAGCCTCTCTGGGAATGAAATAGGTTGCCATTCTGGTGGAATCGTCACACGCTCCCGCACTATTATATGCACTAGTCAACTGTGTGGCTAGTCACAGGCGACTTCAACACCTTCCGACAATGACCTCCAACGACTCGCTCTACGGTACGTTCATGGCCTTGTGAACACGTCAGCCTTGAGCCATTCTAACAAGCATACTGCAGCCACTCTCACCCTTCGGGATGTCGACGAACATGACTCTCTTCCGGAACGAACCATAATCCTCAAGTCCCCAGATTGGGAGATCAAGATCGGTCGTGGTACCTTGAGTGGCAATGAAAACCTGCACCCGGCGAAAGAAAATGCCTGGTTTGATTCAAGAGTAATGTCAAGAGATCATGCTATACTTCTGGCGAATCCATGCAGCAGAGTATTTCTCTCACGTTTCTGGTTTACCTGATCTGACTGACGGTGGCAGGAAATCGCCATTCAGGACATTGGCTCCATGCATGGAACACATGTTGCCGGAAGGAGATTGAAAGCGAACCAGCTGGAGATTCTGTCATCGGGAGATGTCGTTACCTTGGGTGCGGATGTTACGAGAGGTAGCCGTAAGTCACTACCACTCACATTTTGTCGAGTCGTAGGTTGCAGATACTGACATTCTTTCAGTTTATTTCCATGCTCTCAAAGTCATCATCACTTGGGCCTGGTCGGACGAATGGTACGATATTCTTCCCCCTCGCAAATTTTCCCTCACTGACCTTTTCGTAGCGCATCTTCTACCGATATTGCTCAGCCTATGCTCGGGAATGTGTACCGAAATTCTTTTTCTGCCGACTACAGTGAAGAAGACCCCGACTCGGAGCTTTATGATGATCGGGAGGACGAAGGGAATAAAACGGAAGAGGACCATTATGACGACAACGAATCAGAAGAACCGGAAGAACCTGAAGACAAGACTGAGGTCGCTGGAGATTCTCTTCGCGCCCAAAGTATCGAAATCGTCATCCCACCACGTACCTTCACGGTTCCCGAGTCCGATGATTCCGATGCAGGCAGTTACATCTCAGGTGAAGACATCTATGAGAAGGAAAGTCCAGCCTCCAGTCCGATTGTTTTGAGCGACACAAACGAGGTCAAGGGCGAGGAACCAGTTGAAGTCTCGGACTCTGAAGTGGAAAACGTGCCACCGACCCATCATCACCATCCAGCAAGGCCTGTGGCACACCCTGTCAACTCAAGTGACGAAACTCTCAACAGTGGACAAATCCAAAAGGTTTCTCTAACGGACGACTCTTCTGAGGACTACGCGCATGGTGAAGACGACGCCTGCCATGAAGAACTTGTTCCTCAGTCGATGACGTCCGCGGAATCAATGCCGAAGGCTCCCGGCTTGATTGGACACTTCGACCCATCCACCGTGGCCTCGAAGAATCCACTCACGATCTCCTACCATTCAGAAACTATTCGAACCCCAAGTCCATCTGATGCAGCAATGGTTAAGCCATCGATTGAATCCCATTTCTCCCCGCCATTTTCGCAACAGACGCCGTCGGCTGCAGTGTCAGACGGTGCCCCTGGTGAACCGGGTCGATCAACCTCCGCTTGGGCAGGACACAACTCTGTTTTGTACGAACCCATGCCACACGGCCAGGTTATGTCCGGGTATGGAGCACAAGAAGTCATTCCTGCTCCGCAGCTACTTCCATCCATGAGCTTCATGGACAATTGGGAGTCATCTTCATTTGAGCCAACGTACCTTTTTCAGGACTCATCATCCTTCTTAACGGGTTCTCATCAAACTTCGCGAGTCTCGATTGCCAATATCGTTGCTGGACCTCCGACAGAAAAGCCCCTTGAGCCCAAGTCAAATTCATTGAAGCGCAAGGCCGATCAAACCTCGTCGGATTCCACTCTTGGAGATGCAGCTGGATCTCCCGAGCTTGTTTCTGCTGAGTCTGACGAAAGCGCGGCCGTGGTGGCCCAAGGTAGCCTGGGTGAGGAGAATCAAGAGAACAAAGACCAGTCGCATACTACCCCTGACCCGGTCCGGGAGGTAGCTGTGAATAAAGTGACCTCGGATGCCGAGATGCCACCACGCAAAAAGGTCAAAAAGAGCAAATCAAGACAAACCGAGGAGCGTGGCAAAGCTACGGGCAATTTCGTCAAGATTGCTGCCGCTGCAATGGCTGGTATGGCCATCGGAACCGTGGGAACGATCGTTGGTCTTGCTGCTTTGCCCCAAGACTATTTCGTCTAAGTGATATCAAAGTACCAACGGATCAAATATTCATTCCTAACGATGGCGAGTTGGCTATGATTTCTGAGCACGGGAAGAATAGTACGAACATTACGACTATACCTGATTTCAAGGCCAACAGGTTTCAAATTCTCTTCTCGTAATATCACGACCTGGATGGTGAGCTCCAAAGGTGTTGTTGGCATTCTAAGAAAGGAATGGTAAGGTGGTATTGATCAGAGCCAAAGGCTGTTATGACGGACAATTGCATGTCATATGAGCTCAGGAAAGGAAAGGACAACGTGGGAATGGGCTAGATTCTGATACGTGCTGAAGAGTTGCGAAGGTGGGAGGGACGGCGTTGTTTGCTATCATTTCAGCAAGAGGTGCCAGAGTACGGCCTTGGGGCTTTCGTTCTCAATTGCTTCTTCAATTCTCGGTTCGGCTTCGTTCAAAACTGGTACAATTCAGTAATCCAAATTGATTCATGACTGAACATGTTGTTTGTGGCCAGGGCACACTGGCCCCCCCTTCTCATTAGGTCCGATGTTGGAGCCTAAATGAGTCACCCTACCTGCTTATCCGCTATATCATGCATCTGTCCTCTGCATCACCAGTAATGTCACATATCGTGTCGCATTTCCAAATCAAACACTAATTCCGTCCAGGTCCTCTATACCTTTCTTTTCCCGTGCCTGGCCTTCTAGGGCGTGCTGTGCTATGCCGTATCGTATCATGTCGTCCTGCGCCTATCTGTCCATGCCCATCAATGCCATACTTGTTGTTGATCCTACACGCCTTCACGGCCAATATTTTCCCTCCGTACGCTATGCAATGCCGTCTTGCGCTATGCCATACCATGCTGGTCGGGCCGGGTCGTCTCTTCATGTCGCGTCATTTCGTACTATAACCCTGTCCTCACCGGTTTCCTTTTCCTATTCCGATTCCTAGGTCTGGTCCTTTCTTAAGTAAAATAGATCCATTATGGCCTCCAAGTTCGCGTAATATCGTGTCCAAATCACATCTCTCGCCATCTCGTTCCTTGGTTCTGTACGCTGGTTGCTTTTGGTGTTTTCCTCCGGTCGATATGGATTAAAATAGGCATAGTTGATTGTCTTGTGTAAACATAAAGCAAGCAACCCAAGTGTGAGTGTCAGGAAAGGGGGGGGGTGGGGGAGTTGGGTTGAACCGTGTTGCAATGTGGTGTGCTGCCCATCTGTTTTTGAGGGGGCTTCTCGCTAACTGCGTCTTTTGAATGCTGGATTTTTCATTCTTGTAGAGCTGAGCCGCACAGGGACTTGTCGGTTCTCATGAGGTATGGAAGGGATCGCTGGGTCGATTCAAAAAGACATCGTAGGATTTCGAACGATGGGACAGATGTCTGCCAGAGAATGGGGCAATATCTCAAGTCCCTAAACCTGGCCGTAGGTCGTAAAGTGTCCTGCCCAGTCCTGAGCAAGGATGTCTGTCTTGAAGATGAGTGGATGTCTCGCACCACAGCTGAACGGAGGACTTCAAGGTGGTTGATGTGGACACTTAAGGTGCAGTTCTTCTTCCTTCGGCCGCCAATGAATGCCACTCTGTGCGACATTTGGACATCAGCACCTGTAGACCTGGGCGGCATCGCGCACATTTCCAAGGGTGGTCAAACTTTCTTAGTCTCGAAGTTCACCACGTCGAATCCTTTCCCGTACCATTCCTCCCAATCCCAATCTATGCTGCGGTGATTTTCCTGGCCAAAGGCACGGATCATGGCTTCACCTTCTCTCTCAGCTTCGCTTCCAAACAATAATTTCTTGGCTCCTTCTCTTGTCTTGCTTGTGCCCCCTTGGCCCCATATTGTGCCTGCGATAGGATTTATGAATGTTCCAATCTGCCTGAAGGTCAGGCTTATTCTCTCACCCTCGAAGGCGAGTTCGGAGGGATTCTTTTCTGAGGGAAGTCGCTTGTCGGCGCGAATGGCATGCAGCCAATGTTGGTTCGTCTCCTGTCCCAGGACGAACAAGGAATTATGAGGCAAGGGAATTCGTTGACAAGGTCTTGTAAAGTCGGCCTCAGGATCATCGCCATTGGGGGTGACGGCGGACTTTTTGGTCCTCAAAGTCATCGTTCTTTGAGCACCTAAACTCAGATTCACGATTCCGGATCCACGAACAATGTCGAGAGTCTTGTCACTATGTTCCGAAATGTTGTCCTCGCTGTTGCGATACCACTGTATCAAGACGTGGTTCAATGGGTGACCGACAGCCTTTTCCGCCACCTTTCGCAGCAAGTCGACGGTGGAGTCAAAGGGGAGCAGTTCAGGCGACTCGTCTGCGGGATGTCTGTAAATTGGGAGTTGAGTACCATTCGCGGAAATCGTCCCTTGAACGGCGACCAATCGAGGTACTTCGCCTGAGCGATGATACATCTTCTGCCATTTAACAGACTTTCTGCAACAGTGGAAGGCTTCATCTGCTTCTTTCTGGCCGAGAACATCAATACAAAGCCGACAATCACCCTGTCCCATCTTGTCGTTGGGTCCAAGAATGTTGGCGGTCAGCTTCTTCTTTTTCTTAGGACCCAGTTGAAGGTTCTCTCGATTTGTTTCAGAGACCAAATCTTCACCCTGGACTTGATCGCTCTCAGAAGACACTGGATTATTCATACCAGAATCCTCGGTGGAAAGAGCCCGAACCGTTGTTGTATTTGTGGGAGGGGTAGTGGACCTGATCGAGGATTCGTGTGAAGGGCGTCGCTTCCGTGGGGGTTGCTTGTTCTGCGTTTGATTCAGTGGCTTAGGAGATCTCTTCTGAGGGGGACTCTGTTCTTTTGAAGGAGGTTTCGCCGGTCTTCGGGATGACTCACTTCTTGGGTAGAAGTCACGGCCGCCCACGGCAACCTCGTTGCTCCCCTTCAACGACGTTTCTTCACCATCCGCGGAGTCACCAGGAGGCCCCTGGTTTTCAAGCGTTGAAATCCAATCATCGATGCGTTTTCTCGACGTGTGAGACCGAGTGGTGCGAGCAGGAGGGGGGAGGCTGACTTGGAATCTCGTGGTGTATTCTTCCTCCCGAACAACGTCGCCCAGCAATCCGGCCAGGTCGTCTCGGAGTTCTTGACAGTCCACACCGTTGGCTCCCATATTGTCAGCCATCTGACGCATGGCTTCAATATGACACGTCTCATCATTGTAGCCGAGACAATCCTCGATGATTGTGACTTGAAGGCCATGACAAACCGCATCTAGAACCGTAGAATAGACGGAGATATTGGACAGCGAACCGCAAACATACAGCTCGGTGACAAGCCTGGTCCGGAGGTCCGTCAGGAGCGGCGTGTCCACAAATGCTGAGTAGTGTGATTTTAGGAGGACCCGGTCTTGTTGCGAATCAATGGCGGCCTTGATGAGATCAGGGTAATCGGCACCCGGGGAACCAGGTATGCAGCACCGGTACCTGGTGGGGGTCGAGACGGGAGCTAGAAATGCCTCACGATCGTAGGTGAGGTCGAGGGTTGGCGAAGGTGATAGGGGATCTTCGGAAGGCGAGCGAGTGTAACCAGGATCATTGAAATACTCACCGGCCTCGTCGTTTGAGTCTTGCTCTTTGATAAATTGTTTGAGGAGAATGGAGTGCGACCCAGTCACGGATGAAATGGTGGAGCGGGGCTGTTTGAACTCGGTTCCAATCCATATCACCTCCCCTTTGGCACGAAATTGGGGTACCAAAGAGATGAGATTTTGAAGAAAAGGTTGAACATTGGCGACGGGTAGCTTCCCATCGGGACTGACAAAATCATTTTGAAAGTCGAGCAGCAACAAGGCCTTTTTAGTTTCAATCGGTGGGCCGGGGGGCAAGGAGCCGAGGGGGAACAACATTATGCTTTTGGGTGACCAGCAAGGCGTCGTCGCATCATCTGGAGGAATGGTCGTATCACAGCCAAACAGGAGGCGAGAGAGAATTTTGTAAAAATGTATCCCATTGAGAAAGAGGTTCTGGACAACTGATCAAAAGGACCAGTACAAGGGGCAAAGAGGACGTGTAGGAATACGGGGCGGACCGAGATGTCTTTAATGACAGTGAACAGGCCAGCTTGAGTGGAATGGCGGTTCCGTGATGGTGATTCGGTTTGGAAATTGAACCCTGCCGGTGACGGTAGCGGTACCGAGCCCTGTGCAGCTTCGGAAGTGATTGTGGGTTGGTCCCGGGGGTTAGTCTAGGTGAAGGCGCTTGCGGCGGCAGTAGAGCACAATCAACGCTCTTGACTGGGGAATTTTTCCTTTTGGAGGGGGCCCCCAAGTGGATGACAAGTGTGGATGGAGGCCTGGTAGATGGAGCCCGACGTGAGAGCCGTGGTCGCACAGGAGGCCCACCACCAAGTCTGTGGTCTCAAAGCGTAGGGAGGAGAAGGAGAATCCGGTTAGGCTGGTGACGAAAAAATCGTGGGAGGCATGAAAAAATGTTGAAATTTCTTAGGTCGTCAATAAGGTGGTCCGTGTGAGAGAAAGCCGAGGAGGGCGTTGAGTGAGCAATCGATTAGTGATGGTCAGCCAACTGGTCGCAGATGATAAATGGTGACTTAGGCAATTGGATTGTAGTCTATCGGTCAGACTTTTGGGAAGGGAAGAGATATTAAAGATGTATGGCTAATGTATCCTCTGGGCAGATAGGCTAGCATAGCCAAATCGGGCAACCGAGAAGGATGAGATGAGGCCAAAGGCGAAGAGGCGGCGCAGTGATGTTGGTAGGCTCTTGTGGCCTGGTGGATGTCGTGCAGCTGCTGGTCAGAGCAAAAGGAGGGTCGAGTGATCAACGGAATATCAAAAGCTGACTGGCGGAGCACGAGGATGTAACTTAGTCGGGACGGGGAAACTGAAACTCAAGCGAGCAGACAAGTCAGCAGCGTGGAAAAAAGAAGGGGATATGGAGAAATGTATGCACTGAAAGGTCCAAGGTTGGCACATTGGTAAAGCCACGCTGCATGGCAGACAAGGGGGATACTGAGTTCATGTACAGAAAGGAACCAGTCAAGGACTCGAGATGGATGTTGAGTGCGTCAGGGGAAGAAAGCGGAAGCGCAAGATATAGACAAGAACCCGGTAGGTACATATAAACATGCAGTCCACATGCACATAGCCGGCATGGCAGAGCCACCACAATGATGTGCAAGAACGGAAGGTATAGGAAAGGGCAATGAATGGTCAGGATTGTATCAAGGATGACACAACAAATCAGTCAATCTGGCTTGACCTTTGGGGTAGACAATCCAGAACACTCCCTATACGCCCCTCCCACCATCCTGTCTGGATTCGAATTCCACCATGCACCACCATTTTTACCTGACCTCTGACTAAGCCTGCATTCATGCTACTCAACCAGCCTACTATGGAACTCTCCACATGGCCTGGAACTAATTCTCATGTTACATTCCCGCTTTGTATTCAGTACGAAACCGCATGTCGAGGGTACCATGCCCTTTGACCTGGAGGGTGGCCGTCCATCAATTCTTTTTCTTTTTTCCTCTTCGTTTCCTCCATTGATCGGCTTTGCCAACGCATAGCCTATGGGTATCCATCGAACAGCCGTCAACGACCAACGCAAGACTTGCGGTTTGTGCTTCGGGATTTCCTATTCCCCGCACTTGTCTGCAGGCACGAGAACAGACGGGTTCGCTCCGTCGGATTCTTCCGAAAACGACGTCTACACCATTATGTTCTTTCCGATATTACCCCAGACCCAAACCGGGGTTCTCTGGTGCTGCTGGTGCTATTTACTGTGAATCATCCCGTGAACTTCAAGGTCACTCACTGCACAGGTTCTGAATGGTCGGCCAGCATTTGCATGGACACGTCTCCCCCGCTTTGGACGGAAGCTCCCAGAATCATCGCGTGGACGTGGAGAAAATGAATTGAAAAGCTGAAGAATCCCCTAGTATAACGTCTGTTCAATCCAGGTCACTGTCTTTGTCGTCATTGTCCTCGTCATCCATCCCCATGGCTGTGTCCATCAGTTCTTTGACCTTGGTCTTAATTTCCTCGACCTTGTTCTCCTTCACCAAACAGGTATGATCATCGATTTCTTCAATAATGTAGGCATTGTTGGACTCGCGGTCAATCTTCCGCACCATGGCCATTTGGGGCGGATCACACTGAAGCAGGGCTCCCTTCACGGCTTTAGGCATGGTACTTTTCAGTAATGTCTCAAGACGGTAGAGGATACGAAAGTGAGGCGAACGGGGATGGAATAACCCGGGATGCTTTGCGGGTTTCAAATTTCGACCAAGCTCAAATTGGATTGTTGAAACTTGGACTCGGAAGAGAAATACAGTCTTGGATAAATTGATAAACATGAATTCACCAAGTGCAACGTCAATCGGAAGACGCTCTCTTTGATCGATGTTGGAAGTGAACGGGCTCAAAGGGTAATTTGAGGCTGGGGGCTCCTTGGCGGCGGCGCAGAGACTTTGAACCTGGTTGGCCTTTACTTGAAGCAGCCACGCAGGCAGTGCTATCTACCCCTGAACCAATGTCGGGAAGATGCGTTTCTTTCTCCACACTCATTCTCTCATGTTTCTGGCCCAAATGTCGTCTCCCATGCATCATAGGACTCGCTAGCAAAGATCGCCTCGATTTGTCTTCTCCGTACCCCAACGTTTCCTCCATCAAAGATGGGCAATACTATCGCATCATTGAGCAAGTCACCTAATGGTTGACCGCGAGAATACGCTGAAACACCGACCAAATTGATAGCATCCATCACTGAGTCGACGGCGCTTTCGGATCCGAATATTTTGGCTTCATAGCACAGCTCTGCCCCAAACTTCGTCCGCCCAAAACAATGCGCGGCCTTCCAAACCAAGGCCCGCGTGGCCTCACAACGAGTCTTGATCTTGATCAATAGATCTGCAACGCTCTGTTTGTGAATCATAGCTTCCTTGGAGCCACGATGATTTGTCTTGGCCCAGGCCAAGACATGGTCGAAGGCCTTTCGCATGATCCCAACTCCCATGGCTCCAACCAGGGCGGCTGAGGCGGTAAATGCCATCTCCACCACATCTGCGCCTTTTCCTGGAGGAGCCAGCAGGTTTGATTTCGGAACACGCAAGTCTTGGAAGCGGATATGAGGTCCATTCACCGCGGTATGCCCAATGGTCTCTGGGTGTGACAGGACCGAATAGGCACCGGCATCGTTGTTCGCAATATCGTCTCGTGTCACAATGATGATGGCAATCTGACCCCGGACATCTTCGGCAGGGGCAGAGCCAATAATTCGGCACAGAACACATTGTACATCAGCACCTCGGTCATCCCACCCCGAGCAGTTAGTTGCCCAAATCTACTTGTCTGTCAGCCCAGTCATCTCCTGAGCAGTACCTGGGGTTCAACTTCTTTTGACCTTTTCGCCAGAAATGACGTACTCCTCACCCTGTAGTTTGGCGACGGTTTCGAGACCTGGCGCCCCTGGTTCTGAAAAATTTGCACTCCCTCCAGGTTCGGAAAACACCAGGCTCGCAAGAGGGGAGCCCGTGCCGTCAAGAAATGGTTGAAAGAACCTTTGATGCTGCTCCGGAGTTCCTGCCATGATCAAAGGTGTCAATCCGAGACCGCTCCCCAGAATCGTCAGAGATGCGCTGGTTTCAACGGCATAGAATTCCTCGACAACCAAAGCGGCCTCTACCAGAGGGCCTCCCATTCCCCCAAGCTCTTTTGGAATCTGAGCCTTGATCAGGCCGGCCTTTACTGCGTTGTCATATATGGGCTGCGTCGAGCGAAATCGGTCCTCCCATTTGGTGAAAGGAACTCCTTGAGGCTCATACACCGACCGTGCGCTCTTGAGATTGGCCTGAGCAAAGCTTCGGATGGCATTCCGCAATGCCAATTGCTCAGGCGAGAGCTCAAAGTCAATCATTTTGCACAACTGGAACTGTTGTGGATGCAAGAAGTGAGAGCCAAATTACCACCCATGGTCGATGCTTCTTATAATTCGGCCTCGTTTAAACTGGCATTACCCCCAGAACCTGCACCGACCTGATAACACAGATAAGGAACGCTGAATGGGGCTTCAGCTCGCCGGCCTCAACCCTTCGTCGTAGAGGTGGCCTTTGGCTGGACGGAATTCCCCCGCCGATTGGCTTATCGGCCTGCGGGGTCCTCGTATTGCAAAGAAGAATTGCGGCAAAGTAAGACGCAGATGCAACGCTTTCTCCGTGGAAAGCCAGATCATTTTGCAGATGTTGCATGAGCAGGTATTCGAGCCACATGCAAAATTCGACAGGAGAACTGGTACAGTCGAGACATATACCAAAGCAGCTCATCGGTCGGTGAAGTTGTGGGAGCTCGAAACCTATGGGGTCAGCGACGACTCAGGCTAGAAAATTATATCTGAACCGGATCCGGTATTGACAGATGCCTGGCAAGGAACGTCGAATTCGAGTTCGCATTTCCCGATAACTCTCACGAAGCCCCATTAATGTTGAGATGATCGAGCGGCCGAATGGCTGCAGAATGCCCTTGCCCAGGCGGATGCTTCTCTGGCGAGTAAAGATCTCAATTGACCTTACCTGGAGTCCTCTAAGCACGCATTCATCCTTGGATTCGCGACATTGGCTGGACGGGAATTGGCAGGCTTGATTTCAAGTATTCTTTGGACCCTGAAGTCAAAGCAACCGATCTGCCACGCGGACGTTGTCATCATTGCGCATATGAACACGGAGCGAGTCCAAAGGACAATTGATGGCATGCTTCTGATGTTGAATCGATGTGAGTTATCGTCTCCCGAGATGCGAGAAAATGTCAAAATCTGCTGTAGGTACACTATCGTGGGTTGGTACTGCACAGGACCTGTGTGAGAGTGACATGCTCATTCAAATCGCTGGGGCAAGCTTGGTTGACCCATATATTCACCACTACCTCTACCACCATTGTCAACTAACTGGGATGGAATGGCTTTTTCAACCTTCATTGACACTACTCTACCAACTCCGCCATCGTACTCTCTCCCCCTTTCTCTTCGCGCCATTCCTTCCGGGACCTTTCGCCCCGTCACTATTCTTCGTCTGTATTTTCAAAGTCTTGTGACTCTCACAATGCATTGCTTTGTCTTGACCTTCCTAACATTACTCTCGCTCTTACCGCCTCACTCACTGTCTAGCGTCTTGAACATCGATGATTCATGGCAGTTCATTATCCGCCGCTATGACGGCTTTCCTTCTCCCTTTCAGCAGGTGATGGCTACCAGAATCCAGCCTCGAAAGCCGCTAATGTGATCGCACGTGGGATTCAAGAACTTCGCAGTGGTCATCGAACTGCAGGCGTCAAAAAATTCCACTACCTGCGTACTATTTTTTGGGAGAGCGGTGCGGCCTTGGATGGAATGATAGAATATTGGCACTATACTGGCGACAATTCATATCTGAATGTTACACAAAAAGTCCTCTTCTCTCAACTGGGCCCTTGGTACGACGTCAACGATCCAAATCAGGCCTTCGACGAAGGCAATGACGACCAATCGTTTTGGGTCTTTGCGTTAATGTCTGTAGTTGAATATACCCCAGCTGAACCGCTTCCCCATATCCCGTCGTGGCTCACGATTGTCCAAAAATGCCTGGGAATTCTGTCTCTCTCGCCGGAACCCTTCAGGTTGCAATGGTGGACTCCAGAGGCAGTGTCACCCTCAGAACGCTGACCATTACGACAAGAACGGCATCCCCAACGGAATATTCTTCCAACTTTCCGCAAGATTGGCCCAATTCACCGGAAATCAAACCTATGTACATTGGACATATACCATCTGGGACTGGGCACCTTGCAGTTGGCTTGATTGATAATATCTACAATGCGTTCGATGGGACTGACGAACTCATCAATGGTACGGGCATCGATCACCGCCGATAGACGTATAGCGTGGGGAGTTTTTCTCTACCACGTTGCAATGCTTCAAAACCTTACCAACGCTTGGATTGACCGGACTGCCAGTTTACTTGATGCAGCAAATACGTCCATCACTCTTTTCGAAATACTACAGATATTACTTTTTGAGCCGAATGTGAGCTTGGTATGGCATATAACACTGATCAGCCTTCGATGAAAGCATATCTTGCCCACTGACGTTGCTAGTCAACCAGACGAATCCACCAGCTACTTTTGGCAGTGTCGTTATTCACACTGCTTCTCCTTCCCCGACTGTCCCAACCACAGGTACGCCACATCCACCTAAAGCCAGTGATACAACACGTCCGCTGTACGACGGCAAAGGCCACGGAGGAATGAAGATTCAGAATAAGATTCGAAGTGTTTTCGCCGCCATCTTCGCTTCACTGGCCGTGTATCGACGTTTGTCTGAATGATCCCAGTTTGATTTATGTCAATCCGATCATGATAGAAAGGGTATGAAGGTTTCGTGACAATCGAGATACGAGAGCTGGATTTCGAGCGCGGAGTTTAGGCGCCTGCGGGTCAATCCGAACAAAGCTGGCTCTATTCCTGTTCTGTCTTTGACCGTCCCAGTGACTACGTAGTAAGTATGATCTTTTCCAGTGGTTCTTGTGCCTGAGCTCACGGCGGAATGCTCCTGCAGCTCGGGACTTGATAAAACCCAGCCTAGCAGTCGTTTCGAGATTCAACAATATTAGATTCGCGGACGGCCGGATGCAAATTGTAAGAGCGCGGTTGTCAGACAATGCAATGACGTCTGTCCAGCCTTCACATTTCTCGAAAAGTCAAGTCGAATGCGACACAGCCTGTTGCGTCATTTATGGTCAAGCGCATGGTCGTAATGCCTTGCTAAAAATGGCCTCGCGGCAATGGACCTTTTTCGACAATGATCCAGTGGATGTCCACGGAGCCCAGCTGCATATCTCTCTGCAGGCCTTTCAATGCAAGATTAGTGGAGGATCGCCACCTGGATTTCAACAGCAGTTCGAATTCGTCGAAGGACTGCGAAGTAAAGCCGAAAGGAGGAAGACGAGGTCATTTGTCACGAGGCAGCATTACCGAAGGAAGAAGCATGAGAGCAGTAAGGCTGTGAAGCAATTTCGAGACGTGCCAGAGCACGCCAGTATTAGTGGTTCAGATTAGGGGTCGACTAAATTAAAGCAGGACAACGCGGTTGTTGGAGATGACAAGTACAGGGAGTCAGATGATGCTGCGAGGCTGCCCGCAGGAACGAAGCATTACCTCCCTCTGATCGAAAGGGTCGGTGGTGGTCGAGCGGATCCGTTCAATTCCTATCCAATACCTGCGACTCGAGATGTCCATGAGCTCATTGATCATTGTGAGTGTGGCTTTTCTCCCTTCTCAGCATGGATTCGAGTGGTTAAGTCATGCCTCTAGAGACAGATTACTTTGTCATCCCATCCTCGGTCCACAGACATTGGGACAGAGCCGTTCGAAGATCTCGTTCCTGCTGGGACCTGTTCAATCTCTATCGAAAACATCATATACCGTTTTTAGGCATGTTGCACCACGCAGCGCACCATCTAGCTAAATTGAGAGGCACACAAATGCACTGGGGAGCGCTTAAACGGTTACTGCTCGAGCGTGGAGGGTTTCCCACTCTCCATAACAATTCGCCAATGCACACAAAGCTGGTCTGCTGGTGATATGCCACAAGCAAGGACATACTGACGAGGATAGGAGTTTCACAGCCCTCTCAGAGCCTACCGCGGAAGGCAATCCTGCTTACGTTGACGGATTCGCCGAGCCAGTGGCTAATTCATGGGGTTGTCCGACCACCAACTCCGAGTCTGCATTCAACCTGACCTGCAAGGAATTCATACAGTTTTTCAACACTCGAAGAAGCCAGACGTTAAAGAACCTTCCTTCGACCCCGGTGCAGCAAAAGGTGTTCAGAAGCCATAAGTTCCGAACCACGGCCCTCCAAGACGGTACAGAGCGGAGCCATGCGTTGACCAAGGTGCACACCGGATACGATAATCCCGACAAAAGACGGGCGGTCGACAACTGCCGTGTAGCATGCTTGATCTACTTGAATCTGATTATGGCTGAATATGGCGATTTTTCAGCCGTCACGGAGGAGTACCTGATGTCTTTGCGAGTGTTTCTTTATTTGCCGGAATGCATCGAGGATCTGAAGTCAGCCTTGCAGGAATGGGATCCCGATAAATTTTGTGCAGAGGTCAACCATTCGTCAAACAACATCGATCCATCGACTTCCCAGGTTCAGCAAACGGCGACCGTGTACGGAGGAACTAAAACGTCTTCCTCGCCAGACTGTCAAATCTGCCCTCTCAAACCCACGTCGTATTGACGGAGCTGTGGCACAAGTATCTCTGCCATCAAGGTGGTGTACCTCGGACGGAATGGTGGTGGTGCTAATACAATTCGTTTGGTGATTTAGAATTTCACCGTAATACACTACGGTGTAGCACAGGTGCCATCAGTGGAAATCACGTACTCCGAGTCCCTCCATTTTCTCACCGGGAGTGATTCCACGCAACGTTGACACTCTCAACCATGTCAAACCAAATCCTGCGCTCCGTGACATGGCGGCAACTATACTTAACGTGCTGTAACGCCCACCCATAATGTTGTTTAATTCTAATCACCGCAAAGTTCATCGGTGGAGGGAACCGACGAGACTCTGTCGAACTACCGTTGCTGTGTAAGTAGAACCAAACCGCTGCCTGCGCCATAGGTCGGGCCACGGAGGAGCTGCTAACTAGGCATACATAGACCCTTGCTTCTCTTCCTGACCGTCACACTTGCTGTCTGTGGTTTGCTTGAGATGAGCGACGTGGGGGCTTCGCTCGGTCTGGCCGGCCAGAAAGTGTTGGACGTCCACACGGACCCTGACCCAGGAGCGGGGGGAAATCAGCAAGAGGAAGAAAAGCTGAAGAAATACATATTCAAGTACACCACTCTGGAGGGCTATTTTCTGCAAGATGACCCCAACACCAAGGCTCAGGATTTTGAATTCATGAAGACAAATTTCGGGCTGATTCAGCGCCCGTATGACTCGGATAAGAAGCTCCCAGACCACGGTCAGGGCATGACATCCTGGCAAAGATTCGAGAATCACATCACATCATTAAACAACGCTGCAAAGAAGCGTCGACACGTATCCGGACGTTCATCCACCACACAACATAAGCTCCTTTTCCTGGGCCGCCATGGTAACGGCTATCATAACATCGCAGAACGTTATTACGGCAACCAGGCATGGAATTGCCATTACTCGGCACTCGACGGCGACCCCGACGGCGTCATGACTTGGGCCGACGCACATCTCAGCGAAGAAGGCAGACGGCAAGCAAAGGAAGTCAACGCTTTCTGGAAAACACAAATCGAAGAGCAGAAAATGAATCTCCCACAAGCTTATTATGTGAGTCCCCTCGACAGAGCGATGGAAACGGCAGAGATCACCTTCAAGGGCTTGATCCCGTCCCCAGGTTTCCAGCCAACGGTGATGGAACGTCTTCGCGAAGGATCGGGAATTCATACCTGCGACCGTCGCAGCCCAGTTTCATATATCAGACGGCGATATCCGTCCTACATCACCACCCGTGACCCCCTCCTCACGGAGACAGATGAATTCTGGAATGCAGTGCACCGGGAGCCGGACAAGGCATTGAAGGCTCGTATGAGGAAGTTTCTCGACACCCTAATGCGGAGCGAAGAGAATGAGAGAATCAGTTTCACAAGTCATTCCGGAGCGATTGGTGCCATGCTCAAGGTGCTCGGTCACCGACAGTTTTCATTAGGGACAGGATCGGTGATTCCTGTTTTGGTGCGAGTGGACAAGATTGATGTCATTGACGATAAGAGAGTGAAGAGACATGGCGGCAAGGTTGAAGGCGGCAAGCATGCACAGCTCGATAGTGCTGCTGCTGCTGCTGCTGATGACGACGACAATGAAGATAATGAGGTTGAAGACCATGAAGATGATCAGTCAAAATGGCCGACCATCCCGTCTTGTCCCGCCGACATGGATCTTGAGAATATCGGTCGCCAGCGGTGGGGGATGGGTCTCGACAAATATCTCGAGGGAGTTGAAGATGGCACTCTGAAGCTGGAGGAAGTTGCTTTTCGATAGGTTGGATAAAACCCCCTACGTCTCGAGGTCAAAAATCCAGACATGTAATTTGTGTGGTTTGTGAAGGGCTTAATTCGGGAAAGCCATGTTCTCTGATTTATGGTCGGAAAACGTCACGGAAATAGATTTACACGAGACGATGAGAGGGCGCATGAATTTTCCCCCAGTTTGATTATACAATCTTCAATATCATTTCCAGCATGTTTTTTAATTCTTGGGGACAACTCAACACCTAGCCCAGATGGCAAATGGTGGAAGTCTCTCTAGGTACTAAGCATCTCAATTTGGTGCCGATGTCTGTTCAGCACTGGGTACAAGATATTGTTTCCCCTTGCCATCGCAGGCGGGCTTCTACAACTGCTCAAGGATCTTGCTTCCCACATCGCTCACATTTGTCCACCAATACTTCGGTATCGTCTGTACAAGGATTAATCGATATCTGAAGCCAAATACGGGAAAATTACTTACCTGAATGACTAACATGCCGTCCTCGATCAAAGTTTCATGGTATGTCCCATTCTGCAATGTATCCACGACGCGAAGCAGGATTTCCTTCTTCGAGATTCCATCCTGGAATCCCTCTTGAAGTAGATCATCGCCCTTGAAGCCAAGATACTCTAATTGGTACTTTAGCCCTTCGAAGTACTCTAGAGTGGCTGAACCGAAGCATTTGTCCCAATCAGATCTAATTTCCTCCTCGGCTTGGGCGAAGACATTGGCATTGTTCTCGAAATTGGGATTCAGCTTGATATCAGGGATGCCAACAAGATTTCCAATGGCTTCTTGCACAGCTCCAATCGCCGGATCATAGTCACTGCGTACCGAGTTTCTAGCCACAATGTTGAATGCGCTTGCGCCATTCGACGATGCCGCGGCGGACTTAATTGCTTCTTGGAAATCTCGGCTCACATCTGACGCGTTGACGGCGAGCCTTCCATCTGCAAAGACAAGTCGAAGTATTCCATCTTTGATTTGCATTCCGCCATAGTTGAACTTCGTGTCTTCCTGAGGAGCGAGCTCCAGTTGATGCTTGGAACAGAGAGAATTGAGCTCGGCCTTGCCATCATCGCCATAAGACTTGACAAACTCCTCAAGGTTATAGCAGAATGGGTCAATGTACCTATTATCGGTCAGATATCACCTGTTCCGACGAGACATCCCCTTCCGGTGCAACCACACCATGTTATCACGGTTCCGATTCTCGACTTGTAAGACTCGTCGTCCGTGCAAACGTACAACAGGTTAGGATTGGTTGTGATGGTCCAAGCCTCGCCTAGAATCTTGGAGATCTTCTCTTCATGCTCAGGCTTCTTGGATTCCCATTCATCGCGCACTGGACAGATCAATCAACACGTCGACTACTCTGGAATGCTCTCCCTACCATTCTTACGAACCGCCAGGGCCAATTTTTCGACGGGTTGCTTTGTAGCCATTGTGAACAGTCCTACAACCTGGGTTGAGCTCCGTTCCCAGTGGAGGATCACGGACTTTTATGTGGTCTCACTTCATTATGCTTCATCCTCCATACGAGATGGTCTGGATAGGGCTGGTCCGGCGTCGCCACGAGGGAGGTGGACCGGAAAACAGACCCTGCTGGCAAGTACAAGCTCAATTGGTCCGTTTCCTTAGATCGATTCAGTCTCGCGATTTAGACCTTGTCGGCTTTGATTTCAGGGGGGCCGAAAGTGCGGTGTGTTCGCCTTTGGCAAATGGAAAACTGTAAATATCGTATTTGGCGTGTCGTTCTGTCTTGGTCGCACGAAATTTTGGTACGGATTGAAAGGCCCAAATTTCGCGGAGGCGGATACAATGGACAAGAATTTGAGATGCTTTGTGGCATTGCGACCGACACGCCAAACGATGGTTCAACATTGCGCCCAAGGACTGACCCTTTGAGCTCCTTGGTGCGATTGCTCGATCCGGTTCGCCGATTTCATTGAGAGATCATTGATGACCATCTTCATAGTCGTAGCCAAGGGCATTGATTTCTTCCCTTCTATTCCCTCCAAACTCATCTAGCATGGCTCAACTGTAAGTATGACCGGGCTTTCTACCAGTCAAGTTCTCACAGGCTCCAGGCCTCTGCAAATACGGAAAGATATTCGTGATGTCTATGACAAGGACGACACTCCGGTGCAGAAATCTTTCAAGAAGCTTGCACAAATTCTAGGTTATCCTGTCTCATGCAATGTCGAGTGGCTATTTATATGGGCCGAACTTGGATCCGGATATGCTGACAGGGCGACTTTTGTTCCGGAAGTCGCTCGTGTAGTGGAAACTTGGGCTGATACACTGTCTCAAAGGTTGGAAGACAACCGATTTGAGTCGTGGACTGAGGAATTCTTGAGCAAGGTCGAACCAGTGAAGGCCGTCAACTTAGTCCTTGAGGTAAGTTGTACCCTTATATTGAGAGAAGGATGGCCTCTCAGTGTGTAGGTTTCCAGTTTCGCGAGACCGAAAACGTCCTGGTCCACCGTGGACTGCGCATTTACCCTGTGGCTGCCCAAAAAGGCCACGTATCAGGCGGCCAGTGTCGGCTCAGGCTTCGAGACTGATTTTGAGAATCTTTTCGAGGATCTGAAGACCTCTACGTGCATCGAGGAAACTCGCTCTTCTAGCAGGGACTATGAAGGCTGGTCCAACATTGAATCCACTGCCGATAGCAGCCTGCGAGCTTGTGATGTCGACCCGGAGGTTGTCGAACCAGATATGCTCCCTGCTCTTCAGACCATCCCGAGGCCAGATGTTTTGTTTCAAACTCTGACACCGTATTTGATGCAAGTGTTGTCCAGTGGAACAAATCAAGTTACGGTGACAGCGACGCATGAACCGAGTCTGAAGCTTTTGGCTGACTACTTGCAACGATGGATTAAGAATGATCCTGAGGATGTGAGAAAGGTAAGTATCAAGGAAGTCCACCTACCCTGACTCCTCCAACTGAGACTTGCCCCAGATTCCATATTTGCGCATCAAGCTTGTAGTATCCAACTTCGGACTTGGACTGTTCTATGACTCACTGACCATTGAACCATTCGATCACCATCAACGCCGGATCAGAGTGAATGTTGTTCTGATACTCGCATTTATCCAGGGCGTCTTAGGATATCAGCCTATCCACGAGACTTCAGAAGGGGGCTTCTGGGAATTCAGACGCACGATACCGTTCAAATCTTGACAAAAATTGCTATTTTTTGGGCAGTTCCGTTGACAGCCAGAAGCCAGAGGATTTTTTCTGCCTGGCGGTTTCCTCAATCTCATTCTGTAGTCAGCTGCAGTTCTTTGATTTAATGCTGTCTTTGAAATTGATATTTCCGACAAGATCTCAGGTTTCGAGGGAGTAACGCATTCCATAATACAATACTCTTGCTGGCACATTCACGCCTCTGGAAAAGGTCCGCCGTCTCCTTCTCACCGGCTGGAGCGAAGTTATTGTTTCCTTTGCTCCCGCTTTGCACGAACAGCCATGCATATCGAAAGGCGCAAGTTTGTTAACATACCTTGTGGAGTTGACATAGACGTCCTCAAATTCAAATCAGCTATTCGCTGTGTCAGACGTCAACCCAACAATCGGGCACTCTCGGCTTCAAAATCGCCGGCACATGAAGAGTAACCGGGAAAGATACAATTCAGATTCAAGTTTGAAGGATCGAAGAGACCTTAGGAAGGACACGGCGACTGCCTCTCTGGGACATGACTTCATTGTGATCTCTCTTGGAAACCATCTCGACCTCACCAGATTCAGTTGCCTGAGAGCCTAGTCATCGTCTTTCGACGGCAGTGCAATATACCTGGTATCGTGATGCCTGCCAATCAACCGAAGAATACAGAGGTGAGCAAAAATTTGTAGATTTCTGGAAGTGGTGGATATGGGGAAGCCACAGCGCTATAATAAAAGTCACGGGAACATAGGGAGCAGGTGGCTTGACTACGGCGTATAAAGCAGTAGAACTTGCTTCGCAAGCCCATCATCGTTGGCTCCAACCCTTGCCGGTGAAGGCGTTGTGGCGGCGATCCAGAGTACTTTGCTGCAGTTGCTAGCGGAGTGAACCCAGAAAAACGGTGCAAATCCAAGAAGCCTTGCTTCTTCTTGCACAATAAGCCCTCGCAGAAGAATGGTTACAGTGCATGGTCGGTGTACGTCCCAATTTTGCTCTCATGTTGTCGGGCCAGGCTCTGGAGAACCAGATCCCCCCGGTCCGACGCTGGCTCTCTGGCGAGCACTGTGATGAAGGCTATTACGGTCTACTCGGCCGGATCAAACGCCCAGCCCTTGTCGCCAACGACAGCAACGATCTCCTGGTCCCAACAGAGAACAGCTACGTTCTTGGAAGCGACTTGTAACTACAATGCCAGTCTGCATTTGTACCCAGACAACGGTCTCGGGTTTCTGGATGAGTCACTTTCGAGGTTGATGAACGACTTCTTCGACGAGTTTGGTGTGCCTGAAGAGGGTATCCGTCCGAATGAAGTCTTCCAGCTTCCTGAAGAGGAGTGGCCATGTATCTGAGTCTTTTCATTGGCATTTTGTTGGATAGTCCATTAAGCAGAAAATGGAACGAGATGAATCCGTTGTAAAAAGAATCTAGTCATTTTCTCAGTTTGTTCTTGGTGATGCCTTCTGCTCTGAAGTGGCTTATAGCTAAAATGACAGAGGCTTGCAGGGCAATGCGTCGAGAAACAAAGCCGCCCCGGGAGAAGCCGAGGACGTTAAGCTTAGGAACGCTGAGTGCTTTGGCAACGTCGATGATGGCCTGTGTCTAGCCGACATAACTGGTTGGCTATTCGCTTTCACTGCGACCAACGCTGGTGCTGTCGATGGGGGAGAATGGGCCGTCGTTTTGCTGCTAAAGGATTGATGAATAGAGGGTCCCGCCTGTCGAAACTTCTTCCGAAAATAAAATATGGAGGAACAAGGGAACTCCTTCAGTTTTCCCGAGCAAGAGGTAGGCATGCCTGATGCCGTTAGTGGTTGTGTATTTGATCTCGGCTATCTCGTAAGTGGGCCCTTTCGATATTGTGATGTTGAACTCGGAATCATTCGGCCCCTTTTAACTGAACTTGGCCACTTTTTGGTGAGCGTCTAGATGATAGCTTTGCCCCAGACAAACATGTATTTGCTCACCTTCCTTGCAGGGCTGTACTGGTAGACGGACTCAATTAGACGGCTTGGTCGATACAGAGTGGTACAATAGTGAAAGACTCTCTTGGCCTGGGAGGCTGTTTGGTGGGAAACGATGATGATGGGACTCAAGGTATTTCATAGCCAGAGATTCGGTCTTCTTATACGCACTTCGCTGTGGCTGTCCAGAATCTACCAGAAGATAGCAGATCCTCCAAGATTGAAGCAACCGACAGATGGAACGCAACATGACAAAGACTAGGCTCGCACTTGGGCGTGGACAAGGCTAGGGCAGCCTTCTGATTGGATTCCTCAATATTTCTGAAAAGGGTGCTCGATCCTCTGCCAGCCCCCCATGTTGCCGAAGCATCCGTCATTTGGGAGTGACTGTATAATCGAAAATGGAAAAGGACCTTAGCCTGGAGCCAGCACACTCATCTCTGCGTTGAATAGCTCCGACGTTGTTCCCATGGCGAGGAGTTGGGGCTTGGCATACGCAAGCTTCAAGCCTCAAAGGGAACAGGAGGTATGAACGGACGTGGCAATACGACGCTTGTCCAGGTTTAATGCTCAGTGTAAGCATTTTGACATGACAATTCTTCGTTGGATCGCCTGAAATCTTTGGACGGGCGCTTCGCTAATGTGTCAGTGGGGAAAGCATTGACGTTAGTCGGCCCGCTCATAAGATCCAAAGAGATCAGAAATCATTCGACGCCCATTTCTTCAGGTGCCAATCTTCAGGACTTTGAAATCTTGTAGAGGGGTTCGATCACACATTGAAAAACAGTCTCCCAGAGTCTCATGTCATCCCAATCCTTGGGGCAAGGGACACAATTCATCGCTCCCGCGACGCAGTGGAAGACAGCTTGGTGATACGAATTGGGCAAGGCGTGAGGGTCTGACTCTAGCCATTCAAGTGCATGAACCTGTAGCTCATAAACACGCATGGATCCAGAGCTTAACGGAAAGTGGTCTTCTAGAGTCTTTTCGTGCCAAATTTCCAACAGCATAACACCTAAATTCAAAAGAGCCTCTTTCACACGAAAAGCTGTGTTTGACACAGCCGGTCCGGCGGTCGATTGCTCAAATGAGAGCGATAAAAAGGGCTTTCTGATATCGGCTTCCTGGTTGGGGTTCTGGAGAAAAGACACCGTGTCGCTCGACAGCCTAGGAAGAGCCCACGGTGTACGGAGAAGTTGCAGAAAATTAGATGCAACGTTCAGTGCCAGTGACGTCTTTATCCGCCAGGATAAAGCTTTTCTAGTGCTCTGAGAGTGGTTCTGAAGCAAGTCTTTCAGCCGGATTCCGTCTCTAGCTTTCGAGGATTTGAATCCGGCCATACGCGTGGGGCCCGTTGCCATCCTGCAATCTTTGGTCAATGCAAATATGATATGTTCTTGGTTCTTGCGTGCCTCCTCGATTGCCGAACAAATATCCTTGATGTCCTTCATTGACCTCTGCGGCAATTCGGGAGCCGGAGCGATAATTGTGACTCGAGGCTTGGTGGCTTGGGGACCGTCGGAACGTAACGGTTGTCTTGCGTCCTCATCGGCGACATGGAACGCTTGAACCGTCGATTCGTGCCAGAAATTCTCTTGTTGTGGAGCTTGACCAGACAAAAGAAGTTGGAAGACATAGACCGGGAGCTGTTCGTTACGTGGTCTTTTTTGAAGTTCTGTGAGCTCCTCCACACGGTCCTCCAAGATAAGCCGGGCTTCATGCTTGCGATGACAGTCGAAGACCCAGCCTTTCGATACTGCAAGATAGAGGTCTTCTGCACGTTTTCTGATATTCCAAAATGCTTTCGCAAGTCGCTTGGTCTTGCCGGAGGACTGCTGGCCGCTTAGATGATGATTAGAAGAGATAAGCTGGCACAGGCGCTGCAGAGAATGTAGGACTGCGTCGAGTTTTTCGCAGTCTTCATCGAAGCTTTTTATCTTGAGCACTAGAGACATCCGTGCTACAAGGTCAAGTTGCCCCTTTTTGGTGTTTTTATTGGCTTCAATCAGCTTTGAGAGCTCAACTGAATCCTGGAGCAGGGAGTTAACTTCATCATCATGTGGACCGGGAGAGAATGTCGCACCTTGACTGATGGAACCAGCTTGGCGATTTTCAAAGCCAATCGATGGAAGATCTCGTCACAGTCTTCCAGGGTAAAAATGAAAATATCATGCTTGCTTCCCAGATAATCCTTAACAGCTTCTTGGGTCTCAGAGTCCGTGAGAATTTGCTCTATGCCTGCTGGAAAACTGGACGGGATCTCGCATCCGCTCTCGATGAGAACCGATTTCAACAGCTCTTCGAGGATCGTCGCCTGTCTGGAAAGGGCTCTCAAGAGAGAGTCTATCGTTTTTCTTTTTTCAAATGCCGGTTTGACAGCTTTGAGGCTTTTTCGGTAGGTTTGGAGGCCTTCAGTTAGGATGGGTATCGCCCCCAGGATCAGACCAGCAACTTCAATCCCAGACATGTCAGTTCCTAACACTTGGTGTCGAACAAGTTACCAAGGCAAAGGATCAATTTTCAAGCACCCCTTGAACAAACGTCCAAGACTGATCGGGTTGGGCGTGAAGCGTCATGTCCCGTGTCAAGCTTCGATATTGGTAGCGTAACGCCGATGTTGTAAGGTCGTTTGTCACTGCCTTGAGTCTTTTATAGGGTCTTTGACTCTCGCTCTTCTGCGTGTCTGTACTCCCACTAAGGTACATAGTGCGTTTCAGCGTCCTCCATATGTGCTTCAAGTTTATGGTCACTGTTCCAACAAAGCGAGCTGGGGGCGCTTATAAGGTGCCGCCAGTGGAGCTCGTTCAGCAAAAATAAACAAATCAGTGGCGTTTCTATGCTCAATGATGATTGAAGCGCTTATCTTGCAATAGCTTTTTGACGAGTAGCTGACGGCGGGCCGGAACGCAAGGAGCAAGTCTCCCCCGCTGCACTTGCGCCCAAGCGCCTCATTCATCAGAGAGACATTTTCTTTGAGTGCGACAATGAAGCTTCTCTTTCTTCATTGACTGTAAATGTCTCCATTGGCACAAAGAATCAAGGACGATCAACCTCGCAGCAGGCTTGGTCCTATATTAATCAACGATGGCACCACAAACCAGTTCATGCCTATCCTCCAAACATGACCCATCAAATCCACTCCAATTCTACAAGACTTGCCAGTCTGGGGAGGGATGCCTTCAACTTCTTCGAGCAGGTCCTCCAAATCTTTACAGAGGACAATCCTTCTGACCGATTGTCTCCCCAAAATCACTCTTCGTTTCTCCGAGAATATGAGCGATTTAAAATTTGGGCCGTGGATCTTGGGTTATTGGTACCAGGCCACGGCTCCCTCGACTACCGCCTTCGCGAGGCGGAGAGTCTAGCCCGCACCTTCGAAACCCACCTGTCTGATTTGAATCGATATTTGGAAGAAACAACTGTATTCGGAGACTCGAAGAAGCTACAAGCGGAAAACGTCGATGCAATTCTGGCACGGATCGAAAACATCTCCGAAGGCGAGCAGGACAATGAAGCGGCTATTTCAGAGGACGACAGCGAAGATGAAGAGCATGAGCCGCAGTGGTATATAGATCTCCTGCTAGCAAGCGTCATAGACGTGATTGATCACCTATTCAGATTGTCAACGCTCATCAGGAACCCATCCAGAAGACTCGCCTCCTCCAAGGCCAAACTCTTTCAGCACATTGACGAGGACTCCGGTGTCGACCTGATCAACGCTTTTGGACACTACGATCACGACTATGTTCTCTCAGTCTTTCGTGACTATCAGTCAAAAGTCCCAGACGAAATCCATCAACAGAACATTGGTGCTCTACAGACAACCGATCACGACGCTGAAACGTGGCACAGCGTCGAGAACTGCACACTCTGTAAATCAGGCATGGAGATTGCCGAAGAAATATCTTCAATCAATCCAGATGACCAAAATAGTGGCCAAAACAGTGTCGGAGGCGAAGGAATAGCACCATTCCTCATTCATCGGATTGCGCGCGCCAACATTCTGAGACGACAACAATTCGGTTACTGGAAGGAGCATCGCGGCAAGCTTGTAAAACATACAGAGCTAGCCTTGGAGCAAAGAAGACCAGCAACCAGGCCTGTCGATCACAACGTTTCCAAAGATTTTGATATGGGAAACAAAGGGGGCGAAAGAACTGTTCTAAAGCTTACCGATCTTCTGGCACCTCCCACCGTGACAACAGCGACCACACTGCAACCTACTTCCATAAGCTTGACAGATAACAAGTCAGTAACTTCTGTTTCGGAATATGCTCCTTCAGACTGGGGCCCAGGTCGTGAAGTCGTTGAATTCCCACCGCCGCCAAAAAGACCGGCCGGCGAGAAATTCTTCGAGTGCCCCTATTGTTTTACAATCTGCCCCAGGCAAATGCTCACAGAGAAGGCATGGAAGGCCCACTTAATCCACGACCTGCGACCATATATCTGCACCTACCCTGCTTGTAAAACCGCGAGCCAACTATACGACACACGCCGAGCTTGGATTGAACACGAAAATAGTTTCCACAGAAAACAATGGCGCTGTCCTGATCATGTTGATTTGCTTTACCCTTCGATTGATGCATATGTGGAGCACATCAAAACTGAGCATGAGAATGAGGCGATGTTTCTATGCTCTGAAATCCATCTTCGTGCCAGCGAATCTTTCTCCTCGGCTGCAGATAGACCCTGTCCCATCTGCTTTTTCTCTCCCACCGACACAAAGTCATTGCAGTCCCATCTTGCTTCTCACTTGGAACGATTGGCGCTCTTCTCTCTCCCTCGTTCTACCGACGATGACGAGGCTGATAATGGTGAAGCGGAATCTGCCGTTGCGGTCGGGGAAGTGCAATACTCCCGTGACGGGGATTCTGAATCATCAGTCGGGCTCGGGGACGAATGGGACAACCTCTTGGAAGCTGTCGACATTGGTGACAATGAAAGGGTGCAGTTTATCTTGCGTAACGGGGATGGAGATGAGAGTTCTCATGCGACAGAACTTGAGCATGCTCTGATCAAGGCTGCAGGAGGTGGCCAATTGGGAATTGTGCGGACACTGCTTGACCATGGAGTAAACATCGAGGCGCGCGGGCCATACGAGCACTGGGAGCGGACGCCCCTGATGGCAGCTTCGGCAGAAGGTCGCGTGGATGTGGTGCGACTGCTATGTGATCGTGGTGCTGACATCGACGCTTGCAATGAGAGTGAAAGTGCACTTGTGTCAGCGTCTGAGAAGGGGCATATTGACGTGGTTCGACTTCTGTTAGACAAAGGTGCATCTGTCGACAAAAGTGGTGAGCATGGACGAACCCCTCTGTTTCAGGCAGCGGCTGAAGGCCATGATGAGGTGGTACGGCTGCTCCTGTACAGAGGAGCAAATATCAATGCCGTGGCTGATGAATCCCCCCTCCAGGCGGCCTCGATAAGCGGCCGCGAAACTGTAGTAGACATCCTGCTGAATGCGGGGGCTGATGTCAACTGGAAACATACATATACTGCTCTGCAAGTGGCAGCGGAGATGGGTAGAGACAAAATTTTAAAAAAGTTGTTGGAGGCAGGCGCCGATCCCAATGCTCGAGGCACTGAAGGTACCACCGCGCTCATCTTGGCTGCAGGGGAAGGAGAAGCAGATACTGTCAGGCTGCTTCTCGAAGCAGGAGCTGACATAAATGGGGCAAATGCTCAGAATGAGACCGCACTCCATTTGGCATCTAGAAAAGGCCATGAGGCCGTGGTGAAGTTGCTGATAGAAGCTGGAGCAGACCTGGAGAAGTCCAATAAGCGAAGTGGTACCGCTATTCAGGCAGCGAGGAAGACAGGCCATGCCAACATTGTTCAGATTCTTCGAAATGCAGGCGCAAGCGAGCAGCCCAAAGACTATCATATGGATGATTTGATCCAATACGGCCCCGTCACCAAGCCGAAGATGTCAAATCCGTCTCCACCGACTCTCCCCCGGTCTTGGACAATTCAGTTGCACAATGACAAGGCAGAGAATCTTAACCTTTCTCTGGTTCATGATATTGCGCAAGACTCGGTAGTGGCTTGCGTGAACTTCTCCAGAGACGGAAGGTATCTCGCTGTCGGACTTTGTCGGAGTGCTCGGATCTTCGACCTCGAAGACATGTCGAATGTCACCGAGCTTGAACATGGGTCTGCTGATGACGCAGATCTATTTGTGCGCTCGGTCTGCTTTTCGCCGGATGGTAAGTTTCTTCTGACTGGTGCAGGTGATCTTACGCTTCGTCTGTGGGAAGTTGAAACCCACCAATTGAAGAGAGCGATTCCTGGTTATTCGATGGACATATATGCTGTCGCTTTCTCTCAGGATGGCCGCATCTTCGCGTCAGCGTCGGGCGACGGAGATATTCTTCTATACGATTGCGACACCGGATCCAACATCTCGAGGTTCACTCACGACGAAGGTGCTACGTCTGTCTCATTTTCCCCAGATGGGCGATATGTCGCGGTAGGCGGGCTTGACAAAAAAGTTTGTCTGATCTCGCTGGAAGAAGAGAGGCTCTTTCGTTTACCACAGGATTATGGACACCAGGATTCTGTGATAAGCGTAGCATTTTCCAGAAGTGGCGATAAAATATTCAGCGCTAGTCTGGACCGAACTATCCTATGCTGGGGCTTGGTGACGGACTCAGACGATTGGTATGTCTGGACGCGAGAAATGACTGGACACGAGGTGAGTTTTTAGGTTGTGCGCAATTAAAACAGGTCGCTTACTGAGCTTCAAGGACTATGTGCTCTCAGTTGCGGAAACAGGAGACGCACAATGGATCGTATCGGGCTCGCGGGACAAGACTGTGCGAATCTGGAGTAGCGACACCGGGGAGCCACAGGCCACCTTGAAAGGTCACAAGAACTCTGTAGTCTCGGTGGCGACATGCCCAAGCAAAAGGTTGATAGCGACAGGATCAGGAGACATGACGTTCACGATATGGGGCTATGATTGAGATGGAAAGCGGACAACATAGAGAGCCTTTCTGGGGAATGAGGAGGGCTCTGTCAGACCCTCGAAAACTCGGGGATAGCTTATATCTCAAACTTGGGGGCAAGGCTTGAAGCCCTGCTCATGCTCGATGACTCAATCAGCCTTGGCACATTTGATGGCAACTTCTAGATCTCCGACGACTCGCCTCACCTCATTAAAATCCATAACTCAAAAGATTACCAACAAAAACATTGTTTGTTTCTCTTGTCTGAAAAACACGATTCGATTCAATCCGCTTCGCCATCACGAAATCATCCCTCGTAGTTGATTCTGCCTTTTCACGAATACATTCCCACACCGCAAGGACAACATCTACGAGTGGACCACCCAGCCTTGCTCGTCATTCCCAACATACCTACAATCATGTCCAACGCAGAGTGGGATAGTGTAGTCCGGATCGGCAGCAAAGTCCGCCCCAGTGGAGGCACGGCCGCCGAGCGTGAACGTGTCATCAAGGGAAAATCCGCCATCAACGCAGCCGCTCGGTCTGGAGCCATTGTTGGGACAGAAAAGAAATACGGCAGCGCAAATAGTGTAAGCCATGCCACCAGCCTTACCTATACACCGCAAAATTGGCCCGAGATGCTAACAGGTTACCGTTTAAGAAATCTAATGTTGATGGCCAACACCTGACCAAAGTCGATCGCGAGAATGGGCCAGTCAAGCCCAAGGAAATCGGCGCGCAAGTCGGACAGTTAATTAGTAAGGCCCGCCTTGAGAAGGGTTTGACTCAGAAAGATCTCGCCAAATTGTGTAATATCAAAGACTCTGATCTGGCAAAAATGGAGTCCGGAACCGCCATTGTCAACCAAGACCACCTGAGTCGTTTGGAAAACAGATTAAAAATCCATCTTCGGGGAGCAAAAATGGGCCAACCAAAAGAGTTCGGGAAGAAAAAGTGAACAAGCAAAGGGCAAAAGAGGAGGACGACGAGTTGTGTCGAGGAAGAATCCGCGACCAAAAGGTGACAAAGGACCAACTGGCGGCCATGCACAAAATACCTCCCTGGGAAGAATGGCTCTGACTGGGCACTGGAAATTATGAACTGGGACGAATCTTTTACCAGGCGCAAGAGACTGAAATAGACAGCAACTTCAATTCAGCATTACGAGCAATATTCTGGTGAACTTGCCTTGAATTTTTACAGAGCACTCTACGAGAAGAATCATGAAAATTTGAGCGCTGGTTTGTTTTGTGGAGGGATTTCGTAGCTCGCATACCCTCATAGAAAACTTTTGTTCCATTTCGCATCGCTTTTCCATCTTCCCTTCTTAGTTCCCCCGCCGTGCTTCAACTCGTACCCGTTGGTATGGTACTCCAGAATGCACTTGCATCGACAGTTCTTTGATCCATGCCAGAAGCGTTCCTCGTGCGGAGGCTGGCATGGAGGTCTGTTGGCCCAGGAATATTGAAGAGGCCCCAACCCAAGTATTGGTCCTGGGGTACAAGGCCAAAGGTGGACCTTCACGTAGGTGCTGAGTTCTGTCTTCCGTGAAGATGTGTGAAGATGGCCCGTTCTGGTTGCTGGGCGATTCAATTTCTGTCAAGATTCAAAGAAGTTCCTGCCATGGCTCTTTGTTCAGAGACCGAGTGATGAAGAACGGGAAAAGCTGCAGGAAGTGAATGGCTTTCGCGAACTCGTCCAACAGACGATGATTCCTTTACACTGAAGCCGGTCAAGCCAAAGACGGTGTAGTATCCATGGCTCGTGATGGCAAACCCTGTGCATACAGGAGTTCTCTACCGCTCCCGGACTCCTACACACTATTTCGAAGCGCGTACAAAGCATTCGAGGGTCCTTACAAGTCTTGGCGTCGCTACTTATCACACAAAGGAGCCTTTAGCCTTGCTTGCCGCGCAGAAAACGTCGATCGTGGCGATAGCGACGGCCGGACACATGGTTGTTGGCAGAAGTCTGATTCAGCGAGACCGGTCGCTGTCGAGCAGCGCCTTAACCACTGCATTGTTGTAGCAGGGCTGGTGCCGCTGCCAACTGTGTGGTTGGGCTACTTCATCTCGGCGAGCCTTTGGAGGTGAATCTAACCGCGTTGTGTCTTTGGACTTGATGTAGACGTTATGAAACCCTCTCAACAAGGAGCATGCATTGGACCGCAACTTACGGTCCTCATAGATACCGTTGAAGGACCGACGCTCTTAGAGACACCCCCGCCGGGAAAGAAACATCAGGATCCGCAGGAGGGGTAGGTACCAGATATAGGATATGCCAGTTGTCTTGCGTGTTGAGCCGTTTTCTGCACTTCCGTTTGAATAGTAGCGGGTATTGCTCGTGTCTAAGAGGATCCGTTTACGGAATTTGCGTAGCGGACTGTCTGTTGAAGAAGTGGAGGCAAGTCGTTATTTGCGGACCATCAAGAAGACTGCAGGGTTGTGTTTGAATACCAGTAGAGTCGTGGTGTACACGAACGTGACTTATGGGTCCAAGGGGAAAAGGTTCAAAAGTGGGCCGATGTCAAACTTCTCTTCGTCCAAAGAATGCTCCGATCCCCTTGGGTCAAAGGATGGTATCAAGCCTGTCTATATATCTATCTAACGAGTGTACGTCACCATTGTTGCCTGTCAATGGTGATACAGTCCGGTGAGCGAGTGTTGCAATATAACCCGGTTAGTCGTGAACGATAGGCCATCGCAAGCTGTTGTCCAGGAACGAGGTGTGCCTCTACATTCTAGGTTGCCAACACGTTTCTTTGACTGTGCTACCAGGGGAGGCGTCTGCCGATACCTAAACCGATAGATCGCATCCATATATCGATTTGTCCACCCCTAGTCTGATGCAGCCATACCCAGCTTTTCGAGCAGGGCAAACCTCCCCCAAAAGCCTCGGTTGATCTTCCCAAACACATACATGGGCACACTAAGGAGATAGATGCCCATAACAATGCCACCCTGTAAATCAAAATATCTCGCTGGGCCAACGAGAGCCAAGTAATCATTGACCCAGTAGGAGAGGCCGAAAAAGAAGAAGTTCTTGAAAACCATGGCAATGATAAGCATTTCTGTACTCTCCTCGCTGTGGGCATCAACGACATAAGAGTTCATGACGGCGCCGGCCGTGTTCACACTAAAGCCGTAGATTCCGTGAAGGCAGCTAGCCACATAATATCCCTTACCTGCCTCCACCATGTTCCCGAAGAGGAACAAACCAAGTATCCCTGTCACCAAAGCGACGATCATTGCTTAAAGCATAAGATGTGAGCGCTCAACGGGCCATACAGAAGTGCAGATTATGGTACTTACGGTAAATTCGGAACTCTGGCTCGTACACACCACAGTTCTTTCTGGCAGCATAGCGAACAATAGGGTCGGAAGAAAAGCTCATGAAAAGGACGGCCAGGAACCCTCCAACAAAAGGACCCACGTAGAGATAGCCGACACTCGCTGCTGAGAGGTTGTACGGAGGAACAGACCATATCTGAGCGAGGACAAACGATGTCGCAACCCACCAGCCTGAGGATATGCCTTGGGTCAAGCAGCCCCAAACTGTGGCGGGATTCGCCAAGCAAACAAACGGGGCGAGGACAAGTCTTAGGGGATTTTGGCGATTAAGTCGCCCATTAAAGATAGACAAGCGCTGCCAGAATGTCTTCGGGGGGCCCATATCCTGCTCGCTTGCTGGCGTGGCCGGAGTGACGTGTTCGCACTCTGCGACTTCCACTTGTTTCACCTCCTCGAGCCGTCTTTGCTGTTCAGGAGATACCACGCCGGTGTGAGGGGTTGGTCGGCTGATATATGTTGTTTCCGGAACAAAGAAGAACACCATGGCCAGCTGTACGACAAGAAAAGGCTGAGAAACATGGAACAGATATTTCCAGCCCAGGTTGTTGAAAATGACCCCGGCGACGATGGGAGACAACACGGCGAAAGTGTTGGTGACCAACTGGAAAGTCGTGACTCCGGCCCCCCTCTTATGGACAAAATAAATATCACCAATCAAGGCCACAATGAGGGACTCATAGGCTGTGACGGAAAGACCTTGAAAGAGTCGTCCGACCAGGAGGCCATTGTATGAGTTAATACACTCACAAATAAGTGTGCCAACGACACCGAGGAGAGACGCCAGAAGAAACTGCGGACGCTTGCCCCAGACGCGAGACACGGCCGAGACAAACGGCCCAAATGCACCAACACAGAGTAAGCAGTCGCCCGTCAACTGCGCAATAGCAGCGATGCTTGTGTTCAAATCCACACTGAGTTCATACGTTGCAGGTGACAACATGGGAACGAGCACTCCGGTGAAGAAGAGCGAGCCGAAAGCTACAGTGAAAAGGCACAGGTCCTTTCTCCACTGAGGCCAGTTCTGAAAAAAGGGGGTTAGCATTAGCATGTCGTTTCCTTTTTCTCCCCAGTGATGGTCCTTACCAGCGGATCGTCGGGATTATCCAACGGTTGTGGTGCAAGGACAATATGAGAATATCGTCCGCGGCCATGTTTGAGCCCTGCTGTTGCTTGTGCGCTCGCGCCTGCTGCTATCTCATCGGTTAACAGGGTGGTGCCCGGCGTATGTTCAAAGTTCTTTTCCTGAAGGATACCGAAAGTAGCCATAATTTTCGACCCGGTAAGATTTGAGCCATAGTACAGGGAGGATCGTGTTAAGTACTGTGTTCCTGTTTCCTCGGGTGCCGATAAACCTTCATCAAGATGCGCCTCTAATCCAAACCTCCCCTGCCAAAGTTGGCGGGGGCGTAATTGAAATTGGAGCCCGCACCGGAGTTGGATTGGGGTAGGGGGTCTACTAACCCCACACTCCTAAGTACCACAGCCTCGTGCCGGTTCTACCGAACTTTAGGAATCTCCGTCCCGGACGCCGGCGAAGGAGATTGTACAAAATAGTGAAGTAGAGACAATCAAGTCCTGCCATGGCCACTGGCGGCTGAGGCAAAAAAAAAAAAAAAAAAAAAAAAAAACCCAGAGAGACCATCAAATTACGATTTATTATCTTCGAGTCTGCACCTACCATGCCCATCGATAAATCATGGCATGGCTACGCGAAGGGCCGCGTTCCAGATCTGGGCTTTGAATGGGCATGGCAAGATGCGCTACCTCCAGACGAACCGAATCGAGACCCTCCAGTTGTTTATATACCTTTCGGTTACGAGAAGAAGACGCTTCCACGAGGCTGGCAAACGACACCAGAGAACAAACCACTTGATATCGACATCGTCTTCGAGAAAGATGTTGAGATCGCCTTGCGGGATGGCGCCAAGATTTATACCGACATCTATCGTCCCGCTGAGATGGGAGGAAAAAAGATTCCCATTGTTGTGGCCTACTCTCCCTATGGCAAAGGAGGAGCTGGAGCAAACTTGATGGATGTAGTGCCCTACAGAGTCGGAGTTCCTAAGAATCGTCAGAGTGGGCTGGAAAAATTTGAAGGGTCTGTGGAATGACTTGACCTTTTGAATCAAGGCTGACATAGGTTGCAGCCCTGATCCCAATGAGTGGTGCCAACATGGATATGCCATTTTAGATCCCAATGCAAGAGGGTCGTGTGATTCTGAGGGCGACTTGTACTTCTTTGGTCCCAAAGACGGTGAGTAGGGAGAGTCTGCTCAGTGATGAGATTCGGCAAAGACACACTCTATCCCATCTGACAATACACTGGATTCCAGTCTGCTCTGACGTCTCTTACTATCACGGCCGGATACAGGCGAGGACTGTTACGATATCATTGAGTTTGCGGGCAAGTTGGAATGGTGTAACGGCGCAGTTGGCATGGCTGGAAATTCATGGCTGGGTATTTCACAATACTGGGCGGCAATGACCCAACCGCCCCACTTGAAAGCAATTGCTCCCTGGGAAGGCTATAGTGATCTGTACCGAGACATGATGAGACGTGGTGGCATTCCTTGGGCCCCTTTTTGGAAATGGGTTCTGTTGGGAGTACCAGGTTAGTTGAAAATCATGTCGCGCGCGATGGCAACATAGACTGACAGACCAGGCCGCGGGCGACAAGAGGACGTGCCTACGATGGCCTTCCAACATGAATTTTACGACAAGTACTGGGGAAAACAAATGTGTGGACTTTTCGAGGATTAATGTGCCGTCCTATATTCTCGGCTCGTATTCCTCGATGTTGCATTCTGTGGGCGCCGTGAGAGCCTGGCAGAATACTAACACGGATAAAAAATGGCTTCGTTTCCATCCACACCAGGAATGGTATGAGGACTATTACCATAGATCCATGGAGGATCTGGATCGATTCTTTACGAGGTACCTCAAAGGCGAAGAAAACGGCTGGGAAGCAACGCATAAAGTGCGGGTCTCGCTCTATCGATATGGGGACAGAGTATGATCCTCTCCCAGCTTTTTCACACATATGTGCTGACGGAGGCTCTTAGTATCCGGTTTATGACCAAGTCCAAACGGACTATCCTATTCCTCGGACGAAATACACCAAGTTGTTTCTTAGTCAGAAGCAGACATTGTCACACGAGCCAGATACATCTAGCCCCGCCTCAGACTTCATCCATTCATATGATTCCACGGCCCGTGATATGCTGACGTACGACTACAAATTCAACGAGAAGACCACCTTGGCCGGCTTTTCCAAGCTCCGAATATTCGTCTCCTGCAAGGAACACAACGACTTGGACATCTACGTTATGCTACGCAAGCTCTCCGTCGATGGGGAACTTATGGAGCAGTCCAATGTGCCACTTCATGAACTCCCGCCAGACGTGAAAAGCGTCAAAGATGTCAAGAATGTCAATCCAATCAAGTATTTGCTCCCGACGGGTATGCTACGTGCTTCACATCGCGAGATAGATCTGCAGAAATCTACCGAGTACTGGCCTTTCCATCCGCATCTACGGACCGACTACGTTGAGCCGCTCGGAAAAGTGGTCCAGATGGACATTGGCATCCGGCCAATGGGAGTAGTCTATGAGAAAGGCGAGAGTCTCCGACTTCAAATCTCAGGTAAGACTATGGCGTTGCCGGAGTGGGATAACCCCCATGTGAAGCATCAAGAACCGGTTTTCAATAAGGGCAGACACAATATCCATCTGGGGAAGGACTATGCCTCCGAAAGTTACCTTTTGGTACCCAGGCTGTAGATAAATAGATAGTTTGATCACGTCACGAGTCTCCTTAGAAATGCCAGCATTCAATCAACATTCTCTCCCCCCGTAAATAGACAAGTAGGTACAATCAGTGTTCCGGACTAGCAAATACCGATCTCATCGCCGATATCTGAGCCCCCAATGTATCGGTATTTACTAAATATTATCGCCGATATTATAGCCGGCATTCCTCATGGGGGCTACTTGTACTCACCGACCGTCATGAGCGAATTAATAAGTTGTTGGACAGTGCTGTCGATTCCCCAGCCAATGGGCGAACTTGGGTCCTTGTATCCGAATACTTCCAAGAAGCCCAGCATGGCCTGGAGACCCCCGATCAGGCCATAGTCCGTACCTCCGCAAAGCTTAGTCTGGGCACAGAACACAGCTGCAGATCGGAGCGGAGGGGCTTACCGTATTGTGTTGTCGCAAGGCATGCAACACAGCAGAAGGCAAACCCTTTGCGGTGGTGCCACGCCGATCCCTTGGACAACTCCAAGGCGGATATTTGTCCCCACAGAGCGGAGTTGGTATTCACCCAAAAAGATTACCCACAACGTTACTGGTAAAGCTTAACAAGAACATATTCATTGTCTTGGAACATGTAGGCAGTCTCCCGATGCTTGGAACAGAAGAGATAATTGTATCCAGTTGCTAGAGGGTGCTCATATTTTTTCCTACAGAGGCATTGCATGTCCTATTCACACGTGGCCATAATCGCTGCTGTCAGATGCTGTGTTGTCGTTAGAATGATATGCATAACTGGAGACATCAATGACGAACAAAATGGATATTTACGCAAGGCTTTGGTGCTGCTCTCAGTACCAAGCATGAACATCAACCACCTCTTTTTCCACACCAACCAAGACCCCCCCAAAAAAAGGGGAATTTTTGAGCCGGCCTCCTTGAGGCCGGCAACTCCTACATCCGACGAGTTCGGCAGAGTGCTGTGGCACATTTATTTTGAACACATCTAGGAGTGTTTAAATCCCGCAGGGCCTGATAGAACGGCTAACTGAAGATGGGGCACTGGGGTGTGCAGGCTCGCCGGAGTTGATCCGGAGTGGAGATTGTGGGGATCCGGTACGGATGAAACTGGGGTAGCCATCCCGCTCGGTACACGCCCCTAATACCGGCGGCGGCACCTGAGACTTTCACTTTTCTGAGGCGCTGAATACTGAATGACGTGGAGATAGAGATCACACTTCAGGGGAGAATAGCCAATCGGCATACTCCTTGGTTGTCGTCGTCTTTGCGAATAAGTGAAAGAGGTTATCGATCATGAACAAAATTGCTATGCAGCTCTAGGACCATGCCCATTTGGCAGAATAAGACAGAAATCCGTCCAGGGCCTTCATGATATTTCCCACATCCTTGCCCCGGTCTAGAAAGCCGAACCGCCTGGCAAACTTTTTGCTGTGAATCATTGTGCTAGAAAACAAAAGGTCCAGCCCGGGAAAAAGGTACGGACCGTGATCTCTCCGATCACATCAAAGGCATAACATTGGAGCCAGTTGCCCATGTCGATAGGCTCCTTCTGATCTGCAAACTCGTCCAAACGAGTCTCAAATATAGCCACGCAATTGCTTACAAAGCCCTCCATCTCCATGAGCGCGGTCATCGAAAACCCGGCGGCAACCATCCGGCGGTCATGCGCGTGCCGTTGGATGTTGGCGTCGGTGAACAAAGAGTAGTCGCCTGGTGCATCCGACGCTTCGTACCAGCGTGCCTGTGCAGACATACCATTTAGAATAGGACAAGTGGCCATAACAGCAAATACCGGCACTGACCTTTTTGTACTGTGATCCATGGCCGTAGATTACCTTGAGGCTCTCTCCAGGATCATCTGTGCTGACTTCATCGGGAGCAATGCGAACAATGGGGCCTACGAGTTTTCAGGTTTTTCACAGTTGGTTCAGAGCCGAAAAGAGACACATGTCTGGCCGTATTTTCAGGACCACGTACCATAGCGCTTGTGCAGGTCGATATTCACCCATTGCATATCCCCTGCGAAGGCTTTCTGGACCTTCCATAGTCTTGTGATGCTTGCCAGCCATGGGCCGGGTACTCTTCGCAATGGTGTCAGATACCGCACGCTGAGGAGCCGGCCGAGCAAGTAAAGCGTGACAAGAACTATTTAATAGTTGCTCTAGAAAACGGCATTCCTGACAGTTGCTCTGCACAACGACGAAGCTTCTGCAACGTCTACAAAGAGGACTTCAGGAGCGCAACAAGTTGATAGAAAACGGGGCATTCAATACATCTCAACTTGTACCCCCTTTGACAGTATTGACCAATTCAGTTCAACTCATCAGACCGGGCGGGACGAGCTAAGGCAAAGTCTTTATCGAAGGCGTACACGTACACGCCTTGACTTTCCCACCTGACAGCCCTTTGTTACGTCTTACCATATAAGGGGCCTCCTGTAATCTTTTTCTCGAAGGCAATCGCATCACCCAAGCCCATAACTTCATTAATGTTAGCAAAATAGAAAGAGAAACAGATAAACGTGAATTCACCTTGGAAGAATTCTCGTGGACCCATTCCCTGAGCGGTGGCTACATCCGTTCCCTTGTTCATGACCTCGCCGTATGCATTTCTAAGGGCATGCACTGCCGATACCGCTCCAGCTAGAGGATGCCATGTGATTCTGAAGCCCATTTCTTTCGCCTCGGCATTTGTGAAGTCCGGCGTGGCGCCGTGCGTAGGCAGGTTCAACACCAGGGGCATTGGAGCAAGCTCACGAACAGCACGAACAGCATCTTCTTTGGTTAGGAGGGCTTCGACAAATCCGATCTCGACTCCAACCTCCCCTGCTATACGTATACGCTCGATGGCTTCATCCAACCCATGGCCCTGTATAGAATCCGTCCGTGCGATGATCAAGGGCGCCGAGGGCTTGCCTGAACGCGCACTCACCGCCGCCTTCAATCGTGCCCTCCACTCCTCTCGTGACACAATTTCTTTTCCTTTCAGATGTCCACATCGCTTGGGCCTTCCCCTGGTTAGATCTCAAACAATCAAGCAGTGCACCCAGGACACCACGGTCCCAAAAGGCACAGAAGGACTTACATCACCTGGTCTTCGATATGCAGGGCGGCAGTTCCGGCCCTCTCGTAACACTCGACGGTACGAGCAATGTTGAGGACCGATCCGAATCCAGTATCAGCATCGGCAATGACTGGAGTGTTGCCGGCGATCGAAGTTAACATATTCAAATTTTGAATGAAGTGCTCTTGAGTAGCGATTCCTAGATCCGCTGTCCGCGGTGTTAGCCAGTGCAGGGCTCTGAAATGTGATGACTGACGGACGTTGGCCTAGCATACTAGCGGCGGTGGCCGCTCCTGACATGTACAAGGCTGGAGGGTTCGTCTCTAGCGCTGTCCTTGCAGAGATTCCTTGAGACAGATTAGCGAACTCCGCTTTGACCGAGGTTCCTACGGTTTGCACACCATCGTAAACCCCTAACGCGACAGTCAGGAAATTTGGGTCTGCGAGTTGGGCGCGCAGTCGCTCGGCAGGACTCATGCTAGTGGCGCCCATGGTGGAAGGTCTCTGCAAGTGTGGTGGTTTTAATGTGAGGCTCGGAAGCATCTGAATCGGGCTCAGTCCTCTAAAAATAATGATTAGAATTGAAGGATGTCCAGCGATTTTCGGACCGAAGATGCTCCATATCACAGCAGGCACATTTACCCCAATATCTACAGGCCTCTTCGCTATTTCCCCACATGCTCGATGCTGTCGACAGTACGCATTCAGAGGGGCCCGGAAGAAAAGCAAAGACCGGACCGGCCTGGGTCGGAGTAACACAAGAATTGAACTGCTTAGATACCGGGCAAGCCTAAAGACCCGGCCTTCGTGGTCTAAACCCCGTTGCAAGCCTCTCCATCGTTCAAATACCTCTCCCTCAGATGGCACTGAAATCAAGGTAGCGCTGTAGTTGTTCACTCTCTCTCGAGACAGAACTAGGACGTTCAATGCGGCCGATTTGACAACTACATCTTCGCAACGTCGTGTTATGGTAGCCTGGTATGTGGCAAAGCTCAAATACTCGTATTGTTTCCTTCTGCTTCGTAGCAAATCCCTGAGCTCGAGCAAGCATAAATCTATAGAACACCGCCGTGCCACATGGTGCAGCCCAAACGTGGAAGGATTCCACCTGCTTATCAGGAAGTCGACTACAACCTTACCAAAGTGCTTCTGCTCTCTCTGATACTGGTATGGCTTGACCGTGTCTTCAAACTTGAGCCATTCGTCTCAATTACTCGGCTCATGTCCTCAAATTGTTGCTTGGAACCTATCAGGATGCCTCTGACTGTGCATACGTGATTGAGGCACCCAGCAAGGAAGGTATATTTTCAGCCTGATGATGCTGATTGTGCCTTCGAGTTTGATCCCTTTTAGTGACTAGGCCAATGTGCCTGAACCGCCGAGTTCGATAATGTAGTCGACGCCTTCGCCATTAGGTGTATTTCGCAATTTCTCCCCAATTCGGGGTGGTCTTGTACTTTTGGTTCCAACAGCGGTACCGAGTTGCACTTCGGCAAAGATTACGCCAACGGCTCCTTGGGTAAGAACGACGTCCCCAGGTTTCAGAGCCTTGGATGGGACGTCAAGGGAGCACGGGTCAGAGTGCTGGCCTCCGCTGGTGTCAGGGTCGAGGGCGCTGCTAGGGGGCCAGGTTCGGAGAACACTCCTCCCTTATACAGAATCCCATCGATGGCGCCGTCCAGCCCAGTTTCGGTGGCAAGCGACGCAATTGGGCCAGCCTGATGCAGACTCCCTCGCTAGACTCTGCTCTTCGCGTAGCCTTGTCAAATCAGACTAAACCCGAACGCATTGAAAGCCTAAGTCCTCGGAAGGAAGATTATTTGCAGCCGCGAGTCAGAAGTACGTTCGACCGCACAGTGCCACATATTACAAAATCACCCGCGATGCGCGCCTCCTCGGCCAAGCTTGCCGTACACGTCTCGGCGAATGGGTAGCTAACATTTCCTGATGTTACTGATCCAAATGCTGGTGTAGCTCTGTGTGTGATACCTGGGCTCTAGCGCGGTTGTTCATTGGCTTCTCTGCCTTCCTTCTACGGTGCTCGCCGTACTCAAGGTGCTCACTTCTCCAAAGAAGACTTTTCCGATTCAGGGAATGAAGCTTTTCTTTTCCAAGCTTAGATGAAAGAGACAAGTATAAAATCTTGGTGAATTCAAGTTGTATCGAGACTTCGGCCATATCCTGGTCTCTCCCACAGAAAGCCTGACCTTCCCTTTCCGCATTTCTCTATAGGTCTGTGAGATCTAAGCACTGCTACCACATACATACCGCCGTGATGACCATGTTCGCACTCCTTTTTGTTGGCCAATCACGTGACTGGTTGCCTTGGCAACGTCACGTGAGGCTGTTTGGCTTGGCAACTTGCGCCCTTCTTTTCGTCTTGCTCTCTCTTAGATAGAACAACAACAACACATTCCTTCTCTAGACTCCACAGTCTATCACCTTTACGGGCCTCCCTTCTTGTATTGCTTGCTGTGTCCGGTGTAGGAGCTCATCGCCTGCACCTCGACGATGGTACGCATACATCTATCTCGACTGCATGGGTGTGGCCCGATTCTACCATCGCACGAATTTTGATGACCACTCAAAGATTGTCCTTCATCTGCAGTCTACACGAAAATAACCATTTCCAACATCAGCAAGCCTGTGGATGTCAGTCTAGGTATTCCCAATGCAACGACACTCTACGACTATCGACCCTCGCTCTGGTTTATCGGCAAATCCGTGGTGGCTCCCAAAGGTTATCAGACAGAGAGTGATCGATGCGGACAAGGTTTTACAATCAACAAGATAGGACTTCAGCCAAACGTTCCGCGCGGCTTCACCGCCGTCGAGTACCCGTCTGAAGGCACCGACATATTCCGGGGTTTCAGCGAATCCGACCTCATATCTGGCTACGCACTGCTTTCAGCTAACATCACCGTATCAGCACCCGGAGATGTCTACGTCGTGCTCCAGCCAAACGAATATCGGCGCGCTCGTACCTGGTTAGCGATCGGGCATGACGAGACTCCTGACCCAAACGAGAAAGGACTCGCGGGCGAAGTAGACGAGCAAGCTTGGTTCTCGCCTACCTCCACACCGTTGCCGGGTTCGGCGTGTCAGCCATGGCGTGATCTGTATTAGGGAGTGATGCTCACCAACGACAAGATCGTTGATCCATGAAGGACTTGTTTGGGAGAGCCCCGTTTTGCAGAAAAGGCGACACCGCCCAGGTATTCTCCAAGCAGACAAGGTCTGTAAACCTGTCGAGATCTTTAATCTATGGAGAACGCTGCTATGAGTTTTGTGCATAGTTCCGCCCCATGTGGCCTCATGAGTCCTGTCTAGGCAAAGATATTATGAACCCTCTCTGCGTCATTGCTGAGCCTGTCTGCGTAGGCGCCGTAATATCTGGACACAGTTGAGTGCGTCCAAGAGACGCATGAATAAAGGGAAGTGCCAGGTTATAGCGCTGATGCAGGAGAAATTAGAAACATAAATGAAGATGAGCATGACGGTGAAACATTTCTATCCAGAGCCACCCAAGTGGTTGCAAAGCACGAATGTCGCTTTTGGTTAGGTTTATGCTCCTCTCCCTGATACCACCAGGTCTCTCAGTTAGCGAGAAAAACTTCGTGATAAAAGAACGGGATTGAGTACGGCGGTAAGTCGGTTTATTTGGCCGCGATTTTACGCTGCGCATGCTGATGTTGATGATGTGAGGCGCCACGATCGTGATTGTGGCCGTAGCCTTCCTCGTCCTCCTCGCCGTGTACTAACTCTGGCCAATCCTCAAATCCATCTATATAACTTTGTCAATAGGAAAGTCCTGGACAGGCGGGGACGAGGCGAGACGCCTTATCACAAGACTCACCTTCAAAGACCTTTGCAAGTCTGTCGCTGACTAGCATTTTGTCATCAGAGGATTTCATTACCTTCTCCCACTTGTTCAATTCGGCCGTCAGGCCGTTGACGTCGGGATGCTCGCCGACAAAGACGACCTCTTGTCGCCGGTCGCCCCGTGGCTCGGCGGAGTCGGTCTGAATAATAGAGCGAGTATCGGCATCTGGCGGCCATTGGTCTGAAACAAGAACGCCAGGTCAGCACAGTTTCTTTCGAGCATGATCTGATGGACGAGCCCGATGCTTACAGCAGGGGAAAAGGCAATGAACCATCGTCAAGAGCGCAGAACCAAGGACCTCTCCTCGACAAGGTCAACATCATTCCAGCCTGGCTCCCATTCTCCGTGCAAAGATGGGCCGGTGGCGAGCCAGAAGAAGCTCTTGGAGTGTAGCAGGCCGGCAAAGATAGGGTCCGACTTTTGGTTCTCGATGATCAGTGTAGGGTTTATCATTGTTAGTCGCAATCCAGAAAGGAGAAACCGAGTCGAGCAGAAGATAGTTTTGAATGGGTCGGAGACGTAGATTAGGGTTTTCCTGAGGACGTCATCATACAAAAGTGCTAGGCGAAGAATATTACCAGGCTGCTTTATACTCTTATCATTCCCTGTCAGGTTATATGGACATGACAGGACGAAAAGCGACAATGATATTCGCATCCCATCTACCTGTACCAACCGCAATGCTCTCAGCGTGATGCCCCCGGTCTATGTAGCCTTCTATCCAATTCCCTGATCTTCAGGCCGTATTGGAAGCAAGAATCTGTTTGGTTATTTGCTTGCAACATCCCCCAAGCCTTCTTTCTCCAAATTTTTCTTGAACCTCTTCTCAATGGCTTCCATGAACTGGCTCGTCGTCACCCACGCTTCTCGATCCTTTCGTCCACATGCAAGTGCGAGATCCTTTGTCATAATTCCTTCGTCGTTGACCGTGTCAATGACTGCCTTCTCCAGAGACTCGGCCCAAGTGACCAGTTCAGGGGTATTGTCGAGTTGGCCTCGCTTGACCAGTCCCCGTGTCCAGGCAAAAATACTTGCGATCGGATTCGTCGATGTTTCACGACCCTTTTGATGTTCACGGTAATGTCTCGTGACTGTACCGTGGGCGGCTTCGGATTCATACGTCAGTCCGTCGGGGGTGATGAGCTGGGAAGTCATCAAGCCCAGAGAGCCAAATCCTTGAGCCACAATGTCAGATTGTACGTCACCGTCATAATTCTTCATCGCAATGACAAAGCCACCGCTCGACTTGATCATCTGTGCCACCATGTCGTCGATGAGTCGATGCTCATACCAGATCTTCTTGGCCTCGAACCCCTTGGCGTATTCGCTGTCATAGATTTCTTGGAAGATATCCTTGAAGCGACCGTCGTAGGCTTTCAGAATTGTGTTCTTCGTGCTCATGTAAAGTGGATATCCTCTATCGAGGGCGAATTTGAAACTCGCATGCGCGAAACCTCTAATGCTCTCGTTCGTGTTGTACTGAGTTTGAGCGACTCCACCGCTTCCCGGGAAGTCGAAAACCTTGACGTGCTTAGGCTCGCCGTGCTTCGGGGTGAAAACCATCTCGAGGGTGCCGGCGCCGTCGAAGACTTCATCTTTGGCTCGATATTGGTCGCCAAAGGCGTGACGGCCAATGATGATGGGATGCTCCCAACCTGGGACAAGGCGAGGAATTCGGGGAATCACTATCGGCTCACGGAAAACGGTGCCACCTAAGATGTTTCGAATCGTTCCATTCGGAGAAAGCCACACTGGAGAGAAAGGTTAGCAGGCTGGGAATATGGTGGATTATACAGCATACTCTTCTTCAGATTGAATTCCTTGACACGAGCCTCATCCGGGGTGATTGTTGCACACTTCACACCCACCGAGTATTTCTTGATAGCCTCGGCCGCCTCAACCGTAACCTGGTCGTCCGTTTGGTCTCGATGAGGTAACCCCAGATCATAGTATTTCAAATCAATATCGAGGTAAGGTTTAATGAACTTGTCCTTGATATCCTGCCATATTATCCGAGTCATTTCATCGCCATCGAGTTCCACCACAGGATTCTTGACGCTGATCTTTGCTTTGACAGTCGACGAGACACTCCGGTTCGGTTGGATGTTGTTACCGACTATCCTTCTGGCCTCTGCGGCTAATCGGCTGGACGCTGGGAAAGCGGTTCGTAAGGGGGGGCGAGAGAAGGTTGAGGATCTTCGCGAAACGGCGCCCACCAGCGCCGACCTGATAGGATTCATTGTGGAGGAGCGGGATTGTATATGATAACCAGACCGCAGCGAGTGATGAGGGAATCCGAAGATGTAAGGCTTTTCAACCCATAGCTTTAGCTGTTGAGTAAAGCTTTTGCGCAGTTATTCGGCTTCTTCACGGTGGGCCATCGCCCGGATAAGGTCTCGTGGGACAGCCGAGGGGGTAAGAAGTTGTTAGCTGCCACTGGTCGGGTTCGCCGGGCGCGGAATGGTTACCGTGGCTGCGATATCGAAAGTCTTTTGTGCCAGACTTGTTCAAGGATCAGGCACACATCTTGTGGCTTGACAAAGATACGCGTCGACCTGATCTCTCAACAAACGCAGGCCGAAATCATCAACCCACTATGGCCGACAAACTTCGTACTCTCCAGCAACTCGAATCTCTTCAAGCCAAATACGTTGGCACCGGCCACGCTGACACTACCCGTTATGAGTGGAGCAACAACATCGTCCGAGATTCGTACGCATCTTATATTGGACATCCTCCTCTTCTTGCATATATGGCTTTGGGATTAGGAGAAAGCAAAGAGATTGTCAGAGGGCAGATGATAGAGAAGATGATAAGAGCCAGCGGTCCACCACCCGCACGAGAAGAAGATTGAACAAGAATACTCATCACAGCGATACATCCCAAAAAAAAAAAAAGAAGCCCTCTTTCCGTTTCGTCTGTCACCTCATTGAAGCTCAGAAAAGACAGAAAGATATCCATTCTTTCATATCGGTCTGTCCCTCGCCAAAATCTTTGTCCAGAACAGACCTTGAGACTTCGACCCGAGATATTTGTTTATGCGGGCTCCCTTTGAAGGATCTCAACACGTCTGGGGAAGTGGACGTGCATAATCTACTAGAAGAAAATGCGGAAGGCCTGACAGGGGAAAGTTGGACAAATGGAATCACAATGCTATAGAAATTGGTTCATTCCCATCAAATACACTATGTGCAGCCAAAACATCTCTTGCATATCAATCACCTATACCATACGACCTTACCGGTCTTCTTGCCCTGTGCTCCCCTTTCACAACCACCCCTCTCCCCCTTTTTTTTTTTTTTCGTTTTGGTTTCCCCCAATCTGTTGATTCAATCCGTCTCGTCCTAAGAAGACTAGTCGAGTCCAGTGGTTGAAATGGTTTGGTTGTTTCATGTCCCAGAAAGAAAGGAAAATATAGGTTTGTTAGGATACTTCATCAATTCTTGATGAGCCGCATTTTGATTCGATGACCAATCATCGACAGGAAGTTTCCCTTGTACGCCGAATTCCATGCATGCATTTGACTCAGTGATGCCCAGTTTTCAATGTTTCCCATAATCACTCCATTGCGGTGTTTGTACGTCTCCCTTCCTTTGTGGTTGAAAATTTCTACTCAAATTCATAGTCGTAGCCTTGCAACGGCTGAAGATCGAACGTTAAGGACTGAAAACCATCATCAGAAAATACCATTGACAATATTGCTGCCGATGGTGGCGCCGGCTCCAAAAATAGCAGCATTTCCCATTTTCTTTCCGAATTTCTTGCCTTGTTCTTCGAGTTTGCTGTATTTTCGACCTTCTGGGCCGCCGACGGAACCACCAGATTGGCTGATTTGAAGAGGCAAGTTGCCGTAGTCTGATGGTTGAGACTGGCCCATGGGTGGTCGCTTCTCTTCGATTACATTGACGTAGCTTCGAGGGAAAATTCCTTCCAAATTGGTCCGCTCGTTTCGACCCCGCCACCCTATTGAGTGATTAGTATGAATGTATTGACGCGTTGAGTTGTAAATAGGACGTACAGTCATTGTTCATGTGTTCTGACACTTGTATTCGATCCCCTTGTGCAAGCGCCAAGTCACCAGTGTCGGTCGGCTGGTATGCGTAAAGAGCGGTGGCGATAGAGAGTATCTGAGGCGTCTGGACGTAGGCAGGAGGCGGAAGAGGAGCGGGCGTCGGGACAGGGGTATATTGCTCTTTCATGCTCATGTTTGAGAACTGCTCAACAGGCGTGTTGGTGGAGACGCTGGCGGGAGACTGTAACGGAGCATGTAGAGGTGTATGAGCAGGAAGTTGCGCTAGGATAGAGGAGAGTTGCTCGGGAGAGATGACGGAAGTATCAGCGAGAAATTCGAGTTCCTGTGGATGGATATTGTGAGATACCGGTGGTGGAACTGGGTTGGGTTACGCACAGTACGAATGGTACGGAGAGAGCGGTTGGTCAGGGCGATGGAGGCCTCGGTGGCCATGGTATCGCGAGAAAGCAGTAGCCGGACGCGTTCAAACGGTGGGAAGATGGAAGAAGAGATAGAAAAAGACCGGTGGTCTCAACTTCGGAGGTGAGTTGTCGTCGATGGAAGATGGAAAGATGAGTTTGTTGTACAGCGCCAGCAGAGGTTGACTGGAGAGGCGCAGTCCAGTCAGGGCTCAGGAAGCCGGCTGGTCAGGAGGTAGGTACTCTGCCGTAGAGTTGATCGCGACAATTAGCGGAGCGCGGTTTAGCTTGCTATGCAGGGTCAGGTGCTAAGCAACAGAGCCGAAGAGCCAGTCAAAAGGGGGAAACCACCGAGGTGGTAGGGGTGGTGATAGGTGAATGGCGCCACCGCTTGGGATAGCTCCAGGGCTAAATTGAGGTCTACCAACCGGGAAAGGAGCACGAAAGGGGTGGGTAAAGAGAGAGTTTGGCCGGAGCCTGATTCACCGCTGCAGCGATGAAAGGCTCCAGCCCTGGAACGGAGTACAGGTTACGGATACGGAGCACGGGGAGTAGTGGATAACTGTAGCACATGTCTCACAATTGGCAGACAGGGCGCACAAAAACGGCTGAACCAGGCACAAAACACACAAAAAAAACACAACAGCCTTGGCCCGTCGGCTGAATCGGATTCCGTCTCTAGTTTAGCACAGGATCTAGTGCCTCCTATACTTGACTAAAAGCCCAAAGGACATTCTCAAATGCCAAAAGAATCCCGTCACCAACACCACGCCCTTTATTTGGTTTGCTGACCGTATTGTGACAATTCTTCTTCAGCCTTATTTGCTGAGGCAAACGTCCCTGACAAGCCCCTGGACTGTAATAAAGATTCGTGCAAGTAGCCGCTCCCCCCTTCGAGTCTCACCCAACAAACGCATATTCCACACAGGATCCCAAAACAATCTACTGTCTGGCTGAACAATGGAGACCGATTGCTTCACAGATCGCACTCGGTTACTGTTCAGATGCATTCGCCCGCTGTTTGAACAGATTGGTAGTCTATTGTTCTCAATTGCGGGGTCCGTTTGGATGGATTCAAACGAACAGAAACTCCCTTCAATATATAACCGTATCCCTACATGAATACCTTGATGTTTCCGCATTCTCATTGCAACACATCTACTGGTACGGTCAGCGGCTGCCGTCACCAACAAAGTAGAATTCACATCCTATATCATCCATATTATCGCCTATTGTAAGTCTTCCATATGTCGACAACCGTCCACAACCTATTCACAACGTTATGCCCATCATTCAATATATGATCACGGCAGTACTGGGCCTGTTCCCTGCAAATATCTCTTCGTACCTTCTACAACCTTTCATTCTGCGCCATCTTCAAACATCTTCTTTCCTGGAGCTATCATACTAATCCAACAGATCCTCTCATGTGTTTTGAACCACATCCTCAGTCACAATGTCCGACCAACAAACTCTCAAACCACAATTCTTTGTGACCCGCCGGAACGGGGCCATGGTTCCTCTCATTGCGATGGATGAGCTTCCAATCCAGGTCGAGATTCGACACGTTCCACGCAACCTCACTGTGTTCGACATTGCGGGAATGACAAGTGTTGGTGTCTGTGAAGCCAGACACCAATATTACATCATTGAAGGAGGGACCAACACCAAGCCATGGTACCTTGACAGCCTCCATGCTCCAGAAAATGGAACAGCTCATTTCGAACCTTGGGGCGCCAAATCAGTTGAGCAGCAAGCCCCTACTCCCGTCTCAAGTCCGAACTCAACCTCTGCGTCTTTTTCCCTGCGTCCAAAGGCATTTGGAATTGAAGAACCACCATCAAATGGCACCGCCCTTGCCTCCTGCATCTTGTCCAACGCCTCAATCAATGGCGAGAGCAAAGTTTCCGAGACCACAGACACTGCCACGGCCTCCGCAATCAACGGTGCACGCCTCACCCCTAAACGAATGCCAACATGGAGAAGAAATGACAATGTCCCAGGCACCAAAGAATACTGCTCTTACTGGATCCGCCATGGTGAGTGCGACTACGCCCAGCAAGGCTGCATGTATAAGCATGAGATACCTTTGGACCTGGAGACGCTCAACCGTATTGGCCACCGGGATATTCCACGCTGGTACCGCGAGAAACACGGCCTAGGCAGCCTTCTCGTTGCTGGTGGGCAAAACGGACCAAGCTATGGCGTCGCCGATCGCAAGGCTCTACCAAGAAATCGGCACATGGCTGAGGATGCAAGGCGCATGATTCATCGTCAGGTCGGTCCTTCACCTGGTGGCCGTGGTGGCAGCATGAATACAAACGAGAATCGCAATGTGGCCAAGGAGAATGTTCACGAGACCAAGAAAGAAACCGAACGTCAGGAAGGACTTAGCGCACTACCGATAGAAGAAGAAGAAGAAGAAGAAGAAGAGCAGCGTAAGGCTCTACAAGAAAAGTACCAATCTCTCATCCCTAAGCGCTGATCCGTTTTTACACATGATCTTGACAGCGACACCTTCAACAACGGTGAGGAACCAGATGATTTGATGGCGAGGATCGGAGAAAAGGGACAACATGGGTGGGAGGAAGAAAAGGCAAATGCAACCGGTGTCAATCCCAAAGTCAACAACCAGGCCAACAAGCAAGCTGATTCTGGCAAGCCAAAGATTGGTGGAAAGCGCAATGGAGGGGGAGGACCACGAAAGAATTACATGACTTGACTCTCGACGTTAATGTCGATCTCATTTCTATTGCAACTCCAGTTTCAGGTGTCACTGTGGCTTGCGCTTCCAGTGGACTCAAAGCGTTATTCCCAAATTTTGAACATAGCTCTTCACCGTCTCCTTTCCATCTAGAGTTGCTGTGTCCTTCATCTCCAGCAGCCTCTGGTTCTGCCTAGTCGTCAGCAGCTGCTGCACCCGGGCGGGTTTCAATTTCCATTCTTCAGGGAAAGTGTATTCTTTCTTCGAGGTGTGGTGTCGGAAGTCTAATGGGACATCTTCGAATGTGTCTCCTCCATGTCGTGCCTCATCGAGTAACTTGTTCACCAAATCACCCAAATAACGCTTATTCTGGGCGGGGGCTTCAAATCTCTCGCAAGACATCTTCACAACATCTGTATCCGGATTGTAGCGTACACCGACCAATTTGACCAACTTGATGCGTTGGGCCTCGGTGAGGTTGGGAAGGTCTTTGGTACAGAACTGAACAACCACTTTCTTTGCCGCTGGATGAACTTCACCCATGTAGGTTGTGTACCGGAATCGGAGAGGTGTGGCTTCGGTCGGCGGTCTGAATGGCTTTGCAAATTCTACGATTTGGTTAGAGATATCATGCTATGCAGTCAGATACAACTTACGCTGTAAAAGTGGCATGTCCCAAGCAATCACTCTCGTGTATTCTCTGACCTCGCGATGCAGCTCTAGCTCGCTATGGGCGACAGAAGTGATGGCGGAGTCGTCCGCAGAATCTTCATCATCTTCAACCTGACCGAATTCATCATCCTCGTCCGAAGCCCAATATCCTTCGTCCCGGCGAGGGAGCGGTATGTCTGGAAAGTCCACGCCGGGAGCCTCTTTTTCCACAGTCCTATCCACCTCGTTGACAAGTCCTTCCAACGCCTCTTCAGCCTGCGCAGACTCAAACACTGCGGCATAGTGATTTTGTAAGGCCAAATATTCCTTCCTTTCATTTTCAGATAAGAGATCATAGTCGGCGCGTTCTTCGGGATCGAGGTCGGCGACAGTGATGGGTATTCTTGGTGTCTGATATTTACTTGGCCCAGGGCCTACCAGGTCGCTACGGTCATCGTTTTCGGCATTATCCGCGAGATCTCGGACTGAGCCCGACTTCGCTGGCTTATCCGCTCTCCGCGGGTAAGTGGTTGAGAACTGTCGAAAAGGACCAGGGACTCGGTGCCGGACGAGGAATTGTTGCTGGCATTTCCGCTTCACAGGTATCTGTCGACTACCCTGGATCAAGATGCGACACAGACACCGCGCTGGATTGGCCATAGTGGCTCAAGCAACGGGAAGTGTGAACCTTCGCAATGAAGAGCTCGAGGACCATTTATTTTTTTTTTTTCTGAGGACAATTCGTATCTGCGTCTGCGGGAATAATGGTCCGTCTGAGAAACACGCGTTCCGCTGCCTTTTGCTCCGCTGAACTCGATCTTTCTGTGCCTTTGGCAGCCAAACCCCCTTTCTCCTTTCGTCTGCAGAGCTATGATTCTTCAAAAACTTGGATATGGCCCACTCCGAATCAAATGCACTTGGCAGGCGATGTTTTGTGACCATCGGTGCAACTGCTCCGTTCAACAGTCTCATCAAAGCTGTGTTGGAGCCAGATTTCATCAAAACCCTTCAAGAGACTGGATATACTGAACTCCGGATTCAGTATGGCGGCCACGAGGGAGAAGGCATATTCCGGGCGAGGAGAGAAGATTCTCAACACACTTCCGTGAACGGTAACTTCGAAATTACAGGATTCGGATTCAACAAATTAGGCCTCAGAGAAGAAATGGCCGCGGTGAAGGGACCGGCGACGGGGAATGAAGGGGTGGTGATCAGTCATGCTGGTCAGTCAAACAAGTTACCACCGCTCCCCTAGTTCTCCCGGATGGAAAAGACGTCGTATCTGACCACCAAAACGCAGGGTCGGGATCGATCCTCGATGTGCTTCGACTAGGCATTCCTCTGATTGTTGTGCCAAATACGGATCTACTGCATAACCACCAGGTCGAATTGGCTGAAATTCTGGCCGAGCAAGATTATCTTGTCCGTGGAAAGCTTGAGTAGGGCAACTCTCCCTTTCTGTCTTCCGACCTGTTCTTCATTGAGTAATCTTACCCGTCTATGATCATCCCTGTCTAATTTACCTTGCAAAAGTAACCTCTCGTCCTCAATACTGGAAGTGGAGACCCTCCGGCACAGGATGAAAAAGTGGCCTCCACTCCGGTCTGGCGAAGAAAAGTACAAACATGGACTTGCAGATATCATGGCCGAAGAAATGGGCTGGCAAATTGGCTAGTGGATCAGAATATTAGAAAGATTATGAGAAGTAACTCTGTATTATGGCCTCGGCCCAGATTTCCTTTGCCGTTGGGTATGGAATATTATCTATGAATGATCATCCATCAGAATTTGTACACCCAGGATCAGAGGACGGCTACAGCATCCGCCGCGATACCAAAGAGAACTGTCTTCTAAGGGAAAATAGGAGGTGGGATTACTTTTGGTGGAATGATTCCGTGGCAGCCATCCTATCAAACAAGTCTCACACAATGAATCACCTAGTAAACCACCTTTGCCCCCTTCCTAGATGATCGACAATGGCCCATAATCATCTGACTGGACCCAAGACACGGATGCGGCCATGTTGGAACTGGCTGACGGGGACATTGTCGAAGGTTTCTTAGATTGACTCCTGGGTTCTTCAGGGTCTGATGGACAGGAAAGGGACATTTTTGCTACCGCGACTTCCTTCGTGGTATCTCTGAATGTCCAGGATCAAGTCGTTGGAAAGATGGAGGCCAGGCCCAGACTTCTCAACATCCTCGAAGACACCAAAGCGCAACTTAAATATCTGGTGGTGGCTCAGTCCGCTCGTTTTGTTGGGTTTCTCTTAGACGAGCAAGGCGTTTGCGCTGCAACTTTTCGGTCCAGGGTCTCTCGTGAGCGCGGGCGACCCTCAACAATGCTGCGATCATCTCCCCTTCTTCGTTGCCCTCTCCCAGTACCGCCTCAACGAATGCATCATCTTCGATCAGGTCTTGCAGAACAAGTTCATGTTCTTCCAGAGCATCGTCGGTTGTTATTTCGCCGAGATGCTGACTATCGAATATCACGTCTGAGTAGATGTAATCGAAATCCATTTTCACTTCTATCTGGGGTTTGTCACGGCTAAGTCGGACAATAGGAGAGGCGAGTGAGAGAGCGTCGATCAATTTCTCGTAGCTGTCAGGCGGGCGCATGTGAGCGTGGATGACAAGTTGTTCGAGGGTAGAGAACACATTCCCGACGAGGCCTATGCCAACGGCAGATTCCCAGCGATTGTCCTCCTGGATATGCACCCACAGTTCCACGCGCCGGATTCGATTGTTGATCGGAAAAAGGTGTGGGGGTTTGAAGCATGGACCGTCAACCAACCCACCTCCCAGGTGCAATGTGAGAGAAGAGTATAAGATCTGGTTCGCTTCGCGGAAGATTTGCTTGCATGTGAGAAGAGGTTGGAATACATGCTCCCACGTTGGCAGAGTATGCTCTCCGCTTTTAAGACAAGCCAGACAATCTTTTTTATGAAACTCGGTTGTACTTCGAGTCGGGACTACGTGTTGATCTGCGAAGACAATAGTCCATATCTGGTGACGGATTTCACTGGGAAGGGTTAGGAGATGCAAGGGTGCTGACATCGTTGATCGGATTGGAGATATGAAAACTTAATAAAAGGTGTTTACTGCTGCCAAAGATCACCGGAGAGCACAAACAGAGATGAAGGGAATGATGGTGGTCGATGTCTGGAATATCCGGGAAAAGGGATTCCTCGTGTTTGTTTGGCCTCGGAAAAACATTTCATCCGAAATGCCACTCGGGTAGGGAGGTAGGCTATCTAACATTTACTTCGGCCACCACTCCATTACTCGCCAAATAGGAACAATCGGTCGAAGGAGGACTGGAAACCATTTCAAACATCTTCCATTTCTCCTCCACATCCCTTTGGCAGTCATATGAAAATAGCCAGTCTCCAACGCCAAATCGTCGCCAGACCAAAGGGTCAGATCCATCCTTCAATGACTCTGGAAGCACAACTTGTTGCTTCGGCAGGCCTTGCACTTCGATCTTCTCAAATTCCTGCATCATCCTGTCTCTTGCTTCTTGTTCTGGGCCATCATCTAGGTGATTGAGATCTTGTTGAACAGTGCCCCGTGCAACCACAGCCTCTGTTCTTTGTTTCCGACAGAGCTCATAGACAGCGAGGGCCTTTTTCTTCTCTTTCGACGATGCTGACCTGATCCTCGCCAGGCATTCACCAAGCACTGCAGCGTCCTCAAAAGTCATTCCAGCTCCTGACGCGAGATATGGTAACGTTGCATGTGCAGCATCACCTAGCAAAACGAGGCAGCTGGAGGGGTGGACCCAGGTGCTGATTGGCTCTCGAATGCAGAGCCGCCATCTCAAGACAGACTTGCACATGGCCAGCAATTTTCCGATTCTGCCGTCATTAAAACAGGCGCTTCCTCCCTCGCGATTGGGTCATACCTTGGGTCCCATTCTTTGAAAAGATCCTGCATTTCATCCACGTACCCTTGAAGCGTCGAGGGCCCTTCTTCTGGCATGTTGTCTGGAACAAGCAAAACCATATTCAAGAGTGTCCTCCCTCTGAGAGCGTATGTCACGGCGAGGAAGTCAGTGCAGGCAGTGTCGTCAAGGGGAGAATCCTACCAACGTGCGCTCCCGGCCCATACCAATAGGTTACTGCCTTATTCTCGACCAGCGATTTCAGATCTTCGTCAGAAACAATATCCTTCGCATCAAGTAACAGGCGGTATGCCATGTCACCAGTGCGCTTCGGTTTGTCGTTGGTGCCCAACAATATTTGACGACAACGAGAATTGATCCCATCCGCTCCAATGACCAAGTCCGTTACGAAGTCATCCCTATCCTTCACTTTGACGGTGGCAACACTCCGAGATTCATCAAATTCAATATCCATGACTTCCGATTGCGTGTGTAACCTCGCACCTAGACTCAGGGCACGATCGAGAAGTACTTTGTGAAGATCTGCTCGATGAAAATCCCAAAACGGAGAATTGTGTTCTTTTTCGGCTGCCACAAAGTCCATGGATGATATCAGATTTCCTTTCCATCCCAAGATGTTGCAGGTATCTGTGCTCGAAGTTTGTCTGGAAAGCAGATCAAAGAGGCCCCAAGAACGGAGGACCCGACTGCTGTTTGGCAGGACCTGAATACCAGCGCCAACTTCTCCTATCTCTCTGGCTGCTTCCAGAATATGGACCTCGTGACCTGCCATGCAGAGCGATATAGCAACACCTAGGCCTCCAAGGCCTGCGCCAGCAACGATGACCTTCATGGTCTGATCATGTCATCCCTAACACCGTTTAAGTCAGACCTAGACCGAATAATTCATACCGTCGCCTTATAAATTTCTATGCCCAACGTCAGTATCTATAAGATCGTTCATTATCATCTAAAAGACTTCTTCCTTCGCGATGATACCAAAGGTAAAGAATACAGACGGACTAGCTACTGCTTGAACAGAGGTGTTCACCCACTTTTACTCCACTCCAAAGAGACAGCTCAGTGCGGAAATGAGCTACCACTACGAATCAACAAAATTGCTGGTCAAGCCGTGACGTCAATCCATCGAATCGAAGGATGTTGAGAAGCACGAGTTCAGTTTATCTGACACAATCAACGGTGGGGTTAGTGGGCATCTCCATCGGCTTCACCAGCAATGCCGGGCAAGAGTCTTATCAATCCCCAATCCGGCATCCAAGGGGGTGGACCCCCGATTTTCAAAAGAACAATCATTCATACACCAATCATGCTCGTCGTTTGACAGGAGCAAAATGACTCGCATGGTCTTCCCAAGTCCCCTAACACGCGCGCCAAAATACGTCCTTGATGTTTTTGGACTCTCAACGACCTCGCACCACATAGACTGGATGCCTTTGAGCTGGAGAGACTGCACACTATGTGGATTCCTAGGGTCGCGGTACAATGCGAGGTTGTCTCTGATTGGCTGTCAGCGCGGAAATTCTGGTAGAATTCCATGGTGAGATGACGTCAATGTGCCACATCTAGTCACCAAGGCTACACAACAAACAGTTTTGAGCAGGACGCGTCGAGCATGACAAAATCATTCACCCCGCATACTATATTGCTGAAGATGGACTACGATTCTTGTTACTAAACAATGTCAACTACATACTCGGGAGGCGCAATATTCAACTGGCTAGAAGGCGTACCATGCTCGCCACCCTGGCATATGTCACAACCAGGTATTGCGCCGTCCACGATCGACAGTCCACAAGCTTGAAAGACTTCGACACCGACATGGAGGAACTGGAGGACAGTATCGCACTTTCCGCTTCAACCAGACAAACTTCATTCCACAAGTGACCGGTCCTAACCTCCAAAGTGCCGCAGCCCATCCCCAAGCCTTACGCGCAAGCTCCTTGTACTCTTAGAGCATGAGAACCCGGCGCCAGCTCAGCGATACAGGAGGGTTGCCGAAGGAAGTTAATAACCTCCGTCAGGGGCTGATGAAGGACATCAATCAGCGGATCATTCCGAACGTTGCCAACAGCACCACAAGGATGAAAATGCGTGGATCGCAGTTATCTAGAAAATGTTCAGAATAGTTGGCCCGGGGGGGGGACTTAAATGGCATGATTGAGATCCACAACGTGTATGTGTGTCCTGAACACTGCAACAAACCTTGTCACGATTCGTTAGGACGGAACATGTGATTGACTCGTTCCAGGCAAAACTAAACATCGATCCTCAACTTTTACCAAAATTGCCCGAAAACTGTTTTTCCCTCGTCAGACAACCCGATCTGGCATTGGGTTTCAGCCCTTATCATCCGAAAACCAAGCCTACGATAGATCACATAAACAAAGCAAGAACTGGAATCAGTCTCAGTCAAATGACAGATGCGTACACGAGATCCACTGTGTTAGGATACGGCATCGAAGTGAAAGTTAGAAAGTGATTACAATGAAGCAGTGATGCAGCTCGGCATTTGCTCTGCAGCTGGTCTCCAAAAGACGTGGTCTTTGGTCAGAGGGGGGAATACCGAAGTGATTCTACCCCTTCTGGGTTTCACCCTCATTGAGCATGAATGGATAATCCATATTTCCTGGAAACTGAATTCAGACGGAGAACCGGCGCGTGAACCCACCTGATCTTGAGGTCTTGCTAACAATGATCGCGATGAAGCGCCTCATTGGCCGCTTACCATTCCTCAACCTAACCATGTCGAGCGTGCCCGAAATTTTTGCGCTTAAGCGCGTGCTTGAAAATATTGTGCATTATCTGTCTCATATCTATTGGCCTTAGTGCGCCAGTGCCATCGAGGCCGCGATCACAGGCCAAGCGCGTTGAGCGGCGACCGCTATCCAACCAGGTAGTAAGTCCTGTGCGAGAAACACCTCATACCTTCAAAAAGGAGTCCCAACAGGGCTCCACCGCTGCTCACTGTATTTTCTCAGTTTTTGCAAGCAGCCATCGGCAGTCCAAACAATGACATACGGATCATGGCTGCACAACGCCCATGAAATGCCCGTGGTCCATGTTGAAATCGAGGCAGCGATGACCGTGCCGAGGAATGCAAGATGAGGCTCCCCGGTTTGGATATGGTTTGGCCATATGGGGGCGTCGTTGATCGAGATGTCACCGGATTCAAAGCCCGCCAAAAACTACAACGCCAAAGTTGGGTCGAGTGCTCTTTCCCTGATTGTGGTCATCAGGGCATGGGAAAGTTGTCTCGACTGCAAGATCAGACAAGATGGAGCGTGGTAGAGCCATGGGCGAGATTCGTCATGAACGTATTGATACGATGGTTGGTGGGGATGACTTTCATTTACATCTGTCAGCTACTGCTTTCACATCGGCTCACGAGCTCAGTGTCATTAACGGCGGCAGCATACATGGACTCAGTCTTTTTATCAAACTATGGTTCGGTGCCGAAACTTGGAATTTTGACAGGCGAAATTTATCTGTGGCCACTAGAGTATCGGACAACATATCCGACTTGGGCTGACACTTCATTTTATTTTCCGCCCGCGAAGATACTAGATCACGGAACCACAATGAATTGTGTGCCTATATCGCATTGTCTTCACGCCTTGACGGCCTTTGGATAGGTCATGTTCAATTTCTGCCTCACATGGGATCCGGCAGTGATGGGCTTATACTTCAACGGCCTGGCCTCGGTGATGCAACTTGGAAGTGTCTCCATGACCGCGTCGTAATCCGCTCCGAAAAAGAATGGGATCGAGTATCGGGCTTTGCCTTCCTTGTTGTATGCGCGGTGAATCGTGGAAAGGAACAAGTCGTTTGTCCTTACAAAAGTAACCAGTTAGAAATGCCGGCTTTTCCGCTAGAATGAACGAAGGACTCCGAATACATACCACATACTCATCGCGTCACCGATGTTTACCACGAATGTGCCTGTCGGGAGGTCGTATTAGATGGCTATCTCCCAAGGTCGGGATCTTCTCCATAAAACTTCTTACCTGGAATGGGATCTGCCGGAATCCAGTGACCATCTTTAGAAAGAACCTCCAAGGATTTGACTTCATCCTGGCAAAGGATCGTGAAACCTCCATGGATAGACAATTAGCATTTGTCCCCACGGATTGGAAGGGTTTGCGGCCATACTTTCAAGATCACTGTGCGCGTGGATTCCTGCACTATCAGGCGAATCTGGAATTGCTGCCGGGTAGTGGTTCAACTTCAACAGCACGCCAGGCCGCTTGCAGAACTGGTCAAAGTAATTTTCGTCCAGACTGAGTCCTAGGGCGAACAGCCTCAAAAGCCTTCTCGAGAGGCCCATTACTTCGTAATAGTATTTGCCAATATTTTTCTTGAATCCGGGCAATTTGTGCTCAGGAGGCCAGAAACTGGGGCCATTATCTTGCGTGCCTTGAGCGCCTGGATCCATGGACGGTTCGTAGCCAAAATTGATACTTTCAAATACACCTGGGAGGGACCACGTGAGTGGGTAGCTCATGTATAGGATGGAGAACATTCTCACGCTTCTTTGTAGCTCCTACGGGCATTTCTGTCTGGATCGGGGCATACCCGTAGAACTCGGTGTTCTTGGTAATGTCAAGTTCCATTTTGTCCTCACTCGAGAGATCATGGAAAAAGCGACGAGCCTCTTTGTGGCAGCCGTCAATGACATCTTGTGGAACACCATGATTCTTGATGTAGAAAAATCCCACGTTTGCACAAGCGTCGTAGATCTTCTCCGCCACTCGCTTGCGAGCTTCAAGAGACGGCGACGAGGCGTCCGTCAAGTTGATAATTGGAATGTCCACAAAAACACCCTGCTTCGCTTCATTCACAATTCGTTTGCCTCCAATGCCTGTGTCAATGTGGTCACCTTTATCATATTGGCCCCTGTACTGTTCGGTGCTCATTTCGCAGTGGTTGATTTTATCAGTCAAGACCTTATATGTGCTGTATTGCAGTTGGTAGTGTTGCAGTGATTCGGACGAGATCATTCAAGCTTCCCTGCTTTGCTATATATGGCCCTGGATCGAGCCTTTGGCGAAGTCTCCGTCGGCAATCGTAACTTTCGATTGTTTGTTCTCCAATGAGGTGAGGTTTCGGAAACAAATGTTTCTGAAGGGTGGATCTAGATACTGGGCCTCCCTCTTTTGCTTGGGCCGGAGTACGATTGAAATAGATGTTGACTGAGTCCATATGAGCAAAGGGCGCTTCTTGGAGTTTGAGAGGAGATCACTTGCTAACTGAATGAAGAATTCCATGCCGGGATCGAGAGTGGGGGTGGATTTGAATCATGCCACTGAAGAAGATATCAAGTCAAGCAATATTTGCCACCATGTTCGCTAACTGTTGACCGCGACCAAGGGCCGTGGGCAGGGAAAGAATCTGACATACCATAGCAAGAGCATATCATTTGCGGATGAGGCTACAAACTCTTTGACGAATAGTGATAGCCATAGAGGCGCATGGACCCACATAGCGGGGAGACTTTCTATCTTGCTTAAAGAGCTGAGTATGGCCTGTGCTAGACTACCCCGGCCCCCTTAATGATAAGAGGCCGTAGTACCCGTGTTCCACAAACCTCGGGCTATATTGACGCGATCCTCCAGTCGGCAGAATGTGCGGAAGCCGGTAGGGGGTTGCCTCGTTCTACCAAGAAGCAGATACCGAGGCACCTGTGCAAACATGCGTGATTTGAGATTGGTCGATAGCGGTGAAAGATGGAGACGTGTGCTGTTATCATTAAGATTCTGCACTAAACTCTTTGTGTGTTTTTCTTGACGAGGCTGGCGTGTTTTGATTGGTCTCATCGGAACCGCCAAGTCCATGATTTATCCAGAAAATCATCTCCCCAAAACTTACCAGGGTTCCTACACGGGGAACCACTTTGTTGAGCCTCCTAGTCTATTAAACATGTCAAAAGGCGGTATGAAAATCCCCACCCTTGACAAACTCAGTATCTGCTTTGGTATTGCTGAGAGATCCACCCACTCTCTACACTCTTCTGATACCCATACACCAAAACGCCCTCCGGTACCAATCACCCTAATGCTCATTTCTCTTGAGGGGATCACACTAATATAGGCTTTATCCGTACTTCAAATCATGTTTCTTGCCACGTGGATCATCCCCATCTTCCAAGATGGGGTCAATCGAGTCAAGAGCAGTGCTGTTCCACATACGTTCCGATCCGATTTTGCATTATGCATCCATACTATTGTCTTCCAGATCATGGCTTATCAAGATAAAGTTGATTATCCTTCCACTCAGATGGACTATCGTTCTCTGAGTCTCGGGCTAGAGCCTATCGGACACCCTCCATTCTTGCCCAAAGTTGACATTCTCTCCCTATCTTCATGAGAGTCTCCATCGATCGAATATAACTCTTTCCTGGGCACTCTCGGAACCCTCTCACAGACTGATGTTCAAGATCTGCAAGATCAATCAAAGCCTTCCCGTCGAAGGTAGGGCATTGAAGACCTCGAAAATATCACAATGGCACACATCATAGATAAGGATCCCGAGTTCGCGAAGACGACCACAGCTGCTATCGAACCAGTCAACGACAATGTTAGCAGCAGAAGCCCCACGAAAGGTGATCTTTCAGACACTTTGTACATCGACCCGACCGCGGAAAGGTCATATGTTCGAAAATTGGACATGTACCTCTTGCCAGTTTTGTCCGTCATGTACTTCTGCCGTTTCACAACCGGAGGTAACATTGGTAATGCAAAAGTAAATGTCGAAGCCAACGATGTTTCACACGACTGCTAATCTCGATGTAGACTGACGGACTTGACGACGATCTTGGTCTCCATGGCGAGGAGTACAGTCTTATGATGACTCTCGTAAATGTCCCCTTCGTCCTGCTCGAGCCCGTGCAAACAATGATGGTCAAACGGTACGGTGGTCGAATTGTAATTCCATCGCTCCTTTTCGGATGGGGCGTTGTGTCGATCTGTCAAGCCGCAGTGGTCAATTATGCCGGAATCCTCACCTGCCGACTGATAATTGCGTGCTTTCAATCGGGATTCTTTTCTGGATGCATTTTCTACCTCACGCTCTTCTACAAGCGCGACGAGCTTGCCTTTAGGATCGCGGCTTTCTACGGATCAGCGACCATTGCGGGTGCTTTCACCGGATTGATCTCGTACGGCGTATTTCAAATCCACAGCTCATTGCAAGGCTGGAAGATTCTTTTCCTGATTGAAGGTGCAATGACTCTGGGTTGGGGAGCAATTTCCTTCTGGCTAATTCCATCCACTCCGGCCGACTGCAAATGGTTGACAGCGGAGGAGAAGACCGCGGCGAGAGCTCGTCTCATGAAGGACTCCACCACCGAAATTGGAAACAAATTCAGCGTCATCGCAGGCCTTCGGGCCTTAATAGAACCGAAGATGTGGTTTTTCATGATCCTCTGTGTCAGCTACGGTGTTGCAACCAAATCCACCGGAACATTCTTGCCCCAAATTGTGGCTCGTCTCGGCTACAGCGTTATCAAGACCAATCTTTATACTGTCGCACCCAACCTGGTTGGCTGCGTGTTCACCTTGGTTGTAACGTGGTCCAGTGACCATTTCCAAGAGCGCACGGCACACCTGTGCACCGGCCTGTCATTCACGATGGTTGGTTATCTAATGCTTGCTGGACTGGATCCGATCAAGAACAAAGGACCGAGCTACGCCGGAGCCTTCTTCTTGAGTATGGGAACTTATATTCCGTCCTGCTTGGTGCATAGTTGGCACAATAATATCAAACCCGATGAAAATTCACGAGGTTGGTCTTCAAAAGCGTATTTCCCTTCTAGTCCCTTTGCTGACTCTTTCTCTAGCAATGATCACCGGTGTCATGGTGGCATGTTCATCTATTGGCGCCATAATCTCTGCACAGATGTTCCGTGACGCCTGGGCGCCAAAGTACGTGCAAGCCTTGGGAGTCACAGGAGGGTTTCAAGCTCTGGCTATTATGGTGACGGCGGGGTTGGGTATCTGGATGCGTAGACAGAACAAGAAACGAGATCGGGCAATGGGTCTTACGACGCCGCTCAAGCCCGGGGACACTCCTCAATGCGATTTGGTGAATGGTGAGAAAGATATCAGATTCAGATATTGGACTTAAAATATCGGCCCAGAGATCCAGGATTTTGTTACCCATTGGAAGGCGAGGACGCTACCCATCCGCTATGAAGTCGGAATTCTGCTTGTCAACCAGAATTTTATACCAACTACCAAGCTCCAAAGACACTAACCTGGAACATAAAAAATTCAAATGCTGATTCCTCTTCCCAACTGTTTGTGAAAAATTGACAAAGTGCAGGGGAAGGATGTCCGTCTTAAGCCAGATATTTCGCGAAGAATTCGGCACGTTTCTTCCCAGCTTCATCTACGTGATCGTACAAATCGGCACAAATCACTCCAACAACATACAGATCTTTCAGCTCCCTTGCCCTGGCCACTCCGTTCTCTCCGTACCACTTGGTGCCCTTAGTCCCTGTGATCATTAACGGGGGGGGGACTGATCATGTCGTTATGGACGAATGCGTCGATATTTGCCATGATGTCCCAACTGCGCCGCAGACATGTGTTTGTCGCTCGGGGATGGCAGGCTCTGGGCGTGCGGTAATGATGGGCCAAATCTTTGGACGATGGGGGGAGGTCCGCAGGCACGTCTTCGATTTTCTCGGGCAACATGTGGACGATGGGAACGTTTTCGCCGTCAACATCGCTGTTCCGTCTTTTGGGTATTCTCGAACTGGATATGCAAGATGGCCCTGCTAGAGAAATCCTTGTCGAGTCCTCGTCGGGCTATGGTGCCAGGCCGCCGCAGACGTAGCGCATGCTTTGATACGGAGATCTGTTTGGGCAGCAAAAGGAGCGTAGCCACTCGATGCGCAGATGCCTACGACACCAATCTCATCCGGATTGACATCTTCAAGGTTGATTAGGTACGTCACGGCAGATTTGATTTCTTCAACACGTTGGTAGGGACCTTCAAGGTTTCTAGGCTCAACCTCGGACTCGCCTTGATAGGCGGCGTCGTAGGCAAGGCAGATGAAACCAGATTGGGTGAATACGCAAGCATAATTGGCTGGCGATTGTTCTTTAATGGATGTCCAGGTGTGGCATATGACAATGGCGATCAACAGAGTTGGTAGCTAGATGGTAGAGGTGTGTTGCGAGCTCGAGGTTACGGGAGAGGAAGGAGACTTGTCAGGTGAAGAGATGGAGTTCATGGCTATTGAAGGTGTAGACTCGAAGTGGTTTTTCGAATTCTAAAGTCGTTGACTGGGAAGTCGGCCTCCGGTTTGGTCTGGTCGCTCTTTCCATTCGACTTGTAGCGGCGGGAAGAGAATGTATGAACTAACTAGAACTATCTGCTCATAGATGTTCTGTAACGAATGTAGTTTAGCGTAAGCCAAGAGTCCTTGGCAGAAAACCGCATGCGAGACTAAGCACGTGATTACATGACTCCCGTTACGGGCTTGGCGTTGTCACAACAAACATTTGATGGTCAACCCACCAAACTCTCCTTCAAAACTTCAACGAGGATCCTTTACCGTGCTGTACGATTCGAATGTATGCATCATTTTCTCTGAATTGACATGTGCAACGTTGCTACCGACGGTGGTCTCTCCCCTAACGCTGTTGTCGCTGCATGGGTGCATGACGTCTGCGTTGCCTCTGATCTGGGCAGATATATCTTCCAACACACACCAACGCAAGGTTCTTCTAGATCTTTAACCGGCACAACTGGCCCGACAGGTGCCAGGAGAAAGGCACCCGCGCTCGGAGACCGCGACTCAACTGTGAAGAAAAACCGGCCCGTTTTCACGTCAGAGAAACATCCACGCCCCATGCCTCCAAAAAAGAAGCGGACTCGAGGCTCCAAAGGGGAGGGAGACCTGACACCGCAACCTCCACCCGCAAAGCGATCTAGTGTGGCCAAACCCCAAAACCGACGGCGTAGATATTCCAAAGAAGAGGAAGACAATGATGCAGCACAGGAAGACTTAACACCACGACCTCGAGCTCGTAACTCGACTCTAGCCCAAACTAAGGGCTCAGCCTATGTACCCGCTCTCCAAAACAAGGCAGCCTCTGGCTTGGGGTCTATGGAGCCATTAGATTCATCAGTCGACAATTCAAAAGCCTCTTCTAAAAGCCCAGTCAAACGAATGGGCGACCTTCGCTTTGCTAGGATGCCTATTCTGTATGAAGACCTTTCGAAGAGCCTGGAGAAGCTGCCATCTGACGCCAGGGGTCTTTATGAGAAACTACGCGTGGTTAGCTCGGCTACCGGAGTCCTGCCTGCAAACATCAAGGTGAACTGGCCATAATTAAACAACTTTGGACAATGATAACCCTCTACAGGATGAGATCTCCGAATGCAACAACGAAGTAGACCTTCTACTCCCTCATATGTTCGATGAGACTTCGACAGCGAACACCAGATCAAGGACCCAGTTGCTTTGGGAACTACGTTATGTCAAAAAGATCTGCGACGCAACGTCGCGGTGTTCAGTTCAACAAGAAGCAGAGGCTTCCTGGAATTGTATTGTACACAGCCCTATACTGGACCTGGCTCTGGAGGTCTGTAAGGGTGTTGAATTCCGAAATGTGTATGGAGATCATTCCCACATTAATTCCGAATTTACTGACCCTACCAGCACAGCAGCCAAAATCTGCCCCGCGTTTGACCATCGTGACATCGTTGGGAAACCCTTGCAATCAAAGATGGTCGATTTCGCCATCAATTTGGTAACTGACAAAGATGTGGATCGTCGCATCACTGAGTTACTTGACGGTCAACATCCGAATCTCAGAACCATCAATCAGTCCATACATCACCCTCTTCGATTTGCACCAGTCTTTGTCAGCATTGAAACAAAACGACCAGGCGGTTCGGTGCAGGACGCGGATATACTACTTGGTGTGTGGGCATCGGCGTACTTCAAGCGCATTCACAAGCTTTGCAAGAACGGTCCTTTCCAGATCGCCTTACCACTCTTGTACGTGTATGCTGACCTGTGGTTCCTCATGTTCGCTTGCGATACAGCGGACGGCACAGTAAGTTGCGCATTGGTGTCGAAAACTCCAGATTCTTACAACTGTCAACAGGTAGTACTGTCAAGATATCTCGTTGGAAGTACCAGTACCGTGCTTGGCTGCTATAAGGTGATGACAGCTATTCGCATTCTCAGCGAATGGGGTACGACAAACTTCAAACAATGGTTCGAGTCATCAGTCCTTCAGTCTGCACAGGAGTCAACAGACCCTCAGCCTGTACAGGAGTGAGTCGCTCAACCTGCTCAGGAATCGACGGACCTTCAGTCTCCGCAGGAATCATTCATCGCTCGAGTGTCTCCGTCTTGGACGTCTTGCACAGCTAGTCACGTTGTGATGTGTGATGCGTCTGGTTTGGAGTGCAGGGAGATGTCTATCGAGCATGAACAGCACGGATGGATGGGGCTTAAAGGGGTTTTGGGGGGGGAACAGCTGGCTGAAAGTGCGGAGCTTTGAGAGTGCCATTGAAAAGTGCCAGGAAGGCTAGGATGGAGAGGGAGAGGGAGATGGAAGGGCACTTGTTATAGCGAGGTCAAAAGCGATGGGGAGCTAAGACCCAGGCTAAACCGGAGGCCGATTTCCCAGTCGACGACATTACCTTAAGTATCGTCGATAACAGTGCTTTCTGGTTGCCTATCGGTTAAGCCAATCTATGAACAAAGAACGCGGCAGGACGCGGGTGGCATCAAGGCTTAGAGGCCAACTACATCCGCCGTTCTAAACGGAGCTCTTTCTCTCTTGGTTCCCAGTCATCTCCACCTAGATCGAGGAGGTGTGGGTGCTGCTTTCCTCTGCGGTGCCCCATGCTAGATTCCCCAAGTCTGGCCCTGAATGGGCATTGGGCAGTCAAAGTCATTTTGCAGATCGAGTCTCGTGGTGGGAGTCGTCAGTCCCGTCATCAATCTGCTCTTTTCAGGCTGGTTTGTAGATGAGCGAAGCTTTCCAGCCGCCGGATCAAACCCTCATGCTGTTCCATCCATGTAAAGCGTTCGAACTCTCTTCTCCTCTGCCTTTTGCAATTTCTTTTGTTCTTCGTATTGTCGGGCCCGTTTTTTGCTCACGTTTCTTTTCTCCTCCCTCACCTTATCTTTTGCCTCTCGTTGCATCTTGCGTTCGCGGACCTTGGTTTTCTTTACAGGCTCTACCATCGGCTTCCTTGCGATTTGTTATCTCTTGGACGGCCAGATCCTTCAGTCCTTTGGTTGGCGAGAGGGGGAAGCGTTTAAATATGTCGATGGATCGGCTTTGGCGTGCACTCGGTAACTTAGAATCTGTTTTTGCTTGAGGCTTTTGGGACTGGTTCAAGGTCGAACCTGCAGTGACCTCTACGGCATCAGTCGAGCGTGAGGGGATCTCTTCAAACATGGTGACTCGACGAGACTTCCTTCATCGGGGTACACGTTGAGATCGAAGTGCTTGCGGTGTTGGAAGAAAGGTGTCGAATCTGAAGGCGCATCGCTCACTGTTTCGATGAGATGTCAAGAAGCAGCGAATAAATAGTGCCAAGGCTAATACAATGAGGATGAGTGCGACAAAATGCTCGATGGGGTTGACAGCATCGAATGCCATGGGAGTCTGTTTGACAAACGAGTGAAATCTCTCAAGAGAGGAATAAAGCAAACCCTACCATCACCCCTCTCCTAACCGTACTTTCCCACTCAAACCTGACAATCCAGGTTACAAACCATTTTGACCTTTGACCAGTTGGCTACAAACAGTGACAGCCATTGCAACTTCAAGCCTGGGGTCATTGAATGCCGACCAAAAAAAAAAACCCCCTCTCCCATCGACATCCTCAATCTAATTGTTTCATGGAACAAGTTCTCGCCCCCCATAATTGAGGCGAGCTTTTATGACGGAGAGCTATCAACGCCAATAATTTCGAGATACCTATCCCGCATTGCTGGAAGCCCCCACCACTGGGGGGAGAGTTGGGGGGGGAGGAAGATTTGTAGTCTCCGTGGCCAGAGTCTGGTATATCCAGGTATCATTCGATGTGGCGAGTTTTGTTTTCATGGTCATGGTGTTTGCACGATTCATAATATCGCATTTCCACTGGTCCATTGTATTCAAGCAGAGAAAATTCCTAACCCGGTCGGTTGTTATCACTTTGTTCCGGGTGGGCCACTCATATTAAATCCAGGTGGAGGAGGTCCTTGTCCTTGGTTTGGACCAGCTCCGGGAGCAGGGCTAGGACCACCCGACGGGGCTTGTTGATTCTGCTGACCAGGGGGCGGGAAACTTCCAGGAGCGACGGTAGGAGGAAACTGGAAATTCGGAGGAAATCCACCAGGTGGTGGCGGGAATGGGAGACCGTTGGGAAGGGACGGAGGAGCGCCGTTCGGTGGGAATGGTGGAAAAGGCATGCCACGGCCACCTGGTGGAGGAACTACTCCTCCAGGGCCTGGTGGACTTGCACCCTGCATATTACCAAAGGGCGGAGGGGGGATTCCTTTCTTCAAGTCAGCAGGCAACGAGGTTTGCTTGTGGAAGCGGAACATACCTGGAAACCCGGGAAGCGGTGGAGGAAACCCAGGAGCAGCTTGTTGCAGCATAGGGTTCGCTTGACCTTCTGCTGCGTATGAAGATGTAATCGAGTCAATGACCGATTGCGCTTTTTCATGGCCGATTTCTATGCCCAGTTAGCACAGTCGAAACACGTCCATCCTCATGGGACACATGCGCTGATAGTATTCTACCACGTTTCTCAAATGATTTCGGCCAGCATTGTGAGCTTTTCGCACTGACATGGAATCGTGGGTAAGGTACACATCGCAATAGTCACAGAAGAGTACTGCAAAGTTAGTTCTCGTTGCATCAAACACGAGGCGGGGCCCACTTATATTTCGGCATTTTGAGTACGACACGAGGCAAATAGTCGGATAAAAACACGGAAACAAACTTTGACAGAGCCCGATCTGTCTTCGACTTGATGTGAGTGTTGGTTGGAATAAGAGCAAAAAAGAGTGACGAAATATGAGGCTCGAGTCTGGTAGTGGATGGAAAGGCGGTGAGGAGCGGCAAAATTATTCGGCAGAAGTTTCGCTCAGAAATTGGTCCCTACCGCGTCGTGCCCACGCGAGTGCGCCTTCGCCATCCCCTTTATGTTTATGGGCAGCAACTCCATACAATCATTTCAAAAACCGTCACGATGCGGTGATCGGCGATATCGTTCTAGCGATTTTGTTCTTGTAACGCCTATGTAAAATCACTTGTCAATTCCCACACACCATTGGCAACCATGGCCGATGGGGGCAGCCTCCACAATGTGCCACTTGTGTTGGACAATGGCAGTGGCACTATTCGAGCCGGCTTTGCTGGCGCTGATCTTCCGGCTGCGTATTTCCCCTCGTATGTCGGCCGTCCCAAACATGTACGTGCCCTTGCCGGGGCCCTCGAAGGAGATGTCTTCATCGGACCCAAAGCACAAGAACTACGAGGCCTCTTGAAAATTCGATACCCTCTTGAACATGGGATTGTCACAGACTGGGACGACATGGAAAGGATATGGACCTATGTCTACGAACAAGAGTTGAAAACACTGAGCGAGGAACACCCGGTGCTTCTGACGGAAGCGCCGTTAAATCCGAGACAAAATCGAGACACAGCCGCCCAAATTCTATTTGAGCAATTCAACGTGCCTGCCGTTTACATGTCCATCCAAGCCGTCCTGAGTCTGTATGCGAGCGGTCGCACGACCGGTATTGTGCTCGACAGTGGAGATGGCGTCAGCCATGCTGTACCCGTGTACGAGGGATTCGCCATCCCAAGCAGCATCCGAAGGATTGACGTGGCCGGAAGGGACATCACAGAACACATGCAGCTCCTCCTGCGAAAGAATGGCCATGTTTTTCATACGAGCGCTGAAAAAGAAATCGTCAGAATAATGAAGGAGAAGACTGCCTACGTGGCATTGGATCCCCGAAAAGAGGAGAAGGATTGGTCACAGGGGATATGGAAGAATGAGAAAAGAGATGTCGAGTATGTGCTGCCGGATGGCCAGAAAATCAAGATTGGAGCAGAACGCTTCCGAGCACCGGAAATCTTGTTTGAACCGGACTTGATCGGGTTGGAATATCCCGGGATTCATCAAATGGTAGTCGATGCCATCAACCGAACAGACATGGACCTTCGAAAGAATCTATTTGGAAATGTTGTCCTTAGTGGTGGCACAACATTGTGTAAAGGATTCCCAGACCGACTGCTGTATGAGATGCAGCGATTGGCGGTCAAGGATATGCGAATCAAAATTTTTGCACCTCCTGAACGAAAATACAGCACTTGGATTGGTGGAAGTATTCTCGCTGGGTTGAGTACATTCAGGAAGGTGAGTTCGAACGCCACGGAGGCCCAGTCCTGAAGTTCTCGCAGGATACTAACAGCAATCTAGATGTGGGTCAGCATTGATGACTGGCATGAGAATCCCGACATCATCCACACGAAGTTCACTTGACGTGAAAGTTGTCCCGAGCAACGAAGAGTCACAAAGAGGTTGACGGAAGGCGGATCAAAGACCGGGAAGCCAAGGCCTCATAGCTGGATTGCATTCCGTCGAAGGATAACGAAGATTCGGCGGTGAAAAGACAGTACATTGTGGATGGGTGTTTCCAGGCACAATGAATCCTTGGCCAATAACAAGGACCATCCGGTGCTCGGTCTGTTGATCAGCGGCATCTGAGAGTTCATTGCTGTATTTGGGGGCCCAAGAATGTCTGAGATATTTGCGGGGAACACCGAAATCCGGGGAATTGACCAAGCCAACACGTCAAGACATGGAACCCAAGCAGGCTTACTAGTTGGGAAGGCTATCGCGAATAGAGGTCAAGGCGGAGGCCATCAGATCAGGAACCTACCGACATCACGGGCCTGATTTAGTATGGCTGGGGGGATTTGGTGTTTCTAGGTTCCTCTCGTTCCTTCCACGGGCCGTCAACACGTGTCGCATACATTGGGCGACGTGTCGGCGAAGGGCCAGGAACAATGGAAGACAGACAAGTAAAGCAGAAAAAATTTTCATCCGTCAAGAAGTCAACGTGAGAGAAAGATCGGAGAGGGATTGCATCGAGAATGTGTTTCTGTTACCCCCAGGAAACCACCATTCCCCGCCCAGAGGTTGGCGAGGGTAGCCATCGATTACCCCATAGTTTGCTCAGAAGCCGTGCGTGGCGTGCCGATGGCGTGCTTGAGGCTGGGCATGACTAAATATTGCCCGATCTGTCGAATCCCGTGGCCGGCAAACAGCAAAATAACAAGTGAAAAAGTCTGAAACCGCTGGAAACGATGACATGACGACGTCGACTTCCCGCCAATCATGCGGTTCAACTGCGTCTCCGCTCGCTCCGCCAGCCGCCCAGGATTTTTCGAGCAATGACGAGACTCTTTCAGGTTCTCTCCCCAGGTAACGCGGCTCCCCGTGTTCAGATGAAATTGCGTCCCGGTCACCGTCATAATGCCAATTGTATTTCCCCTTGCCTAAGCATCGTGACCTGAAAATTTGACGTGCACTTTGCAGTTAACGGCATCGCTCTGAAGAACATGCTGGATTTCCATCGAGTAATCAAACTGCTTCTGAAGCCGCTCTTGGTCACTGGCCCGGTGTCACATTCGTCAACCGTCACTGCAAATTTGTCCTCCCTTCGAGCAAGCTGCCCGTATATAATCACCTTGCCCCCTCCTCTGTGACGGGCTCCTCATCTTCCCATCAGAAGATTCCAACGGGACAACTACATCGTCGCCATCCAAAAATACCTCATCGCATTCTTCGCCACAGTTACTGAATCAAAGCCCTCTAAACCCGATTCGGCTCTCACTAAACATCCGAACAACCAATCACAAATACTCGTCTCACCACCTCACACAATGTCGTTCTCCTCCTCAAAGCGATATTCCATCGTCGAACCTCATCCATCAATTCCTGCATCCCACTATGTCTCCACCGGCCGCGGTGGTGCTGGGAATGTGACCCGAGCTCCTGCGTCTGTGACAAGCGGCAGCGATGCGTCAGGTACGGCAGCTCGCGTGACTCTCACCGCGCCATCCAGAGACCGCAAGACATTCACTGCCGGGCGCGGCGGAGCAGGCAACGTCTTCCCAAGTTCCGAGCGGGCCATTTTCAGCTTCGACGAGGAGCTCGAGCAGCAGCTCGTTCAGGAGCGCCACGCCGCACCTGTCTTCCATGTCGGTCGCGGCGGAGCAGGAAACGTGACCTCTAGCCAACCGAGAGTCTTCGTCGATAGTAGTGTCAGGCGCCGCAGCGAGGATAGTATGGGTTCGACGGGTTCTAGCGAGAGCGGCGCTGACTATGTCAACCGCAACATCAAGAAGGGCTTAAAGAAGATGGCGGGCGTTGGCAATTACATGACCTGATGGAGCAACTCTTATTGGTGTTTGTTGCCGCGTGTAATTTTTCTTGCTCTGGCCGTGGTGGTTTTTTGGCATGGTGTTTCGGGACTTCATTCGAAATTTTGAATCGGGGGAAGTAGATCGGTGGACAGCGTCCAATGACGCGAGAAAAACTTGGCATATTTATTTTGCTTTGGATCATCACATCCATAACCTGGGGCCGGTAGCATACAGCAATGCATGGCTAGGATATAAGGAATCATATCAGCATTTGGGAACGGACCAAAAAACATGGTTGTGACATGGCATGATCGGAGCAACGGAATGAAATGTCCACCAGCCTTTTACGTGAGAATTCAATTCGTTTTGGGTCTTTTTGCATCCGCCGCTCATGGTCACGAAACTCGTCTTTCGACCCCTTGTCTACTCACAGTAAGATATTTGACCCCTTTGTACGGTCTTACCCCATCCCCGAGGCCCTTTGATTTTTTAGCATCCACCACTAAACTGTCTACCTTGATTCCACTCGGCAGCCATCCTTTGACGCTGAATGACACCAAGATTGACCGAGGCATCAGTGCTTTATTCTTGACACTTGCATTGCTGCCGTTCAATGCAGACTCATGTTGTTCGGTCTGGTCCGCCACTGCATCCTCGTCGTAGTATCCGGCCATACTGTTGAATTTACCGACTTCAGCAGCTTGTAGCTCATTGTCATCGGTATGGTCCGCGTTGAGTGGACCGGATACGGTGCCGGTCAACGTAGCCACCCCATTTATCGACGCGCTGTCTTTGGTGGGCACTTTCCATTCAACCACTTTATCGAATGTATTATAATTTGCTTCGCCTCGAGAAGCCTTCAGTTCTGTCACGCTGCGAACGTCTGCTGGAAAGGGAATGGTAACCACAACAGCTTCCAATGAAGGGGCGTTGGAACTGCCGCCGCTACCACCGCCGAATGACAGTGACGAGATGGGGCCTGAAGTGGATCGAGAAGCGCCCGGTTTAGAAGTCGAAACGCCCGGGAAATTATTGTTTAAAGTCAGTCGAGCTTCAAACTCCGCGCCTGAGCTCCCAAGTCCTGGTCGTAGATCTACAAGTGCGGGTAAGAAGATCCTCTCGGTCTCATTAGGAGGCTGGTCTGCGTTGAAACTGGAAGGCATGAGATCAGTTTCATAGCCTGCCAGCATGAAACGTCCATCGGGAGGAACAAAAGATATGTCTCCAGGACAGTCTTTCCATCGAGACAATCGGACACAGGGGTGAAAGACTGGTAGTTGCATAGTTCGAACAATTCCCAAGGTTTTGGCACTGCTCGTCCCTCCGGGGGCGGACAAAGTCAAAAGGAGATCTGGAACTCCAGATATCTTAGCGGTGAAGGCTATCGATCCATGAGATCGGGCAGAAATTGGACGGCCAGAGGGAGCAAATATGACAGAAAGGTTCTCAACAATGTCAACGTAGAGTTCGTTCGAGGTATGCCGAACATTGGACCTGCGCCAGGGAATGGCCGGTCCTTTTGATGGCGTAGGCGTCGGTCGCAGACTCGATGCGAAGTTGCTCGACGGCGCAAGAGCTGGGGAGGTTCTAGTGAATCAGTATGCGGCCTTATCTCGGTTGGATGCAGAGCATACCCTTGTAGCCCAACTTGTGTGAATAAACGGCCCAGGGCTGAAGAGACCTCTACCGACTCTCGAAGAGAATTGGGTTCCGTGTTGCATACAATTCCACCATCACACATCTCACCCAGCAGCTGTGCCACGATTTCATAGTTGTCCTCAATCTTGTTGGCCAGGAGCGGACTGCCCAGAAAATCTTCAAAAACATCGACGAGTCGATGGAGAAACTCGAGGATTGCCAGAGGCTGTGCATCCTTACTCGATACTGCGATCAGGAAAAGTGTTGAGTGAGAGATGGAATATACTGTTGTTGACGGGGCGAGCTCCGCGAGTTGGAGGACAGCAGGCCGAGGACGTGGTCTACTGGTGAAGCTGGAGATGAGAGTCCGCGCGGGGGGCGGGCGTCCGGTGTAGATGTGCTCCAGAACACAGTTGCTGGACACAATTAGTACGCGAGATTGCTTCCAATCATGGTTCCTGCAATTGCTCACTGATGATCGTCAAAGATATAGAGGGCGTCAATGGTGACGCTCATGATGAAGATTGGCAAGCCTCCCACGAGACTTAGCTGGAGAGACAAAAAGTTGGAGGTAGGACGAGGGTCGTTATCTTATCTTCACGTGGCTGCCGCTGCTGCTCATCTCAGAGCGCATTGCCTTCCATCTTGACCTCCCAAGGATCATGCCGACTCCACGAAAAGGAACGCAGCCAGCAACACATCTAGACACTGTGAATTTCTCGAAGACAGGTTTGAATCTGGGTTCCGCGAGGAGAGAATCTGTACCCATTTACGCACGTAGCTACCGTACGCCTGCGTTCATAAACATACTTCCATTCCCCCAATCCATGTACAGTATTTGGCTTTCCTCCGCACACCATTTCGGCTGCCTCCACCCTTCCGATTTCCATCACAGTTTCTGAGACCCCTATCGTGGATATTCTGAGATTGCTGGAAACTTTGCTTAGAATCTGCTTGATATCCTCTTCACATCCGAGAGCATACTTGCAGAGGCCCCACCGGTGAGTTTCGTTGATCCATTCAAGCAATGCGAGCGCTCCTCGATTAGTCTTACAACTCCCAGTATCAAGAATTCGCACTCTGCAGCCGGCCCAAGTCGCCTTATCTATTTTGGGTTGAAAGAGCCATGCTGTCCAACGACATGGTCCACGCATCGGATCCAGTCTGTGGACCACCCAGACAAGCTCTATCGATCAGACTCGACACGGTTCATGGATCAGATCCGATGAAACACCACCTCGATCGGATCCAATCCATGGATCATGTGGCCGGGGCACCCTACTCAATAGATGTCGGTATCGATATGATTCACGTACCGGATCCAGTCTGTAGGCCACCTCAGACAAGCCCTTACTGATCACACTCGAGATGGTTCGTAACCGAGCGTGAACGAACGAGCCTCGATGTCGACATGGTCCATGGATTGGATCCGATGGGTCGTAGTATTTCATCGAACAACCCTCTTGCCTCACCTATGATCGAACACTGATGAGGTCCCTCAATTCTATCGGTTCGACTGAGACGCCGAAGCGTTTCGTCTTTGACAGGTCAACCACGATTTGGGTGTCAATTTTGGGGGAAATTTTCGGCGGAGTAAAATGTATTTAGGCTTGAATTACGTCATCAGGGGTTTTTTCGTGGGTCACGTGATTATGACATGAATTGACCAATAATATTGCTGCATATAATCTCGGAGAATTTCTGACCAATAGGATGAATGAATGGAATAAAAAGGACTACCGAGGGCGATGTACTGAATAATAGCACGCGGTGACGAGTATCCAAGATATATATACATCCAAGGTAACAGGGGCTCTGTCGTCGTGATGTTCAGCTGGCAAGGTGACTGTTTATTGATTGACTGCAAAATTCACAAGGTCTCAGGGGTGGTCACGGGATGTCATTGTCTACCAGTACGAGCAGACTGGGCCGTGATGAAGGTTGCATCTCATTAAGAAGACGAAATTCAGCAGAGAAACCTATCTCATTGCTTCTGACAAAAAGTGGCCATGGATACAGCAATAATTGAAGATCCAACATTCCGCATCATTACCACATTGAAGAGTGTGTCATTCAACGAAGAAGACCTTCAGCCCTTGCCATCGACTCTTCGGTGGAAGAAAGAGACAGAATCATTCTTGATCTTACATCGCCAACGACTTCACGCCGCTGCGCAGGCTTGTTTATGGCCACAGGCCTGCCTGCGACTTGAAAGCCAGAGTGCGGTGGCAGATCTGGAATGTGCTACTGAACAAGCCGCAAAGCAAATCCCTAAACCAAAGACAGGGCATATTAGAGATGTCAGAGTGCGGATCTTGGTCAACCGTCACGGCGGCATACAATCCGAAGGCGTCCCGATGGGAGGTGAACGCCCTTTAGAAAAGCTCGAAGACGGCTTAGTCTCTTGTATCCCTCAGAGTCTCCTTCTACCGTCTCCCACGCCAGGAGTCTCCCGTTGCTTAGTCCATGTTGACTACGTTCCTACCAGCCCGGCCTTCTACACTTCTCACAAAACAACATACCGTCGACCCTACGACGACGCACGAGCCCGTGTCGGTATCACGAAATGCCTACCCACTGACCGAGAAGTCCTGCTCTTCAACCATCAGAACGAAGTCATGGAAGCAAGCCTCTGCACGCCCTATTTCTACCGCGAGGGAACTTGGACAACCCCGCCTTCAGCAGCAGGGGGAATGCTGAGCGTGACTAAACAGTGGGCTCTTGATGCTGGGCTATGCAAAGAAGCTACCATCATTCTGGGCTCGATTCGACCTGGGGAGATTATCTGGCTCAGTAATGCGCTTAGGGGTTTCTTCCAGGGAAGAGTATGTGAGGCTGAAGAGAGGGGAGGAATGACAAATTCCCCATTCTAACATGTAGAGAGGCTAGTACGATACGAAAGGCGTTGCTATGGTAATAGCACAGACCTTCCTGGCTGGAAACTTGTATAAAAAAGGGGGATCCGAAGAGCAGTAAGCTCTCGTTATATTGATACTAGCCCTCGATTCATCCTCTTGATCGTTACTTTGGTCGAGGATGACTGCAGAGAATAACCCGCCGTTATCATTCGCACTAGCTCTCAGGCTCAGCGTGAAAGACACCTTCAACTTTCAATCAAGGCGGATATATTCAAAGTCAATCCTGTATGATCTTTGGCTCCCAAATCCTTCGTCGCCGTCAAATCTCGCATGATTTTCTCTATGCCAATGGCTCATGATGATTCTTCTCACATCGATTTTGGACATAACCCCCTTTCTCCCCGGCCCCCTTCTTTTTCTCCAGCTCTTCATTCGGCCTTACTAATACTCATTTTCTTAAAGTGCCCCACGACCTCTCCATTGGGAGCTTTATCCGACCCCTCCTGACTCTCGTGTTTTGCGACTTCCTTTTCTTTCTTCCTTTCCCCTTTCTTTTCAGTAGAGCCATCCTTCTTTTCAACTTTGACGGGGTGCGGATTTCCCTTGTACACCAGCGGTTTCAGCTTGAAAAACTCGTCCCGGACCTCCTCGGTAACTGCTTTTCTCCGCGTCTGAAAAGCAGCGACATACTCTTGCAAATATTTGATGCAGATTTGCTTGATCTCGCCCGTCATCATCTCACCGGATTCGTATGCGTTCTTGATTCGAGCCAATTCCTCATCATCTTCCATGAAAAATGTCAGGTACTGGAATGGAACGTCCACTTTCGTATTACCCCCTAGTTCACGTTGCTTCTCAGCGGTGTCTTGTCCTCCAGAGAAGGCATAGCGGTTGATCTTATTCTTAATCTGATTCGGGGTGTCCGTGAGGAAGATGGCCGACGAGTCAATGCTTGCAGACATCTTGGACCCGGGTCCTTGCAGGGCGGGAAGGAAAATAGAATGAATCAACGAAGGCTTTTTGAATTTCATCTTCTCTGCATTGTCGCGACATTGGCGGAAATACGGGTCTTGGTCAATGGCACAAGGGATTAAGCACGGGATCGAGCGGACTTTCGAAAGGTTGTCGCCGAAAATATGGGGGAAGGATGTCGCAAACGCGGTCGCAGATTGTGTGGCACAAAAATGGAATTCGCCAATGTTGTTGCTGTCGTTGAAGCCGAAGGTGCCTTTAATCTGATTGATCGTGATCCGTTTAGCCATCGCACATACATTCTCGTAAAATGCCCCGCCCATGTAGCCGAAGTCGGAAAATATGAATGTTTTGGCCGGGTCGAAGCCGATCCCAATGATGTCTTTTGCGTTTTCTTTGGCGTAACGCTTCGAGTCTTCAATCGTGATCTTTTGCGAGTGCATGAATTTCTCATCGTCTGTCAACATGATGACTAGTGGGCAGTCAAAGACATCTTGAAGGTACTTTGTGAACTCGAAAGGGACGGAATGCCCAACATGCATGTGGTCGCTGCTAGGCCCTCGGCCAGTATAGAGATAGAAGGGCTCTCCTTTTTCATATCGGTCCAGGATCTTTTCCAGTTCTCGGTGTGAGAAAACAATCCCTCTCCGCATAAATCTATGTGCCTTCTTCCCTGTAACTTTCTCAAATCTTTCTAGTAGTTGGGGTGTGATTGGCGTCGCGCCGAATTCCCTGGTGAGTTTCTCATAGTCAACCGGGAGTAATTTTCCGCTGCCGTCCACACCACCGGAGACTTCGAAGGGCGTAATACGCTGCTCAGTGCTCTGCGAGGGTGTTTTCTGGGGTAGGGTGCTGGTGCTAAGGCTGGGAGGTTGGCCGGGTTCATCCGCTGGCAGAGGGGACTTCGCGTCGTTGAAGGTCGCCATTATTGAAAGCAGGCGGAGCGCAAAAGGGAGACACAACGGCCACTAGGAGGTTAGGGTCTCTTTCGTTCCGTTATTTGGCTTTCCCAAAGACCAAGCAGCGCAGGATTGTTTGTTTCTTGACAAATGTGTGACTCAGCCTCTGTTGGCCGGGGAAGTCAGAGGGCGCTTAAGCTTGAGCAGGAAAAGCTGCAAGTTCACCCTGGAGTGAATGCGAAATGAGGAATAAATCTCAGCTCTTCTCCTCAGCGATCATCCGTCAATCGTTGTTCATTCATCGCGTTGGGCTTTCACTCTCGGATGAACTGCCTTGATGGACTGCGCAAAGATAAGATTAGATCTACAGTGTTCGGATATGATTCTCCAACTCCGCAGGGAAGCAATTCCTCTTCGATCTGAATCCCTAGCACAGCGGTTACACTATCATATTTGCGGAGGGAAGTTCTTGCATTATAATCCAAGCACGTACAAAAAGTCACGGCAAATCGCAAGGTTGGAATAGAATATGTTTTCAGAGGACCCTCGTTCTCCCAGGATCTATCCTGCATAACCTTGACAATGCTCTCTTTCCTTCTTTATCTGATTGACCTATTCTCCTCGTACGCTGCTTTACTCTCGATGAGAGATGTTGATTCCTTCGTGTCTAGATATCCCCTCACGTGTTTGCGCAGAGCAGCTAGTTGTACTTCCAGTTCCCTGATATTCTCTTCCGCTTTTTCACGTGCCAGACGTTCGACACGAATCTTATCTTGGTATAAGAGGCTTCATCAACAGGTCTGTCACTTTCCGCTTGCAGCTGATCCATTTTTGGAGGGTTTCGCTCGTCCGTTCAGGTTGCACTGCAGCATCGATTGAAGGGCCAACTTCTCGGCACAACTCCATATGCACTCGAATGGGAGTGTTTACTGATTTGATTCGCATCTCATGCGTAGCATTAAAACCTTGACTCTCCCCGTGCTACGTCTTGTACCTAGAACCTGGTGTTAGCTTCGATATACTTGATTAGATCATCTGACCCGGAACCCTCACAATCACATCGTGACTGATGAGCGTGCGCTGAGTGTTATGGCTCCCTAGATCCTTCCAGCATGGGTGTAGATTAGCCTCTTTCACCGTTGTCAAAAAGAGGAAACTCCAAAAAGTCCCCAACATTGAACGACGAGTCAAAAAAGCCGGCAAACTCGTCTCGAATCTGCGAGTCGAACAACATGTAGTCGCCACCACTGGGTCCTATGCTTAACGGGTTGAGACTAGCCTCGCCATGACTTTGTCCAATGTCTACCTCACAGCCCAGGAAATCCACAGTCTGGCCCTCGGCCTCGCGCCGCCGGGCAGATGATATTTTGGCCTGCAAGTCTTCCAGCCCTTTGAGTCGATCCCACACACGCTTGACCGGGCCGCATCGTGTGCTCAGCTGTCTCAAAAGACCCAGAGCCATGTGAAACGTCTCGCGAATTTGCGTCCAGTACTCGGCTGTCGCGTGGACCGTGATGAGCAGGAGGTTTCCCAGCGCTGAGACAATGAAGTGCTTGAAGAATATCGCGTGCATTTGAAGCAAGTTTGTGGTAGAGTTCAGGTCCGACATGGTCTGGAGAGATTCTTTCGCAATGGAGAGCGCGGTGAGCGTATGTTCAGGATTGCTTTTGATATGGGCAGATGACTGCAGCAGAGGTCGATAAATCACATTACGAAGCTGGTTGCAGCGAATGAAGAGGACAACGCTGAGGTAGAGGCGTTGTTGAGGACTGTAATTGTTTCGTATCTGTTCTGGATGCTCTGGTGTGCTAGGGGAATAGCGGAGAGAGTCCGGGATCTGTTTCCGCCATTGCATCACTTGATAGTCGAGAAAGTCAATCTCGTCGCGTGCAGCATGGACATCTTTGGTACTAAATTCGTTGCTCATCTGCCACGCCTTGCCGGAGAGTTTGGTGTACGGAATCATGGTTCGGAGGTAGAGGTGGTCGACGTTCATGGCAACCAGCGACGGATCCACAGGGCTGTCTTGGATCACGTATGGTACTCCAAGCCCCAAACTCGAGCGCCGGTCGAGCATAAAGACCGACCAGAAGATCCTCAAAGCCAGTTTTCGCGCGTGTTCATCGCGGAAGTGCTTCAGCAACATTTCGCGGCGATGTAGTCCCATCTCCAGACATCTTCGAGACGCGAGACAAACGTATCGGCTGGCCTTGAGCTCTTCGTCCACGGAATAGTGAAACAATGCCTGTCAATAAAAGGTACCTCTAATGAGCACGTCCTGTAAGTAACAAAGGAAGACCTACCGTGAGGACCAGGAGCTGGACACCTCCGATTCCCTCCGCATTCATCAAGGAGTCGTCTGTCGAGTCTAGGACGCTTTGCACCAGCCTTACTGCTGTGTCATTTCCAGCCCCTTGATCGATGACGAGTCCCGCGGCAGTGGCCAGCTTTATCTTGTTGGTTTCAACGCTAAATAGCAGCTCTATGGTCCGGCCAATTCGGTCCCGGCATCTTGCTGCCTTCGCGGAATCCAGCGCATCAAAGAGCATGAGCGCCTTGGACTCGAAATGTTGAGCATCAACAACCGGATACATTAAGCCAAGTGTGTTGAGATATATATCGATATATCTCAATGCATCAACTCGTTCAATGCTCCACAACGGGTCTCGTGTTAGCAGTCTCCTGACCATCGTCTTGTCTGCTGTGTGGGCGCTGGGGATAGGCTGGAACGAAAGAGACCCATTTGGTTGATTTGGATTGCTGATGGAACAGCCAACACCCAGCTCGTTCAAGCTCTCATTCGCCACTTCGAAGGTAAACTCAGAGCTAGTCAGCCCGTGGTATTCTGGAGAAATTGTTTCTGTTCCTCTCGGAGAGCTCGGCTGAACGGACTGATTCCTCGCGGCTGCACTAGCTGGAACCCTTCCATCTGCAGTTGGGAGACAGAGATCCGGCTGATCAACAAGGCTATAGAGAGGAGGATGGCTCGTCTCGGCTACGCTCGCCGGGGATATGGCGTTCAGTCTTTCGTTCAGGCTGTCAACCCTCTCCATCACCGCACGGATCTGCATGCTCATCTGCAGCAGGTTCCCATTTCCTGGATCGTGGACTTTTTCAGAGCACTTCCCAGGAACCGAGGGAGCGTGCGCCGGCTGGTAAACACTATTATTTCTCGGTGGCTGATGGTATCCGCATGCGATCATGCTATTAATGCATCGCTGACATGGATCTTCACCATTGCATTTGACCTTGCGCCTTTTGCATTCATTGCTGTGTGGAATTCGAGGTCAGTTTCAAGCAGCAGAAGAAAGTCGGGCCAGCTGATACCATGCATTTGTCACATAACGAGAGCGCTTGGTTTTGGGAGCGTTATCTGAACCGTCCTCCAGGGTTCTCTTGGTCACTGTTTGCGCCTCGCCGCCATTAGCAGTACCTCCCGCCATTCTTTTGCTTTCCGTTTCGAATGAGGAGTATTGGATTGGAAATTTTCGGCCATACTAGCCTGGGTGCGAGGCTCTTTGGGAATGGGACGAGGACTACTTATAGGCCCGTCAACCCCCTGGTCGGCGCCGCGCGCTGCCAATTCTGCGGGGTTTAGTTAAACGCGAGCGACGGGCGCGGAGTCTGGGGATGGCTCTTAAACCGGGGGGCATTTGCTCGAAGCGAGGATAACCAAGAGCTTTTCTTCGGGGGTCGGGACCCCAGAAAAAGACAAGGTTTGTGTTGCTCTGCCATTATTGAGACACTCGGTGGGCGAACACAACCGCATTTAGACCTGCTCGTTGGGCATGAGTGCTACAGTGGACGCAACTAACTCTCTACATCGTAGTCTCGACTGACCCGTTACCCCGCTCCTGGGTCGATGGGGCGCCTCGCGAGGACGGCGCAAGATTCAAACTAACATGACAAGCGGCCATAAAGCAATATCTGTAAGTCTAAGGCTTTCCAACTTCCAGTGTCATCAAACCTTGGTTACTTCTGGGACCGGCTCAAACCTTGCTCTAGAGCAGCCAGATTTCGAGGAACAAATCGGACTTTATATTCTTTCGGCTGCGTTGTCAGGGAAGCGGGATTGGCCACCCCTTTGATGGGATGACTCTCAATGAACCCGTCGGGCACGATCGTGAAGCTGTTCAAGATTCTCAGGAACAGGACATACAACTCTCTGTATGCCAGTTGCATGCCAACACACATTCTGCCTCCGGTGCCAAATGTGAAGATTGGTGTCTCTGGCCTCTCCAACCAGCGCTCCGGACGGAATTCTTCAGGCTCGTCCCACAGCTCAGGATCTGCATATTATCAGATATCGCTTCGCTCAGCGCTTTAAGGGTGAGGTTCCATACCCATATTGCAGGCCCATACATTGAGGAATATGACAGTGCCTTTGGGAATAAGCTTATTGTCATAGACGAAGTCCTGTATGGTGGCACGGGGGAGTGACAGCCTCGTCACTGAATAGTACCTAGAGTACTGTAAGGAAATGACTGACTGGTGCGTGTGCAGCGACTAACCTCAGGATTTCTTTGACAACTGCCACCAAATAGTCGCAACCTTGATCATCTGAAGCGTCGCAGAGTGGGTTGTCAGCGGAGTACGTCTCCCGGATGGACTTGAGCGCTTTGTCCTGGATGTCCTGTCGTACAGCCAGCAGGCCAATACCCCAAGATACCGCAGAATTCATCGTATCGAGACCAGCAGCCAGCAAGGTGAGATTGAGGGATTTGAGTTCGATCCCGGTAAGCCGGGCCTCCTCGTCAACAAGCATATTGGCTCTGATGCAAGGCTTATGGGTGCCTTGTCGGATGCGCTCGTCCAGATCTTTGTCCAAAATGCCTAAATATCGGTCGCGGCGGATCTTCATGTCTACGGCCTCTGCAGACTGCTGGTTCCACGGATTAAGGCGCAGAAGAGGTATATAATCTTGTAAGTTACCGGTCGTGCTTCTGAAATTGCTAATCGTGTCTTCCACGTGGACAATCTCGTGGAAGAGATCATTTTGAGACTCCATTCTAGTTCCCCAGTGAAGGGTCAATCCGATACTCATGTTCATACGGAGGAATAGTGGCATCGGGTTGACACCCTTCTTGCCGTTGTCACCGTAACTGAGCGCCTCGGACAAGAACACACGGGTTTCTTTGTCGAGATGAGTAATATAAGTTGCTACCGCAGGTCGATTCACTGCTGATGCCACAGCCTTTCTTCGTCTCTTGAGAGATTCGGAGTATGGGCTAGTCCCCAAAGTCGTGCCAGCAGTATTCCCCGAAATGACCTAACGTCGCGGTGTTAACGCATCAGCATCAGAATCAAAATGCTTGCCTCACCTTATGGAAAGTGTAAAACTCTGGCCTCGAGCTGGTTGCATGGGAGTTCTGATTGAAGATGGCCTTTGCCGCCGCTGCAGAATTGACAACGAGGACTGGAATGTTCCCGAGCTGAATTTGGTACACTGGTCCGTACTTTTTGGCCCATTGGCGGTACTGCTCTGGGGCATCTTTCTGATGAATTTGCCAGAGATTTCCCACAATGGGTCTTCCAGGAGGCCCTCCGAACTTGGGCACTCGCGCAGACCAGCGAACGAGTTCGTACAGGACAAATGCAATCACAGTTGCGACGATGAGTGCCAATGGAAATATTTTCCATTTGCTTTCGATGAGTTTGGCCGCGTTAATCAGAGCCATCTTGATAGGCTATTTGCAAGAAACTCTGTTCATCAGAGACACAGGAGCAGTGCCAGGTCTGATATGTATATCTGAAATCTGCCATGCCAGTCACAAACGTAACAAGAGCATTTTTTATGCATTTTAGGCCCCACTATCTTCGAACACTGGTGGCAGATGATGCGCATTGCCGCATCGTGTGTCCAGAAGCGGAGGCCCGCCTGGGAGACCACAGAAGCTCCTCGGTTGACCTCCGAGATTCCGCTCCCGTTTCCACCTGAGAATTAGTACGTCATTCCGAAATCCTTGTCCATATCCCTTGGTGCAATAAGAATGGGTGAGTTGTCATTGACCGAATTTGTGCCACGGATGAAGGGTCGGGGTATACCTTGATGCAAAGACGGAAGGTATTTCTCTCATGACCACGTATTGATTAATGCACCATTAGTACGTCGGTTAATAGGTGCCTCGGCATTTTTTCTGCTTTCGACTCTAATTAAAGGATCAGTAACCTTTTTGGCTTTTTTTTTTTTTGGTGGTTTGGAGTGCTCTTGACTCAACCTAACCGTCGGGTTCGCTCTATACGAGTTGTCTGGCACCGGGGCAGTCTGCTTGATATTAATCAAATGATCTGGGCGGTACCCGTCTGCAAGTGAAATATGTCTCAAATCCGGAAACCTTTCAAAGAAGTCGAGGCATCTCGACCAAATTTCGACCATTCGGCCAGCTTCAGCATCTCAAAAACAAGATCTCCATCGTGGAGCTGGGGCGAGGGTGCTTGCGACGGCGGAGCGTGTCTCGACAAGGAGCACACTGAAATAAACCCCAATGAGCCTGGGCGATCGGCTATCAAAAACTACAAACTTTTGATCTCAGGGATTGTCCCAAGGCCGATTGGATTCCTGAGCACTCGAAATGAGAACGGCACATCACAGAATTTGGCGCCTTTTAGCTATACGCAAGTGGTGAACCATGATCCACCCATATTTGTTGTTGGATTCGCCGGATCAAAAGATAAAGATACCTTGAAAAACTTGAAGGCTACGGGCGAATGCGTCATCAACATCATCAGTGAGCATTTCATCGAGGCCGCAAATGCCACCTCCATCGATGCCCCATACGGCATGAGTGAGTGGAACCTCTCGGGGCTCACGCCGGCAGCTTGTAAGGACATCAAGGTAGATCGAGTCAAAGAGAGCATCTTCAGCATCGAGGGTAAGTTGCTTGAGGTGAAAGATTTCGAAAGCAAGTTTGAGAAGGGTGTAAAATCGGGATCTATGGCCATGATCGAAGGTGTGAGATTTTGGGTTCGAGAGGATGCGTTGAACCCTGACCAGTCTACCATTGACGCGTCTGTTCTCCGTCCAGTGAGTAGATTGGGCGGAATAGCTTATGGACGAGTCACGCAAGCTTTCGAGCTTCCCAGACCTAGATTTGAAGAGCAGAAAGAAGAATTGTCAAGAATATGACACGATCGAAGACACTATGTCCACCTCTTTAGACTAAGCCTCAAACAAGGTTTCTCCTAACATATATAGAAACTCTGTGATTTGTCTCTAGCATTGTATATCTTTGTCGTCATGGGCATCTTCGAGGTTATGCATTAAGCCCTGCGCTCTACTGAAATGAACGGTAACGGAGTAGATGTGGCTGCCATGTCACATTGAAATTCAGTCGCTTTCTCAAAGCCTGGCCCTGATGGCATTCTGCGTGGTCGATGAGACAGCATATTGCTTGAAGATGTCCAAATCCGTCGGATCCATTAGAGTTGTCCTCATTTTCGCATCGATCTCAGCCCCTGATATGACTCTCTTCACAGCAATCTCCAATTTCTTGCCGTTGACATTGTAAGGGATCTTCGGCACCGAGTACATGTATTTGGGGACGTGCCTTGGGCTAAGCGATTGGGCGATCTTATTCCGCAGCGTCGTCTCAGTCTCTTTTGTAAAGTCGATGCTGGGCCTGGTCTGAACGAACAAAATGACTTGTTCTTCCCCGTCAGATATGCTCTGTCCGACACATAATGAATCTTGAATAATGTCGGGAACCGTCTCCACAACAGCATAGATCTCCGAAGAGCCGAATCTTACTCCTGAAGGGTTGAGTATTCCATCACTACCAAATCTTTGATCAGCCAACCGCCCGACGAGATGTCTTTGGGAAAGGACCTCATGGAGAACTTAGAGATAGGGAGAGTGCATACCTTCTCCCTAGCATGATTATGCCATTGGTGGCCGGGTTGATTTTGGCATAGTCTCCATGTGCCCAGACGGCTGAAGAATATCAACATGATGAACGTCGTATCACAAAGATCCAAAGCTTACCAGGAAATCTTTCAAAATATGATGAGCGATATTTCTTGTAGTCGGGGTCATTCCAAAATTTGACTGCTGCACTCGGGAAAGGTCCTTTGATCACAAGCTCTCCTGCCTCGCCGGGTTGGCAGCTTTTACCGTCTTCATCAAAAATGTCGACATCGAATCCTAGCTTTTTCACAGCAATCTCTCCAGCATACTGACGATGCACAAGACTTCCATGAATGACTGAATACGTTAGCAATCAATTTCCTCACGGTCTATCGCCATAACAGCAGAGATCAGCATCTGTTTCCCATAACTTACAAGACCCGCAGACTTCTGTCCCACCAGAGAAAGATAATATGGGCGGATTCCCAAACTCTTCAGCCATCCACTGCCATATAGTAGCTGGGAGAACTGCCCCTGAGCTATTCAGGAGTCGAATCTGCTTGATTCCTTTCATTTGGCCTGCTCGTCGTGTTAGCACGTCGTGAATGGATTGATTTCGGAGTTTTCATGCTTGGTCTAACTCCTCGATCCCGGAGCTCGGTGTAGTATCTGGGGCTTCCGCCGAAGACCGTCGTCCTGAAAGCTAGGTTCAACTCGTGGACACTCCAAACAGGAACAAACTTACCCGATCGATAACAAATTCCTCAGATGAGCAGCCGGACTGGGATAGAAAGGCGAGCCGTCGTACAAGACAAGTGTTGCTCCAGTCAACAACCCTCCAGAGAAAATATTCCACATGGTCCAACCAATCTACGGCGACTCGGGTGTCAGAAGTCTTCGTGGTGTCTGTCATCGACTGAGAAAGCTTACGCTGGAGTAATGGTAATAGATATCGTGAGGCCCAAGGCCCCCGTGCATCAAGTGCTCCTTCTTCAAGTTCAATGCGACGCCCTGTGAACTTCGTGTTCAGCCGACCGACTTCCTTCATCATGGAATTTCAATGCACAACTTACTCCATGACAATGGATCATTCCTTTCGGTGCCCCTGTGGTTCCAGAACTGAACAGGATAAGCATTGGATGACCAAACGCTAATGGTGTAAATTCAGTTGCGCGTTGACGAGCTCGTCCGAGAAATGAGGAGTACGTAGTGCTGACAACCTTCAGCGCTGCCACACATTTGTTATCATGCGTTGTCCATACCTTGGAGCCGGTTTTTGAACGCTTTTTGCGCTTGATTGCCGAAGATTCTGGACGAGGATCATCTCGCATGGTCCGATGCTCTCTCGTAGGGTTTGAACAATTCGAGCTGCCCGCATCGTACAATCGTAAAATTTGCCATTGTACTGATAGCCATCGACGGAGAAAAAGATCTTGGGCTTAATTTGAAGCAATCGGTCTAGGACAGCCTGTAATTTGGTCAGCGCTCGGAACATCACACAATCTCCCTACTGCGGACCTTCTCCCCCATATCACCCGCCAAAGAAGTGAAAACAGCGCCTATGGACGCAGTGGCCAGCAAAACAACAACTGCGTCTGGAGTATTTGATCCTATATCTCCATAAACTTAGTATGATCATTTCCCATGTCTGAAGCAGTCAGAGGACCTTACAGGCAACCACGTCCATTTCCCGGATTCCCGACGCTTCCAGAGCATCTGCAGTAGTCCTCACACGTTGCCGTAGCTCAGTCCACGAGATTGATTCAAACTGTCCCTCGCCCGTGGTCTCACAAAATGCCTTGAGGGCGGTGCCCTCTCGCGGTTGACCGAGCACATTCTCGACGAAATTCAGATATGTTCCTGGAAAGAATTCTGGAAATGAATCCATTGATGTCTTCTCGTCTACTGCGTAAACGAATGAGTCTGCTGACCAAGTATTTGATTTCAGATTGACTTATCGTGGTAGGAGGTGAGAAACATTTGATCTCCAGATACTCCCACATCAGCATCCAAAAGGAATTGAGCTCCCGGACAGAGAACGAGTGTAGTTCGTCGTATGAAGCTTGATCATCCATCAGTATTACCCTCACCGCCCTTAAAGTCAGTTACGTACACAATCTTATGTTCTTGCGAGCATTGACAAATCGACGAAACTTTTCGACCGGCAGGTGCGAAATATCGTGCGGAGGAGTCCAAGTTGGACTCTGTACTTGAGCTTGCGACATATTTCTCTACAAGTCTCTGCAACCTTCGAATTTCAACGTTACATGTATTTCAGGCGCATAGACGACGTCTTGGTCTCCATGATAAAGTATTTGTCGCCCTGGCATGACGCTTGTGTTGCTCGGGGAAAGATGTTCGGAGGGCGGGTTCAAGACGCCGACTTTGGCCGGAGGTATATTCGGTCACTTGTGCGAATTATAGTATTTCGCAGCATAACCGAAGGGTCCCAAATAAAGGCTGACGGAACTGGAACCAAGGCCAGTGGATTCATGCCAGACCGGCTCTCGCTTCTTATGCAATCCTTCCGAGTTTACGGAATGCAGCATTGGATTGCCATCCGAATTGGGAAGAAGTAGAGATTAACCAGCCAGTTCTCCCACTTGTCTTCCATTGTTGTTTAAATCCGCCCTGGGTCAGGCCTATCTTGTAAGAAACCAGAATACGTGATGGCGTCTGCCTCCTGGTTTGAGATCGCTCCCCAGTCTCCATTCTCGCTCGCCAATATACCATTTGGTGTCGCTTGCTTTCATGGTTCCGAGAAGCCAGTTACGACAGTGGCTGTCGGAGACCACGCCCTCAACCTGGCAATATTCGCGTCGAAAAATGGATTTTCCGAACTTGCTACAATTAAAGACCACCTTCACGTTTTCGACCAACCGACGCTGAATGAATTAGCTGCCCTTGGACGACATATTGCGGGAGCGGTACGCCGGTACTTGCAAGATATTTTCAAAGCAGAAACGCCTTTCCCGCATTTGTTACGGGATAACAAGGAATTGCGGAGCCAATGCCTTGTGCTGTTAACGCAGATTCAGATGCAGTTACCTTTCCAAATAGGGGATTTCAGCGACTTTTATGGTGGCATGAATCATGCTGTCAACGCAGGGGCACTATTCCGTGGCCAGAACGGAGCGCTTCTCCCAAACTATCTACATCTTCCAATAGCATATCATGGTAGATCGTCCTCGATCTTTGTCTCTGGAACGCCTGTTCGGAGACCTTGGGGCCAGGTTGTGGAAGACATAAATGCCACCCAGAAGAATCCCATTTTCGTTCCATGTCGAACAATGGATTTTGAGCTCGAGCTTGGTGCATTTGTTTGTGGTGGCAACAAGCAATCTGACAACATCTCTATCAATAACGCAGAAGAAAATATTTGGGGATTCGTCTTGCTGAACGACTGGTCAGCACGAGATGTACAGAGGTGGGAATATGTACCACTGGGGCCGTTCAATGGCAAGAACTTTGCGACGACCGTCAGCGCTTGGGTGGTCTTAGCCGATGCCATGGAGCCGTTCAGGAAGCCAGGTCTGAAGCATCCAGGAACCGTTTTGCCCTACTTACAGGAGGAACGTAAGGACTTCACATATGATCTGAACCTGCAGGTTCAGCTTGTCAGCGGCAAGACAAAGAAGGTGACAACCATTTGCTCTACAAATGCTTCTGAAGGGTTGGTCTGGTCTTTCCCTCAGATGTTGGCTCATCATACCATCACAGGGTGTCCGATGAAACCGGGGGATCTACTCGGTTCTGGTACGATCAGTGGAAAGACAATATCGTCTCTGGGCTGCCTACTAGAGCAGACACTGAATGGGAGACAGTCTATAAAGCTAGAGGGAGGAGAGGAGAGGACTTGGCTGGAGGATGGCGATGAAGTTATACTGAAGGGATACGCAGGGAACGAAAAAGATGGCTATGTTGGCTTTGGCGATGCCGCTGGCGTGCTTCTTCCACCGCATGAGCACAAATTGTAACGAATGTTCTACAAAAGCCTCAAAAATGACCCACGGCAGGCTTCAAAAGCTCACTCACCGGGATAGTTCACTAGTAATTTTGGTCCTGTTCAACCTTCATATCGAATCATGGCTAAGTGAGCACCCTGCATTCAATACCAGACAATTCTTTCCAGCCATGAGCCAGTCCAAGGTCAACCCCTCTGCTCTTTGTTCCATCATGTCTTCCGTCCGGTACAAAGAGCTATCTGTCAAACTGGGGGGGCAAATAGAGATGTATTGAATGCTCTCCCTCTTTGGCAACTAGTCCTACCAGATTGCCAGTATAACATCCTCGGTTGGCACCTTTCCAAAGTAAAGGGGTACTGGCCATTGTTCAACACTATCCCTCGGGCCACACGATCATTTTCTTCGGACGCTAACCGGGTGCGGAGTACATCATACACAGACACAGCTTGCCGAGCGAGTCTTACTCTCGGAAAATTCCGACCCCTGTCACCGAAGATGTTCAGCAGGTTAGGGAGCGTTGTCGTTTGGCAAAGGACTATGGTGGATGGGAGACTTTAAGTACACAGCGACACATACAGAAGGATATTGTTGTGCTTTATTGACCATATCTCAGTGTCGTCCATAAACAAGATGCCTTTCTCAAAGTTCAAGACTCCTGAGAAGTACAGATACAACACTGGCCTTGGATCGTATCAAGAGTAAGACCTCGCCAAAATCTTCATAATCGCAAGTATTGATCTGACAACACCAATAGATCTGAAGCCGTAGAAGGTGCTCTACCAATAGCACAAAACACTCCCCAACAGCCGCCACTGGGCTTATACACAGAGAAGATCTCGGGCAGTGCCTTCCAAGCACCCAGGAGCGAGAACCAACAGACATGGCTGTATCGAATCATCCCCGCGGCCGTGCATCAACCATTTGAGCCGGAAACCTCAGACGAGAGCGCAGGGCCAACGAAGAATTTCAATTCATACGACAACCTCATCCGCGTCCCGACCCAGGTGCGATGGGACCCATTCGACATCGACGAGAAAGCGGACTGGATCCATTCAATGCGCCTGCTCTGTGGTGCGGGGGATGCGGCGACGAAATCTGGTGTGGGGTACTTTATTTTCACGGCAGGACAGTCGATGGATCCGCATTCAGCCTTCTTTTCGACCGACGGGGAGCTCTTGATCATCCTTCAGACAGGGGTACTCGATATTAAGACTGAGCTAGGTCATGTTCTCGTGCGACCGTTGGAGATTTGCGTCATCCCCCGCGGGATTCGGTATAACGTGTCACTCCCTGAGGGCCCTGTTCGGGGCTACGCCCTAGAGCTTCATCAGGGGGTCTTCACTTTGCCGAACCTTGGCCCCCTGGGATCATTCAGCCTCGCGAATGCAAGAGATTTCCAGATCCCTGTCGCTGCATACGATGATGACACTAGCCACGAATACAAAATCATCAGTAAGTTCAACGGACAACTTTACGTAGCTAGACAAGACCACTCACCTTTTGACATCGTCGCCTGGCACGGGTCATATTATCCATACAAATATGACCTGGGCCGCTTTATGACGGTCGGAAGTATCTCATACGACCACCCTGACCCGTCGATCTTCACATTGTTGGCATCGTCCGAAGGCGTGGCAGAGCTCGCCATATTCCCACCACGTTGGCTGGTCATGGAGAATACATTCCGCCCGCCATGGTACCATCGAAACACCATGGCGGAATTCATGGGCCTCATTCAGGGTGAATACGACGCCAGAACGGATGGCGGTTTCCGACCAGGCGGCGCGAGTCTACATAATGTGATGGTGGGACATGGACCAGATGCCGCTACGCATGCGCGGGCGTCACAGACCCAGCTGGTTCCGGAAAAGGTCGGTGAGGGCAGCATGGCATTTGTCCTCGAGTCGAATGTCTTGCTGGGCTTGAGTGAGTGGGCGTGGTCCAAGTCGGACAAGAGGCAGTTGAACTATAATGCACAGACGTGGATGGGTTTGCAGAGCCATTTCAAGAAGCCAGCAACGGCGAGAGTGAACTCGCCTTTCCTTGCTGGTAGAGAAGAATTGAATGAGGTTAAGGCGGCAAGAGTGAATGGGCACTGAAGTTAGGCATTTAGTATCCGAGCAACTTTTATGCTTGAAATATCATTCATCATTCTCGTTGCACCACACTCTGGTTCTCACAGTAGACTTTTGCAATGAATGAGCTCTAAGAGGACTAAAGTTATAGAATGTATTTCGTCGCCCATACCTCAGAACTTTGCCAAAAAGCTTCCCAGCGCATAAGGCAGTGGAAAGCTATTTTGGCCCTCTCAACTTTACTCTCTCGCGGGAGAATGTTAGGTGTGTCCGAGTTCGCAGAGAAACGTATCAATCCAACGTTCCTGTAAGGAAGTCCTCACGACGTCCACATCTTACGCAAGAAACCCAGTCCATCCAATATATCTGCCGCCTACAGGGTGAATCGGAACTTTGGATCGTCATCGCCCAAGTTGTTCACTTCATCTGCGGGAAGATTGTACCTGTCGTCTCTCCGGCCAGCATCACGTATATGGTTCTCCCATCGGAGATAAAGGAGGAATCCCGTAGATGTCAGCATTCCGAAGATCAATAAACCAAGCCCAGTCCCAAAGCCAGTGTGATAAGTGGGTATTTCCGAAGGAAGGTAAATAAAGCTGGCAATAATACCTGCTATACTGCCGAATCCGACCTAAAACGGGATATCAATTACTTGAAAACCAATGACGCATTGGTCTCGATAACTGACCTGCATCGCGACACCGACTGCGCGTTTGTAGTGGCCGCCCATATTGTTGCTCAACCAGACGATGGTGATAGTCTGCGCGACGAAACCGCCGCTAGTAATGAGATATACCGCAAAGTATCGAGCACCCACGGGGACTTGATGCATGCAAAACAGAATTGCGTAGCCAATAATTGCCAGAAGACACCCCGCTAGAAGCACAATGTATCGTTGCTTCAGGAAATCAGAGATCAGCGCCGAGGTCAGCGTGAGCAATGCGGCTACAACGAAAACGGGGATTGACATGACCTGAGCTCGAATTGAAGTCCATCCTAACTGCTTGAGAATGGTGGGCGTGAAGAACACTACGCTGTAGGTCGTGGTAGTGATACCTAGGAACATGAAGATACTTGGGAGGTAATCAGCGTGAGCACTGCTGCACCAAGGGTTGGAACACACCCGAAATAGATCTTTGGGTCGCCGAAGGATCTCTTGGCGGCTTTCTTGTCCCACGAATTCATGGCGACACCTTCCACATCCAGGCGAAGACGATGTTCCAGGAGGGTCCGTTCTTGTTCGGTCAGAAATTTGGCCGTGTGAGGCCAATCAGGAGTGATGAAGGCGGAGACTATCGCAATTACAACTGTCGCAGCACCTTGAAAGGTATTAAGATCAGCTCGTCAGTTGAGAAAATTTTTGGATGGAAGAGCTTGCAGCCTACCTTCAATGATGAAGATCCATCTCCATCCGCTATAGCCTGCCCGGCCATCGAGGTGCGCGATACCGTATGCAAGCAGTCCTGAAAATGCGCCAGACAGAATCGAGGCACAGAAGAAAAGATTGACCCTGAGCTGGAGCTCGTGCCTTTTGTAATACCTACGCCAAGGTCAGTTTCATTCCCAAAGACATTTAAAAAGATTACTCACATGGAGATTAGGTACACAGCACCCGGAAAGAAACCTGCTTCGAAAATTCCAAGGAGAAAACGACAGGCCACAAAGCCACCATAGGACTGGGTCACTCCCTCTCCAATCGTGACGATGCCCCACGACGAGATAATGCCTGCGAGGTACCATGAAGGTCGAAGATTTTTCACGAGAAGATTTGATGGCACCTCGCAGAGGATGTAAGGTATGAAGAAGATGAATAATGCGACTGGCCAAATTTCGATCAGCGACTTGTCCTAAAAAAAAAAAAAAAAAGGAGAAGCAGGAGGCCCCGGGGGGCCGGGGGGTGGGTTGAGAGAATGTAGGCTTTGCAACCGCCACTGGAATTGGTATGACACAGAGATGATGGCTTGGGGATATGGAGGTTTTCTTACTGTTGAAGTCATCGTCTTTCATGTTCAAGTCCTCCTCCAGGCCCTGGATGCGAGCATTGCCGATGTTGACTCTGTGTATTTCTTAGCATCACCTCCTGTCACTTAACAAAATGACAAGCGTACCGGTCAATGAAAGCACAGAGATAAAGCACAAACAAGATCGGTATCAACCGCAAGTCAATCTTGCGCAGCAGTTTCTTCTCAGCAGCAGCGGGATCGATCGATGGCAGAACGTCTTCAATGGTCTCGCTAATATCCCTTGCATCTTTTTGGTCTCCACTTTCCATCTTGTCAAGCAATGTTGTCTTGTGCATGACTGTTGTGATGAGAGCAAAATAGATAGATGCGGGGTTGGAAAATACTTCGGTGTCAAGAAAGAATATCTCCCGACAAGCGTATGGCATGGTTCCAAACGGAAACAGGATATAGATCAATACCAGGATCGGAATGTTGGCGGAATGGCTCGATATTCTAGTCTGGATGATATTGACCGACCCGTTGGAGATGGGAATAAACTATCTAGGGGACACGAGGCTGGTAGTCACTTAGACAGTGGCGGCGAGTGGCTACTTTCTCAGTTATGGAAAGAACCTGTCTCCAAAGAGGCCTGGCGCAGGTCCAATGAGGAGAGCATGGGACCCTGAGAACCTTTTGGCAAGAGGATGAGGCAGCGGGGGCTTGCCCACGGGGGAAGAGCCGGACACATCGTGCAGCTTCCGAGCCTGCGGGTGCAGCAAGAGGACGAGAATACCATCTGGGCGCATAGAAATAGACCGCACAAATGAACCGCATGAATACTTCCAGAGGCAGCGGAATGCTCGGAGTGGTGAAGTTGGTAGAAGCCAGGCGGAACGGAACTGCGTGCGAACTATGGGAGACTGAAGGCGTGCCATGGCCCTAATACCGCGAACGGAGAGCTCTAGCGAACTTCAAAGTTGGCAGATATCGAAAGTCGACCCCGATGGGTGAATTCCCTAGATGGAGGGACATGAATGAGTGGAGTTTCAGGTCTCCCCACTCCGGAGTCAACGGGGTACATTTTGTGTAATTTGGTTTTACACCGCACCGTACAAGATAGCTACTCCCGAGCATTTGATGGCAAATGTCATTCGTTGTGAAATCACGGGTACGGAGTGGTGAATGCTGCACTCAAATCTCAAATCGAACGCGCTTTTGGTCAGCGTGGACTTGTCGTATCAGCCTCTGCGTTCACATATCAATATCGCTTCCCAAAGGGCTTTTATGCTCCCTAGATCGTGCCGTATCCTTGACGCCTGCGATCCGTAGCCAAATCTGCCCAGAACATCAAATTCGGCCTGCCTCGAGGCTCGTGAATCGTCACCCATCTCCAAGGGGACAGAAGAGCGAGTTGCAGACATGCTATCGTCGTGAAGATGTTCGTTTGGGGGCTTCCTTTGCATCCATGGCACACTCCTGACCCATGGCAGTCAAGACAATGATGTCTAATGAGAAGTCAGCATGCGTGATACATGACGCTACACCAAAGGAGCATTCTCACTGGTGTCATTTTCTTCAGTGCGGAACAGCTTCTCGATCTTTTCACCGACTTCACCCTCGGATATCTTGACATCGTCTTTGGTGGTGCCGTCACTAGATATGAGGGATGAGAAGTCATCGTCAGTGATATCGAGCTGTTGCCATATTAATCAACCACCACTTGGCCCTGTCTCTCGTTTTGCTCTTACCAACTGATATTCACGACAGGTGACATTCGGGACGTCCATGTCATGGGTGGTTAGGGAGAGATCTTCCACCTTGTTTCCAGTGAAAATATCGAGGGCGACCAACTATCACGAATCTTTATTTTCATCATGGATCTCCTTCATCCCGATCGTGGGAAGCTGAAGCGCTGCCAACAGTCAAGGGAAAATGTCTCCCTGGACGTATGTTCGTACCCGAATCAACATGACGATCTTCTTGCTGCCCGGGCTCGTAGGCTCGCAGGTTCGCGGCTCGTAGATGCGTATTCATTCCGAAGAGCTCGCCATCATGCGACGAGCACACTTGGATTGATGTGCAAGGCTGAACTGAGTCATGGATAGTAGCCATCATAGAGACGGGTAAGGGAGGTGACAATGGCAAGAAATGATACAGGTCAGTACCATATCCTCGACATTTGCTGCCGGACAAATCTGGAGGTGAACATGACTAAGACATGCTTGTTGACTACCGTATTTGCATTAGTCGGCCAAGGCGTTTTCTCCTCTTTGTGGCAATTGGCCTCGAGGGCAGGGCTCACGCGAGTGAAGACTCCTCTTCATCATATCACTTCGTTCATCTCCCTTCCTCTGTAATCATCCTGCATTCTCCTCAACCATTCATCTATGTCTCAATGACAGGATGAAATTTTACGAGAGCTCTTTCAACTATGATTACACTTTTCCTGCGGTCACCTTAGCGTATTTCCTCCGCTACCCGAACCCGTTTTCGAAGCACGTTCTGAGCTCCGACGTAATTGATCGTTATGTCGACCCCGAGACACAGCGACTTCATACCGTCCGACTTCATTTGAAGAAATCAAAGGTTCCCGTTGGAATCCTCAAATTTCTCCCTCGTGGTCTTGCTGGACCCGGGGGAGCTAGCCAAAGTTACGTTCTGGAAAAGAGTACAATTGACATGAAAGAGGGATGGATGGAGACGGAATCGAAAAACATGGAGTGGACCGGTATATTGAGCGTGGTCGAACGTCAAACCTACAAGCGTCAACGACTGTCTGAAATACCGAGCCCGATTCGCCCCGAGGATGAGTCTCAGCGATCAAAAGAGACGACATCATGCAAAACCGTCGTTACATTTGTGTCACATTTGGGTCAAAGCAAGCTCCTGGGCCGTAAGAAGCAAGAATACTCGACATGTGGAGAGGAAGAAACACCAAGGCAATCCTTGTTCTCTGCCTGGTCGACAGCTGGGATTCAGCGGACAGTAGAGCTAATCGGAGTTAAAAGGACAAAATCGGCATTACTTAATGGAAAAGAGGGAATGAATGTGGTGTTGGAAAGACTACGAAGCGGCGGCATCGTTGGAGTCCTCGAGGGCATGAGGCGTGACCGGATGGAGGCAATGGGCGGCGAAGGGCATTGGAAGCAGGTCTGGCTGCATCGCCGCGATCCCGGTGATCATGATACTGATTGAGCGGCCTCCATCACAAGCCTGGTCGAACTGATACTAATTTTGTACTACTACTAACATGTCTGCGATTTGAGCAAGGCGCTGGGGATTGAAAGCATCTTGCCTGCGAACGAGTCGGAAAACCATGTACTTTGAGTGTTGTAGCGCCAGGGGGTAAGCAGGTATGCAAAAATCCAAGTCCACTCAATACCTACTTGAGTCATTGAAATGATGTACTATTCTGAGATACCTAGTGAGAGGTCTAACATCGCAGCCTCACTTCGCTATTTCTCAGTTCCGCACCCGGGCCGGGTACCTGTGCACAGCGCAACCTATGCAGATTTGATTTCTGTACCTGAACAAACCAGAAGTCAGTCCCTCTTCCTGCAGGACTACCAGACCCTTGACAGCTGAATTCATCTTGGGGTGCCTCGTGACTTCGACGAGGTCGTCCTTCTTGCTCTCGCATCATTCCAATGCACTCCTTCCGCCTTTGATCAATAGTTACTCATTTTTGATGTGCTCTCAAGCCGCCTCTCTTGTCACTGTCTTTCAAGAGCTGCGGCCGCGATGGTCGCGATCACCTCAAAGTTGTGGGTGACAACCGTCACCCTCCTAGATTGCTTCAGAGGAGCTGAATCCGCCCGACGATTCAACCCACACAGCGACCTCAATGAGACTTTCCCTTTCAACGCCTCCGCCGCCGGTTGGTCGGTTCCTCTCCAAGGAAGCACGACCTGCAGAAGCGATGGAGCTTGTGGGTAGCCTCATCTGGTTCTCAAATTTCCGTGGCTGACGTTTTATAGGTATGGATATGCTCACAGCTCCCCCATCAGGCAGACCTCTCCAATGTCTCGTAATAGCTCTTGGTATCTACATCTCCGCCTGCACTGGCGGCCGCTCCCAGTGAGACGGCTGTCTTTCAATCTCAATCGACTCAGCTCTACAACGCTACACCTCTTATGCCTCGTCTTCCCGATGGAGACATATTCCATTCTCTTATTCCACATTTGTACGATTTTTAACTACTTGGAGCCCGAGAATTTAACACCGGACCGCATGGGAACAATCAGGACGAATAATAACACAGCAAGTGTAACTCTGTTCGACTTTCCTACGTTCGAAGCGCGTCCATACGAAATGATAGCGGTTACCGAACGATCCCGCAAACAATGGTCGATGGGCACGTTTAATGAGTCGTGGTAAATCTTGGGATCTTTACCAGGCTGAGGTTGCAGGTGGAGCCCCAACCTGTCTGTGGTGATGAGGTGTTCGCATATGAGGAAGAATATGCAGCAGAGTATTGGTCCTTCCATTCGGGAGGAGATCTCTAGACACCAATCGACAGTACCTCTGATGGAAGTCCGGCAGCTACCGACGCTTCTTTCATGATATGAGGGCATCTGGATAAGAGAGGAGATGAATTGAGTTAGCTTCAGAGGGTGTGTCAAGGACCTTGGAAGGAGAATGTGGTAGATGCTTCGCATTTCATGACATGTCCCCCGTTCCAGATATGACGAGAGGCAACCCGGCAGGGGATATGTCGAGTAATACCAAGGGCTGCCATGCCAAATGTGTTGTCGAATTATTCCTCCGCCAAGGGTACGCATCGGATTTTGTGCTAGTCTAACGGGTCTAATCATCGATGTTTGCCGAATTCACGAAACACATGGGCCCTCAAGGAGATGAATTTCCTGACGTCCTCCGTACCTCGGTGTGTGTTAAAAGACTAACCTAATCTATGAAACAATCATGGCCGTTTTAAATATAGGTGCACTCCTTGGCATCTTGGCTAGAATCAAGGGCCTAAAAAAGCGACTAGCCGTCATGGCAAAGTGGACTTTGTCACGCCGGAGCCCCTCTGTGCTCGGTTTGCGCTGTGATATCTTTGGTAACGAGTTAGTATCAGCCTTTTTTGCTCACGTCCTCCCATTTACAGCGTTTGTGATCTATCACCAGTCTATATATTTGATCCTCACCGCCCAATATCAAAACCGGTGCTGGGCACCAAGTATCTCATCCGGATCCGGAGGCGTATTCGCCCCATTGTCCTTCTTTCAAAGGGTGCTACACAGCTGAGATGCTTCAACATCATTTCGGCGACTACTGGTGCAGCAAATTATCGTCTCAGCGTCGCATTCTCAACACCCAGATCCTTCAACCCTCCCCTCCCCCAACCAGAAAAAAGCGCAGACAAAAAAGAGACCTGCACCTCCGTGCCTGAAATTCCAACATGGCCTCCGCAATCAACGACGATGAGCTCTCCATCTCCCTCCCTCAGAATGATACCAACCGGTCGAGACCATCTCTACCCCCAGTTGTCTCTCCACCGACCCGCCCTAGCCTGAGTCCGACGCCGATGGCTGAATCACCGGGAACCATTCGAGCCATGAATCGACTACATCAATACAGCTTTGTCCGCAACATCGGCGAAGGCTCATTTGGTAAAGTCAAGCTAGCAAGACACAAGGTGACTGGTCAAGAGGTTGCTATGAAGACGATTAGCCGACGGAAGTTGATCAGCCGCGATATGGCTGGTCGGATAGAACGCGAGATACAATACCTCCAGCTCCTTCGGCACCCCCACATCATCAAATTGTACACTGTCATCACAACCAAGACTGACATATACATGGTACTAGAGTATGTCCCCATGGAGTTATTTGACTACATTGTTAAGCATGGTCGACTGGGAGAAGCCAAGGCCCGCAAGCTGTTCCAGCAGATTATATGTGCGGTCGAATATTGTCATCGACATAAGATCGTGCATCGAGACCTGAAGCCGGAGAATCTTCTCCTCGACAAGAATATGAACGTCAAGATTGCTGACTTTGGTCTGAGCAACATCATGACGGATGGCAATTTCCTGAAGACCAGCTGTGGAAGTCCGAACTATGCCGCGCCTGAAGTTATTGGCGGAAAGCTGTATGCCGGTCCGGAAGTCGATGTTTGGAGTTGTGGAGTCATTCTCTACGTATTCCTCGTCGGTAGACTCCCATTTGATGACGAGTTCATACCGGCCCTATTCAAGAAAATCCAGGCGGGCACTTTTCACATCCCTTCACAAACTCCGCCAGGCGCAGTGAACCTGATCAAGCGATGCTTACAAGTGCATCCTGTGCATCGCATTACCATTCCTGAAATTCGACAAGATGAATGGTTTGTCAAGGATCTACCGGCGTATCTGGTCGATCCGGTCGAAGAATTCCTTGATACAGGTGTTGACCCGAGCAAAGCAATTGACCCTAGACAACTCGCACCGGGAAAACCACCCGAGGTCGTTGAAAGAATCCATGAACAAGTGGTTGGAAAGCTCGGTCGTACTATGGGTTACGCAAAAGAAGATGTCAAAGATGCCCTGAGCAAAGACGAGCCAAGTGCCATCAAAGACGCATATCTCATTGTGAGAGAAAATCAACTGATGATCGACACTCCGCAATACCGTTCGGAAAATCCAGAATTGGAGTCATTCATGGCTTCATCGCCTCCAGTCGAGCCGAATTATCCCAACTTTCCTGGTTCGCCAACTGGTGGACGCAGGATCCAGGATGACGTGAAGCCGCTGACTCCCACTCGGGCAGATACGCACCGCACGAGCCGTGCACTATCTGATACCCCCGCTGCGCTCAAAGAAGAGGAAAAGCCGAGAATTTCAAATGTTCGCGTTTTGAACACATCACTTCCTCACGTCCACGAGGAATTACTCCAAATTAGAGAAAAGGCAAAGATGAATGGCGAGGATCCTGATTTAGTTCTGCACCCTTCGCAAGATCCCGATAAGAAAGACGACACCGGAAGCCCCATTCCAGAAGAAATCAAGGACGAACAGGGAAATCCCATCTATAGGTCCAAGGAAGAGCAAGAGGCCACTTCAAGAGCATTGAAGCCGCATTCAAGGTCGGTGACAGCTCTCAATTCTCTGAGAGATCAGAAGAGTCGGCCTGAAAGCATGACGGCTATTCCACAGGAGGAAAAGCGACCTGCAGCTCCCAAATCGAAGCCACGAAAATGGCAGTTCGGTATCAGGTCGCGAAACGCACCCTATGAAGCGATGAAGTGTCTGTATTCAGCTCTCAAGGCTCAGGGTGCTGAATGGGAAGTCAACCCATGGCTCAAACCAGAAAGTATGCCAGATGGAGAAGATGAGAAAGACAATATTCCACCACCTCCGCCTGAATTGGCCCCGGGTGAACGCCACACCATCCTGCAACAAAAGTATTCATTTGTCGGTGAGGATTACTATGTGCCCCGTGATCCTTGGAACATTCACGCTCGAATCCTGAAGAGGGGTATGTTGATGCCCGGGGAAGGACCATCTCTCTCCGCCCACAGTTCGGCTGTCAGCCTTCCAGCCGAGGCTCAAAATCAATTGAAAAAGCATATCGAGCAACTTGGCGGGTATGCTTCGGAAGATGTGGCAAAGGCGCTAGGGATGAATGGAGCCAATGCAGGACCATCCAAGATCAAATCTCCACCTCCAGGGACTCACGGCGCGAAACCAATGAGTACAGGAGGCGAGCAAAGTGGTCTTCAGAATCAGGACGCGTTCACCGGACCAGGACAGCCAAGTAGCAGACCGGAGAGCCTCTCAGCACTGAACAAGAAGATCCCGAGCGAGAACATTGGAGTCTGGGTGTTCATCGACATTCAGCTGTATTGTCTTGAGAGTCAGACGTATGTGGTTGACTTCAAATGCGATGGATATCAGAATGTCATCTGGCACGACTTGAAAAAGGAAAGAGAGAAGAATAAGACACCCACAAGCAGCAGTACGGTGACCAGTCCATCAACGAGCAGACCAGCTAGTGGATTCGGGGAAATCAGTCACCCGAGTTCGGTTCAACTAGATGTAGAGGAGTTGGATGGCTATTGGAAGCCGGTTAGCAAGCGATACAAGAATGTGGAGAAGGAAATCTCGAGCCCCTATCCATATCTGGATGTGGCTAGTGATTTGGTTGCACAACTCGTAAGTCTGAGTATCAGTGATGCAGAACGGTCCTGACTGAACTTTCATAGTGGGGCGGCGCGGCTTGATCCTCATCTTGCACGACTTGACACGATTCATGACGGATTACGATCTATTCAGCAGCGCAGAGAACATGGGCATCGAGTGGCGTGAAGGTAAATAGGGGAATGGATACACTTGGGCTCGAAACGGGATGACTGATAGAACACAGGTGTCATGTTCTGATTCGGATGCTCGTATCAGTTCGACGATGAGGGATGTCTGAAAAAGAGGCATATTGTAGATAGCTTTGAGGGCCTGAGATGGAAAATTTGGATGCAAATCTCACCTTTTGATCCTCAACCGTCATCCTCAGCCTTTTTGACAGGACCAGAACATCTGCATCTTCTGATCAGGCGGCGCCTTGAGAACACACATTACGTCGCTTCCCACCAAAATACACCCGCTAATCGTGACGTCTAGTGGCTTTGATGTAGAGAGGTAGCGCAAGCCTCTCCAAAATCCATTGATGGTAAGAGGTTCAGTTCTCGACCTTGAACGAAGATTGAACACGCTACTCAGCCAGCGCTCTACCAATATCGTTATCAAGCGAGATTGGTCAGTAGTAATAAGATACGTCATGGCATGGCCGCCCGTAACGACAAGAGCTCAGTATCTGACTGCGCTGTCCCCAAACGGGAAAGAAATTCGTCGACGGTACATGGCGCTGCAACTGACAAAAGATCCGCAGATAGGGCGAGGACCCAGCTAGCGGTGGAATATGCCTTGGCCTTGCGCATAATGGCCGAGTTTCCTAGTGACCCTAGCATAGACACTTATAGGTTGTCGACCTAAAATTTCGGCACCTCGTCGAGATATAACGCAGAGATATATCGATGAATTGATCTGATCTGGCATATAGGTAGTGCATCTGAGAACGGGTTGTCTCGATCCTTAGACCAAACACGAAACACGGAAGTATATCTCGCGCCGGGGGTGTATTTGACAACCCTAATTCGATCACGTTGGAATTCACCAAGGGGGAATCCTCTATCCTCAAATATGGTCTGCATTTCTGACTTTAGTATAGCTAGTGGGCAGCAGAAGCACGAGGCTCGCGACATAAGCAATCGTTGGGTCCATGCTGAATCTCGTACTTCTGCTGATCAATATTTTGATGCCACACAGACGATGTCCTTGCACAGATCGTGTACGACCCCAGTCTCGAAGGCAGGAAGGATGCTCTTGTAATACAGACCACTGGTATGGAGCCCGGTGCCAATAAGTTCGATGAGATTAAGGCAGCATTGGCGCGGGCCCAATCTCTTCCGAATAGCCCAGATGTGAACAAGGATATATTCCTGTGTCATAGAGGCACCAAGAACAGAAACCCAAAGTGTATTCGTGAAAGGTTTCGACTAGCATGGCGGCAAGAACCTGGTGCACTGCTTGAGGCATGATTGACGGCGAGAACCCCATCTAGATCCGAAAGAACAGAGGCTGCTGCTCTTGGGCAACGGAAAGGGTGGGCGGCCCGAAATTCATTTCATTCTTAGGTCTTCTGCTTTATTCGCAAACTCCTTGAGAGTGGTCGTACGATGATGGACCGGAGCTCTTGTTGTGGCTCGCTGCGTTTTGCGGTACGAGATCCTGCGTACCTGAATACAGGCCTGTCCAAGGCCTCTTGGAGAAAATACCGAGTATGGATCCAGGTGTAAACAAAGAGCCCACAACAACCCGGATGCCTCCGAAATTGCATGTTGGAATGTTGTGGCGAGGAATGAGTTCGATCGTTTTCCATGCATGTCTCTGCTAATCTTCCAGAGTCGCGAATAGATCTCCTTTGCATAGAGCATCGATATTCCAGCCTTGCCGTTGATCGTGGCCGAAACCTTCGGTTGTCGTAGTCTAGGCATGGACGGCTTGTATGAGATCACGCCGGCTGGTAGAGGGATAAAATCCATTGGCTGGTCTTGTATGCCGTGGATGCAGGTACATCATCAGAAAGTAGGTACCTAGAAGCTGTGAGAATAAGGCCTGATGTACACGCGTCGAGTCCATTCGTTGCTGCGTCGCCAAGCTTCAAGATGAACTATAACGGAACCTCAAACTTGATTCATCCCATTGACAAACAACGACCTTTCATCCATCATATCTAACAATTTGATTCCTCTACCACCCATCCATGGACTTCCCTGACCAAGCATAATCACGCCAGGAACCGGAACCAAACCCATCATGGGCCTCACCTCGAAGCTGAAATCTTGGTCTCAGGAGCTCACTCCGTATTTCATCTACCTTCTGTTTGTCGCGACTCTCGGCCCTCTGCTCTTTGGCTACCATCTGGTAATATTCCTGTTTAATTTCTGATCCCCAACTCCCTCCAAGATCTATACTGACGCAAGAAAAAGGCCGAACTCAATGCCCCCCAGGATGTCATTACATGCACAAAGAAGTCCATCACATCCAAAAAGCCTCCCTCATCCTCCGCCGGCTTACCACAATGTATCCCCATGAACGCGACTCAACTCGGACTCGTATCCTCCATTTTTACGCTGGGCGGTCTTGTCGGTGCTCTTGCCGCTGGCCCCTTCTCAGCCCGATACGGCCGCCTTGTCGTGATGCGAGTCAACACTTTTCTCCTCGTGCTAGGCCCCGTCGCTGAAGCTCTTGCCCCTAACATCGGCGTGCTATCGACAGGACGATTCATCTCTGGTCTGGGCGCCGGCGTCTCCGTGGTCGTTGTCCCCATCTACATCTCGGAAATTGCCCCTCCGAAGGAGAAGGGCTTCTTCGGCGCATTCACCCAAATCATGACGAACATGGGCATCTTCACCACTCAGGTTTTGGGCTACTTCCTCAGCCATGGACAAATGTGGCGCGTGATCCTTGCCGTTGCGGGCATGCTAGGTGTCCTGCAATGTCTAGGGCTTGTTTTGGCGGTGGACAGTCCCCAGTGGCAGGCTGATCACGGGGATCCGAGACAGGCAAAGGCCAATCTTAAGAGGATTCGAGGGCACGATGCGGATATAGATGAGGAGGTATCTGGGTGGAGGGCCCAGGCTGTAGAGGAGGGAAATGGTTTGTTCTTATTTGTCCCCTATTTTGCTGAAAGCTGATGTTGACACCTAAGCAGAAGAACAGCAAACCCTCCTTATTAACACTGACCACATCTCTCACACACACACTCACACCTCACCTCGTCCAGACCTCTCCACTGTCAAGCAAGAACCTCTCGGTATACTCGCGGTTCTCCGATCTCCAACCCACAACCGAGCCATTCTCGCTGTCATGGTCGTCATGATCGCCCAACAGCTTTGCGGCATCAACAGCATCATCATGTACGGCGTATCCCTCTTAGCTGACTTACTGGCGAGCAATTCGGCACTGTTGAACATCTTCGTCAGCATACTGAATGTGGTGGCGACGACGGGGTTTGCACCGCTTGTGGATGTGTTGGGGAGAAAACCGTGTATTTTGGCTTCGATTGGTGGAATGGGGATTTCGTCTGTGCTCCTGGCTATTGGAATTCAATCTTCGATTCCGATCCTCTCGGCGATATCAGTGCTGCTCTTTGTGGCAAGCTTTGCATTTGGACTTGGTCCTGTGCCCTTCATCCTGTCTTCTGAGCTGGTCGGATCAGAAGCGGTGGGCGCCACACAGTCCTGGGCTTTGGCGGCGAATTGGATCTCGACGTTCATCGTGGCTCAATTTTTTCCCATGGTCAATGAAAGGCTGGGGAAAGGAGTTGTGTATTTTGTCTTTGCCGCCATTGCGGGTGCTTTCTTTGTTTTTGTCTCATGGTATGTGCCCGAGACCAAAGGCAAGAAGGATGTCGACGAGGTTTGGGGAAGGGTGCCGCGGCGGGAAGATTGAGGGGGTATGACCCGATTTTATAGTTGGAATAACGGGCTTTGAAAGTCCTCTAAATATATGCTTCATGGTTCCGTCGCTATCGCCTCCATCCACTGTCGGCGAAGTGACCAAACACGACCTGGTAGGCATTGCAGGGGCAAAATTGGTGCCAGGAAGCCATTCTGCCCCATTCCATACATGCAATTAAAGCCATTCGATTTGACGAGGTTGGGGAGGCACAACTTTGATCGTGTACTGTATATACATACAACAACAGCAATTGTTCAACTTGGGTTTAGCTTCAAGTCGCCTAGCAACAGGATTTCCGCAACTGACTGCAACACGCGTATTGCACCTTGCTTGCATCCAAGTGTCTTGTACTTTGATTTGTATCTCGGGCATTATAACGATCAGCACTGATTAAACTGTCAACACTATGGATAGTGAAGAAACGGCCGGCACGAGAAATGTTTGGTCACCTTATCAAGCCCCGTCGCACCCTGAGAAACCACCTCCTACCTCATGCAAACCGATCCGAATTCGACACCCAGTCTATGAAGATGATTGCAATAGCCTTCTCATGCTCTGGCCATTGGACAGCGGCGGTGTTCACTATGGGACCGTACGAATAGCTTGTGCTTTTCTGGCCGATAACGCGTGGGATGGCTATCTCTCCGTGGACAAGGGTGGGGTGGCATCCTGTTGACGTGGGACCAGACAGCATTCTTAAGAGCGAGTCTTATTATTTTCATGTGGCACGTCCCGATGAAAGTTGGTCTGATTCTATGGTTGTGCAACCCAAGAGTAACTTACAATGAACAGACAAGGTGGTCGACTATGCCATTATTCCTACCTTCGAACACTGGCGATTTCCCCACGACAACCTCCGATCCTACTGGGAAGATATTGCATCTTTCAATCGAGCATCACGACCTTCAGACGACACGTCCTGTAGGATTACGCAATATGAAGACTCGGTCGAGAGTGCCCATCTAGTCCCTGCTGCACAAAGAGAGTGGTTTGAGAGAAATGAGATGCACCGACATTGCCGTCCACTGCCACTGATAAAATGGGACATCCGAGCAATGCAATCCGCCTCAGGAGCGACATCCACACCATCTTCGATGCCAAGCGCTTCGCTGTCGTGCCCGTAGAAAAACGCCTCGTGGTGTACTGCTTTAATGAGCAACCGGGCTCCCAAGTCGAGCGTCTCTACCACGGCGTCGAGCTCCACAGGCTGCGTGTTTCAGGCCTCTTCAACCACTTTCTACTGGTCTGTTTTGCGTATACAGTTTTTCGAGCATTTGAGGAATTTCCTCATTAGACATGCGTCGAGAAAGCTTCGCCTGCGGGTGCAGACTAACTGGACGATAGAAGAATGCGATCATGACAAATGTCAGGCGTATGCAAGAGCCACCGTATCTCAGGGCAAGTCAAGAAGCGTAAGTCCCAAGAAACGACAAAGACAGCAAGACGTTGAAAAACTAGACCATGCTGAGGATGACCGGTCAGACGAAGAAATGGTGAGAGGAAGGAAGAGACGTCACACCAACGAATCCAGCTCCTGGTCGCCATCAGTCTCCTTTGCCAGTACTCGTCCTTCTGTATCCGTGGAAACGCCCGAAGAACCCCTTCTGCCAGTATTCTAGAAAACCAGCATTGTAATTTCTGGCTGCAAACAAGACGAAGAAGAAGGCCAGCGTCATCCATTTTAAGGTATTGACTATACAGGGAATAGGAAGATGATTCAAAGGTCTCTTATTTGCCTGCAGCAACTGTATTCCGTTGCCACTTCACGCAAATGAGATCTCAGGTGCAAGACATGGACACGCGCCAAAGACACTTAGGACAAAGTCTCGTATTTCAAGCGGACTAGACTCTCCCGACGGTAACGAGGAACTCAAAGCCTTTTGGAGAAGACGTGTAGAAGAACGCGTCAGAGAATGGCTTTCTTGAGATTCCGGACGGATGGATAACTTGGTGGGTTAGTGGTGAGGAATGAAAAAGAAATTAATTCAGACATCGATCCGTAGACCCCCGACAATGCAAGGATAGAATCTAGCTTTTCTGATGATATCTATACCGAAGCTTGTGCACAGGTGACACTCAGCTTGGCCTCAGCTTGGCCTCAGCTGGCCCCTTTTACAGCTTGGACCACCAATGAAAGATTGGTGATGTAGCCCTGCTTGTCTGTATGAGGTACGGAATCCGACATAGCCACCTCGGACCACCCAGATTTCGTCTTCCATTCTTCACCTTCAAACGGCCCAGCTTACTATCCTCCCGTCTTCCTTCGACCTACGAAAAGAACAATATTGCTCAGGCTGGTGCCCAACTTCCACTCATCACTCCTCTCCCCAAATCTTGAAGCGGACACGCCGAGCCCTTCTCAATCGGCCTCCCGAACATCTTTCCTCGAGAATGCCCGCTCAGAATCAATTTTATCTCTCATTTAACTCGTGGGCGCCTGTCTGTCCCGTCTTTGGCGATACCATCTCAGACACCGAAATGCTTTGGCCTGGCTTCAAGTCATGCTTACCTATTGAACCGGCCCGATAATTGATAACCCTCCGAGTACATAAGATATGTCTGAGGTATCTCATCCCGCTAGGAAGAAGGTTTGGCATCCCAAGGTCTTCTCCGGCTGCATCAAGTGCAAACAGAGGCATGTGAAATGCGACGAGAAAAAGCCAGCCTGTCTGAGGTGTATCAAACTCGGAGTCAAATGCCCTGGCTACCGGCTCCCCGTCCCGCGGATCTTTGATATACGACCCCGGCCGAGATTCGACACGGAAGAGGATAAGGTCAGTTACGATTATTTCGTCACCAGCGGCTCGAAAGTTATCTGCAATTTTCAGCAGAACTCGTTACAATTCTGGACGCGCCTCGCACCACAACTCGCCGAGACGAACGACGCAGTCAGACACGCTCTGGTTGCCCTTGGTGCCCTTCAGGAGCCCTTACATCGCGTTACAGTCGACCAACTCGCCACAAACCGGCGACCAGAAATATCTCCGTTAGCTATCGCTCATACGACCAAAGCCATCCATCAGATGAGAATTGCTGATCCCAAGTCCCTTTGTGTTGAAGTCGCCGTCTCATGCTGTATATTATTTTTGGCACTGTCGATCTGGATGGAAAAGACTGCAGGCCCCCCCATTCACATTCTGGCTGCTCACCGTATTCTGAAGGAAAGCACCGGCGACAATACAAATAATTCCCGCTCCAAGAATAATGATCTATCCAGAATCTACGTGCCTATGGTTGATGGGTTGATAGTTCACGCATGCACCTTCACGGACCAGTTTCCCCCACCAAGCTCGGGAATCCCGCCCGACTACCTACTCCAATACGGATTGGATGGCATTGGTGCAATGTCAAACATGCCTGAAGCCCTCCATGCCATCAACACCCTTCTCAAATCCGTCCTTCGAGCCACATATCATGCCGATACCACTTCCAATGCCGTGACAAGGTCGATATCATCCGCAATCTCCTGTTATGGCCGGAAGTTGGAAGACCTCCGTGCTGCGAATAAGTGCTCGGAAGACCTGGAAAGGTATTATCAACTTCGACTACACCATAGAATGGCGTATTTGATGTTTCACACACTGGGCCATGATGACGAATGGATCTATGACGGCCATTACGAGGGATTCTACTTCATCCTTGAACAAAGCAGACGCATTATCAAGCAACGAGACACGACCTCCGCTAAGACCACATCTGCCCTCAACCCAACGTTTGGCTTGATACCACCTCTATTCTTCGTCGCCACCAAATGCCGAGATTCTCTCCGTCGTCAAGCTCTTCAGGCCTTGCACAGCGTCTTTCGAAACGAACGTGGCTGGACCAGCTGCATGGCCACAACAATTGCAAAATTCGTCATTCAAGAAGAAGAGCAAACCGTTGACTATATCTGTGAAGAGCAAATATCTCGGCCTCAGCGACGCATTCGATTGGATCAAGTCGAATTCTCAAGCGCACAAAGAAAGATGCATCTAAAGTACACCATGTTCACGAAGAAAGGAGCGGCTGGCCAGCCTCGCTCGACTAGGATTCCATATTGCCCGCATCCATCTGTAGAGAGTGACGGCGTGACTAGTGATATGTCACGAAAAGTTTTAAGAGCCTGTGGATATACGAGTATCATTCTCTTCACGCCGCCTATTGAGTGCCATTGCCCGGCTTTCCAGACCAAAGGACCGTTGCCGAGAGCCACCAAAGCCGGTTTAGAATCGATAAATCTAGACGAAGTTCGTTGGCTCCAACTCACGGAAACACAATGAAAATATCATCAATTCGGAGGCCGCAGAGGCCCATTGCAAATACCAAATACCAAATACCGAAGAGCCACGGAGAACTGAGAACTGCCTAGCGCATTGTCACCCACGGACCACGGCCAATCCCTGAATTCATTTGCTGGACAACGCCCGCGTCCATCGGCATTCTAATGCCAATGATTGTGCCACATACAACGCAAATCAAATCCAGGCCGATATGCTGAATCTGCAGAAAACGCCTCGTCATATCGTATATACATTCATCCGCTATCCTGCCACCTCATCCATTATCGAATTGGCCCTGGCATCGTCCCTCTCCCATCGCCATTCGTCATTGTTCCTCGCGCTTGGTTCTGAATTTGATTCGGATTCTGATTCTGCATGCCCAAGGCAAGATAATCCCAATTCTCAACCGTCACGCTCTTGGTCATATGATTGACCTTGTAGATACCCACGAGCCGCTCCGCAAGTTCAAACATGTTGTTCCGCAGCGAAATGACAATGAACTGCGCATTCTTGGTACGCTCCTTGATGTACCCGGCCACAATCGAGACCTGTTGTTCTTGAAAGTTAGCAAAGGTGTCAGAGAGGTAAAAAAGAGTCAGAATGGAGACCGAGAATACTCACATTCCGGAAATCCAGTGCGGCATCAATTTCATCCATCACATAGAGCGGAGTGGGCCGATAGACATGCAAGGCAAACACCAATGCCAGCGAACTCAACGTCTTCTCTCCACCAGACAAGTTTCCAATATTCTTCCAGCTCTTCTTCGGCGGCATGACAGAAAACAAGATTCCCTCCGAGAATGGATCCAGACTGTCCACCAGCTCCAATTCCGCATTGCCGCCCAGTGTTATGAGCTGGTACATCGACTTCAAGTGCGAGGAAATGGTCGTGAAGCCAGTCATGAACTGCGTCAAACGCAGGTTCCGTAGATCAGTCAGCCGGGCTTTGGCGGCATCTCGTGTCTTGACGGCGTTTTTGAGGTCGCTAGTTCGGGATACAACTTCCTTGCATCTTCTGCGATACTCGGCAATCACCGATAGATCGATGCTCGAAACGTTTGAGACCTTTTCTTCAAGTGCCGCAATGGACGCCACAAGATGGTCTTTGGATTTGTCGAGAAGTTCATCACGGGTAAATGTTTGCAGTCGCCTCCTGGTCGGTTTGGCCGGTGACTCTGTTTTCTCGCTCCGGCCTTCTTCCTCGTCGATGTCCATCGCGTCAGGATCTACTTCGGGAGGAGCATCCGGCATTTCCTCTTCGTCATTTGGAGGTTCTGCCTGCTCTTGTTGTTCTTGTTCTCGTTCTCGCTCTTGATCTTGAGGCGTGTCCTCCAGGTCAGCAATATCATGTAAGGACAATTTGGACAGTTTCTCAGCCCAATAACGGCTTTTCTTGTTGTTGTCTGCCAGAACCTTTTGGTTCTCTTCGAGTTTGTTCTTCATCTCAATCTCGAGTGCTCTTGTCGAGTTCAGTTCGGAGGTGTGGGCATCGAGATCTTTCTTCAAAGCTGCAACTTCCTCTTTCATCGTCGCTTGTTCTTCCTGAGCTTGGTCTGCTTGAGCATTCAGCTCCGCAGCGCCGGATTTGTGCTTCTCAATATCCTCTTCAAGCCGTTCCAAATCCTTTGATAATGACTCAAGCTCCTTCTCCGCATCCGCCTTTGCCTTTTCGTTTTTGATCTTCAGCTTTTCGTTCTTCGTTTTGGCCACCTCAGCACTGGAGATATCATCATTAAGCATATCAATTCTTTCTTTCAAACCATCGACTCTGGCCTTCTGCGTTCGAAGTTGAATTCCGCCCACCTCCATGATCTTGTCTTGCAAAGCTTGAATCTCGGCCTCCACACTGGCGGTTTCAGCATGCAATTTCTCAAGCTCTCTGTTCATTGCCGCAATCTGACGCTCGAGTTCCTTGATCTGAGGATGATCAGCTGAAGTGCCAGCATGTTCTGCAATGAGATCTTGAACTCGCTTCTGTGCATCTGCAAGATTCCTCACGCAGTTCTCAACCTCCAGATTGATTTTCTGGGTGACTGTTTCAAGCTGTGGTATTTCCTGCTGCTTTTCCCGCAAACTAGCCTCGAGTTCCCTCTGTCTTGCTTGAAAGGCTTCAAATTGCTTCTCCAATTGGTCTCGTTCATTTTCAAGTTTCTGCACTTGTTCCTTTGTCGTATCAGAAGACAACTTTGACGACATCGCACCACGCGCAACGCGAGTGCCACCACCACTCATCGTACCTGAGACGTCAATCAATTGCCCATCAAGGGTGACCACTCGCCATCTCTTAGTGCCATAAGCAATGCGATTTGCTTGTTCAAGATCTTGTGCAACAAGCGTATTTTGCATGACACTATAAAACGCTTGGGCAAATCGTTGATCTTTGGGCCGGACGAGGTCGAAAAGACGGGGGACGCTTTCGGGGGTTTGAATTGGGGAGAGGTCTCGACGTGCCAACTTATCCAGCAGGATGAAGTTGGCTCGTCCAAGATTATTCTTGCGCAAGTACTCGATGCATTGTTGACCAACCTCGACATTATCCACCACCATGTTCTCCAGAGAAGGACAAGCTGTTGAAATGGCAACATCAAACTTCTCATCGATAGTACCCAGATTTCCCAGACGACCGTGGAAGCCATCGATCCGACCCGAATCTTTCAGACGGAGCAACCCTTTCAGAACGTTGCTTTGATTTTGGCTCGTCGCGAGGCTCGCACGCGCCTCGTCAGCTTTTTGTCGAGCGGAAGAGATCTGTGATCGAACTTCTGGCTCACTCGCAGCAAGTTTTTGTAGAGCATCTTGGATCTTCTTGACGTCCTTCTCTAAACGTGCTTTTTCATGCTTTCGTTGCTCTATTTCTTCGAGCTTCTCCGATCTGTTGGATTCGATGATTTCAATCTTCGCGTTGGCTTGGTCAATGGCTTTTTGTCCGCTATTCGCTTTCTCTTTGAGAATGTCGAGCTCCGACTGAGCCACCGCTATTGCAGACTGCTTCTGATTAATCTTCTCGCTCCAGGGTTCCAAAGACTTCTGCTTGGCGGCAATCTGGTCCGATAGACCCTGAGTCTTGCCTTTGAGATTATCCCTAATCAGAGCCAGCTCCTGCTCCTCTCGCTGCATTTTCTTTTCGAGATCAAGAACTTCGGCGCCTTTTCGCTGAATGTCATCTGCGTGTTTTTCAACCAGACTTTGAGCTTCAGAAGCCCCCAGTCGGCTGGACGTGGCAAGCTTATCCGCCTTTTTCTGCTTCCCGCTGATGAATTTTCGCTTTTCCTCAAATTTGACATTTTCTTTGTCACATTTAGCTAGTTCGTTGGTGAGCGCCTGGGCTTGTTTTTCGACGCGTTCATACTGCTTGATGGCGCTGTGGTAAGCGGTTTCGAGTTTTTGGATAGCCTCCTCGTTTCCAGCGTGCTTTTCGAGTTCGGCGTTGAGTTGTTCCTGGATTTGTTGGATGGCCTCCTCGGTCACCTTGTTATTGTCCTCGCACTCGGCCATGTAGATTTGGTACAGTGCAGACTGTTTCTCTGCCAGCTCGTTCTCGTCTCGAATAAATGCCAAAGCTTTGTTCTTCTTATCTTCAAGGCCATTCTTTTCTTTTTCAACATGTTGGACACGTCCCTGTTTCTCGATACAGACCTCGTTGAGACTTTCGAGCTCGACAGCTGCTTCTTCGATGGGAGTCTTGTACTTCGAGGTTCCGATGATGTCTTCCAGATACTCGAGCAATCCATCATCATGCTCATTGGCTGCTTTTGGTTTCATCTGGGCAATCGACTCGACTTCGCCTTGCAAGATCAAAAATCGTTTGTGGTCCAGGTCGATACCTTTGTCTTTCAGCAGTGTTGTCACAGTGGTGAAGTTTGTACTTCTGCCATTCAAATAGTAGTTGCTGGAATTATTTTTGAACGCTTTCCGGGAAATCACAAGCTGTGAATCGGGAACCACTTCGTGTTTTCCTCCGGGTAAATCGATGATTTCTTGGAAGTAGACCTCGACTTCACAATATTCCAAGTCTTGGTGTTGTGCAGAATTGTGGATAAGTGCTGATATTTTGCCCTGTCTCATTTTGCTCGCTCGGAAACCAAAGACGAAAAGTAGAGAGTCGATCACATTAGATTTACCAGAACCATTGGGTCCAACCACAGCAGAAAACGACACATGGAAAGGACCGACAACCTGCCGTCCAGCATAACTTTTGAAGTTGGTCATCACTAGTTGTTTGATGACCATCCTAGATTTTGGTCTTGTTGGCTCCTCTCCCGTTGGTTCTGCTGCCTGGGCTTTCGCTCGTACCACAATATCCATTGGTTTTTCCAAAGGTACATCCATTGCGCATGTTGTCTTGAGCATCTCTTGATTCAATTGTGGTTGGGCAGTCTTGTTCAAAACCTTGCCGGTGATGTCTTTCAGTGGTGTACACTGAACTTGTTCAGGCTCTGGAGAGGCCGACACCGCAGGAGGGGGTAACGCAGGGACTGGGGGAGTTATTGACGATCTTCGTCCTTTTCGGGGAGCCGTGCTCTTGCGTTTTCGTGGCGATGGGCTCTTAGTGGACGATGTAGGTTCGCTGGGGGTCACGCTTTCTTCTGGGTCAAACGTCGGCGAGGGCTCAATGCCTTCTTCGCCCGTCTTCACTCTGCGACCTCTCGCCGACTTTCTAGGTGATGAGCTGACACTCGCCATGGTCTGTCTTCTTGTCGACTTCCGTGGACTTCTTTTGGGAGCGGGTGTGAACTCTTCATCGTTGTCCTCTTTGATGAAGCTAAGCTCGTCATCAGATTCTTCGACCACGATAGTTTTGCGCGCCGCACGACGCGTCGGCCGCACTGGGGAATCAGCTGGCATTTTTTGCAAACAGTGAATCCAGAGAGTTGAGGTCTTTCAATGGGGGAGCTTGTTGAGGATGGCAGGTGCGAAACCAGGTTTGTTGACGGTGCCCAAAACGGAAATGGCATGCCAAGAAATAAGTTGTCGTAGTGGTGGGAACCCACTCCAGTACTAGGCGACGAAGATTTTCATAGCTCATTCTAACTATAATCACGTATTAAGATACTCATAAAACATCTATCTTTGGCTTCTTCCCACTCTCGGTATCATGATCATTCACCAGGCCCAGATTTGTGTTGAAAGGACGCTCTTTGCATTCTCTTTTTATTTCTTCTTTAATCCTCTAAAAAGGCCATACCCACTTTCTGATAGCCTCGGGATCGATACCCTCATGGAATGCTTCGTTTCGACACTTGATTTGTTCATTGAGCAGCTTCTCCCGGGCGCTTGCGCCCTTGTTGCCGAGTGCTGGCATTCTGTCCAATGCGTCTATGGCTAGACTGAATCTGTCGGTCTGGTTGCGGATGGCCAGCTCCAATGGCGTGTCAATGTTTCCTTTCTCATTGTATCCTCGGACATGCAGATTGTGCTGACCCTTTCTTCTGTAGGTGAGGCGGTGGATCAACCACGGGTAAGAGTGGAAATTGAAGATGACCGGCTTGTCGTCGGTGAAGATGGCCGTGAACTCTCGGTCAGTCATTCCATGTGGATGCTCACCGTGTGGGATAATCCTGAACAGGTCGACCACATTGACGAAGCGAATCTTCAGCTCGGGGATGTATTCACGAAGCAGAGCGGTGGCTGCGAGGGACTCCATAGTTGGAACATCACCACAAGACGCCATCACAACATCGGGCTCTTGACCTTGGTCGTTTGAGGCCCAATCCCAGATACCAGCTCCCTTGGTGCAGTGCTCGATGGCGGCTTCCATGTCGAGGTATTGCAGGTGATTCTGTTTGTCAGCAACGATGACATTGACATAGTTGCTGCTTCGAAGACAGTGATCCATACAGGACAGCAGGCAGTTCCCATCCGGTGGTAGATAAATACGGACCACTTCAGGGGACTTGTTGGCCACAACATCGAGGAAGCCGGGATCCTGATGGGTGAAGCCGTTGTGATCTTGACGCCAGACGGTCGCCGTCAGGAGGATGTTGAGGGAAGCAATCTTGGAACGCCATTCGACTTCGAGGCATTTTTCGATCCATTTGCAGTGTTGGTTGACCATCGAGTCAATGATGTGAATGAAAGGCTCGTAGCTGTTGAGTAAACCATGGCGGCCGGAAAGAACGTAACCTTCAAGCCAACCCTCGACGGTATGCTCACTGAGCATTTCCATGACACGGCCTTCGAAAGCCAAGTTGCCACCATCAGCGTCTTCGTCGAAATATTCGCCCATCCATACTTTCTTTCCAGCTTTGTAGACGGCGCCGAGCTTGTTGGATTCAGTCTCATCCGGTCCAAAGAGACGGAAGTTGGTCTGGTTCTTCTCAATAATATCACGAAGGAAGATGGCCATATTTGACATGCTCGGTGCCTCGGTGGTGCCTCCTCTCTTGACCTCAATCTTGTAGTCTCGGAAGTCGGGCATATGCAAGTGCTTCTTGAGCAACCCACCGTTGGCAACGGGATTGGCACTCATTCGTCTATTGCCCTCTGGAACCAATGCTTTCAATTCGGGAATCAACTTCCCGTCCTCCGTGAAGTACTTCTCAGGCGTATAACTCTTCATCCAATCTTCCAAAACCTTCAGGTGCTCGGGGCTGGAGGCCACATCGGGCAGAGGAATCTGATGGGATCGCCAGAAGCCTTCGAGATAATGGCCGTCGACCGTGCGTGGACCGGTCCAGCCTTTGGGGCTTCGAAGAATAACCATGGGCCACAGGGGACGGAATGCCTTGCCAGATTCCCGTGCTTTCTTCTGGTGTGCGCGGATCTCTACCACACATTTCTCCAGAGTAGCCGCCATGGCGTGGTGCATGCTCATTGGATCACTTCCTTCGACAAAGTACGGCGTCCAGCCGTAACCAACGAACAATGCTTCGAGCTCCTTGTGGCTGACACGGGCCAGGATGGTGGGGTTGTTGATTTTGTAACCATTCAGATGAAGTACGGGCAAGACGGCGCCGTCGGTAATGGGGTTGAGAAACTTGGTGCTATGCCAACTAGTTGCCAACGGTCCGGTCTCGGACTCTCCATCACCCACCATGGTCAAAGCAATCAGATCTGGATGATCGAAGACGGCGCCAAAGGCGTGGGAAATACTGTATCCCAGCTCACCTCCTTCGTGTAAGGAACCAGGGGTCTCCGGAGTGGCGTGGCTGCCAATGCCTCCGGGAAATGAAAATTGTTTGAAGAATCGACGCATGCCCTCGACATCTTCCGACTTGTCTGGATAGACCTCACTGTAAACACCCTCGAGATAGGACTGGGAAATGACCGCTGGAGCACCATGGCCGGGCCCAGAGATGAAGATACTGTCAATGTCATATTTCTTGATGAGGCGGTTGAAATGGACATAGGCGAACACTTGACCGGCGTCTGAGCCCCAATGGCCAAGGAGTCGTGCTTTGAGGTGTTCGACTTTAAGAGGTTCTTTCAACAATGGGTTCTTCCTCAAGTAAAGCATCCCAAGGCAGAGGTAGAGACTGGCTCGCATGTAGTCGTCGATGAGTTTCAATTCGGCCTCACTGAGAACGGTGTCCTTGACGGTGGACCGGGCTTTGCCAAAAGGCGAAATGCTCTCGACGGAGAGATCTGCGTCGGCTGCGGGAGCCATGGTGAGGTGGACACGGGGAGGCGGTTGCAGGTGTTGGGGTTGATCGATGGGGGGGGAAATTTGGTTGAACGTGGGCTACGGATGACGGGTAAACTGAGAAGCCGGGAGAAGTCCGGGGGAAGAGGAAGCAAGAGGTGAAGAGGTACAAGAGGGAAGAAGTGAAGGTATAAATATGAAAAGCAGTCAAAAGCCAATTACTGCAAAAGCCCTGAGAGTGCACCTTACGTTACAACTTGAGACTTTTACGACGACGGGCAGGCACCGTGTTATCAATCCATCCACCATTCACCGTCTTTGATCGTCATCACCATCAGCTCCCATCAGTCGACAACATAGCTTCAGTCGTCATCTTTGGCCTAGGCTTTGCCTTCTGGGTGGCCCGTGTTAGATCCTAGATGGGCTCATTCTGAGATCCATTCCCTGCACGTGGCTCGAGATGGTAAGAAGAGCTGCACCGTCAGGCTGACTGTTTCGCAAGGCAGCTTGTGCATCGAGCTCGTCGTCGCTACAGCTAGCCTCAGAGGCCATGTGTAAGGAGCTCTCAAGAGCTTGTGGGCGGGGCAGAGTTTGCTGACATGGTCCCGATTGGAAGCCCAGCAGCAGACCAGCAGCTTTGAGGATCAGGAGATGTCCAAAGTCTAAAAGAGTCTGGAGCATGTGGGCTGTTGAGAAAAGGAACAATGACAAAAGTGGTGTGAGGATATGCGAGGATGCATCCCTGCACCTATCAACACCATAACCCAGCAGCTAGAGGCTGTTTGCAAGCTTCCCACTGGCCATCGCAGCTACCAACTCGGCCGCAAAAATGGCTCGACTGCATACCTTTCCCGCCCTCCTTCGTCAAACGTCATCCTCAGTTACAAGTTCTGTTTCCCTGATGCAACGTCTGAAGCTTTTGTGCATCTGAGTGACCACAACAGAGAAAACCACGCAGCCACTAAGCCACCTCCATCTGTCAAATTCCGCACTTTCACTTAGCTTTAAATTTTCGCACCCGGGCGAAAGGCTGTGGTCCGATCGACGCTCATCCAATGGATTCTTGCCAAAACACTGCGATGCAAAAGGCGGTCGAGCTTCCATCTTCACAAACTCATACATTCGGATGTGGCTCTGTGTCGAGGATGGCACTCCAGTCTTGTTGTTTCATCCATTCGTGAATCTCTTCCGGTCGATCCTTAAATCCCAGATCTCGAGGCTCAATAACAGCAGGATCACGACCGGCAAATCCAAATTCCGCACTGTAAGTAGCACTTAGAAGCTCTTCTCCATCTACAGGGAACTTGTTTTTGAATTCATTCAAAGTCACTTGGCGACACTCGATCTGTTGATTCAAAGCCTTACCCCAGATTTGCGCCATTTCGGCCCAGGATAAGCTAGCTGTGTATGCGAGCAGGGTTTTGCCGGGATCTAAGTCCACCAGAGCCTTGACAAACGGGCCGGTGTCCTGGCCTGTAACTATGAAAGGATGCTTCGCCTCGGGCGGACACAGTCGTTCGATTAAAAATGATCCATCCTTTCGCTTTGAGCCACGGAGTCAGTCGTGATGGCTGCCGCGATAGGGATGCGATGGCCTTTGGCGCTACTCACCTTCACGGGTCTCATCATTTTGGACAGAAGAATATTACTGGCGTAAAAGCCCACGAAAATTACGCTCATCTTATTGGCCAGGCCAGGGTGGTGGTCTCGGATGTATTCTGTCACGACAGCCTTGGAATCGAAATGGTAGATATGAGAATATTTCCCCTTGGAGTATTCCTTGCAACTCGGTAAGGCACTCCAGATGAAGCGTTCCAGGCGATCCCCTACTTGCGAGGCTGCACGGGCAATGTTCTGGCCTTGCTGAATCTCATCGTCATAAGCCCATCGTCGCAGTGAGTCTCCCGGGTTGGGTCCCGTGGCATGCTTTTCTCGAATCTCAGGGTCGAAAAACGGTGCCCAGTAATCGGTCACCGCAAAGATTGCCGTGGTGTTTGTGAAAGCCCGCCTGAGTGAATCCACATCATGGGTGTCGGCCGTGACAATTTCAATTCTCGGTGAGAGCGCTGCCAATGCTTGAACTTTGCTTGAGGATGGATTTCTGGTGACCGCCCGGATCTTCCATTCGGGAAATTTGAGGAAGGTCTTGACGACAGAGGAGCCCTGAGTTCCTGTTGCTCCCAGGACTGTGATGATTTTGTCAGACGATACCATTGGGGGAGGCCTGATAATATGCAAGGCCAGGAGTTGCCCATTGAAACCAGCATTATATCGATATCTGTGAGCATCGGCAAATGGACATGTTCTGTATTAGTCAGCCGACCCCCATGACCAAAACCCCCTGTCATCTTTTATTTGTCTTGCCCTTGTTGTCAGCAATTGGGGGGAAGCATCCCGTCTTCCTCGAGGTCGCGGCCCGCCATGATTGAATTGAGTAAAAAACCCCCCCTTTATACGGTACAAGAAATGACAGAGATGTGATTGGTCGTGTTTACTCTCTTGCCTAAAGGGGCAAATTGATTGTTTTCAGCATCAACTGCGGGGCACTGAAGTTCGACTCGGACTTGAGCACGATAAGGACACGATCAGAGCATCAGGTTCGATGCTAAACCGTGCTTGCCATTCTCTCTTTCCTTAATCGAAGCATCTAATATACTGCAACCCATCGACGCGTTTCTGACTCGCTGTGAATGGCCACGAGGCACGTCTAGTCCCCATTGAGAGCCTCGGGCAATCTCTATATAAGGGTAATCAATCCATCCACTTCACCCTCCCTTCTGTCCCTCCCTCGCTCAACGAAGAAGAACAAGAAGAAGCAGCAAGCGTCCCCCTCGACTTACTTCACAATGTCCACTACCACTACCACCATCACCCAGGAGACCGTTCCCTCCTCTGATCCTCAATACTATGGCAAACTCCGCTACATCCCCCAGGGACAGACGCCAACTCCTTCTGCCCATAACTTCCACCTGCCGGCCATCGCTGAGTTCGGCGACGTTCGTCTACAGCCATTGATCGACATGCGCCCTGTGCCCACCGTAGCAGAACTTCCCCACGCCAAAGAGGGCGCCGCCCAATTACCCACCCACGGCTTCACTGCCGTCAGGCACCCTACTACAATGAACTCTGCGCCCTTCACCCGCGCCAGCTGGAATGACCCCAAACTGTTGAAGCAATACTACGTGCCAGACACCGAGGAAATGGTTAAGCAAATAACGGGTGCAAAAACAGTCATCACTGAAGCCCTCCTCCTCCGCAGCGCAATCTGGTCTGAAGAAGACGCGCTGGCAACCCACGCCGGACACGGGCAGAAGAAAGAAACCGAACAAGAGAAGGAAAAATCCCAAGAAGAAACGGATTTGGAGCTCGGTTTCCCCCAATTCATTGGCTTTTCTCCCACAACAGGCGGCGCCAGTCCAGCACCCAAGGTCCACTTGGATTATGCTCCCAACGGAGCTCGCACTCACTTGCGAAAATACCATCCAACCATGACGGCAGCTGCGAAAGATATCATCGCTGCCGAAGACAGCCTCCTCTCCCAAGGCAAATCTCTCCGTGAGTCGTACGCCGCCTCCAAGCTCGGCCCCCGCTGGGCACTATATTCCATCTGGCGCCCACTGAAACGTGTACACCGGGACCCGCTCGCACTGGGCGACGCTCGCACGTTCCTAGAATCCGACTACGTCCCCGTCATCGTCAAGACTCCTAACCTAGGCATCCCCGAGACATCGACGCACGACACCGAAAGTTATCTGGCCCACTGGTCCGAAGGGCAAAAGTGGTATTTCATCTCTCACCAGGAGCCCGAGGAAGTCCTAGTTATTAGCCTGTTCGATTCCGACAGAGACAAAGACACCGTGGCCGCTGGTGGCACCTTGCATAGCAGCGTCGATCTTCCTGGTACGGAGGGTGAGGAGCCCCGCGAGAGTTTGGAGTTGAGATGCTTGGCCATTTGGGAGTGAATCGTTTGAATAAACGGTAGGATTGGAGCGATGATTTTGGGGAGTTTGGCCATAGAATTAAAGTTGAGTGAGAATATCCTATCCCATTCGGGACCCTTATGATCGTGCCATTTTGATTCTCTTCCATCTCGCTTTCCGCGCTGACGATGCGCAAGACCAAAGATTCACTACCCAAGTAGTAATTCCGTCTGACTCTGGTCCCTCCTCCTCGTGGTATAAATCTCACCCCAATAGCGCCATATAGCAGAGCAGATCCAAGTCTCGTCGTGACTCGTTGATTTGTCACTTCATCATTGACGAATCGCAGCGCCAATCCCGCTGAGGTATTTGCAGCGCGCCTGTACAGTCGTGGTGACGTTTTCCATGGCCGTCGTGCGCAAAGTATCGAAGAGCATCCTCCGCCAGACCGCCGCTTCCGAGTCCAAGCTCCAATCACTACCGTCCCCATCGCCATGATTGGCAGTAAACTGGTCCCAAACAGGAGCACCGGCCGACCGATGGACGTTGGGATCCAGTGACCGAACAAAACTCACCCAATACGCTTGCATGAGAGGGACGATCCAGGCATTCGATTTGCCGGTACGATAACTCGCCGGGACGCCGCCGCGAACATTTGCAGGGCCCCAGATGGCGCCGAGTTCGACAGTGTGAGGGACTCCCAAGCCAGCAGCGATTTGCGCTGGATCACGCACGTTGTATCGGTAGTTCCAATTCCCAGGTGCACCATGACGAGCAAAGGCGCTGGAGATGAACAGATTCGGACACATATATCGTATGTCCCCATACGCGTTCGACACCTGACGCCACCAGGGACCCGAGTGGGGAAATGTAGGACCATGGTTGGGAAAGAGGGTGTTTATGCGCTCCAAATGTTCGAAGGTGAGAAAGGGAAACTGGTCGTGGAGGAACGTATTGGACTGTGCCAAATTTGAGGTCGAGCGGGGTGTGAAGACAGTGCCACCATTTGTGTCGTCGCCAAATATTACAGGGACTCGAATGAAAGAGCCTGAATCAAAAGCTAAGTAGGTGTAGTTTTGAATCAGGTCATGGTCGAGCACCGGATTCCACATATACAAGGGCGGGTTTTGAGTACCAGGATAGGGCGTGTTGAAGTTTTGGGTTTGCAGTTCAGAGGCACTCTTGGAGCGAAGACAGCTTAATGTGGTCTCATGGAGGTTGCCCTCATCGGCATGTATTGTTGGGCCGGTACGATTGGCGCACCCTAAGCGCATGGTAAAAATATCGTATTGATATTGACACTCCTCGATCGTCAGGATTGTCGCAAAGCTGACTGATTCTGCGGCAGCCGCAACAAACAACCCATCATTTCGGCCGCCATACGCGGTCAAATGAAGAGCGATCGATGCCGCACCTGCAGAATCGCCACCAAGTACGACGTGGTCTGGATCACCGCCGAACTCGGTAATATATTTCTGGACCCATTCTAAAGCTTTGCGTTGATCCTTGAGACCATTGTTGACACTCGCCGTTGCAGAATCACGGATTTCGCGACTAGCTATGAACCCATAAGGACCGACACGGTACTGATGTTCTCTCAAAACTCGTGTCAGCAATCTGGTCGCACTATGATTCAAGGAGATCGAAATGGAAAAGGGTTCGGGTCTGATAGATTAAGGTATTTCTGGGGAAAGAGTATGTATAGTCCTTCCTGTACGAAGTCCCTTAAACCCCATGCTTCTTGAATCTATACACATGCACGACTTCGCAAGAAATAGCTTAACTGACACAAGGAGAGACGGAGGAAACGACTGTCTCAGACAGTCCGGTCCAAGGCTTCAGAGAACGTACGTTGAATGTCACCACAAGCATTTCGTGAGCGGAAACAGTGATCAGGCCGCTGCCATTGTAATTTGCGTTCGCGTTGTAGTTAAATCCACCACCTTGGATGAAGAAGTAAACCGGTAGCTTCGATCTGCTTGTGGCGCGCGTTGGAGCGTAGACGTCGATGAAGAGACAGTCTTCGGAGCTCGCGGGATTGTGTGGATCCTCTGCGGTTCCCAGACAGACGAGTCCATGCTGTGAGAGGGTTACTATGCGAAGCGTAGGTGCGGTAGAGACAATCACGCTACCTTCTCAGCAGCCTGAATACCATGAAGGACCGGAGGATCTTGAGGTGAGGCAAACCTCAGCTCACCAACCGGTGCTGAAGCATATCGCATTCCTAGCCATTGGGTAACCCCATTCGAGAGAGCGGTGCCACGGTAAGAAGCATAGTTGAGACGGACCAACGGAGGGACGGCTAGCACCGTTGAAAGCAAATAGACCAGTATCAATAACGAACGCATGACGCTTTCATTGCCAGTAAGCCGGAGAAGAATGACGTCGATTTTATCTGGTAAGCGAGGAGCGCGCTTGCATTTTAAAAATATAGGAATCCATCTTGTTGACAGTATGGAAAGCCAGGGTGCAAGTCAACAACGCCTTGATTATTGTATACGCAGTCATTCCACAATTCCGCGCTGCGTTTGTCATTGACTACTTAGATCGTTGTCGAAACGGCGTCATCTTGAGGCGCAGTCTGCGAGTGCGAGGGCTCTGATAAGCTCGTTTCGACGGACAGCCCCCGGTGATTGTTACATATCCAATGCGTATGGAAAGAATATGTCTGGTACCTGTTTTCAAAGCTACAGGGGGAGCTGGAGCTCACAGCTTCATCAGCGGGACGCTGAGTGTGGGGAATTCAGCGACGGGCGGTATGTTGTTCATCGAAAAGCCAGTAGCAGCATACGCTATGCCACAAATGTCAGTGGTCCCAACACCTCAGTCTATCGTCCATCATTTTGTGGGGCGAGTACGCGGCCAGGTAGGGGTGATCTCCGAACCCGGTCCCGTAGTGAGGGCCTCGAAGCGATCCCGCTGGCAAAAAGTCCGGAAGGAGATTGTCCTGTCGCCGGGATGTTTAGGTCGTTATCAATGTGGCACAGTATTGGCCACTCCAGTCCTCACATAGTCCCAGTCAATTCCACCCAGGTTTTCTCCCTTTAGACAATTCAGATCTGCGGTGTTGGTCGGTTTCCCTGTCGCGATCCTTCGTGCCATTACCGAGTCTCTGGCTCCAAGAAGCTTCGATCCAGAACCATGCAGCAAACAATCCTCGAACCAGACGTCTTCCTCACGCGTGAACGGGATGCCGATAAGCAGAGTTGCTCGCTCGGCGCGGGCATCACCAGGCTTGTCTTGATGTACTGAGACGACTAATTTCTCAAACAAAATCTTATGTCTTGCATCATCTTGCTTCTGTGCGAAATAGTAGGCTTCCACGAGATTATTGGCAACGAGCAACCGAAAGTATGCCTCCAGTGCTGCTGGATCTTTCAAAGGGGGTGACACAGCAACGTAATAAGCCGTGGCCAAAGAAGAATCGCATTTTGGATGTTGTAGCAGAGCAAGGAGGATATCGTCGGCGAAGGTAGGTGTCAACGAGGGATCGGTCAGGTGCTCTAAGGCACGAGAGAATTGACCGTGGTCGAGCTCCCACAAGCCAGCGACCAGAAGCTGGTATTTCTGGGGAAGGTATGTTCTGCGAGCGAAGTTGGTGTCGGCATTGGGTAGCTGGCGACAATCACGAAGGATGTAGTAGAGGAGGGCCAGTTTCTGTTCGTCTGCAGCGGGCGAGTACACGATCTTGGCCCAGAGGCTGCGTAAGTCTTGATTTGATCGGGGCGGATAGATGTTTCTTGAAGCTGGCAACATTTAGCAATGTGAATCATGAATTGCGGCCCAAGAGACGTTGTCTCACGTCGAGTCAAGCCAATGGATGTCCAGATGCGATCGAAGAATAATTGATCTCCAAACTCCTTGCGATGTTTGATGATGGCTTCGACAGATTTGTGATCGAGAGAGTAGTCGGGCTTGGGCTGGAATACAGCGTCAAAGTCCTGCCAATTGAGCATCGTGAAGATGAAGGGACCACGATGGAATGAGTTGGTTGTTTAAGAGGCAGGACAACGGATTATTCCCCGTCGTGTTTGATGCGAAATCTACCGGCGGAGCGTAAATTCCAAAGAACGCAGTACCCTGCTCCACCGTACCGATCGTGCAGTTCTCGAATTTGATTCAACGTCGTCTCACTGTCGCGTTTCCCATCATCCATCTTCCCGCCCTCCATCCACCTTCTCAAACACGAGCATTGATATTCCAAGGCCTCCAAATCTTCTTGCCATCAGCACTAGGATCTCATTGGACCTCACTACCACCCCCATCTTGAATACGCCGTGGTAACGACTAGGGGAAGATGGAGAAAAGAACCCCGCTTTTCTTTTCTTGGTCTTGAACTTTCCCTTGTCTACCTTCATCAGCCGGATTGATTTCCAATTCCGTGGAACTTTTATCTCCAATGAGATAATAACCGAGGTGTCATGACTCTGTTCCTCCGACTTCATTTATAATATGTGTCGACGTCCCAGTCGAAAGGTAAGTTGTCTCTCTTTGTTGAACTACCACCCTATTTCAATCCAAATTTCAATATCAAAATGGGTTCCGAACGATATCCCCTCCAAAACAAGGGGATCTACCATAACCTTCCCACATTCGACCCATCCATCAAGAATCTCACTGCCATCGTCACCGGCGCCAATGGCATCTCAGGCTTTCATACCATGCGCGTCTTGCTCGGGAGTCCGGAGCGCTGGAGTAAAGTCTATGCTTTATCCCGCCGGCCGCCTCCCCAGCAAATGATGGCTCTACTCCCTGAGGCTCAGCGTGCCCGTGTGCAACATGTTGCCGTGGATTTCCTTGAAGATCCCAAGAAAATTGCCCAAGCCATGGCCGAGGCCAATGTGACTGCCGACTACATCTTCTTCTACTCATACCTCCAACCAAAACCGCCTCCAGGGGCGCCAGCCTGGTCCAACGCCGAGGAACTTGTCAAGGTCAACAGCGGATTACTCGACAACTTCCTCCAGGCACTCACCATTGCGCAAATCACTCCACGACGCTTTCTTCTTCAAACTGGCGCGAAAAATTACGGCGTGCACATTGGCCGCGGACGAACTCCCGCCATCGAATCTGACCCACAACCTGTCCATCTCGAACCCAACTTCTACTACCCACAGGAGAAATCGCTGTTTACATATTGCAAAGCAAATAATACGTCGTGGAACGTCATTCGTCCGGCTTGGATCCTCGGCGCCGTGAACAATGCCCAGATGAATGCTCTACATCCATTCGCTGTCTACGCTGCTGTCCAGGCGAAGAAAGGCGAGCCGTTGTACTTCCCCGGAGATTGGGACACCTGGCAAACCGAGGCCCACCACTCGACTGCCATGTTGACTGGGTATCTCTCTGAATGGGCCGTGCTGGAGGACAAATGTAAGAATGAAGCATTCAATTCACAGGACACGAGCCCCTTGAGCTGGGATCGCTTCTATGAGGAGCTGGCACGCTGGTTCGGTGTGGAGCGAGGCATTCATCCGCCCGAGGAGGATTTGAATAAATTCACAGAGTTCGAGGGGAAGAGTGGCAGCGCTACGCCGATGGGGTAAGTTAGAGACGAGTTATACCCGTTCCGTTTTTCCCCCATGACAAATAACTTACCATCTCTCAGCTACGGACCCCCAACGGTATATCGCAGCTTATTCTCCCTGGTGAAATGGGCCTCAGAACCCGTTAATCAAGAAGCGTGGCAGAGCCTAACGAAGGAATCCGGTGGGCAGTTGACCGACAACCCTTTCAAGGATGTCGAAGCAAATTTCACCTTCGGAGACGCTGCGCTCGCCAGGTTCGGCAGTCTTTCTATGAACAAAGCCCGCAGGCTGGGCTGGACTGGATTTGTTGATACCATGGAGGCGATTTTTGAGATGTACTCTGAAATGGGCGATTTGGGCATGGTGCCCAGAATGAAAGTCGACAAACCTAAGCCGTTGGTGTAGGCAACGAGAGGACAAGGGGGGCTTGAGAGTTGCTGATAAGGGGGCCCCCTGAAGGATCGTATGTATTAGCAAGGCGAGGCTGGGGGGGGGCATCTCCGTCTCTTTGTGACCACATCAACTCTTCCCGTAGCTCAATTGTCCTGCGCCCATGGCTCCAAGCAAGCTTTTTAATCACTTTCTATTTCGCCGACTCTGATCTCTGGACCTCTCTGGATTCACTTCCCCTGTTTCATTATTGGTGGAAGATCAGCTCGATTCTCTCATGCTCGGCCCTCCTGTGCTCGTGATATAGGGTCCAGTAAATTGAACTTTTTCTCCATAGCATATCCACTGTGATGCTCTCCGAGTTGGCTGCTGAGGAAAATTGTCTCCAGGTTGTGTAATACCCTTGTCTTGTCCAGAGCTGCCGGTGTTCTTGATCTCCGGCACCTGCCAATGGCACGGTCTCGATCCAATCTGTAAATCCAAATAGGCGCAGTTTCTTCACGGATTTCAACTTACTGTCCTACCCATTCGCATACAAAACAAGCTGACAGTCAGGAGTATGGTTCGTTCAACTTCAGAAATGTTTCGGAAAGTAGGGGTTGGTGCTATGTTGGCCACCTAGCCAGGAGAGGATGGTCCACTGCAACGAATTATGCCATCTGTGTCTCCTCTGGTTCCCACTTTGAAAAGATTCACGCGGTGTTCAAGATGACGGATGCTGGCGGTTTTACTGCGGTCCGTAGCAGACAACATGCGGAAATATTCCCCTGATGTGGTGGTATCGTATCGAAGACAGAAGATGGTTGACTAGAAGAAGTAAGAAGCCCATTCCTCGTTGATCTGAGGGACGGCCTTCAACATTTTCCACACGAGAATTCTATCGTCAGATGGTACTCTAAGAAATCCGCGCTGTCGTTGCGATTGTTCACTGGCATTTGACTCGGCGGCATGAGAGTAGCAGTGTCAGGAGTCCGCACGACCCCAAGACTGGGCGAGTCCGTCTCCCCCGTTTTGGGCAAGGAAAGGCTCCAAAACAAAGGTGGAAGAGGCTTGTCGCGACGAACTATGAAGTGTACTAGTTCAGAGAAGCCGTAGAAGGGCGTTGGTGGTGTTTTCGTGTTTGGGTTGTGGCAACGAGGTCAGTGGACAGTGAACGATGACGGAGGTCGAAGTGGGACGATGTGCGTGTGCAAACCAGGCCCAGACCACATAGGCACACCTACACACGATACATCACAAAGGGAAACTGCACTGGAGACGACAAAAAGTACGTGCTGGACGTTGTTGTATCAGTTTGATCGAATTCATCTTATCTCAATCAGGTAGAAATGTACACAAAGCGAAAACGCCGCACCAATGCCCAATTTATCATCCATGGGCTTGTCCACCCATAACCATGAAAAGGTGTATCGAATGCTCCGAACCAGCGATCAATGTACTGTACCTTGATGACCCATTCTCAGCCTGCAACAAAGTCCCTGGTCGATATTTGACTCCCTCGTTGAGCATCTGAAAATTGGTAATCTTATCCTCCATTGTATCAGCAAGCTGATAGATCATCGAAACAACCAAACGCAAGAGATGCACGGATGCAAAAATTTCATGTCTCATCACATCAGCCTTTTCTTTCCACTTCTTTTTGTGGTTGTTTTTTTCCTTTTCCCCTCCCCTCTCTTTCCACTCCTGTTGCCAGGATAGATCCCAACACTTGGATTTTCTTCATCTATACGGACTAGTAGTTCGATCAAACTCCCTTCCGTACTCCCTCCACCAATCTCGATCCCAGTATCCACTTTCTTGCTGCTTCTCGCTCATCTCTATTCGTCCACGACGATCTTGACTCGGAGTATGAGTGTGTTGATCATGCATTTCATCTTGCGCCGGATCCGAGTGTAGTCAATCATAGCCTGCACCTCGTTGCCAGGGGCTGGCATTGTTTTGTTGTCGGAATCCTTGCTGTGGAGGGTATCCACCATGAGCGGATCGTGGCGGTCCATATCCGTTGCTGAGATTGCTCATACTTCTGTCATATGATTGTGAGTTTGGTGCGGTTGTTGGTCGTCCACCATAGCCATAGTCACCATTTGAATTGTAACCTTGGTTATACATTTGTCGTTGTTCATAGGATTGTGGAGGACCACGTCTTCCGTTATTTTCGCCAGGATAGAGTGGTGTATGATCCTGTTGGTACATGCTTTGCGTCTGAGACATTGGTCGTTGCGACATATCAGACTGATGTTTCAGAGATCCGCTGGAGAAGGAAGCGTCGTCATCATAACCCTTGTCTTTGATGTACGAAAGCCGGCCATCGCCTCTTGCAGTGGCACCTAATGCATCAAGCTCGGTGGTCAGAGCAGCTTGAGACTTGATAAAGCTTCCTCGGTCATCGCGCATTGGCTGATATCTCACCTCCGGGTTCTTGGAAGCGATTGCATAGATGGAGGCAATGAGAACCAGAATCAACAAGACAGCGGCGAAGACAACATTGTAGAAGGCAAAGATGACGCCCATGACACCCGAAACCATCTCTGGTTGTCCAAACGCATCCGAGAAGACAAGTAAGAAGATGGCGTTAAGGAAGTTGACCGCGGCGATGGAGATGTTGAAAATGTTGGTCTTCTTGTCCATGTAGGGTCGGAGAACACTGATACCGATCAAAGCAACAGCCTCCACAATCAGCAGCCCGACAGCTTGGGCCACAGGTGATTTCTGAGCAAAGGCAATGAAGATGGCCTTAGCCAAGATGTAGGCTAGTAACGGCACAACAAAATAGTAGGCGGTGGCGCGATACTGCACGTAGAGGAAACCCCATTTGTTGAGGCACTCTGGGTCGGAGTAGAGAATGTAGGCAGGGTTCTTGTGCATGGCGACCGACTTCTTTGCAAGTTGGATGACTTTGAATGAAGCCCAACCCAAAGCAGCCGCCATTGAAATGAAAACGATCAAAGCGAGAACGACTTCGGCAACCGAGTCTCTTTCTACCAGTTCCCATAGGCAGAGAATGGACATTTGAACGAAGCCGAGGAGAACCTGCGTTGGTTAGAAATAAGCGGCCCTGAATAGAGAGGCGTGGAGGACTTACCAATCGGAACAAAATACCCTTGATGACAATCTTCCAGCCATTTCGGAACTCGAGGAATTTGTCAGATTTCATCCAGCCGGCTTTAGCGCAACCATCCAACACCACCTTGGTCAAAGCAACCAAGATAGCAACGAGGAACAGGACGAAGATGAAGAAGATCAGGCCAGTCATGAATATGTTGGTCTGCTCAATTCCGGCCCGAAAACCGACTCTATCGATTCCGCGAACGACTTTGACATTCTCGGCTGTGGTAGAAGTGGTGGCCGAGGCATCCTGGCGCTTCGCCAGAGCTCGAATGCCCTGCGTGGCATAGGCCGTCATTACCTGGAGAGAGCGCTTGATGGCGCGTTTTTGGACTTGAACGGAGAAGGTGCTCAAAGTCGAAAGGTAGGTAGTAGGGGTACCACCAGTTGCTCGTTGATACCAGGTGGCGATGGATTGAAGGAATTCGACTCGGATAATACCCATGCTCCACTGGAAGTTTTGGGTCCAAGACTGAACAATGGGAGGCATGGTGACAGAAGTCATTCCAATGATAGCTTGAGCTTGGAAAAAGCCGAACAGCGATACGGCGTTAGCAGCAACGTGAGCGGCCGTATTTGGATGACCAAGACCAGAGGTTACTCCTGCCGCCATCAGACCGAGACCAGCAATGACAGCGGTCGACCAGCCTACGGCAGGATGGTAGACGCTCTTGGTATTGGAAAGATCTGCCTCCATGCACGCAATCACTTCATTTGTGTCGGTAGAAGTGACATAGACTCGGACAACACCATCAAGATCAGGGACGCTGTATGCAATTCCAGGCACTTGTTTCGCCACATCATCCGGGACGTCGATGTTTGTTTCGATGTTGATTTGGCCGGTTTGCATGGGGCAGAATCCGGCGAGGTCCATTTCACAAGGGTTCAGTGTCTGATTAAGAATCGTGAATCCATATGCAATTACTTCCAGCTGTGCCGTGACATTTCCAACTAGCGAAGAAACACCATTAATTTTGACCCCAATGCTGTTGTTCGCCGGCGTGTAGGCGACATTGAACAAAGTGGCTGTGAAGTTGGAGCCGCTCTTGCAGGAGTTGAGGGAATTGGACTCGATTATGTTTTCGGCGAAGGTGAGAGGTGAGAGGGAGATGGCGACGAGGAGGGAGAGGAGGTACGAGAACGAGGTTTGCGGTCGCATCTTGAATATCTGTGGTTTGCGATGGACGCGAGGTGTAAAAAGGGGGGGTGGTGTGGCAATGCAGCACACGACGCCAACCAGGGCGAGCACGGCTTCAGCAGGTCGACAGTCAATGTATAAAAGGCGAATATGAAATCTGATGGGGGAGCAGACTCTCGTTGCTAAGTTATTGGGATGTGGTCGTCAATTGTGTCATTGACTCTTGAAATTAAGGACGTTGCAACCGGATTGGAACGAGTGGCAAGACCAAGACAGCAACGGAAAACGATGGTCGTGGTCGATTGATAAGACGATATTGGTGACAGAGGGCCGTGACAAAGTCGAGGTTGAGGACAATAGCGAACGTAAAGTGAGAGAACGAGGGTGAATTGAGGGATGGATTGGAGTCGTAGACAGGGTCAGTGGGTGAGTTTGGTGACGGGGCTGGAACAGAGAAGATGCAGGATTTGAGGGAGGAGGCTTGCCGGGCTCCTTGACTGGGGGATCACCTGGCGTTGTGGACAGTGCCGGTGGGACGCCAACGTTACTCTCCAGGGAGCCAGGCCGACTTTTTGTTGGTGGACACGGGATGGGGGGCGATCTGGTACCTTGGAGGCCGTATGGTTGGCGGGCAAGTGAGGAAGATGGGAAGGCCAGGGGGTTGGGCCTTGGTGGTGATGGTGAATCGGTGATGGTTGGACATGAATTGGAGCTATTATCCGGAAAAAGAGCGCAGCCAGATGCTGCCAAGCGAGATCATTAGCGCTAGACCTCTTGGAGCTAAATTCCAACCACCCCCTGACAAGAAACCCTCAAGATCCCTTCAACGCAGCCAAATCTGTCGCTCGCTTTGACGCGCGGCGAGGCGCAGCACCCAAAACATCCAACCCTCTGGAAATTGCTGTCCCAGGCCACCATCCTTCCAGCCTACTAGCTTCCCCTTTGCCAGTGTTCGCAAGGCTACTCGTCCTCATCTGGCCCACTGGTTTCCAAGCTCGGAAGTCTCTGCTGCCGAAGACGGACCAGACAATGGCTGTTGCAAAACGTCGCGTCTCTACCAGCTCGTCTACGTTGTTGACTACAACTACTTCAGATGTACCGGCTACGTAATATCCGGGAGCAAAAGAGGAGGGATGTTGTCAATACTCAATGTTCGATGAACATCGCTTTCCATTTCAAAACAACTGAGAACTCCAGAGGAATGTCGACTCCCATCCAACTTGATTTCCCTGCCCCTCGCCCTCTCTTGGGTCACGGGCCCGCTGCCACGAGACCCTCGGAAATCCGGAGTCAGAACATCACTACACTGGATTTGTCAATGTTTGATTGACCCCGTGCGTTCCATCGTGGCCGCCTCCAACGTCATCGTGTCTCAGGCGGTCGGCGCTGAAAAATGCCAAACATCTGCACTCCTCGATTCAAGAACCGTTTCAATGTGTGTTTCATGAGAACCTTCTGTCTTCAAAATCTACAAAAGTCCTTCACATTCCCGCCTCGCATTGTTCCACCCGAGATGCTAGCTCTATCTTCAGGTTTTCCAAAGATTAGATCGAGATCTACCCTGCTTTGTTTGCCGAGCACTCTCCACCGATCACATGGGTCTGGACTTTGATTGAAGCGATCTAGCTGCTATGCAATGAAAGAAGGCGTATGGGGTATTACTGGTTTACTGTCGCATCAGCACTTGCGCTCTTTTCATAGTCAATCTTCCTAATGCGAAGCCATCGTTCTGGTGGCTCTCGATTCAAAAACAGTTCCCTCATCTCACTGATCTACTTCGAAGACTCCTATCAAGGTTTTTTGTGCTGCTGTCTCCTGCTCTCTGCGATCTCTCACTTACCTCCTCACTTTGGACGATGTCCCCACGCACCATGCGCAGATACTTCGTTGCCGGCTCAATCAATTCTATGTTCTCCGTACTCTCCTTCAGTATTTGTAGCAATATTGCGACCTAAACCTTATTGTTGAGGTCCGGGCGAGTCCGAAATGCTTGACGCTGGCCACCTTCGGCTGACAACCGGCTCATGGCGGTTTTTGACCGCACGCTGAACATAGATGCAATGGGGCATACTGTGGATCGAGCCAAAATTGAACGCTGCATCTCCGTTGAAATGCTTTGTCCAAGAGGGATTCTGACCTGTTTCAACGACCGGGGATGTACCTCCATCAGTTTCGGCGACCTTTGGGACAGGATTTCAACGGACTGAATTTCAATGGATTGGATTTCAGGGGATTGGATTTCACTCTATCTTGAACTGCCTGTTGGGGTTGGGCCTCCCAGTCTTCATTCTCTGTGCTCTCGTCATCTTCAGACGCTCCTTTCGGCTGTTCATAGTCTGGATCGAACTTTTTGGGTCCTCTTTTGCCTTTGGTTGCCAAATCTCTGTCTACCTTCTCACCGTCGCCAACACCGTAGTCCACGTTCTGTCACAGTCAGTCTTTCATATCCCGAATGGCACATCTAGCGAGTCGCCTACCTGACGTTTGCGCTTGCCCCTACCAAAGGTATCTGCCTCTCTGGCTTGTTCCTCCTCATATTCGCGTTCCCGCTCCTGGAGAATCTTGTCCCACACTCCAGGATTGAGTGTATTGGCTCCTGTACCGTCAGGCAAGTCCTCCCCCAATGACGCTTTGTCATTAGCCCAAATCCGGGCAAGACTGAATTGGGATTCGGCCGATTTGGCTTCACTCGCACTGGTGTCTTCGATTTGTGACCGATCCAACAAGCGGTCAACCGATGCCGAGTCGTAATGAATGTCGTCAGTGCTAGAGTCATCCTCGAAAAGTGTTTGAGCTCCATGACGAAGGATAGACTCCAGGTCCTCACCAGCATCATCCCCCTTGTCCATTCTTTCGATAAGGACATGGTCCAAAGCCATCTTCTTTCGGCCGAGTTGCATGATTTTCTCTTCGGCACTGTTTCTAGTCATCAATTGAAATACGACAACCTTCTGCTTCTGACCAATTCGATGGGCTCGCGACAATGCCTGGATGTCCTGGTGAGGGTTGAAGTCTGGGTCGAGAATAATGACGGTATCAGCGGTGGCAAGATTGATCCCTACACCTCCTGCCCGGGTCGAAAGTAAAAAAGCAAAATAAGGTGAATCAGGAGCGTTGAACTCATCGATTCGTTTCTGTTTCTCCATCGCAGAAATGTTGCCGTCAAGTCGACGATGTCGAAAACCGAGTCCATCTAGGAAATCTTCAATGATATCCAAGTTACCCAAGAACTGGCTGAACATGAGGACTCGATGGCCACGTTCTTGAAGCTTGGGAAGCATTATTGAGAGCAACTGCAGCTTTCCTGAGGCTTCGACTAAGGTCTGATGAGATACGGCACTCTCAACCGATTTTTCTTCAATCTCGCTACTGTAGACAAAGGGATGGCACAGAGTCTTTCGAAGTTGCATGAGGATGTTGTTCAGGCTGACTCGCTCCCTTGCTAAAAGGTTACCATCTCGAACAAAGATGGATCTCATTAGCTGAGGGTTCATCGCCAAAATTGACTTGTACAACTTCTTTTGGACAGTTGACATGCGGACAGGTACAATGATTTGAGCCATTGGCGGTAGAAATGTCAATACTTGGGCCTTGGTGCGCCGAAGAAAGAACTTGCGTAGCATTTCATGCAGTTCGGGCACGTTCTCTTGGGTTAGATTGGCATACTTCGCTTCGAGTTCAGCTGCATTCATGCTTTTGTCAAGGAACTGCAGAAGATTGAAAAGTTCGCGAGCATTGTTCTGTAGTGGAGTCCCCGTCAATAGCACCTTGAACAGAAATTTGAACTTGGATAAATTTTCATATATCTGAGTGCGATCGCTTTTCAATCGCTGGCCTTCGTCGACAATGAGACCTTGCCAGGGCACTTTCAGGAGGCTCTGCCGAGTTTGGTCGTCGCCAATCGATTCATAGGACGCAATGACAACGTGAGCTTGAATATCAGTCACTTCGGATTTATGCTTCTTCGGCTGTCGATGCTGGTCTCCGTCTTTGGAAGCGGGAAACAACTCATAGTCATGGGTAAGTCTCCTCGCAGTCGAAGAGCCATAATATGTCACAGCTCTGAGAAACGGTGCCCATCTCTTGATCTCACGCCTCCAATTGGGACAGGTTGAGTTAGGGACAACCACTAGGAAGGGCCAACATTTGTGATCTTGAACTAGTGCGGCAAAGAACGCAATAATCTGAATCGTCTTGCCCAATCCCATCTCATCGGCCAAAATAACATTCTGGTTTGTCGACCACTGAAACAGGAGCCAGTTTAACCCTTCCATTTGGTACATCATCATTTTGTCCTTGCCAGTCATGCTCGATGGCTGTTCCTTCTTCATGAGTGTCGATTGGAAGTCTTGTTTCCGAACCCGCTGCAAGTGGCGCTTTAGCTGTGCCTGAGGCGGTATAGAAAGGTGTAATTTCATCACATAATCTTCGTATGCCGCTTTGAAGTCATTCCAACGACCAGCATCAGCGTAGGCGGGTGGCTTTTCCCAGATTGCATCTTCATAGCCGAGACCTTTGTATTTGACGAAGGCTGAATCGACCTCCCTCACACGGGCAAGATCAATCTCCTTTGTGCTGTTTCGGATGACACTTGAGTAGCGCACATCGAAAACAATGTCTACACGGAAGACGTCCTCCGGAATGGCATCTTCTGTCGTCATCTTTGGGAGCAGATTTTCTGGCTTCTTGACGAACGCCGAACGTGTTGTTCCTGCTGCAATACCCCAAACCCATGTTCCGGGCATCCAGGTCGTACGAAAGTAAGACTGCGCTCTCCATTTCACCAAATACTCTTTCTCTTCTTCCTGCATCTCGTTGACAGGAGTTCCAGGTACGTACGCCTCGAGGTCCACGGGACGCCAGGCAACCAGAGTATCAATCTGACTCTGGTTCTCTATGCAATTTTTACAGAGCCAAGATCGATGATAATGGTCGAAGCGGGCTTGTGAAAGTTGCACTTCACCGAGCATCTCCTCTTCTTCCTCATCCTCGAGATTAGAATGAGCAGTCTTGCGCGCTGGAAGATGATACATGTGCCAAGCTCGCGCACACTGTGAACATCGGAACATCACATTGGCAGTGTTGTTGATCATTTTCGCTTCAACAATCGTGATTGGATCCTTTCCACCATTTTCTTCTCTCCGAAGCTGTTCTTGACGTGGAGTCAGACGGCTGCGAAGTGGCTTCGATAGCTCGCCGTGTTCACTACATCCGACGCAAAGACCATGGTGAGGCGCCGACTTGTCTCGTTCGTGAGCAAGTCCGATGCAACGCCTACATTGCAGAACGAAGAGATTTTCGCCAACTTTGGTCACTAGGTGGTCTCGCGTGCCTCTGAATCCCAGACAGGATTTGTGGTAAGAGTTTGTGCATCCTTGACAAAAGACCAAGGGACCTTTTCCTGGGTCGTCTCCTTTGAAATAGCAGGTGTCACATTCCTGTCGATGTCGTTTACGAAAAGGATCATTGTCAGGAAGTGGAGCAAAGTACTCTTTGGTGCCGATGATCTTCGGGCCGGTCTTCTCCTCCTCATAGCTCGGGATCTCGTCCTCCTGGCGCACTCGCATGTCGCGTCTTGGCTTGGCCATTGTTCTTCCTGAACGTCGGGTGGCAATTTCAGATGCAGGAGAAGAGCTTAAGGCTCTCGGCCTGAGTTTTCGTAGCCGCGCTGAATCTCTTGTAGGTCGGAGCGTAGGTATGCGCGGCCTTCTTCCTCTCTGTCGTACATCAAAGTCATCGTCAAGGCCAAGAAACTCTTGCTTGAAGGAGGCTGACTTGCGCTTCCTAGTAAGACGCGCTGACCGCCTTCCCTGAACCTGGAGTACATCTGAGATATCATCTTCCTCGAGTCCAGATGACATCCCCATTGCTTCGTGCTCTGAGGCGTCGCTGTCTTCGATCCTCTCACCTTTTTGACGGGAGGCAGTATCATCCTCAGAGCCCGATATGGAGATATTACTCCAATCTACCATGCCTGATACAGATACCTTATGCGAGGTTCGTCTGCGCTCCCTTGACATTGATTTTTTTTTGAAATCCCGCAATGCTTGTGCGCCATTGTCAAGATCACATAGCTCACGTTCAGAAACCTGAATAGAAGACATGTTTAGCAATCAAAAAAATGCGATGTGGGACTGGGTCCAGGGTCCAAGTTATAGGATGTGAAAAGAAGCGACAGGTATCCAAGCGTTTATCAGAAGTCGAAGTTAAAATGAATCCAAACCAAAGCAATGATCGCGAGTAAATGATTGAGAGAAGGACCACTCACAAAGTCTCTTTCCCCGCTCCCAAGTTCAACAACGTATCGGTTGTTCTGAAGCTGAGACAGTACCTTCTCTGCTGAGAAGTGTCCAGGGAGACATTCGTACTCGTCCTTTTCTTCTTCCGACAGCTTGGGTACGTCGACATAGAGGTCTTGTTTCAGGTGAGGAATAGCTATTGCCACAGAGTTACCCTGCTTGTCCCAAGATGATTCTCTTGAACAGACCGTTTCGCCCCTGTCGACCCTATTGGTAACATTTCCTTCATCGTGCACGATGTCACTTCCGTTGTTCGAACCATCCCAGCCCGAGAAGTCGCTTCTCTGGTCCAGAGAATCCGATTGCTGACTAGACGTTGTTTCAACTGCTTCCATAGGTTCTTTGAGCTTCTCGGGCGCTTTGCCCATCCAGGCAGAGAGATCGATACCGTCCATGTTGTTACCCTACTTTTCGGCACATGACGGAGTGTCGCGGGGGTAGAAGTGAGATAATGATTGTTGAATTGTCGGGGAGATTTAACGGTTCAACATCGCTTCATGGGCATAAAGGCGTTTCTGCAACGAAGAGACTGGCAGGTTTCTCTGTACCAAAACGCGGTCTTGTCAATGTTTGCGAGACCAGAAGTGGTCGAGGCTGCGGGGGCAGAAATGCGCCCCAAGGAAAGATCTAAATTTCTCCAATTTTAATTTCCCTTTCCTTTCCTCCCCTCAAAGTACTTTCCATTGACTATAGCAGCAAAACCTACTACCAAATCAATCTATGGATGCTGTCCTCCACTCTCCATGTCCTGCGAAGTGGTCTGGCCGTCCCGAATCCACGTTGGTTCTATTCTACCCGGACCATATCCTTGACAGGGGCGATTGAAAAAGGGATCAGAGAGGGCCAGTACAGCGCAAGCAAGCACGAAAGCCGCTACACAGACCATCGAAACAGGAAGCACACAGTAGGAGGCCTAACCCGAACAGATTTCGGTAACAAAGCACGTTATTTACCAGAACAAAGGAGGCGCGGAACAGCCCAAACCAAAGAAGATGCCACACCCGAGCAGTTCGAGGGTCAGATGCCGGCACCAGCATCTATTCCCTACACAACAGCAAGCTCCGAATTCATATACGGGACATTTTCTGTCCTGGCTGCCCTAAAAGCCAACCGCCGCAAGGCCTACAAGCTATACCGACTCCAGTCCCAGACGGAAACCTCTATGGGAAGAGAGGACAAAGAGACCGGAGAAAAATGCCTACGGTATAATAATGACGTTCAGAAGGAAATCTACCGAATTGCCAAAGATACAGGGGTGGAGGTGAAGAATATATGGGGAAGTGAGTGGGACAAATCTCTAGCCAAAGTGACAGGCGGACGACCACATAATGGTTTGGTCCTGGAAGCTTCTCCACTGCCCAGACTCCCCGTCACCAGCCTGTCAGCCGTGAAATACTCATCAGACGACGTTGTTGCGACTCTGGGATGGGCATCACGGGAAGAGCAGGAGCTCAATAGTGTCTTTGAGATATCTGAAGGCACTGCACTTATTCCTTCTTCCCGACCGTGTTACCGCTATCCCTTCATGCTGCTGCTTGACTGCATTACCGATACCGGCAATTTCGGTGCCATCGTGCGGTCTGCTTGGTTTCTGGGGGTCGACGCAGTACTTGTTCCCGAACACGGGACAGCTTCCGTTTCAGCCAACACTCTGAAAGCCTCAAGCGGAGCGCTTGAGTACCTGCCCATTCTTTCCGTGAAGAACGAAAGAGAATTCGTCAAGAAGTCGCGAAAGCAAGGCTGGAAGTTCTTTGCCTCTGTTGCACCTGATATGGATCAGAGCCAAAAAGTTTTAGGGCGCAATAGTAGTCCATTGGTGGATGTCGAAGGAGCGTTGTTGAAATATCCGTGTGTACTCGTCCTGGGCAACGAAGCTACCGGTATTCGACCATTTATGAGAAATCTTGTGGATGGCATGGCCGGAATCCCGAACGCAAGACCAGAGGTTCGGGAAATTGATAGTCTCAATGTCAGCGTAGCTGCGGCGTTGATGACTCAGAGGTTTTTTGCTTCGGCTCCTGCAGGTGCTACCCAGACCTGATCACGCTACCGAATGGAATCGCCTTCGACACACATCGTACCCAGCAGGCAGGCTCAGGATGTCAAGGTCATTTATCAGAAAGCCACTCAAGAGAGTAAATGGGACAATTTCTCCTGAAAGGGACAACGACCTCTTTTGTCGATGAGTCTGCTCCACCTCCTCCCACGGCTAGCTCGGACATTACTTTCTCCTCTTTAGCGGATATTTTGATTTTGGCACCACTGGCTTCAACTCGGTAAAAAGTTCGACCGAATTCGCCCAGGAAACCTTCAAGGACAACCTTGGCCACTTCGCTCTTGTCAATAGCTCCCTTGATCACGGCATCTTCGAAAGCCTCGAGCACCAATTGTGTCGCGTACGGCTGTGTAAATACTCCAGCCGCACATTTTCCCGTCTCATACACCCCCATCCCTCCCTTCTTTGCTCTCCATGGATGAGGTGCGGAATCCGTACCGAGGAAGAACTTGGGACTCCCGCTGGTTGCAGCCTTCAGCAAAGCCACACGGTCACGGGGAAGCTTGGCGACTGGTTTACAAAAGTTGATCGGATCGCCGGCCCAGTCATCAACAATGAGAAAGAGGTGATGTGCCGTGATGGTGCCTACGACGTTGGGGCCGCATTTCTTCACAGCTTCGACGGCAATGGCCGTGGTGCAGTGTTCAAGGACGATGCGCAATCGGGGAAATCGGTCGTGTAGATCGAGTAGTGTGGGCAGAAAAGCCTCCTCAGCGTTCAGCACTGTGATATCCTGCCCAGGCGGCGCCTCACCGTGTAGGTTCAAAACCAAATCCTCTTCTTCCATAGCCTTGAACACTGGGTAGAACTGCTCGTAGTCGACGACACCAGAAGCTGAGTTGGTAGTTACGCCGGCCGGATAGGATTTGATGCCCAAAAGACCCGCCTTCTTCGCCTGCCTGATCGTATCCGGCGTAATGGACGGATGCAGATAGAGAGACATCAGACAAGTTACGTCCGTGTACTTCGCAATGGCCGCCTTGTACGCCAGAGCATGCTCGACAGTGGTGATAGGAGGGACGAGATTCGGCTATGCGAAGAAATGATAAGGACTATATTAGCAATTTCGTGCTGCTTCATATTCAAGACATAGTGCATATACAGAATGACGACTGAGATCTACAGAGTAATGTATGGCAGACAGAAGAGCTCACCATCACAAAGACAGTCTCGACACCGCCCTGTCTGATTGTCGGAGCTACGGCTTCCAACATGGCACCTTCACGGAGATGGACATGGAAGTCCGCCGAGGCAGGGAGAACGAGTCCGTCAAAGAGTCGAGAGGCCATTTTGGTACAAAGCTTTTGAGAAAACAGGTGCAAGAGGTAAAAAAAAGGTATGACTGCATCGCCGTAGCAGTAAATGAACGGATATCTCTGATTGGCCCGGCCTGCTCGCAAAGCCCCCACCCCAGCCTTCTCCTCTTCAGGCCCTCAGGGCAGGGCTGAGAATTACTACTGTAACCCTGTTCGAGTCGACATTTCTCGGCTACCCCGAGACAGGGAATCCACTTTCATCAATTCTTATAAAGATCGAAGACTATATTTTGTAAAATTTGCTTCTATTTATGGTTTCCTCACGGTCATGTTGCATAGTACACATACCAGATTAGAATTCCCAGATGAGAAGCCTTTCCAACTTTCCAGCAGACTTCCAAATCGCTCATCCATTTGTCCACTATTCTTCCCTCCACGATACCCAACCATTAAGGCAACCTCAATCCTCGTAGTATTTGCAATTTTGAGTGTGAACTTTGTGGACCTGTATCCAGCTATTTACCGATCATGCATGTGATGTGAATGAATTTTCCAGGAAACCATGTCTCGTTGCCTTCCGCCGTAAAATGCCCGGTTGTAAATTCGTGTCTATATTCAAAACGCCGTTGCCGTTGATTCGTCCGTGGTCGCCGATGCTTTTCGTGCGCATAAACGAATTCCATCAACCGTTCGCTCAAATCTCAACGTCGTTCACGTATTCTTAATCCTGTTATAATTGGGTCAGCGCATGACTCGGCAGCTTGAAGGAAGTCCTTCATACCTCCTCGGTGAGTCGATCCAATAATTGAATACTCAATATCATCACCAGCAAGCCGAGGGTCACAACGACCAGGAGGCCAAAGCCAAACCAACCCAAAACCATTGCGGCTGTTCCGACTCCCGATTTGACACTGCCATTTCCCAGATCTTGTGCCACCGTACTCGCTGCTACAGCTGCGGTATGCTGCCACATCACTGACACCAGCACAAATACCGATGAAATAAAAATTGTAGCCAACGCCACTTGCGACACAGCCCTTGAAGGAAACGGTCGGACCTCATGCTCGGAGCCATCAGGACCCGTGCTAGTGTGCCAACCAGGAAATGTTGCCAACAGCAGGAAGGTGAGGAAGGCAAGGACGACGGCGATGATGAGGAGGTATGGGAACACGATGGCATTCTTGAAGGTGCTGGCAACCCAGATCAGATTAAGCGGATCTTGGTCAATGCTGACTAGATCGGCCAGCGCGGTCGAGTTCTGATTGCACATCCACGCACCACTGTCCACGCGGACACAAATTCCAAAATATCCCACCCTGACATTGAGATCTGCGTTGCCGACAATGTTTGCAATGGCTGTACTGACTGAAGGATCGACCTGGACAGGGCTGAACACAGGAGGGTATTGCTGGTAGTACAGTGAGATGAGGTATATGTCCGGAATTAGCGGGGATGTGGAAGAGCAGCCTGCCAGGAGAAGGGCTAGAAGACTTAAGTCAGTCTGTGGGTTTCTCCACGGGTTAATTGGGATACACTCACATAATAAGATGATTGCAATGGCTATGAAGATCATAAGGACATGATGGTATCCTATGATTGGGACAAATCTCCTCCATCCTGTTGTGAACCTTGGGCCTGCCATTTTTTCTGTTCCCGGTGGCTCTGACCTCGACCACCTAGTTGTCTTTGTTTAATGGTTGCCGTCCGTGCGGACGGACGACGGTGTTGAGGCTCAGCACGGGCAAGAAGTTGGCCCTGAGCCCGATCACGAGGTGGTCTGGGCAAAATCGATGGAAGGATCAGGAGCACGTATCGATCTGTGAAGATGACCTCGTTGAAAGTCACTGAACAAGATGGAAAATGTCAGTCGTCTGTTGTCTGCAGTACTAGCAAAAGAGAAGAATGGAGAGAGGGAAAAGGAAAAGAGAAGAGAGGCGTAGCTTGATTTAGTTTCGGAAATATCTGGGACTGGGATTGCAGGGCACCAATTGCCATGACTCTTTACCAATTTGCCATTGAAATCCGTGAGGCTGGTCTTTTCACCATGGCACGCGTGAATTTTCGATATTCGGTGGCAGGAAAATTGCATCGGGGGGTCTTGCAGGAATTACACTTAGCATACAAAAGTTTCACCGTATATTTACATCTAACGCAATGCAGACTAGGGTATGGCGTTGCCAGCTTACTCACATCTGACCACTCCCCTTCAACCAATTCTTTTGTCATCATACAGTACTATTGTATCTCATGACAATATAAATGGACTGGACGTTCGAGTGCGGACGCACCGCAACCGTCAATCAGCTACTTCATAGTCATCCACCGTTGCGCCCGTCGTTCGTGCCCGAAGCTCGCTCGAGCTAACCTTGAGCAATCGGAGCCTCCCACATTGCAACCGACCTTTACAATGCATCTATCAAATAGGTCACACGCCATTCAACAATGCCGCTGAAACTGCGTATCCCAATCAATCATGCAGGTACAAATGCAAATGAACTGAGGTCGAACCGGGGTCTTTGCGCCGGCGACCCCATCTCTGAAGCCTCATCTTCACTGTTTGGCACCATCGCATCTTCGCTTCCGCGAACTTCATCTTTCCTATTTATTTTCCATGGCGAGTCTTCGGCTTCCTCAGCAACCTTGCTTTCTTGTCTGCTTCCTGGATTTGTAGGTGTTAGTGTATCACTGGACCCGGCCCCAGCTCTGCGTGCAGTGTCTAAGCCAGTCTTTTGCTTGTCGAGCGACTCGAGAGCGGATTTCCGAACTTCGGATGTTCGATGTCCGAAATTTTTGTGTGGATACACCCCTTGACAAAAAGCCTGGATGCTGGTGGTCTTTGGCAATTTTCTCAGCGCTGCCATCTGCACTTCTTGTGATTGCGCTGAGAATGTCTTTTTCTTCTCTGTCATACTAGCTGGTAGCGAGCGCAGTGCTGATACCTGTTTCTTCTGTGGTTGAAAGGCGAATGTTTTCAGCAATTGTCCGTCCTGCTTTCGTACGTGGTATTCTAAAAGATCTTCGAATGCTTCAGAATCATCTTCTTGCCTTACTTCCCTAACTCCTGCGGGCTCTGAAGGGAGATCACTGGTGGGCGCCTTGCGTGACGGAGAAGAGCCGTTCAAGGCTGTGTTCGAAGTGTATGAAGGTAGCTCGGCTGCTGGTGAAGATTGAGGGACTGATTCTACTGCATCAAGATCTGCAGATGGTCCTGTCACTGATGGTGTGAGCATCTCATTGAAGGCACCCCCTTTTAGAGGGCTGGCAACGGCCTGGACTTCGCACTCCAGCGCCATTTCGCCAACAGAATCATCCGAAAACACTTCGAATGCAGGGTTTTTGCTTTTCTTGCTTCTGGTCTTTTTGGTTGCCAGCGGACTCACATCCTCAACATTGGAAGAAAAGAAGGGGCTTTGCTTGACTTCTCGGGTCGGTAAGGGATCCATGGAATCCGAGCACAGCCGCTGTCGCTTGGGAGGTTGACAAGTGGACATTGTCGAGACTCCGGCAAGAAAGGCTGACGATCCAACCACAGACGTAACACCTCGTGTCGGAGGAGGAGCTGACGATACTAACCTCGGTTCCCAAGCGGCATTCCGGTTGCGCTCCAGTAGTCGTTGTTGAGATGGAGAAGGTGTAAGACTATTTGGATCTAGCTCTGCGAGCGGCTGACGCTGAGACTTAAAGAAAGTCTCGATTGATTTCTTAGGCTTCGGCTGAGGAATTGATGCGTAACTATACATCCTGCTTTCTCCTCGTGCTGGGCGGGCCATTGACCTCGTCTGGCCGAGTTGAATCGGTTTCTTTGAGAACGGATCCAGGTCACCGCATGCAACGCCTATCACAGTGTCTGGGTCGACATGAGGGCCCAAGTATTCCATTTCAGATTCATTCATTCCCGGCCCCAACTCGTTCAAGAAGACCATCTCTTTTGCGATGGGACAAAAGACACGGTGATGCAGGAAAGTCAATTCTGCGTGTTGGAATTGCTCCAGGTAGTTGTTCGGGACCATCAACTTCCCCTCAAATTGAATCATGCGAAGGATTTTGTCAATATCCTTGTATTTGCGAACATATGCATGTGCAGTCTTGAGGCCAATTTTGCCAATGTTTGTCAAATAGTCGCAGCCACTGAGGATAGCCATTCGTCTGAACATTGAATCACTCCACCCAGCAAGACTGATCTCTTTGCATGCCGGAAAATCCGCGCGCTCTAGCTCAACAAGTTCACCGTACTGGTTGAGCTTGGTCAATAACCGCTTCGCACCGAAGACCAACATATCCGAGTCTTCAGACAGGATTCCGTTGATGATACCTTTTTGTTCCAAATAGACCAACTGAGCGTCAGCCTCGTACGGTGCCACAATGTATTGAACATTAAGCTTCTTCAGTTCCTCAATCAACTGTCGAGCCATGACGGGTGTGACATCTACCGCTTTCTGGAATTCCTGATGCGCCTGAGATGTTTTTCCAGCCTTTTGCAACTCCAAGCCTAACGCTTTGCTTTCTTCTCTCTTCTTTTGCCTGGCAGCATTCGTTCCGGCTTTGCTGGGAAGGTTGTCTCCGTCAAAAACCAGATATGGTGTTATCCCGAAGTCGAGAAGCATTCGAACTCGGCTCAGCACGAAATCGATGTGGATAGTGGTCGGTTTGTCCTGTACGAGTGCAAAGGCGCAGCCCACCACGCCCCGGTGTAGCCAGCCATATGCGTCGACCCCAATGGTCTGACCGGCAAACTTCTTTAAGGTGCAATGTTTCTGGATTGATTTGAGCAAAGGTAACAGGCCTGGAGAATTCAGCTTCTGGTATACAAGCAGTGATTAACGCACTTACCCTTGATGCCCATGTTTGTCGGAGATCCGGGCCCTCACCGCCTATTCACGAAGGAGTTTGGCAGCGAGGAGCAAATTGACCCAAGAGACAAGACAACCGGGACAGGAACTAGACAGCTGTAAAGGCACAACTGGGACCTGCTGAGCCATTGGATATAGGAGTGTTTGTGTTAGATAGGTGTTCACGTTGACTGCTGTGGGAGCAGCCAGGCATCACTACGCGCCTACAAAGGGTTGAGAACGCGCATTGAAACACGCTTCCTGAGTGGAGGGAAGGCGCCCGACGTTCTTCTTCTGCCGAGGTTCTACCGCCGGCAACTTTATTTTTCCCGACCAAAAAGAACCATTTTGATCATCGTTCGACTGCTAACAGATTTTGGTCCTATCATCAAACGTGGGCATGGCTCGCACATTGAACAAAGTCCAAAAACAAATCTCCAAGAAGAGAGGGGGGAAGCTAAACAGTCTCCATGGAAACAGTCGAGATGCCCGACGACTGCGGGCAGCTGGAGCGAGAGAAGAAAAAGTGACTCGTATGATGGATGCCGCCGCCAGAGCAAATCAAGTCTACGGTACGCCGGAAATAGTGTACATAGAATCTGCAGTCCATCTGATCCAAAGAGCATTATAGTTGACAGAGTTGCATGGTTCAAAGCAGCCCTCGAAGGTTCGGCCGGCCCGTTGACTGACGAAGAAATGCATATCCTAACGCAGAGGTATGCGAGGCGAACGCTCCTTGAGCAGCAACCTAACCTTGACAGTTTTATTGATCGTGAGGACGAACAGTTGACTGAAGCCAAAGTGCAACGAAGACCCGGCAGACCCCCCACCAAAGCCGAGGAGCAAATCACGCAGCGGAAAGACAGTGAAGAGCGCGAATTTCGCTCTGGATTCTGGATCCCCGAACTTCGAACTGAAGAGAGTCGATCCAAGGTCGAAAGATGGGGAGGCGAATGGGGCGGGCTGAACACGTTGAACTTTGTGCGTGTTGTGAAGTCAGGCACCATCAGACCTTCCAGTTTTCCGCCCAAAGGACTCTCATAGAGAACATCTCGGGAGAGAGTCTTTCAACGAAGACCCGACTCCTGTCAAAGATGTTCCAAAAGCTGCACCCATAAGACATTGAGTGAAGTACATTGTCAGAGCGCTGTCCCGCCTCCAACCGACGCCAAAAAGCCCATTAACGTCCCCTCAAACTCGGGAAGTGACGAGATACATGGCGCTCACCTCCAGCAATTGTCGCTACACGAAAGTCTACGCCAGGGTCACTGGGCATAGGGGATAATTCCAGTATGGGATGCGACTGAGCACCCAGCAAGGTCACGATATGGAGAATTTTTCATATCAGTACCTGAAACGTGGCAAGGATTTCAGATGATGCACCAGATAACCTTTGTTAATATTCTATTGTCAATTGCCCCAGAATCAATAAGCAATGGAATTATCAAGGCGCATTCAACGTAGTATAGCGAGTACTTCGACTAAGTACAAGTAGGGCCCGAGGACAGGGGCAAGGCTCTCCCACCATGTGGGCATTCGTGACTAAGCTGTCGCGTCGGGCCACCGCACCATACTCCCGAAAAAAGTAACCCCTTCCGCGACAGAGCGAAAGATTGCTTCATCCAACTTGTACGTTGCTTCTCCAACAAAACAATTTATCTTCGTCACCGTTTGAAGACATCTGAGTCTAACGTCCCATACGATGCTCTCTCTAAGGGTGTTTGGCCGGGCTCTGCCCAAGGCTGCCTTTCGACAACCCGCGATCCGGGTTGCCTCTTCAATTTCGAGATTTACAGCTCATCGACCGCTATTGCAACCGGCAATGAAATCATCCTATCCTACTTTCTCGACATCGGTCGCTCGAAGGGAACCGTCTGGAGAATGTAATGACCCCGACTCCGAGACCAAAATTGCTCCTGACACATCCTAGCGGATCTAGAACTTGCAGAGAAATTCAATTCCGAACGAATGCTCGAACTTGAGTCTAATAACCCCAACAAACCCGCCTCTATCGAAGAGTTCCTGCAAACCAGCCCATGGCAAATTGAAGACATACCAGGCACACACGAAGTTGTCTTGAGAAGAGATTTCGGCAACGAGAAGTGAGTAGGTCACGATTGTTCAATTGGAGCCGCATTCCTAAATATCGGGATCAGGATCAAGATTGAACTCAGCGTAACCGAAATCGACAACACGGCAGAAGAAGATGAATTCGATCAGATGGATGAGGACGGTGCTCTCGAAGATGAGGCAGACTATGGTATGGGAAAGAGCACCATCAATCAGTCAGGTCCACGAGGAGGCAAGACCGATGTTGTGGCGGAAGACAGAACAGCGTCCGCCGACAGAGCCGAAGCAGGGGACGCTGGCGACACCGACACTGAGCTCTCTCCTGCCTTCCCTGTCCGCCTGACTATCACCATCACGAAGCCCGGCAAGCGTGCCGTCGAAATTCGAGCGATTGCCGAAGAGGGTGCCATAGAGATCGGAACCATGAGTTTCTTTCCCAAAGAATCACTTCTCGAAGCTCAAACTCCTAAGGAGGCCCAGGAAGCACGCAGCCTGTACGCTGGCCCTCCCGTCGCCAATCTAGATCCGGAACTTCAAGCCATGCTCGACAAGTATCTTGAGGAGAGGGGTATTGATACTCAATTGGCCAACTTTTTGCCAGAGTATGTCGAGTACAAAGAGCAGCGAGAATATGTGCAGTGGCTCGATAGTAAGTGGATATATATATATCCAGATTGGAATGGGGACTTTGCTAACCTTGTAAACAGACATGAAGCAGTTCATCGAGGAGTAATTTGTTTTCTGGTTTTTGGCGTTCCGTGAACGAGCAACTTTCTCGCTACTTCTAGATCCTCCGCTTTCGGCAGATGTTTAATATCAAAAGCTGTACAATATGTTGCCGTTGCAACAACAACTCTCTTCCCTGACCAGAGAACCTCACCTGTACTTGAATAGGATGTGAAATGGCTTGTGGTTTTCAGCCCCCGTTCTACAGTATGTGATCATGACAGAGAAGGCAATTCACCGGCATCAAGATACATTTGTGTTTTCAAGCTCTCTATTATTTCTGTTGCTTTGCATAATTGGACCATCACCATCCTCCTTTCAAGCAATAACTAATCAGATGCTAACCAGAGAGCCAGAGGGAATCGTCCACGCCCGACAAGCCGGGGAGAAGACATGGCCGAAGCCTAATGGCTGGTGCCCCTGGGCTGGTGTTAGGTTTTGTCGCAGATCGTAGGGCAACAGGGGTGTATTGTGTTCTCTGCCTTGCCATTTTACCTAGAATGGGTTTGAAGTCACCTGCAGCAGTTCGTCACACTGTACGTGTGCTGTCGTTCAGTCTCAAAACCAACGAACGACTTTGGGGCCACTCTCGGACATGGGGTATGGACCCCCAACTGAATTGGGATGTTCCCATCGAGATTTAGTGGTGATGTGATCCGGTTCGTCAAGGAACCAGATGAGCCAGTTCCAGACAATGGATTCTTAAGGTGCTTACCACCAGTGATGCCAATGGAAGTACCGATAATCATGCCTGGCATTCAGTCCCGTCCCTCGTGCGTATAGCGTATCCCGTATCACGCTCCAGAAAAGTCCAACCTCGATTTTCGAGTCAGCCGTTCTGATGTTTCAAAAGCTATGCGTGTTATGCAACCGAGGCTTCCCCCTCCGAGTCGGTCAAACTCATGCTCCCGAAGCTTGTGACGGTGGGATGGCCTACCCTATCAATATTGTCTTAACGGCGTCCCTGACTTGTAGTAGCATTGGAGGGATTCATGGCAACGAACTCTTACGTATTTTGACGCGAAAAGGCCGCTCCCTGGCCCGTATTGGCTCGTTCTGGCCCGTTCTGATTTTGAGGACTGCGGGGAAGGGCACCGGGTGAAGCCCCTGATAATGTGTGCCTTCGAATCCGGTTTGATCTCCATATATCAAGGAAGCATAAATGCAAGGGGTGTGCCCATCTGGCGATCCATCCTCCCATTTCTCTTGCCGTCAAGAACCACAACTACGACCATGTAAAGAAGACGAGTTTGTGTCGACAACGTCCCATTTACCCTACCAGATTGTTTCGGCGCTAAAACACTTTTATCCACCAATGAATAAGAGTTGATTCTTCTTACTTCTCCTAAGAGTGCCGGGGGCCGGTTCTTACATTCCCTCGTGGGTCCCTGGTATATGGCTGGAACGTCCTTTCCGCTCAATATCACCCGCCTCACAAATCCTCCCTACATCCACATTCTGCCCTTGAAGATGAATCAATCTCTGATAGCGGTCCTTGGACTGCTTGCACTGTCCATCGTCTACTTCTTCGTTGTGTGTTTCCTTTCTAACCGCTACCATGCTCGAAAAGCAAGGGAATTAGGATGCCAACCACCTAATCAACGACCTCATCGCCTGCCGTTCGGCATCGACCTCACCTGGCAAATGATCCAGGCTGACAGGGACCAAGTGGTTCCCGATATGTTCTTAGACGTCTATCGAGAGGTCAGAAAGCCAACATGGATCCAAAACCTTCTTGGGACCATGACTTTCACAACCTGCGACCCCAAGAACATCCAGGCGCTTCTCGCAACACAGTTCCATGACTTCGAGATCGGGGAACTGCGCCGCGGCAACTTCTTCCCCATGCTAGGGAACGGCATCTTCACTGTTGACGGTAAAGCATGGTGAGTGAACACTCTCCTGTATAAGACCGGGCACGGATCGCTAATACCCACGAAAAGGGAACATTCTCGCGCCCTTCTTCGTCCTCAATTCGCCCGTCAGCAGGTGGCGGACTTACAGCTTGAAGAAGAACATGTCCAAGATATGTTCAAGCATCTCACCACCAAGAATGGTTGGACCGACCAAGTCGACTTAGTCCCTCTATTCTTCCGTCTGACACTTGACTCTGCCACTGAATTCCTCTTCGGCCAGAGTGTCAACTCCCAGATTGCCACCTTGCCGGGCTATACCAAGGAGTCCAAGCAACCTGGAGAGTTGGACTGGACGTCTTTTGCGCATTGCTTTGACGGGGCGACCATGTCGCTCGGTGCACGAGGTCGCCTGGGTGAGTTGTATTGGCTACACTCTCCCAAGCACTTTCACGACAACTGCAAAGAAGTCCACAGATTTGCTGACTACTACGTTAACCTGGCCTTGACCACTGACCAGCCTTCTTTGAACGGGCATAACTTAGAAAAAGATCAGAAGAAGGAAAAGTACGTTTTCTTGCAAGGACTTGTTCAAGCCACAAGAGATCCGGTGGAATTGAGAAGTCAGCTTCTGAACATCCTCTTGGCTGGTCGTGACACTACAGCTGGTCTGCTTGGATGGACATTCTACCTTCTGGTCCGACACCCAGAAGTCTTCCAGAGACTCCGTGAAACCATCCTCGAGGAATTTGGCACATTTAATGACCCCAAGGCTATTACTTTTGAATCTCTCAAGGCGTGCACCTACCTTCAACACACTATGTCCGAAGTCCTACGAATGTACACCACGGTTCCTATCAACAGCCGCCGGGCAGTGAGAGATACGACATTGCCTCGTGGCGGAGGTCCAGATGGAACCGCCCCGCTGTATGTGAGAAAGGGACAGGAAGTGAACTATGTGGTTCACATCATGCATCACCGGGAAGATATATGGGGAGCCGACGCTGATGAGTTCAATCCTGATAGATGGGTCGGTCGCAAAGCAGGATGGGAATTCTTGCCTTTCAACGGAGGACCGCGAATCTGCCTGGGACAACAATTTGCATTGACTGAGGCAGGCTACGTGATTGTGCGCATGCTCCAGAAGTTTGATATAATCGAGACTTTCGAAACGGATCCTGTCGCGCGACATCAATACAGTGTGACAACTGCACCTGCCCGAGTGCCCGTTCGCTTGCACGAAGCAACGGTGAATTGAGACGAAAGAGTTGGAGGAAATGAGATGGTAGGAGTGTGCTGTGGGGGAGGGAAGGGGCACTACTGCCAGTGACCGCTAGGTGTGTGTTTACTGCCTCAGGGTAAAATCGTACTGATATGAAGGCGTGCGAGCTAGGCGGTCAATATAACATCGAGGCGGTGTGAAGCTGTATTGGTATCTTTTCAACATGCTGATGTTGTCAAATTATCCTTTCTACCAAACATATTCTTTTCTGCAATTCTCAACTCCCCGGTGGGCGGTCGAGGATTTGCCTTCGGATGAAAGGTCGATTATTCTCCGGACCGCAATTGAGGGTCTTTCGATAGAGGAGCCAAATTCTATACCTTCCTTGTGGCTGGACCTAAGGTCCTCTTCCTCAGAGCCTCGATCCATTCTTCGTGATTTCACAATCGCAGACCGCAATCACGCCCTACAAACAGCTCAGCGAGAATCACCACAGCGATATCTCAGGCTTTGGGTTCCCCCATGAACTGCGGCAAGCGCTACCAGGTACTTCCAAGGAGCGAGTGTTAGATGGATCTTCGATACTGGCGCAGTCATACCCTCGATTCCAAGCAGGACAGGAGACTTTGGGCCACACCAGATCATTCACGAATGATGTCCACATCTTGAAATCCTCGGTCATCTCCAAGACTACTCACGAGGTTTACGACACCAAGGAAACGTCCTCACACGCCCGATCCTGCAATCTCGAGTTGGGTGAAGAGATCTATGCTCATGAAAATACTGGGTGTCAAGATCTTCCCGACTAGGCGGCAAGGAACGGAAACAAGGAGGTGACGACGCGGGTGAGGGAACCTCAACACGGCTTTCGAAGAGGGATAGCGAAGCGGCTGAAGAGGCTCACCGGCACGCACAGGAAGACAAGGAGACCACTGGTCGGCCACCATAACTTGAAGCAGGTGAGCGACAGAAAGACGATGGCGCAATAAAGGTGAAGGAGAAATCCAAGGGCTGGGCCTGGTGGTTGATTTCTGTGGTCAGGCGAAGGAAATAAATTGACGGTTAGCCTGCACGTACAGTAGAATCTCTGATATCGGCATCTCCTCTCTACACTCAGAGGTGTTGAACTTGGACAAGAACGATGATTGAAAGCTCGAGGAAACGTACAAGGAACAAGGAAACCATAGCCGACTACCACCAATGTCTTCAAACCCCTGCCTGGTACTGCATTCTGGCCTCTATCTCAACCTCAAAAGGCTCCTTTCAGCTGCCAGGGTGCGCTTTGGGTGGCCTACGTTCGACTTGGTACGCCGCTGGCGTGTGCGCGTGCTATTTTCCGATTGGTTTGAATATTTACTAGCGCCATGGCCTGCTCGGACACCACTGTGATACGAGCGCGAAGTGATGCAATGCCATGACGTCGACGAGGAGGTCAAAGCAACGAATTTGAATGGTAATGGTTTTCACAGGCCACCCCGGAGCAGGTTTTATGCGCGTTACGTGAAAAATTCAAGGATCGGACCTTGATGCTCTGTGCCTGTGTATTTGGTTTCATGTTCTGGTTCCCATCTGCTCTCTTTTCCTGTGCCAGAATCAACGTCAGCAATTCACCATAGCCGGAACGAGACGCCCTTTCAATCTGTCGCAAGTGACGTGTCAACAGCAGAAGGAGAATAAAACTGTCGTGTGCCACATTTAACCACGCTTGTCCTCCGCTGGCGCTTCTCAGAGGAGACTTCCTAAACAATGTCGTCTTCCATCTCCTCCGCCAGCAGCGCGGCCCAAGCCTCGTCTTTCCCCTCTTCCGAACCAGCGAAGGGAACGTCCACAACCGCGACGGTCCTCACATCTGTGGCCGTCGTACTCACGGTGATCGCAGTTCTCGTCGGGACAATCTGGTTCGCGGGGTATACGGATGATCTAGCGGAATGGTGGGCCAAACGGTATTACAAGGCCAAAGCCCTCGCGGAAGCCAAGGGGCTTCAAAATGCGGGGAGTGAGAAAGTCGAGCGCGTGATGAAGGGTAAGTGTTTGCTATAAATTCCTCCTGGTTTTCCTTCACGTCGGTCGGACGGAAGTCTGACGACCTCTTTGCTGTCATCTCTTATTTAAAGCCCTTACCAATACATATTTTCCCCTTTCGTCGATCTTTATTGCTAACCTCTGATGAACAGATTCTCTGAAGAAGAACCCGGTGATGGGCGAGGATGAACTTGAACAAGTCTCCGGCGGTTTGGGGAAAGAAGCTGTGTCTGAGGGCCCTGGTGGAGTGGATGGGAAGCTGGATGGTTTGGGGAAATTGTAAGACTTGATTGGCGACCAAAAGTTGAATAGTCGTAGGCCTTGATTGGATTTGGGGTGTGGCTGATCAGGTTTGTCACTTATATTGAGCTGTCAGTGTGGTCGGCACTTGTGTCCCAGAAGTCAGCCGGGCAAGATTTGGCCATATCTATGTTCGTGTCAGCAATTAGCCGGTGTCTGTAAAGGGGAACAGTCACGTGCAGATCACGTGTATTGCCCCGAAGCTGGGGACCTCGAGACCGCGAACGTATTATCTTAATGGAAAGTTGCAATAGCAAGGAGTTTCCTCTGACAGGAATCCACGTCTCAATAGGCTAGTTTTTGTCACATGCCAAAAGAAAAAGGGAAGTGAACCTTATACATAGCGATGTATTCGAAGACCATCGCCGGATCTCTTGAAAGCGTATGGTACAATAAGCAAAAGGCTTTCTGCGCGCCACGCAGAATTCGACCATGAATCAACCGAAAAAGCTTGATGATACTGTACGAAACGTCGAAGTCTTGCGCAACGTTGGTGTATCTGGCTGAGTTGGCAATTAGGCGACAAGTCCGAACGTTACCCGAGCGTTGCGCGTGGCTTTTATCAGCTGGGGATCTATGCCAAGAGCTCCGGATTACTCTAGGCAACGTTCGTTTGCGAAGACGGCCACCTCCGTAGATAGGGTGTATTTTCACGCCGCTACAATAACATCGACTTAGAGCGGTGCATCAGGGTCAGTAAGAAATGAGCCACTCTCTTGGGCATGTCAAACCCCAAAATAGCTTCCCTCTCGCTACGCTTCACCGCTTGTATTACTTCATGGTATTTGTGCCCGTGGCCTGTGCCTCTGATTCTCTATACTGCAAGGTCACATCATTACCACTTCCTTTTGCACATTGATTGCGCTATACACACGCTCCCTCCTAGGCCTTTACGTCTCCTCCCACTTTCACGCTCTCAACAGTGGACAATCCTCACAAAAGAATTCGCAAAGTGTCCTGTTTGCGACTTCCGCAGTCGGACCTGCAAATCCCCAGTCTGGCCTGCTGCTGAGGGAATAAAATGTATCGATACGGACCTGCCATGTCAAGCCATCGCTAGGTAGGTGCAGTAGCCAACTTACCAGAACTCCCAGCTTCCTACACATTAAAGATGAACTCTTTCGCAAGGCTCCCCGAAATTGGCTTGGGGTTCTTCCGCAAGGCACCCCTTCCGAAGCTGTTCGTCGAGCAATCCTGCTCCATGACATTCTTGGCTGGATATTCTTGACCATCCTGTGATCTGCTTATCCAGACTTGTCGGGAGTTCTGGCGATCTGGCAGTTGACATTTCCTAACCCGAGATTCTCTTTGAAAATTAGTATTTCTTCCATGTCTTCGGCCCTTGTGCGATCCATATCGGCTTGCTCAATCTTCTCGATTATTTCGCTGGGGATCTAGATTCTTCTCTTTGAAATAGCAATCGCCGCCATGCTGATGAGGGTTGTACTCGCATTAGCTGTCACCCAGGCAGGCTCAGTCTACGGTTTTGCTTTCATCATGTGCTGCGAACTCGTGTGTATGTACAAGAACAAGGCTCTTATCTCCCAACCTAGATCATGCTGACTATCCACGCAGTGCAACAGTATTGTCGCCGCCGGATTTCAGGATCGGCTGTTGTATCCGGGGTCTGAGGGCTTCGAAGCCCGGATGGCAAGCACTTTCTCGCTCACTGCCCGTGTCGAGTCCTGCTGTATCGTTCAACCGCTCACACCAGATGAGACGTCGATGGCGCTCACCGCGCTGATCAATACCGAGGGCTGCAATATTGGCGTCCGAAGCGGGGGCCATGGCATGTGGGCAGGGGCCAACTACATCGCCGACGGTGTCACAATTGACTTTGGTGTGCCGTTCCCAGCCTTTCGGAACTAAGTCGTTTAGGACCCAGACTTATGTATTGGTACTTTACCGTCTAGGGAACATGAACTCGACCACTTACAACGCTGAAACCAATCTAGCCTCGATCCAGCCCAGAACGAATTGGGGGTCGGTATATAATGAACTCCAAAAGCACGGGGTCACCGTGCCGGGTGGGCGTGCATCCACTGTGGGCGTGGCAGGTTTTCTCACCGGAGGTGGTAACAGTTTCTTTGCGGGCAAAGCTGGCTTTGGGTGTGATAACGTTGTCAATTTTGAGGTGGTTCTGGCCGATGGTTCAATTGTCAATGCCAACCGGTCTTCAAATCCAGACCTCTGGCTTGCCCTTAGGGGTGGTCACGGCAACCTGGGACTTGTCACCCGCTTCGACATGGCAGCGATACCCTCCGAGAAGGTGTGGGGAGGTGTCCGTGTGTACGCCAATTCAGCATCACAGCAGCTTGCCGATGCCTTCACGTCCCATGCCGAGGAGGTTGCAGACGACCCGGCCAGCGCAACAGTGATGTTCTGGTCTTACCAGCCCATGCTGAAAATGACCATTGTCATTGGTGCGATTGTCAACACCGACGGTAACGAGAACGCACCTGCGTTGAAGGGTCTCATGAGCGCTGAGCCAATGCTCTCCGCTACTTCTCGCATTACCACACACTCCGGTTTAACGGACGAGCTGGAGCAGCCCTCCGGCTACCAGTAAGTATACATGCCTCCAGGATACCTACCTCAAATACTGACACTTGTCGCCTTCAGTTTTATGTGGATTCCACTGACCTACGCCAATACAAAAGAGATGAACTCGTACGCTGTCCAGTTACATGACTCTCTTGTGGAGGAGCTCAAGACTGAGCTCGGCGAAGACGCCGACTTCATGACCTATGTCGCTCTACAGGCCCTGAATCCCGAGTTGAACAAGCGATCTGTCGAGCGCGGCGGTAACTTGTTGGGTCTCGATCGAGTAAGTTCAAGACACCTAATGCGCCTTCGAAATCCAAGTTGAGCAGGAGTCGCTGACCTGACCGTCACAGTGGGATACGCCTGGTGTCTTGTTCATGGCAGGACTGGCGACCCGGACTCCGGGGCACGATGCTGCCGGCCGCGTCATCCTTCTGCGGTATCTTGATAAGGTCAAGGCTCAAGCGAAGAAGTCGGGAGCTTTGAGAGATTGGCTCTATATCAACTATGGCGACCCTTCAGCAAATCCGATTCCATTCATGGGCGAGAAGAACCTGGCGACGCTGAAAGCCGCGACGTTAAAGTATGATCCCACTGGTGTTTTCCAGACGCGTGTTCTTAGCGGCTTCAAGCTGCCTGTTGAGGACGTAAAGGAAGAAAAGAACAACTCGATTCCTTCGAAGGACGAGTTATAAAGAACCCCTACCGGCATGAATCGAGTGTGGCGATCGCTTTGGTTGGAACACAAAGATGCTACGGCCGACACTCCTAGGTAACTCCGTCTCCGACTATCCTGATAATAATCAGCCCAACGTTGAATGCTATGTCACGAATTTGAAACACCGTCGAATGAATTACACTAATACCTTGGGTTTCAACGCCTACGCCCTTCCTCAAAAGCATTCGAAGACATCAGCATCGATCCGTGGCGCAGCCTCAAGACTGTGCAGCTCCTTTCATTTGAATTGTGCATACCGGCTTTTCTAAACAAATATTCGCATTCTAGTAAGGAAGAGATGTCGGAATCGTCGGTCCATGTTTCAAGAGGGATCGCCGAGATTAACTATGCTAACATAACGAGCTGATATCAATGCACATATCCTATTTTTAGTCTCCGTCGATACACCCGCATGCTCGCTGGAGCCCTATCAGATCCATTCCCAAATACACGTCAAAACCTCGCCCATGACTAGTCCAATCCATTCTCTCCTGACATCTATGCCCATAATTTAGTGTGCACAATCTTCACCTCATGAGACGCTAGCGCAGATGAACACTAGGTCGTGCTAACAATGGCCGATCAGTGTTTGATCCGGCTTGTCAGGATGTGTCAAAACGAGGGACATTTGGCAGGGAAAGTAGATGCTCAGGTAATAAATCTAAGCATATGGAGCAGGGAATAAATCAAGAAGAAGATCCGGAGCTGACACAGAGGCTTAGTGATTGCAGAGGCTATCACGAAAACGGAAGTCCCTAGCTGATGACGATGGGAGAAGCTCAGCAGTCGAAGGTCAACAACCTTGTAATCCGCCCGACAACTCAATGGGACGCCCAACACGAAAAGCGGGTCTCTGAGCCGTAGAGTCAACGTTTGGCCCATCGGCAAGCTATGTTCTAAGCAAATGAAGGAAGGATGTGAAAGGGGCGGGTAGAGAGCCAAAAGACCTTGACGAAGCTGGAATTGCAGCTGGGCAAAGAAAACGAGTTCATCGTGGTACATAAGGCGAAGAGTAACTGCAAGAGAATTCCCCAGACTGATCTTGTAACGGCGGCGTACCCAACGTCGCTGGCAAGCCCCTTCTGGCACCCTCTGTCCGATGATCTCTCTCGGACGACGGTTGACCATGAGCCCGGCCGAAATCTGGACATGCAGGGTGTTTCATCACATCCCATGTTCACACTTTGTCCACCGTACATCGCCGCTGTCCAAGACGCTCGGAGAGGCGAAGGGTCTTCATTTTCCCGGTCTTGACCGACGAGTTGTTTCGCCGTCCGTGGAGGGAACCCCATTCGTCGACCCAGGTTAGGATATGGTTTGGCATATCTTATCGGTTGATAAGGAGGTGGGACTGGAGTTGAGATTATTTCCACATAGTCTACTCGGTACTGACTGGAATCAACGTCAAGCTTTACTTTTTTTCTGCGATCTGGTAGACGAAGATTAGTGAAGACACGGCCCACTATAAAATCTCCATGCTCTATCTCGCCCAGGATGATTATAGCAAAACGGGCTTGAGTTGAGTAGAATCTATCGGCATCCTTCCCTTAGAACCAGCGCTGCGATGTGATAGTCAACAATAAATATGTGGGGAGGGGATTGTAATGATGCGCAATCCTCTGAATATTTCCTCTGAAGCTCATCCAAGTCCCAGAAAGAGTTGTTGTAGGCGTCAAGAACTTCATCGGCAGAATCGAATTGTCTTTTCTAATAGTACAAAGGATTCCATTCGTACAGGGTAAACTATTCCGTTCAATGATTGCCTTCAACTTCTCGTGGTATGAAATCTTTTCTCTCCATCAATTGTGGAAGTTCTCCCCAGTGGCAAAAAGTCGGATTAAATAATATTTGGTCGATTCGGATCTCTGGGTATCTAGTGGCACAGCTGCCGCAATTGAAGCCGAGATGCTGGCTACCCCTAAGGCTGGCGCGCCTAAAGGACGTGTTTGCGTGGATGTGTTTGCGTAGACATCCATACAAAGTTAATCCGGCCATGCTTACAGGCGCAGAGATGACAGATTGCTGTTGCTACTATCACTTCGGGAGACCCATGGGTAGGGCTTTGTGGGGGCATTTGTGACCAGTTGAGTTGCCAGGAAGGCTCCTACCTATCCATTGTGACCATGGCACATCATCCTCCCGACTCATGCCGGTCTCACCACTCACTAGTTGTGCATCCATATTCTGTGAGCGTGAGCCTGTTGTGGTTTCCTCTTCTTCACCCAGCGATTCTTGGGGTTTTATACGAGACAAATGATTGGTCCCGAAGTCGGAACCGCTTTCGGGGAAAGAGGAGAGGGAGGCCGAGTATCCATCCCGATCGTAGATCACTAGATAGCACTTTGATGTAGACCGCGAAGTCGAGACTTCCCGCGCTTGTTTGACTCCCCAGGGATCGGTCTCTCTCGATTGCGGCAAGCGAACCCTCCAGCGAGCCCGATTGTTTATTGCTGATTGCCATCCTATGGTACAATGATTTCGTGTCGGCAAGATTCAAGAGTCACATCCTGCCCGTCAGTCGGACGGCACGAGGAACAAAACTTCACAGCCGAAATTATCAATCCATGGGGCCCAGCATTTTCCCGTTCTGTTCCACCTCTCGTGGATGATCCGAGACAGCGGATCTGCAAGTCTTGATGTTGGTCCATAAGGATTATCTCGACAAGACGATCCTTACCGGCAGATAACTTTGTGCGGTATTCACGCCCAATTTCGCTTCCACCACAGCCACCTTCATCTCTTATCAGCCTCTAGAAAGACTCCAGCGGTCAGTCGCAATACCATTGCCCTTTCCGCCTCGGCCGACCTTGGTGATTCAGCCCCGAGTTGACCAAACGGGCGGCGTGCAGGATAGGCATGGCCTGGTCGTAGTGTGGAATTCGTGGATCTAACTGGCTCCAGCCATCACGGTGAGATTCACAGGCCTCCACCGTCTCTCGAAACTCCGGGGTCAGCAAGACGTGATTTCATGTAGCACTGCGCTCAAGGTGCCAGCGGCGGCAGTGACAACTGCGATAGCAACAGCGACAACTCACCCCTCTCACAAAAGGGACAGAGACTATGCTAGAGTGGCAGATGCGGAGGACGTCTCCTCCGGAGAGGACGCGTCTACCCATTGCGTGGTCAGATGGAGGGTCATCGTTGATCGTGAAGGTGAATCTCATCAGCAGAGAACTAAGTTACACTTACAGTGCGAAAACCTGTTCAAGAACAAGTACCCGTTACGAGAGCGGAGAAACACGCTCGAAAACGAGCGGTAGCCGAGGAGCGAAGATAAAATGTGTCCAAGGACAAGGTTCGGGCCACATGACGATATCCTGCGGCCGTTGCCTCCGGAGAGATGATATGCCCTTTTTCCACGAGTCAGTTACAAGACAAGGCTCTACCCCTTTGCCGGCCCCGGTTTCTAACCCTCGGAATTCGGTCACGGTTGCCGTGTTATGGACACTCGCCAAAGGACAGAGGTCTCGGCAAGACTGTCACGCTCTCTTGGCACGATTCTCTCTGCCGTAGATAGTTAAGGAATACAATCCTTCATCCACACCACCAGAGAGGCCATAATATGCTGACCGTGGTTCAAAATGCGTTCTCAGACTTGTTCTCGCACCAAATAGTGCTAAGCCCGTACCTGCGCCTAAATACCGTGCCAAGGTTCCCCATTATATTTTGTTCATCACGCGTCCCTCTTCTTATATCCGTTTCTCTATCGACTGCTTCATTCGTTCAGCATGCTAAAGGCCAGCAGTCAAGCCACAAGAAGGCGCTGCGTGGTTCCAACCAGTCCTGTGCTTCCTTTAGCGTCTCTCTTTCACTGCCATTCCCGAATTCCTCGTCGCTATGCTCGCATTCCTCTTCTGATATCGCGACTCAGTTCAACTTCCCTATCGAATTCGAAGCTCGCCCTGTCCGGCGAGCTGACATCGTTCCCCTTAGGAAGATCAGATTTCGGAGAGATCCGCCAGCTCCCTGGAACAGCGTACTTTGACAAGACGGAATATATCCCTGTGCTTGCGGGGGGGCCGGCTGTTCAGCTTGTTTGCCGCCCCAGGCGATTTGGAAAGTCGCTCACGATCTCTATGCTGCGATACTTTCACGGATTCCAGTTCCGCGGTAAATATCATGAGCTTTTCCAGGTGTGTGGTGGGATCCTCCGTGCCATATTTGCCCACATCTCTAATACTAAAGAGGATCTCGACGTGGACAAAGCTGTCCAAAATCGCACAGTTGCGCCTGGAAAATATTTTATCCTGACATTCAACTTCTCCCGCGCCGCACGTTCCGGCCCAAGTGTCGGGCCCCTGACGCGAGAAATGAACCGCGGGTTATCACAATTCAAACTCGACTACGCTGCACTTCTCGGCAATCCATTCACGTCGGAAATCTCTCATTTTGATAAGAATGACCCAGCCGGAAACCTCACAGACCTTGTTGATGCTGTGGCTCGGACGCTTGGCGGTATTCATGACAAGGGTGATAAGGGCCGTGCTCTATGGGATGTGCAAGGGGTATGCTTGTTCCAGGCTCCTCCATGCTATAATGGATTCTAACGCCTAAAGATCTATTTGGTGGCGGATGAATATGACGCTTACTCCAACGAATATATGGATCCCCATGATCCGAAAACGTGGTCTGAGACCGAGTCCTTTTATCTTCTAAAGGCATTCTGGTCCAATGTTAAAGCTGCTCGGTCGCTTTATGGTATTCGAAAAACGTATATCACTGGAGTCACACCCCTTCTTTTGAGCGGCCTCACTAGCGGCGCCAACGACCTAGAAAACACCTCTTTTATTCCAGAACTGTCAACTATTTGCGGATTAACTCGATCCGACGTGCTAAACGCGTTAAGAGTCATCTGTCATAATAAGGAAGACATACAAAGGCATTTCAGGGAATTAGAACGCTAGACTAACGGGTATCACTTCTGTCAAGACCGGAGGGTTGAGCCAGTGCTCAACACACACACTGCTCTTTCATATCTTGAAGTAAGCAATGAGAAAAATTATCTAACTCTAATACTAATCATTGGATATATAATGTTCAAAAAGGACGAATCCCCCGACCTCGGAGCAACCCAAACTCAGAAGTCTCTGAGCCCTTCTTACGGATATGTGCCCAGGCGCCTGCGGCTGTGAAAGACATTCAACTTGCACTTCGAAAGGATGAGCACGGCTCTTACCAAAAAATTCCGTGTACCAACATGTTGCTCGGCCTAGATCTATCTCAGTGAGTAAGTTACCTTCAATGTTGGCAGGAGGAATTATACTGGAAGAATGAATCTCACATTCCTGTCTATTTAGCATTGCTGGAGAGGGCGACATATCGGCATGGCGATCCTTAATGACCTACATGGGTGGCCTGACTTTTGATCCCGACGATCCCTCCAACTTCTTGAAGATACCGAACCTTGTCGCTGCGACGAGGTTTGGATCTGCAATGCTCAACCGACTTGGTTTATACAATTCCATGACAAGTGCCCTTCGTAATCTTGCTCGGACTGGGAGCCCAATGGACGTCCTGGCCGGGTACTGCCACATGATGCGGCAACATGATGTCGTCGGAGAGGCTTTTTCAAAGAAGGAGGAACACCACCGAGACAGCATCCAGTGGACGATTCTCGAGAACCCTGCCCTGAAGTCAGCAGCTGAATACAAAGTTACGAAGGTGATATCACTGTTGTTATACAATAAGAGCTATGGTGAAGCTGACCTATATAGTGGACCAACAATACAGGCTATGTCGATCTCCTTATCACGGACGGTAAGAAGCTCTACACTGTCATCGAGTTTAAGAACATCCCAATCGCTTATTTGGGACTTAGTGGAGAAGAGAATCTCGAGAAAGCCCAACAGCTCGAAGCCATGAAGCTGATCGAGATTCTTAAGCCAAGGTTCAAGGGCGATAATTACCGAACAGGTACCATCCGCAGCTGGGTTGATGGAAGAGGCAGCGGTCGAAATTCTGGAAGTGTTCGCAGACAGCTTCAGTCTTACATTACAGGGCCCACCGTGCAAAAGGAGATTACGAACAAAAACTTCTGTGCTTTCACAGTAGTGATTATTGGATCGTGTCAGATACTCGTGCGGGAGATGGATAGGCATGGTAAATGGGTCGACGAATTTGATCTTGCGAGATGGAATGGGGGAATACTCAAGAAATGACGGGGGTATGCATTTCTAGTCAGGTCTGGATCTATTCTCGGAACAACCTCCTCACGTACCTTCGCAGTGGAACTGAGGAAAAGTGGATGGAAATAACCTCAAAGAGTCAACGGTATCGATTCGGGACTAACTATAAAACCAGCAGCAATCACTTCGTCTGCAGCTCCGCAGGAAGATGAAGGGAATCGACTCACCTAGGTGGCATTTGTCAGTTGCCTAATGGATCTACAGTCGGGCGGCCTGCCAAACTGACCAATATCTTCGTTGATTGCGGAAATAGTATTCGATGGGAGCACAGATCCCAGGTAACAGCACATGGATCCCACGCCGGAGCAAGGGCTCAGGTAGCATCCTTTGGGCAGGTCATTGACGTCGCCGCACACTACCCGGGGATGGATCTCTTCGGCCGAGATCGCCAATTCGGCGTATTTCATTTTCAGGGTCGATGTGCTCGTCGTGATGGGTGACTCCAGCGATCTCGTTATCCCCTGTTGGTTCGGCCATTCTTTGAGAGATTCAGTCGAACCAGCAATTGGGTAAATGTGGTAATTCAGGCGACAAAAGCTGCCTGTTATTTGTGCTGTCACATTCCCCGAACTTTTGGCACGATCTTTTATAAGCCAAGGGGTAGTGACCTGGCATTGAGGGAAGAACGCCGCCAAAAGCGGCGGCATAAGCCTCCAAATTCGGCCGCAGATTTCCCTTCAACTTGCATTGTGCTGCAAAGCTGATCGGCGTATCTCTTCGGAAAATTTAGATCCGGAATGATGGTGCGTGGAGAATGTTCCGGCAATGGTAGAAAGGCGATGACGTCCCACTTTGTCGCAGCTCAGCTGTTCGGATCGCGGCTAAGTTTGAGCCCTATGGGTCAACATTGGACTAGTCGGCGGGTCCTCAAGGACCAACCAGTTTGATAGGCCGGTTGGCTCCACTCAAAGGGGAGGGCGACTGGGGCGGCTCCACCCCCGCGGATGGCGAAAATGACGCTGCCATGCAATGACGTAAGTCGAAATTTTGCTGCGCCTTGTCTTTCAATAACTAGGAAAGCTGTAGCTTTTATGCCCTCAATCTTTTGGTAGGCCTTCTTCGGTAGAGGAGATTTAATACAAATGGACCAGGGAAAGGTCAATGAAGGCTTAAATAAGGTTACACAAGCGCCCCGTTGAAACCCAAGATGTTATACTGACGAAGCTCTTATCAGCCTGTTACCGAACATGAAAGGCGGGTCTACGCACGGTTTGGAAGTTTGCCTAAGCAAAACATCCTCCTACGTTCGCAAGTGAAGGTAAGTCATTATCCCTGGGTTCCAGCACCCGACAGCCGAGATTTGAAGCTCACCAGCTTGCAGGAACGCAAATTCTTCGACTCTGGAGATTTTGCCATTTCCCAGGCTACCAATGACTCTGTGACTGGCCATCCGCAAACGGGAAAGCAACATCCTGCATCCAACGAGATTCCTCATCTTTCCTCACCCGTACCCAGCGATAGCAACGTGAAACCGGATGCCAATACTTCGCAACACCGCAAAGTTATCAACAGCCCGAGAGAATCCACCTCTCCCGAAACGGACCACCAGTATGAACCAGGGAAAGAGCAAAGCTCAAAACTCGCTCGCAGCCTCGAGTATAATCAGAAGGAGTCTTTTGGCGTGACGGCGCAAAATTCAGCGCGGAATGATAGCAAAGCAGCTTGACATTTGCGAACGCGTTGGAACGCATCCAAATCTTAAATGGCATATACAACTTCTTGGAGACAATACCACAATAATTGGAGCTCCTTGCATTCTCTGTACGAGTGGCTCGCAGCGAAACTTCTTTCTTCTACAAGGCATGCATTCTCTTCTGAGTGATGTCATCGACCCACGCAGCGCCCCACATCGACAATGCCATTTCCCCGGTCCACACGCACGCCCTGACCTTTAGCTTCTAGCATGACACACGCGAGTCCAGCGTTCTGCCGGTTGATTGACTGATTGATTGATTATTCTTACGCCCGTGCAGGCCGCTCAGCTCCCGCGTCTGTGGTAGCTTGTTGTTACAAGCAGCAACGAGATAAAGGAGTGTCGACCGAAGGACTCAGCCTTGTTGATGTGTGATTTTAAAGAGGACGTGTTCCTATTTCGAAGGGTCCAAGGGACCGTCAGACTATATAGTTTTTCGGAGTGTGTATGAAGCTTACAACGCCTCCGACGGTCTTTACAAGCCTTGGCGTCCACTTATCACAGGCATGGCCGGGAGAAACAGGAAAGATGAATTTGTATCCTACCCCTATATTCACATTTTCCTGACAAATGTCTGTTATCCGGAATGATAAGGAGAGACTAACTGACTCATCGACAGGGAACCAACCCATTTCTATCCGCCTCATCGCCGAACTGATACTTAACAGTGTCTGCTAGGCCCCTGCTCAAAAATGCGTGCTCGTCTGCTAGACAGCTAGTGGCGCGAGGCTCAACGGCGGCTCCTGCGACCTGACTGCGCTGATTGCGTCCTTACACAGTGTCTGGTCCGATGAGCACGGCATGTTTGCCGTCGTACGGTTCTTGTTTGATGAATGTGCGATAAAATGGCCGAGGCTGGCCCCGTCACAGCGTACTAAGGCCTTCGAGGACCAGTTAGCTGATTTGATTGGCCTGCGGACCTGCACAATAAGGACTTTGACACTGTCCAAACAATTGAGAAGCAGTGGTTGCCCAAAATCGTGGAGTAAAGGGACGCCTTGTCCCATCGCGGCTCCTAGCGGCCTCTGGGCACGGTTAGGCAATGAATTACGTCGCCCATTTGGAAATTTACATTTCATCGCCGTAGAGACCGCGTTCGAATGGAAAGGTTACATGGAGAGCGCCGTGGCTTCAGGGGAACGTGGCGCATTCGAGGTGATTGAGGCACTGCAAGGGGGCAGGGACAGAGCGTTATGTGAGCTCTGATTCCCCCGGTGAATCTTCAGGGCCATTGCATTGCCGGAATTTTGTAGGAACCGGTATAAAATCACCCATTGTTTCGAATATCCTCTTAGCACTACGAGAAGATAGGACTTGAAAAGTAAAATTTTATATACCAAGTCCGTTCCTCAATCTTTAGTCAACCGTCTCGACCAGCTCTTCTCCCAATATTACCTCCCCTTCACCTACAAATTGTGCAAACAATCGCGAAAATGGATCTCACGATCTTAAAAAACAATAACACCGTCGCGGGTGCCTCTGCATCCCGTCACCGGGGCAAACAAATATAGGTGGTCTTTGCCGTGGTATCTCAGCCATGAGTCCCAAGGCTTGCCCTCGTCGTAATGCTTTTCTGGCTGCCCGTAGTAGTCACGGCATAGATTACGCACGTCGGGTAGATCGCTCATGGATCGTCGACGTTCCACTCCTACAGGACCATGCCGCATAAGCCGGAACATTCCAATCGCATATCCGAGCGCTCGTCATCGTCGTCGGATCATAGAGCTTTTCCTCGGCAAGGACGAATTCTTCAAAATCCGAATCGCCAACGTCGGCATGGCGTCAAAGTTTTGACAGAACGGTTTCTGCTTCGGCATCATTCCTCTTTTCATCCGTTTCTGGGCTACTGTCACCATGGACTAGTCGAAATCCTCAAGCGGCTTCCTGCACGGAATTTTCTTCTCCTTCTTTCGTTCCTTCTCCTCGAGAATAGATGGGAGGTGCCTCGAACACTGTCTCGTTTCGCGGACGATCCTGATCCCGTCCGCTCGGAAGCCGTGATGGGTAGGCTGTACATCATATTCGAATGGATCGTCAACACCTTGCCGCAAACTCGCAAGCGGCCGCAAGATTGATGCATCATTGGCATCGTAAGTATCCATCAGGAGGTCCATGCAACATTGAAATGCCGCATTTTGGGTCCAGGTAGCCCACAGCAAAGTCCTTGACTTTGTAAACGATGAGATACTCTCTCAGAATATGCCTCGACCATGTCGCCTTATCCGCAACTCCCTCAGTTCTTGCAAAGTTCCAGCAGAGCTAAGCATTTTGACGAAGTAATCCCGTCCATGCGAAGCAGCAACCACGCCCGTTTAGGTCTGCCAGAATCAGTCATGTTCTGGTTGGTCGTTAATGTAATCACCGTTTTCTACAAATTCAGCCAGAAGAATAGTGACAATCAACTCACAGTTTCATGCTAACGTCGAAAGCCGCGAATTTGAAGTCACTTGTTTCTGTAAAGCAGCGAACACCGACCCAGATGGGTGCCATGACACCAAGGAATCGGGCTATTCGTATGCATCCCTCACTTACCTTAGCGTATGGCAGATTCTGCTTTAATTCATCTGACAAGGGAACTCGGGAGTGGGAAGTGGCTGCACCACGTCGTTTGTAGGTTGCAATACCATTGTCGTGATTGAAACGGACAACGATCGGCATTACCCAATAGTTCGGCGTGTCCTTAGATGGGGCAATGACAGTCACAGTTCCTTCTTGACCTGTGAGGAATTCTTGCAACATAGCAATTGGGCTTTCTTTGGTTGGCAAGATCGAGGAAGACTCTGGAATCTGCCTTCCATGATCGCATGGTGAAAGTTCCTTGCGCCCGTAGTAGACTGCTGACATGGGCTTGACATCGTATTGCTCAACAAGCTGCGTAAGTTAGTCGACCACTTTTGACATGACTGGCGTGGGGGTCAATGGCGGAAGAAGTTTGAAGCGGGTGCGAGGTAAAGAGGATTGTATTGGCCCAGAGGAGAGTTGCACCCTTTTCTAACGCCGCCTTCGGGATCAGGAAAGCACCATCCTCATCTCGCTGTGGATATGAGTATTGCTCTAGAGTAACGACATTGGCGTTGGCAGACTTGGGAACATCAGCAATATCTGCTCCTGAATCTTTATAGCCGTCAGGTTTCTTTAGTTTTCTCACTCCGTTGATAACTCGAGGCTCGCAAACCTGGTAAAGAATTGCAACGGGCGGCATCCGGGACGCATACCGTCGACGCGGAAAGTCGTGAAAGCCGAGGGGCCCTGCCAGTGCAGCCTTTGCCCACATTTGTTGAAGCGCTCATAATAGGTCGAGTATGACGTACACGAATACCTATGAGAGCATTAAGCAGGCGCTAATTGTAATGACGGGTTTGTTCATTTCACATACTGGATTCGGGCACCATACAAGTTCACGGTCAGCGAGATAGACCCAGAGTTGACACCAGCAATAATAAAGGCTATCATTCCTTTGATCTGAATCAGACGTCCTCCACATATAAACTGCCAACCAGGTTATTCGGTTGAAAGGTTCGTGCCATCATGAAGCCGGCATGTTTTGGCATTTCGGTCTGCTTGTAAGGGAATGGTCAGTCGACAGCCTCGGCCCCAACTGCTGAGGCAAAGATACAGACTATACTGTAGTTAACCAACTGCGCCTGAGTCCGGAGCGTGTTTCTCCGTCCAGGACCTTTCTACACCGACTCGACACTCCGACTCTACACGCCGACTTCCCCCCCTCATTCTCGAATATGATGCTTCTCTGAACTCCCTACTCAGTCACTTCGGACTTGTACATGATTGCACTATGAACAACAACACATCTGCGAAAGACCGTCTCTGGTCTCGACGTGAGATAGAGGGGTTGATTGCGGAAGGAAGAAAGATCATTATCCTCAATGGACAAGTTATCAAGGCCGATGCATGGCTCCCTTTTCACCCGGGAGGTGACAAGGCCATTCTACACATGGTTGGAAGAGATGGGACAGATGAGATCTGCGCTCTGCATTCAATGGAGGCACAGGCACACATGCGGAAGTTTGTGATTGGAAGAGTCGAGGGCAGATGGGCAAACTTCCTGCCTCCTATTCAGGGTGGATACTTCCGACCATATACGAAAGGCGAAGAAGGAGGGGAGGAGGAGGTTGATACTGACCTGCAAAGTGAACATCTTCTCAGCTCCTCAAGCGATAGTTCTGGCCCACCGTCACCTATCTTCGATCCAGTTGACTCTCCAGCATGGGGCCACATGTCGAGTTTCTCTGTTTCCTCTGTTTCTGAGGATGGACAAGCTATCGGCAAATCTGACCCCATTGAAACAAAGCTCTCAGCGGAGAAGTCATCGGATATCTTGAAATACCCGTCCCTAGATCACAAGTCACAGGATGAAATTGTTACCAAATATAGGGAGCTAGAAACCCGAATTCGTGCTGCAGGGCTCTACGATTGCCCCTATGGCGCATACGGAATCGAATGCTGCCGATACCTTCTCCTATTTGGCTCCTTCCTCCTGGCTCTACACTACTCCTGCTACGCGCTCTCTGGTGTCTTTCTCGGTATGTTCTGGCACCAGCTTGCGTTTACTGTTCACGATGCTGGTCACATGGGAATAACTCACGACTTCCATATCGACACCTGTATCGGAATTTTTGCCGCCGATTTCCTGGGTGGTCTTTCTGTCGGCTGGTGGAAGCGCAACCACAATGTCCATCATATTGTGACCAACTCTCCCGAACATGATCCAGATATCGAGCATATGCCTTTCTTTGCCATCTCCACGCGCTTCTTCAACTCCTTGCGCTCGACCTACTACGATCGCGTCATGGATTTCGATGCTGTGGCTAGATGGGCCATCTCGAAGCAGCACTGGCTGTACTACCCTCTCCTGACCTTGGGTCGCTTTAATCTCTACCGCCTCTCCTGGGAATATTTGTTATTGGGGCAAGCTCCTAAGAAGGGCCCAGCTTGGTGGCACCGCTGGCTCGAGATCCTCGGACATGTTGTGTATTGGACCTGGTTTGGCTACGGAGTCGTCTACAAATCCATTCCCAACGCCTGGGACCGTTTTGTCTTCGTCATGGTGTCCCACATGGTCACTGCGCCTCTCCATGTCCAAATAACCCTGTCGCATTTCGCCATGTCAACCAGCGATATGGGTGTCCACGAATCATTTCCCCAGAAAATGCTTCGCACGACCATGGATGTCGACTGTCCGACTTGGCTTGACTTCTTCCACGGCGGTCTCCAGTTCCAGGTGGTCCACCATCTCTACCCGCGAATCCCGAGACATAACCTCCGTCAGGCACAAGGATATGTCAAGGAATTCTGCAAGGAGACGGGGATTCCATATGCGATTTACGGCTTTGGTCGGGGCAATCAGGAGGTCATTAGCAGACTTGAAGAGGTGGCCAAGCAGGTCAGGGTGTATGAGGAGTGCAGGAAGGCATGTGCCCGCGAGCTGGTAGAGGGGCATCGACACGATCTTTGAAGGAAAATGAATGCAAATGCACATTTGTGATGTGGCGATGTGAATGACTCTAATCCGTAGATTCTTACACTGTTACTGGGATGTATGCGCCGATAATGATGAGGTGAGCAAATGTATATAGAGTCGATGAATGAGGATAGATTGGTACATAGCGCGTGATATGGGGCTTGTTAGGCTCTGCCGCAGCTCTTGGGGTTTAAAGTATTTCAGGTCAAAGGGAAACTTACAAGGGTACAAGAACCCATCTTGAATTTTTGCTAGGAATTGTACCGACAAGAATAACACTTTTGCCAGCCCATTACACAGCCTCAAAGCCCATCTCCCCAATCCGAAATCGGAACCCCTCTTCGCCGGTTGTTCCTCTCACTCTCGCTGCTTGGTTGGCGCTCCAGTCTACATCCGCCACAAACGTCGTGTTCCTTACGGCCTTAAATCTCTTGTCGGCATCTCGAAGGCACTCTTCAAGCGACATCTGCGGCGGAAACTGAGGAACTGACGTCCGAGAAAGCGTGAGTGTCAATGTCGCGTACGACGTCCACGGTGTAAGGAAAGGGGACGTCGGCCCTGATGCAGCCGTTGGATGGAAGCCGTCGGGTCGCTTTGCTGGAGGAGATATAGGAGTCGTGCTGAACACGACGCAACACTCAAATCTCTCCTGTAAAGCTTTTAGCCTGTCGATGATCTCCGACGCTTTAGATTGGCCACCTGAGACACCGGGCGACTCCAGTCTTGCCATGTCCTGATCGAATCTGTCTTGCCAGTAGAACGCGGTCGCGGAGTCGATGATAATGAGACTGAGCGATCGATGAATCGACAAGTGTTGCGACCGGTCCAAGAGATATGTGGGAAGAGAATCCAAGATGGAGATAAGCTGGGCGGAAGATTGTGGGCGGAAGATGTGGGCGTGATTCAGGGCTTCCATGGCCGTCTGCTTGACCCTGGTTTCAGGGATGTCCGCTGGTCGCGTTTGGATGTGATGTTGCATCATCTGCAAGAGACGAGCAGCAGAGAAGCGGCCATCATTGTCAATGTATACGATTGTAGATTCTTTACCACCCAGGTCTCTTGGGAGGATGGATAGGGCGGAGAGGTAATGGAGCAACATCGTCTTTCCGGAAGCAGATTTTCTGCTGGTCAGTTCGATGGTTGCGAGTCGAGGTTTGGAAATTTGTGCGAACTCTTCATGTCCATCGATATTTGTACTGGCATGCTCGTGATCATTGAGTTCATCAACCTGGTCTCCAAGAGCGGTGCTCACAGCGGTTGGTGATGGCCATCCCGGTTGCCGTCCGGCTGGTTGAGCACGGAAGCGAAAGATCTCGAGCAATTTGTCCAGTCCTGGAACACCGAGCACGTTTTTGGGCTGAGGACGTGCTGCATGCCTAATATCTGCAAGGAACTGGGTTCGCGTGGAGTGATCAGTCTCCTTTCAGTGTTGGGGGTGTGGTGACGAGGCTGAGGCAGATGGTATGGAAAGGAAGGTCAAGCGGAAGATTTCCAACTCTCTCAACTCAAACTCACCTGTTCGAGACTTTGCTCCTCCACCTCCTCGAGGAGTTTGGCTCCGTATTGTTTGGCCGACATGTTCTCGCCATGACCAGAACCAAGCACCTAGTCTCGATTTTGCAAGCCGGAAGCCTAGTGGTGTTGAAGAAATCGACAGAAAGAGAAGTGCGATCTCGCAAAACGTGTCGGTATTAGAAATCCCAATGGCTCCACCCGAGCATCCTTTCCCAGTCAGCGACCTCGAGCGGCGCGTGCATTACCACACCGTCAATCTGAAAGAGAAGAGTAGGAAGTTGGGGGATTTCGATCTGAAGCGGGACTGCGAATTGCTCGAGCTGGTCCAGTATAGCTGCACCACCCTCGAGCAGCAGTACGAGCGAGCCCTGTCAAATCCGCAGGGTGCACCCCGCATGGAATGCTTCCCTTTCGTACGATTATTCAGAAAGTACTGAATCCCTACGTTTCTAGCAGAAATTTTCTGTTGCTGACCTCGAGGCAGATGTGAAAAGAATGGGAAGGTCTTCCACGTCGAAACGACCGCATGGGAGGGCCCACATGCTTGGAAACCGCCTGCGGATTCCGGGCCAGTGGCGGGTGCGATCAACAAACGCGACGAGGAGTCCAAAACTGAATCTTCGGCAAATCTCTTTGAAAATTATGGGAATTTGTTTTGGTCTCAAAAATGAGCCATGCCCCGGGTATCATATGCATTTTCCGTTCCTATCCAACCACCAACGTCAACGCCAATGCCATGTAAAATACCACGAGTCGTAGGTTCAAAGCTCCATCACATCCGGGCCACTGGGACCTGAGCTGGCTGGCTTTTCCTGTCCACTAGACGCAGCACCGTTCATATGCGGCCGCCTCTTGACCTGCACATCGTCGGGCATACGATATGCCTTCTCACAAGTCACAATCGGGCCCAATTCGAATCCTCCCGGCTCTTTAGCAAGAAGATCTCGCAGAGTCTCTTCAAAAATAGTCTCTTCCGATTGATCCACACCCTTTTTCCACCGCTTCCGTTGCCGAGGCGTGCATTTCTGCCTAGAAGCTTCGGAGTCCAGTGGGTGAGCGGCATCCAATTTGACTGCCCCGGCCAACTTTCGCAAGGCCTGCTCTCCAAGCTTTCCCTCCTGTGTCGCTAATTCTCTGATCCTTCTGGTGTCGACCTCTCGGTACGGATATACAGGCGAATCTTTGAAAGTGTGCGCGGAAGGCAGATCTGGCAAACCCTTGGTGTTGAATGAGAACTTTTGGAGTTGGCCGTGTCCGTCGAGTTCAGGGTCGAGGAATGAAGGAGGGATATCGATGGTATTGTGAAATTCATCTTCAGGAGGAGGAGTCAGTAGTAAGGGGGGGTTGATGGAATGGTTGGTTTTGTATTGTCGAAGTTGGTCATCGAGTCTTGGAACGTCAAATACATCGATTGCGGTTTCGAAATCGGAGGCTATAGGGGTAGTTCGACGGGCTGCGAGCATCGACCGACGGACTTTGGAAAGGAACTTGAGCACGACTGAATGAAAGTCAGCAAAATATAACCAACTCCTTCAGGGAGATGATACATTCTTCCACCGCGCCAACCAAAGCTTCGAGTGCAACTGACTCAATGACTGGACTGCTGATGTCCTGTTTCAGAGCCTCCTCTTCGCATATTGCTTTGATGCAGTCTATCAGTAACTTATCAACCGTCTCTTGCTCCAACAAGGTCGGTTCTCTTGTAGGCAGGGCTTGAAGCTTATGTCGCATGACATGGTGGTGATGATAAGGGACTTTTCGTTTCGGCGAGGTTGTAGACATCTGCTTGAACGAAGAATCGCAGATTCAGGGATAGGTCGTCTGACTAGGAACTCCAGCACATATTCCGTGAACGATTCAAGAGAATACAAGAAGGTGGACTGATCGCGCAGGCGAGTGCTGTGGAGCAAAAGTGCCGCCAAGGCCCATTTCGACTTGAGGAAGCTTCAAGAGCTTTTCCTCACACCACATCTTTGTCTCTAACGGCTTTCAAACTCCAAATCCACACCCTCATATCGGCTGTTTCGGTCGTTTCCAGCTGTCGGTCTATACCGGGAACATATCACATCTACGAAACTTGGGTGGTTCGAGCCCGGCGAGAGCTCGTAAAGAAAAGATGGCGATCAAACCAATCACAGGAGTACGTCTGTCTTCCGTTCAGCAGATTTATTGTGCTCAATTAAGCACATTGTATGCATATTTCGACATGTAGAGCTGCAAAACTAACGGTCGATCTCATGCAGATGCTTCGACGAGGCCTCGTCTTGGATATAAGTATTGCGCTCGGTAAGCCACGTTCTTGAACTTCCGGCTCTATTGCCGGATCAGAGTTCGACTTGGGACGAAAATCAGGGGGATACCTATGCAAATGGCAAAGACAATATGAATCAAAGAGCTGGAAAGTATGAAACAAAGACGATCTAGAATAGCTGACCACGAATTGAAATATAGGTCTGGGAACGACGTTCGGCTATCTGTGGTGGTACGGTACGTAACGAGAGACGCTTGACAACCTCCGAATCCTCCCCGTCCGAACTTGCAAAGCAATATCCCAAGTTTTCACACTCGGGAATTTGAAGCTAGAATCCTGACAACAATCAGGCTACCACCTCCCCCGCGTCCGAGCTCGAGACAACTTTTACGCCAAATTAGAAGACCAGCGAGCCCGAGACGCTGGGTTCAAATAAATCAATCTTCTCTGGGCTAATTTTTGCAAAAAAGATAACCCTACCTGTGATCTGCGAGAAGGGCCAGACGATTGATCTCAGGTGGTGGGAGAACGCCACCCTGACGGAACAAATAGAAAGCAGGAACAGAGAGGGCGCTGTACATATTTGATCTTACTGCATGAAAAGAAATGAAAGAGTAAAGACTCTTCACACGTTGTTCGTTCGTTTCTGCTTTTTTTGGCATTCTTCTGGCGAGTATTGCGGACCAAACTCGTGAGTCTGCTCTAGGACACGGTGGCTATCGGTGATTCGAATCCAGAAGCCTGGCGGGCGGATGCGAATCCCCAAATTCAATGACACAATTTCAAAGTTGAGAGCCCTTTTTGGTGGAACAATCTTCTCTTCCGACGTTCTGATACATCGCTATTCTGAGGACAAAGGCCAACAAATACGACCGAAGTTGAAGAACGGGTTGTCCTGTTCTCTATGCATGCTGCTCGTGGCCACGGTCCACCTCTCTGGCTAAGGGTCCTCTCACCTCAGCTATTGGCAGGTCCTTAAATCCTGGTTATGTCCACATGAAGTTGTCGTCATTTTCATCAAGCTCATGCTCTCATCTTCTTTTTCGCTCACGTTCTCGACCAGCTTTATTCCATGCGTCCTCGAAAATTGTAGGTCTCCTGGACTTATCCTTGCCTTCGATATTCAGATATCTCACGACCTCGACACTACCCGTACCCACGGTCATGGTCTTCCCCACAATGACAGACTCGCTGACACCCTCGATCTTATCAATCTTGCCTGCCATCCCTGCGTCAAAGACATGATCAGCCGTCTTCTCGAAACTGGCCAGCTGGAGGACACTGTCGCGCATCTTCGCCAGCCCGAATCGCGTAATCCCCAATACTTCGCCTTTGTATGTCATCACGTCCGCCAAGAGTGCCATATGACGAGGGTCAATCGAAAGTCCTTTGGTAACTTCCTGGATTTCTGTGATGATCTTGGAGCGAGCAGCTTCGATACCGAGGACTTGCAGAGTTTCAATCACCGAGTTAGTCTGCGTGTGATATGGATCGACACCCTCCGTGTTCATGCAATAGAGTAGCCCATAGCCTTCCACCATGACCTTGTGCATTTGTTCGGGTCTGCTGTTTGCATCAGGGGGTTTGGGTACTGCGGGCTGGGAAGAATCTTCGATCTTGATCTTCGATGTGGTTTTGGAAGATGCGGTGTCGTCTCCATTCTCGCCTTTAACCTCTGATTCCGTGGATGGCTGAGCGGCACGCTTCTTCCCAGGTTTAGCCCGTTCAAGAGCCGCCCGCTGGGCCTTTATCTCGTCCGACATTGGATCGTCTTCTGCCATCACTACTGCTCGAATTGCTTGAGGATGTCCCAGAACGTGCACCCTCGGAAGAATGCGACGCAGGGTCTGAAGACGGAGCAATCGTTCACTCTGGCTTTCCTCATCAAATTTGGCTGCAGATCCTCGCTTCATGGATTTGATGGGAGAGTCCGTCGAGAGTTTGAGGATGTCCTTTCCTCGAAGTTGAATCTTTAGCTTTGCAGCTCTGAGTTGGCGATGTTTCCGAATGGCGTTACAGATATCTTCCAGTGTGAGGTCGAGGCCCAGTTCCGTGATGGTATCCAGTGAGATTTTAAGGTGGATGCAACTGGGTTTTCCAAGAGAATGGCTGATCTCGATGTACGACGTAATGTCTTCCAGATATAAGCTCTCGATTCTGCCTTTCACAATCCTCGCAAGAGATTCGGGTATTGACAAGTCTCGTCTGCGCTCCAGACGGCAAGTGATGACCGGTGTACTGATATCTTTCGACGCGTTGATGATTTCTTTGATTCGAGGTACTCCCGCGGTCAAACTCATACCGGCAACACCCGCAAAGTGAAAGGTTTTCAGGGTCATCTGAGTACCTGGCTCCCCAATAGACTGGGCTCCAACGGCCCCAACGGCATGGCCTGGCTCTACTCGTGCTCGTTCGTATTTCTCCAAGCACAAGTTGACGAAGGCCTGTAACGTCTTCTTCGAAAGTTTAGAAGTGAGTTCAAAGCGATCCTTCGTGGATGGAAGCGCTCGTACTCTCGTCAATGTCTTGTCGTCGGATGATACTTTCTTTTGTTTTTTGGTTCCTTTTGGTGATGTGACAGCGGGGCTTGTACCTCTTCTCCCAGAGCGTCGCGCTGGTGCCGCAGGAGTTTCATCTTCCACTTCTTCAAGTTCAGCATCGGCCTTTCTCTTAGAGGCACTCGAAGCCATTCGTGGGGGAGGTAACGCATATTGCTTCTTTTGTGCCCTAGCCTCGTTGAAAGCATGTGATTTTGCCATGATAAAGTCGTGTATTGACTGAAGGAACGCACGATGGCTCTCGTGCTGGTCGACAAGTCGGTCATCATCTGTATCATAACGAAGCTCAACACTATTGAGATCGATCCTAGTGAGAAGACTACGCTTTGCTGACAAGATGTCTTCCATAACGGAGTAAATTTCGGTATCGTTAAGACCGGGGTCGCTCATGTCAAAAGTTGTCGCTTCAACGTGAGCATAGGTACGTTCAAAGTCGACAGGCTTCGCACTTGCCTCCATATCGACTGGATCAAGCTCATCGTCGCCGAAGCGGAACTGTACGATATTGGACGATGAATTGCGGACTGTGCGGTCATACTGAGTGGAAAGATCTTCCAAAGACTTCATGAGCCGTCGGGACATGTAACCAGTTTCAGCTGTCTTGACAGCGGTGTCGACCAAACCCACTCTACCGCCAACTGCGTGGAACAGGAACTCGTAAGGCAACAGTCCACTGAAGAAGCTATTCGAAACGAATCCTTTTGACGGTGGAGATCGCTCGTGCTTTGCGAAGTGAGGTAATGTTCGGTCTTGAAACCCATCCGCAACACGCTTCCCCTCGATGTCTTGCTGACCTAACAGAGCAGCCATCTGGGCGACGTTGATGTTGGAGCCTTTGGAGCCCGAAATTGCCATAATCATTGGAGTATTTCTCTTGCTGAGCTGAGAAGTCAAAACACCTGCAATGTTTGTGCGAATAGTACTAAGCACCCGGACCTGCTCTCCTTCGAGTGTGCCTGCATCATCCAAGCCTGCTTTTCTCTTCAGCTTGCCTGCTTTGGAGTCTCGCACAAAGGAGTTACACTCCTCGAAGACTTTGGCTATCATGTCCGCTTTAGCCTTCACCAGCATATCTGGCGGGGTAACGTCACTAATACCAACGGTGAATCCTTGGTTCCCTAACCATCTCGCACAGAGTTTGGATAAGCGGTTCATGCCTTGGGCAGCTGCGTCTGGTCCGAAATCTCGGTACAAGATATAGAAGACCGAGTTCTTTTTCCCTGAACCGACGGTGGACTTGTCCATCCGGCCACACAGGACTTCGGAATTGCGAATACACAGGAAGCTGTCGTCTTGGAGGTCTCGATGCAGACCTGGATGGAACTGGTTATGGTCTCGGCAGGCAGCGTCCAGATTGACCATCACAGGTGATTGCTTGTTTGGTCTCATCAAGACGCTGAAAACTTGCTTCCCTGTCCACAAAGCTTGAGGCTTGATGATGGACGGCGGAGGAAGCTCGAACTTGGTCTCAGGCTCCAACATTCCGACACAGATGGTAACGAATGTTTTCCTGTCGAAGAATTGGTCCAAACCGCTGAGCAGGAAGGATGCAGTAACAAAATCCTGGATTGCCGAGATGATGGGCTCACCGTTCTTAGGCGTCACAATGTTGTGCTTAACACCCATCAACAAGGTCGCCTCGGTCCGGGCTTCCTCCGTCTGGGGGACATGAAGATTCATCTCGTCACCATCAAAATCGGCATTGTAAGGGTTGCAGACGCACTCGTTCAATCGGAATGTCCGATGGGGCCGAACTTTGACATAGTGGCTGAGAATACTGAGCTTGTGAAGAGAGGGTTGACGATTGAACAACACCACGTCTCCATCTTCGAGATGGCGTTCGACGACATCGCCCTCCTTCAGCTCTCTGGCAACATGTTCCGGTTTGCCAAATTTGAGAAAGATTCGAAAATCACCATCCTTCTTGTAGACGTAATTGGCCCCCGGCCAGATCTTGGTACCATTGCGCACTCGTTGTCGAAGTTTGTCAATGTTGATTTCGTTGACCACTTCTGGATATGTCATGTTCTTCGCCACCAATTCAGGAACTGCGACTTCGTCAATGTTCAAATTTGGGTCCGGGGAAATGACAGTTCGACCTGAAAAGTCGACCCGTTTGCCCGACAGATTGCCACGGAAGCGGCCTTGTTTCCCTTTCAGTCGTTGTACGAACCCTCTGATTTGCTTTCCAAACTCCCCTTTCGCAAGGCCGGGCACGTCACTATTGATATACATGGCCAGCTGTAGAGAAAGATAGTCCCAGTGTTCAATGACAGATTGTACGGGGGCGCCTTTTTCGATGGCTTCTCTCAACGCAGAATTGGCCGCGACAATATCGCCTAGTTTCGCTGTAATGTCGTCTTCCGTACTTGCACCCTCTTGCCCTACTGAAGGTCGAATACAGACGGGCGGGGCAGGGATGTACAGCCAAAGAAAGGACTCAGGTTTGGCCGATCGCAGACCGAGTAGTTCACGGTCCGCATGTCGGATTCGTCTGAACAACTTCAATGTTCGCAGAGGATTCAAATCATCCATGGCCTTTTTCAGATGTTTTTCGAGCTCGGAATTGGTTTGTTTGGCATTCTCGAACGACTGATCGAAGGCAATCTTCTCTGGCGGAGCAATCTTTTTGGCCGATGTTGATGAATTGTATGTTTTGAACTTGTCATGAGATATCTTGAGCGAGTAGGTTCCAGCCTTTCGAACCAAGCCATTGAGAGCACCACACTCGAAGCAGACTTTGGTTTTTCGGCATTGATCAGCGACTCGTCTGACAATAATAGCTTGTTTCAGGCTATCATTTTGCGATCTTCGAAGGCTGGCGATAAACTTTCTTCGATCTACTTCCGAGAGGAGGATGCAAGAGCAGTTCTGACATGGTCAGTATTGTATCAAAGCCCATTTTGAGTCGAAATAGTACCTTGCAAATGCTCTGCAGAATCTGAATCACCTTCTTGAAATATCCCACATGGAATACGGGCAGAACCAGTCTGACATGTCCAAAATGGCCGTTACATGTTTGTAGTTGTTCTCTGCAAGTCCGGCACGTATCTCGTTTCCCAGAGACGCCCATACGCCTATCTAGCGGTCCATATTCGGCGTAGGTACGTCCTTTGTCGAGGTCGAACAATCGGCGATCGGCAAGTTCGACTTGAGACTGGTTGATTATATCTTGATCAGACCTGTAGAGCCATCAGAGTCATGTCCTGCTCCTCCAAAGACAAAGCATACAAGACACCAAATTGTAACTCTTTGATGACTTTTGGGACATCGTTTGTCACCTGCTCTTTTCCCGACCCCGGGTTCTGTATCTCCGTGGCACCGGGCATCTTGCTGTCACAGGCTCGCCGCCGCGGGGAATGGAGGAGGGCGTGGGAAGGTCTCGAACATCAGTGCGACGCACATGCACACTCAAGAGAAATCAGGCGAAGTTTGGTTCATCAGGGTGTCGTGATTTGAGTTGTTGACTGGGTGCAGTTGTCGACGGGTTATGGATTTGATATGAATCTGGGAGTGTGGTGGGCAACATCCCAAAATCATTTCTCCCAAAAAAAAAAAAGGCCCCCCGCTTCGGCTCAAGGTGGCGTTGAAGCCTTGCCATCTTTGCCTATTCCATACATTCAAGCACCGCAGCTAAAAGGCTGACCTATAGCTAGCATCTATTTTACTGGCAAGGACACTGTCCGTCAGCTTCTACAGAATGAGATCAAATGTATGGCATCAAAATCCCCAATCGAACGCAACAGTAGTATCCCATGGTCATGATCATTTCATGCCCGAGATACCATCCCCGAGTCCCAGGAAACCCGCCCAAACTCCTCCGCTTGTCCATATGTTCAACTTTCAGTCTGCCAAACGATAGCTGACCATTGTATCCACCTTGTGATTGCTGGTGCTGAAACTTCGAAGTTGGACTTTCTCTCCATTTTTGATATCTTTGGCGTCGCTATCTCCCCATTCAATGGGCACGTCTGAGTCCGCGTCTGCATAGACCAACACATTGAAGGTACAGTTCCCGTCGAGCACAGGTAGAAATGTGACAGAAGCGGTGATTTGTCGGAAGATTGCCTGAATTTCTTCTTGTATCTGTGCCTCCGTCTTCTCTGGTTCCGGTTCTGCCGGAGCTGCTTCTCTGCTGGTGGGTTAGCTTGTCTCTTTGCGCTTCATGGTTCGAACCGCATACTCTGGCGCCGCATTTTCTTTGTCTGGAGCCTTCTTTGAGGATTGACGTTTCGAGGACTTGCTCGTCATATGAACATCAAACTGCCATCGCTCGACATGTTCGCCAGTCTCTTTACTCGTGATGATCACCACTAATTTTGAGATCTTGCCTCCGATCATCCATTTGTTCAGTTGCGACATGATCTTTTTGATATATGCCTTGACTTGATCATCCGAGGACACTTTCGATTCGCATTAGTTTCTAGCTTTCGCAGTTCGTCTCGACGGTCATACCAAGCATATTGAGTCCATACTTTTTGACCCTGCGATTTGTTAGGGATCTGGTTTGTGTGTGCGTACTCATTTCCACTCACGGTGTAAAGTCCTCCGCGGGATATACACCTCTCTGAAACCTAGAAACTGTCAAGGCCATTCTCCTGCAATCTTGAACATCCCACGCTCACAAGATGGTATTTATCGAATACTCAAACTGATATGTGTTAGATATGGCGCGAGTTATTGAGGGAGGCACTCACAAATTCGGCCACCGTTTTCGCGGACCCTGTTGCGCATCCATCAGCACGTCTTTTTCGTTTCAAGAATGGAATAAACAAACCTCGAAGAGCCAATTTATGAATCTGAGACTTGTCCTTCTTGTCGGCCGCCATTTTTGTGCGCGTTGGATACTGTGCGCAAGGGGAGAAGTTGGTAGGAAGGTGGAGGGAGGCGGCAGTCAACCGTGATGGTTGGCCCGGTGACAATCGGCGTGGTTCACCATCCTTAAGAAAAAGAGCAAATTTCTCGCACCGCCACCAGAGAATATTCAATGTGACTTCACTCATTTGATCATCGCGACTCATGCGACAATGCCTGCAGTTCTTTGCACGGCGAAGAGCTGCATTAAGCACCCCTTCTGCCTTATCACAATTCCCTCGCAATAAATCCCATCTACTGCGGACCTTTGCAACCTCCCCTCTTGGACTCGCATCCAATCCTCCCACGGATCTCGAAAGTCGCATCGCTGCCATCCCTATCGATCGATTTCGTAATTTCTGCATCGTTGCACATGTTGACCATGGCAAAAGCACTCTTAGCGACCGCCTCTTGGAGCTGACGGGCACGATTAAGCCTGGATTGAACAAGCAGGTCCTAGACAAACTAGATGTTGAAAGGGAACGAGGAATTACTGTCAAGGCTCAAACATGCTCCATGATCTACAGTTACAAAGGAGAGGACTATCTGCTCCATCTTGTCGATACACCCGGCCATGTTGACTTCAGAGCCGAAGTGTCACGTAGCTACGCCAGCTGCGGTGGTGCCCTTTTGTTGGTGGATGCGAGTCAGGGTGTTCAAGCCCAGACTGTTGCAAATTTCTACCTGGCATTTTCTCAGGGATTGTCGTTGATTCCAATCATCAACAAGGTAGACCTACCACATGCCGACCCTCCCAGAGCCTTGGAGCAAATGCACGAGACATTTGAACTGGATCCAGAAAGCGCAGTTCTGGTATCTGCAAAGACGGGGCTCAATGTGGAAAACATTCTTCCGGCAGTAATCGAAAAGATTCCAGCGTAAGTGCGGCGTTTCTGGCCCAACAAAAATCCATCGCTGACTTTCATAGACCAGTCGGGGACCATACAAAACCCCTCAGATTATTTCTCGTAGACTCGTGGTATTCAAGTTATAAAGGGGTCATTTTGTTGGTACGAATATTCGACGGAGAGCTTCGAGCAGGCGACAATATTGTTTCCTTTGCCACTGGTCTGAAATATACCGTGGGAGAAGTTGGCATAATGTACCCCGATCAAATACCTCAAAAAGTTTTACGTGCCGGACAAGTGGGTTATGTCTCTTTCAATCCTTCCATGAGGAAAAGCAGTGAAGCCAAAATTGGGGATACATATACCAAAGTCGGGCGGCAAAAAGAAGTGGAACCACTCCCTGGATTCGAGGAACCAAAACCGATGGTCTTTGTTGCAGCTTTCCCCGTTGATCAGAGCGATTTTGAGCATCTTGAAGACAGCATCAATCAGCTGTTGCTAAATGACCGCAGTGTGACCATCCAAAAGGAATCGTCACAGGCGCTTGGTGCAGGTTTTCGACTAGGATTCCTCGGCACTCTGCATTGTTCTGTTTTCGAAGATCGGCTTCGGCAAGAACACGGGGCAAGTATCATCATTACACCGCCTACTGTGCCGTTTCAAGTCGCGTACAAAAATGGCCAGGAAGTGGTGATCACAAATCCAGCTGATTTTCCCGACAGCGAGGAGACCAGGCGAAATGTCACGCAGCTACGAGAACCCTTTGTATTGGCAACTTTGACATTTCCGGACGAATACCTTGGAAAGGTAATGGAACTTTGCGAGGGAAATCGTGGGGAGCAAAAATCAATGGAATACTTCACCTCCTCCCAAGTCATTCTCAAGTATGAGTTGCCGCTAGCTCAACTTGTTGATGATTTCTTCGGAAAATTGAAATCAGCAACCAAAGGCTATGCAACACTCGACTATGAGGATGCGGATTGGCGAGTCAGCAATATTGTGAAGCTTCAGCTTTTGGTGAACAAAGAACCCGTCGATGCCATTTCACGTGTGATGCACTATTCCCAAGCTCGGCGCGTGGGCAAACAATGGGTTGAAAAGTTCAAAGAACACGTTGACAGGCAAATGTTCGAGATCGTCATCCAAGCTGCCGTGGGAAAGCAAATCATTGCACGAGAAACATTGAAGCCTTTCCGAAAAGATGTCCTCGCCAAATTACATGCCGCCGACATTACCAGGCGGAAAAAATTGCTGGAAAAACAAAAAGAGGGTCGCAAGAAGCTGAAGGCTGTCGGTAACGTGGTCATCGACCACACTGCTTTCCAGGCGTTCCTTGCCAAATAGAGATAAGGCCATTCGATAATTTGACCCGAAGAATGACGCTGTCCATGAAGACCGATATCACAACATGGCCAGACTACGTTTCCTCTCAAACACTCCATGCGCTGGCTGTCGGTTCGTCGGTCACTTTGCCGGTGCAACTTTTCGAGGCATTCTACCATCTCGTCGTGATAATGCGGCTGGTGAGTAAAATGATCACCGAGTCTTTGTTGTCTGCATGTTTCACTAGGTTTCTCTTCGATTTTCTGTACCTATTGCCCGAGCACGCTATTTTCTTCGTCCCTCGAAGTCGCCGTGTATTATATTATATCAACCCAATGGCTGGTACAATGTATCTGGCTCGCAGAAGCGTGAATTTACTGCAGAATACCGAACCCTGCGACTAGATTGATGAGTACACATGAGCAAGACCGAAAGAGTAAGATTTAGTCGTTCTACCAGGGGTGTTGGTGCACACAAGTGGAAAGCTGGATCTAGGAGACCATGGTTTTCCAACTTCATTACTATCAGCAAAACGCCATTCCACGGTCTGCTTCACGCCGGTCGGTAAGATGGAGTCGCTCTCCACCCAAGGGTGTCAAAAATCCCAAGGCTGAAGACTCTGAGTAGAATGACTGGAATTCTACGGGAGCCAGATCCTCACGGAGTGGAAGAAGGTCGCTCGCAGCCTCATCTATTGAACTCACCAACGAGATCGAGGAGGAAAGTCTGAATGGCGCCAGAGACGAAGACGTAGCAGGTTGGTCTTCCAACAATGAGCCGCCTCCTCCCGCTATTGACTCATATCTCAAAACACCCACAACTTCCAAATGTCTCCTCCACCTTCCTAGGAGGCCGACTTGGAGAGATCCTGAAGAGTCCCACGACGCTGGCCAAGCAGCTAGAAATCCACATGAAGTTGCCCTTCCTGCGACAACAGAGGCAAATACTCGCTCTGGTCTGATGAAGGTCGGTGGCCAGAGTCATGATCCAAATTTGGGATGGTTGACCCCTTTCGAAACGTGATGGATGTAAAGGGCAGAAGTGTGCTGAAGAAATAGGAGAGCAGGGAGGATGTTCGGGCCCGGGACAGCCTTTGCTTTCTGCAATTTCCATATCTCGTATGGAAGTTCTCATTTCCAACGGGGGGAGAAACACGTGTATTTGCCTCGCTGTCGATGTCCGAGTAGCAGAAAGGAAAGAAAGAGAGTTGTAAGTTGAGTGGACGTGTGGATCACGTGCCAGACGCCGGGACTTCCCTGTGCTGCTCCATTCCTCCCCTTGCACAATCCGTGTTTTGATGGACTGGTCTCAGACAGAGTTGTGCAACATCCACCCCGAGACATCATGTGGAAATTCGTCCGGCGAGACTCGCATCTGAGTCTGGTAGAGCAAATTGTGTATGCCTGTTCCTCTGGTTGCACTGCCTACAACCGCATCAACGTTGTGTGACCTTTGCCAAAGCTGAAAGCCCAAGTCTCAATCGGACAATGACCAAAGCGTGGGGTTGTGTTTGACTCGAACCTAACCTCGCCTGAGGCGGGATTTTCCGCCTCCAGTCAATGACCCCACCAGACTTTGTCACCTGCTTCTCTTGTTATCAAATCATATCAATCATCACATGTTGCTTTTCTTTTTTATCCTATCAGAGCCTTTCGTGCGGGTCTAGGTTCATTGACAGGCGGTATTGGCCCAAGGCATTTTGACAGTTCTGCTGTTGCTTTTTGTCTCGCTTCAGTCGGGGTTTGTGGATGTGTGAGGAGACGATAGCATAACTAACCTGTCTGGATATTAGACAGGCTAAAGAGAAATGAAATCGGGCCATCAGTCATGGATTCCATCTTATCGGACTCTTTGGGGGAACGTCCCGCCTGATTTGGTTATCCCCCAGTCCTTTCCACGGCACCCCATCATCCAAGACTTGAGATCAGTCCGGTCAAAAGCAGATTACCTTCAGGTATTGAGGTATCTTTGCCATTGGTGAACAGCTGAATCCAGGAATTGGCTTTCTCTCCAGCGTGTGTGTCTACTCTGTCTCCGAGCTGGAACCAGTGGATCAACCAGTCAGATGATGCTGTTAGGGAGCAAGCGAGGCAGCCATCAACACGTGGGATGGTTCTCAAAGGTGGGATGACTTAGGGCCCTGCATGCAGTCCAACGCATTATCCAAGAACTGAGGGGGTGCCGAATCCATTGGCAAGGTATTCTGGATTGGCGAGTGGGATCTTTTGAAAAACTATATCAAATGCACATTTCCTCTATCAGACACACCTTCCTCTCTCTTCCCTTTCCTATTTTCCCATTGATTCAGCCGAGCACCGACTTCCATCCCAGAGAAACATATTGACATCCATACTTCATTGAGGTTCATCGAACACCAAATCACTTACAAGAATGGGTCCCTGTGAATCTTGCAACTGCTGCAGCGGCTCCTGCGACGGAACCTGCGCTTGCAGCAGCTGTGGGGTGCGTCAAGCTTTCATCTCCCTTTCTCCACTGGACTCATGGAGAGAATGACATATGACTAACCCTCATTGCTTCAATTAGCATTAAACAACCCCAACCCGGCCTCTATCCCGCGTCTCGCCTACCTCGTCGCCATCGACCTCCCCTGCAGTATTCTTAACGAGCCGTACCCCGCTCTAGAACTCCGGACAAGACAAGGCCAGGAACAAGAACAAGAGACGCAAGACCTGAACAAGGCAAGACACAGGAAGAGCCAAGTAACTGTCGTCATTGACATACGCACTGCACCTCAAATGCAGAAGGGTGAACTGGAAGGGGAATTATGAGTCGAGTTACTGATAACGTTGCTCGTACGATGGGAACACACTCATTTGAACAAATACCTGGAGAGAGTTGAGAAAGACGACAATTAGTTTACATAAAGTACAAACACATATTGTCTACTTGGACCAAGGACCCGATCGGGTATCCAAAAGTGGTTTCTTTTCCTCTCGTAAATTTTCTTATGATATGAGCTCAGCGATGTACGACTCAACGAACGGAACGACGGAAGACTATTCGTTATCATCTCAAATCAATTCGCCTAGTTGGTATCAAAGCAACAAATGAGGCTACATCCCCGTAGCCAAACTCAAAAATACAATGCCACCTTCCAACTCGTCTACCGTCAGAAGCAACATATCTCGTCCATGGCATCGCGTTCCAAAATAGTTTCCCTCCCAGCATTTGCCTTTCTATTGCCGACCCACTCATGCACATCGGCTTGAGTGGATGTAGCTTAAGTCATTCGCTCGACATATTGTGGTATCAATCACTAATGTGGAAAGAGACGGTAGCAAGACATCCGTTGTCGGAAGTAAACGCAAAGTGCCACCATTCGACCCGTTCCGTATCGTACTCAATTCTCTTGTATGAATCGGTATTCGACTCGAGCACTCGAGAGTTGTAAGTTGCATTCTGTGCGTACAATGGTATGAATGCGATGTTTGCGGTGGTGATCATTATTCATTCATCCCTGCTTCCCTTCCAAGTCACAACCTAGAAGCCCAAAATTAGGTTCAAGTTGTTGCCATGGTTTTACGTCTAAACGACCACCTGGCGCTGCGCGGTCTCATTGACCGTCAATGGCGCACACTGCGGATTCAACTTGAACGCTTTATTCGCACGCGTCTTCGCAATTTCCAGTTCATCTTTCTCCATCGGGACTGACACAGACTGTGTAATAGGGGAGGCTGTCGTGTGCGGCCACGTCTGGCTTTGCTGTTTTGCGTACATCTGCGGTTTCGGCGTAGTATCATCATCGCGCAAACTCTCGAAGTGGCTAGGATCCGATACATGCCCCTGGCCCCGGATAACGGATGTTTTGGAGAATCGCGGTGACTCTTCGCTAACAGATTGATAGACGGACGGCTTCCCCGCCAGAGGCAGTCCTCCAAATTGATCGCCTAGACATCGCAAGATGGCAACGAAGTATTGATGTAAGAAGGTGAATATATTCTCATCGCCCACAATTTCCGCAAGACTTCGCGGGGCAGCATGTCCCACGCGTCGTGGATGTCCATCCGGATCCACATTGCGGGCGGTAAGGAACGACGAAACGGGCGTGTAATTCCTGGCACCAGACTTCGACGCATCGGTGGATTCCGCTTCTTTTTCTTCTTTTCGTCGTTGTCTTTCTTGATTTCGCTGAGCCGCCGATTCAATACCCTTGGCCATGTTAGCGAAGGCTTCCCAGAGCATTGGGCAGGCTTGGAACGCGCGGCTGGCGTCTTTCCCTGCAAGAGCAAGAAAGGCATATGCGCGGCGTCGACCGCGTGCTTTCGGATCAGTGAGACGGAAGACATAGGCGATCGTATAGCCTGTGTTGGAGTCGCCGAAACAGAAAGGACCGTCCGACATGCCTCGCGGGAGTAATTCACAGGACAGTGTCCGAATCACTGAGGCTCGGAGTCGCGCGTAGCTTTCTGGATCGTCAGGAGATTTGGCGGTCAGATAAGTAAGTGTGTGGTCGTGGCAGTTGTCAGAATGGGAGTGTGTCGGTGAGTTTGTATGAGAGGAGGCGTGTGAATGGGATGATGTCACCGAAGAACCATAAGACGAGGGCTTAGAATCCTGGACGGAATGATAGCTGCTATTCCGTCTCCTGTCACGGAGGCAGACGAATTCCCTAGACCGCAGTACCGGGGCACTGGGATTGATGTTGTTTTCACCGTCCGCTGCTTTCTTGCTGCCGGGCGCGCCCGCCGGCAGCTTTTCTGCTATGGCCTTTGGGACACTAAAGCTGCAGCTGGCACAAGTATCGCCTTGTGATCGGCCATAGCGCCACTGCGAACGGAGTTCTCGCTTTTGATCAACCGTCTGGAATAAAGGGTGTTTCTCGATGGTGGGGCTTTCTGGTTCGGTCTCCGAATCTACAGTGGTGGATGCGCCGGAGAAGTCGGTGGGTAAGGTGAGATTTGTGTCTGTCTTGCGTAGAGGAAACGGCGTCTGGACATTATGGTTTGATTCAAAGGACGAGTCGTGGACTTGGGTGGTGAGAGACTCGGAGGATGAACTGACCCTCAACGGTGGCGAGGGCGGGAGACACAACGCGCAGTCCAAAGGGAGGACTTGCGTGCATAGAACCGACTTGGGGCCATGGGCCTCACAAAAATGGGTGAGCGCGAGCTATATTATAGAGACATGTTAGTTTAACTGAAACATACCGGACCACGCAGGTGTCATGCGGGTGTTTGTAGACGTCCGGTCAGCGTCAACATGTCATGCGGCCAGAGCGCAATTAGACCGAAGGATCATGAACGAGGAACAGAGGCACAGTCCAGCGTATGGATCACGCAAAGCAGGACGATATAACTTACTGTAAAGTCCATGATTTGTTGCCCTCTTCTTCTTAACCACAATCCCTCTGCTACTGTCTGTGGCGGATGTTGTACATGTTGCGCAGGCCGACGTAGGTGGCTGAAGCCCAGAGTGCCATCAAGGGCCTCGTCAGATCAAGCAACAACTCGAGAGGGATTATTTGGGTTGTCTCAACGGTACCGCAGCTGCGGAGGGAGTTTCAAAGTCGTGGAGAAGGAGGCGAAGAAAAGGAAGAGAGCTCGTGTGCTCAAGCGAAGGGAGGGAAAAGTTGGCTCATCAACCCACGGTTCGATCGGAATAGCGGAGGGTGGGACCGGCAATTACACAGGACGAGGAGTGAAATTAGGGCGATTACACTGTTTGCGCAGGCGAGGCGGCTGAAAGTGATGTGGACTATATGCTGGTGTGTAGTGAGAAGAAGAGGATATAGAGGGAAGAGTCGGCGCAAAATGTTGTAGACGGTCAGAGACACGGTTGGTAGGGACCAGGATGTAAAAAAACGGGCTGTGGCTTTTCCTACGGTATTCTTCAATTCTTCACCTCTTTTCCCCTTTGGCTTCTCGACTGACCGCCACTTTCAATGGATTCCCGCCGTGTCCAATCAGGAATGGGGTAATACCAACTCAAACACGATAAATCTACGGACTACAAAGCAGTTACCGCAGTTAGAGGAACAGGGTATACCGGCTACTTTCACCACCTCATTTAGCTTCGTTATCCGTCCATCAACTGCAATGTGCATCCGCGAACTGGCCGATTCGACGCCACCTTATCGTCGCCTCCTAGCCTCACCCGTCGCCCAGTGGCTAGACCTCCCTCGGCCTATAGCCTATGTACGGCTTCCCACTAACAGAGATATCCACTCACACCACTTGCTCGGAACATTGGCTCCCCTTCGTGCGGAATCTACAGTACATAAATCTTTCATCCTGAAACCGACATCTTCGCATCATGTTGCTCGTTTGCCGCCATTCCACATCTCCCTTCGTGCCCAATCTGTTTTGAACCTTCCATCCGAAGTTGCCTTGTGCAACACCAGTGCCACTTGGTTCCCCTGGATCTGCCCTTGAACTTCCTGCGAGTCTAGTCCAGTGACAAGGGCGATCTGTCGCTGTGTAACATCGATCTTCGTCACGATTGCTAAGCCAATGCAATAGGAGTCTGTCGCACAAGTTGGAAAGGGGGATTGCCAACCGCCTTGCAGCCTCGGAAGATCTTCTGTCGTTCTATGTACACCAGGGAGCTTCGTTTCGTCGCTAAGACTCTCCTTAACTATGTCGGTGTGGTCGGTCTCCTCGTGCTCAAACGTCAAACTTCTATTTGGTTGACATCTGACCACGGTCAGAGCAACAATGCTTCCTTCCAGAGCATCGTACGTATCCTCGAGCGCAACTTGACCACCAAGCAAGATGATTGCGCAAACATCCGCATTATCCATCCCGTAGCTAAGTGTTAATTTCTGTTGGTTTCCTGCCAAGATGGGTGTCTCATCCCAGAAGAGGCGGTCTATCGGAGACTCTACCAGATGGAAGTATGACTGCATTTGAAGCTCATGTTCTCGAACAGGAGAAATTTTGTCAAATGCATGCGAAGGAAGTTGGTAGATCTGGCATGTCGCTTTCTCCGCAAAGGATGACCAGGGTTGTAGATACGGTGATGTTGGACTCGAGTCCATGCAAACAATATCTGTCGGCAAGATTTTCGTCCATAGCTTGCTGGCGACTTTCTGGTCAATGCTGTTCACCCACCTTGGGGCCACCACGATTACGGGGCTATCCTTGTACTCGCTTCGGAGCGCCTTCACATGGTCGAGAATCTCATGGACTCGACCAATGTGCCAATCAGAGAATTCCGTGATATCCAAGTCGCCGAGGAAATACATTCTCAGAATCCGGTTTGACAATCCCTTTCCAGGAAGTACATGTGTGAATGGCGGCCCGTACGCCGGATTTACAACATGCACAAGGCTGATTAAACCCGGAGGAGCAAACTCTGGTAGATTTGCATCGAGATCAACTAAGACAGCACCTCTGTGATTAGAGTCAACTAGCCTCGAGCTCTGTGTCGTCAGGAGTCGATTGAGAAGGCATCGGACAAAGGTCGAAAGTCCAGATGAGCGTCTGCCACATAGTAGAATCCTTGGAGGATGTGGTTTGGAAGGCCCGGCGGTAGACAAATTTGAAAGCACCAATTTCCAGGGGTCAAGGTCCAGCTCCTTAAGGCGTTTTGGAGCTTTGGGGTCTGGTTCAAAAGAATGGCCCAATATGTAGAAAGTCAAAGCAGCTTGCTCAACGCCAGACGGGGTCCATAAGTCTCTAATTCCAATATAGGGAAGATCTCTAATTGCATCATCAAGAGATTCAACCTGGAATTCGGCTTTCGCACTCATTGCTTCAATCGATGGGAGTGCATGACTACTTGGTGCGTAGATACGATGTAATGTGGTGGATGCATGGATTATGGCGCCGTAAATGAAGATCGACCCCTGCTTGACCCAAAGTGTGCATGTACCCAGTAGGACACATTTCTGACGGCATCAGAATGGTGTGAGATGTTCTTGCTATGGTGGCATACCTGACCGCGAGACAGTCTGATCTTAACAGATGTCTCGCTCAATTGATCCACCTCGCGAGTAGATCTGAAATGGGTGGTTGACGCTTTCACCAATACATCGAATTGATTCTTTAACTCAACAGCCCCGGGCTGCTCAACAGCTAAAGTTCCATCCTCCTCGGAGACGTTTTGACCAGAAGCGTTTTCGCCGAGGTTTCTCTCCGACGCAGTGGCGGGAGATGCTGGCGTTGGAGTTGTCGATGCTGATTGTGCATCGCGCAGACGGCGTTGTCTTGCGACAGCACTGAGTCTTTTACCATCTAGAATGATTGATCGTCAGCAGCGGGATACAGTATCCTATGGGAAGTGCTTTTCACATACTAGCCGGCATAAAACAAATTCATAAAGAGCAGAGTTCGACGCAACAGCAAAAATCTCTTCGTTCGCTCTTGAGAGAAGTCTTTTTAGGTTATTCCACTAGCGCCGGGAAGTTCCGCTATTGGTGGTTCCTGCAGCGGATTCTTCTAAAATCCGGAAAGCCACACAACAACACGCTTGCATCAGAATTTGTTGCTAGGCGCCGACTGAACGCTACTCCCTGTCAATCGTATCTAGAGAATCATGGCCAAATTCAAGGTGACCGCTAGACAAAGCCAGCTAAGCGAAGAAAGAGTTCAAGATTCAAGTGATGAGGACGAACATCCTGTCGAACAAGACACCCCAACCTCAAAGTCGAGAGCTACTCGTTCAAAAACGACCAATGGACCCAAAGTCCAAACCTCAAATTCGAAGAAAAAATCACCAACTCCGGAATTGTATTCAGCATCAACAGCAGACTCGGACGAGGACGAATCGCCAATGCTGGAAGACGGGCAAAATGGCTCAGAAAACGAATCGGTCACAAGCTCCGGCTCGAGCCAAAAGCGATCTTCTCCAGCTCCCTGGGCTGAACCTTCCAGGAAAAAGGCGAAGACGGCCTCATATGCAATGACAAAAATAGCTCCAAAGCCGTTCAAAGCCCCGCCCGGGTACGAACCAACTACCTTGTCTGCATCTGACTATGCCTCTGACCTGGCCTCATTCTTGGAGGACTTGTCTGGTAAGCAAATCTGGCATATATCAGTGCCTGATACAGTACCTATCGAGTCTATCAAGGGCCTCGACATTCAAGCGGCCGCGGAAGGCCAACCAATTCTCAGGAGAAACGGGGTCGACTACAACATGCAAGCCTCGGCCTCGAAGAACGAAGTGATCCTCTTCCCCCAGCAAACAAACACGGCCTACACGAATCAGAGAAGGGTCGACAAGACATTTCATTTGCGTGAGATGAGCAAGAAGCCCCAGTCCCACGAAGGGATATCGTTGGTCTTTACAGCAACCAAAAATGGCGAACCAAAGGCAGTCCGGCAGCAGCCCGAAGGGTTGAAAGTGCGGTACGTCCCATACGGAGCTCCTGCGATCGCGGAATATTCTGGGGACATGGAAATGAGAGATACATTCCAAATTCCCGACGAAATCGAGGAAATGTCCCCCGGCCCAAAATCCAAAAAGTTAAAGCAGGTCAAGGGAGACCTGGGCCACGAAAAGAGTCCGGAGAAGATGCGGGGCGCAGACGCCGTTGTCTCTCCAGCGAAGAAGAAGAAAAAGAAGCGGAAGCTAGTTGGTGAGAATATCTTGTAGAGGAAGCAAGCCCGGGTGATATTTTTTCCTTTGTGCTGAGTTGAAGCCGTATGCCATACAAATGTTCCATTTTGGATGTCATTGTCGGGGATTGTACTCCTCCGTAGACGTGTCTTCCCTAGCGCGGGGCAAATTTGAGCGTCTCGCGACATTTCTCCGCCCGCAATTTTCCCCCCCCCCCAAAAAAAAAGTTCTGGGTCAAGCCCTTGGCTTTTCTTCAATGACTGTTCTTCCGCCCTTTCTGAAATTCTCTTAAATCTTCGTGGTGAGATAAACAGCTTGTGCCGATATGGGTTCCACGACTGCTCCTAGCTATGCTCTCTCCCAGGCTCACAAGGACGTGAGCATTTAAACTTCCTGCAAAATCTTCCATTGCTGACCAAAATCCCAGATGCTCGAAAAGTCCCTGGTCGAGTCTGACCCGGAGATTGCGGAGATCATGGTCTGTCGTCTCTCAAGATTTTCTTCAGAGTTCGCCTTATACTGACCCTCGCGTGCACCAGAAGAAAGAAATCAAACGCCAGCGTGAATCCATCATCCTCATCGCCTCCGAGAACGTGACTTCCCGCGCCGTCTACGATGCCCTAGGCTCTCCCATGTCAAATAAATACTCTGAAGGATACCCTGGAGCACGTTACTACGGAGGAAATCAATATATCGACGCTATGGAGCTCACATGCCAGGCCAGAGCGTTGAAGGCGTTCAACCTCGACGCAGAAGAGTGGGGAGTCAATGTCCAGTGCTTGAGTGGTAGTCCTGCGAATTTGCAGGTCTACCAGGCCCTCATGAGGCCTCATGAGAGGTTGATGGGTTTGGATCTGCCTCATGGTGGACATTTGAGCCATGGATATCAGACGCCGCAGAAGAAGTATGGAATAATTGAAAAAGAGAGTCGTGGAAGAATCCCCTGTTGACCTTAAGTTAGGATCTCTGCTGTCTCTACTTACTTCGAGACATTCCCCTACCGTGTCAATCTCGAGACGGGTATCATTGACTATGATCGCCTCGAGGAGAACGCCCTCATGTACCGACCCAAGTGCATTGTGGCCGGAACATCCGCATACTGCCGTTTGATTGACTATGCTCGTATGCGCCAAATCGCAGACAAAGTTGGAGCATACCTTATTGTTGATATGGCCCACATCTCCGGACTCATTGCTGCCGGAGTCATCCCCTCCCCCTTTGAGCATGCCGACGTCGTCACAACCACCACACACAAATCTCTCCGTGGCCCTCGTGGAGCCATGATCTTCTTCCGCAAGGGCGTCCGCAGCACCGACGCCAAAACTGGCAAACAGGTCCTGTATGACCTCGAAGGACCCATTAACTTCTCCGTATTCCCCGGCCATCAGGGTGGGCCTCACAACCATACCATCACTGCTCTGGCTGTCGCTTTGAAGCAAGCTGCCACGCCAGAGTTCCGTGCATACCAAGAACAAGTGATCAAAAACGCCAAGGCATTGGAAATTGAATTCAAGAACCTAGGATACAAGCTCGTCGCCGACGGGACAGACTCGCATATGGTCCTCTTGGACCTGCGGCCACAAAATCTTGATGGCGCCCGCGTCGAAGCCGTCTTGGAGCAGATTAACATCGCCTGCAACAAGAACAGCATCCCAGGAGATAAATCGGCCCTGACGCCCTGCGGCATTCGCATTGGTGCTCCCGCAATGACGTCTCGTGGCTTCGGTGAAGATGACTTCAAGCGTGTCGCCCGATATATCGACCAGAGCATCAAGCTGTGCAAGAAAATCCAGGGTGAGTTGCCCAAAGAGGCGAACAAGTTGAAGGATTTCAAGGCCGTAGTCGCTAGCGACAAGGTGCCAGAAATCCTCAAGCTGAGGCAAGAGATTGCCGAATGGGCCTCCAGTTTCCCTCTGCCTGTGTAAGGCACCATCTGAGAGTAGTGCGACGGATTCGGCGTTTTGGTGGTTTGCCCGGTGGTGTGGGACATGGGTGATTTCAACGGTCTGGTCTTGGGTCCAAAATATGTTGTATCTTCAACGATACCAGAGACGTAAAAGTCCACAATGATGCTTGTCGGGGCATCAAACCTCGCTTGCTGTATTACGCGCGCGAATATCAGAATCGCTGCTGCCCTTGGTCCTTTTGAATTCATTGTTCTTTGGTAGACCTGTTCTTGAGATGCGATATTTCACCCTTGGTGCCCCCCATGACAACGTCGCCCTCTTCCTGCTTTCCAGTGGCGATCTCACCTAATTTGCCCAATCGCCTCTTCAGCAGCGCGACCGTCCGCTCCAGCTCGCGGATTTCGGCTTCCTGTTCTTCTACGCTGCGTTCCACGTCCGGGAGCGCCGAAACTGCCGCTCGCGCTTTTGCGAGACGCTGTTTGATCGGATACACTTGCGCGGGCAGATCTTTGAGGTCCAAGGGCGGGCCGGTGTGGAGGTGCGGAGTGGGCGTAGTGGAAGTGGATGCTGCGGAAGGTTGGGAAGTCGGTTGCGTTTGAGCTTGTGTCTGGGGTTGAGACTGCGATTGTGAGGACGAGGGAGGGTTTTGGCTGGTTTGTTGTCCGCCGCCTGTCTGGAGGATGTTCAGACGCGCAATGAGGAGGTAGATGTCGGGTAGGATTGAGAAGGTCGAGGGTGATGGGAACGGTGGGACGTCCGGGTGAGAAGGCGGTGAAGCAGATGGCATCTGGAATGAATTTTTACAGTGAGCTAGTTTTATAGAAATTCGAGTAGTCGAGAGGTGGAATTTACAAAGAAAAATGGTAAGGAGAATGAATGGGAGTGAAAGTTCCTTGGACTCAGCCTTGCATCCGCAGCCTCGCCATGCCCCGATATCAAACTTTCACATGGCCTCTTCACCAATTCATATCAATTAAGTTGGCAGACTTCTGGTCAACTTCAAACATCAGACCAAAACCCATTTGGTGATCTAACCCAGGAGTGTGTTGGGGATCTCCCATAGCAGTTGATTCTGAACCCAAGGATGGGCTATGGGGTTCTGGATTGTAATTCAACGTTTCTAATCTAACAAAGTTACCAGATAAAAACCAGCCCATTCAACGCCTTTGAGCTCCAATACGGAGCACTGAACATTGAGCAGGAAGTTCGGGTTTTGGTCTATGAAGACGTCGAATCTGGGTTTCCGCCAGTTTTGCGGAAATTATTGGTCAAGATGTGCATTTTACCATCTCGTTTTGCACACTCGATAAAGCGTGGCGAGCATTACATCCTACTATAAATGCACTTCACAAATCGTTAAATCCGATACAAGTCCTCTCCAGTCCTCTGTCAGCCACAGCCCAAGCCCACGCCCGGCCGGCTTCGCCAGTATAAAGGCCGACGAGCTCATCATCCCGTCCCGCTTCATCCAACCAACCTCGACTCTCAAGAGTGTCACTCGACATGTATGCTAGCAGATGCTCAAACTCTGCATCATCGTCCAGAGCGAGGGCGTTCCCCGCTATGCCGTGACATAAGCAAGGTTGTTTCGTGAGAACGCCACGCTTCCAGATATCTCTTTGTGCCGCGGTAATGGCTGCGTCAATTCTGCCTTGTAAGCTGGGAAAGTGGGGCCGTAGCGACCTCAACGCCAGGACTGCACCGGGCCCTCCATGGCAGAACTGAACAAGTCGGTCGGAACTCGCAGGTAAGGACGAGGGGAAATTGCCGCTTGAAAGCTGGGTGCCAAGAACTTGGGAGAGAATATGTTCGATAGAGCCTGCGCTGGAAGGTGACGACAGCACCACTTGGCAGAGGATTCCCAGAGTTCCATGCGCTGCTCCAAGATATGCCTTGTCATGCCATTTCCAAGGCTGTTTGGTGGCCAAAATTCGCTGTACCGTTTTCTGGATGGTTGAATCGATCAGCTTGGCGGCATTGGCATCCTTCTCAAAGCCTGACCGTGCTAAGCGCAAAAAGTACAGATAGCCTGATCGACCGTACAACCATTCATCGGAACCTGACCCATCATTAACAGTGCTCTCATACGAACACAATTTCTGCACCAGACTGGAGTCTTGCTCCATGACCGCACGTATGGATATTTGTGCCGTGACTTCATTTGCGATTCCACAGTGACCGGAATCTACGCCCCTCCGATGTCCGAACGCGCCCAGATCTAGGTAAGCCTGGGCCCAGTCCAGGAGGGATTGCCCTTTGAACATCAGATCATGGTAGTGCTGCGATAAGCGGAAGAACAGGTATGCTATCGATGTTGGGCCATTGTAGAGGCCGTGGAAAGTCCAGCCAGTGGAGCATGTCTGGACTGGAGGATTGTAGGTATTGATGCGCGTAAGTGAAGCGAGCAGCTCTTCAAAAGCATCGACGTGCTGTGATGGAATGTCGTCGTTCTTATAGTTGCGGCGAGAAATACTCATTTTCCAAACGGGTTGTAAAATCCATGGAACCCAAGGTATCAGTGGGTACTTGATGGATCCCAGGTGGCCTCCCGAATACCGATGCGTGAGCGCTACCTAGGTTGTGGCTATATGAAGCATCGTGAAGAACCCTTGGATCGAAGCCGTGGCTGCAATCTTGAATTGAAGGCTGGCGGAAACTAAACCCGTTCAGGTCTAACCTTGAACATTAAACTTTCTTTAACCTTAACCCCACTGTGCTGTGAAGCCCTTGCTATGACGCCCGGTCAAAAATGGGCGCAAACCAAGCCAACCTCTTCCTCAAAACTCTACTAAGTGTAAGACACCTTCTCTATTGACCCTGTCGCCCTCCTTTGCATGGCATGAAGGCGTGAAGGCTTTCTTGAATTGTTCTACCCAATGCCACCATCATTACGCAAGGCATGTCACGCCTGTACGGCCGCCAAACGACGATGTCGTCCTCAACTGCCCCAATGCACACGGTGCTCCGAAAAAGGCCTGAGCTGCACTTACGATCTCGAGCCAGTGTCGAATTCGCAGACGGTGGCCCCTAGCTGCCTGCCTGCAAATCAAGAAAATCTTCGACAACTTCTCTCCACCTGCATATTTGACTCGATGCCTTCCGCTCATATGTTTGCAATTCAATTGTATACCCCGCAAGGCTTCGACGTACGGCACGGACTGCCACGGGTATCTAATTTTGAAACATTTACTTTGGCTTCCGAGCACTTAAACAACATACCGCTTCTGACATTCCAGCACAAGTCGACCCCTTTTGTTCACGCTCAAGTATTGTCGGCTGCTAAGGGTTACTCAGCGGTTCCTCTTTTAAAAACAGGGGATAATTCTTCTCCGGATATGGCCACCATATTCCGGCTCCTAGAGACAGAGCGACAGCGATTGCTCTCCTTAAAAATCCAAGAACTATCATTCGTTGAGTTCTTGGCTGCCTTTCACGAATTAGCTGCCATTTTGGTGGCGTCCTTTCTAGAAAGAAACCGAAAAGCCGTCATGTCTTCAGACTTCGAGGATTTGGTCGATCTTTTCACGGACTGGACCAAACACTTCCATTCAATTCTGCCCGAAACTCTCAGTAGCGAACTTTCTGCATGGCAAGCATGGGTCATCGCCGAAACCGCCCGCAGAACATTTTTCTGCACAATCACCGTCGGGTGCCTCTTGGATATTCTCCAACACGGATTCTGCTACTATCGTCCGGGGGTCGAATCCCTGCCATTTGACCCGAGAACGGGCTTATGGGAAGCTAACACCGAAGGCGATTGGGAGGCTACTGTCGCTACCCACGGCAGCAAGGAGTCTAATTTGATGTCCTGGTGCGAGTTTATCGAGAGTGGAGGACCTGAGCCACGTAGACAGCACGATGGAGCCCTTCAGCGTCTACTTCTCGTGGGTCATTTCGGCAAGGCTGCCGCAGACGCCCAATCAAAGGCGTGAAGCCTCTGCGAACAATGCAGGTCCAGTTTCTAGCCAATCCAACCTGGAGGGTCTTGCCAGTTGTACCACCAAAACTCCACTCTCCCTATATGGCTTAAGTTCCGCAAGGCGTGCGAGGCCCTGATACAACTGAAGCACGGTACATTTCTATCAATAATCACCTTAAAAAAAAAAACATAAAGACTCGACTACCATGTGCTCGCATCTCAAGACTTCTTGTTACATCTCTTAACCTCTCGCCGCTCCCTTCGTCATTCATTTTGTCATTCGATCTCGCCGTAACTGGGACTAGCAATCATGGAACACAATCAGGACCTTCCTCGCGGCCAGTACGTCTCCTCCAAACATGCTAAGGCCCTCTCCAACACGGTGCCATGACTAATACTCATCAACCCTCAGTCGCCCAGTCTACTGCTGGGGCCACAGGGACATACCACAGCAAAAGGGCGTGGTGACATATGTATTGTCTCCAAATCGTCAAAATCCAATGGTTCACGCCTTCCATAATGCCATCTTCAACACGTTCCGTCGCTGCAAGGCTCAATTTTGGTACGTTGTGCCGCCGTTCGTCGGGGCGTACTTGCTCATAGACTGGGCTGAGAAGAGGTGACTATTTCCCCCTACGCTCTGGCAAGTGCCGGCAGGTTGAGGTGCTGGCATCCGAAAACGGCACTGACAATGGTCTCGGCAGAAATAAATTCCTCAATTCCAAAGCTGGCAGGATCGTGGACGAGGAAGATGGATGAGAGGTTTCTTGGGTCTGAATTTGAAATGACGGCCTCAATATACGTCCAAAAGAATGCCTATTTCGAAGGTCATGCAACAGCACAATGAACACGACAAGAAAACTACACAATTCTTCGACGACAAGTCCGCAGAAGCTTGAAACTGGATGGCAGAAATGTTCGAACATTGGTTGAAAAAGTGCAAATTGCTTTGCCAAAATTCTAACCATCTCAATACAGTTGAAGAAAAAGCTTTTGAACATAACATTGAACTTCAATCATCCGTGAAGCCCGTCATCAGCTAGCTCCCTTTTTTATTTCACCGCATTTTCAACCTTGCCGATGTTGTTCATTCGTCATCCACCCCTGCCATCACAACTATTCATAGTGTGATGAATAACTCGTCTCTCGGGAGGCCCTCGTCCTTCATGTTAGGATAATAGGGAACCATGCTGTCGGCACTGTGGACATATGCATCATTGTACAATCTCCAGTAAGGAGTGCGGACTTTGCGCGCCGGGTGGAAAAGGCCAGCCCAGACATAGTTCATCACGATGCCCGTGCCAACGGCCATACGAATGGCCTCGATGGCTTCTATGATTCGATCGATGACGTGTGGACTCGTTTCGAATAGATTCGGATACAGCAGATTGAGGAGGTGGACCATGGCGTCTTCACAACCCAGTCCAACAACGCCGAGTGCGACGTGCTTGACAACACTTGCTGCCGTTTGACGGTGGACTTGATCGCGGTCGATGAGGGCATCTTCGAGGAGAGGTGTAACGGCGTAAACGTAGTCTTTGGCCATTTCGCCAATATACTCGAAGAGGAAAGACAGCGACTTCAACACTCCATTTTGCACGTTGAGTTCGGGAACGCGGTACTCATTCATGAGAGCCGGCAGTACAGTGAAGGGCGCACAAGTTTCGGCGACGATTCCAATGGCCACAGCTGTGCAGACCCTCGACTGTCGTTCCTGGACACGTAGGTTGTTGAGTAGAGTAGCTAGCACGTCTTGCGGACCAATGGCTTTGGCAATGAAGCCAAAGGTATTGTTTGCGGCACGGCGGATACCCTTTTTATGGGCTTTGAGCATGTCGAGCAGCTCGAAGCAAATTCTCATCCATTCCCTAGCATTGACAGATTCTGGACCACGGTCCGCAATTCGACCCACCAAGTCAATGGTGTTCTCCTGAACTTTTTCGTGGCGATTCCTCAGGATGGGAGTCAGTCGAGGCAGGAGATCTTTAATTGGTGGTTGCATTTGGTTGATGCCCACCACTGTCACAATGGAACGGAGCGCTCCCAGAATAGAGCCCAGCACTTCGGGATATTCCTCACCAAGGTATTCATAGAGAACCACGCCCAGTTTACCCATCAAGGCATCTTCACCGCATTGCTTCATGACCATGGCAATCCGAGAAATGAGGTCGGCAGCCTGCTGTCGGACAGTGGCAGATTTGTTGTTCAGCCGCCATAAGATGGTGCTAACGATTTGTGGGAGATAGGGTTTGCAACGCGTGCCGAGAGCATTGACCACGGTCCCAAACCCGTTGAGCATGACAATATCCTCAATGCTTTGTTCCTGGAAAGCATGGAGGATGCCATCCACCAGCCGTTCCTCCAAGCGCTCGCCAATATCTGCTGCACCCAGCGAGGCAATCACCTTCTCGATGGTTTCCACAGTCATTTTACGATAGGCTTCGCTCTCGTCCTTGAGATTGTTGACAATGCGTTCCACGATTTCACTAACCCCGACTTTCTGGCCAAGGTCAACGGTTGTCTCCACAACCTGTCGGTAATTTCTTTTGTCCAGTGCCATCCGTCGGACCCAGAAGCTCTTGAAGAATTCTTGCAAGACATGTTCCTTCAAGTACCCGGCAGTCACGCCATCCGTGCCTGCGCACTGCGAGATAACTTTCAGGACCACTTTCTTCATTTCTTCATCAGGAGATGCAAACTCCCGAAGGAGAATTTCCATAATCTGGCTGGTGTAGTAGTTGGCATATTCCTCGTCCATGAGTGGGATAATGTAACCCACCGCCTTCAGGAATCCGGCCAATCCTTTCCCACGTTGCTTTCGAGCGCCTGTCCAAAGTGGGTTGAGAATGTCATCGAAGCTCTCGATACCATAAGGATTAGCGGCTTCTGCGAGCGCGGCAATGGCCAAGGAGGTCACCGTTCTTACTTTGGCCTGTTCATCACTGAGATTGTCTGCAATACAATCAACCAGACCCTTCAGATGCGGTAAAACGGCACAACCCATGAGAATAGGAATTTGCTGGACGATCTTGACGCCAGTGTGTCTGGCTTGCCATGACTTTTTGCTTCGACACACTGCACGTAAGAAAGGTAGTAGGGCGGGAATGCCCAATGCTGAAGCCACTACAGCGAAGGCTCTTGCCGTTGTGTTGCGGACGTACTCGTCCACATGGTCGATATCAGGTCGCATGGTGCTGATCATATGAGCTAGTCCCGCCGCTTTACTCAGATTTGAGATAATTTCCCGACCTTCGACGCGGGCATAATAGTCTTGGTCAATGAGAAGAGGTTCGATGACGACCAAGATTTTATGAACATAAGGTCTGATTAAATCGTCAAGCTTGTAAAGAACACGATCGATGACCTTGACGAGCAGATGTCTTTCTTGGTCTTCTAGAGTTTTCTCCATAAGCAAGGGCAAAATTTGGTTGAATAGTGGTCCGGCTCCAAATTGTCGTGCGTTGTCAGTTAATTGTCGCAAAGCTGTTTTTCGCATTGGCGGCGTGCCGTTTTTGACTTTGAGCAATAGACGCATGATTTTCCGCTCTTTCAATTCTTCGACCGACATGGCGTTTTCATCAGTTCCATCAACCAGTTTCCCGAAATAGGCCATATCTTCAGCCTTGAAAAATTGGAGATCACCCACACCCGGGATCTCAGTGGGTAACTGTTTGCCCATCATTCTCGGATTCTCTGGTTCTTGCATCATAAAGCCACCAATGCCGGCCGAACTGGTCGATGCTGCCGGAGTGGGGACAACTTTTCGGGCAATTGGTCGGATGGGAGCATACCCAGGAGGGGGCTCGAGGATCGTATAGCCCTCCGTAGGGAGCATCATATCGAGTTCTTCATCCGACCAAGGAGCATTTCGGCTGGAAATGTCGGTCCCGAAGCTTACAGTGGCCATTTGTGACGGGTGCGCGGGTGTAGCAAGGCCAGCGCTACCGATTGGGGTCACAGCGCCCAATGCTGGTGCTTGATCCCATCTGGAGCGCTTTGTTGGCGCAGCGGCTCCTTCTGGACCAGGCGCCTGATCCCATCTTGAACGCTTCTTTGCATCGGCGGCGTCTGCCGCGGGAGTGGGCTCACCGGAGACATCCCATCTCTTCTTCCGCTTGCGCCCGGTAGCTTCCACCGTTGAGCCAGCATCGGCATTCTCCTTATCAGCCTCTTCTTTGAGGGTGGGTTTATGCTCGACCACAGCGTCTCCATTGGCCCGTTTTTCAGCAATCAGCTTTTTGACCCGTTCTTCCTCTCGCTCAAGCTCCTGTAGTTGCATGACTTCGCGATAGGTAGAACCTTCTGTGACACCCGCATGCTTATTTGCTGCGAAGGGATCGGCTCTCGTGGGGGTAAGCGGGCCTCGATCAAATCTTTGCTTTTGGTAATCAGTCTCACGATCAGCAATTCTGGCCGATTTCTCACGCCCCAGCAAGATGTCCTCTTCCTCCACCCCATTTCCACGAGCGAATTCGCTCATTTGATCCTTTGTAGCGGTGTATTGTCCAATCAGCCTTCTGCTTGAGTCTGCATCGGGCATTTCTTCGTCGTCGCCCTCGACGGGGAGGGATGTGTGATATCCGGCGAACTTGTCGGCGCCATCACGGTCGTAGAGAGTGGTATCGAAATTCTCAGTCAAAGACGCCTTGGTGGATGAGTCAGTGCGTTGACTGGATGGATCGAAGGTCTTGGAACCTTTCTTGCTGGCAGATTGAGCATTGCGCTCTGCCTGCAAGCGGCGGATGGTGTCGAAGTCGGCTTGAGAAGTGGTCAGTCGATGATGAAAGGAGGGCTCGGTTGTGTACTTACCGTCCGACATGTCGAAAGTCGAGACGACTTGATCACTAGTAAAGATTCGAGGAAGAGAAGAGAGGAAGGGGATGTTTTAGATCATCTGGGGAAGTTGTTACTCGTACACTTTTGATAAAGGCGATGGATTTGTCATTACAAGTGCAGAGTCATGTGACCTTCGCTGAAAGCTTGGCGCCCGACCTTCCATTTACTGCGCAAAACTTATCTAGCCCAATAAGGCATACTCCCGTCGGTTAAAACTGGAATTTTCTCTAGCCCAAAGTAGGTTTGATAGAGCCCGTTAGCTGGTGTTTAGCAGGGCTTTAGAGGGACTTTAAGCAGCAAAGCAAAACCAACACTGGAACCCTACCCGAAAAGCTGAAATACGTTCTGCACAGCTTCTTGCCACTCATTACAAGGCCCGGCCCTCCTTTTTGAATTACCGATGCTGCTGGCTGTATTCCCGTCCTTTCTCCTCCACAACCCAATTCACCTTCGATCGACCTCCAATTGGCACTGCATAACACTCCTTTGCGAGCGGCGCACAACCTTTGGTCCTTGACCGTCGCATCACACGTTCCGGCATAAGGCTTTGCAATTTCTCATTCGAATGCATCCCATGTTCGATCCAGCTCACCACTCGTTGCCACATCTATCGACCGGGTGAAACGTCGTATTGAACAAATCCCCTCCTGTCGCATTCGATTTTTCGGCTTCCAAAATCCACTCCGTCGTTTCTTTTTGAGATCGAACCCTCCAATTGACGCTTCTCGGATTCCTGGCATTCTCTATGTCGCGCTGACACACCCATTGCGCCTCGAGAACCCCTTTTCAAGGGACATTCGCCCTCGTTTGATCCCTATCGAGCCCCCTCGCGCAAATGCCTGGCTGCTCAGATTTCCTTTGGACTCGATCCTGTCGAAGGAAGCTGGGAAAGGACAGTGATGCGCATGCTGCATCCCGCCTAAGAGATCGCGATTGGTGATAGGGAAAGCTCAACCGGAGTCCAACCGCTGCTCCCACTCCACCTGGCGGGTTCCCCCGTCCACATAAGAAAATGAAGTCAACCGAGCGGGATGACCCCAGGGGCATCAACACACACACCAGGTCACGGACACAGCGTGTTCAACGGCGGTCGAGCCGGCAAGCCTCTTCTCAGGATAGACATGGCAAAATATTTGAAGAGCCAGAGCAGTCGACCATCCGCGCAGTAACGCCAGATTCAACAATTTACACCACTTTTCGCAATGATTCTTTCGATGCTACGCAGATTCACTCGCCGGTCCAACAGGCGTCTCGAACGAATAGTTCACAACGACGACGGGAGACTTTTGTGTCAGTGTCCAACACCGATGAGGAGAGTACAGTCGAGAGAAGGAGACGGAGAGCTCAAACAAGAGCTGGCACCAAGGAGGAGCCTGTCTCGGATACCTCGCCCGGCTCTTTGTTTTCTAAAACCCGCAAAAGACTGGGCTCTATAACAACGGGCCCAGCTCAAGTCCAACGTCCCGATGAGGCTTACGGGTCTATTGGCTTTCCTTCGGTGGTTCATAGTCCCGAGATATTAGACCAAGCCGACCCTCGCAACCCTCCCAGAACTCCACGGCGGCCTTTTTCTCCAGTGGATATGTTTACTGTGAGCGCACAGAGCCTCCGCTCACCCAAACTGCTTGACATTGATTCAGCCAAAATCCTTCATCTGATGAAAACCACCTGTGGCCGAATGCATGGCATTCTATTTTTCAGACCCTTACACACGACAGCGTGGGCCTCGGGCTATTGCGCAATCAACGTGGCGCCTGGAAGCCTTGTGTGTCAAACCAAGGGTGAGGTCTCACAATCCAAAACATTGATACCGGATCTCCGAGGCTGCACCGTCAGGACTCATTATGACCATGAAACTCAAAGCACTTACTTGAGCGTGTTGATTGCTTCTTCAGGAACCGGTTACCAACTTCGGCCACCGGTTCCCGAGACATTTGATTCCTGGCTTGCGGCTTTACTTTGCTGGCAACCATTGAGGCCCAAGGGCGTACACAATAAGATGACAAAACCTCAACCGACTAGCGCCATCGACAAGAAGCCCGTCACCCAGAGACGGATTTCGGACCTGATGAACCCGAAAAGCACAGCCATTGTCAAGGTCGGGAAGATGCTTCTGTGGGACGGGCCCCTGCCCTCGGGCTCTCAATTGGCGTCCTCTCCCAGTACCATTGGTCGATCAATGACTGAGGAGAACTACCTTTGGCGCAGAGTGAGTTGCACCGTACATGAGAACGGTACTTTCCGTCTGCTCGGAGATGTTGATTCTCAGGTACTTTCAGTGACGCCATTGTCCCAACTCTCACGCTGTGCTGTCCAAAGACTTGACGAAAGCGTCCTTCGAATGCCCCATTGTCTCGCCATTTATCCTCAGTATCGCGTACAAGCTCCACTAGTAAGATTGTCACGGCCAATGGTGTTGTGCCTCGAATCCAACGTGGCTCTCGAGGCGTGGTATGTTCTCCTTCGGGCTCTCACCGTCCCAGAGCTGTATGGGCCAGAACAACCTAATCCCGAGGAACCCCAAAACTTTTCACATAACGATGCTCGAAATGAAAGGGAACAACCGACCCAGGGAATGTTCCGTATCGAACGTTCATTGTCCGTCAAAATAACGGAAGCAAAATTTTCCCAACGCTTTGCTCCCAAGGAGCCTTACGAACACAGCAAGGCAAAGGGCAAATCTAGCAAAGGAGACCAGGGAAAAGAAAGTGTTTATGCGGAAGTTATACTAGGCAAGGACTTGCGTGCCCGAACCTCCACAAAGCCTAGTGTGTCATCGACCTTCTGGGCAGAAGAATTCAATCTAGAAGATATACCAGCTCCTCTGTCGAAAATTACGATTGCGGTGAAACTGGGAAATCCTGCTGAAAAAGAGTGGACCATGGTGGCTGACGGCTTATACGATATCTCTGCTGATGCTGGATACCTCTCGGGTTTGGGCGGGCTGGAGATTTCTTCTCATGACCCGGTATTTGGAAGAGTCGACGTCCCGATAGACGAGTTGGAGCATAGCGGCACACTCGAGAAATGGTGGCCCCTGCTGGACAACAACGATCACTCGGTCGGGACACTCTTGGCTAAGCTGGTGCTGCAAGAAACCGTGATATTGATGGAAGAAGAGTACAAAGAACTATCGTCACTTCTGCAAAGCTTCTCGAATGGCTTGACGACTCAGATAGCTCAGTTGCTTGGACCTGACCTGCGACAACTATCTGATATTTTTTTGGATATTTTTCAGGCTTCTGGTACAGCTAGCGACTGGCTCAGCAATCTCGTCGAGGAAGAAATTGATGGAATTTATAAAGAAACCCCGGCGATGCGGATGAGATTCAGTGGTCGGATACATTCGAACGACTCATATGAATCAGCCGAGCAAAGAGAGCTTCTTGTCCGAGACCTGAGTCGATCGGCCACGATGGAAGCCAATCTCCTTTTCCGCGGGAATTCGCTTGTGACCAAAGCGCTCGACGCTCATATGCGAAGACTAGGAAAGGAGTACATGGAGGGTGTCCTAGGCGAAAATCTTCGCAAAATCATTGAGAAGGACCCCGATTGTGAGGTGGATCCAAACAGGGCCAGGTCACAGGAACAACTTGACAGGAACTGGGCGAACCTTTTGTACATTACCGGCGCCATTTGGAAGTCCATATACATTTCAGCATCCCGCTGTCCGATGGAACTGCGTCTTATCTTGCGCCACGTTCGGTCCTGCGCCGAGGACCGGTATGGATCCTTTATTCGAACCGTCAAGTACACTAGCGTGTCTTGCTTTCTCTTTCTTCGTTTCTTTTGCCCTGCGATTCTGAACCCAAAGCTTTTTGGCTTAATTCGGGGTAAGTTTCTTTGGACAAACTCTTGAATTTAAACTAATCAATTGAATAGACCACCCACCAGACCGCACCAAAAGGACCTTCACTCTGATTGCCAAGTCGCTCAATGTTCTTGCAAACACAGCCAGATTTGGGACTAAGGAACCCTGGATGGCGCGTATGAACAGCTTTCTGGCCGCTTCAACTCATGAATTCAAGGGTTTCATCGATGAAATCTGTGCTGTCAGTGCGTCTCAAACTGCTTCAGCAAGCCTCGAGCCTCAATTTGCCGCGGCAAATCAGATACGAAACCGCCTGCCGCCTTTATCGCGAGAGGGCTTACCAAGTCTCCCTTTTCTCCTCGATCATGCAAAATTATTGGCGCAACTTGTTGATCTATGGGTTGCTCATGCCCCAGAAAATATCAGTGAGGCAACCGATGACGAAGTTATCCATGCCTTTCATTCTCTCTGCGTGAACCTGGGTCGAAAGAGCAGGGAGTGCTTCAAGGCCGCAGAGCAAGCCGAGCGACCAGACGAGAATTCAGAATCCACTTGGGAGCGCTTGCTCACAGACCAGCAGAAGAATCTATCACCCAGCAATCCGTTGGAGGGGCAGCCCATGAGATCTCATGCGGATACGGAAATTACCGCATTGCCACAAACAGCAGACTCCATGGTAGATATGGACTACAAAAACGCCGAGATATCCCCAATAATCGGCGAAGGAGATACAACGCCTTCGAGTTCAGCATCGGCTGCTTGGGACAGACGCATTCCATTTCCACATCGAGCAACAGAAGCTCGAGCACTGACAGATTCAACCAATTCATCAACAGCCTCAGTCGATATGATCGAAGAGGCACGATCGAGAGCATTGCCGAGTAGTCGTGATGGCCCATCAAAGAATCGCCTATTCGACTTGATGAGCTCCTCTTCACGCAAAAAGGCAAAAGCTGGAGACCGGAATTATATGAACGACGACGGGAATGAAATTTGACGACAAAAAGGGAATATTATGACATTAATGTCGCTAGATACCTTAGCATGTACGAGAAACAAAGATCTTGCAACAAAATTACACCAATCCCCAAGTTTCGAATTGCATTGACCCGGTCTCTTTTCTACGCAGATTCTACTATTTCTTTCAATTCCGGCTTTTGAAGGAGGATGGCGGGATGGCGGAAGTGGTGAGTAATCAGACTGGCAAGTTGATTTCATCTTGATCATGTTTTTGCCTTTTACCGTTCATCACTGATCCAGGTATTGATATCATACTCAATATGCCAGGCCCTCTGATCTTTGTCTGAGGCTCGGCACGCACTTCTTATTCGAATCTCTCTCACACACACACACAATTGTGGAAATGACATTTCCTCCCAACTTCGTTTTGCCATTCGGCAACTTCATTGCACAAATCGATTCGCACGCAGTGGTATGTCATGATGATGATTTTCGTTCTGGGACATTCACTTTATGGCACATCAGCGCAGAAAACTTCCCCCTTTATCTACAGTTAATCCCATCCGATGTGAGGCCATACTTCTCCAAAGAGTGTGGCGCTATCACCACTACGAATCTACCAATCTCTTGCTTGCGTCCTCAGCACACCGCATGTATTTACTCTTGGTTCTGATCCGTATTTAGGAGGAGCTCTGCCTCTATCAGTCACTTCTATGGGATGACGTCCCTCTATCCGTCCGATCTGCCTACATCTCGCGCGCACGTCTCAGATTGACTTGGTTGCCTTTACCTCTTCGGTTCATCAGGCTCCCAACACGCGCCGGTCTGTCGTCGACTCAAGTTGTGCGAACCAATCTGACTTCGGTCTCACCTGATTGGCATCTTGCCCTTGCTCTTACACCCTCACTGTCACAAGCTTGCGCACGCACCTCTTCCGATTTCTCTCAAACATCTGGTTTTGAATGATATCGACAGTCTCCGTGGATGCAGACGTTCTATGACCCTGTGACAAATCACTGCGAAAAGGCTAGTTTAATTGTCACCAGCTCGGTGTGATCCCTTTTTGGTCCAATTTTCACATCGTCATGCCCTTCCTCGCATCATCTTCTCCAGTATGGCTCAGTGATGATGATGATGATGATGATGACGACGTCGTCGTCGTCGACGGCAACAACGACGGCAACAGCGACGCCGCTGAGCTTCGCCCAACTTCAATTCGGAACCTCGGTGGGACACAAAGCCGCCATGCCCAGGCTGGCGATGTGACAGACGGAATTTATCGCAATAATTTCAATAGCTACATTATTGAGAGCGATGGGGAACTAGCAGATAGTGATTATGATGATAATCATATTCAACCTTCATCATCCGAGGAGGATGATGTTGAAGAGCTAGACAGTGGTGAAGAAGATGGAGACGAACACCCAGACACAATTCAGGTTTGTCCCGGATCGAATAGTGAATCCGTCCAAGACACTATCGAAGAGTTCGAAGAGACGTTTGAGACGAGAATCGAGGATTTCAACGCGACTTTCGAATACAAGAGAACTCGCTCACGAACTGACAAGCAGAGGTCTGATCTTCTCGCTCCAACATCATCCTCACCATTTTACGATCTCCATTTTGATGAACACTTTACTCAAAACCTCAAGGCACTGGAATCTCCAAGAGCATTGAAACTTTTATATCCTCCAAAGTTCTCGGGGTCTTCTTATGTCAAGCCTGACATATCTGAAGCAAAAGTCCTGGACGAATTTATTGAGATGGGAGGTGTTTCAGACACTGAACCCGATGATCACTTTTTCGAATTTGATCTCTGGGACTTTCATGTATACCGAGCCCCTTACCATTCAGGCTCTTTTGAGGGACAATTCGACAGTCTGCATATTGTGGCATCGGAGATCAATCAGGATCTCAAAAGTCAAAAGCAATGGTTTGTTGACGGAACGCTGGAGTGTATGGGAAAACTACGACCGATTTCAGATGCCAGAATCGTTGATGTCAGCATTGGACCTCTAGATCAACCAGAAGAACATGAAACACAAGTCTGGATCATGACGGAAGAGAGCCGAAAAGTGAACCACTGGTATCGTCTGAAGGCGCCATCTAAAGAATACACCAAAATGTGGTCAGACTTTATATGGCTGTCCAACCTCAACAAGTACGTCATTGACTACCTCGAGATCAACTCCGAAACTGGAGTCTCTCTTGCAGACTTCAAGGGAAAATTTTGGGCGTGGCTGAAGAGCCTCCATGGGGACAATATCTCAGCATGGCACGACAAGTGCGGAAATCGAACAGACTTCCGAAAAGATCTTGCAGATTACGGTCAGTTCTTCCGTAATCAGACTTATTCGCTTTGTGTTAACAGCAATGATATGACCAAGATGTCATACCCCGTCTGGAGCGAAATCGGCTGTGGGAATATTTCTCAAGACCAACAAGCAGCCTCGAAATGGACCAAAACATCGGTTACGCCAGAGGTTGCAACTTCCTTCTCGAAGTTCTGGAAGAACTTTGATCTTCTCGAGCCTATACAATTCTGTCCCGCCATCGAAAATCAGCGAAAGCAGAAAATAATGGAGCGCAATTTCCCAAGTAAGCTCGACGTCAACCAGAGCAAACATTTCATCAAGGTTAGGAACCAGCAAATCCCAAGATCAACTTGGATTCTAGAAGAAGCGGCTAAGGAGAACCGCCCGGTTCGAATTTTCGACACCGACGAAATACGGGGAAAGGTTATCATCCTACGATCCCAATTGAAGACCGGCCAACACGAATTTAACTATGCATGGGTTAGGTCGGTATCAAGAGGATATTGCTATGTTGTCTGGTTGGTTCTGCCATCCGATACTGCCTATGGCTCACCAGACCGGGCAACTTTTTACCCTGTTGGAAATGAGCTATTCTTTTCTAACCAGTGTAACTGTGAAAAGGTCAGCCTCAAAGACATTGTCAAAATTATCGATGCCTCGGTCTTCAAAGATCATGCCGAGAAGCACGGAGCGTTATTCGTCCATAATTTACTGTACTGTGAAGGGGAGGAAATGTTCATCGCGGTATCCGAGATAGATCTTATGCGATGTCAGTGCAAGGCGGCTGCCAAGAAGAAACGATGTTTACCCAGGAGCCAACCTAACCATCGCAATCAAAAGATGCAGACTCTGTCCCTGTTTAGTGGGTGTGGCTTATTGGATTACGCCTTCGTTTCTCCCGGCCACGCCGAAACCAAGTTCGCCATCGACCACTGGGAGACGGCCATCCTAAGTCATCGAGCGAACGACGAAGCTCAAAAGACACGACGCGAGATCGGATCAACGAGCGACTGTTTTGAAAAGTTCGCATCCGGGGAGGGAAATTTACCTGACAATATTGATTGTGTCATCGGCGGCTGCCCTTGCGATGGCTACAGCCCGTTGAATGCGCACAGAGAGACCCTGACCAGTCAGAAAAATTGCTCGCTCTTAGCTAACATGCTGTCCTGGATCCAGATGTTAATGCCAACGTATGTCCTTATCGAGAACGTGCCGAATATGGACAAGGGTCGACCCAATGCGTGTAGCCAAGCGATTTGTTTCCTTGTGGCTCTGGGATACCAAGTCCGCAAATCTTTGGTGGTGGATTCTGAGGTTGGCGGTGCGTCATCTCGCCAGAGATTGTTTATCGTTGCTGCTGCCCCCGGCTTTATTCTGCCAGAGGAACCTGAACGCACTCATGGCCCAACAGGCTCGGGACTCCGCAAGATACGTACAATCAGGGAGACAATCAGCGACCTTCCGCCACTACATAACGACACCATCATCAACCCTGCCAATCCAGACCACATTCCCTTGAAACGATTCAAAGTCGACTTTCAAAATTTTGTTAACTTCCGTGGCGTGGTAAGCAGGATTCCCACGAGGCCACCGAATATGTCGCTGAGTAAGACATATCGCGATGGAGGACTGCTGCCTCATGAGCGATGCTGGTTCAGAACTCTGCACAAATTTCAACAAACCAAGGGTTCCAAGTCTCTTACACGTGTCGATCCAGACAATCCTTTCCGGACTATCTGTACTGTGATATCGCCTATGGATGCTGTGTATAGCGGCATCATTCTACATCCATTCCAGCATCGCACGCTCTCGCTTCTGGAGGCAAGCCGTGCGATGGGCAAGCCGGATTCGTTCATCCTGGTTGGTACCGTCAGTGAGCAATTCAAACAATTGGGCAATGCTGTTCCCTGGGCTCTTGGTGCCGCATGGGGGAGAGTCTTCGGTCGGGCCTGGCAGGAGTCTCTTGAACGAAGAACAGAGGATAATACTTTCGCTGCCATTCTCGCCGAGGTCAGGCAGGAAGCTAAAGAACAAGACGAAGCAGGGGAGAAAATGTCGGCGAAGTCAACGAGTCGGGCTGGCATGAAGCGGAGTCAACAAATGCGCGTCTCAGATAACGCTGACAGTGACTCATCTATTGAGGTGATCATTGAGTGTCCTGTGAAGAGAAAGTCTTAGGCAGTATGGATCGAACTTGGCACTTTTTACGGGCGTAGACGGAAAGCGGAGATCAAGCAAGGCTGATGTCGAATCAGAGGTTGAATCGAACACACGGCAGTTTCAATTCCCTAGAATGCATCGTGTGAGTGAGAGATGGAGAGAGCGGAAAATTAGCAATTAGCCAAACATCTCCTCTGCTGATGAATTAGAAATTGGAAGGAGATATGAACACCAACTATGATTGACTGATGTGTCCATTTTGGCGGCATGAAAAACTTCGAAAAGACTCGATGAACGTAGCCTGTCCTTTTCTCACCCATCAGCTTTCTTCCTGTCAAAAAAAAAAAAAAAAAAAAAAAAAAAAAAAAAAAAAAATTCAGTTTCAAGAGAGTCTACACGACGTGATTAAATTCGGTGATGATAATATTCATCCAACGACCATATCCAGATGCAGTTTGGATTCTTATCTATAGTACAATTTCCATAATAGTTTACACATTCCAATCTATTTTATGCTCGGCTCAGCGACGTTGGAGCCCGAAAATCGCCACTCATGGTCGGCAGCAGCATGCCTTTGCGCGACCTGTTCGTTTGCCTGAGTCATCAAGAGCCGTCCCTTGACGAGCCCTAGCCAATCGGCGATCCTGGGGAACCAGAACAGTTGCTCGTGCCTCTTCCACCAGGCGGCACCACGCGAGCCGCGCAAGACACCAGCGTGACGCTCGTCCCGTGTCAAATCCTCGGCCCGTTCATTTTCAAGCCGCGTCAAAATGCGATAGGTCTCTTCGTTGAGCTCGACGCCGCCGCGTTCCATCTCAGAGAGCAACGCGTCGATCTCCCGCAGCGAGGACCGTGTCAGCCACACCAGCGACATCAGCGAGTTGTAGAACTGCGGACTGGCGCCCAGCACGTACGAGGTGTGCCCGAGCGATCGGATCCGAGGCAGCAGGTTGTGCGCTAGCTGCGATTCGGGGAAGTGCTCGATATATAGCCGCAGCGCGAGCAGAAGGGCTGCAGGATACACGTGATGCAAAATCGTCAGGTCAGTCCAGGGCTTGAATCGTGTCTCGGACAGCGGTTCGTGCGTCTCTGGAAGGGACCTCGTTGCGACAGTGGTATTTGGTGTGACAGGGGCGGAGTCGCGGAATTCCCGCTCCGCGGCTTCAAGCAGTTCGGGCGGGTTGTCTGACTGCAGGAGTGAAAAGGTGAATTTATGTGGTCCGATGACACTGGACTGCTTCCGGCGTATGGGTTTCAAGGAGCTTGCTAGAGAGAAGATCTGCTCTTCGCACACCTCCCACATGGCGATGTCGCCGCGTTTCGTCGTCGAGGCCGCGGCGGCTTGTAGAGCCTCGGAAATTTCGGTCATGCGTTCACGCACGGCGTGTTGGATGTGCTCGTCGAAGCGTCTGAAGTGCTTGGAGCTGGCGATTTGTTTGAAGGATAGCTCGGGACTGGTGAGTTCTGGTTCTGGCGCCGTGTCGCGTGACACAACATATCTCAAAGGCGCCCCAAGTTGCCGCTGGTTCGTGGTAAAGGAAGCTTTGGACAGTGACTCGTTGGTGGACCGAGATATAGATTCTGATTCAACGGCAGAGTTCGACTTTCGAGTGATGGTGGGCTCTGGCTGTTGGTCTCCTACCGGGCGAGGAGAGGCAGCATCCAGCTCCCGCTGACCGGCAATCACCGTCTCGCGCTCAGTTTGGTGACATCTTACGGAGGAGCTGAAGATACTGAGAATGTTTTCAATATCGGTATCTACTGCGTCGACGAAGGGCGATTGCTTCTTAACGCCAGACGGTTCAGGCTGTCTCGTAGAGAAGCGCAAGATGGTGTCGAAAGCTCTTCGTTCGCTCGCCGTGATAGTTGAATTTATAGCGGTGCCAATGGTACTGGAGATGGGCTTTGGTATTGTTTGTTCCTCGGCGATTCTGCTGGCTTTCTCTTTCAGAAAGGATCCGGTGTTGGAAGAAGGAAGGATTTCATGGTTGTCCTTGAGGCTCTCTGAATGAGATTGACTAGAGAAATATCTTCGCGTCGTCGGGGATCGTCTGACTGGCCAACGGAGAATGGTTCGATTTTGGTATAGGAATGGGAGTTCGATGCGGCCTACGGCCATGTTTGACCACGGACATGGAGGGTGAATATGTGGATGGAGAGGGATGGGAAGTCGGATTTCGTACCACGTGACCAAGATCATGCTGACTGATGAGGACTAGCTTGGATAATTAGAGGCTTGGCAAACACGGCGCTAAGTCACGGGGCGCGGCTGCTCGGCGTCTGGAGAGCAGGCGTGCACGAAGGGGTATACTGTCTCCTCGTCTAACCGCAGCAGACCCTTAAGCAGCCCCACTATACCCTGAACCCAGAGCCCAGTTCGACGGTCCCATTGATAAAGACCAAACACTATCAACTTTGCCCCAGCCCTTCATCCAGACCCCCAAGTCACCTCTCTGCTCGCTACACTCGATCCTCGCCATATCCTCGACGTCCAACGGCCTTGCCGCCTCCTCGCATCGGCGCCATCTGACTGGACCCCCTCTCTCTCTACTGTCTCCTCGCCAGAACCCCCACGCAAATCGCCCGAGAACACGTGGAGAAGTCGGCCTGTTCGCCTCGAATCTGCGCAAGTCAACAGGCCCGCATGACTTGTGGCAGATTGCACGCCAGCCTGCCCCGGGTAGCCTGACCTCGTCCCCAGTGACGCTGGGCTCAGTCACGCACGTCTTCGCTCTCTTCTGACCTCGTCTGAAAGCCCTCTCCATCTAGTCGAAGCCCTCCTCGCCGCCTTCATCATGAGCAGTGCCCTTCCTCGATCCACTACCACTCCCTCCGCGACCTGGCACGATCATGACCAGTATCAGAGCATGAGCCGCGGACATTCCAACAGCGCCTCCTCGACTCAATTAGCCTTATCCATGATGCAGCCACAAAATAGACCGCGCAATGGCTTTGGCTCCAGCGGGGAAAAGGCAGTCCCGGTGCCTGGCTCAACCCTCGTTGGAAACGAAGTGGACAGAAAGAGCAGTCTAGGAAGTGGTCAGCCGTTGTTTGATATGGCTCGAAGTCCCCCCAATGCCTCGAGCAAGAGTAAGTACGACACACCCTGGATATGGCACACTGGATTCTGAAACATCGCCAGATACAAAGCATGTCCCTTGTAAATTCTTCCGCCAGGGCGCTTGCCAGGCCGGAAACGCGTGCCCTTTCTCACACTCGCTTGATCCAATGAGCCAACAGGCGCCCTGCAAATACTTCATGAAGGTAGATCTGGGATTCCCTCTGCCTCTTTCATTACTGATCTGTCTCCAGGGAAATTGCAAGTTCGGAGCCAAGTGTGCTCTGGCTCATTATCTCCCAGATGGGAGACGAGTCAATCGAGCTGATCTGGACGTCGGCCTCGCCATGGCAGGGCGAAACTTCAACTATCCAAATCGGCAAGATCAACCATCTTTCCCCAATCAAGACCCGAGCGTGGCAGACCTCGTGCTAAACCAGCCACCCTACGGACCAGACTACTTCCCAAATCAAACATTTCCTCTCATGGATGGTGACGAACCCGATGCATTCCAGGATCGATATAATCAATATCAAACGAACTCTGCTCTCGACTCAGGACTTAATTCACCTCGAACGTCCCAGTTCGGTTCTCCTCCGAACGACTACCAGTTCCCTAAATCCCCCGTTGAGAACCTTAGAACAGCTCTTAATGCACCTTTGCCTCAGTCTTTCGACGCGAACGGCGTTTCACACATAGCCAAATATGGACCTCTGGGTCAATCCGTCCCAGACAAATTTGGCATGCGCTCCCCGGCATCGTCTTCCCTTTCGAGACAACTTGGAAGTCCTCCCGAGTCTATTGTCAATGTTCGAAATGCCAATCTTGGCTCGAACTTGCGGAACGCGTCTCCTCTCGGAATTTCCCCTCAAAATGCGGAAGAGTCAATCGGTCAGCGAATAATGCACTCTCAGAGAACCACCAAAACAAGAGGTCTGTCGGCAAGTGTTCCACGCTCAAATCTGCCATATGACTGGGAGGAAGGACTGGGGGTTGAGACCGATTTATTGCCCAATAGTTTACATGACGAAGTCCTCACTCCGCAGGAAAAGATGCGACGGATGTCAAGACCGGATCATGAACCCGGTTCCAAGGATTCTACGCATGCTCTGACAATACCAAGCGGAACCTCTAGCAAAGTCGGTTCGCCTCCCGCTGGAAGTCCTTCACGATTTAGTGCTTTGTGGGCTGAGCAACGGGAAAAGAAAGCAGCAGAAACCAATGGACCACCCAGCATCGGCCATGTGGGCTCACCTCTTCGTGGGTCTTGGATGCCGAACGAATCTTCGACGTCAAGTGTACCCATTTCCGGAATTTCTCAGGCGATGGCGCGAATCCAATTGGGTCGAGTAGACTCTGGCGAATTGAATGGAGCCAGAGCCCAGTCCAGTGGTTTGAGGCATTCCTCGGCGCCGATTGGCCGTTTTGACCGTGGCATATCTAGCCCAGGCTTGAGTTCCAAGAAGATCGATGAGGAGGTTGAAGGGGTATTCTTTCCCATGGACGGTGACGACAAGACACTGAATTGGTCCGGACAGTCACCGCGGCTGATGCCCCTCCGCGAGAGGTCTAATGGCGATTTACCCGGAAGCAAGAAGGACAATACCGTTGGATCCGAGAATGGGGTGAAATCAATGTGGGCATTTCGATCATGATATACGGAAGGACAACTTGCACATACGGAGTACAAATCACTGGAAATGACGAGATACGACGGCGTCCAAAATATACAGCTTTTGCACCACCGCTTGGGCGATTCATGCCGGATGGATGAAAGAAGAAAAATTGCATACACGAGGCGTTTAACATACGCTGCATCAAATCAATGAGATGAATGAAACTTGGGAGAGTTGAGCACTAGTAATTTCCCACGCGTCGACAGAGGCGCATACTTATGTGATACGCTATATAGATATACTCGGACAAATCTTAGTGTAACCCGGCGTTCTGATGATCCGCCTGAGTTTGTGAGTAATATTTGTGACGAGAAAGGTGTTCATCTCGAACTCGCCTTGGCTCGTTCCCGATATCAGACACTGCAAAAGTCCTCGGATCATTTCCTGCAAGATTTGCTGCAAGGCTGACAGGGCTGACAAGGCTGAGGTATCGCAGTGCGCCCTCCAGGTTTGCCGATTTGCCCATGTTTTATCGCGTCGTTGTGCTGAACGCGGGACCATTTGCACGCATTCTTATGAATATTCCATTCTCATTTCTCTAATCTTACCACTCCCTTTCTTCGAGGCATGTTGAGTAGCAGCCAAGGTTTGCGGCTATGCTCAAGATGCCTCCAACGTTCTCAGCGCACGGGGGTTAAATTTGCAGTTCCTCGGGCTCGCTTTCAGTGCTCATGTATAGTTTTTCGAACACACCCCGTTGTTGCATTCGTCGGCCAGTTTTGAGACTAACTTTATTCTCATCCAACAGCTACAATCTCAGAGAGCGATATCCAGATCTCTCCTATCCTCCTTCAACGCGCTCGCGCTATTGCCGCTGAACACAAGCAGCTGTCTGCTGCAAACGCCGACAATTATGATGTCTCTGTTGCAAAGAAAATCGGCGAATTGAGCACGGTCTCGACGGCGTTGAGAGAGTGGGAGGATGCGCAGAATGTGGGTGGTCCTCCAGAGTGTGACCGGCCGCTTTTCAGGGACAATCAAGACTGACAATATTGTCTGGAGAATAGTCTTTAAAGGAACTCAACGGTCTTCTCAACGATCCATCATCGGATTCTGAAATTCGGAACCTTGCGCATTCAGACATTGAATCTACGATCGCAACGCTACCAGCACTCGTTTCAAGCCTGAAAACCTCTCTCATTCCTCCTCATCCGTTTGCCAATATGCCTTGTATGATTGAATTGCATCCAGGGGCAGGTGGCAGCGAAGCATCCCTCTTCGCACACACGCTTCTTAACATGTATATCGACTTCTGTTCTCGCATGAAATGGCCAACCAACCTCGCCTCATACACTCGTGATGACTCGGTTTCCGACAGCGCTCTTACTGACGCCCTGCTTGAAGTAAACCATCCAGGAAGCTATGACATCCTGCGTGCCGAAGCTGGGGTTCATCGTGTACAGCGTGTTCCCGCAACGGAGAAGAAAGGACGAACTCATACCTCCGCAGTCTCGGTTCTCATTCTCCCCAACCTACCAGAATCTGGTGCCGAATCAGAGCTCGACTATGAGGACCCTAATTCAGACTACTATATTGCACCATCAGATGTTCGATCCGAGACTATGCGTGCGCGCGGTGCGGGCGGGCAGCATGTCAACAAGACGGACTCCGCAGTTCGGCTCACACACATCCCTACTGGGATCGTCATCTCAATGCAAGATTCTCGTTCACAGCACAAGAATCGTGAAAAGGCCTGGCAACTGCTCCGCTCCAAACTTGCTCAAATGAGACGAGAACAGCGGGAAGCGGAGGTCATTAACCTACGTCGAAGTGTCATGGGCGGAGTAGCCAAGACAGGGCGAGAGGATAAAATCCGTACGTATAATTACTCCCAGAGCCGGGTGACAGATCATCGCAGTGGGAAGGAGTCTTCAGATCTGGACGGTGTGCTTGCAGGAGACGAGGCCCTGGAAGAAATCATGGAGAGCGCCAGGGAATGGATGAGCGAGAACGAAGTCAAGGGGCTACTAGCAGAAGAGGAGTTGAAAGCTAAGGCCAATCGCAATGGGAAAGGATGATTTGACGATATCAACAACCTTACAATGTGTCGCGATGTACCAGCAGAAGTGTACAAAATGTACAAGAAGATCTAATCTAGAAAAGGCGATCGCGTTTTCAGATTCATGTTCATTGACATGTTCAGCCATTTTCAGCTCTTCTAGCTCACAGAAGCACTTTTCATTTCTACCCTGAACTCAGCTTACTCGAATCATCGTCTCGAAACCCAAGGTTCCACAAGCTCACCAATTATCCATTCAGGGGGACGTGGGTATTATTGTGCGCTTTTTCCCACATTTATCTGTTTTCTTGCTTCTCGTCTGCTGTTTCCTGCTCTGCAACTCTCCGATGTGTTAAGCGGGAGATTGAGGGTCGTGTCGACATGTTTCATTTCAACTCATGCCGATTCAATTCTCAGCTCGTTTCACATGAATCACGATGGTCGTGATTGTTTATCTCTGCTTTGAAAGGTCGATTCCGATGGGGACTCGTGGTTGCGTTTGGCGGTGTGGCTGTTATAGTTCATTCCGTTGTGGGCCATCCTCTTTTTAAAGGACCGGCGACGTGTTATTGTCGTCTTAATCATCATAGAGACCCACGCACAACACTCCACCTATTCCAAGAGAAAATACTGTCAATGCCCTGCGCTACTTAGCAACAGCAGCACTGAGGACTTGTGTGCGGAAGAAAGCGCCTTTCGTTTTTTCGATGACTTGTTGGTACACGCTTTGTGGAGGGTGGTTCATAACGACAGTGCCGGCTTGATAGTCGATCTTGGCATCGACTTTGGTGTCACGGATGAGATTGACGATCCATTTCTCACCTTCGCTGGGGGAAAGGCCGAGGCGGGTGGAGAGATCCCTTTTGGAAAGAGGTTAGTCCTACACCTGGTGAACGAGAATGGTTTTGGAAAATATGAGGGTGCGGGATTGGGCCGGACTTACTTGATATCGATTCTCTGGTGAATCTTGCAGTAGCTTTCGGAAATCAAGTGCCGTGCCGACTCCATGAATGCATCCGTCGAAGATCCTAGGAAGAAATCACCTCTCAAGATAGCCTCAGCCTCAGAGAGCTTCTTCTGGGCACCTTCAAAGTCAAAGTCTACATACAGTGCCTTGACGAATTCGGTCACCGGATCCTGATATTCGTAAACTTCTTGCTTGACCACCCTCACCAGGTCCTTGAGTTGTTTCTGGTAATTGTGTGAATTGTTCATGCGGGCCCGGTTCGTGATGACTGCGGCGGCGAGATATCGAAGGATCCAGGGGCACACGGTCTGGATTGACGAGATGTAAGGTGGAGAGAAGTACATTTCCGTGAGCTTTTCGCGGGCTGGCTCGTAGTTGAAAAAAGGGAACAGGGCATAGTGGACGAGAGATTCTCGAGCAGTGAGTTGCGCGCGCGGGTTGTTAAACAGCCGCGTCTCAATGTGCTCTTTGACTTTCTCGACTTCTTCCAATGCATTTTCCCACTCTTCGCCCAAAATCTCGCAAACTAGCTTACCCCATGTCGCCTTGACGACTTTATCATTGTCTGTAGACAGGACTCGGAAGCGGTATAAGAGATCTGCTGCTTCGGGGTAGAGACCGCATTCATATCTAAATCGGCCAAAGTCGTAGAGATCGTCAACCATCTGTTGTGTGACGCCGTGTGATTCTTCGAGGAATTTCAAGTTGGCGACTTTGTCGCTGCGTAGTTGGGAGGTGACTGCTTCATCGTTCAGGAGGTTCGTAAGGTGTGCAGATTCTTCTTCAAACGTGGATAGTTTATTCAAGACTTCTTCTCTCTTTTTGGCGTACTCCGGAGGGGTAGATTCTGTCTTGTTAATTTCCTTGTACAGGTTTCCCACGTAATCGATCATGTTGGTGTTCTTGAGGAGATTGAAAATGGCGAGTTTGAGGTCATCATAGCGCTCTTGTGAGATGTCTTCCGAACGGAGCTGGTGCTCAAGTAAAGGGAAAATGAGGTGTCTGTCCATGTGCTGGACGAGTTTCGCCAAAAAGGCATATTCGCCTGTAGGATCGTCGACGGCACTCATTCTATCTTGGTCTTTTCCTCTTTCTCGTTTGATTCCTTTTGGCGCTCACTGGCCGCTTTGTCAAGTTGTTTGTATTCTTGCTAGATTTTTTGGAGGTTTTCGGCGGTGAGCGGGTGTTCTGGTGAAGGGAGTGGAGAGGTTGGAGGCGCAGGACGTCCAGGTCCTTTTGGAAGCTCGAGGGAGAAGATGTATCCAGGAATCTTCCTATTCGAACGGTGCTCTGGATGTCCTTCGTGAATATGAGGGTGCAACTTCATTTTTGACTTGTGTGGCACATTGGAGGGAAATTTAGAGTTTCGGCTGTTCCCGGTACTAGTATATAAATCGTTAGTGGGTATCCGGCCAGAAGATTTTCCGTGCCGAGATCTTTGTTTGGCAGGGCAGCTCTGTCACATGATTCTGCCTCCAACGATGTTTGGAAGCATGCCGTTTGTTCATGATCAAACTACAACATTTCACCCTTGCTGTCCTCTGATCGCCCACCCAAACCAACAATGAAAGTGCCTTCAACGCTTCTCCTCCGGGCCATGCTGCGGCCCCAGCTGCCCCTGTGCCAAATCAGATTGAAGTCAGACTGGATGCCCAGGGAGAAATATGCCAAAATCACTTTACTCGACAAGCTACACAGGAGACAGAAAGCTGCGTTGCGAAAAGAACGTATGTTCTCTCACACCTTGTTGCGCAGTCGATCGATAGACCTCTGACCCATTACTACAGGCCAAGATAGCCAGTTGCACGCTGAAAATATGACCGCTGAGTCCCTCCCTCAACGATCTCCATCGCCGATCCAAAACCCAACCACGTTGTCATCAGGGCCCAAAGGTCCTACCAACACGGTGTCTCTCCACCCTTTCATGATTACACGAACGAGATTTGGGAGCCTCCCAGTCTACCAAAGCACGAAGGGTGGCGGGACGAAGCACATTACCACAATTCGCAAGATTAGCGGCGACTTGACAGAGCTGGCCACGCAGGTACGGACGGCGCTCGGGTTAGAGCAATCTTTTGTGGACTTCAAGGGCCGACGGAAAGAGAACGTGGCGATCAATTGGACAACACGGCAAGTAGTTGTACGCGGTTGGAGGGGACCTGAGATCATGAAGTGGGCGGAGCTGAATGGATTTTGAGCTAGGGTGTCAGGGTATTCTAAGAGGCGGGAAATGGGAGTAATATTGGTGAAGGGAAATTGGATTGACCTTCTTCTTGGTGTGCAGTATATCAATCGCGGCTGTCAGAGCAGCTGAATTCCTTCGTCACGAGGACATAGAAGGACTACTCAAAATGGACAGTACAGAACAGGCAAGGAATTTCTGTTTCATAAAGCCCCCAAAGATAGAGGCCAGTAACTTCAACACCATTCATACATTTGCTCATTTGCCCAACATGTATATCATATGGATGGCATGACTTTAGATACAAAAACATTTGATATTGATATCATAACTTTCGACTTTCAAGCTACTAGTAGACAAAATATCACGTTTTCTTTTATTTCTGTTCCCTTCGCAAAATAAATCTCCATAGGCCCAACCCTTGGTATTTGACACACGGTACAAAAGGGACCAAATCCTGTCTGCCCCTGCTATGTTTTTGCCCGGCCAAAGCTGAGTCTCATATGGATGTCGGATTTTTGCGATGCTGTATTGTTGAGGGTAACCCAACCAAATTCGCCTGTTCTTCGCTGCGGAATTGCCATAATCGTTTACACATCAATCAAAGAGTTTGAAGCCTAGATCCGTCCCTGTGCAATATGGCTAAAGAAATATCGTCTCATTATTCCTCTAGACCGGCAAATACGCAAAGCTGTCGTAGAATACCAGGATCAATGTCTTTCTGTATCATGGCCCCCAGAAGACTTTCTTTCCTCGGCATGACTCCCAGCGGAACAACAGTGGAGCCATGTTCGTCAATTGATCGAGCCTTCTGAACCAGTGTCTTCAGAACAGCCATGGCTCGGTTCGAGATAGCTCCATAGCCGTTGATATCCATTTCAGGATTATTCCTGTTGTTCTGTTGTGGGTGTCTTGGCACAGTCTGGGTGGTTCGATCCGCACTTAGGAGTCCAACCAGGCGTAATAGGTTGCCTGCAAAGCCATCGTCCGATTCAAGCCATGAACGGGCCAGTGTATGATCTGAACCTGGTGCAAGACTGGCTAATATTTCGGCTGCCAGCATTCCTTGGAGGAGGAAAGGTTTCCGAGCCTCGATAAGTGTCCTGGTGTGGTTTGAGCTTGCCGGAATTGAAGAGATGGCCAGACCAAAACTCCTCGTCAACAGCTCGTAAGGCGGGCTTGAATGCGCATCAGCTGCGAATATCGCTTTGTAGTACGTCCGGTTAGGCTCATCGCGAGCCAACAATTTTGCCAGGCTATCCACAGCAGAAGGCATATACTTGTGTAGGGAGGGGTTGTATGTCGTGAAGGAGACCTTGTTCGAAGAACCTGATGTAGGTGTCGGTGTCGGCGCGAATGCGAGGAGGAAATGAAGGATGCACAGGGCTTCTTCCTTCCCAGGTAGCTGGAGAGAGGTCGATAGATTGCTGAGGTAAATGACAACGTCCTTCATGAAATCAAGGGTATTTCTATTGAGACGCAAAAACATTTCCGTAGTTCCGATGTACCGAATAACAGTACTGAGTAGTTTGAGAACTTCAGGTTGACCCAGGACTCCGAAGTTGGCTTCATAGAATGAAAAATTGCGAATCAGGGTAGTAATACATATCAGGCGATCGGCTGCTCGCTCGAGATCGTACTGAAGTGATCCAAATTCCGGGATATCCTGTAAAGACTCGTTTTCCACACGGCATGCCCGAACCAGATCTTCGTATGAAGTAAGGAACATCTCATCCGAAACTTCGGTGGCGTGTTCGCTAAGAAACACGACTTGATCAAGGGCGCAGTCGAGTAACGCATCCATTAGATCATCACAATCCATAAGGGATAATTGGAACGCAGATTCAGTCGAGAGTGTGATCAGGGTATCGAGCGCTACTCGTGTCTCAGCATGTAGACCAGATTTGATGGCCATGGTCACTGCATGGATATCGATGATCCCCAGTTCTCGAAATGTCGGCACGATCGGTTTAGTTTCGCTGATATGCTGTCCGATTATGAACATCTCGTCCACGTTGACCGGGCCATGGAACCGGCTAGGCGAGAGAACGTCTGGCTTGAAAGGATCTTCGATAGGTCTGGACAAGGGCTTATTCACATCGGGCTCCATCTCGGGCATCTTGCCCGTGCTCGTCTGCGGGCGCTTTTGAGGTGTTTGACCCGACATCTGGGTTGGCATGGCATTCATTTGCTGAGGATCGATCTGCCTAGACATGTTCTGTCGGTGTTGTGGAGTAGTAGCGGAGGGATCTTGTTGGCCCTGGCCATGAGGAGGCTGGACAAACCCATTCGCTGTAGGTTGCTGCACCTGAGCTCCAATTTGGCCATTAGCTGAAGTTGTTCTCTGATTTCCGGAGTCCTGAGACGGATTTGCATCACGGGAAGGTGACATCTGAATTTGGGTTTGGTTTTGAATGGCAGCTTGTGCCGCCATTCTTTGTTTCTGCTGAGATATCTGCCACGCTGCCTCATAGGGCGCGAGGTTATTCAGCCAATATGCTTGAAGTTCTTGGGCTGCTTGCATTTGTTGTTGCGGCATAAACCCAAACTGCAGGGCGACAGCACCCCACTGATTCATTTTCGATATTCTTTGCGAACCTCCATTCTTGACAACGGCAGCGTACAACCGTAATAACTGCAATGACTTTCCACATATCACAGGGTTCAGATCCACTGTTCGACCACGAGCAGCCATAAAAGCTTGCAAGCCTCGCAAGAATTCTTCTGGGTTATTCGACTTTGGCGGATGAAATCCTCCTGGGGTTCCTTGCGGCATCTGTGGGTTCGCAGCAGGCTGGCCAGGGTTGTTTGGTATACCGTTCATACCACGCGCTTGAGCTTGAGCCTGCATTTGCCGAGCCTGGGTTTGTAGTTGAATCTGATAGTTCCGTTGCGCCGCCGACATCCCAGGGTGTGCCATATTTGCTTGAGGATTCATTCCCATTTGGGGGGGAAGTCCATTCCCCATATTCTGACCAAACTGGGGTTGATTGAAACCAGGTGCAAAGCCGCCATTGGGCATGAAGTTTTGAGGGTTATCGTGTGGGGTCCCGACGCGACTGGTATGGTCAGGGGGAGCGGGTGAGACGTGAGGTCCGCCATGTGGCGGTGAAAACGGACTGGGTGAAGCTGTCGCGACGCGTTGATTACTTCCAGGCTGGTTGAACTGACTCAGCTGTTGAAATGTGGGCGATGGCGTGGCATTTGATGATGGCTGAAGATGGTGGAAAGGTGTTGGAGCATTTGCTATTGCAGGCGCGCCATTGGCTTGTGGATTGAAGCCGGGAAAGGGTACTTGCCCGGGGGTTTGTGATCTTGATCCAGGCAGTCCACCGGGTGCTTGCCGTGGTGATGCACCCAAGCTATCTTCTCTCGCTCTTTTTGAAGGTATTACGGGGTTCGTCTGGTACACGGGATTGTGGAAGGCAGGAGAGGCGGTGCGGCCGGCGCCGTTAAGGAAGGCCGGGTTCTGGAATTGTGCAGGATTTATCGTCTGAGGAGGCTGGAGAAAAGACATGCCGGCATCTATTGGGGCCCCGAAGCCAACATGGTTGTTTGGAGTCGAGGAGTCAGGTAGCCAAGGGTTCATGGCTTGCGTGAGGTTCGGTCATCCATTGGCTATGGTAACAACATTTCATCAGCTTCGATCCAACAAGACGCGCATCCATCTCGAGCGTGCATTGATTCACATCAAGGCTCACATCGCTTTCCAGAGCCGGGTGGTCCATGATGATTAGACTTGTCGACGGCAGTGGATCGAAGCAACAAGCGAATGCACTCGGGGTGAGTCAGGACGCGTCACGGAGGGAAGAGTTGAGGGCAGCGTCGAGGGTGCATGGCCCAGTGAGACCAGGGCAGATGAAGAGTCTAGCAGGATGAGATGGGATCGGATAGGGTTTCTTACCTGACTGGCAGTTTATTTTGAGCGGAATCGTCAGAGCGCAAAGGTATGCGAACCGAATCGGAACTGTCGAAGGTGCGAATTTTGAGGCTGGCCCAAAGGGGCTTAGCTCCGCGGCGTGTGGTCAAGTGAGAGGGCTTAGCAGACTGTGAGAGGCGTGTTAGCCACGGTTAGCCATGCCAAACGGACGGGCAACGAGGATCAAGGAGAGTCCCACTCGGTCTATTGGGCCGTACAACACGATCTCAACTCGAGTGTCTGATGGGAAAGGGACGCTAGTGATGGATCTGTGGGCGGACAACAGAGGTGGGAGTGTTGGGATGATGTGGTGGGCAGGCCATGTGCTGTGTTCATTCCGGCTGCGACGCACCGGCGGCAAGACGATAGGGACAAGCCCACTATCTTAGACGTTTTTGCAAGGGGGTGTGAGTTCGCCGGAGGGGCAAAGAGGATTTGTTCCCAGGGACGCAAGAGAAAAGCAGGAGAGGCTTACCGCGAGTGTGATTAGATGGTTGATTGCTGTTCGATACGTGGTTGCGGAGGCAGACTGGCAGTAGTGCTGTGTACAGGGCACGGAGTGTCGGGAGCAGAAGGGGAGGAGAAGGTCGCAGAGGAAGAGCGGGGGCCGCGTGTTCAAGTGAGGATGGGATGGCACGGCTCTTCCGTAGAGATGCCTGAGATGGGATGGGATGGTGATAGGAATGGGAATGGGAAAGGCCGGCAGTGCTGACAATTGAGAAGTGAAACCGTAACTTGGTGTTTTTGCTCACTGTAACGCGTGCTGTAAGGCAAAGGTTGGAATCGAGGGGGTGGGAACCTGCAAAGTAAAATGCCAAATGGGCGGCAATCCAGGAGAGCCTAACGGACACTCTGTGGCTGCGGGAGACAACAAAGGCTGGGCGAGTTTTCGGGGGCGAGAGATGAGAGTAACAACTGGAAGTTGAAGTCCCAGCAAGAGGCGGGTTTCGTTAGCTGGTCGCTTAGTCGTTCGGCCTGTAACGGACTCCAGTGACGCTAGCAGATTTCCTAGCGCCCCTCCCCTTGACGTTTATTGGATTTCGTCGCCTTGGTGCGAAACAACCAGCCAAGTCGAAAGGTCATACGTACCAGTACCAAACTTACTGCGACGTTTATTCCCCGACCTGCCTTTCGCCCCATGTCTCACCACTTCATGTCTTTCACACCACGACACTGTTCAACTGTTTCCCCTGACGGGCTCAACTCAGATTCAGTTATCTCTTCATTCTTTCGATTCCTCCACAGCCCTTTGCCCATCTTTCAAGCAAAAAATAGGACAGGGAATGGTAGCCGGGCCAGGGCGCGTATTGGTGGAACGGTTTCAATGCAGAGCCAAATCAGGGTCGCACCAACGTCACTTTGAGTTTAGGCTCTCCCTCAAAGTCCCTTGGATGTGCGATCAATAAACCATTGTGATTGTTGGATGGGCAATACTCCGCTTTTCCATACCACAGCTGAATTTGACTCTGCCAGTCTCCAGACTCCCCGGTTCACGGGCCCTGCCTCACGTCTTTGCCTCTCAGTTCTGCATTGTGAGTATCGTTCAGACATATGCCGTCGAGAACATGGGAAGAGGCGGGCATGTCGGACGCGGCGGTGATCGAATGGCAAAAGCCTTCAGACATGTCGAGCCCACAACCTCAATACTGCAAAACAAAGCAGACAGTCCAAGGCTGTCTCCGCATTTTCAATTTGGACGCTGATTCGAGGTTGGATTTCAAGTAAATTGTAACCAGGCTTTCTCGAGGGCTGCCTTGTAAACAGTTCGAATCGGTAGAGTCCAGAATCGGGTAAGGATGACTGGGGAGGACAGATATCTGATGCACTGGGAGTGAAATCAAACATGAGAGAGAAGAAGAAAGAAAGTCCTAAGGGCACCGCAGATTTCCAGAGCTTACATAGTCCTGTCCATTTTCTCCTCGCAACGGGTCATGCTCATGCAAATGAGGCAAGCTTGTCCTGATTGGCAGATTCCCTCCTAGTCCCTCATCTCGCAGGCAGAGTCCTTTTAGACACAAATCCTCACCGTGTCACAGGGGCCCAGCCCAGCGACAAGTTCAAGCGAACCTGGTTTCCGATTCTAGGGCCAATGCAATTCACCTCTTCTATCCTCTCCAGTTAGGCACATATCATGCACCCTCCGTTGCTATCTTTTAGGTGCATGCGTCACTCCTCTTTTCGGCTGTTGGCCGACCTTCTAGGTGCGATACTGGGTGTTACCCTGGGGAGATTTGCTTCTACAGCACAGTCGTACAGGAATTAACCAGTTCCACCAAATTCCGAAACCGCCTTCTCCTCCTCTTTTGCACCCCGGCAGTTTTGGACCCCAGCAGTGACTCGGGAAGTGACTTTGATGCCACTGGCTGCGGGATCTTCCTTTCACGCTTTTCCAAGCCGGGCGCATCCAAAACGGCGGGTCAGGAAATGCCCCCGATTGCTGGGCTATTTTGTCATTATTATTCCGATCATCTGAATCACGCAAACACTGCCAACCAGGGCAACTCACCAGTCCAGAATAATCCCATCATCTAAAGCATAGGTTGCGGAATAGAGCGGCGTGGGACTTTCGTAGGATCTGAAGGGCAGTTCGGCAAACGAGTCTCGGTTTAAAGATTCCTTTGTCACTATCGACTGTGAAGAGGTTGAGGGCTGGTGCTAATAATGGCGGGATACGCACGATACAATGCAAAAGGTGTCATTATGATAAATAGCACTAACGATACGACCTATCGTCGTCGTGGGAGACATATACAGAGAGGATGGCCTCAAGGGCACCGAGCTCTCATCATGACTAGTATGCACCCGCCACTACAATTGGCACCAGCCTCCAGGTCCACTGTGCTGCACAAACAAAGTGCTTATCGAGACCGAAAGCTAGTCAAGATCAATGGACTCCAGAGCAATGAGCTATGAGGATCGTAGAAACGCAGTGAAGAACCCTCTTGCATCCCCATTGCTTGCGGGTTTTGATCTCCGACTCGGTCTTTACCATTTTGGGAATAGGTCGGATATCACCTTGGTGGTGCGTTCCACGGCGGCCTTTTCCAAGTACTCTTTCAACTGGAATCCTTCAACAGCCAACACACCTCGTGGAAAGCCCCTTTCTCTCTACGAACAGTTCTTTCTTCTCATTCACTCCTCATCTCTCCGCGACACAGCCAGGATCAGATCCAACAAGAATCATGGGCGACGTCCTGGTTGAAAACCCGTTCAACACCGTTGCGCCTCACAAAAAACCACCCATCTCCGATTCTATTCCCGACGTCGATTCTTTAGAAGGAGCTGGCGCAGATAATGGCGATGAATACTCTACTTTGAAGAGACTGCAGAGACACTTAGAGTAAGGACAATCGGAATTCATCGAAGGGAGCCAGGGCTGATGATGAACAGGTATATCAAGCTACAGGAAGAATACATCAAAGATGAGCAGAGGTACAACTCGCAGACCTAAGAGTTGATAAAAGATTGACGTTGAGTACAGATCCCTGAAACGTGAACTGGTGCGGGCACAAGAAGAAATCAAGCGGATACAAAGTGTGCCATTGGTCATCGGCCAATTTATGGAAGCTATTGACCAAAAGCAAGCACTCTCTATCTTTCGCCATTTTACAAAATGCTAACTCTGGGTAGCACCGGCATCGTACAATCATCTACAGGCTCCAACTATGTCGTCCGCATCCTTTCCACTTTGGATCGTGAAAAGCTCAAGCCTTCTTCGTCGGTGGCACTGCATCGGCATTCCAACTCCCTTGTTGATATCCTCCCTCCTGAAGCCGATTCTTCCATTGCGATGCTTGGAGCCGATGAAAAACCCGATGTCACTTATGCAGATGTGGGTGGTCTGGACATGCAAAAGCAAGAAATCCGTGAAGCTGTCGAATTACCCCTGACTCACTTCGACCTTTACAAGCAAATTGGTATTGATCCTCCCCGCGGTGTGCTGCTATATGGACCTCCGGGCACAGGAAAGACAATGTTGGTCAAGGCAGTGGCAAATAGCACGACTGCCAGCTTCATCCGAGTGGTGGGTTCGGAATTTGTTCAGAAATATCTGGGCGAGGGACCGCGTATGGTTCGAGATGTTTTCCGCATGGCTCGCGAGAACTCACCTGCTATTATTTTCATTGACGAAATCGATGCGATTGCCACGAAGCGATTCGATGCGCAAACTGGAGCTGATCGAGAGGTCCAGCGTATCCTCTTGGAGCTGCTCAACCAGATGGACGGGTTTGATCAGACTAGCAATGTCAAGGTCATTATGGCGACAAACCGAGCCGACACCCTGGATCCTGCCCTTCTTCGACCTGGGAGACTGGACCGCAAGATCGAATTCCCATCCCTTCGGGACCGCCGAGAACGTCGATTGATTTTCACCACAATCGCCAGCAAGATGTCGTTGTCGCCCGAAGTGGACTTGGACTCGTTAATTGTGAGAAACGATCCGTTGTCGGGAGCAATCATTGCGGCGATCATGCAAGAAGCAGGATTACGCGCTGTGCGCAAGAACCGATACAATATTATTCAAGCAGATCTCGAGGATGCATACTCGAGTCAGGTCAAGGGAGCACAAGAAGCCGACAAGTTTGATTTCTACAGATAATCATAGTCACCAAAATGGCACCATCGGCTAGCATGTATAATTTGGCCGGGTTTCGGGGCAAGGTTGGATGGCATTACAAGGTGTTTTGAATTCGAGGCATGGAGAAACCTGGTTTGGAAAAGAGCCTAGCGTCTCACAATAAAATGTCCGGCAGACAAATATGCTTGGGTGAAACCATTTGCTGATAGAAAACCGGAAGTCGTCGAGCTGTGTGCTTGGTCTTTGTCCCGCGTGTGCTTTGAGGCACTCGACGCCGAATCCATAGTCAGATCTAGAAATGTGAAGTATCACTTCGGTAGAGCATTAATAACGCAACCTCTCTCACGATTCTATGGGGCGTCCCGAGTCATGTGACTTACACCAGCAGCAGACAAAGTCCGCCGGGCGCAGGAATACGTAAAAAGGAAATCTAACTACGAATAGAGGGTTAGGGGCCGCTTTATGTCTAACTGTAAGACTAGCGCGCCAAGGCCTCAAATTCTCATACGGGGACCCTTGTGAAAAGTCCGTTCACCTGTATGCTGGATTCGATATTCTATGATACCTCCTCTAGACCATTGGCCGTGGCGTGGCTGCATATAAATATGTACGTACATTGTACATACTTGACTACAAGTCATCCGTATCCTCAGGCAAATCGAAGGTTGCATCGCGAAATGGCGTCTCCGCTAGGCAGAAGTGGCATGGTGCATTCGCATCGGCGATTGCGTCAGAAACAATTCGCGATTTCCTTCCCAGCATCTCCCAGTATTCGCCCTTGCTTACCTCTCTCCACCTCTTTTCAGTTCTCCTCACCTCTGCGGTCTGAGGTCATGATCTGCTCGTCCTCTCACCCACCCCCTACCCACATTCTAATTTTGAGCCTCCCTCACTTGGAATGCTCAATTAGGCCTTTCGAATCGTTGTGCACCAGTACCTTTCAAACCTCTTTGGGGCCCCTCCCTCTTCCCTTGGCTCACTATGGCCTGGAAATTTGCCTGTCACTCGGGTCGGGTGCAGCGAGTATTTTTCCCCTGCTCTTGTATCACCCACACACGTCATCATTTTTTTTTTTTTGTCTAACTGCCCTATTCCAGTACCCGACGTGTCTGGCCTTCGGTTTCCCCTCAACCCACTGTTCTCGATTTCTCTGAACAAGACACACTGTTGCAAGTGTGCACTACGTTTCGGACCATTAGGTTACTAGCAAGTACCGCAGCTAGCCAGACATTTTCTGCCTGTGCCCATTTGCTATCTGATGAGCCTTTCGGGCCCAATTTCCGCCCTGCTTGATCCAGTTTGGTGTGGCGGGTGGGTAGAGTGGCGGATTGAACTGTGTTTCTCTAATCAGTCTGATCTCTTTGATGGCTGGCGATCGCCATTGACCTGCCGAGTTTCCCTGCTGACACGTCTCTGATTCGTAGGCCCGTCCCCCGCCCACATAACCACGCCGTTCGGGACAAAAAAGTTCTACCTCACGTTCCATACCCTTTCCCCCCCCCCTCTCCCCACCCCAAAAGCCTGCTCGCCTGCCCTTCTCGCCCGCCCTACCACGATATATGAGGCGCCAGCGCCTTCCCAGCTCTGTCGACGTCACTTCTGCAACGGCTGACGTTGTTCCCTCATCTACGTATTGCTCCATCACAACCCGACAATATGGCGAGCGCCGCAGTCGCAACTCAACCACCGCAACAACATCTGGGGGCTGGCCCGACTTCTCGCACCTCGTCGCCTATGGATAATAAGAAAGCCACAGTGCAGCAACAGGGTTAGTCTCCCTTGCCGCCCCCTATTTGGAAAATTTCTTCAGCACCAAATCGACTTCCCACGAACAATGCCATCAACATCCATCTATCGTGCACAACCAAATACTTCTTGCATCACGCATGCGCTTCGGTGCGCATTTTGTAAATTAATGCTAACAAGCTGCGGCTAGATTTGGCTACCAGAGCTTCACCGTCGCAGTCCAAATCGTCAGTACCTGGTACGCGTCGCCATGCGCAAGGTCGATTGGGAAATCATCACTAATGGGACTTGCAGATTCACAATCAAACTCGCTGGCCGAAGATTCCAAGCCTGTCGTTCAATCATCAGAACCTCTCGCACCACCACCGCGACCAGCCGCCACCAACGCCGCAGACACCCCAGATTATTTCTCTACCCTACACAACAACGGAAGCGGCATTGGTCAAGAATTCAATCCTTTTGAACAATCATTCGGAGCGCCTTCGACGGAGACACCGGGCAAAAACCTCTTGCCTCCCGTCGCCGCTCTCACATCTCCTGCCATCCCGGGCGCCAGCTCAACTGGAGGCTACAACTGGCAAGGTTCACTTCGGTCGGGGCCATTGAGCCCTGCTATGTTAGCTGGTCCACAACAAGGTGATTACTTTGACAGTATCGGCCGTGGTTTCCCTACCCCCAACGAGTCATCCCTTCGAACTGGCTTGACTCCAGGCGGTGGCGGGTCTATGTTCCCGGCCCCTAGTCCAAATTCACAAGCACTCTTTAATTCATTGCAAAGTGGCGGTGCCACTCCGGGCACTCTGGATTTCCATCGCACCGCTATGAATGCAGCTGCGCGAATCAAAAACAACCAGTTTGCCAACACATCTAACCCACAGGATTCCCTCCCACAAACTAACAACATGGATACTCAGCACGATGCGACAGATGCTGCCAATGGCCTCTTTATGCTAGCCAAAGGAGGTCAAGCTAACAATCAATTTGCCGTTCCTAATGCGGCTCAAAACCAAATACCACCTCGCAATGGCCAAGACCAGAAACGAAGTAGTGGTCCTAGCGGATCCGACAATGGCGACAGTGCGGAAAGTCATGAAGAATCTCCCAGAACGAATACTCGTGGAGGTCGTGGCAAGAAAAATGCCAAAGCAGAACCCGCCAATAATCGAAGAAAATCAGAGGCTAACCCAAAAGGAAGCAACAAACGATCTAAGGGCAACTCGGGGGCTGCAAATGTGGATCCTGCTCTGGATCCCCATGACGATGATGAAAGTGAAGTAGAAGAAGAACCACAACAACAAGAGAATACGACCAACAATAGTAGCAATACCGGCAATAAGAAGATGACGGACGAAGAGAAGCGAAGAAACTTTCTCGAACGCAACCGGTGAGTTTGCCCCTTTCCTTTCGGATTGGGGGGAGAGCACAGAAGCTAATACCAAATAGTGTCGCTGCTTTGAAATGTCGACAGAGAAAGAAGCAGTGGCTAGCGAACCTCCAAGCCAAAGTGGAAATGTACTCTGCGGAAAATGACAGCCTCAACACCCAAGTTGCTCAGCTTCATGAAGAAATTCGGAATCTTCGTACCCTCCTCATGGGTCACAAAGATTGCCCTGTCGGTCATGCTCAAGGTATTGGACAATTTTTGAGTGGTCTGCAAGATCCAACCGGGTTTCCCAATCAGCATGTTAATCCATATGGTATGGCTATACCAAACGGTGCAGCAATGCAACCTGGCATGCAGAGAACATGATTTGTCGACGTCGTGCATAGCAGGGGCCGAAGAAATGCAATTTGAAGGAATAATCTGAATCGTCATGATCATTGAACACTATCTATTCTTAGAGGGCATCGGAATTGAAAAAACAAAAGCCAAAGAATTCAACTGGGGTCACCCAGGAATTCTCACACTTTACTTTTTCATTTTCACCTCTGGAATGGGGGAGCTAGGTCGTTATGCAACAGGCCAGCTGTTCGGCATTACAACACTTGTCTTTTTATATCCGACTCCTTTTTCAACGTCTCACTGTACATAGAAATGGATCTTGTACAGCACCACAAAAGAATGGGTGAGGGGTGTTTCCAATGGTATGGCATTGATACTCTTTTTCTCATGCGTTATGCGAACACACATACGGTATGGGGAAAGGATGCAGGATGGAGCGGGAACATGGTACCTGGGAAACGGCGTCACGGTGATCTCTCTTACTCCTTTAGCTCAACTCAGCAAGCAGAAGATGGAGCGTCGTGTGCTGCCGGTACTTGATCCAAGTCTCCAGACATACCCTTGATGAGTGTTGAGTTGGAGACCGAATTTGTCCAAATTTAACCAACCTAGCTGTGTCAGAATAGAATGGATGATGAGCAGACATTGGATTCGAATATCTTATTTAACCTCCCCGGCAATGATATCTTCATTTGAGAGTCGAGACTGATGCATCACATGAGCGGCCTCCGGGGTTCTGCCGCAATAGCAACGGACGGAATGTCTTCGCGCACATATTGGTTCAACAGAAAAGTTGAACAATCTACAAGAAATACGCCCAAACAAGTGCACTCACGTCAACAGGGACCTAGCGGTTGAGCAGTAAACTTTCTGCGCACACAGATTATCAAGCTTTTAGCGACATCTCGCTAAAACTCATTCTAATTGATACAATACCTCCTTCGGCTTAGAACAGGCCCGTTTTCCAGGGGACCGTGACTATCAATCAGTAGGTAGTCGGATGGATCATACTCACCCAGGAATGACTGATTATGTGCAAACTTGAGAATTTTTACAACCTCCAGAAAGATATCAAGTCTCGAATATGCTGACCTCGTCTTCTTATTCGTCCTATCAACTAGCCATCGTCGATCTCGACGCGATATCCAGTGTCCTTGCTGCAACTTTGTACGACGAAGAGTTGAATGCACATATATTCCCTTACCGCCAATAATGTCCCAACGACCATCTGGCGGCATGGAGGAAGAGAATTTGTGAGAAGTGATGGGGTTACAACAGCATATGGGTTATCAACTGAGAACCCTGGAACTGGCCTAGTTGACCAAAAAGGCTTGAAGTCAGAGGTGATCGCTGATGTCACAAAATGGTCGAGAGCTGGAGAATGATCTGACGCATTATGGGGTGCCGTCAGATCGTGGGATCCGAGTGAGTATTGTCCTTGTCTATGAAAGCCTTTTTTTCCTAGTTCAGAATTGTCAGTCTTTTGCTGAAGGATCAGGAGATCCAAGTTGGATACTCCGTGTTTGCGACATATTATTTTGACATATCACAACACATCACATCTGCTTTGATCTCAGTACTGGCCAGAATGGCTTGAAGGAAGGATGATGTCTCCAATAATATCACTCCTCCATAAAGTCCACCGATTCTTTGCACGCAACTGCTCAATGCCCATACTTCAACATTGGATCCTATACCATTCGCTAAATGGAACTTTGGCCCTTGAATACGGCCATTCATTTCCCAACACTTGCCCCATCCACCATATCGACGCAATCATTGGGAGCCCTGTATGCTCGGTGTCGCTCCATCCTTCCAGCAACGGGAATCGGACAAGAGCTTGTCATCTGGAGCCTGGAAAGAGCGAGAATGGATGGGCTGCCAGTGGTCGTTAATGGAGCAAAGGCACAGCAGTTTTCCATCAGAGAAGCGGATTCAAGTTCTTGGTGGGTTATGCATCCGGGGAAGCCACGGCGGTCAATAAGGGCGGGAATAGGAACGGTGGAGCAACAGACTAGGGGCAACGGAGAAAGATAATATCCTTGAAACCAATTGGTGCAGAAACAAGAACTCTCTCGCTGTTCGTCTGGTTCAAATAATGTAGACATGTCCAATCACATTCCTATTTCTCTATTGGAACCAGTCTTCAATTCTACAAGCTGATGTTCACCCCTCCTTTCTACAGTTACATCGAACTCCTAACAGCTCCATCCTTCGTATCGGGACAATCACCCAGGGAAACATTGAGTAGGTCCTCACAAGGAGTAACCCTGTGACCCATCGAAATTACGCGTCCAGCTCCTCTCAACATGTATATTCTCCTGATTGCCGATAGTCGCCCTGCATTGCTACTTCGCCATGACGGCTCAAACCGCATCCGAAGTTGGTCTCCTACATCTGGACCAAGGTTGTACGGCCGAATCAGTTTGCTTTGCCTTTTACCATGTATGTTGAATTTTTCCTGCATCTCGAGTGTCGCTCGATTGGATGCTTCAATTCCCCCGGTCTTTGCAGGTCATGCTGGTCACAGCGCCCATATCGTCACTTTGTGTCATCAAAAACTCTGATAGAGCGCATGTCACTTCATAGGAACCGGTAAATATATACACAGGATATGCAACGCCTCAAAGTGATTTCTGTTGGAGGAACGAGGCTGTGAGCTTGATTCGGTTCTCGAAGTTTGAGGTGAAAACTTACGACATCTAAACTTGTTTGAATCATCGCTCCTATTTCTCGTGAGCCATCCTGAAGCGCTTGGATACTTTCAATATGCAACATTTGTTCCTCTGGTCATACGAAGGCACAATTACGACACTTGAATTCTCAGAAACACCATCGCCAAAAGATGGATTGTGGGTAATTGCAAGCGCGAGAGTATGCAGTCCTATCCCCCATGGATATCGCTGGACACTGGCCGAAGAATTATCTACAGCTCCGAAGGTGGTATGACTACTAGAAAAGGAGTCGTGAAATCATTTTCCATCCGGCCTGGTGGAGGTCTTGTTGAACTGGACACTGTTTCTGGTTTTGTAGGCGTGGCATGCCATGTTCTGTACAGGAACGGTGGCACGTTGGCAATTCCATGCTTGTAAGTTCCATACAACATCAAAGATTCTTCGCGAAATTCAATTTCAGCTCGACCCGTCAGGAACAAGCAGGGTTCAGGATAAGGTTCGGTCTCATCATGCTTTGGTCGATCCGACTGGACATTAGATACTTGTGGTCGGTCTTGGAGCCAACTTAATTCGCATATTCGACGTACCGGAAGACGGTGAGATGACAGATCAATGGGAAGAAATCGACGACTTGGAACTCTGTCGTTCTGGAGACAAAAATTGCCGTTTGTGGGCAGCATAGCAGCTGGATTTCAGTCTCCGAACGAGATATTGGTCCGGGACAGATTGGAAAGCTTCTGGCAATCAACGATGGATTTGGCAAATGGGAACCCACATTAGACCACTCTGCATCCCGCGGGACGTTCCCAGAGAGTTTGCTAGACAATCCCATCATAATCTAGTCCTTGACGACATCCACGCCTCTTCTTATACATTTACCACTGCTAGAGGACGAACAGGAGATCCAGTGGCGCCGAAAAGCTTGAGTGGGGAGAGAATAAACAGAAATTCCTTGACTTTCTCCCGCGACAGCTCTTCCAAGTCCATGACTTCAATGATGTGAATCCCATTTTCCCAGAGGAAAATCCCATGGCAAGGTCTCTGTTTGAAATTGGGCCCTAGTTGGACCCTATCAAATGCAATGGTGTCCCCTCCAGTGGCTCGAACTCCATGAGAGGCCGACCATTTGCCACCGCTCTCACCCACTCCGGGGACGCCAGTAGCTTCTCCCAGATATGCGACAGGTTCGAGTCGCGTAGTGCCTTTCAACGCTGGTATGTCCAGAAAGACGCCCCTACATACCATAGGTTCAATGGTTTCCGCTCCTAGCACGTTGAAGTGCCCGCCCTTGCACGCTTCAGCGGCATCAATCCCGTCATAGAGGACTCCCTTGTTCCCGACGTGATAGAGCGCATCGATGTGGGTGCCAACATGATCACCAGTGACAATCATGGCATTTGCTGATGATCCTCCCTTTCCAGTGTAATCTCGGTCAGTATAGCATGTTTATGCATTATTCCCCTTGATACTCGGAAGATCCATTCACATGGCCCAAGCGTTGTCTCTAGTTCCCAAAAGACACCAAGAAAGACCGTTCAGCGGATTCGCGCAAATAACAGACTAGATCATTCCGAGTCCGCAATGCGGCTGTCAATCCCCCACCGCGACAAGGTCCCTTTTCAGCCACCCAACACCCTTTCACATTTATCAAAAGGCCGAGGTGATGCTTAACCCAAAAAATTTGTCGAACACTAATGTCTATTCTCCCGAAGAGACATATGTGGATCGCCCGAGGTCTTCATTATCAGACACATCATTTTGTGCATCACATAATTCAGAGGACTGGCCACAAGCACGGTAGCTTCCCACGGGGGCCATCTGTTTCAAATTCCAGATGTTCTGCCTCCATATCTCATGACAATCCATGTCCGAACTCCGATGGGCGGCGCGGTACCGGCCCCTAATCGGATCCGGTCGGCCAACAAGTGAGGAGTTCAAGTTCAATGCTTATCAATGACCACGTCCGGAAGACTCTCAATTACAATATCGACCAAGGGAAGCAACAGACCATCTTCATTGGACACTGAGATCCGCATATTCAATTTTGTCACCATGTCTCCTTCCAAAATCAAAGACGAACTCCGTATCTTCACGCCCATCGGTCAATTAGGGCAGGGCTGGAGCGAGCAGATTTTCTGGGACGCCCTTGAATCTGGAATTGACGGCATCATCATCGATGGCGGCTCTACTGACAGTGGGCCAGGCCGTCTGGCACAGGGACGAACCAATGTCCCCAAAGCAGGGCTTGAGCGAGATCTGCGAAATCTGGCCAAAGCCTGTCAAGTATACAATGTTCCCGTCCTTATTGGATCTGCTGGTGGTGATGGCGAAAATGCCATGGTGGACATGTGTGCCAACATCATTGCCGAAGCGGTCCGGGACAATGGCTATCGTCCCATGAAAGTCATCAGTATCTATTCTGAGATTCCAAAGGATCACATTCGCCAGAAGCTCAAAGACGGTCTCATCAGTCCTTGCGGCGGAGCTGTCCCTGAACTTACCGAGCATGACATTGCCACAAGCACCCGAGTTGTCGCACAGATGGGACTGGAGCCGTTTCTACAAGCGATGCGTGACAATCCTGGCTTTGACGTCATCGTCGGTGGTCGAGCTTATGACCCGGCCCCTTATGCTGCCTTTTGCCTTTATCATGGCTTCGAAGATATGGGTCAGTCGTTTTACATCCTCTATCATGCGTATGGTTACTTATCCGAATACTCATTGTAGGCGTCAACTATGCTATGGGGAAGATCATGGAGTGTGGTGCTCAGTGCTCAATTCCAAAATCAAGAGAGGCAATTGCAGTTGTCCGTCGCGACAGCTTCGATATGATTCCTCTTGATCCAAAATCAAGGTGCACGACGGTCTCGGTTGCTTCCCACTTCTTGTACGAGAAGACCAGACCTGATGTCCTGCACGGACCCGGTGGAGCTCTCCACCTCGGCGGCACCACTTACGAGCAGCTCGATGATCGCAGTGTGCGTGTTAGAGGCGCCAAGTTCCAACCAGAGCCTGAAGGCGAATATACCGTCAAACTCGAAGGCGCCCGCAACAGCGGCTATCACACCATCTTTGTTGGAGCACTTCGAGATCCTATTTTGCTCTCCCAGCTTGACCCCTGGGTCACCACTATTGAAGCTTCAGTCAAAGAGAAAATGGCGCACATTAAATTTGATTTGAAGATTCACAAATACGGACATGACGGTGTCATGGGTCCTCTGGAGTACGACAGAACCACAGTGCCCAAAGAAGTCTGTATCTGTGGGCAAGTTCGAGCTCCGACTCAAGATGAAGCGAATCAGGTGGCCAGCATGACCAAGTTTCATTTCACTCACTTACCATATCCTGGTCAACTTGCCACGGCCGGAAATTTCGCATGGCCCTTCACACCATGTGAAATCCCCATGGGCCCGCTTCCCGAATTTTGTGTGTACCACATCATGCACAAATCTGATCCTCTGACCTTGTTCCCTATCAAGGTTGATGACGTCCATGGTGACAATACCTTCGTTGTTCACCCTCGTGAGTCTAAGTCAAATCACATATCCTTAATTGCTGTCCACTCTACTAATTCGAACTTCCCAGGCCCTCCAAAAGTCGAGCAATCCAAAGCTGCAGCTAAGACCACGGCAGTGAAATCGGAGGGATCACCCCAGAAGTACTACCTGAAACCGGAACCAGCTGAAGGTACCTGCTACCTCGCTGACGTTGCGTCAGTTCTTCGCAGCAAAAATTCCGGTCCCTACGAATTGACCCTAGACGTCATGTTCCCTGACCACGAGATTTATGAAAAGGTCAAGAAGGCGGGCATCTTGGAACGAGAGACCGTCTCCAAGTTGTATAAAGTCGCCGAAAACGATGTCCTCGCCTCCCTATTCTTCGACCAAGCAATGGCATATAAAGCGACTATCAAGAGGCCATCAGTGTCAGGAGGATTTGCCGAGACAGATACGCATGGTTCGCAACAGCATATCCCTCTCATGTACCTGACATTACCATGGGGTAGAGTGTGAAACGATTCTAGTTTGGACAAGGAGTGGCCGGTTATGATACTTTTTAAACCCCGTAGAAAGCTCAATACATCTTGCCTTCAAGAGCAGGTATATCGTCACAGCTTTTCTCAAGTATTCAAACACGTCTACGGTAAACTTTTACGATACACCGTCACGTTATGAGTGTGGAATCCAAAAACACTACTTACTGTAGGTATTCGTGCCTAGGAAAGAGCATGCTCGTGATCGCTGTTGCTAATGTCCAAACATGTATCTTTCCGATTTCAATCCATGCTCCATGATCACTCATTACATACCGAGTATGAATGCATGCCCATTGTCAGGCATTTCAACAAAGTCATGCAATTTTTACCAGACACGCCTCGTCAACAAAAAGACATCAGGTGAGGACAAATTCCAACCGAGAAAGCATCGTACACTTTTTTATTGTGGTAACATGTCCCCGGCCGAAATTGGCACATTCTTGCAAAAGAAAAGATCTAGGACTCACGACATCCCCCTCTCTCATTGGTTTCCACGCCGACGAAACTGCTCCTACGGATCAAGAGATGAAAGATCTGAAAGATCAAGCAGGACCCGGATGTCGAGGTTCTCTGCGTCGAGAGCGTTAAGGACAAAGACACAACACCACCTTTAGAGACAGCCTATGTCTACCGGAAACCCGCGAGACCACCTCCCAAGACAGGCTTGGAGAAGAGATTGGTCTGGAAGATGGATTTGCTGCCCGTCCCGCAGATGGCGTTGATGTATTTCATTACGTTTCTGGTGTGTGCCTACATTCTTTTACTCTGCAGCATGCGATATACCTGGTCGGTTCCTGGGTGGCCCTTTTTTTCCGGCTGACACTTCAATGTGGAATAGGATCGAAATAGCTTTGGAAATGGTCGGATCATGGGACTTCAGAGGGATCTCCATATGATGAACCAGGATTATTCGAGTGCTGCGCAGCTTTTCTGTAAGAAAATACCCTCTCTTTTCCCCCTTTTCAATGTCATTTGGCTTGCGCCTGTTCGCCTATCCACATGCTCATACGAACGTGCCTAGTTGTCGGATACCTGCTTTTCATGCTACCTGGAAACATCTTTCTCCGCTGGATCTCTCCTTACTTCGTTTTCGGATGCGGGATCATATCCTTTGGAGCTTTTCTCTGTGGCATGTCAGGCGCCCAAAGCTACGGGACGGTCCTCGCAATGCGGATCATGATCCGGGTAGCACAGGCGTTCGTCCAAGGTATCGGAATGTATTCGGCCCTTTGGTATACGCGAACGGAAGTGGCAACACGAGGTGGTAAGCAATAATACGCTCTCCTCTCAAGGGATTTGGAAATTGAAATCACACATGAAAGCACTATATTTCTCCGCAGCGACATTATCAGGAGCCTTCAGTGGCCTTATATCCTACCGAATTGCCCAAAATCTGACCGAGGAAAAGACCGGATGGGAGCCATGGCGCTGGCTACTTCTGATCGAAGGATTGATGGGCGTATTCATCGGTATCTTAATCATTGTCCTCCTCCCTGCTTTCCCGGATCAAATGAAAAAAGGCAAAAATTGGCTCTTCTCAAAGGAAGAAATCCAACTTGCCATACAGAGGTCATCTGGCAAGTCATTTGCCTTGTGGTCAATCTACCCCGATGCGTTCTGCAAGGCAAATCTATCGACAGGTGCGTCACAGCGTGGAATACCAGGGATTCCAAACTTCGTTGGCCTCAAGTCTGCGCTGATGGATCCCAAAGCATGGTCCTTTGCGCTGATCCAAGGAGGAGCAAGTCTTCCGGTCACTTCGATTGGAATATTTCTACCTTCGTTCATCCGAGGCTTTGGCTTCAGCGATATCGACGCCCAACTGTTCTCCGTCATCCCGTACGCCTGCGCGTTCGTCGTCCTTCCTACTATGTGCATGATCAGCGATCAAATCAACCGTAAAGCACCCTTTATCATTCTTGGTTTCATAGCGGCTGCTGTCGAGCATCTCATATTGCTATTCGTCGAGTCCACAGCGGTCAAGATCGTGGGTACCTGTTTTATCTGTGCAGGCGTGTATTCCTCCGTCGTTCTCGATGTCACCTGGTTGGCGATCAATAATGGCGGATTCACCAAGCGAGGCACGACATGGGCTTTGGCAGAGATGGTCGGTCAAGCATTTGCTATTATGGGCGCCAATGTATACGATGACAGACCTCGGTATGTCAAAGGCCATTCAATCGCTTTGGCGTTCTTGCTCCTTGCTATTGTGCTCGTGATGGTCAATTGGGCCTGGATGAGGCATGGTAACAAGAAGAGAGATCGAATTCTGGCTGAGTATGGGGAAAGAAATGAGGTTCATCCTGACACCAACAAGTCATTGGAAGAGAGGTTTGATTATCACATCAACTCCAGGTACACTCTATGAGGTAAAAAGTGGCTTAGCTGAGATCAAGTAAAGCCGGTCCAACCAACTGGTGCGGACACTTGGTGCTGACGATCTCAAAGAGTTAAGAAAATTGTTCAGAGGCGACATATTGTTGCAATCTTTAGATAACCTCGCCCAAACGCAATCCACTTTTAGTTCCAAGCCTACAGGGCTAGACTACTCCAGTCAAATCCATCAAGACTAATGTTTTCAAGTTGATCGTTCGGACGACTTTCATGCGAATTCTCCCAACACATTTTCATCGAGTCGTATAAAAGTGAAGCTCCCATCCGAGACAAGATTGGAGGAGACCGTCTTCTATCCTCCAAATATGGCAGCTTTCTCAACATCACGGAGGCTTTATTAATGATATCGTCTTCTGAGCTTGAAGCCGAACTCAGTGCATGTCGAACACGTTCAATGATATCTTCAAGGACCTCGCTCCGTGTGGTTTGCGCCAGCCGGATAATTCGGGCCAGTGCAACAGCGCTGTAACATATCGCTCGGCAGATATGGTACGGAGCGACGGTGAGATTCATGCCGTAGCAAAGTTCGATGATTTCACACGCGTCATCTTCTGCCTTTTTGATGATATCCTGCAACTCTTTTGACATGTACATATCACCGAGGAGTGCAAAAGACCACAGTTGGAGTCTCGAGCACAGGAAATGAATCTTGACAACAATGCTCATGTTCTCAAGGTGTTGAACTTGCAGTTCAGAAAGCTGCTCGCCACAAAGCTTCATCATGTTCAGGCGGGCGTCCGATTCGAGCATTCCCGAGGGAGTCGAGCCATTCACACTTATAGCCAGAGTGGATTGACTGAGCAGTTGATAAATGCGACAAAGTTGAGACAGATCGGAATCGACTGCAGGATTGTCAAACGATTTTAGTAGATGAAAGTCTGCCGACGTCGATGGTGGTATCCCAAGGCAGCTTGATTGCATTTGATTTACTACAAAACAGGCTAGCCAAGTGGTCAGTTTGACCTCGTCATCTTTGCCAGTTGAATTGGTTTCTGCACTATAATGGTGTGAATGTGTTTGATTTGGACGGTGGAGACCAAGTTGTAGACCGATTTGAGTTGCGAGACCGCAATAGAAATATGATGGGTCATCAATCAACTTCGTAATCCTGAACGGCCACATGCAGAGGATGAGGAGCGCCTGGACTGTCTCGATTGAATGTGCGCTGGAGTGAAGGATATCTGCAATCATGGCTTGGATCATGGGTGCGAGCTGGAACTGGGATTTCAAGCTGGAAGTTACTGCACAAATGACCCAAAACAGGAGAGGACATTTGGAGTAGATATCATCAGCAGAGTGGGCCCTCATCTTGAACGGCAAGTATCGGTGACAACGACCAAAATAAGTCTTGAAATGTTCAGTCACCTGGCCAATTGTGAGGCCAACATCACCAAGAATTCTGTACGGTGCAGATGAGGAAGTTGCTGGTGTCCTTCCGGGGCTTTGTTGAGGTAATGCGAGGAAGGGTATCGGAGGAGGGTTAACTGTTTCAGAGGGGGAATCAGACAGTTGAGCCTCCCAGTCACTAGGATTAGGTACGTCATCATTTCTCTCGCGAAATTGGTTCGAGGATGAAGTGCTCGGAGTTGAATTAAGCAGAGCTTGTCGAAGCTGTTGGATCTCGTTTTCCATCTGCTGGAGGCATTTTGCCTTTGAAACGCGTTTGAAAGTTGGGTCGAAAACGCAGGGGAGCTTAAGGGAACGACAACGAGAGCATCCCCCCGGCAGACCTTCGGAGGCGTCACATCTTGCTTTCCATTGTCGACACTTGGTACACGCTGTTGCTCTCATTTCACCGCTGTGGGCTGTTGCCTAAAGCGGTGAATGCGGAGAGGTGCCTTGCGACTCGGCGCTGACGGGGTGTGTTGTCAGGAAAGCGATTCAGCGAGAAGGGATTGCGAGGGCGAGGGAAGGAGATTCGGGAGAGGTCATTATCGCAAAATTGATAATGACAGCTTCAAGCTATGAGGGCCCACAGACAAGAGACATCGGATTCCGAATCGGAATGTTTAGTATGCCGACTCGCAATGATTCCCGATAGCGCAGGATGTGGGGATTCCGGCGCCCCATGGGAAAAAGATCTCAGTTTGGGCCTTGAAGACGACATGTGCTCGGTTCAGTCGGCATCGTGAGGCAGCCGGAGGTATACAACCTGGAGAAGGGTAGTGACGAGTTGGGCTCCTGGACATGGGAAGTGCCCCCTTGCTGTCAATTTAAACTTTTGGAGCATTTGCTGTTAACCTGCCCGATTTGGTTTAGTGGGTTCGTGTGGATCATCTTTGCCCGAGACATCTGCGCTTTTGGATTGATTCATTTGATCAACCAATTCAATCCGCAGACCCGTGCAGTTGGTTCAAAACCGGCTATAAATCCAACCAAATCTCAGGTTAACCTTCTGTGGCACCCCGTGTCTGGTTAGCGCGCCTCCGCCACTTTACAGAATCAACATCGGGAGCGCGTTGTACAGTAACCAGGTCCCCAATATTGGAAGGGAGGTTATCACCCCTATTCAGGGTACAGGGGTAGGAATAAGAGTAGAAAGGAGGGCCAACCAAACGTGTGTATATACTGGTAATCTGGTAGGACCAGTTGGAAAAATAGAGCAATTCAAGTTGTACAGGAAGTTTGACAGAACGGTTCTGACTGCTCCTCAGCAGAACAATTTGTACCTGTTCTCTGCAGTTCGCTACTGCTCATTAAGATGACTTTGCTACAGACTAAATACTAATCGATTCGAGTATGAGAGAATCAAATTTCCATGCCTGACAGTCGGTATATCCCTATTGGCCGTTGATGACGAACTCCCTGTCCTGCTCTCGAGAACGGCATATGGTAATTGTGAATTGTCGCAATTAATCAGCCCTTCTATACAGTTTCCACATGAAAGAAGAGTTCCTGGAGCAGCCAAAACTTGGCATATGCAATCCATTGTGGGCTCCGACTCTATCTCCAGCCGATGAAAACCACTGGCTTCTCTGACAGGGCTTTGCCACCGAAGCTGTATTTACTACTCACTTCCGCCATGCTGTCGTGAAGACCGCATTTCGCGAAGCCCCATCTAGCTTTGCTTGCTGGTGATCGATGGCAACCCATCCAATCTGTACGTTTTCGGCGATATTACTTCCGGAGCAGTCCTTAGCACCCACGTTCATAGCATCCTTTAACGCAGATCCAAAAGCCGTTATTGTCCATTTTGGATTTTCAGCACGAATCACGTTCTCTTTGTCAAACTTGAAACCACAATTCTAGATTTCTTTCTACCAATAGCTTCCGAAGACGTGGCATTTGCCTCCATCGAAGGAGTGCGCCATTGGAGTTTGTATTACTGTAGGGGATAGATGAGCATTCCCAAACGTAGTCGAACGATCCTTTGGGTCCCTTGAAGGTAGATAATCAACCATGACAACACTTTGACAGAAAGACAGATGCAGTCACCGGCCTGCGTGGCCTCGAGGCTGGCTGAGAATCCATGGCGTGCTGCCTGCTGCTGGTCCCCAATTGCCTAGATCAGAGCTAAGGACCGCACCAATCCGTGCGTATGTGGAGAACGGGCCAGCAGGTCCATTCGGACCCGTTGTCATGAGGACTATAGAGCAGGCTGAAGCCTGAAAATCTCGTGCAATGGTATCTATGAAGACGACAAGTATATATGGGCAGAGAAACCCCTATTGAGGGGATTTGAATTCGCAATTTGTGAGCCCTGATTTTGGCATCCGGAGTTTAGACCTACAAGGATAGCAAGACCCGTGAGCTTAATGCTGCTGTTACCAAATGAGTCGAAACGCTGTATTGCTGTAGCGTAGATCGAACTAGCAGAATCACTTGTTGCAGCTGTGCAACTCTTCTTTATCATTCTGGTTCACCAATAAATTTTTCTAGCAGGTTAAAAGTTCATGCCAACCGGACGAGCCCCAGTTGACAAATATCACCATTATCCCATTTTCTGCTACGAAATTTGACGCCATAAAATTGATGTCCTTCGGATTTTCTGCCTTTGGTGTGAAAGAAGAGCTCGAAGCCTCCGCATTTGCCTGTGGAAAAAATGCCCAAGGAGGTATTGATCGCTGATTAGGATAATAGTGACGCAATATAAACGGGTTTTGGAACGAGCAGGGAAGACCAAAGCTACAGCACGACTCTGGCCGAACCGGCTGAGCCGGCCATGGACGGTCATGGTCTTTCTTCTACTGATGCTTCAAGTGGCAGCTTCATTTACCATTGTTACCGTATGGACGAGGAACCTCTGCAACGGGTAGAAATTTGCTAGGGTCACGTCAGCTTGATGTAATTCACCGTCCTAAAATTATCAATGGCATGTTGGTGGATGTATGGAATTCATCCACGAAGATGGATCAAGCCTGGGATGAAGTGATTCAACATATGTATGCTGCAACCCAGCATTTTAACGATTGACCAGCTAACGTCACAGAGCTGGCTGTGGCAATATCTCGAAGCGAGAGGTTGAACAAGCTCGGTAAGAATCCAATATATACTGTGCATGAAGAAGACAACACGGATATGTACTTTGGCATTTTGGAGGTCTTCCATCTATTGCATTGTATGGTATGGACTCATAGTAGACGTCCGAGAAGGCGTTGGCAAACGTCTCTGTGTGCAGCATGGTTAAGAGCATGAGGCTATCATTCAGGGGCTTGCGCTCATCGAATATGCTCTTCAGCAGACCGACTACATCAGGAGGCGACAACCAGGAACTGGGTAGTGGCTCTGAAACTTAGCAGAGTTTCAGACGTGGCTGGATACCGGCATGCAGACATTGCTCTGTCCGGGTATTCCTGGTCCAGGGAAGACGATTCTCGCACCAGCCATGGTCGACGATCTTTGCAAGTTACATCACAATTATTCCATAATTAGGATCGCTTACGTCCATTGTAGCTTCCGGTGACAAGACGAACAGAGGGCGGACAACTTCCTCGCCAATCTGCTGAAACAGCTAGCTCAGAGCCAGTTTTTCTTGCTAGTCAGTATTAAAGATCTTTATGGTCAGCAAAAAGCAGTGCCGTTGGTCTGGCGACGGCAGAACCAGCGGAAATCTCCGGGGAGGCAGTCCATGTCGTACGATCTGATTGATGAGAGGGGATTGCAAGAGAGGATGGATAGACAGTTCCCATGGCTTGGACAAAGCCACGGAGTAATTTGTCAACAACCTCAGGTGTACCACAAGACCGAGTGTAGTGCTAAGGGCTCCTACTCAATGCGAGGGTCATGTGCGCAGACTTTGTATCCCATTGTCAAGCAGTCTGATGGCGGGAAACGCTGATACAGGGTTGTTGTCCAATGGATTTTATTAAGTGCTCTGAAGGCCGCTGTAGCCAGTGCCTCGTTGTTTGTTAGTATCTACGGCGCCCTCTCGCTTTGCCACCAGTCATAGGCTTTCGGGGGCTGAGACATTGTCTTACCTGGAGCACATCGAATCCTAGTCTGGGTCATCTATAGAGTCCCTTGATGATGCTAGAGGCCTCGTTGTCGTGGAGTTGTAGAGGTGGTAATCAGAGCACTGCCACCGTGAAAGGGGTAGGTCCATCGAGAATTGCACAAAGCTCAGAGTTGTGCCATTTTGTGGGGACCACGCGGTCTGTAGATTGTCCCGTCAACAGGATTTTTTTAATCAGGCGAATGGAGGTGAGTCGATATTGGTCGGAGAGAGGTCTTGTCTGTCGATCTCTCGAGACGAGTGTGGGAAATGTCATTCCGTGAGTGGATGGGGCGGAGATGGAGTCGGAACCTGAACAGGCATAGCGTCGCGGCGGGAAGAAGGAAAAAGGCTTGGTATAGTGTGAATGCAGTGGAAGGAAGCATGGATGCAGTGTGTCAATGCTCATGTGCAACTAGACCAGCCAACTGACAGAGGAGCCTCCTGGAACTCAAAGTGCGGGTACACCTCTGGAGAGCACTTGCAGGGAGAATCTACCTCGTATCAAAGAAGAAACTCCAAATAGCTGATTGGTCGCGATCTAGAAGGGGCGGGAGTTGAACAGATTCGACGAAATGCGCGTGTCCTTCGTCTTCGAGGGCATCGTCGGAGGGCGGTGAGCGCAGGACTCGTTATCGAAGTAGACATAGCCGCGTTGCCACAAGGCTGAGCCTTGGCTTACGTAACGCTTGAGAACCTGAGGTCTTGGCGCGCTACCCTGAGATATAAAGCGGCACTTGCACGAGTCCGCGAAGGAGTTTTTCTTCGAGGAGATGCGGTGGCCTTTTCGAACCAAGGGAGCGCCAGAGAGACATCTCCAATCATTGATGGGCTGCGGTAAGTCAATCGACCCTCATTCGGCTGGGCAAAAGCTGTCTCCAACCGCCCCCAACCGCCCCCAGCTGCCCCCAGATGGCTCTCAGGTAGTTCAACCTGACCCAACCCCTGCATTCTGTCCATTCCATCCCAACAAATCCATGGCAGCCCCCAGCCCCCGCAACATTCGTGTAGACCTGTGTTAGTCATTACCTATCACATCTCAGTGTTCGTCTACTCCGAGAGGAGCCAATCAAGAGAGGATGAGTGGAGATACAGAATTGCATTCATTTCGGGTATATATGGGGCGAGAGAGGAGGGGTATGCGTCTTCTTTCATCACTTCTATTGTGGAACATAGCATTGCGAGCCAGTTCGACGCTCCACTTGTCAGAAGATAAGGAAAGGGGTTTTCTTTTCTTAGCCACAACTCGAATCGGCGTAGACCGAACCACAGCGCGAATCGATTACGAACCGCCGTAGTGACGGCTGAGATCGTTTATCTAGATCCCCGTTTCCAGAGAGGAGTCCACAGCATGGTCGGGGGAGTGCATACATGGAGCATTCCTTGTTGCCGGTTAAGCCTGGCTGCGGTCGGGCTGGTCATGTTCGCAGCTGGCGTGAGCATGCCTGCACCGGCCCAGCTCAGCGCCGAGTCCGACGACCAGCCTCGTAGCCAGTTCCCCGGTTTCTTGCTCGACTGCGGCAAGGTCTCGCCAATTGAGGCGGACGACCCCAACGTGCAGGTCTTCCCCGCTGGGATCAACAACCGCGGAGTGATTGTGGGCGAATACGTCCGGCCCGATGGCGAGTCCGGGCTGCGGAGAGACCCCGATGGGACGATCTCCACTTTTGACGTCCCCGGAGCCGCCGGGACGGAGGCCAGCGACATCAACGACAGCGGCATCGTCTCGGGCGCCTACAGCCAGGATACGCCGATCGTCAATAACTCAACCCGGCCGCGGGGGTTCCTGCTGGACGGCGAGAAGCTCACTACCATCGAGGTCAAAAATGCCGCAGGCACCGGAGTCAACGGTATCAACAACCGCGGGCAGGCGGTGGGAGCATACACGGACTCCAGCGGCGCCATCCACGGCTTCCGCTGGGAGCAGGGGCGCATCACGACCATCGACATCCCCGATGCCGTCAACACGACACTGATCGGCATTAATAACCGGGGCCAGATCGTCGGCACCACGACGGACATTGCGGGCACGACGATCCGCGGTTTCCTGTGGGAGGATGGTCTAGTCACCAATATCAGCGTCCCCGGCGCCGCCATCACCTCGCCCCAGCGGATCAACAACCTCGGACAGATCGTGGGCTTCACCGCTGACGACCTGGCGCTCACCGGAGCCCGGGGATTCTTGCTAGCCAGGGGCGTGAACGGCCCGTTGACCACAGTGGATGTGCCCGGCGCACCCAGGACCGCTCCGGCAGCCATCAACGACCGCGGCCAGATCGTTGGCTTGTACGAGAATCCCAATGCGCAGCTCTCCGCGCCAGTGGACCAGTAAACCCGACCCGCGGAAGCGCATGGCAGTAGCGCGCTTATCGAGCGTTACGCATGTTCGTCGCCATTCACCTCACAAACAAGCTTGGAACCTTTAGTCATCATTAGCTGCTCTGGCGGAGAAAATTGACGGAGTTGAAACAAGATCCACAACAAACTGGAAACGGAGATCGCCTTTTACAGGACTATAATGATGGCTTGACCAGAACCATGCCACAAAGGGACAATGTCGGCTAAGGGGTTGTTCCGTAGGGATATCCATAAATAGCCCTGATATATGAGCGAGCTGAGTCGGCTGCAATTCATTTCCTTCTGGCAGTGATTTTAATTGTGTTGTACGGAGTCATAATCACATTTTGACCTCTTCACTTTTCGCTCTCAGATGAGATCAGGACGCCTTCTTCCTCATTGGACTCTCGGACACAGCTCGAAACCGATTCGCCGTCAAGATGCGCTGAGAGGTATTATGGCAGCTTTTCCAACCCTCGGCTCATGTGCACAAGCAGGCTCAACTTTGGAAAGATCCGGCACCGACGCTCGCTTGTACCATACACAAATGCCAATTCTCGTGCTGTATCCTGAAGGAGTCTGGAGAAGCAATCGAAAAGGATGAATTGGCCGCGGCGGGACCCAGCAGTCTCGCACCAGGCCAGAAATCATCGCATGTTTTTGAATTCGTAACTGTCGCCAGCGAGAAGTCTCCCAGATTCAACGTGTATGGGTTGGATTGGACCATCTTCACTAGTCATCAACGTGAAATTGCGCAGAATCTCCTTCGATGGTAGAGGCGAATAGCTGAATTCTGCAGGTTGCTGTCGACAGTGTCGTACGATCTTCGCTCCCCGAGAGACGCAATGCCTTACAAAATAAAGTCCAATGCCTCCGCAAAATGCATCTTTGCTGGACTCCACGGCTGATGGTCAAGGTTGATCGTGAGAGTGGTGTAAGTAACTGCCAGTGAAACCTCGAATCATGGATAAGTGGAAAGGGCAACAATACTGAATCCTGACTGGGCGTTAGGAACATGGACGAACGAAATAATGGAGAAAGGCTCTAAGAAATCACTTACCAAAGCAATCTTGGGCCCAAATTGGTTGTATTGACCAAGTCCATTAAATCCAAAATGAATGTCCGTTCGAAGTCGCCAAAGGCCCTCTTGGGGGGGGAGTCAACGCAAGTCGTAGCAAGACAGGGAGCTGTGACTATGCTGTTGACTTCGTTCAGGAACTCGGCGACTACAACAACACGGTCGGTCGCTTGTCAATATCCCATATCTTGATCAAAAGCCTCACTTGATTTCGTTGACTGGATCAAAGCAGGTAGTTCCCGTTCCCATGAAATTGCATTCATTTGGTCTCAAATTCCTGTTGCATTTGCCAACAATCCATTGAGACGACCGTATGTAACCTGTTTTGTAGCGTCTTCCCAAATCTTCATGTAGGCAGGCATTTCCTTTCCAAAAACTTTCAATAAGGGGCGGTTATATGCCAGCCCCATATTCCTAATTATGGTTTGACAAGCCTCCCACCATTGAGTAGCTTTCAGGGGGCCAGCACCATGTTCCAACCAAAGTAGACCTGCTTTGTCCTGAACAAACAATGCTGCGGCTACCATAGCAGGATCACATCACCCTCTGCGTCAACGTCAGCGACAAACTCAAGTAGAGTTGATATTACAGCTAGATCGCCCATTTCGACAGCTGCCATCGGGGGCGGACTAGTCAATCGAAGTTGCAACGGATGAAGACTGCATAAGCCCACTTCTACATCTGGGTTGGCTCCGGCATCTTGTAACATTTTCACAACAAGATTTGCTTGCTTCAAGATTGCTGTAATGAGGGCTGTGACATAGTTTTCGCCATCGAGCTGATTCGCATCGGTGCCCGTGACGACCAGTAGTTGGATCAATGGCACGTCTTCTTTCTTGACGGCCGCCATCAGAGCGGTTCCATTAAAGCCTGCTTGGGCGTTGATATTGGCACCTTATCGGAGAAGTGGTTTCACAAGTTTCTCGGACTCTCTAGGCCTGATCTGAGCAAGACCTCCACATACTCGACAGTTCCAGTTAGAAGCGCTGCTCCATTCGACGGCACCTCCTCTTCTTCTCCCAGCTTAGATTCAAAAGACTCTAATAGGAGGCCAGAAGTGACAAGTTCGCCAAAGTTCTCAAATTTGCTAGGAGGATCGTTGACCCTGGGCCTTTGAGAGCAGAAAACTTCAGTCGGTCCATAGCACTAGAATGCTAGAGAGCCAGCTAGAGGCGAGTGAATAGCACTGGGAGACACGAGAGGTTAGTCTGTGTCCTTAGGACGACGATCAAAAGCGACCAGGCTCTGGAATGTGTACTGCGGAATATTGACATACATCAGGGTTGGCCTAAACAAGTCAAAATAGATGTCCCCCAATATGGATCGACGAAAAGTTGAAAATGAAAATGACATTGTGTTGTCTGAAAGATGCTGGTGAGACTGGCTAACCCAGGAGTTCGGTCATCTCTGCTTAGCCACGTGACCGGCGCCATGGTTCCCTTCTCATGGGAAGAACACAGGTCTGAGAACAGAGAGGTATGTCTTTTTCGCGGGTATGTGTTTCCGCGGGGATGATCTCAGAAGCTCTTTGCTGGGGTATCCATTAGTTCGAAATGAACGGATTTGCCGTTTGTGCGTACAAGTCATTATATTGTCCAACGGTAGGCTCTTGGACTGGCCTGTATGACACCTTCTCATTTCAATTAGGACGGTCGCTCAAAATTGCTCTTCCAACGGTACCGACTTCTTCAAGCAATCTCTCGATCGTCTGCCTCGCGGTGGAAATATTCACGACAACGCGGAAGAAAGCCCCTTTCTCGGCCTCATGGCTAAGGGCAGGTGCAAAGTCGATAAGAAAGCCTCGTGAGATCAGCGATTGGGTCATGCGACTTGTAATGGCCGAGTTCCGCTTGCCGATGGTTCCTGCTTTGTTTCTACTGCTCAAACATTCAATTCCATTTGTATTAGGGTTGTCATCAGCGGAGTAGACCATTCTTCCACCCGGCGCGAAATAAAAGCACACTTGCAGACAAGGTGGCGGGTTTGTACTCACGAGGAGTAGGTCCGGATTCTCGTCGACCAGGTTTGCCAGATGGCAGGCATTGGAATATGCGTTTTCAATTTTGAACGAGTATCCCTCAGTTCCGTAGTATTGCCAGGCCAAGAAGAATTTCAGGCTGTCTCCTCGACGGCCACATTGGAGGGTGAGATCCGCGAGGTCATCGGGCGCTGCCCATTCGTCATCCTCTTCTTTGAGCTCATGGTGGCCATTTGATGTCCCATTGGCTCCATCCACTGGTTCTTCGGTACCGTCGGTGGGCTGCTCCTCATTCTCTTTGTCGTGAAACAAATAACCGGCCCTGAGGGTATTTGACGCATGAGCATGCCTTAAATCCTTGAGCAGGAGAAAGCTGCATGTTACCGGCACGCCGAGCATTTTGTGAGGATTGATCGCAATGCTATCCGACAGTTCACATCCTTCTAGAGACCTGTCACGGAGAGATTTGGAAAAAACGAAGCTTCCGCCCCATGCACCGTCGATGTGCATCCATAGTTTATATTTCCTTGCCACTTGCGATATGGCCAGGAACGGATCAAAGGATCCTCGGACGGTCGTTCCCGCCGTGGCATTGACGTAGAACGGCGTCTTTCCCTTGTCCCGTTCTCTCAGGATCAACGATTCGAGAGCCTTTGGGTCCATCTGCCCAGATATGGGATCAACAGGAACAGAGATGACGCTCTCGCTTCCAAATCCACATTGCTGCGCTGCTTTCTCGATGCTATAGTGTCCGTGCTCCGAAGTGAACATCACAAATTCCAGACCTCTAGCGTTATTCCCCAACCGCTTCGTCTCAGGGAACAATGTATTCCGCGCAATAACGATGCTTGTCATGTTGCTCGCGCTACCTCCTTGAACACTGACACCACCGGTCCTTGGGCCCGTGAAGCCGAACATCTCCGCCAGGGTTTTGGTGACGTGTGTTTCGATTAGTGATAGAACCGGGGATACTTGATATACATGTACGTTGGTGTTGAGAACACCGAGGATTAGGTCAGCGGCTATTCCAGGAGGTAGAGGAGCAGAGTAGAGTTTGTCGAGGAAGCCAGGAGAGGAAGTGTTGACGCTGTACTTCAAGATTGAGGCCAAAGAGTCCAAGAGGCCGTCTTGCCCTGTCCCTCGGCTGGGTAGGGAGAGCGTGCCATTTGCGCGTAGTATCGATGTTAGTTCTGAAGGAGAGTGGCATTCGACGAGTGCCGATTTCGAGATCGGCAGTCGACGTTGATGGGCCAGAAGCTCGGAGTCGGCCTGTTGGATGAAAGGGATCAGGCGCGTCAGCACGGACAAAAGAAGGCTTTTCAATTCGGCAGCGCGCGACGATGTGATGTCCCTAGAATTAGAATTGGAAAAGCCATTCACTGTTGGGGAATGATGGCCATAGGACAAATTGGCCTTGGAAGTCAAGTCGTGGCTGGCCATGTCTTTCCGGGTCGTATGGCTCGTTGAATCTGAATCTTCTGAACGTGGTATGTCCAATAAACAATGAAAAAATACACCCAACGAATGCTGTCTGGGTGCGATGCAAGAGAGGATGAAGAAGTCTATTCAGAACATACTGATCCCGAGAAGTTGTCTGTGGACATGAAGAGCGGAAAGGTTTCCCCCAAACCAAAAAAAAAAAAAAAATCTGATACCGACTTCGATGACGCAATTTGGAGACAAGGCTGCGCGAGGCTGAGCCCCGTCGGCCACTCGGGGAATTCTATCAACCATTTTTAGGCTTGTCTCCAGGATCAGGAGTATTTCCGCTATGCATTCGCTGGAACAACGGTCTTCGTCGATGCTGCTGGATTATTCCGCTTCACGGCGTGTGACTGCTTCTGCGCATGTCTCTCCCTGGCAAGCTGAATCGGCGTCTTCTTCTCCGATCTCGAATCTCCATCCAATTCCACGCTTTGCGCTTGTTCCTCTTCGCGACCCCTCGCAAGTGCGCGCCACTCACCGGGTCGTCGGCGGTAAGAGTCCATTGCCCAATTTTTCCACACGTTTCGACCATATGGAGATTCCCTGAGACTAATCTCGTTGTTTGCGAGTTCTTTTGCTAGACGTTCCTTTATGAAATGTAGCCCATCGGTGGCAGGCCAGAGCGCGTCGACCACATAAGAACCGGCAAGATCTTGAGATAGCTCGAGAATATGGTCATAGAACCGCGGGACGAATTTCCGACGGAATTGAATGTCAGACCTAGTTGGAGACAGCGCTTCTTGGATGACTCGCGATGAGGCAGAAATCTGAGACATTTCGATCAGGATACCGGTGTCGAGTGCCAATAGGCTCTCTTGGACGAGGATGGACATTTCGGGGGATTGGAGCATTGCCTGGGCCAGTAAAGAGCCATGCACGTTCGCTCGGAGCGTCGGAAGCGGTGTCTTGTCATTATAGCTCTCTGATTCCTCGATCCGTTTCAAGGATGCAAAATCAAGCATCCGTGGGAGAAATTGTGCTGGATCATTTCCATACTCCAATTTAATCACGTCCGAGAGATCTTGCAAATCCACCTGTCGCACAACACATCGCTCAATGAGAACTGTGATCAATCCTGTCCTCCGGCGTGAAATCAAAACTGGCAACTCTGGCAGAATCAAATTCTTTGCCTCTGCTAAATCGTCCTTGCCGAGGCGTTGAATGATTCTAATCGCAACGTAACTTGCCTTGTCGTTTCTGGCCATGCTGCTCATCCTTGGCCTCAGAACGTTTTTGTAAAGCTTCTTGAAAGCTTTCCCGGGGAGTTTCTGAACAAGGATCTCGACCAGGTGAGATCCTGTCGGGTCATATATCAGTCCGGAGACGAATTTGGCACTTTCGGTATCCTCCTCCAAGTCCTCGTCCGGGAGCAATTTCCTGAGGACCAAATTATCCGCGGAGTGCTTACCCTTACCTGAGTTTGAAAGTTCTAGGCGTAGAAGTAATTGTAGGACAGGGTTTCCGGTCGGGTGAGTGGCCAAAGCTCTTAGATATGTTGTGTCTAAGGCTGAAATAGCGCTGTCGATGAGCTTTGCCAGGACATTGCGAAAAGTCTTTGGGACAGTTCGTTCGTTTTCGGAAGATTCTGTGGACATCTCCACTGGGACCTCAAGCTTCTCTTTCTTTTTGCTCGAAAGCATCGCTTTCATCAACGCGTCGTCTAATGGTTCTCCTGACAGAACGAGGAGCAGGACTCTGACAGTGTGAGACGCAAATCTCTCGGTGAGAAGGAAACCCATATTCGGCTCAAGCTCCTCGGCGGCTCGGAGGAAAAGTTCCTCCATGGAAACGGACCCTTCTTCTCTTTCGACTTCATGGCTTTCCTTCGTTTCCTTCAGGTGTTTCAAAGATTCGAGGAATAATGTCTCGCAGCAGTGGCTTCCAAAGCGATGACGAACAAGATACGTCAAGTTGCCGAGAAACTTGCTGAACAAATTTCGAAGTTGTTTGGGCGTTGATAAGAGTATGACCTTCTCCAGACACCGCGAACCAGACTGACTGGATGCAACTTTGAGTTCTTTGCCTTGAGTTTCGTGGTGAACAGCATCGATGAAAATGGCACGGTCTTCGGCCGACTCGAAGTCGTTTGCCACAATTTTATTATTGACGTTTGAGTAATATTCTTGTTCTTCGGGGTCGAGAAGGCCATGAAACTGGTCCTCTTGGATATCCTGGGGTGGGCCTATGCCAAATCCGATAAAGTCATCCCCGGCGTCACCGCTCACGACTATCTCATTAGAGGCCTGCTTGTTGTGAGAGTTATCGTGCTTGAATCGCTTTGAAGACTTGTGATATCTCTCGTCAAGCTGGCGTTTTTTCTCTCTTTCCTCCTCGCGCCTCCCTCGCTTTTTCTTTTCGCGAGGCATCTTCAACGAGTCAGACGGAAAATACGACCCGTCGGAGTACGAGAACTTTGCTTTATTTGCTGGCGCCGAGTATCAGAAGCTCTCGAAGTCGAGGGCCCGTTTGGGCCCAAAAATTCCATGCCAAGGCCGCTCGAATCTCCGCCAATCAGATACAAGACACGATTTTAGGTAAAGAAGAAAAGGGATCTTATAGAGTAATTTTGCATTTAGTCCTGGTTCCATTATATTCACTCAGACTGCCGCCAGGACTGCTTCAACAGCCCATATCTTGCTACTACTAGAGACGCTTGTAAGGTTGCATATAACTTAGCTTTCATGGCCTTCCGAGACATCCCTCCGAACATTGCCTCGTTTCCCCACCACTAACTGTGTGTGTCTGCCGGCTGAGGCTCAAAATCACCCCGATCCATGTCTTCTAAAACCTCTTTGCTCATATCTCTCTCAGTAGACCTAGTACTTATTGCAGAAGGATCGCAATAGCTGGAACTGCGAGCAGGGATGACGGGGGCACCTTTGGTAATATTGCTCAACATCCGAATTAAGATGTCGTCCTGCAATGAGGCCGGTATGTGCAAATCCTATTGATGTACTTGGACCTCGTGAATACCGAACCCGTTGAAGGGCAGAAGAGCTCTTATCTTCTGAGGACTTTGGACCGTCAAATATCAAATCTTTCTTTCCCAGAAAGCGAGACAGTGTAAGATGTCACGGCTGTCTCGTTTCGGATATTACCATGATGAAATTTGCGAACACGCCATGGCTGTCGATATGGAACCGGGGAGATTGTTCCCAGCTTGGATATGCGGTAATCGAACATTAGGGGGTGACTCTCCGATCGATGAATGACCATTCTGACCCGCTCTAGCAGTCGTATGCGACAGAAGTCGTGACTTGATGTCCCAATATTCTGTGGATGGTGGCACGAGGTGCGTCCTGGCGGCATTTCGGTCTGACATTCCCACAACGCGTACCGTTGGATCAACGGTCACATCATATTCAACCACTGCCCTGTTCCTGTGCTGCCAGCTGCATTTTCTGCTGTAGATGCAGAAGCTCTACTCTTTTCTTCTCGCTTCCTTCCTGCAGCTCTTTGATCCTGGTTTCTGTTCTTGATATTTCTTTCCCAATGAACTCCAGCCGTCCATCCACTGCATTGACAGCCTCGGTTTTGTCCTGCTTTAACAACACCGGACCGACAAGTTTGTAAACACCTGTGTCGTCGGCCAGAGTCGCGAACTCTTTCTGGACGGCTTTATTCTCCTGTTGCTGTGCTTCAAGTTTCTGGCGCGCCTCGATGGTGCCTTGGAGATCTGTGGCCCAGAGTCAGCAATCTGCAATAAATGACTGAGACTTCAGCGGCGGGGCTCACCGTCTTGAAACTTCTGCACGGCTTCAGACAAGGACTGCAATTTATTTCTATCTTCTTCCATGGCGTGCTAGTTTGCTCGAAAAATATCGGATTGTTGGAACGATTTGTAACGGTTAAGAAATGTGCCTGGAAGATAACTAGCGTGCGTCCTTCTAATTCGCGGGGCAAAAGCCGCCGACGAGCGTCCCATTCCACTCGACTGCCTAGTACATTGGCAGACTTACCAACATCAAAGACAATTGAACCCAAAAATACTGTTTCATAGAGCTAGCAAGTTTCGCGACTTCTCCTTGACTATTGTAATTGTGCGAAAAAGCCCCTTTCACTCTCCTTCCACACCTGAAGCCTTGTACAGCAGCAGAAACGAGCGCTTGTTTACCCTTCATCACCTTGCCATCCTCAACCAAATAACCTTCGATTTCGGCCGCCATGTCTAATACAGACTTCCTCGGCCGGGCCATCGATACGGTGAAAAAGGCAATCGAGCTAGATACAGCGGGGTCATATGAACAGGCGTACCAACAATACTATGCCGCTCTCGAACTCTTTATGCTGGCGCTGAAATGGGAGAAAAACCCGAAATCGAAAGAGATGATCCGCGCCAAAGCAGGAGAATATATGGATCGGGCAGAGAAGTTAAAAGCACACATTCAAGCCAACGATTCCAGTAATCGCAAGAAGCCCGCTGCCATGGGCGTTAATGGCAAAGCCGTCAATGGTGCCGGGAAAGGCGAGAGCGGAGATAAAGATGAGGAGGATGCGGATAGTAAGAAATTACGGGGACAACTGACGGGCGCCATCTTGACGGACAAGCCCAATGTTAAATGGGAGGATGTCGCCGGGTTGGATGGTGCCAAAGAAGCCCTGAAAGAGGCAGTCATTCTGCCTATCAAATTTCCCCATCTGTTTCAGGGAAAACGGCAACCGTGGAAGGGCATATTACTTTACGGCCCTCCGGGGACGGGCAAATCATACCTGGCCAAAGCGGTTGCCACAGAAGCAAACAGCACGTTCTTCAGCGTCAGCTCTTCGGACTTGGTCAGCAAGTGGATGGGGGAGTCAGAACGACTGGTGAAACAGTTGTTCAACATGGCGCGCGAGAACAAGCCGGCAATCATCTTTATCGACGAGGTCGACGCTCTTTGCGGCCCAAGAGGAGAAGGCGAATCCGAAGCTTCAAGACGTATCAAGACGGAGTTACTGGTGCAGATGGATGGTGTGGGCAAAGATTCCAAAGGTGTCTTGATTCTGGGCGCAACAAACATCCCTTGGCAACTCGATGCGGCCATTCGAAGACGTTTTCAACGACGAGTTCACATCTCATTGCCCGATCGGCCCGCGCGCATGAGGATGTTTGAACTTGCGGTTGGAGATACCAAGTGTGAGATGTCCCAGGCTGATTACAAGTCTCTCGCGGATCTCAGCGAAGGGTATTCTGGAAGCGATATCAGTATTGCGGTACAAGATGCACTGATGCAGCCGGTGAGAAAGATCCAAACGGCGACACATTACAAGAAGGTAGGGCTCCGGCTCCTAACTACTCCTCAAAGATTATCACGCTGACAAAAACTTTTCCCGAAATATAGGTGACAGTCGACGGGGTTGAGAAACTGACGCCCTGCTCGCCTGGCGATAGCGGCGCAATGGAAATGACCTGGGTGGATGTGGACTCGGATCAATTACTCGAACCGCCTTTGGTGGTGAAAGACTTCATCCGCGCCATCAAAGCGGCCAGACCGACCGTATCTGCCGAGGACCTTAAGAAAAACGCAGAATGGACGGCCGAATTCGGAAGTGAGGGTGCTTGAAGCGAGAAGCCTTGATGTGCGCTCTACCGAAGTCACGAGCCATGAGCAGAGGCGTTTCTCTAGGATCGAATTGTTGGCGCAGGTGTTTTTGTCTTGTGCTTATTGCTTTCTTCGATTTGAAGGTATGTTTTTAGGGAACGGACATGGTTTGACACGGGGATTGGGATACAAAACCGGGGTAAATCGACTGACCTTGACCTTGCGATTGAGCGAATAACGCTAGAACCGGAAATGAAATGGGCCTACAGTAGTTGATGTGAATGCAAAAAAAGAAGATAACAACAAGAATGAGAGGCACCATATTTGTGACAAGAGCATGAAGTAATATTTCGTACTACTATAGTCTTTGATACCTGCAACTGCAAGCAATGTACACCATAATATCGTAGGCAGAAGTGTGACCCCTGACTCCATGCTAGACGACTCGCTAATTTCAAATCCGTGTCCATTTACCAGGATATCGAACCCTCCGTATATATCCATCAAGTCATATCTTCGTCGTTCCTCTTGCCCCAACAGCAAGGCTAGGGATACAAATAGCCTTTCTCAAAATAATTTCCATACATGTCCACAACACCTGTTCTGCCCTTGGGTGTCGGATTCCTGATCACTTTGATCTCGCCTTTCCAATGTCCCTCGATAAATTTCATATCAATATCATTCACTTCACCGGACAAACCTGCTGGAGTTTGAGGCCTGGTGTCCGTCGTTCCATTGGCATGGGCATATCCAATGGAACCTAGTCCAGCGCCGTGGTCAAACCCGTACCCATAACCTCTTGGGCTCGATAGAAAGCCATGTCCATGGCCGGAGGGTCCATTACTTTGACTGTGGAGGCTGTTCGCTCTGCCGCTACCCACACGGCTCATTCTATATCGCGCTAATTCGTCTTCGTAAGCCTTCTTCCGCTCTTTTCTCCAAGCAGCAAGCTCAGCCACCACGTCGATCTTTGGTTCTTCTTCCTCCTTTTCCACGGGATTGGAAGTTGGCGTCGGCACCTGAGGTTGGCTTTGATAGGATGATCTCGAGTTCGTCAATTTCGGCGAAGTCTGGCCACCATGAAGTTCATTGAGAAAGCTTCTTGGATCCCCATTTCGCTGCGCTTCGTTTGAGCTCCTCCGATTTCGACCCAGAGGTAAATTCCGGGGGCTGCGCAGTACCCCACTTGAGCCACCATAGTTCATGGAGAAAGGCGAAAGCGTGCTTTGACCATGAAAACTGCCATGTGGACTGCTCGATCCGCTTTCCGGAGGATTATCGTCGGGAATCAACAAGATCTTGTCGTCGAAGTGAGCCGTAGGAAAATATTTCTCCGGGTCATGCTGATAGATGCCGCATTCTGCATGTTCTTCTCCTTCCTCACCAAAGAAGCTGAAATCATTCTCAGCCGCCGACCAGAGGTTCTCACTGTCAAGATCACCGGTTGAAGATTTACTCATACTAATCCGTTGACGAGAATGTTGCCATCCACGTTGACCATTAGCAGGTTGGCCCGCTGGTTGTTCCATCTCAAGGACAATGGTGCGGAGTGCAAAGAGGGAGCGTGCATGTTCCAATTCTGCCATATGTCTTGCTCGGCCAGGTGGAAGAGAATAATCCGTTCTTGCAAGAAGGTGAGATAGCGCGGACTCATCAGCGCAGGCAGAGATGAACGACTTTAGTGCTGCAACAAGTGTTGATGATTTTGGCACGGCTGTTGGAACATTGGTGAGTATCAGGGTTCGCAAATTGGGAAGTAGCGCAGGATGAAGGCTGCTCAGATCTGGGATGGTGGCTTTAGGTACGGAAGAACCTGGTTGTGTAATCTTCGACGCCATTCCAGGAGGCCGTTTTGACAGAAGAGCTTCAATACGAGCATGACGATGTTGGGTTGCAGCAGGAATCGGTGACGGTGTTCCTCGTGGTTGAGGTGTAGGACGTGGGACAGACCTTGGAATAGATGGAGCAGAGGCCGGCGGAAGAGGAGAGGTAGCCGTCGGTGTAGGGAGGGGAGCAGGGTTGTCCTTTGCTTTGGGTGGAGCGACCAAGGGCTGGAATGCCATCGTATTGGGATGAGGTGTCATAGGCGACACAGGTGAAAATAAGGATCTTGTTGTGCTATGAGTTCCTGTCTCGTCAGAAACTTCAGAGTCTTCATTGTCATGACCATTAGTATATTCATCACCGTTCACCACCTCTGGAGCAAAGGGTCCTTCTCCTCGGACGGGGCTATGCTTCTCCACGACGAGACTTGAATCTCGAGGCTTTTCTCCAACTGGAGGGCTAACGGAGAAGTAGATTGCATCGCCAACCAGTTCAGCTCTAGGCTGTGCGGGGGTAGCGTCCAGTTCGAAGATGGGTTCATTGGAGCCCGGCATTTCCACCGGGTAGTGGGCGGGAGCTGGTGCTTCGATGACTTGTCTCTCCGCTGTTGGTAGCTCTGCAGCGATTGGCTGGGATCCTACAAGTTCGATGGCCGATGTTTTCGGTTGGGGAATATCCTGGATTCCCTCCAACTTCGCCGTAATAAGTGTGTGGTCTATCCGTAGGTATGTCAAATTCTTGCTGGCTGACCGAGCAAGAACCGGAATGAGTTTTTCGGCACCAGGAAACCGAACTTCATCGATGTATCCCGTCGGGGATGACAGAGAACGAGTTCTCGCAATCGTTTTGATGGCATCGACGGATCCTCCATCAAGAATATGCAAGCGTTCAGATTTGAGCAGGCTTGATAAACCTTCGACGGAGAGGCGATTTCCCGAGATGTGGAGGTGTGTCAGCCCTCGATGAGGAATATCCTCAAATGCTAGTCTCCCTGTGAGAGGCTTGGTGAGTTGTTTGAGTAGTTCATGATCGAGTTCTTCACTTCGCAGGGTGTCGAGACTGAAAAAGTCAGGGCCCGGAGCCATGCCGACTGGCCAATCTTCCACATTCAGAGAACTAAGTTGTACGGCGTCAGGAGGCAGGAAGCACGCCTGCATCAATGACCTCACAGCCATATCGGTTAAGAGGTTATCTCGGAGGTCCAGCAGACGGACACGAATACCAATAGCGTTGGCCAGCACCTCTGCCTCGCCATCCTTGAGGCCAACACCACGCAACTTCAGCACTTGGAGGTCGGGCAGATATGACAGGGCTGCTAGAACAGAAGCATCGCGAGAAGGTGATGTGTAGGACAGGTCTAGATAGACCAGATTCGGGAATCTTGGTAGCGCGTTGGCCAGAGAAAAGGATGTGGTATTTGGCTCGCTCGACGCCAACAGCAATTTCAATCCGAAAGCAGGTAGAATATTTTCTTCATCATTTGATAATTTCCTACCAGAGCTCGTTGTCCTGAGGGCATTCAAACTGTGGTGATCGAAGAACGGTAACTTGGCGACAATGAGGCTCTGTAAATTGGGTAGGAATTCGAGGACGTCGCGCAACCATGTCGGATTAGGACCGCCATAGATCTCACTGAGGGCCGGAGGGAGATGTAGAGTATGAGTGAGACTTCTCACGCTGAGTCTCGCTTTTCGTAGGGTTCTTTTGAATCGGGTGAGGGCGACATAGACGGCGTCGTTGGCGATGCCAAAGTGTGAAGCTGGGTCGCCCCAGAGAAACGGGACGAAGATTGAATACCATTTCTGCGATACGAGGCATGCGGAACAGAGGTCACTGGAAGGGATCCAGGGAGCGATAATGGTCCACGCTTCGCGACTGACTGCACTTTCGTAGGATGGAGGGACATCAGGCTTCATGGTTGCGTGGAAGTATCGTCGGGCAGTGGCATGATGACTGATGGATGGGAGAGGGGAGAGAAGGCAGCCAAAAGTAGCAATATACCAAGAATACCAAGCCGAAGGTCGCAATGATTAAGGCGCAAAGATGGTAGCGCAGTCGAGCGTCGATGGTACGACGCCGTGCCTATGATACGTCACATTGTGGTTCTGCTAGGCGAGTTGCAAGGCACCCGTAAGGCGATTCTAGAAGGCCACCAGGCGCAGACTCCCACTCTCACTTTAAAGAGAGGGTGCGGAGAACCAGGCCTTGGAACCAGCCCCGGTCAAAAGCCATCACATCAGCCAATCGACGGCACATACGTAGTAGACCCCCTCGCCATCGACAGCCTCGGACCCGTATTCTTATCCTCACGGGAACGCGGCATGCTCGGCATGCGCGGCATCGTGCGTAATATTTCCCATACATTTCTCTACAGGCTCCAAAAATACCTTAACATACCATTGGACACCCTTCACACGCGCCCTGCCAGACCAATCGTGCTGCCAATGCTTTTTTATTCCCATCACGCAAGTCCCTCATGCCGAATACAACATGCATTTCATCCAGAATCAAGATGTCATGCTGTGCAATTGATCATTGGCATTCGAAGCCACAAACTCAGGGCGGAGAAGTGAAGAGCCAGCGGTCCCTCGGGTATCATTATCACCCGGTCAGTATTTACATCACATATAACAAATCCGTGTCTCGGAGAAAGGCAATGTTAGTAATATTTCATATCGTAAAAAGGAGGAGGCGGCACTTACTCAATGGATGTGAGCAGCTCAATTGAGGTTTCTGAGAATACTTCGTCGCCAGCTCGTCTCGAATGCTATTCAATAACTGCACATAACTTTGGTGTGGGTTCTTCTTCAATGCGGTTACGAATGCCCAGCTCATGGCGCCAGTTGCTTCTCCGTTGATTTGAGCATCTTGGCTGGTTTGCTCGTCTTTGCTGCCCGACCACATGATAACATCGGCCGGACTGGTCTTGGTCTGCTTGTTCCGCTCGTGTGTGGAATTTCCCGTAGCAGCCTTCTTGAAAAGACCCATGGCGGTGGACGCCATGCCACCCAAATCTCCACGGGCGTATGATGAAACAATCGACAATAAACCTTGTCCTGCTTCCTTGGCCAAATTGGGCTCTTTGAGCACACCTTGGGTGGAGTAGATATAGGGCAGGTCGAGGGCAGAACCGGAGTGACACGAGTCGAAGATCGCCGTCAGTCGGACACCGGGGGCCAGTGACTTCACCATAATTCGGTGCATCTCATCATCCACAATGTGGCCTGCTGTTCGGAAATCCACGGGATATATTACCTCATCATAGCCGTCCTCTTCGTCTCCATCCAAATCGGGCGTCTGGCCTCCGTGACCGCTGTAATGAAAGAACAATGAATCGTTGGGTCGAGCATCTTTGACCAACCAATGCATCGCTCGGAGAATATTGGCTTTTGTGGGCTGAGACATTGGATTTCGTTGGTCATCAGTCAAGATAACCATGTCTTCTCTGGCATATCCGAAATTTTGATTCAAATAGGTCGACATGTTCTTGACATCGTTGATACAACCCCGCAACTGTCCTCTTTGGCCAAAGTAATTGATTCCAATTAGGAGCGCCTTTCTTTTCCCCGTACAATTGGAATATTGATAGCTGTAGCCCGAAGGAGCTCCTGACCCGAATTGTTGTGGGGCTGTCGGTGGTGGAGGAGGGCCGTGATGAGGAGTATTGTTGTAAGCCGGCATTCCCGGCCGAGGACCTAAAGAGCGTGAGTACTAGTGGTTTTGATTCAATATCAATGGGACAGACGGACCTGGATATCCATTTGGTTGAGGTGGCGGAGACCCATAACCACCATAACCGCCTTGTTGTGGCGGAGGAGGATTGTTATAACCGTAGGGCGCCACTTGCTGTGAGGGATGAGGATAACCCTGAGGAGCACCGTAGCCTTGAGGGGGGTATGGCTGTGGTGAATAGGATTGAGGAGGATATCCGCCTTGAGAATAGCCTTGAGGAGGGTAAGGCTGTGGCGAATGCGATTGAGGAGGATAGCCATAACCGCCGCCGTGCTGTTGCGCGCCGTAGCCGCCTTGACCTGGATAGTAGGACATCGCAGTTGAAGGATTTCGGGGGTGCAGAGACGAATGACCTTGAAACGGCAAGAGAGGTTATGAAATGTGATCTAGGGTCAGAGGATGGAATGCAGTGATGAAAGTCGAGCGGAGAGAATGTCGGTCGGGAGTTGTAAGACGATTTGGCACGCCCAGCAGTCGGCTCTTTGCTCGTAATTTTTTTTTAGTCAAGGGTCTCTTCGAAGCGGAGCGAGTACGTGCTTTAGCGGGTTGATACGCGAGTCTTGTTTGGAGGATGTCGGTCGTCAAAGATGAGGTGGCAAGAGAAGTGAGTGATGAAGGATTCAAGTTGCAGGAGAATGCCGGCTGCACTTGTCTACGTTTTCTGTATGTATTCGTCTCTCTGTTCAGACACTGCTAGAGAGGCCAAGAAGATGCAGGAATCAAGCTGACGAATTGTTTGGTTTCCGCCTCCACCTGCACAAGACTTCGGGGGTCCACCGCTTGTGTCCCGTTCTACAGGACCACAAACATTCGCCCATCTCCCTGTCTTCCCTTTGACTTAGCCCTTTCGTCCTCGGCTTGTCGGTTCCTAACTCTTTTTGGACATCCCCTGTGATGTGACTTTGGCCTTAGCAGAGTCTTTGCTGACCCGTAGGCGAGTCTAGCGATTCTTTCGCCCTTACAGTAAGCGAGCAGGAGTGCCCCATACGATGCTCCAACGACCGGTAAGAAAGCGCCCTTTCATAACAAGCTCTCCTAAAACATTCTACACCTGCTTGAAATCGTGGTAATCTGGGATTTCACCCCTGGCCCCCCTGCATTTAGCAGAAATGACTTTGAACAACAACTCATTAGGCCGCAGATAGAAATGCCAACATTAACACCACTTACCGGGGAGTTGAATTCTTGCATATTTCCATCAACAAAAACACTGGAAAGCCATGTTTGAGCTATTGGCTCAGCTCTCGACCAGTGCAGCTCAACGAGCCCCTATGTCACGCTTTACTGACCCTCTGCAGCCGAGAGATCGCAACCCTTCATTCAGACCTATGTCCAATGCCCACATACCTTGCACCCACCTGATTCAACATGACGATTATCCAAATGTCCACGTGCTTGGAAATATTCGCCAAATTCAGCAACGGTGACCACAATCCGGGGTTGAAGTGGACAATCACTACCCGGTCCGACATTACAGATCAGCTACGCCACTGATCCTGTGCTTATCCACCTCGCCTCATTCGCCGTGACTCTCGCCCCATACCCGAATAACCATGCTGTCATGTTCGGGGCTGAAGTATTTGGGACAGTTTTAAACCACCACAACCGCATCGAGAAGCTATAACCCACACCGACCAACCCTTAACACATTTTTGGTGAATCGTATCCGAAAAGAGACCCTACGAGGCGGTGTTTCGGCCTCTCCGCGAAAAGTCGCCAATGCCCAGCCATGACCTTGAAGTTTGAGCTCTCGAGATCTGGACTGCGACCTTCTGACGTGACATTGACTTTACTTCTATTACCTATCCATGACTTCCTATATTTCGGTTGTTTCGACAATTGAAGGATATCCAGCAACGTCGTGACCCTGCATGAGGTAGGCCAATCCAGGTCGAGCCTTGATACGAGGAGAGACAAAAGGACAATAACCCCTTATACTATCTAGATATCAAATCTTCCGGGCGCCATTATCTTTGTTGCCGACCCACCTACCTGGTGAAGAACTCGGTCCTGGATGACTCTGGTTCTCGACGTTTCCTCTACCCTCCCCCCACTCAACATTTTTATACTCTCCTTCGCATCTTGACTGGGCTTGTTTCAGTACTCAGTCTCACACATGGTCAGTCGACCAAAGTGACATCGTGCCTGAGCTTCAGTATGAGTGCCGGTCGAAGCAAAGGCAGCTATCTCCATCCGTCTACTGCGCCTCCGCTGCCTTTCTTGCGCTTCGACCTCTTTCTCCATGTCCCCCGTCTCTCAATTCGCCGTCTAGGATGATCTTAGTGCGATAATAGATCTCATACTCATACCAAGGAACACCGAAGGCCCAGCCAGCCAGCCCAAGGTATGCTCGTTAATCCGAAGCGACCTGTACTCCGCTATGCATCATTTTCAAATGCACACGACAGAGACTTTTTTTCTTGTCTCGCACTGTAATCCTACACAACCATTTTTGGAAGTATTCATTTTCATCGTCTGGGCATCCCTCTTCCTCGTCCTCTCAATGCTCTCTGCGCCGCCCCAGGTGGCAAACCCCTCGCCGGGGCCTGTGGAGCCTGACTTTCCTCATTCTTAATCGTCTCGTCGACACTGAGAATCAAACAAGCCGCTTCCACCGCTGCACTAATGGCGTTGACTTTGACGAGTGCGGGTTCCCAGACAAAAGCGTCCAAGTTATTCCGAACGCCCTCGTGGTCGAAGTCGACGCCAGCCCAGGTGTTGCCCTTGCGGTGCTCGACGCGCAGGCGGTTGAGTATGTCCGTGGCGTCGAAGCCGGCATTGTCGCACAGCTGCCGCGGGATGATCTCAAGAGCCTTCGCGAACGCCTTGACAACGGCTTGCTGCTTGTGTGGTACATTCTTGTCCGCAAATTGGTGCAGGTACCCCGAAACTTCCATCTCCGTGGCCCCACCGCCGGCGACGATGGTGTGGTTTCGCAGTGTTCGTTTCACAATCATGATCGCGTCGTGTAAACTGCGTTCAGCTTCGGCGATGAACTGCTCTGCGCCACCCCGGAGGATGAGCGTGCAGGTTTTTGCTTCTGGACAATCGCTGAACAGGTTGTATCGCTCACCGCCGATTTGGCGCTCTTCGAACGAGCCACAGGTTCCCAGGTGTGATGGGAGGATGTCGCTGCAGGTGCTCTGCGTCGTGGCGCCCGTAGCCTGGCAGACTCGTTCAAGGTCTTCAGCAGCAACGCGGCCCGCACAGAAAATGTCTCGATCGGCGAAATACTGCGTCGCCAAATCTCCAATCGGTAAGCGACTCAGCACGACTTTCGCGCCGGTTTTGTACAGTGCCTCCATCTTATTGTATATTATCTGCCACTCAGCGTCGACAATAGCTTGGTACTCTGAGACCTGGTCGACGCGGACCTCGGCGTTGTCCTTTTCGGCCTTCAACTCGAGTTCGACGTTCAGACAAACAATCTGAGGGTTCTTGAAGGATTTGGGCTGTTGTTCAAAGCCGGCATAGGAGAAAGTCTTTTTGAACGCGACGCCGTCGACAAAAAGGGAATCTTCCAGTGCGCCGCCGGTGATTTTCTTGATGCCGATGAGGTTCTCATTGAGGTCGTCCTGGTCGAGGGAGAGGACCGCATCGACAACCACTGTTTCGTCAAAGTCAGCCTTTCGCTTTGCCAATCCTGACAGACAGGTAACGTACTCTTGGTAAAGAAGTCGGCATTGCGATGAATGAGCTTACTGCTCATCGCCGTAGCCGCCAACTTGCGCAGCGTCTCTCTCTTATTCCCATCATTCGTACTCACAGCAATCTCTTTAATCTTATTGATCGCCATGGCAGAGGCCCGCCTCAGACCTTTAATGATCGTCTGCGTACTCACACCCTGCTCGACTTGGTCTTTGATTTCCTTCAAGATCTCGCCCGCCAGTACGACCACCGATGTTGTGCCATCGCCCACCTCAGCGTCTTGTGACCGTGCAATGTCTGTCAGGATCTTCGCGGCAGGGTGGACAATGTCGAGTAGTTTCATGACCGTAGCGCCATCATTGGTGATAGTTTGCTTGCCATTCGAGTCGACGAGGAGCAGATCACCACCATAAGGTCCGAGGGTGGATTTGATCGTGTTTTGGACTGCCAGACAGGCATTGATGTTGGAAATGATTTGGCCTTTGCCTTGTGAAGTATCGGTGCCTGGGGTGGTATGTTAGTCCATCAAATGTAAAGAAACACCGACACACATCGTGTGTTTCCTCACCCTCTTTGAGAACAATAATCGTTGGAGTCTGTCCACCGAATGCCGCCATTTTCTCCCACCCGAATCTGTCAGCTGCCTCGAGAACACCTGGAGTCGTAGTGGGGGTGCAAAATGTTTGGGCTCAGTTCGGGAACTTTTTTGAGATTTTGACCTTGACGCAATTCGAATTTCGGCGGATCAGTCTTGGCAATGTACTGTACGGCGGAGTTTGCAACGGTGAGCGACACCCTGGCTAAACTACCAATCTAAAACCCATTTCTAGGATCATCGATCAAGTCCAACAAAACTTGACACCTGTTCGCCTGATCCGCTTCACCATCCACCAGCTGGAATCCATCTTCTGTGATATTCATCCACCTTTCCAACTCCATGCCATACGAGGGCCAGTGCGTCGGCACCGCTACGCCAGTCTCGTTCTGTCCTGCGCATTCTCCACCACCGATCCGGCCTTCTAGGATGAATGTCCGGAAATATTTCTGCATCCGGCGGGCGATTTGAGAGGCTTTCGGACCAGCTGTCGCTGCGGCGCCTTCCATGTGGAAGTAGTAAAACTGATCCTGCCCGTGGTTCGCTGGCGGGATGGACATGGAGTATCGATATGCATTAACTCCCCACGTTTGAGCAATCCAAAAAGCGTGGCACGCATAGATGGCATCTTGGGCAAAGGTGTCTAGGGCCAGGCCTGTCAGGTTGGACCAAGTCGCATTGACTGTCATGATAGTTTCCTGCGTCGGGCTTGTCATGAATATTGGCAGGAAGTCTTCCCAACTCGTTGCGTGGGCTGGTTCAGGTTCTGTCAGCCCTGCATACACCATGGAGATGGTCTAAATTACTTACACGATGTAGAATACTGTCCGTCTCTTGCCATGTTCGCAGTCATGACCTTCTCAACCGATGTGTGATATTTTCCTTGCGCAAGTAACCGATCTGGTACATCTGGCACCAAATCGCCATCGACTATAGGACCGTATCCGATTAACGGGCCCAGCCAACCAGAAGACGGTACATTAAACAACAGATCTCGATTGGCGGCTGCAGTGGCGTCCGTTGGCAAACCGCGAAGACATGAAATGTCAGAACAATTGGTCGCATTTAGAAACAGATGGTATATACCCGTCATGTCTGCTGATCGATTGACATGGGGTCGATATCCGGGAGATGTCAAGATGGCCTTTCAGGTCAGAATGCTCCCACATTCATCGTCGTGTACACATTCTCACCTGATTGAATGGAACCGTACCGTTTCCCCCTCGAAGAGTGAGTAAATGACTGGCCATCCCCGCCCCGGCACTTTCACCAATGACTGTGATGCGATCCGGGTCTCCGCCAAAGTAGCTGATGTAGTTTTGGGTCCACTGCAGAGCGACCAGAGCATCCCAGAGGCCTGCGTTAGGAGTCATATCCACCCCTTCTGAGGACATCCACCCCAGAGCACCAAGTCTATAGTTGGAGCTCACCACAATGAATTTTTCATCAGGGGCCATGTCTTCGAAGAGCGCAGCTGGGTTACCTGCCCAGTCATTGCTACTACCGAAGACATACTAGGACAAGTCAGTTGAATGGTAGAGCAAAGTGGAGATATACCTACACCTCCACCGTACAACCAGTGGACGACGGGTACATTGCCCCCTTCTATACCCTCGGGAACTTTGACGGTGAGAAAGAGACAGTCTTCACTGCCCCATGACACACCTTCCAAACCCGGTGCGATAGCCAGATATGGTGGAATGGAATTCAGACAATCTGTAGCATTACGCGGATAGCTTCCATTCTGGATACCGGCGGATGTTGGAGGAGGCGTCTGAGGAGCTCGGAATCGCAGGTCGCCGACAGGAGGTTGGGCGAATCTGATGTTTGCATATGTCGCATACGATATATTGTGAAGAGCGGTCTGGTTCGTTTGGGTAGGTGCATGTCTTGCATAGCCCTGCAGGTAGTCAGTATGAAATGTGCCGAACAAATTTACAATCCAAAAGCCCACAAGATCAATGACTGGGAAGCTTGTACAGCTTTGAGCTGCAACGCCCCCAATAAGGAAGAGCGAGTACGCAACAGCCCTCATAGTGGTTTTCATGGTGTAGAGGAAATGAGAAGTGCTCTACGACTTGAGCTCTAACCAAGCAGAACATTGACATTCTTTTATATATTTCGTAGCTTTTGCTAAGTTTAGAGCTGGTCGTAGAAGTCGGAAACTAGCTTGTGTGCCTTACTGCTGGTCTAGGACCTTCAATAAAGCCCGTGTCAGCCATACGACCTGTCGTATTTCTTTTACTTCAATACGGCCAATTCTAGAATGGATCGGCAAATGCAGAGAGAAGATCATCCAAAGTTGATCCAATAGAAATACTGGTAGCATGGGCGAGAAATTCGAGAAGCGAGTAGATCTGTGCCATCTCTTCCGCGTCCTGTTCTGCCGTCACGGTTATGGAGATCATCTGCGAGATGTCCTGGCAAAGCTTTGGGGAATATACGCAATAATCAGGCAACCGGCTTTTTTAGAAGAGGAAAGAACACCCGCAGATTGAGGTCAGGTGATGTCACATGATTAGTTACGTGATCAACCTCCTTTCAGTCCACAGCCTTGACTCCTTGAGGGTCAGAAGTGCCACTACACTTCTTGACCTAATGGTGTGTGTGCTACTTCAAGATTGCATCTTGATGTCGGTATCTGTGCTGCCCAACATCAATGATGTCATCAATTCGACGCATCCTTCGTTGTCATCAAGAAGCCCTTCTCTCGTGTTTTGGGCCCAGCTCTCTTCGCATATACCAGTTTTGACCTCGGGATCCTTCGAGCTAACCCCCGAATCGACAAGTTCTTGAGGACAGTCATTCAGAACGGCTAACTTTAAATGTTCCATACTTGCCCACGCCAGCAGGATCTTTGTAATGTTGGCGTGGAGATGGTCGCAAATCTGTTCGCCATTCCCTCGACTCCGAGTCTGTCGGCGATGATGTATGCGTCAATGCAGTTCCTCACAGCTTCCTCAAGCTCTGAATTGTCAGGGTATGTCATGGGGGCGGCCCCTAACATTAAGACCAACATGCCATCCCGTTCTCATGTCCCCTCAAAGCTGTCATTTAGATCATTACCCCAGCTCCGCGTCCTCACATCATTACGATTCCCCAATGAGGTACTCTAACAGAAAGGCTGGTGCCCATGTTGATTGCAAGCAGTCGTTAAGTATATAACAGCTAAAGCAGAATGCCTGTTGATGTTTTCAAGCACATCTGCACTGTCCGACAACATTGACAATTGAAATGCAACATGGCCAACATACCGTTCCCTTCTCTCACGCTAACGTGGCATACGAAGCCTTATCCGGCTATCGAACCAACCGGGCTCGAACTGCCTCCAAAAAAGGGGAGTCATCGTTATCACTAGAGGAGGCTCAGGCATCGGGGCTACTATAGCAACAGCATTCGCTATAACTGGCGCTTTGAAGGTTGCCTTCATTGGATGTACGTCTGCCACGCTTAACCGGACGAAAGGGAACATTGAAGCAGTAACCAAGTGGGCAGGGTATTGATCACTTCAGCAGACATTTTCAACAAGCAGTCCATCGTGGTAGCATTCGATCAGATCGACAGGACCTTTGGCGAGATTGGTATCTTCGTCAACAATGCAGGGTACATGAGCAGTCCAGTTCCTGTCGCCACGGTAGATGGCGAAGGATGGTGGTCTGCATACAAGATCAACATGCTGGGAACATTGCACTCTGTCTAGGCATTTCCGCCCAAATCCAGCTCAGGCGCTTTCCTCCTCAATTGCTCCTCTGGAATTGTGCATTTACCACTAATCCTAGGCCTCTCGGGCTATAAGACGTCCAATCTGGCTGGAACGAAGCTGCCAGGCTATGTGGTGATGGAGAACAAATGGCTGGAGCTTGTGTGCCTCCAGCCTAAACAACATGAGTGGTTTGACCGCAATGGACAACGATAAGATCTTCCCACGTCACCTTGTCCCTCAGCGCTCGGTGGGGAATTAAAGACTAATGGGGTCATTCCCAGTTGCCTTGGTTGGCTGGTTTTCAGTCTTGCTTGCATCTTCGGAAGCCAAGCTGCTTGACCGGAAATTCACCTATGCAAACTGGGATGTTGACGAGTTGAAAGGTTTAGCTGGACAAATCAGTCCCCGACCATCTGATTCCAGGCTTCCGGCTGCTGACATATCCGCATTTGGAGCATAGACCGGCTTTATCCCCATACAGGTCACTATTCAGAACGATGTAAAGCCGAAGTTGACGCCGGTAGCAAGAATAGAATATCTTCTCGATGATAATCAGGCATCTTCCGTGTAAAAGAGTCCATGTCATGCTGGTAGACTCGGAGGTTGAATAAACGAGTCACCGATCCTGTTGGTGGAATTGCTCCGAATCCAATTACATCAGAGCGGAGATCTATACGAGGCTGGTAAAAAGGACAAGGCTGAAAGAAAGGGAGCAACAGAATTGACGAGATACCCTGACAATATTTGGCTGGCGTTCATTTAGAAAAACGCAACGAGACAGAAGTTTCTATCCAACCCCACGCCAATTGTTATGTACATTCTCTGAGGAGGAAAACCCTCCTTTATCCCCCACCAAGCTCAACACGATCAGTTCTGACTCCGTCTTTAGTGCTCGATTTCCCGCGTGTCATTAGCCCTAGTGTCCATCGTAAAAGCAAATTGCAATTTTGTTCCCGAGATACAAGCCATGCCAGAACTTTTTGTCCATCAATATCAAGCATGAGCACAAACCATCATCGACCCAGATCCACCAATCAGCGGTGGTAAGAAATCGCGCTAGTCCATGACTCCCTTGAGCGTACTATGCCGCTCCGCACCTAACTCCATGTTCATTCACCTCGCTATCAAGTAGACTCTTTGGGTAATTAATACGCCGCAGTAACATCATCACCGCTGTCGATCTGATTGGGACTGCCTCTGAACCGGGTTCTCCTGATTGCATTCAAATCACCCTTGGATCCACCTGATCCTGTAAGAGGTCTGGGTCCAGAGGGTTTTCGCGTCTGACTTGGCGGTGATCTTAAAGCTGCCACTGGAGACTGCCATGGATTGTTAGAATGTCTAAATTAGGGAGGATCATAATTCACACATACCCTGTCGACAGCTGGACTCCCAGCCCTGGCCGCAGCCACCTGATCAACATAGGTCTGCTGTCTGTTCGATGGGGGAGGACTCATCAGGACCTTAGGTGGACGCTGTGGCACCAAGGGCTCATCATTTAATATCTTGGGTGGGCGGGGTGGTCCCTGGGAGTGTCCAGATCGAACACTCCTATTGTCATGATGCATACCTTGTTCTGCAGAGTATGCCGCATCGGAGATCGGGCTGAGATGTCCTCCGTACGGGTTCATGACAGGGTTGGTATTTTGCAGACCCGAATGCGTTTCCCATTGCGACGAGGATTGTGAAGTTGGAGAAATCTGATCATTGTAGTTCTGTGCTTCGGATTCCAGTCGAGATTGGTACCGGCCACTGGGTCCTTGTCGAGGTTGAGGATGTTGGAGATTGATGCTGTTTCGGTGAGCCTGATATTTGGGATTATCAGATACTTGACTTGGAATTAAGGGCGAAGGTGGTCGGTTCTCTTCATCGCCATATTCGTCTTGTTGGAAGGACGTATGTGAGCGAATGCGGTCGTCGCCTTGCGGGTCATGCTCAAAATCATAGTCCCCAAGATTGGATCCCGAACGAGACATCTCCGAATAGGGTCGGGTCCGTTGTCCACTTGTTCGGAAATTGTCGGCGGAAGACGCTGTAGTCTTAGACCATCGGGACACCATCTTGGGAATAAAAGATGATGCAAAAGATTTGTGCTTCCGCCCAGACCCATCACCCGCCGAAAGATGAGGAGTATTTTCGTTGCTAGGCGATCCCGTGTTCTGATCATGCATTCGAGGAGGAGTATTCAATGGTACAGAGCTACGTCCCAGGTCTCGGCTCCCATCGTTCCTCGGCGGCGTGGCTAGCGGCGGATGAACCCCCGCTTGAATGTTTCCAGCAGTGGGCCCTCCCAGATGATTGTCATAGCCATCGTATTCTTCGTCGCCTTCCATCACCGTGCTGACCCGATTGCCGGAATCCCGGTGTAGACCGTAGTTCCGATAATCTGCCTGACGGGAAGAATTATTTGAGAAGAATCCAGACCGATCACCCGTCGATGAGGTTCCGGCTTGGCCTTCTGGCTCATAGCCAGCGTCTGTTGGAGCACGGGCATTGTCAGCGGAAGTTAAGCTGGTTGATCTTGGTTGTTCCTTGTTGACAGTTGTAGACTGTATGGCCCGTAGACTTTCCACTTCATCGAGAAGTCGCATCAGCATCGCTTCAATGTTCTGCAGTTCTTGCGAATTCTTAGCTCCAAGTCCTCGAAGCGCTCGTTGGAAGACATTGCGACGCTTTGAAGGTAAGTCTTCCTCAGAAGTGGCTGACCGTGTAGGACGAGCCGGGGCTATGGGCTGCGGTCTGGGTCCTCCCACAATTTTCTGTGTTCTCTCATGCTGTTTGTCTGCAGTGTCCATGATAATCTCATCTTGCTCCGCGATGAACTTCTTCATATCCTCAAATGAATTGCGCATCTCTGCAGCACTGCGAACCAGCGTCACCAATATTTCAGTATCTCTCGCATTTCGCTGTGCGTCACGAACAGTAAGATGGTCCATGAGTGCCACAATATCTTTTGATTGTATGTGATCGCGGCCTCGGCCAGTAGCACTATCATACATGGGTGACATGCCATGTGAAAGCCCACTGACATATTGGTCTCGCTGAGTCATGAAAGGATCTTCGGCAAGTGTGGGGTCGTTAAGTGGTATCTCTGGAGTGAAGCCATCATTTGGCACCCCCGGGCCTTGAGAGTACAACCCGGGAGATCGTGCATTAGCACCTGTTTCATAACCTTCATCTTTGCCTCCCGGTGGTGTTGCCAAGGGTTGCGCCTTCATGTACAAATCTCGTTTGGGGTCCAATTCGTGGTCACGATGGATTGATAAGGCTTCGGGGATGAGATCAGCGCTGGCAGAGCCTATATCACGACTCACAGGTGGAAGAACAAGATCGGCTCGCGAACGCGGTGGTGTTGGGTCGTATGGCCAATGGTCTGTATTGCCGTGTGCTAGTCCACCAATCGGCCCGCGAATTATGGATGGATTTGTCGTAATCTCTGAATCAGGAGAACGCTCTACCTGGCCACTAGCCGGATCACCAGGAGGAAGTTGCGCCGAGTGAATAGACTTGGCAGATCTTTCATCGAAATGCTCAGCTGAACGAGCCGGACTTTGCGGTGGAGACACGGCGCGCATCACTCCAGCACCTGCAAGACCCCGTTCGGGTTGGGAATGATTTGATATCTGGTGCTTGAGTGGGCTGCCACTGTGTCTCGACTCATATTCACGTTGAGATAAGTGAGGGCTTTGCACGTCGTGAGCACCAAGGGAGTCTGTTTGGCTGTGGCGCGGTGAAGTCGTGTTGTCAACGTCAACGTCGACGACAGATGGGTCACAAAGTGAAGCAACCGCGGACTCGACGCCGGTGGGTGAATGAATATACTCTGCAGTGGCTCCTAGTCCTCTAGCCACCTGTTGCCCAGCAGTGACTTTGTCAATGTATGGAGAGTCACGATAGCTTTCGTTCTCCAAATGCTGCTCGTCGAAAACAGCTTGCGGGTCCATCTGGCGTGGTGTACTGTCGAGAGAATCTTCGTGCTGCGCCATGATCTCACTGCGGTTTTCCAAACTGATTCCTTGCGGTCGCCTCGATCGAGCTAGATCAGTGCTTGGTGCGGATGATAGGGATGAAATCGAGATCTGGTCATCCATCTGTTGTCGTTTCTTCAGGGAATCCATGGACTCCGAGCTCCGTGGGTGCATCAAGGAATTACGATTGGGCTCCGTTGTTGCATAACTGGCAACACTCTGAATTGGACTCAGGCCCCGCCTGATAGGGTGTTGCTGGTGAAGATTTCTTTCATACGCCCGAGCTCGTTCTGGATCTGTCAGTGCCGCAAATCCATGAGTAGCAAAATCAAGTTCTTCATCCTCGTGTGGCTCATTGGCATCGCCCTCTTCGAGGACTTCTTTCCTGGCTGATGCTAGATCATGCGCCGAAAGGTCGTGTTCAGAAAAATTGCCGTGATGTGTCCCAAGGCCCCGTTTTAAGTCAAAAGAACCTCGTGTTGGTGTTTGCGTCGTTGGCGACGGAAGTTCGAGAGGAGATCCACGTATCACTTCACGCACCTCGCGTTGGGTCGGTGTCGTAGCGCCTCCATCATTAGAGGACTGAAGCGAGCTTCGGGTAAGGTCTGTGCCGATTTCACTGACGAATGGCATGGGGGGTATCTGGTGTTTCTGAAATGCATCCTCTTTCTCTGCAACGCTCGTACTTTGACTGCTACGGCTCTTACTCTTTCTTCTGCGATGCTCTGAATACTCAAGACTTGAGCCCGACTCATGCGATTTCAGTGCTGCAGCCGTCAGAGCTGCGCCGCCAAGTGCCCCTGCTCGGGTACGATGCCGTTTGGAGGGCTTCCTTGACTTCTTTTCCTCACCCCGAATGCTACCGCTCTCAATCGACTCGGATTGGTCGTAACTTTGTTCGGAGGGCGAGTCGTAATCTGTTTTGTGGCGTCTGTGGCGACGAGACGAGCCTGAAGGCATACCGGAATCGGATTCCCGGCTTACTCGACGCTTCGATTTGCTCCCTGACGACTTGCGATGTGTTCTCTCTTCCCGTGAGATAGTACTGGAAGATGTGTCGGAAGGGTTGCTCAGTTTGTCATATCGGGAACGGTGCGAATGTCGTTGGTCTCTTCTTATTTCGCTCAGTTCGGGGAGAATCAGACGTCGTATTGCGTCTTCAACTGTTTGTAATAATTTCGGGTTGTTGGTGATCGAGACATTCGAACCTCCTGAGCGCACCGAACGTTGATCTGTGGCTCGCGGATCGGCTGCGGACAAGTGAGAACCACTAACAAGACTAGAGCCAGTGGCACTGGGGACGGAGTTGTCTTCTACGTTCTTGGTGACGCGGATTCGTGGTTCGGGGTGTACTGATGCAACTTCCCTACTGACACTGTGCCTGCTGGAGTGTCGCTTTCCACTGCTGGAACGTCGTGGTTTGTTGCTCAATTTCTCTATGACCTTTTGTGTGATTCTCTCGTTGCTCAAATTGCGATCATTGGCAATAACAGGAGGCTTCAATGTGTCTTCTTCTGTAGATATACCTCTGGTAAGACTTCCGCTTTGAGTAGATGGCGGCATGATAACTGGTTGGCTTGGCCCTAATGAGCTCTCCGGCGGCATAGAAGAGATATCTGATTCGGGGATGATATATCTTGCTTCTGGAGAAGGGCTCCGACCGGATAAATCGCTGGCCTCGCTCTGTAAGACTTCGATCTCGACAGGGGCGGAAGGCCCGAGACCGTCAGCAGAATCCAATGAACTAATGCTGCCTTCAATAACGTTCTGTGCGAGGGTTTCGTTGCCTCCGAGAGCAATGCGGTGACTCTGAGAAGGGCGTTTCGCAGACTTGGATTCCGTGACAAGTATGTGACCTTCAGCTTTCTCCTTGTTCTTTTTTGAATGCGAGGGCGTGTATCGTACACGTAGACTTGGACGTCTTCGTCCGGAATCTGATCCTTTACTTCCTTCGAAATATTCAATGAGAAGTGAAGTTTGGGATTGTTGACCAGACTTTGTGAGCTTGCCTACGTTCTTGCGCTTGTGGGCGGTAGTGATGGTGATTGGGCTCCCGTCGTCAGGAATGGTTTCAGAGGTTTTGTCAGACCTGTCGGTTCTTCGAGATAAATCTGTCCCAACGTCGGTACCAAGTCCAGTGTCGTCTGCAGATTCCAGTAACGAGTCGGTAGGTGCAGGCAGAATGGGGCGTTGACTCGAAAGGCCCATTCTGAGGCGACTTCAGCCCTCCCAATTCATGGAGCACATACGCTTATTGTGTCGCGCATGAACTCTTGTCTGTTATGATATTTACTCTTTTGTACAGTACTTCGGAGAAGTCATGGCCATTGGGCTGCGGAGAGGGCAGGACTTTTTAATTTTTCGCAGGTGGTAAACAAAGGTGGCGGAACTGTCTGAGCAGGTTCCAACAAGTATTGAGATTTGGGTGCGTCGTGAGATCGAGGTACTAGAAACGGCTTTCGCGCTGTGAAAAGAGTCGCAGAGTGAACTATGCGGTCCGTGATCGAGGTGATGGCACCGAAGAACTGTGAGGCTGGGAGGGTGTCGGGAGGAGGATGGTTCGAGCAGGGCAGCACCCGAACCAGGTGATTGAGATTTAAGACGAAGAGAGAATTCGACAGACTACGCTCGATGGTATCTCTGGCGAGGAATAACAAAAGATCTGAAGCAAACACGAATACAAGTCGGAAAAAGGAAAAGGCGAAGCGAGGCGGTCGGGCTGTATGCGGTACGTAGGTGTCGACAAGTTTAGTGGTTGAGATAGCCATAGGGGGAGGGCACCGCAAAAACCTGCAAACCGGCAAACACGAGTGGCCGGACTTTTCCTTCTCCCTGGCCTTCATTCTCCTCCCGCCTTACGGGCCACGCTAAATCGTCCATCAATGAACACCTGTATCTCATTCACTGGATTCACTTTCACCTAATGCATGAGCCTCACCGGCGTTAATTTATGGTTATCGTTAAGACAGCGGACGGCCCAAGCTCTAGTTCCAGCTTGAACTATGCACACATACGCACAGATCTATACAACATTCGCTTCTCGACCCAAAATAGCCAGGCCGGACTTTTGATCGCTGCCAGGAAGATCAGGTTTTAGTCCCAAGATTTACAAGGCTCTGCTGCCCCTACACTCCCTTGCGCTCTTCACTGACCCGTCGGCTTTTTGCCTTGCAGATGCATATATGCGAAGTCACCTGCTGAGAATACAAGCGGACTATGCCCTCATTCGCCCAAGCCGCAACCGAGCCATCCCAGCCATCCTGTCCCATTGACTTCCTCGCTGCTGTTGACCGCCTCGATTTTCGTGCCCAACGCCCAAGGAATCCTGATGCGATTAAGATCCATATTGGGGAACACTAGCGTATCCGAATAAACGGTTGGCTGGACAAATGGCCTCTGGCTACGGGCCACCAAGCCCTTTGCCGCCGTCCGCGTACATTTATCTCCACCACTAGAAAGGCCTGATAGGGGGCTGTCAAAAGTTGAAACTTGACTCTCATCCGCAAATCCGATGTCAGAAGATACCCCAGAAGCTCCGTGACAAACAGTTTTCGCGACTCCCTCATTCCATTCATCCCTCCCCTCTCGTTTACAGGTGACGCTGCATGTACGCTTGCCAACACATCAGCTTGTAGCAGCGAATCGCCTGCACACATCTTCGGGTTGATTGTGTCACTAGATGTTATACGCATAATAACATGTACGGCAGTACTCCGTATACCACACAACATACTTTGTCACTCTGGACGCAAATTTCTTCGTCGTCTCGCCACGTGCTCTAAAAGCGCATGCTCGGACGCATTACACACTCGGGCCTCATACTGATCTCTATCCTGTCACATCAGTCAAAAGATCCGTGCATCGACTCCGCGTGGCCACTTTGACCTCGAGTATCAGGATGTCAATGCACAAAATTCCACCTTCAAACGGCCTCTCTATTTGTTTTCTACAAAACCTCTCTCTAAAATGTCTATGAGTTCATCAAGCCTCCTTATACTGAGGCTAGTATATTCATGCTTCGCTAACTCCTCGTTCTCGTCATTAGCCAACAGTACAGTGGCGGCACCGGCCCTGTGGCCAGCGGCCATATCGTCTATACTATCTCCCACCATTATCAAGCCTGACCCGAGGTACCGCTTGGCTAATTCCAATGGATCAAGCCGTGTCGATTTGGCAGTCGAGTTCAGATTCTCCAGACCGCCGTGGATTTCCCTGTCCAAACCCCAAGCTTGAGCTATCATCCAAAGTCCCTCCGGGCTAGGTTTTGGCTTCACCCCCCCTGTCTCACGCGTAATGATCGGCTCAAACTTTTCACCGGGCAGGTGATTGCTCAACAGATGATGCACGGGTGCGGGGAAATTCCTCGTGCATAGAGCTTTCCGGACACCACGGCGGGTAAGGTGAGCCATGAGTTCCTGAAGGCCTGGTTGAGGACGTTGAGATGTCATGGCACGTCGTTCGATGGCTTGGATTTTGGCGACCGCCCGTGCTTGAGGTGATGAAGGCGTGGGATCTGCAATGAAGGTGCTGTGGGAGAGAATTTCCTCCGAGGGTGGTTCGGAGGAGTTGATGGTAGAATGTGGTCCTCCATTCTGCTCCGTGTTGGAGGAGGCAGCGTCGGGCTCATTTGAGAGAGATCGTATGTGGTCGAGGATATCGACTGACCTGGGAATGCCCAGAGCAGCACGCATTTCTTGGAACATGTAGTTCTGTGGAAGACTGGAGAATAGGAGAGAAGTTAGCTCCTAGTCCAAAGGAAGAGAATACATGTTCCCCAGAAGGCCTGTGGACGTGCTATTCCGAAATTACTTTGTATTTCTTCCTTCATAGCTTACCATAGAGTTCCGTCCATGTCGAAAATGACTCCCTTCAGCTTCGGCAAATCTTGACCATGTTGCGCGGAGGGATCAAGTGGCGCAAAACACCGAGGTTTTCGTCCTCCGTTCCCTTTCGTTGGTCCTGCCATGGAGTGTACCGTCGATATGCTTCGTAACGAGAATGAATTTAAGAGTAGCAATTGCGGTCGACAAAGGACGAGGAATTGATATTGACGATCTATGCACGTTGGACTTTGGAGATCTGAGAGTAGGGGTATTGACGAAACTGGTAAGCTCCTTGTGGACAGCGCTCGCAGATTTGGAAGAGCGAGAAGATTTCTTTGCTTCAGTGTTGGTGTCCAGAGCGCCCTTCGCATTGTATATTATCGAGGGACTGGGCAAAAAGATTACTTCTATTTTCGAGAGGGAACGCAAAGGGACATTCCGATGACGTCAACGCCGTCGACGAAGGAAGCCCAATTTTTCTCAAAAGACCCCCGAAGCGCCCACGCCCATGCAAGTGATGCTGTGCCCTGGGGTATATATGCTAGTAATACAATTGGCCATATCCTCATCGAATGCATAAAACATCGCAAACATAATAGCAAAAGTCCATGCCGCCTCTCATCAGCATTCGGGGCTCCATCGACGCCCTAGGAACGACGCCAGGTATATCGAGACCCAAGGACAGGAGAGTCGTTTTCTGCGTGATAGACTGACTACACAGCTTCAGCAGGAGCATTGTTTTCTTTCTACTTCTTCAAATGCTTCTTGGGCTTCCCTTTCGGCACGTTCTTCTTCGTCTTCCACAGGCGCCGTGAAGAATTCATGTTGTAACGCTTCCTTCGCACTCCACCGTTTTCCAGCATCAAGTTCAAGGAGCCCCCGGAGAAATGAAACTGCTTGAGCCTCCCCAGCTCGGAGTGAATCGTGTTCTTTCTCCCGACAGCTGGCCCAAATGACGATTTTTTCGAGTGTAAATCCCCGCTCCCCAATGGTCTCAATATTTGTTTCAAACAATTGACCATGCATCGCTGCGACGGCCTGCATCTTCTTCCTGCCAAAGATTGAAGCCATTTCAATCATGGCATCAACATCGTCGGCGCTGTTAAAAAAGGGGAAACGTCGTGCAAGAAGCGTTAGAAGAATGACCCCGGCCGACCAAATATCGATTTTGGTTGTCTGAGAAGTACATTTCAATAGGACTTCTGGCGCTCGGAAACCACGAGTCCCTGCTCTGTTTGCTCTGCGTGAAGGCCGGCTATCGTTTTTCGGATAGCCCGTGGATATAAGATCTGCTTGAGACTGGAGCACCTGCACTGCAAACGAATTAAGGAATTTCTCTTTTCGTCTCTCTTTCGATTCCGTACAAAGGCAAGGCTGCCAGTCTGTACCTTGTCGCTCAGCCAGGCCAAAATCAACCAAAACCCCTTGTCTCTTGGAATGATCGTAGAGAAAATTGGTCGGTTTGATGTCGCGATGCAAAATACCGGCTTTGTGAACATGCCACAGAGCGTTGAAAAGGCTTCTGAAGTAATGCCGCATGTCATTGACCAGAAAATCTCGATAGTAGAGTCGGAAATCCAAGTGCCTGAAATATGGCAAAACGGCAACCACTTGGTCGAGGTGTCGGAAAGCCGTTAACAACGGACATATATAGGGCGAATCTCGCAGTTCGTGCAGCAGTTCCAACTCATTCATAATTCGGTGAGGCGATGAGGTCACGTAAATCTTCTTCAACGCAACAATCAGTGGCTTCCGTCGAGCTCTTGTAGCCATGCCTGTAGCGGTGTTCGTTTTCCTCCTCTTCGAAGGAGGCATATCTAGATTGGATTCATCCGTAGAATCGTCTTTCGCCCGGCCCAGCTCGTTGTCCTCAGGGAGTTGTTCAGCTTTGTACACGGTGGAAAATGTGCCTTCAGAGAGTGAGCATCCACCTGGTACACGAGTGGAGAAGAGGACACCAACCTTCACCAATGCGGTTGATCAATCTATATTTCTGAGAAATCCCCTTGAAGCTCTCCTCCAATTTGCGCATGTCTTCCATGACACTCTCATCTATCTCGTCGTCGCTCTCTTCAGAGTCTTCCGACAACGAACCGTCGACTGACCCTTCCTCTTCTGGGCGTAGATGCTCCATCTCTGCAGCAGTTATAAGCTCGGGTCGACGGTTTCCATGAAGACCCGCGTCCTCGTCCTCGAGTATGGCAATGGTAGGATGTCCCATGTTGTGTCTCCGCCTCTTGCCCAGGCTGGTTGCAGATTTCCCTGCCGAGGGCCGCTCTCGCTCTGCTCCTCCCGGGCAACGCGCTGCTGGTCTGTGAGGCTCGATCGCGTCTGACTCCCTCAACAGGACGTCATACTCGTATCGTAGGATCGAGCTGGTCGAGGGTCTTGTTTGGCTGCGAATCCCGCCTGCCTGGGACGCAGACCTTTGAAAACGCCTTTGGCAGTGTTTGCCAATTTTCATGGCTCTGAGCTGGACCTCCCGCGTGTTTGGTGTTTGGATAGCTGTGTGGGGCAGCGCCGGCCTGATTGCCTGGGAAATACAAGTGCTAAGTTAGTCCGTCAACAATCCACTTCGCGATCAGCCCCAATAACCACGCGAGCGCGATCGAGGCTACAACCAAGCCGACGATTGTCTGCGTTGTCGTCAATTGTTTGAACATCGTCAATGGTTTCTTGAACTCGTCGCGACTTGTTGATCGGCGGACAGGATACTGTCTGCGCAATTGCACGACTTTGAAGACGACCGAATTCTCACTTTTTCACCTGGTCGTCATCAAATAAATCCCCCGTTCTGACACCGTTGAACCTCACGCCATTGTAAAAAGCTGGGTCAACATGGACGATCAGGTCGAATTCGATATCAATGAGGCCCTCAAGCTATATCTCAGTGATGCGACTACTATCCCTACCCCAGAAGCGAGTCCGGAACTGCTCGATTGCGACAATGACCCAGAGGCTCTCACAACTTCCCTCGTTAACGAAGTGTTGGACCCAGTGGTGGATCTGGTCGCAGAAAACCCTGAAGGATTGATGAGAGGTTCAACCTTTGATACCATACAGTTTTTGCTGAAGTGCGCTCCCGTTTCTGCTTTGTCCGCCGCAAGACACTTCGGGGAATCCCATGCTGAATCATTTCGTTTATCTAGGCGATCCTCGGGGCTCTCTACTCAATCCCTGAGTAAGATTCTACATCTGATCGTTTCAGGCCTCTCGTCTGCAACCGACATTGCAAACCATGACATCGAGAACGATGAACAGGAAACCCTAGCACAACACAAACAAGTCCTCGAGATGTATGCATTTCTCCTCCAATGGTCCATATCTGCCGTTGAAATGAAAGCGCTCGAAAAGTCAACTACGGCTCCAGCTCGAAGAGGTGGGAAAGGGGCAAAAGCCAAAGCGGCAGCCAAAGACGATGCTTGGGATTCTTCCGGTCAGATACAGAGCGCCATGGACGTTATGTGCAGGGTAATGAAGCTCAAGCTGAACCGAATCTTCCAAACAACCTCTGACCGGGACACGTTTGTCAATCTATTCACCAGATCTGTGTACCTGGTTATGGAGAGTGAGGCGAGGGTCAAGATCGCGGCAGTACGAATGTTCTGCTTCAAGGTCCTTTGCATCGCGATTAAGCATCACGGACATGCGCTCGGAGCTCAGACATCTATCGTTCAGAATCTCACGTATTTTGAGCATTTGTCGGAGCCGATGGCTGAGTTCCTTCACATCCTGTCGGAGCAGTATGATTACCACCAACTGGCAGCCGAGATCCTAAGAGAATTGGCATCCAAAGAATTCAGTCAAAGTGACACCAAAGGACCCAAATCGGTGTCGACTTTCATCGTCAAACTCTCCGAACTTGAGCCCAGGCTTGTTATCAAGGAGATGGGTCTTCTTGCGAAATTCCTGGACGGCGAATCACATACACTGAGATGTGCCGTGATCGAGGTTTGTGGAAACCTTCTTGCCGACTTAAGCAGACAAGAAGAAGAAAACGAGACGACCAAAATTCAGATCAATGCTTTTTTCGACACTCTAGAACAACGGTTCCTCGACACAGCGCCGTTTTGCAGAGTTCGGGCAATCCAAGTCTTTACGAAGATATGTGACTTGGAGCAGAAGTTTCCGAAACGACGGCAACATGCCGCCGAACTTGCGACGCAGAGTCTTCGAGACAAGAGTAGCAATGTACGGCGAAATGCAATCAAGCTGCTCAAGAAATTGGTTTCGTCTCATCCTTTTGGTTTGATGCATGGTGGACAACTGGCTCACAAGGAATGGACTGAGAGATTGGAAGCAGTGGAGTCTCAATTGGATGCCCTGAAGCCTTCGCCGGACTCGCCTGGTCTGGCGCAAACAGCCAGCGGGGAGGTGAGAGTGGACCAAGAATTGCTGGACAATCCAACTCAGGTGGAAGAAGACCCCCAAGAGATGTCGGAGGAAGAGAAGATTGCTGCTGCGAAGAAAGCCCGGGAGGAAGCCGCAACATCCGAAGTCTTGGGCAAACTCCAACTGACCCGCAAATACTACCTCGAAGCACTGAGATTTATCGAAGTGGTGCATGAGGCTTCAGAGGTTGCAGTTCAATTGCTGTCTTCACCTAACAAGACCGAGGTGATTGACGTGATGGATTTTTTTGTCACCATTGACGCCTTCAAAGTCGAGACGGCTCGAAAAGGCATCCGACGTATGCTCCGATTGATTTGGACCAAAGGCAATAGCGACGAAGGAAAAGGAGTTCAAACTCATTTGATCGAAAACTACAAAGGCTTGTTCTTCGATGCCCCGGAGGCTTTTAGCACCAACGATGCTGCGAATTTTGTTGCCAGAAACATGATCAGCTTAACATTTGGCGCTACTCCTGCTGAGTTGACATCACTTGAACAGCTGTTGAGTACCATGTTCAAAGCTGGTCATATTTCGGAATTGGTGGTGGCGAAGTTGTGGCAGGTGTACGGGGTTAACAAGGAAATTTCCAAAGCCCAAAGAAGAGGAGCTATTATTGTACTGGGAATGATAGCTCTTGCTAACCCTGAAGTCGTCGTTAAGGAGATGGATACCATGCTACGAGTGGGATTGGGCCAACTTGGGAGAGCCGATTTTGTCCTCGCCAAATTCACCTGCGTCGCTCTTCATCGCATGACACCGACTGCAAAGAAGGCGCAAGAGAAGACTGCTTCAGCAGGGTTGTCGAAGATGTCCAGCAATCATGAGGTGTTGCGAATGCTCGCGTCCATCCTCTTGACCACCTCAACAAGCAAAGACTGGTACGGGATGGCTGAACAAGCCATAAGCGCCATTTATGCTCTGTCAGACCATCCAGATGTCTTATGTTCCGAAGTTCTCAGGCAAAAGACTCGGCTGGTCTTTCAGCAGACTAAGGACCTGTCATCGTTATCAAGACCGTCATCACCAGAAGCAGATGCGATGGAGGTCGACGGTGAAGAAGGAGAAACTCGGAATCCAGAAGCAGAGCTACCAAATTCCGGGCAGCCACAAGAAACACGAGGAAAGCCATCCATTGCTCTTTCACAACTCTTATTCACCGTGGGCCACATTGCCATTAAGCAGATTGTTCATCTCGAACTGTGTGAGCTCGATTTCAAGCGACGGAAACAAGATCGGGAAAAGAACAAGGAGATTGCCAATCCCTCACCAGAGAAGTCAATAGGACCTACCCCAGCTCGAAGAAAGAAGACGGCAGCGGAAGAAGTCCTGGCGGAGAAGCAGAAAGAAGAAGAAAAAGATGAACTTGACCTCATCGGCGGCACGACTGAAGACGACTTCACCGAAGCCATCGCTCACGTCCGAGAACGAGAGCTCCTGTATGGACCAAATTCTCTGCTGGCGAACTTCGGTCCATTAGTGACTGAAATTTGTGCAAACAATGCGGCATACAAGGATCGGAATCTGCAAGCACAAGCGACATTGTGTTTGGCCAAATTGATGTGTATCAGCAGCGAATACTGCGAAAAGAACTTACCCCTTCTGATCACAATTCTTGAACGGTCGACCGATCCGATAGTCCGTTCCAATGCTGTCATCGCACTAGGTGACATGGCCGTCTGCTTCAACCACCTGATTGATGAAAATACAGATTTCCTGTATCGACGACTGAACGATGCGGACGAAAGTGTCAAACGCACGTGCCTGATGACCTTGACGTTTTTGGTATTGGCCGGACAAGTCAAGGTGAAAGGGCAATTGGGCGAAATGGCCAAGTGCCTTGAAGACGGGGACAAGAAGATTGCTGACCTGGCGCGCATGTTCTTTACTGAACTGGCGACCAAGGACAACGCAGTGTACAATCAGTTTGTCGACATGTTCAGTGTACTCACGCAGGAAGGTCCTCTAGATGGTGGTGTGATGGAAGAGGAAGCCGTCAGGAGGATCCTCAAGTTCCTGTGTGGGTTTATTGAAAAGGTATGTCGGTGTTTGCTCTTACAATTTTATTCACCTTGGGAGTTCAACAATTTGCCGTTTTGCTAGTCGACCAAGCTGATCGTCGGCCATAGGACAAACACGCAAAGAATCTGGCCGAAAAACTTGCGGCGCGATTGGGTCGGTGCGTGAATAAACGACAGTGGGACGACACAGCATATGCGCTGTCGCTATTACAGCATAAGAACGAGGAGATTGCGAAGAAGTTGAGTGAGGGATACCGCGTCGTTGAGACGGAGGCATAATAGACTTGATGACATGGGGACGAATGTTTGACCTGGATCCGATGGAATGCTGTCAGTATTTTAGGAGCAATGTCTTTTGGTGTTGGGTGTCAAGTATCGAGTATGATAGGACGGCTTCCTAGCAATGCATATGAATGCCTCAGGTTCGAAACCTCGAACCAACCAGCTGGTTGTCGAACGGATCCTGGCGGCGATGAGGCCGGAACACGGCCCGGTCTTGCGTCATTTTCAACGCGTGGAAGTCTTTCGCAAGCTGCAGTCCATTCAGGCAAAAGACAGCCCTTGCACACCGGTTCGCTGCCTCCGGCCTAACCGAGCTGTGTTAAAACGTCAACTGCTTATCCGGTCGGGGTTTTTTAGGTATGGTAAATCTTCTCCTGGCAGCCCTTCCCCGCGTTCCTTGCTTGTTTTCCAGCCACTATGATGACATCATCCAAGGCCCAGATTTTGTCTGGACTAAGGAAGCCACAATGGGCAAAAATCAAGGAAATTTCCACAAAGCATATGTTGGGCTTCTTCAGAACACTGCTATATGAAGGAGCCAGATGTCAGCCCTGGTTGCCGAAACGTTCTACTGACTTTCAACAGTGATAAATTCTTGCCTGGTGCCCTGAACGGTATCTTTGCAGTTTCTGCCTTTGGGAATCTCGCATCCATGGGCTGGGTCCGATAGATCATCTGACAGGTCAAAAGGCAAACATTTTCCTATTCTCACCTGATCATCTTTAGCCTCACTGGACCTTCGCCTATTAAATATATGTATCACCCACTCGAGCAATTAAGAGCACAACAGGAATAGATTCGCGATAGTTTGCTCTCTGCAAACTCCAAACCCAACACTCACGTATACAACCACCTCACTTCGCTCGTGACCCTGGTTGAAAATGTGTTTCGGCGGCGACTGCCGCGACGATTCCGTCATCATCCGCCGACACGGCCGGCCACGCTACTATCGAGAATATGTATCCCGACCCGAGGTTGCGACATATAGAAGAGAGACGGTGACCCGGCGCTCTACCTCTGCTCATCGCCCAAACCACTCTCATTCGAGCCACGAGCATTACCACCATAATCCGAGACGCAGCGGGAGCAGGACCAGAGTGGTGACCGAGGAGAGGAGGAGATATCATGGATAGAGGAGAATAAGCAACCATAATCGTATGCGATTATATAACGACGTCAAGAGTCTGCGAGAAATGAGATATCATAGACGGAGTTGGCGGGGCTTGTCTCATATAATTCGATTTTCGATTGTATGTGGACAGTGGCTGGCACATCTTTCTTCTATATCATGAATGTATAATTACTTCTATTCCTCAATACCTAGTCTATCGAATAATTTTTGACTTTCCCCCCCACCAAAAACGCACCCTTGTCTTCATACGTCACTTGGTTCTCATCCATACCCACCTCAGCTTGTTTTTTTCCTGATCTACTCCCACATGCATATCTGAAGGTTTGAAGCTTGTTGAATTCCCTAATCCCAGACCCGCCGTTCCCCCTTCTGACCTTTTGAAACCTGCCTCGATACAGATCCAGTCCAGCATGAATCGTGCCCTTTCCGTCCGGTCCCGCAAGAAGGACGACCACGCCAAAGAAGCCTCAAAACACACCTTCTCTATCTCGACTCTCCGAGGCTATCAGCAAGCTGAGCTCTCCAAGAAGCTCTTTAGGCTAATCAAGACCGAGAACCATGCCATTGGAGCCTACGAGACCGCGGGCCGCGAGCGCCTGTCCATCGCATCCCAGCTGTCCGACTGGGGCGAGTCCACCAACGATGACTCCATTTCGGATATTTCGGACAAGGTCGGGGTCATCCTCTCTGAGATAGGAGAACAAGAGGATCTCTTTGCACAGAACCTCGAGGACTACCGGGCCATTCTGAAGCAGATCAGGAACATCGAGAGCAGCGTGCAGCCAAGCAGAGACCAGAAGACCAAGATCAGCGATGAGATCCAGAAGCTCAAGTACAAGGAGCCCTCCAGCCCCAAAGTCGTCACCCTAGAGCAAGAACTCGTGCGCGCTGAGGCGCAGAATCTGGTTGCTGAAGCCCAGCTCACCAACATTGTAATACAGGAAGGCACACGGGGGCAGCATGATGCTAACAACTACCCTAGACTCGTCGAAAGATCAAAGAAGCATATGATGTGCACTTTGCGGCCACCATCGAGAGAGCCGAGAAACAGATCATTCTGGCCAAACATGGCCGACGCCTTCTGAACTTGCTTGACGACACTCCTGTGGTACCAGGAGACGTGCGCCAGCCTTTCGCCCACGTCAATGAAGCCCGACAGGTCCTCATCGACGCCGAACAGGAATTGCAGGCGTGGCAACCCAACCTCGAACCCATCCAGTCGAACGCAGGCGGGCTTGGGTCAAACTTGGTGCCCATGGCCGACGAGGCCAGTACGCAGACCACATCCGAAATGGTTGCCGTCCCAGAAGTTGCTGCGACCGATCCCCCAGCGGCAGAAGCCAAAGGCACCCACCTGGACTCTGCGACCGCTTAGAAGGTGGAGACATGGAACGCCGGACAACGATGTGAGAGAGCAAGAAAATGACACAAGAAACAAAGTATTCCATATATGATGTGATGTGTCACAGTGATAAGGATGAGTCTCTTGCGTCGTGGCTTTCGGTCGCATGCATGATGTTTACGGTATTTTACGGGTTGATATTGAGGGGGGAGAGTCGAGATGAGGGATCCAAAGAAGGGAGTATAGATGACATTGACGACTGTTGGAACACACCAACTGAGACTCGCTAACATGTAATTTGCCCACCCGGTCCTCGCCACTAAGCGACCTTCGACGCGCAGCCTGAACAGGAATCGGACGTCCGCGTTTTGCATGGGGAGCTACAACTACAATAGGTCCAGAGCCTGTAGCCGACCTTATAAGCGCTGCTCGGTTCGCCATCAATGAGCTTACTAGCATATTCTTCTATTCCAATTCACGTTCTCTGCACGCACCATTTCACTTGCAACACCCCGTTTCACCCACTGTTGGCGATGGGCTTTGATTGGAACTAACCTTCCTGGTTCGGAAGCAGATTCTCCGGTCCTTCGCATCCGTCAATTCTTCACGATTTTACGTCCTCCTCTGTCGTCTCAGATCTTCTGTCTTCAAGACGTATTTCTGGACAATTCATCTGACAACCCCTCGTTAACTTTTCCCCTTTCATCTTCCCAAACGCCCGCCGTCTCGCCTTTTTACCCCATACCCATGCTGTTGAATCCTTTCGATCGTTGTTCCAAGTTTTTTGCTTTTTATTTTTTCCCCCTTCTCTTTTTCGGGTTCTTGCTTACTCTGATCAGCATCAAAGGAGCCGAGCGGTATGCCCTCTTTTATCGCCCTAGCCATACTTGCGCTCGTCCTCTTCCCTATCGTCAACACATACTTCAACTTTCACCGCAACCTGAACCGCGCCAAACGGTCTGGTATTCCATATGTTGTTGTTCCAGTCTACTATCTTAATCGGTGGTGGATGATAACCCATCGGCTGTACCTCCCATTGTTGGCCAAGTTGCCACGCAGATGGACCGGATGGGTAGACTTCTGCGTCCCGGATTTTGATTATCGATGCAGCATTGAAATCTTCCAGCGGGTGGGACATGACACGTTTCTCACTGTTGCCCCGGGCGGTATGATGCTGCACACCTCCGAGCCCGCCGTCATCAACCAGATCACCACGCGGAGGAATGATTTTCCTAAACCTACGGCCATTTACCGCTCACTGGACATCTACGGCAAAAATGTCGTTTCCACCGAGGGCACCTTATGGCGTCAGCACCGGAAAGCGACCAGCCCACCATTCACCGAGAAGAACAATCACCTTGTTTGGGCGGAGAGCATTGACCAAGCTTCCGACATGCTAGCTACCTGGGTCGGCCCGGATGGGAAAGGCGATTTCACCGTTGACCGAGTCATGGACGATACCATGCGCCTCAGCCTGCATGTTATCAGCAGAGCGGGTTTTGGACGGAAGCTGCAGTGGCCTTCTGCAAACGCAAAGGCAGACATTGACGCCAATTATGTCGACAACTCGAAGATCCAGAATCAACGGGACGGCCGGGATCCTGGGCATTCAATGAGCTACACCTACGCCATCCATTGCCTGCTGGACAATATCCTACTACAGTTCCTGATTCCGCGATGGCTCATGGAACGAATCCCTTCCAAGATCTTCAAGAAGGCCAACGAGGCTTACTTCGAATGGGGCAACTACATGAAAGAAGCTGTCGCGTCCAAGAAGGAAAGCCTTGAGGCTGGCGACGAGAGCAAAGACCAGATGGATATCTTGGGTCAGTTGGTCAAAGGCCAGGTTGCTTCGCAAAAGGGCAAAGATGTTCCTCTCACGGATCCTGAAATCCTGGGTAACATGTTTGTGATAATTCTCGCCGGTCACGAGACGGCCGCTAACTCGATTCATTTCTCCCTGGTGTATCTGGCTCTCTTCCCCGAGAGCCAAAGAGCTGTGCAAAGGGATCTCGATCGCATATTCCAAGGTAGGCCGCCCTCTGAGTGGGACTATGATCGTGATTTGCCTGCTCTTTTCGGTGGAATGGTCGGTGCGGTATTGGCGGAAGAATTGCGGCTGGTTCCGCCTGTGATAGGGATACCTAAGTCGACTTGGGGGGTAGAGGATCAACCACTTACGGTGGAAGGCAAGCCTTGTACGGTTCCGAGTGGAACATACGTGATCCTTTCCACGAGCAATGTCCACCGAAACCCGAAATATTGGCCAACGGGCAAACCCACCTTGCCTGGAGGAAAGCCAGTACACCCTTTAGCAAATATTGACAACGACCTGGAGGAGTTCAGACCACAGCGGTGGTTGTTGGATGAAGACGGCGCGATCCAGACCACGTCGGCTACTGGGAAAAAAGATATGCCGAGTGAAGCAGTCACGGCAGATGGCCTGGGAGTCAACGAGGCATCGGATACCTCAGAACGACTGTACCGCCCGCCAAAGGGTTCGTATCTACCTTTCAGCGATGGCTATCGTGCCTGTCTGGGAAGACGATTTGCGCAGGTCGAAGTTCTAGCAACGCTGGCGGTGATCCTGCAAAATTACTCAGTCGAATTGGCGGTGGACCAGTGGGCAAGCGACGAGGAGGTGATTGCCATGGACGAGGATGCTCGCGTCGAAGTGTGGCAAAAAGCAGCAAATCGAGCGAGGGAGATGATGCTCAACGGGCTGAGCGTGATCATCTCGTTGCAGATGAGAAAGGGCCATGTTAGTATGCGGTTCGTGCCCAGAGGAACGGAGAAGTTCATGGACGACGTGGATGAGAAATGGAAGCAGAAGCATCCCGACTTATGTCTGGGGATGAAGGCAGTTCCCGACTGGAGATTCTGGGATTGAATAAAACCAGCAGTGTCGATAGGAATACTTTATGTATGTCTTCATTCGCTTACATTGGATGTCTTCTGGCGGCCTGATGCTCTCGGAGATGGTCGCTGCCAAATAGTTTGCAGAGCTGGGTGCATGTTTCGGTGGCTTCGGTGGCTCGCTCTGAGTGGTTGGAATTCTTTTTTTTTTTTTTTTTCCCCTTTCCTCTTCGTGCGTGGCCCCGTCGTCTGTTTTGACCCTCTATTTTTCTGCTGGGGCATTTTTAGCATTTTTGCCGATTCGGAACAGCTTGTCAACATGATGCGTTTCTTTGGCTAGAAGAAGCCCCGTCGCTCGTAGCTTGCAGCGTGCAGCTTGTAGTTCTTAACAGCTCATCAATGCCTCTCCCATTCTCTCCGTAACAGATAAGGCCTTTTGAGGTCGGCCAGCCCACCGGACACGTGCATCTCCGGTTCTTGTTAGGAGTTTCTCACTGCCCTCTGCTCTTCCAATGCTTGGATCCCCTGATGCCTCATTCGGCCGTTCTGCTGGCGCGTCTCAGAGTTAACGGGGGCTTATAGTGCGCTGGCGTCGACTCTCGCGCAGTTGGGGCGATGTTGGGCACAAAACAGAGCGTCGTCCTACGCAGATTCGCCCAGATTCGCCCAGATAAAAGCGCAGGACCTCCTTTTACTGGGCCAATTCTTCTTCTCATGTCCTCCTCAAGACTCCCCCTTGTTCAAGCTTCCCTCGGGGTCCCTTTCCTTGTGCTTGCTTCCTCCTTCTCTCCTTTTAGGCCTGTATCACTCTATCGCTCACTCAGGAGACTGGAGGTTATCACTGCATGACAACACGCCACCCTTTGCCGCGAGTCAAATCGGGCCCTGTTACATGTTTGTGCCCCCTTCTTTCAACTTGTCAAACCTGCCACATCCCACCCTTAGATCATGAAGAACCGCCCGACCTGCCGCCTCTACCTGTTCTGTCAGTCTTTCTTGTTCTCAGCATCTTCATCTTGCTTTCTTTCATCCAAATTGAGTCTTGCCATCGAATGATGGAGGGTGCCACCCCTCCATCGTCGACCATTCTTGGGTATCAGCATTGTCCACAACTCCTTTCGTAATCTCACTCCCCCAACTATCTCTCTCCGATGACTGATCTGGCCCCTGAGAGCTCCAACCTCGTCTTCTTTACTGTATGTTCGTCTCGGCCCGCGATCAAGGCCGTCGGCGCCGCAGTCATATCCACGGCGTTAGCAAGGCAGCCCGCTCTTCCAAATTGTCCCTTCTTTCTGCAATCACTACTGCATCCCATGGATCGAACGATAGTACGTCTACCACCACCCAAGAAACTTACGCGAGATCCTCCTCGGGCTCAAGCAAACGGCGGAAGTCGTCCAAATCCAAAAAACCTCGAGAGGGTCGGGAAGGACTGGTGCCGTCGGTGAATGGCACTTTAGAGAAGTCAAACAAGGCAGAAAGGATGTCCAGAGAGTCGGTGGATGTCTTCGCCTTCCTTGTCAAGGACGACGATCAGAGCACGCCGACGTTGCACACTGAAGAACCCGCTCATTTCGTACCGGAAGAGACGCCTGTCCACGACGAATCAGAGACCGAAGGTGGTGTAAAGAGTCAGCATTCCGACTCGGGAATATCAATGGGCGACAGCAGTGTTTGCCACGTCAACAACGACCCTTCCCTCGATAGCCGGTTGTCGCCGTTGCCAGAGGACACACAAGACATCACTGACACGCAAGGCCACTTGAAAGACAGACCTTCCTATTCTCGACGGCTACGATGGAAGTGGCCCGACGTACCGCCCGCTACTCACAAGCGTTCCATACCTAGCCCCAGCATTAGAACTCCCAGCCCTGAACATACACGCATTCACACACCACGTACGCCCGACAGTTTGGACAAAGAATTCTGCGCCCCCAAGGAAATTCTGTCCGGGTACGATCTTGTCGCTGATAAACTAACCCAAGGGGAGATCCCACCGGTGTTTCGGCTTTTTCAGAAGAGTAATTATCGCGTCCTCCTGCAATTGCAGGACGAAATTGGAGAAATGGAAGAAGAATTGGCTGCTCTGGATCTGGCCGACACCCGAAGTCGGCTCAATTCAAACGGCAGTACATCACCAGCCTCGCGAAGGATCAACTGGCAATGGAGTCAGTCAGATCTACAAGCGCATCGATTGCAGGTCTTGGGAAGACTGTATATCAAAATCGAACAATACTGTAGGTGGCGAAAGGCAGGGTGTTGATGCGATGAGCGGACTGATTTTGTGACAGATCAAGCTCTTTTATCCACCCAAAAAGTGCAGAGACTCTCATCGCGAGCAATTCCCGCAGAGATTGATAAATTTCGAGCATGGTTACGGGAGAATAACCCTCTGTCCGGCCCCGAGTCCACGTTCTTAGATAACGAGGATGATTTGATAGCGTTAAAAGAGACCTCTACAGGATGGGACCCCACCGGGTCCACCTCCACCACCACCACCCCCGATTTAGTTCCGCTCTGCATTTTGACCATGACGCTTCTTCCTTTACTGTGCTTCAAACTCATCACGGGCGTTTTGAACCGATTGATTCTACTGACTGCATTGTTGGCTGCGGGGCTGAGTGGTCTGGAAAAGTTGGACCGGTCAAAAGGGGAACAACAGCATCGACAATGGGTTCTAGCATGTTTTGGTGTGTCTTTTTTGGCGGCTCTGTCCTTCTAGCCTGGTAGATGAGCGGCAGCGCTCAGGATATAAGGGGACCCAAAGCATGGATGCATGGTACGAGAGGAATGGATGGTGTTGCATCTAGAAGGTAGAAGAAATGTTCCGAATTGTAACGACCGATATGACTTGGAAATGTGGAGTTGATTGAACAGGGTTGGAATTGAAAATCGAGTAACCAGCAATTAGGCTGTAGAGCCTTGTGAGGGTGAGGGGAGAAGTTGCAGCCTGATGGAGACAGACTTGGTAGCCAGTGTCCTCCGACCAGGCTGCGGCGAGAGAACTCCCCCTTATAGTTCCCATTCGTTCATGTGGATTTTTGATTCTACCTTCACCTCCATCAATACCACTGTACTATTTTGATCTTTCTCGCTGTCTGCTGGTGGTAATCCTTCTTTGTTATATCCACGATCTCGTCCGGATTCCTCGCGTAAAGACTCTGTCCAACCACCCCCCCCC